TGTCCGGTAACGAGAATGGGATTTTTCTACAGGTGCAACGAGCGAGGGTGACGGCTCCGGTATCCCAGTCAATTAGCGGGTTGTGCCTCTGGAGCCAGTCATGCCCTAGGAAGAGGGGCGTGGTCCCCAGATCTACTACCGCTAGTTCGATCCACTCCACGTGGTCCCCTATTCGGAGGCGTACCTTGGCGTACTCGGTTATGTCCCCGCCCTTGTTCCTAGTGCCGTCGGCATTATAGACCGGAACAGGTCGAGCCGCCTTTTTGAGATTGATGGCATGGTCTCGTGCCCAGGAGTGATCTATAGAACTACCAGTGGTGCCACTATCCACTAACGCTTTCACGGCATGCACCTCTCGGGTATCTAGAGTCTCCAATTGCACGTTGATTGATACGTTACGCCCCTTCCTCCCTCGTATGTACATGGGCGACTTCTTAAGATCCTCCATCCACTCCCACTTGTCTCTAGCCTCTTGGGCAGTCTCCGGCTGCTCTTTGAGTGCCTCCCATAACTCAACCGTTACCTCCCCTGCCCGACGGGGGTGAATCCATCGTTTAAGAGTGGAGAAGGTGGCCGCCTCATTTTTAGCTAGCTGTAGCGCCCTACGAGTCCAGTGTGTCCCGAAGGGTTCGTAGTACGTATCCACTACTGCTCGTTGGATCTCGGGCGTCAGTTCGGGTTCAGGGGTCATGAGAGACTTCCCCTTAGGTGTCGTGACAGGTATGTCGGACCGAAGGTGGGCTTCTTCGTCTTCTACTTCTTCTAATGAAACGGCCGAAGGCTTGCTTCGAGGCGGCATTTGGTCACCGGGCCGAAGAGGGCCCCTCAGCGGCACTTGGGCACCTTCCGTTGAAGCAGTGGAGGAGGGCTCACTGCCCTGTGTTCGGCCCTGGCCAAGGGCGCTTGTGCACGGCGTTGTAACCTCCATGGTTATCCGGTACTTATCCTCATTCCTAACGCCGGCGGTACTCTCGGAAACTCGAGGCAAACGCACACATATTGGCTCATCCAGGGTGTCGACATCGTTTGCGGATGAGGCCACTACTAAATATAGGTGGTCCCCTGGATTCCTTGCCTCAGCTGCTTTTTTGCCACTGATGGGAGGGACAACTGGGGCTGAAGGCCCTCCTGTCAGAGTTGTCGGCCGATTCTCCCTGCCGGGGCGACGACCACCACGTCTGGCGTCCATCTTGTCCTGATCTGAGGCGCTCGCTGGGTTCTCCAGAACTTTCCCCATTCGGTCAGGCGGGGGTGTCTGAGGTGGACCGGCCCCTAGGGGTTCATTGTCCACTGCTGACTGCATAGGACGGCGGAAATCCCCTCCTATGCCATGGGCAGGCTGCGATTCTTCATTCTTAGTTTCTTCAACGGTTAACGCGGCAAAAGAATTGGTATATTGTTCATACGGGGTACCTACATACATAGTATAAGTCCGACTATTATTACAGGAATGCGCACCAGAAGAAACTAAGTCCTTAGCCGACGCCGTCGAATCGCTTATTTCGACGCCGGCTCATCTTTTGACAACTTCTCCTCTTTAACCTCCTCGACCTTTGTGTCCTTTCCTAATTCCTCCTTTTCGGCCTCGGCGAGTAACTGGCGTAGGTGCTGGACGTTGGGTTTTTTGCGAGGTGGGAGTTTGACGGGGAGCCACTTTGATTTGTCGTCAGGGCATTTATGCTTCGGGCTCCACCCGGTGTTCCCACACTTGAAGCAGCGCTTGTCAGATCGTAGCTTGTCGATCTCCATCGGTTGACCTGCTCCGCCGTATGTAGTGCCTGTGGCGTCCTTCTTATCGCCACTAGAACCTTGGCTTCCACCCTTCGATTGATTGCCTCGACCCGAACCACTCTGGTTCGAGGAGGGCTTACCGGCGAGGCCCTGGGCCACATCGTAACGATAATTGGCGTCGATCCTTAGGACTCGCGCCTTCCATTGCGCGTAGGTTGTGGGGCGCTCGTTGTCCCCATGCATAACCGTTTTGCACACCGTCGGCCTAATCGCCGCTTCAACGGTCTCGAACATCTGCTTCTCATCTCCGAATTCCTTGCACTTGTGAGCCAGTTGTTCGAATTTTGCGAAGAACTCGATTGCGGACTTGCAGTCCGCTTGCCGTACCTTCTTCCATTCGGACTTCCAGATCGTCAATTCAGCCACCTCGCGGAACTGCACCGTCAGGTCATGGGAGAACTCGTCCCATGTGGGGAATCTCCAATGCCCTTGCGGCGTCCGGTAGCGATAGTATTGCTCGACCCACCATTGTTGGGCTTCCCCGCGTAAGTACCCTTGGGCGAAGGTAATCCGGTAAGGATTTTGCCCTTCCGCGTTCATGGTGTAATACATCGGGAATACGGCAAAATAAACTTCGCAATGGTGGAGGAAGCAGGTAATGTCCGATGATACCCCGAAGAAGTATTTGGGCTGCGTAACCAACTTGGGTTTGACGTCGTTCCAGGGGTTGTTTATCGCTCCCGGGGCCAGCTGCCATGGGGGAATCGGATCCGGGGGTGATGGCAGCACTGGAGGGATCGGTGCATTTGGTGGTCGCGACAGGGAGCGTAAGTGATGGTTATTACCCGGCAGGGGGTATCCCTCTGGGTACTTGGGCGGTGGTGGAATCAGCGGCGGCCGTTTTGGTACAGTCGACTCCTTTCCTTTGGACATCCCGGCGCCAGGATCGTCCCATCCTTCTTCCGGGTCGTTGGGCCCTGCACCCGCCCAGAACCCTTCGGTCTCGAGCAGGTTTGGCATTGGTTGGGGTCGACGGTATGGCTCGCATCCTGGTTGCACGTTGTCAGGGTGTACCTGGTTCCACACTATGGCCGCCCTATGCCAGGTTTCCACTTCTAAGATGTTCTTCATGAGGTAGACGTCCCCCATGGTTTTTGCGTGTCGATAGTCTTCTCCCGCCTCCGTGAGGAGCCACTGGGAGTCTCGCTCCATGTCCTCCATCATGATTTCATATAGTCCATGCCATGGCAAAATACTAAAGATTGTTGGCACCGGGGCCATGGGGTCAACGAGGACCATCCGGACCGCCTTCATCACCTCAACCTCGAGGGCGCTGTTTGGTGGCCGACTCGGCATCCTTGGCCTCCTTCCTCTCTCTGGTGAGTCTGTCAATTTTCTTGTTTCTCTTCCATCGCCCGATATCGGAGTCGGGGTCGCTGATCTCTGACTCGTAGGCCTGTCAGGCTCTCTGTCGGGCCTCGAGGTCCATTCCGGCTCGTTCAATGAGACCGGAATATCGAAGGGCGGTGGCCTGCTGCCTGTTCTCGATCTCGGCGCGGGTGGCATCGGGTTCGACGGGAAGATCCCAGAAGGCGTTGGGTCCGATGAGGGCAGCGATTTCGGCACGTCGAGTGCGTGTGTCTGCCGCTCTTGCTCAGTCCATTCTGGCCTCGATTTCTGGGGACTGCCGGGCATTTTGAGGGAGGTCGAGTGACTCGACGAGCATGTGGTAGAGAAGCGTCCATGGACGCTGGTTGCTAGGGACGGGGTCGGCGAATGCTCGACCCGCGACTGACGGGGTAAAAGGGGTGACGGCGGTGAGGTCCCCGGCTCCGGCAACTGTGTCAAGTTCCTCGGGGTTGTAATCCAGGAACTCTGACCAGAACTGCTGATCTGCCGGTTCAGGCCTGGTGAGGGCGGTAACGGGCGTTGGGGCCTCGGGGCGCTCGGGGACAAGGATGCTCCACGGGGACGGGACTCGAGCCACAGGAGCCTCTTCTCCTGGGTCGGGATAGACCCAGCTGGTGCTGGGGTGCCAGCCGATTGGGGCACCTCTTTCTGCCGGTCCAGGAGGAAGAGGGGGTCCTGCCCCATCTGAACGGGCGGTAGTCGTGGCGGAGGCCCTAAGGGCAAGCTCTCCGAAATCCTCACTGAAGTTTTCTCTTCCTCGCTTCTCGTACCTCCTTCTCTCGCTTCCCCAGTCAGCGTCCGTCCACTTGGTGGAGGAACGCCCGCTCCAGCTGTCTCCAGTATAGGTTGCATCTTCCTCTTCATTCGGGTAGAGGTCGCTGAGGAGGTCTTCGAGTCGGATCCTTTCGAGCTCGGTGAGTTCATCCCCTTCGAACTCGGTATCAGGGCTTTCTTCGCCCGTGACCACATGCCTGGTGCCTTGTCCTCGGTTTCCAACGGAGCTTGACTCCCCTTCGACTGGAGACTGATCGAAGAGGCCTGGTAGGGGTGAGTCTCCTCTGTCGAGTAGCATGCCCCTGGTATCTGTGATGTCGACTGAATCGACAGATTCTGCGGTAGCACTTCTGTAGGAGTCGGTGCTCGACTCTGAGTATTGCGAGCTGGGTCGCGACGATCCGTAGAGGGATTCTCCAGGTCCCCCGGAGACGTTGGGTTTGACATTTTGTAGGGTCTGTTGGGACGCCGCTGGAATGTGAATTACGGGCGGTGGGTAGGTGGGAGTGCTGGGAACATAATGGAATGGGAGTTGGGCGCGAACTCGCCTCTGTTGTCGAAAACAGCGGTGTAGTCGGTACAAAATAATGGACAAGAAAAAGAGTAAAAAAGTCGCGAAGACGGCGGGAATGGCGTCGGACCAGGGCATCCGTGAGTGGGTCTATCCTTCGTATAGTTGGACGGTTATAATTAACCATGCAACAGTTCATACACGAGCTGATAAATGGCGAGGATGAGGAGTGCGACGAGGATGGTGATAATCAAGCTGAGGTCGGTTTCGTAGTTGGAACCGTTCATCAACAGGATTTCACTGGTTTCGGAAGTGCTTCGTCAATGTCAACAGTACAACTGTCAGCACCGATACGAGTCGGAAAAGGGTGGTGAAGGGGTTCGTTTTTCTCTTTTATATTCGTAGCAAACCAATATAGGCCGTTACCAGCAAGGCTGCTAGTAGGGGTGCTGGGATGGTTGCTAGGACAAAGAGGATAGTCACGAGGACTATAAGGATGACAGTAAGGATAGGATCAGGTAGTACGAGTGAAAGGATCCAGTCGGCTACCAGGAGTATAATGATGAGCACATAAATGTTGGGCAACGGTGAGTCGTTGGGCAACGAGGACGAGCTTCGGCTAAATGTTGACAACCAACTAATAACCGACTTAGATCGAACTAGGATCACCACTCGCACTTCGGTGGATGATACTCTAGTAAGTCAAAGGCGATGTCAAAGTCGATGGCAGACAGATAGTCATGAAGGACGGAGTTCGAGTTGGGTAGATTAAACCTTAGCCGAAGCTGGGGTTTAACCCAGCTGAGGCTCTACTTAAATACACGTTGGTAAGCTAATAATAGTACTGTGAGAAACTGTCCGTTATGATCGCATACACGTAATCAGTCTGAATAAGATGAAGAAAAAGGGAAAGAAATGAATAAATCGTAACAACGTGCTCTCCAGTCGACAAGATCAGTACTGGAATGATCTCTGTTTCGCCATTGCCCAGTACTGGGAAATTGTGTCCTGGGCAAACGAGCAACTGGTACTCACTGGTCTGAGCGAAACTAATTGGGTGTATGAAGTCCATGTGGCCTTCAAGTTATCTGCATTGCAATTCGGACTGGCATTGCTCGATTATCATAACTCTCTGAAAGGAAGCAAGTTGTATGAAGCTGTGGAGGCTGAAGAAAGACTGAACTGACAGTGGTTCAAAGCTGATGTCTTGACGGCCTTCGATGAAATGTTCAGCCACAAACTACATCGAGAACTCAGAAATGCCAATTGACCACAGGAAGCACATCTCTTTTGGGAACCGTCCTTTGATGTAGTTGTGGTAAACAGTGAGTGGGTGGGATGGATCTGGGAGACGTCCACTAATATACCTTCCAGAGATCCCCGAAGAAATAGACATACTTACTTATGCAGAACTCACCCGGCAATCTGCCCCTGTGTCCAATCTCTCATCCCTAAGTGAATTGTCTGAAGATGACAAAGCCATTCCTTCTCCGTGTCGTCAACCTCTCCTCCCCGCCAGTCCACGAGGGAGGAAAGCCTTGAGCCAGAGTAAGGGACGAGAGCCTTCATCAGGAAGCAGCGACGACACTGACGAATTGGACGACGAAGCACTTGGAAATGTTGTCAGTGATGAGGAGGATCTATCCAATGAGAGAGCTGCAGGTAAGAGGAAGCTACATGCATCCTCACTTGGAAGCAGCAATGAAAGTGACAATGATGGTTCTGACGATGAGCATGACACTTTGAAGCGGCTGGTCATCCATGACAAAGACGACATTGGTACCGATGAATCGGATGATGACCTACCTGAAAGTTCCAATGAAGATGATGTATCAAGGGGCATGCTCATGCAAAGCATCACAGACATTGACAAGGAGGAGTGGGATCATGAGGCGCCCGCTGGTGCTGAAGTGACGCGAGTGGACGATGTAGAGATGGAATTAGTTGAAGAGTCTCGGGATTCCTTGTCCCCCAGAGCACTTTTTGACAAGGAATGGGCAGCATTTGAAGAGGAACAAGAGCTTCTTCGATCGCGGAATGCTCCAGAGAAGTGGACCGAGCCCGTTCCTGATGCCACTGCTGGAGATCATGATATGCACACTGAAGACTTGCACGCATCAGTGTTTCAGGAACTTGCTCTCCAAGACGAACCTGGTCATGAGCAGAATGCAATTCCGCCAGCCCCGTCGCTAGAAGCGGAGTCTTCACCTCTAACCACGGTTGATATGAAGCTGGAGCTTCTGTCGCCAAGCTCTTTTCCTGTGCTGCCAGTACCTCTAAAGCAAGGGTTGGAAGATGAGGACCCAGAGGAATCACTGGACTTGAAACAGCACAAGAGCAACATGATAGCAAACATTCCAGATCTGAAAGATCTTATTGAATCGACCAGTCAAAGTCTTGCCAGATTGATGGGACATCCCTTGCCACCCGACTTGGTCAAAAATATAGTCGACGCGGCGGACCAGTTCCACTCGAAAGGAGCATCAACACCAGGCTTATCCGACAACAACAATGTCCTCGATTGGAGTGCTCAGGATGTCCTCGATCTGAGCGAGCTGGAACCGGACCTGGAAGCGGATCCAGAACCCAAGTCTTTGGAAGCGGTGGCACAGTGGCAAGACCATATCAAAGAGGCCTTGCAGGCATACATGGCAGATCATAACCCTGTTTGCCCCCTCCTACCTGATGTCCACGGCGTCACGGAGCCAAGTGATTTGTACAAGGTTCATGACTGAGACTTTAGTTTCCATTGTTTCAATGCTTATGGTTGTTTAGTGTGTATGTAATGTCATTGACAACAACCCCACCACAGGATGGCACTTCCTCAGTGCCAGACCCATGCTGAGCGTGGATAGCCTGAGGCAGTTGCTCAAGGTGAAAGGGTCATGGCTCAACGATGACATAGTCAATGTCACTCTGCGTCTCTTGTGCCAAGAGTATCCATCTTGGGGAATGGCAGACTCCCTGGTCGTCACTTCGAAGAAAGCAGCACCATGGGGATTGAAGGCATTGTTGAAAGTAGGAGCAGACATTACTTCATAACATGATTATCACGAGTGTTCAGGAACATACGGAATTAAGCAAGCAGAACTTTGCTCTCCCAGTCCACCATGACAGGCACTGGGTGCTTTTCCACTTAGATTTCGAGACCCGGAATGTGACTTGCTACAATAGTTTGAATACAGATGAATATGTTCTTAAAGCCATCTATAGCATAAGCCCCTAACTTTCCTAGTCCACTTTTTCAACTGACGTCAGACCACCCCACAGAGCTTTTGGTCATCTTTGAAGTTGGTCGTTCCCAATCCTGATGATACATTCCATTTCGAGATAGCGAAGGTCAGTCTCACTTTCATTAAGAAGAGATGTACTACCATAGCTCATCATGGACAGGGAGTCCCTCAACAGCATGATTCTATCAGTTGCGGTGTTTACACCATTGCCTTCGCCTGGCATTTAATGCACTATGGTGTTCCTCTGTCATCGTGCAATGAAATCTTGGCTTCTGTTGGGTTTGCGAACAGTTACAGATTGGACATTCTATACTTTCTAGCACAGATGTTATCCAGGGACCGTGAGAGAATACCCTTGTAATTAGAATGATTCCCATGACCAAAGTCACACATCTGTGACAGACCATACAGTTGTGACTTGTGGTGGCGATACGGTTCCGCCATTGGAAAAAGCCATCTGCAGAGCTCCTGTACGGCCTATTTTCTTTCCTTCTCACGTTCAATGGTCTCCAGTGAAGACACGGACTATGTCCCATCTGCCCTTAACTATGCTACCCGATCTGGGCATCAAACGCAGCTGCCTGTGCATAGGAGACAACCGGGTGTGTGGCTCATTATGCTCAGCTGCACATATATTGATTAGACCATAGGTGATCTGCCTTTAGTTCCTCGGGCACCCTCACCCATAATCATTGAGGGCAGCCCGTGCTTGAGGAATAGGAACTGGAGGGACGCTGCACAAGGTGAAGGACTGATTGACGCCCAGGACGAAATGCCACTCCGGGGCGAAACTGGTATGGCGAACGTAACATGGTCCTGCCCAAACTGACGTTCCCTGACAAGGTCTGCAATCCAATGCTACTTTAACCACTTTATCGGACCTGTACCGTGCAAGGTTCGGTCACAGTGGTGGAACAAACTCTGGGAATGGACAGTCCTTAACGAGTTTATCAGACTGGTTTCATGTGAGATTCACCGGTCATGGAGATGAACCCAGCTCGGGGGATGGCCAGGGTTCGGAACATCCGGCAGAGAGAGGCATGGCAGCTCCTTCCTGTTCGATGAGTATCTCTGATGCACCTGACAGAAAGCGGAGACCCTCATGACCTCAGCCATGATGAACACCCAAACCAGGGGGACCATGCCTGTGGACGTTCTCAATCACCCGATCAGAAGGACAATGATGGTTTCATGTCTGGCACGAACTTGAATGACTGTTCGTACTTGAGCAGTGGCCATCAGACCCATCCTGATACACTCATTTGTCAGATGATCTTGATGAGCCCAAGCCGGATGCATATCCGCTGTCCGATGGAGAGGTGGAAGCTGCCCAGAATGGTGAGTGCAAATATTGTTGGCCTGCATTTGCTGCATTCATGAATACTTGGATAGGTCCGAACCCGCTCCCAGCCAGCCGCCTGGCTGCTCAACAATGGAACTGGGAATAGCTTCGTCCCGGGGGAGGTGAGGAACCTGAAGATGAAGGGACGGGCAAGTATCCCATGTCTTAATGATGCGAGCTCCCATCATTTACCAAAATGAATACAGGAGATTCCTTGCCACGTCGGGAGGGGGCCGGTGGCCATGTGGGCGCCAATGAGCGCTTGCATGTAGAGGACAATCCTGAACAGGGGAACCCAGTGCCAATCTTAAGGTCCGACTGTTGTGCCTTTGCTTCATGCACTTCTGAACCCGATTGCAGGTGTCCAATCAACCTGTTTATTTGTATGGAAAACTCCGAAGGATCTGAACATGCCCAAGTGGAGTATAACATAGGCATGCTGGAGGGATTCGTGGGTAAGGCGACTTCGACATGTCTTTGGGCCTTGTCATACTGATTCCCTATGTTGCAGGCAAAGCCCTTAGTGCGTTGTTGAGAGGGGGAGGAAGGACTGGACATGCTCTCCAAGGGCTGGATCATACCGGTTGGACAGTGTCAACCTCCACGCGACCCTTGTGTCTTCATGAAGGTGGTGGGGAGGATTTGTCATTCAGGGAGATTGGCCTCTTGGACAAGGTCCTCGAGGAGGGCACTTCACTATACAGGACTCCCCTGCTCAAGTGCCAAATGTGTCCTGACACAGCAAGGATACTCGTAGAGACCGGGCTTTCACAAGATGAGCTTCATGTCGTATATATACACAGAGCGCCAATGTCATTAGAAGCAGGGACTGTGGAAGCTCCTGCTGAAGCAAAAGAATGGCAAACCTGGGACAAGTGTTTTCTAGGGACGATCCAACTGGTGCAGAGTCTATTTGACCCAGAGTACAACGAGCCATTCCGGGTGTATTTGGGGGTGACGATTCTCATGGCGATCACAGAACAGATTGGCAGCAACAAGAAAGCCTTGCACATGGGAAAGTGGGGCAGCCTTCTGGGTGTGCTAGCATGGTTGAAAAGCCGGACTAGTTTACACAAGGTTGAAATCTTTGAACGTTCCCAAAAGACATTCGAGCACTACTTCAGCTTTTGGAAAAAAGTACAGTCACTCAGACACTATCTCAGTGCCTATGATTTTGGTGAGGAGGTCAAGCCACAGGACTGGCAGCGGTGGGAGATGTTGGAAATGATTGCCACCTGGCAAGGTCTGCCATCTCAGGCAGATACTTTGACAATGAACCCATTGACAGAGGAAGAGCTCTTTCATGTCAAACAACCCCTCTCTCTTTCACATGCTGAATTACTTTTTAAGAATGTACTGCCCAAAAACTAGTATTTAGTCTCAAATACATATTCAAATTATGGTTATTTTATCTGGTGGGCAACAGCCGTTACAGAGATCAGGCACAGAGGCTGGTTCTTATCGGGGTGAACCTCTCTTTTCCTTCCACAAGGAATAATGCTTCCCAGTATGCAAGCTGTCATTGATCTGACCCAACAACAAGGAAGGCAATTTACGTGGTATGTTGTCTTTCGGTGCCAGTTTGAACATTCTGACTGGATCCCGCAGTGCTATTGGTCGCTTTAAAGGGATCCCAACGATTGAAGTCGACATCATTCTGAACTTTGTAGTTCTTCTTCATCCCAGCCATCCTGTAGAAGACTCCACAAGGTATCACACTGTTTTGGAGGGGCTTCAAAATTTGTTGAAGACTTATGTGCTGCGGATGGGGCATACACACATCAACTGGAACTCTGCTGTCCTCTATGGGCCTGGAGTTTCCATGCTTGAATGGACCTCCTTGCATTACGAGATGCTGTATGTGGCAGCATTTCCTCACGTTACACCAGACACATCCTCTCGTATACAGGTACGCAGCACCATCCTTGAGTCCGACTTTGACTAATACTGTGGACCCCAGTTCTTCTGCAAAATTTGGGTGACACCCTTGGTATGTGGGCATAATCTGGCATCCAGTGTCTGCCATCTAACCATGATATCCAGCCGCTGAATGTAGGAAGGGTGGCTTTCCTGCCGCCAATGAATTCCCACTCTGGAGGATGCATTATCAACGTGGATTTTGAACTTTCCAATATCCTGGAGGCGATGGCAGTCATGACCGATGCTGATGAGGATACGTATGAGTTCCAGCTGAGCCACAACTGGCTCCATGCAGAATTGCTCACAGCCATCGAATTGGCGAGTGCAGGAACCATGCATGATGGTCTGTTAGATGAAGCAGAGTTATTATTGCCTTGATGGCTTCGCCTTCGTATAGTAGAACAGAAGAACCGGTTTGTTGGGCAAATGGTCACACCTTCCAGTCTGTCACATCACAATCTATAGGAATGATATTCTAACATGGCAGTTCTCAAATTGGCTGACTAGATTACATAAACATCACCTCCATAGAGGTGTTACATGTCACACCAGTGAGTCTGTCACATTACAACACTGAGAATTGACCTCATCCCCGACGGTGGGCCAATATGGCATTCAGAGTCTCTAAGCCATGGATCCAGTGCACTCGACGGGCCTCCCATGTATTGCTTGCCATTCCTAGACTGGTAGCCATAGTTTGGTTTAGAACATCAACCTCCACAGGGCTGAGGGGGCAGGCAGGGGCCTCGCAAGGCACATATGCCAAAGATTGGGTAGGCACTGTAACATGAATGTCTGCTCAGCCGGTTGAAGAAGACAACTCACGATTGACAGGTAGTGATGCGTCCTCATGGCCATCCTGAAGGTGAGCTAGCACATCGGGGGTAAGAGCCTGATGACGCTGTTGTAGTAGGGTAAGGATCTCCTGGTTGACACCCATGTTAGGGATGGCTGCAAGTGGATCCACAACTAGGGGGTCTGTTAGTGTGATGTGCTCGAGGCCACGAAAGCCATCCATGAGCTGACTTTCCAACCACATATTGTTAGGCATCTCGGATCACTTACCCTGCAATGGAATCTTGTGATTATTCCATTCATCTGCCCACTGGCAGGCAGCCTCGTCTATATCGGCAAGAAACAGGTGAAGGACCAACCAGATATGTGCCGAATTTTCGTGGTCCAGACCATAGCTAGCCTCGAGCTCTGTGAAGAATTCGTGCCAGCGATCGGCCCAACTTCTGGAAGTCTCCACCCACATTCGCTCTCCTCTCGTATTATGAACTGAGCTATGGTACTCATTATTAATACAGGACAATCTCAAGCTACTGAATCCACTCACTGGCCCCAAATGTATGGGTTGCTCAGTACTCCTCGATAATTCTCCATCCACTGAGCCGCATACAGGTTTTCCACACCGTGGTCACCACGTAAGCGTATGGGAACCCCCCAGACAAGTGTTGCATCAATGAAAACCATGAGGACAACATATGGTCAGTTGGAGTTGCTTGCTCTGATGTTGACCACGACACATGTTTTTCCATCAACAAATATGTGGAGGACAATTTTCCACCGAATCAGGCCTAGAACTCGATGATTAGTAGATGATAAAAGTGACCATGGGTGAAAACGGACAGTGATTTCCATCGTGGTGCCACATGGAGTTGGCGCCAGGGACACTGTAGTTGGTCCTGGCTGTGGGTTGCCTGCCAAATTTCGGTGGCGGGCCTTGGACACGTTTCCTTGAGGCTTCGACACGTTGTCGAGAGACACGATGACCTAGCCTACTCAATGCCGACTTGATTTGCTGACGCCCATAGCCAGGACAATGTTGAAGGATCTCTTCAACCTCTTTATCCAGCTCCTCGTCAGACAGGTCAGCCATTTGCATTCTCATAGGGGTGTGGATTGTGTATTCTTGACCATGTTCATCAATGAGGGTTTGGAAGGGCACATTTCTGGGCTCTCTGAGACCATTCCTTTGCTGATGATGGCTGACAGTGCAGGGACAAACGTCAAAGAGATCAGCGATGCGAGGGGAAGAGTGATGGCTCTCCGTGAGCACCCCCAAAATGGTAGGATTTATATCGGCAGGTGGACGTCCTCTCCATCCTGTGTATACCTTGGATCATGGCTGAAGGAGGGGAGCATGCTTCGGAGGATCCTTGGAGATGAACAATTCCGAAGTTAATGAAGTCCTCATCATGAGAAGTCCAGCATTGATGGTCGCAACGTAGTCATCTGAGAAGTAGACTTGGGCCTGTGGTATGCAAATATTAATCAAAGGATAAGGTGCTGATGATAATTATTGTGACAGACCTCTGTCCAATACTGTTCCCAAAGAGCAACCTCGTTGAGTTGCAGCTGAATTTGGTGGGGGTCGCCATTGCCAGCCTGAAGAACCTGATTGACCGAATGGCAAAGCTCTGACCAAGACCTATTGACGCGCTCGATTTGAGCTGTAGTCATGGTTGAAGTTGGGATTGGTGGCAGTGCAAAAATAGTTTAGAACCAAAAATAAAGAAAATAATTGAAAACTAGCCAAGAAAAAAACCAAAACAATGCATTTATACAATGGGTATCAAGGAAAACAGCGCTGAAATGAGTGTATGTTGGCCGGTCATGCTCACGGTCAGCTGGGTAGGCATTGTGAACGCCCATTGACGCCTCCCCATGAGGCAACCTCAGACGACCTCATGAAATCTCACAAGATCCTGTGGGGCCTCGCGAGATCTCACGCGACCGCACGAGATCCTGTGAGATCCCGGAATATTGTCCAGGGATTCCAAGTATACATTGCACATGCTAGCAGACCAAATACATGCACAGAGGCCATCAAATAACAGCGAGAAAACCTGAGATTGTCAAACAGTTACATCGTCCACGAGAGAAAAGGAAGAAGGAAGGCAAACACAGCCAAGCAACCGATTCACGTGATTGACGTGTCGACGCGTCGATGTGAAATTCAAATTGAAATTATTTCGTTCCTTGGCTCCAAACATTATCATGAAGTTTGACAATGAATTCATATCGCACCGACCTTTCAATGACTTCTCCGGAATCACAAAAAACCATCGATTCATCGCTTATAGCTGGATTTTCCACCCAGCCAAGGCATAGCATCACCCTTCCGTTACGTTCCGAGCAAAACCAGGATGGTTAGTTATAATAATGAGCAGGGACAGGATTCTGGAGATTAACAGGAAGAACAACGTTAGGGCGGATATTAGGTCATTTCCGAGCGACTCATCGTCTATCATGGTATCAGTAGGAGGATTTAACAGATTTTATTGCAAAAAGCTGCCATTCACAAGCTCTTGGACACAGAGCTGCAACTCCATCCTCGAAATCAGGATTTTCGCATATTTTCTTGTTGAAACCCCGGTTCAATATGTTGAAGCATCGAACGACTACGGCGTTAAGTATCCGGGCTTAGAAGGAAGTGGATTGTGAATGAAATGGTCGTGTACGATGGGCAGTATCTTTGAGAATATCCGTGAATTTTGGGAATGAATAACGAGAATACGAAGTACTGATACGGATCCTCCTCGCGCGGATTGCTAGAACATCATCATCAAGTACAGCCAAAGGATACAAACAAGTACCAGTAACGTCTCCATGCTTCGCTGCCGCGCCTCTGAAAGGATGATGATGGTTCAAGAACATTTATTTCTATCTCTAATTCCCTGACGAATGTCCGAGGATCGATACCCTTCATCAAAATTACGCGGTTGCCTCTGTTCTACTTATGACAATGCAATTTCGTCCAAAGCAAGTGTACGAGTTGACTTTGGAACTCACAGGCAGCAAATCGCTGACCTGGTTTTTATGCAACGAATGATGACCAAACCTTGGGGCATTCGTCTACTGCCATTTTGCAAAATCTATTGGCAACTAAGAGATCTTTGTCAAGCTGCAGTGCAAGACTACCAACGGAGTCACCTACCTATCCATATGCCGACGGAAGCGATAGCTGCGAGCGCAAAGAAAGTTTAGACCAGGGCCAAGGCAAAAAAGGAAGCCCATACCCCGGAGGCCTACCCAATTTTCCAACACGTTCACAATCCCCCACTTTCAGCATTTGCTGCACCGTCGATGACTCTATCATCAGGTCACCCTTCTGGGCCTTCTCAGATCGCCCAAAGTCAATCAGCCTGAACCTCCGATCCGAATGCTTCCTATACGCCGGCCAGTCCTCGATGTCTCCATGCTGCACCACGATGTTCCTCGGATACACCGACCCATGCAACCACCCTTCGCGGTGGAAACGGAAGAGCAATGAGGCACATTCCTGCCTGCGAAAACACGAGTCAGCAAAAGGGAAACGGATATAGCGAACGCCATCCAAACCTATCATCAATATCCAACGTATCAATATCAATAGGCGTCCCACAGTCTTCCATCAGCAAGATCGGACTGAGATATCCCTCATCATCGTCACCCTTCTCCGGCACGTAATACCCATAAAACTGCGGAACAACGGCACCAATGGGGGTTGGATCTTGCAACGTCGGCACAATATTGTATCCACTCCAATGCTGAAAAAAATGTGCCGGGAACTTCTGGTAATTCTTGGCCTCCTGCTTGAGATGCTTATCGTGCTTGATAGAGAGCTTCGCTGAAACAAGCGTCCGAAACGTCGTCTTGTTGCTACGGCGCCTTTCATGCTCGCAATACGTTCCAGGTCCCTGCCACTGCACATCGACGTCGATCTCTCGCATCCGCCCTTCATACACCATCTCCGTCTTGTTGGTGCCCTCGTGCTTGAGGCCCGCCGCTGCCGACTCAATGAGAAATGTCGAGATCTGTTTCCCGATATATTCCGTCTCGTCCACTTCCACGTCTGGCATGTCGTTCTTGAACCTTTCCAGCACCACACGGGCCACACATTGTTCACAGACGCTCGGCCGGAAACTGGGTAGCCACGTACGAGGGACTTCCCACTCTGCGCTGTACACAGCGGAGTGATGGCCTCGTCCAATGACGCGCTCGGAGGAAAGGTAGAGGTGCGCTTCTGGGGTAGAAAGAGGTGGCGATGGTTCTTTGGAAAACTTGGCGAAGATTGCTTCTGCATCGTGGGTCGCGCAACAAGACAGGGAGGGGTCGGGGGTCTCAAGAGAAGAAGGGACGAAGAGCATGCCGCCCTCAGAATTGGCGTCAGCGTGCTCTTTCTGGACCAATGCGCGCTGCGCGACGGTCTTTTCCTCCACGTGGGAAGAAAGATGGAGTCGATAAACGTGAATTCTCTTTGGGGGTCGGTGGCTGAAGCGGTGATCATCATTGGAAACGCGAAGAGTGTCGCCGTCATCGTGGACAATGAGCTTTTCTGGCAAAAGATGAAATGGTATTCGCTGTTGAAATGTATAGGCTTTGTTATCCGGGTACTGCTCAGACTTCGCCGGAGTAAGAGTCTGTACTGACAAATTAACGAAAACCCAAAAGGCAAGGGAAGAACTACCTCTTCGTCACTCTCCGTGTAGGAAAAAGCATCCAAGTGGTCTAATGGTCTTGAGGTAAAGATACTTGGGTCCCGGTTCTCCAGAAGTCGCCCTACGTCGCACGGAAAAACTTCTCGAGGATGTTCCTCCGCTTCAGCGCACTCGATCTCCTCCTTCGCGTGTTCAACTTCTCCAACTTCCTTCGCCCACGCAGCCAGCCTACTCCCGCCGAGCCTGGTTAATATGTCCGGAGACTGAGGAATAGGCTGTACCCAATAGAAATCGTAAAGTGTAGCGCCCCAGATTCGCTGTTTGTTTCCAGCAACCTTGACGCCAGGTAGCTGGCGCGTATCCATAACAGGCCCTTTGGGATCTCGAGGCCAGATGCAACGAACGACGCGCTTTTTGGCAGAGGAAATTCGGATTGCTTCACATATAGGCGGTGGCGCAGCCTCGGGTGGAGGTGGTGGCTGGGTGGCATCATTCGATTGAGAGCCGGCGACATCGTCAACTTTCTTGCTGTTACCGGCTAACATGTCACGGCGCGACTCCTCCAAGTCATCGTCCACTGACATTCCTGATTCCCTACATAAGAGTCCGTAAATGGAAGAGAATGAAAACAAATCAAATGGCCATACCAGTACAATAGAACTGCGCCAAAATGATCGGCAAATACTTGAATGGTGGCCGTTCGTGGAAAAGGGGGGGATGATAACGAAAAGAAAAGAAGAGCGCTGATCTTTGACTGTCACATCAACGTCGCCCTTATGATGGACACGAGATCAGATGAGTCTGTCTACGACGATATCGAGGAGTCCAAAGTCATTGTATTCCCGGATAAGATAGACGGAATGTGCCGACAATGTTTTTTCTGCGAACATGACCGATGCCATGACAACCGTCTTGTTTTCCTTGAACATTTTCAAGCATGACGAGGTATATTTCTCAAGGATGAATAGCAGAATATCGTCCAATACTTCGCACAACTACTCGGTATTTGATTGATAGGAATTTGCGGACGATCGTCGATGAATCGAAGTCAGGGCTGGTCAGATGCGAATTTGAAATTGTGTCCAGAAAAGCAACTAAGTTGTAGTGCAGGGACAGGGCTTTACGCTCAATGTTGAGATACAATTCTGCGTAACTCATCCTGTTCCTTGTACTTCTGGCTCGAAGAGGTCGACATGGTGGTGGTGGTGGTGGCACCGGCGCAGGGTGTACGTGTCTAGATTATTAGTGAAAGCCCGTCCAACGTCTCGGAACGGGAGAATTTCCGAAAAACGAAGAAACTCAAAATCCCGATCAGCATGGAATTTGGACACTTGAAGATCTGTAGGCATGAAGGCCACTACAAAAGCTACACCAAATGATGAGAACTTCCAACGCAACCATCAACCAGCCGTAAGAACACACCAGGACATATGGTCACTGTTCGTCTTCGATCCACTAGCAAGGCCTCTACTAGTAGCGACCGTACAACTCAATATATGATGTGAGATATCCCTGCATTTTTTTCGTGAGTGAGACATTGCGAGCTATAAGTGTTGATACAGATACGAACGCACAGAACAACGACGCTTTACAATTAACGAAGAAAACATGCCGGGAGAAACTAGACAGAATGATGAATCCGGATCTTCCACCCGTTTCATGGGCAAGATAGTTTGTGTAGTCATTCTTGCTACAACATTGGAGACCGAGAACATATCACTGCAAAGGGTGTACCGTTATTCGTACATCTGCATCGCTGGATGGCGGCTCTCTTGGGACGATTTCATGCAAAGCTCAGTCGATGCATCCAGCTTTGAGGATTGAAGTACCATCATATACATCATGGCAGTAATGAAGGAATGCCCTGGTGGCCGAGGTTGCCGTTCCACCCGAAATCACGACTCGTCACGTGATCTGGCAGCGCATATAGTCACTAAACCCAATGAAAAAAAGACGTCAGTATCACTTCTAGTGTTTATGAAGTACAGAGGTGCGCCTTCTCGTCCAAAACGCGATTTCATCCTGCGCAACGATTGGTGGAGGATACGAGTGGTTGAGCGCGCCAGTTCGAAGGCAAAAGAAAAAATGAGTATGAGCTCGAACTTCTACTAGCTTGAGGATTGAATATTGAAGGTGAACAGTTCTGGAGTAGTATTTCACGAGCGGAGGCAGCAACAACGACGGTTGATCATGATGGTCGGGAAGGAAGGGAAGGAAGGAATCGTTGCCGGTTCCGTCCTGCTTCGGGAATCGGGCCGGAATACCTCGTGGCCTCAGTCAGAGTAAAAACAAAATTCATCAATCGCAAAAAAGCACTGGACAATCTATACAAGATGCAGAAAATTTCGGGAGGTCAAAGACACTACGTCTACCACATTTTTTCTACGCTCTATACGAGGGCTGGCCTGACCCACGGAATTTTCCGAGCTTTCCTATCAATCAACCACCTCAGACTCAAAATACGACGGCCCCTTCTTCTCGTAGACTTCCTGGGCACTCTTAATGCACACATCTTCGAGCCATTCCATGAGATCTCCCCAGTTATAATTTTCTGGGTGTCGCTTATCTGTCAGCCCGCACAGGGACAGCTTGATCCTTTCGATGACGGGCGCCGCGCGACACAATGCTTCATCAAAGGTGACCCATTCCCTCGGTACGTCCACCATAAAAGAGGCACCAGTAGGGAGAGCATCCGTGTCGACTTCAACCCTGATTTCTAGCGTTTCGATGGAGCATGGAACGGCAAGCTTGTTCAGCGTCGAGGTCCACCAATCCAGACTAGGCCCCTCACTGAACAAAGAGACGGCGATTTTGAGGTCGACGATACACTTGAGGAAGAGCGGCGCAGGGGGGTTTTCCTTATCTACGATTGCAATAGTCAGTCAGCGGTATCAAGATAGGTAAACTCGTTAACTGACCAAAATCAAATGGTCCCAAGTGGAGGGTGGGAATCTGCCCCGGTTCGACTATCGCATGCATAATCGCGGAGAGACGTGCACCGATGTAGGTATCCCAGGCTGGTCTAGCGAGGCCGTACCGCCTCACTCTCAGGTCATCGACTCCGCTGATCTTTAAATGCGAATGACGACTCGCAACTCGAGAAAAAAGTACGAGGTCTGTGTGAGTAGCAATTTCCATATTGACCATGCTTGCTTGCGGGCCACGTTCGCCTGCCCTGATCTCTCTAGGGTTATCGTAGCTCGGGACAAACTCTCCTGCGTGGGCCTCGTATTCGTCGATCCGCATGCCTCGGGTCCAGAAGAGGCGCATCTCGCTGGGAAGGGAGTCAATGATGGAGAAGAACTGCGCTTCGGTACATTGGATATTGGAAAGCTCCAAGTTTTGAATAGATGGAAAGGACGTGAGGGCGTTATGCCAGACAACGGGGTCCTTGAAGTTGCGCCAGCAGAGTCCGCTGAAGAAGAGCGAGTGGATTTTACCGCACACAGTGGTCTGAAGATGAGTGAGAAGGATTGGGAGGTACCCGTCTTGGGAAAGTGTATCGGGCGTGGTCTCGATGAGGTCAATTTCAGTCACTTCAGAGGGGAAGTCGAGGAAAGCTTGGGCAATCATGTAGGCCTCGCGACAAGAGTAGCGCGCGCCGGTGCCGAGAATGAGTTCCGTGGCGATGAGCTGCTCCGTCATTTTTTCAAGGTAGTCGTCGTCCTGTTGACAGATACTTTTGAGCAACAGAGACGTCTACACGAATATATTGCGTACCATTTTTGATAGAATGACGAACATGATTTTTCTGAGTGCTCTTATAGCGAAGAGAACAATTGTAGTAGGCGGTGCGCGAATGAATCATACCGCCCTTGCAACATGTTGAAACACAGCTGACAATGTTAACGTCGTTCATTCCGTCGGAGAGCAATGAGTTAGACACCGAAGAGGCTAGGCTTCCGGGTATAGACAACTAAAAATCCTCAGATAGTTAGCACATGTAGAAACACAAAGAATTTATACCTAATACGAAAAATTATACGGAGAAAGAGCGGCTGGAAGGAGTGTAATCTCATGAATTTGACATTTCCATACCACCAAACGGAAGCAAATTCTTTCTTCGACAATAGTGATCACATCGCAACGAAGGTTAACAATGGTTCGAACAAAGCCATTGTTGCAGTCCTATGGTTAGTGTAAGGGGTACTGACGGCTAGCCATTAAGATACCGCGCTCGAGGAACTATTATCACTCGGCCTTCAGAACGTCCACCAGGTACCGTTCGAACGCATAAACGGATCGGAGAATTCAAGAAAGCAGTGACAGTGATTATCAAGCGTTGGTTCGGAAACAGCCGCTTGCTCCCGCTTGACGACGCGTCTCCGATCCGGCAACTAACTTTTATGTAACCGGCCGGTGACTCTGAGCTTTTCTCTTCATGCTTGGAAAAAAAAAAAATACGGCTATATTGTCAAGCTCTACACGAGGATTGCGGTTATCTATTGTTAATGTAAGGCAAGTCTCGGTAGGTGTTCATGTTGCGTATTTCCGTATCGCAGTAATGGACTAAGTAAAGTCACTGCTGGACAATGTTTGCTCTTATGTCTTGTTCACGTCTTGTGCGTGTATTGGATCCACCCGAATCTCTTCTGACGACATCAAGGCTGCTGAGGGCGACTAAAAGGCCAATATACCACGGGTCACTGTTCCATATGATGCCATGTCACCGAAGGCATCAAATCTGATACCTAACGGAAGAGTCAGTGACGCTTTTGGCTGGTGGCGGGGCATTGAACCGCAACTTTTGTTCTGTACGGCTTGGTATATGCCTCGAACCATCCTTGTATTAATCTGAAGGAATTCATTCCTAGTATTTTACACTAGGGCCTGCAAGGTACGCAAGGCTCGACATCTTATTTATAATCATTCACATGCTGATACCATTCAAGGGCAGGCTGTCTCTGACGTTATTAGAACTGTACGGGAGCAAACCGGACAATCACTGAGGGCTATGTGTTGGCGACCAATGGATGATATTCAATTGGGCGTCTACACAGCTTGGCACCAGACAAAACCTTCACCGCTCTCCTCCACTTCCAATGGAATTGTAGTATCTCTAGCTAGCGCACACGAAATATTCAAGCTACGCTTTCACCAGCTCGTTATCCTGAAGTTCTCCCGCGACAAGCGGCTATCTCACGTGAAGTGCACCCCTTGATATAGTTCTCATGAATACCTCCTGACCGGACTTCTCACATCAAGGCATTTGTATGGCCTTCGTGGAGCTTAGTTCATGTCCTGGGTAGCGAGAATGGTTAGTACTCGTTCCATGAGGACATCGTGACGCCAGTCATTCAAAAGGACCAAGGTTCGTTTGGTCTTCCACAACCTTCCGACCACTCTCCCTCTTCCGTTGTGTCGTTATTCCCTACGTGTACTCGTTCATACTTCTCCACTGCCTCATTTCTCAATGCCATCCTTTTTACTCCTTCCCCTTTTCGTCTTGGCATGCGTCGTTCGGAGATGCACCGCTCGTCAGCTCCCACCTGGACCTCGAGGGCTACCCTTTATTGGAAACATCCTGGACATGCCGACAACGAAACCCTGGTTGACGTTCGCTCGATGGAGTAAGCTCTACGGTCAGCCTTTCTTCCGCTGCAGAATTCGCTTCAGATGTAATAAGTTTTTTTTTTTTTTCGCTCTAGGGGATATCTGTTCGGTCACGGTCTTGGGTCAAACATTTATCGTAATCGGATCTTCTGATACCGCCGTAGATCTTCTGGCTAAGCGAAGCTCTGCTTATTCTGACCGACCTCATCTGACCATGGCCTGCGACCTTGCCCGATGGAATTTAACCATCCCGCTCATGTCGTCGGGTAACACACTAAGGACGCATCGAAGACTCTTGCACGGCTGTCTGAATGCCAGCATTGTCGACAAGTTTGCTGGGATCCAAGAGAATGAGGTGCGACAGCTTCTGAAGCGGTTACTGGAAGCACCAGAAAAGTTTCATAACCACAACGCTCGGTTAGTTACCGCGAGCAAGCCTTGAACTGACATCCATCTAATGAAGCTACAGTCTTGCGGCATACCTGAGCCTACGCATCGCGTATGGATACGACTCGGAAGTCAAAGAGGACCGGGACAAGCTGTTACAATTGGTCGAGAGAACAATGGCTGAATTTTCAAAGCTCAGTGCGCCTGGGACGTTTCTTGTGGATCAGCTACCATTTCGTACGCTTGAAATCCACTAGTGACTCTCGCCCACGCCTAACTACTTTCTTCCCCTAGTCCGGTTTCCACCTGAATGGCTTCCTGGTATGGGATTCAAGAGGTTGGCCCACGAATGGAGGAAGGATCTAGATGACTTGGCAAACGTCCCTTTCAATTTTACTAAGGGCCAGGTGGTGTGTTATCATGAGCAAATTGTTCAATGCTTATCAAGTAATAACATCTTCAGGCTGCAGGTAGAGAGAAGGAGTCGTTTGTCTCGGCTCTGCTTCACGAGAAATCAGCTGCGGAATACGACATCAAATGGGCTGCTTCAACCATTTATGGAGGTGAGCCATTACTCACTCAGTCAGCTTTGATTAACTCTGAATCGTGCAGGTGGAGGCGAAACAGTGAGCGTCCGCATGTAGGGACTCTTGTACTGCGTTGTTCATATTTTTAGACAACTGCAGCATTGGATGCATTCTTTCTGGCAATGGTTCTTTATCCATCGGTACAAAAACAAGCGCAAGAAGAGCTCGACTCCCTCTTGAACGACGGCGAGCGATTACCATCATTAAGCGACCGCGACAAATTGCCTTATATCAACGCGCTATGTCTGGAGGTTCTCAGATATCATAGTGTCGTCTCGACAAGTGTGTATCATGTCTCTCCGAGTCACCCGAAACGCCTGTTGAGCGTCCTCGTTTAGATATTCCTCATTGCACGTCGCAAGCCGACGTGTACAATGGGTATTATATTCCTAAGGGTTCCTTGGTAATTGCTAACATATGGTGCGTCCCCGATCATCACGTCAAGAAAACCGAATCGGACTCCCTGCCACAGGAATATGACACATGATCCCAAGGTATATCAAAACCCAATGGTTTTCGACCCAACGCGGTTTCTAGCGACACCCGAACATGTACCAGAACGGGATCCGAGGGATATAGCCTTTGGTTTTGGTAGACGGTGAGCTTGTTCATCTCGTCTTGCCAATGCTATGATTTTTGTGCTGATGGCGTTTCAGAATATGTCCAGGTTAGCGCGTTCGATGTGGTGTTCTTGGGAACGGAAGCTTATTCGAGCTGCAGGTCGATATCTAGCCAATGCGACAGTATTCATGGTCTGTGCCGTGGTCCTCAGCACTTTCGACATTTCGAAAGTCGAAGGGTCTGCCGAGCCTGTGCTTGATGCAAGTGATGGTACTATTAGGTCCGTCGATGAGTAGAGATGCTTCCGTTGACTAACTAGATTTGTATTAGTCATCCTGCTCCCTTTTTCTGCTCAATTACGCCTCGTTCTCGTAGAGCTGTCTACTTGATCAATATCACTAACTAATATTATTTTCATGAGTCATTCAGTGCCGCAGACAGTTCTCCCGAGTAACCGGAGTGCATGTCATCGGTGATCTCGGTTGTCGACAAGATGACTAGGAAGAAATTTTACTTCTGGCAAAATTCTGCATTTTCCTATATAGAATACAATGAACGGCGGCATGATACGCTATGGTCAGCTGTGTACCTGCAATACAAGATTAGTTAGCGATTCCTATCCGGAATAATGGGCTTACAGCCTCGATAATACACCTTTTGGAGTAAAGCATTGCGGTATGAACTGCATGATCATGCTGATTATTCATTTACTAGATCGAAGTGACTGCCGCATCTTGTACCTTGATCAATAATCAAGCAACAATTCAGGAATCATGGTGGTATCGCGGCGACTCAGCACTACATGAATAACAGCTAAGGCAGCTTGATGGCGTGGGCGTAAAGAACACATGCATAACAGCCATCTGCTTACGCTGTGCACATCATTCCAAAAGAAAACGCTTATTCATTTGACATAGCATTCGACTCAATAATCACATCCTGATATCTAGGTTCTTCACTACCCTCGCCTCGATAATTTGTTGTGATCTATCTCATACTAGATGTTTGCATCTTCGCTGGAACCGGCATGTCGTTTCCCGGAGCTTCTGAGTACATGTCACGATGTATGTCTTGAGGATCGCGAATCTCATTCTGACCCATGTGGCCAATCAGTAACTTCTGGGTGATCAGTGTAACATGCACCGGGTACCCCCAACGTCTATTTGTCACGGTTGCCAAGTGTGTTTAATCGTTCTATATAAGGCTCGGTTGTAGTGGGTCATTTTAGGCCCTAGTCATCTCCTCTACTCGTAGGCCAACCCAGCTTGTCTTACCACGCTCTTCATTGCCCCAATTAAATCAGACTCTCCTTCACAGGGTCATCCTCTCGGATCTCCTTGTGCGCACGGTAAATCTTCAAGCTACAACGAGCTACAATGAGTGTCGCCAATTCGGATAGTACTACCATAATTCCGTAAGAATCACTCTTTCCCTTTTTGTTCAATAATTTTACGGTACTGACTGGAAAACACACACACACTCTCATATGTATGAAAGTGAATTTACGCTGCCAGTGCCTGGATCGGACCTATCAGCAATTTCTATATCAACTCAAGTCATCGAGATTACGACGACTCTTACTGTTACAGAGCAAGTCTTATCAAAACTTTCAGTGTTGCCGAAGAGCGCTCAACTCTCAGCATTTCCAGTGCTGTGTCCGTCCTTTCGATGTAACACCCGTTTGATATGTCTTCACACCTCCAGTAGAACGCTGACCACTACTCCCCGTTCGCCTGACTCTCGACAGACCCATTCGTAAGTCGAGCACAAACACTTCCAATAGAACATTGACCACCGTTACTCTCAGTTTGTGTTCTTTTCTCAGGCAAATTTCTTCGCCAAACACAAACACTCCCGATAGAATGTTGCCCACTTCACTGAGTTCGCCTTCCTCTTCACGGGCCTATCCGTAAGTCAAACATGTTTCTGGTGTCGCGATTTCTCATCAAGCAGCCTTTAGTTTAGCACAAACTAACTCTTCTCATGGGACAACTCCAGTGGTGATCATTTTCAGTGTCATTGGATCATTAGCTGCTGTCGTTGCTCTTACTCTGTTTTTCTTCCTCTGGAAAAGACAATATCGCAACAAGGCAGGAAACGGTGCTAGTGGTGATATTGGCCCGACTACTGTTGTACCTGATACAGTCCTTACTTCCACCTTACCGTCATTTCGCTCCCAGAGGACCGAATCCATCTTGACCGTAGAATCACTTGTATCCGACTCGTCTCCCCTCTGGGGGACGACTTTCGTGCCCCATCCAACCCTCACCCCCTCCGCACGGCCAGGATCCATCGAACCCCGCGTATCTGAGTCACCTCCACTTCCGAGAAGGCTATCTCAGTCTTCTCGAAACGCGTATGAAGAAGAGATAGAGCGATTACGACAACGAATCAGATACATGGATGAGCAGATGGAAATCATGCACGGTAGCTCTCCACCACCGTCTTACCACACACGTAGGAGCGGTATTTCAGATCGTTTTGGTTCTTCAAGTTCCCTGTCACTCCCGCCTCTACCCCCACTACCTTCGCCGCCGATGCGGTCTCACCCTCATGTTGGATAGGGTATCGAGTTGAATTGCGCGTCATCGGTCATCTTATTGCATGTGAGAAATGAGACGGACATACAGACACCTAGAGAACGACAATACAAAATGACAGATGGGCGTCAGCGGTTGATAAACAAGTAAGGGAGGAGTTCAGCTTAACATCTGGTATCTCGATCAAATGAAAGTATAAATATCGCAATGCCCAGTGTAGCAGTCGTTCCTATTTGTAGTACCCGGAATAACGTTTGTTTAGCATTAGAGGAAATAACCAAAATAATACATTCAGCACCCTTCTCTCGCTCGACACTGATCATATCGGTAGAAGTAGAGAAATCGAACGAACTGTAAATTCAGATTCGAGGAAACGATATAAACGGGAAATCCTACGTCTGTATGTGACGCTGATTCTAAGGACACTGAGTATCCTGGTAAATCTGAGTTGGAAGCACTAGAGACAACATCAGAATGACTTACATATCAATCACATATGACATACGTGAAGCAAAGTCAAAGAGCGCCGATACCTTGGGGCGAGCATACATTAAGATCAGCATAGATCAATAGATAGAACATATACTATTTGCAATTATGCTCAGTAATAACCGATTGCCCAGAAGGTATGACCGCAAAAACGGAGTCATCAGTATCCTTCAACGAAACTGTAGGCTACAAAAAACAAATCAGTCAGATGTTTGGGAGAAATTAGACGGCGGAAAGCCACCTTTATCCCAGTGAACGGAACGGCATCTCCGTCCTTACGGCGAAAGAGCGCGTAGAGACCACATTCTTCCCACGTGATCTTCAATGACTCTGAGACGGCATTTGCCACAGTCGCCGTGAGCTTGAGATTGTCAGTACTGGCGACATTGGTCGCCGGTTCATAGAGTACTTCTTATAACAATTACTTGTGGTGGCCGCGATGCTTTGACTGGGTGAAAAGGCCAGTTAAAATCTATGACTTTCCATGATCCGGTCCAGCCATTGAACGTTGAAACGTTGAATACCTGATGCGATATGAATCATTGTCAAAATTGATGATGGTGGCTGAAGCAAAGGCATGAAATCATTTGAATTTCATATCAACGCGTCAACGCGTCAGTCACGTGAATAGGATGCTTGGCCGTGTTTGCCTTCTCAATTTCTGCCCTTTCCTTCTTCTTTCTCGTCGACGATGCAAGTGTTCGACAACCTCTGATTAGGCCTACTGGTGCTTGCGATACTGGTTTTTCGGCATGGAAGACGCAGGTGAACGACTCGGGATGAGGTTGGACTACCTTTGCACGGCAGCTGCGGTGCATCTCTGTATGCTATAGCCTGGTACAGCAATACGTGCGTGATTTTTTAAATCTTCTGATGGTCTTACCTTCGAGTCTTGTACTTCTAGCATATATGCACTTTGAGTTCACTTGTTTTTCTCCGACCTATGTTCTTGGTGCCAGCAGGTCAGAAACTGTGATAGAAGGATTATTCTGCTGTCCACGAGGTCATTTGTTACTGCACTGTTTTTGGCTGTCGAGCGTGGAATCCGGCTTGGATGGTACGTCTGCTCTTGCTGTCCCTCCTTGAAGACTGCCTGATGGTTCTTTGTATAGTTACACCCTTTACGAAGAGGCTGAAGGATCCTAACAATAATGCTGAAGGAGCGCTTCCTGGCAGCTCATTGACGTGATGATCTTTCTAACACGACCGAGATGTGAGCATTTATTGTTCCGTCCTTTCTTGTCCTCATTGAATATGTGTCGCTAGCATGATTGCCTCCCAACTGCCACCTTATTGTTTCTACCATCTTCGTGACGTAGCTCGCTGCTCTGCCTTGTGAACAGCAAAATCTTCAGTACCATCCTAAGCGGATGCGATGAACATGGCAAGGGCGGTTGCATCGCATCGATGTAGCTTCAGCTGTGCAGATTCAAGCACGATAACTCGAGCCTTTATCACCGGTAGTCCCTACCAAGAAGCAGATCAAGGGCTGTGGGGTGAGCATTTCTCTGGCATTTGCGTGTTGCTGTTCACCAACAGATATCTAGGCCTAACAGAGCAGAAAGCCAGGGAGAGGTCCAACGCTATCTCACCCATACATACCACCCTCGTCAATAGAATGTCATCAGGACTTTAAGCTTTGTTCTAGTTCATAATCCGATCCAATGAAGGCACCAGCGGGAGGAAGCACCAATGCCATCGATGAGTGAAGAAAGCGTACAAGCCAATAGGGTTAGGATAGCACGCCATTGAAACGACATTCTCAACTGTGGTACCACTTGGTGTGAAGAAATGCGTCCGAATTGTAAGTTGTCTGTGCTGTATACACGACTCCCAAAAAGAGCGCTTATCATGTAGTGACATACGAAACAATAATCATATCCTGATATCTCGGTCCTTCACAACTCCCGCCTAAAACATTTGCTCGGATTCATCTCGTAAGACAGTTTCATCCTCGGTGGAACCAACGTGTCAGTGTACTGGGCACCCAAGGTATGCATCATAGGATGGCTTGCGCGTGGTGTAGGATCTGAGATATTACTATTAGTACACTATCTTTCAGCTTATAGATCGCAAGCTACGAAGTTTTCTTTGATCTATGTAGTCCATCAGTAACATCTGGATGATCAATGTGGCTCGTCGTCGAGTCGCCGTTGTCAAGTGTTTCCAGTCATAGTATATAAATGCTCAGTTGTGTGGAATCATTTTAGGTCCAACCAGCTTATCTCGCCACTCTTTCCAGTTATTTTCGGTCTTCCTCGTAAACCCGATAAATATCTCCACAATGAGTTTCATAAATGATAGTTTGACTACGATGTAAGAAACACCCTAACCCTCTTGGTGATGAGACTTCGGTACTGACCAGCGAATCACCCCCTCTCATAGACTTCAGTCCACGGCCACGACCTCCTCGGATTTAGTGTTGTCCACAGTGACGAGAATTATTCCACTGTAAGGCCAACCATCTCGTCTTTCGCAATCTAAATATTAAACTATTGATAAAAATCACATAGAACATCTACTTCATCAACCAGCGACGGCGTTGGAGTCATGGTTACTAGTCCAGAAATTACCCACCCTTCTCCAGGGGTAATCGCTGGCAGTGTTATCGGATCCTTGGCCTTTGTTGCTGTTCTCGCTCTTCTTTTCGTCTTTTGGCGACAAAGGAAACATCGCAAAAGGACTGGTAACAACACTGGTGATGATACCGGTCCGACGAGTGTTGTACCTGATCGGACTAGCATGTCACCATCACCATCCCCCTCTGTGCGGACGATATCCATCTTAACTACCACTTCTGTGGCATCAGACCTCCCGAGGAGACTATCTCAGTCTTCTCGAAACGCGTACGAAGCAGAGATCGAGCGGCTACGGCAGCAGATTAGGTACATGGAAGAGCAGACACAGTTTATGCAGAGTGCTACCCCACCACCATCTTACCGCTCTTCACGTAGGAGTGACGTTTCGGATCCTTTCCTTTCTTCGTTGACACTGCCACCGCCATTACCTTTGCGCGAGACTCACCATTGATGCAGTTTTGTCTTCTTTGTATCGGATGAACTTACAAGTTTCTTCCCCTTTCTACTCTGGCAGTAGGGCCCAAGCGCCCACTAATTAGGCTGTACCTCGTAAATACGTCGTAGATATGTAGACGCGTGATAGCTTACATGGATCAAGGATCATTGTTTCTAGATGATTCTGAGAGTAGTCACCACTGACCAGATCGCTGTCGTGTGGTCCGTTATATGCCATGTTTGTTATGGATATCGGTACCTGCCGGTATGTGTGAGTCAACACATGCCTTCACTCGGCCTTCTCGGTCTTTGCAGTGACCGGCTCGTACTTTCTCTTGCTTTCTCTAACCTTCTTACTTCTACCAGAATATGCTAGAACATTGTAGAATAGGAATACTTGAACTCCAGTATATAAACATCATCAATACTGTTGTATTAGAATCAGAAGCTATCAACTCACCTTTAAACCTCCACAGTCCTTGTGTGAACATAAGTGATCAAGATCGGTTACGCTTAGCGCTTGCCGTTCCACTCGCTTACCGACTACGCTTAGCGCTCGTTATCAAACTCACGGATCCCTCTTGGTAATTGGACTCAGCTTACGGACACCCTCGCCCTGAACCAGGCTTTCTTCGAGTACTTACCCACTCGTATATTAGCTTGACTGCCCATATTCGTAACAATGTTACGGTTATGTCCGAGATGCACCATCCCGCCACTGCGCGGTAAGAGTCTGTTCCATTCTGATATACCGCGCTTGGTATTGAGGGCGTAATGCTTCGAGTTTCCGACGTAGATGTAAACCTCTGAGTCGGTAAGACCGGGTATGTTCCATTCCTGCGGATAATCGTGCCTGAGGTATGCTGTAGTAGATAGTAAGCAATGACGGGGGATCGTTCCTGAATGCTCGCAATAGTTTGGGGTCTGAGCGTTCTCTCCGACCAGCCTCGTTTTGGAACGGATTGCTTGCGAGGCCTGAAATTGATTGCAGGTGATAGTGGGGCAAATGGCAGTGAAAACTGTAGATGCTGCTAAGAAGGCCATTACCAGCCGAAGCCTTCAGGAAAGCAGATTTTCTAGGAAATTGTCGTCATGCATAACAAGTGTTCTCCGACTTAGCTTCCTTACCTTTTTGCTCCATAACCATATCTCACTGTGAGTTGGGATATGTGAAGCAGGTAAGATAAGAAGTATACTTTAGTTCGCACTTCTTTTATACACTCGGATTTGTGACGGCTGCCCTGTTCCGGTTTCTCATTAATACACGCAACGTCAAGGAGCCTCATCGTCAGAGATTAACTCAAGTCTGATCAGGTTGGCGTCACAACATCCGGAATCATCAAGCTCTTCCATTTGGTGCACATCAACACGACACGATATAACTCCAGATTACTACGTGCCAAGCCATCTAACCGCTGGTAGCAAAACCTTGGAAGTACAGTGTTATACCGGCCAGTGAGACGCTGAAATGGAAATCGGCATCGGAACAATACTAAATGGGGTCTGATTGGAGATCGGACCGCACCATTCGCACCGTAGGTATTTCCTGCATAAGATATGGTATAATTGAGGATGCGTTGTGTGCGAAATTATAGTGCGATAAGCTTATCAGTACAAAAAGTCAAGATCAGTCACAAAACCACCCAGTGAGACATCACAGAATTTCTATATCAGGCAGGACTTTAGCGGAGAGTCACAAGCGTCACACGTCTCATTGGCTTGATCAAATTTTAACACTAGCACACTCACTGGATGCGAGCTCCTTTAGGAGCAAAAAGTATCGGAATATTTCTCTCTTAGTCTTATAACTATTGTTTTGTAAACTCCGGGACCAAATGTGGTGTGGAGCGCCTACCCGAAGCCATCGTCTCACTGACCGGTGCTGTCTCACTGGCCGGTATAACACTGTAACGATTATCAGGAAACTGAAATCGCGTCGAAGAGGTTTCATGTACCAAAACTAGACGCCGTATGCAAGCACCTTGTATGGAGATCCTTCCCCAGGTTGAGCGTGCGTCTCCGGAATGGAACCACTAGCTTCAGTAGCCGGATTATCTACAGACAAGACGAGGTTAGTGCGCCTGCTACAAAAATGATCTGCCCAACATACCATTTGTCGCAGAGACCGGTGTCAACGGGACTGCCGAGACATTGGGTGAGAAGATAGCGAGCATGAAAATGCAGGCAATAAGAGCTGAGGCGAATTTGGTAAACATCGGGATTATCGGTGAGATTGTGGGTGAATATTGCTAACAACATCCCAGGCTGAGAAGACTTTTTATACAGAAAGCGCACCGAGGGCTCTCCGATTGATATCGCGATGAGCGATGCGATGGGAGCTCACAGAGATCCAGAGCAATGTTTCCGTCAGTAGCTTGAGGTCGCAGAGGTTCACAGCCGAGATGGCTATGTAGACTAAAAGATGATGACCGTTCATTTCCCTCTGATAGTTACGTCCAGGCGCTATCTGGAATCATTGCTTCATCAAACCTCCTGGATACTCCTCATCGCATCTCCAAAAGTTGTCCGAAGCGCTCCTCGGAGTTGATAGATACCAGACGATGAAGATGCAATGGCCCTGCACCAGCAATTCCTGTCAGAGGACTCTAAATGATCCCTAGATCACAACAGTCAACTTGACTCCTGTGCAGATCTAAGCTGTATGCTATTGCATGCTCAGTTAGCTTCACATACACAGCACAAGGACTGATACTCACCTGTCACAGGGTTATTACGCGAAAAGAAGCAATGCAAGTATGTAATAGAAGAACTCATAGTGCGGATCCGTTTTCTACTCATCGATGAACGTCAATTTCTGACACCGGCGCTTGCTTGGTGTTCGTGTTGGTACTGGTACAAGGTCCCAATAAGGAACGGCATGGTACAGGTATCATTGCAGGAGTACGAAACAGCTCAAAAAGTTTCACTGTCTCCGTTCCGCCTCTAGCACTAGCCCAGCAGATGGCGAGAGACCCGTACAGGACCGATGAGCCTGCTTCATAGCTGTGGTTTGAACAAGTTGTAAACGCTGCAGTTCATATCGGTGCTATAGCGTACGGTGAGTTTCACTTTTTGAAGCAGTAAAGCCTCACTTACTTCCGCCTCGCATCAGTTGTAACTTGGACACGGCTTCTCTTAGTCTCACAGTAATTGAAGCGAAAGAAGAGGTGGTAGATGAACGAGATGTCGGCATATGTGAATGAAGATCGTACAGGTGAGTCTTACTACACATGACGAGACCGATAGGCGAAACCTAACTTGTCTACATAGACGCATTTCGACCGGACCCGGCCATGAATCGATCCCGTGGCTGGCATCAATGTTCGCAGTCTCTTTCATCCTACGGCCGAGGAAACGAAATAACTCGGACCGGATCTTCCCCATTGCGTGCATGGGCAAGGATCGCAGTACTACAGAACAGCAGTGCTTCCTCTTTTTTCTCCGTTGACTATCAGCGGTTATGATAACCCAGACATCACACGTTCCTGAAAGACATAGTTATGGAGTGAATCGGGGTGGATGGAAGGAGACGAACTTACCTTGGCGAGCGTCTGATTGTCTGTGTCTTTACAAAGGTGAAAACGAGATCGACTCAGCGTCGGGAATGGGGGTCTGACAACAGTACTGTCTATGCTACAGTAACATCCTAGAATGATTTCAGTCTCGCACTAGCGCGAAATAGAAAGAATCCAACCTTTTTCAGTAACGGTATCTTTTAGCTATGCTTAGAGCCGTCCCTTCGTCCAGTGCATACATATGCCGCCATAGCCGGCAAGCCTGTATCTCTTCGAGCTGTCAGCGGAAATTTTCGAGAAGTGACGGAATTTCGTCACCGTGCTGCAGTGAAACAAGGAAGGTATGATGGGTCTAGTACTTCCTAGGGCAGGAGAAGTAATTGCTCGTGGACACGGCTTCACGTGATAGTGAAATACGTCGAGATTAGATTTCACGAAATCAATGACACCGGCCATGCATGGAAACTCTGCAGTGAAATAAGGCGAAATTGGCGTGTATAAGAAGTATCTGACCTTTAGCAGTAACGTCCATCCTGAACTACTGATTGCACGTGCGCATATGTCTTCGCGGTGTACGCTACCCAGACATATTGTCCGACGATGAACAAAGGTGTAGCAAAAACAGGCAGGACAGACTGACTATATGACGGCCTGCTACCACCGACCAGGCCGAATTTGTTCATGATAGTTTTAGGCGAGGGTCAGGGATACCAGTCGCGAGCAGCCTCAGTGACGCTTTGCTGTCGACTGGCAATTTGTCGCCCGTACAGCGATCAACAGATTCCGTTCGTCACCAAATATACCTAGAATTGAACGTAAGAACAGCGAGGAAAGGAAGAGATAGGCTTTCTCACTCCAAACCATCGTCCAAACTAGCTTCCAAGTCCTTCGTCGCCGTCGTATGTCAGCAGATAAATGTTGCAGACACATTTATGGAACGATATTGTCACGATTCGCACGACGGACGCGTGAAGGTGATGGTAGGGAAGGAAGCCGTGTTTGTTTGTTGACGTCGCCAAACAACCTTTGCCATCGACCACTACGAACGACTTCAACCTTCAAAGCTTCATTTCTTCACGCTGCTACGCTCTGGTTCCTCATGGCTGTTCATCTAGCACAGCTTTCAACGACTTCTGGTGCTTCCATCTTTGTGTATTCTAGCGATTCTCTGGTCGGAGCGTGCATCGACAAATTGGGCCTGCCTTGCCTGGCGAGCGACCAAGGTGGATGTCAATTTCACGATGCTTTATTGGACCACGCTCTACACGAAGCCTTTGATCAGCTTCACTGAAATAAATCCAGGATGTGTCATAAGAAAAGGATCAGACCGTTTTACCTTGGCTAGCTATTCAGAATTCCGTCCATCTGGAGGTCCATAGAGTACTTCTTGTTACGATTAAGTACCTGTGGTGGCCGATGATGCCTTGACTGGGTGAAAAGATCACTTATATGCAGATTCTTCTTGATTCCGGAGAAATCATTGAAAACCTGGTGCGATATGAATCGTTGCCAAAATTGATGATTGTGGTTGAAGCGGAAGAAAATTTCATATCGACGCGTCGACGCGTCAGCCACGTGAATCGACTGCTTGGCCATGTTTGCCTCCCTCAGTTTCTGCCCTTTCTTTCTTCTCTCTCGTCGACGACGCAAGCGTTCGATGACCCCTGTTTTTCTCGCTTTTATTTGATGGCCTCTGAGCATGGATTTGGCCTGTTGGTGCTTGTGCTGCTGTTTTTCATCATGCGAGGCGTGCTAATGACTTGGAGTGCAGGCGAACAATGACTCAGGATAGGTTGATCTGCCTTTGCACAGGCATCCTGCGGTGCATCTCGGTATGCTATAGCCTGATACAGTAATACGTGCGTGATCTTTTTTGTTTTGGTGGTCTTACCATTGAGCCTTGATTCCTAGCATATATGCTCTTTTTCTTCGACATGCGCTGTTGGCGCGAACACGTCGGAAACTGTGCTAGAAGGATGCGGAGGATTATTCTGCTGTCCATGAGGCCATTTTTTACCGCACTTCGTTGGGCTCTCGAGCGTGGAATCCGGTTTGGATGGTACGTCTGCTACCGCTGTTCCCCCTTGATGATCTCTGACGGTTCTTTGTATAGCTACATCATTTGCGAAGAGTCTGAATGATTTTAATGACAATGCTGAAAGAGCGCTTTCACCTTATCGACGCGATGATCTTTCAAATACGTGTTAGTCGTTCCGTATTTTTGTCCCCATTGAGTGTTGCTAGCATGATTGCCTCCCAACTGCCACCCTACGGTTTTTATAAGCTTTTTGACATCGCCCGATACTCTTCCCCATGAACAGTTTTGCATACCCCGAGTATTCTCCTAAGCAATGCGACGAATGTAGCATCAGATCAAGCTTGAGGGAGTGGAACAAATAATTGCACAACCAGGCAGCTTCAAGCACGGTGACTTGAGCCTTTAGAGCTTTACCGCCGGTAGTCCCTACTCAAAAGCAGATTAAGGGCTGTGGGGTGAGCGGTTCTCTGGTATTTGTATATTGCTGTTCACCAACGGATATCTAGCTCAACGAGAAGTTAGGGAAAAGTCCAACGCTATCGCACTCATACGTACCACCGTTGTCAATAGAATCTTATCAGGACTTTAGAGATTTCCAGTGGCATCAACGAGTGAACAGATTGTAGATGCGAATCCTAACCGGCAGTGGGCCCGATTCCGGTTAACCGAATTTAATGGTTTTTCTTCAACTTTCGCTCGATTATGGTCGACTTGAGCACTGAGAACTGAGTATTGAAGTACTGAGGGACGAAGTCAAGGTAGCGAACTGAACCCTCTGTGCTTCATATAACTATCTTATCAGGACTTCGCAGCCCCACTCGCCGGTTGCTCCATTGTACTAGAGTGCTGGGCAGTTCGCCCCTTATATCATGTACGTATACTGAATTCATTCGGATCTCCGGTGACGTGGAGCCTGTCCGACGACCTCGCGGTAGAAACTAGAATATGCGATCGGAGCGACGATGTAAGTTTGGATTCAGCGTCTAGGCCTAGGAGTGAAGAAGGTTAATAAGCAGTCCACTGCAGCGCAGGCGGTTTTTGCTAGACTCGTTGAAACATGAAGCTACCAGGCATTTTTGTGGGCTTCTAAATAAACGACCAACCTCATAGCAAAGTACAATGGCATGAAAAACAGATAAGTTGACAGGGATTTTTGTCCTAATGCCGAATCTCGTTGACCTTTTTATAACCCTCGCAGTGGTCACAGCCAGTATGAGTGTCTCTTGGCTAATTTAAAGCCCATATGTGCTTGTTTCATTCAAGGGATGAAATCTGATAAAGAACGGGAAGGGAGGTAAGGCACGCACCCTAAGTCAGGATCAATACTGTCAGTCACGCAGGTGGAGGTAAAACAGTAAGCATCCGTATGTATAGACTCCGATGCTGCGCTAATAACACCTTTTCTGAACAGCCCTGATTAAGAGCTTCCTTGACACCATCTTGCGACTGTCATATATGGACCCGCTATGTCTCGAGGTCTCGGATACCATAGTGTCATCCCCTCAAGTATGTTTTATGTATCTCTGAGTCTCCCGAAACAACCGTTGAGTGTCCTTGCTTAGATATTCCTCATTTCGCATCACAGAATGACGCGTACGATGGATATTCTATCCCTAAGGGTGCCTTAGTAATCGCTAGCGTATATTGAGTTCCCTTCAAATATCCCACCGAAACTGGATTAGACTTCCCGCCATAGGAATATGACAATACCAAGGTATATCACGGCTCCGCAGGTTCCAGATGTATTGGGACAGGGTCCGAGAGAAATAGCATTCAGTTTTGGTCATTGATCCGATTTTGTTTTAGAAGATTCCAGGTTAGCACATCCAATCTGATATACTTGGGAACGAGAGCATATTCGAACGTCGACAAGCTGTGCACCTGGAAGGCAAAGCCAGCGGCTCCTAGATGATGATGGACGTAACATTCACACTCGTTCTGGAGTTCCCCTTGCCGTGGGCGTCCATCCATATATATATAAGTATTCAGTTGTAGTGGGTCATTCTAGTACAGGTATATCCTCTACTTGTAGGTCAACCCATCCACTCTTACCCGGTTCTTCAATGATCCGATTTTGGTAGACGACACTCTCCTCCATACCATCATCTTCTTTGCTCTCCTTGTGGGCACAGCAGGTCTCGCCACAATTCAGTGGTAATACTTTAGGACTCACTGGTGAACCGTCTCTGTCACAGACTTCAGACCACGACCATCATGACCACAACCATGGCCACGTCCACAGCACCACTACTGTAAGGCCGACCATCATCTTTCCTTCATATCTAATTAGTAGTAATTATTGATAAAACGTTTATAGAGTGTCTATTCCAACAACTTTAACGACTTATGAAAGTGCTATCAGTACAGTCCTACTGTAAGTCTTATCAACAGTTTCACACACAACGCCTAGAACAGTCCTTTCTCATGTAGTATATCTAGTCTAGGAACCAGCGATTTCGATAGAGTCGATAGAAGTATCAAAACGGGGAAGATAATCATTGCCAGCGTCTTCGGCTCAATTGCTTTCTGTATTTTCTTCACTATATTTTTCAGCCTCTGGCGACAAAAATTTCGCAAGAGGGCTGGTAACAACACCGATGGTGACATTAATCTGACAACTATACAAGATCTGGTTCCTATGCACATGGATGGGGAGGGATTCATGCGCAGAGGTTCCCCACCACCCTCTTATCATGAATCCTTGCACAGGTGTGATATGCCAGGTCCTTCCTTCACACCGGTGATGCCACCGCAGCCATCACATTCATATTCGATTCAATGATTCAGTCCCATCTTCTTTGTGGGCTGGATAGAATGTCATTGTTTGTATATTCTAATATGTATATTCTATGTGTTGTTTAAATTTGGGAAGTCCAGGGATACAGACAGCTGCCATACACAAACCATACAATGAGCCAAGATAGCTTATTTGAATGTTGAACTGCTCGTCTGTGTCGAATTGAACATAGGCTTGTGCTTTTCAGACCAGCATAGCTGCCGACTATCCCCTTCTCAACTAGCTTACTTGCGACCAGTTAGTATTACATCAGTTTTCTTCTACTGTGCTTACTCCCTCCCACAGCGCTTATACCGGAACTCAGCTTTGGCAGTCGCTGGTAGTATTCGCTAATTTTATTTGCCTTGAGGAGTCCACTAAATTGCCACCTTGGTGACTACCTGGCTCGCCGTTGGATAAGTATTAGTCCACGACTTATTGATTTAAATTGAAGAGTTGAAGCGTTTAGGTGCGCCCATCAAGTCTTGCCACTCAGGTCGGTTTCTATATGATCAGTTGTCATATCGCGTGCTGTAGCCTGGGCCATTAAGAATCCAGCGATAACAACGTCAAATTTCTCAATAAGATGACCAACGCCATTCCGTCCGCAACTACAGCCCTAGTTTCCGTGATCTGAGTAAGTTATCGATGATAGGTTCCGAGCCTTGGTATCTAAGAATGGTTCCAAATTTAACGTCGCCATCAGCCAGAAGAGGTAAACGGGCATTCAAATACGGAAACATCTTGATCACTATCCAGCAGCTTGGCGTGAACCTTCTCAAGCGGCCGTAACACTGTCGTCCTACCCGGAACTTCTCGAATTTGAGAGACGACCAAGAGGTCGATGCACCTATCAGCGTACGTTCGCCTCTGAGTCAAGCTCTTCGCGCCGAAGTTAAACCAAAGGAATCGCCGGTTGAAAACTTGAGAGCAATTTCAGGGCCATCGTTGGTGAGGAGCCTGATTGTCCTGCAAGCTATTCAGCCCGGTTAAACGTTACACTTTGGTTGGGCCTCACCAGATTCATATCCGATGACAATGAGGACGGACGGAGGAGTACTATTTAATCATGATGTCAGATACGTCCTCTATCCATTGCAGCTTAATTAGCGGTCGTCTACCGCACGGCATCATGGTTAGCAGCAGCTGTCCGCTCATTTCCGGTCTCCTTTCCTGGTTTGCTTGCTCCCACATCTCCCTCCATTGTGATTCTGATTCACCTGTCTTGTCCCGAAACGTGTCGAAGAGCCCGACTGAGATGTCTACGGGGAACGAGATAAAATTGAGGCAAATCACACCCACAGCGTCGCTCCCGTGTTCCTGGGAAAACCTCCTCTCTTGTGCAGTGATGTGCTCCTTTTCGGTAAGATAGTAGCATTGCACGACCCATCTAACATAGTGATAGTCTCGTGGTCTGGGATCTTCTGGGTACCCTTCTAAATGAAATATTAGGTACGAGTAAAATGGCACAAAATTTTGAACGTACCCTTCCGGCGTTTCTGCTGTTTCACACAGAATGTTTTGTGGTTTTCTGAGAGCTTTTGGCATGACGTGGAGCAGAATTCGGACCCACAACCCGTACATCGTAACAGTCGTCTAGTTGTGTGTGGCACGCGCGGAATATTACACTGAGGGAAACGAAGTCAGGATCAGTTAGTAGGTTGCAGTTCTTGGACATACCGCTGTATTCATGCAGATGCTATACTCCTCTTGTCGAAATGTACAACGGCACCCCCAACGCTCATCCACTGCATTGCGGAGCTGCCGCCATTTCTCCACCAAAAAACTAGTATCCCGATCTCCCGGATCGTCATTCAGGAAGGAGAAGTCGATATGCCTCAAAGAACGATATGTAGGTCGTAAGACGGACCGCCATATGGTGTTTATGGTGAGGAGCTCAAATAGCCTGCGAACTGCGAGCATATTGAGATCTTGGGGCAACGACAGAAGGTGTCCATTTTTCGAAAACCACGCCAGTGATACGATGATCCGGTTCTCAACAGCTTGTATGATCCATTCGGGGGCACCTTCTAATGCGGGGGCGAGGTATGCGAATGAGACGGTGAGATGCTGAGCGGCGCGTTGCATTTCTTCTGGATACTTGTCAAGGTAGTGACGGATGTAGGTGATAAGCCGGCATATCCAAGGTATGGATTGCTTTAGCAGGGAATTCAAGCGAAACTGATTGTTTTCTGTGCAGAGAAGGAAAAACATGACCATGTTGTTCCGCAGCACGTCCCAAGGGAGGGGAACAGGGCGTTCTTGAACGAAGGAAATGATCCGGAATAGACAGTTCATGAGACGAGGCATGGGGATGGCATTGATAGTGCGGGATATATCGCCAAAGACTGCTTGGTCATCATCCTGTATCCATTTTCTAATGGCAATATACAGAAAGTTGCAGACTGGAACGTGCTCTTCAACGGCGACTATCCAAGCATTCGTCAAATTGATGAGCAGTCCCGGGAATGAGATAGCGAGGGTCCTCTTGACTTCATCTAGGGAAATCATTTCGTACATGTATTGTACCGCGTAAGTTGGCGTGTTCGTAAAGTAATCCAGGTGATCGGAGGCGACAGACTTTACAAAATCTGCATATTCGACAACAATGTGATGCATGATATACATGCACCATGGAGCAAGTCGAGGCCAAAATGTCATGACCTCACGATGTATGCGTACATCTGTACGGAATTGCGATGACTGTGATACGATACGATATATTCCGCGAATACAGACATGTATTTTCAGGAGCATCGAAGAATGGGTCACTCGGTCAAAAGTACTGGGTATGGAGAACTGAGAGAGGTAGACGTCAACCAGATAGATTATTCGGGGTATGTTAATTGGCGTTTCAAGAATGATATCCATGAGATCCTTGATCTCGGAGAGGCTGGCTGCAGTTCCGCCAGTTAGGGTGCTCGTTGGATATCGCCTTCGCTGAGCAGCAAATAAGTTAATGCTACATAATGGAAACTTTCACCATACCATTCTGCGGTTCATGACTGCAAATTTAGCAAAATGCGACGGTGGTGGTTGGAGAGAAGTGCTGTTTCCGACCCGCGCTTGTGACGCGACATCACGTGCATGTTGACAAATGCCGTCGGCATTACATCGGTCCGCTGTTCCGTGCTAAGTGCTCGGTTTGAATATTTCCTGAGGTTGTCGTACAACCACGCTGTACAGTCACTTGTATGGCCTATTTCATTACAACCGCACAAGTACGAGACGTTGATAAGAGCTGTTGGAAGACAGAGTGGCCTTCCTCGTGTTTCCTTCGTGGCACGGCAACTTGGTTCCCATGTCATTCCAAGGACCATGAGAATGCTCGCACGTCGAACCTGAAACAAAGGGAATACAAGGCAAGGAATATTGCTTCAACCTGACATTCAGCCGTAGCATTCCAGTAGAATGCTGGGAGCGAAACGAAGCAATGAAATCAAATTTGAACTCCCCGTTCAAAAACAGCATGGTTAGCCGTTCTTCATCGCTACAGAAATGAAGGAGTAAAGACAACCGAGAAGATCTTGTAGCTTTGGTCGTCAAGCATTTTGAGTCGTCATGTCCGACGCGTCGCGATTGGGCCGTCCGGCGCGTCCACTGAGTTACTACGTGACCGTGAGACTCGTTTCCTTCCAAATTTGAATTTGAAATCCTCATGCCGTCGCTTGCAATGGCCTAGTTACGTTACGCTTCTTGCTTATTTTTCGCACTGTGCTTTCTGGGAAATCTCCGTCGCGGGGGACTCTAGAACTCTCTTCCATTTTGCGTCCGTTTGTACATACAAAGCATATAGGGTCAAGTGGTCTACGCCGTCTCGAAGTCTTCCAATTCACTACTGACATCTACTTTTTTGACGGATTCGGTATTCAAGCTTTAATTCCGAAAAACATAGGCAAAATCCAAGAAGATGTACTATACGGATTTTTCCGTCCTCAATTTGTTTCCCTGTGTAGGTATAAATTGATAACGGATCGTGTTTTCATTAAAGTCCCAATCGAACTATAATCCTTCGACCCTTGCTAAATACCGAAAATAGCGGGGACCTCATCGATATTTGCATGCTTCCTTGAGCTCCGAAAACCATCAATCTGAATATTGAATGTTGACATCATCTTGATACAGGTATCTAAAACCGAGCTCGGCCAAACCCGCGATTTCTGGCATTCGAGGGAAACGGATCTCTGTGCAATCTAACTATCCCAGTCGAAAAATGCGTGCTGCATGTATCCGTCACTCATCATTGACGGTAACCCCTTTCGAGGCCATCTCTTCATCTTTGATCTTCAGGATAGATTGCTCGAAACTGGAGCCAGGATACCACTCCTGAGTCAAGAATGTATGCTTTGGCCTATTAAAGGAGGGTTGCCTCAGTCCTATCTTCTCGGTGGGCAACGGTAGTCTATCTCCAAACTTAAACTTTTCGTTCTGAAACTGTTGTCAGTCTGTCCAGTTGATATATCTGATTTCACATGATGCTCATTGCTCATCAGTGACAGATACACGGATCTCAAGCTAAGCTATTTCTGTCATACGCTTAGAGGGCCGTAGGCTGCCTTAATAATTCACCCTTACCGCGCAAGATCGGAACACGCAAAGCGCGTGCGTCCTGGGCAGCCCTACTTCATCCGCCCTAATTAGCGCCTCGTGGTTAACTATTGTTGGCGGGGACCTGCTCAAGGGGATAGCCGATTCATTGTAAGATCGGAAACTGTTCCTTGAGACTTCGGTACCGTTAGCGTTGGAGTACCGCACCCAAGAGCGAATATATTATTTTCGGATTCATTTGATGGTCAATCGTTATAGCGCGCTGCGTTACTTCATTACAGCATGAGGCGGGTGTCCAAGCTAGCAGATTACAATTTCTAAACTGCTCAACGCTTGGCGAAAATGTCGTACTTTTCGCTTCACAGCTTCATACTTAAGGTAGCCTACCTACCTACGCTCCCTTCGATGACTTTGACTGCACTGTTGTCGAAGGATTTTTTCAGGATCTCGAGATCTTTGTCTGTACGGATCTGGCACTCTGGCTCGGAATAATGTCGTCAAGCAGAAAGATCACATTGTAGCGACCGGTGATCAGACAAGGGAGATTCCGCGAATTCAGGTGACTCATCCTCGCTGGCATTGGAGTGAGAGAAAAGGATTCGGAGCCGGCGGGATGCCACGTGACAGGAGTTGTCTTCTTCCTCCATCACTGTCAAACCCCGGCGCTGCTGTTCAAGATGTGAGGGCATTGCCGCTAGGACAAAAGGATTTACTTACGGTACATTTCGTGTTGATTCCTTGGATTCCGAGGAAGCTGATTGCGCTCGTCGCGTTCTAAATCATTCTGCCGTCCCAAAATTCAATTGAAGCTGGATCCCCCCGGTTCAAGCGGCGCGACTTCGTTGCGACAACGAAGATCAATATGAAGATAGCATTCTTTTGAATTGTCGAGTTCAAGTAAGATGTTTGTTAAAGGTAGACCCATTCGTTTCGTCGTCATGCTTGGAATAGTCATGTACTATGTGCAGAAGCCCAAATCCCGCATTCACACCGTCCCCAAATATCCCTTCTTGGTCAGCGCTGATTTGACATATCCACCGGCATCTGTAAAAGCGAAGGCAAACGACAGCAGCGTATTTTTCTAGGCCTGCAGCCACAGAAAACATGTAGAACTATTCTACAAAAGGGCCGCGAAGACTACGCGAGCTGCCTAACGCCACAGAAGTTCTCGAAAAAAATTGTGGATTTTCGAGTTCGCCGATCGGTATTTGTTATCCTCAGGTTTTCCCTGATGATGTCAACGCGACAATGTTGTAATCTCGCGTACGTGTTTCCCATAACTTACCTCTGGCCTATGGCATTGTTTGTTGAATCAGATGCTGAAGCTTGCTTCCTGATACGCATCCAGATCCCGGCTGATTGCCAAGGTGTCCGGGCTAGCCTTCGTTACTCGGATAGTCAGCGACAGTGCAATGATCTGAGAAATTCTCCAGGAAATCGAGCACGTCTGGAACGAACAACTGTATTTCCCCACGTTTATCTCGACCGCTTGAAAGTTCGACGGCAAGTGGGTGGCGATGACCTTGTGGTTTTGGTGACGCCGCCACTGTGATCCGACGGTCGGCGGCGCCAGATCAGGCATTGCCTTTTCCATCACACTTCTCCATCTCCCAAGAACGTATCCACTGTCACCGTCCGAGTGAATTGTAGCCACAAGTACCCTGTAAGTTCAAAACTGTATGATAGAAATCAGTGATACTAAACATACCGTCTTCTAGGTTCACATGCCGCAGCTGCATGGCCTGCCGGGGGGTCTCAGCCTTATTGTTCCCATCCAAACCAATGTTCCCGACTGAGCTCAACATTGATATCAAGCATCAGTATCCTACGTCCGTTCAAGCCGCCCGCTGCTGTGCAAAAGTCTCCATGAGACTCGAAGGTGCCTGTGCATGTGTACAAACTATTTCTGTGACGCGGGAGGGCTGCCCTCCGACTTCAGGGACGGATACAAAGCGATGGATCGCCCATTACCAATTGCTTCCTCACACTAATTTCGAATCTTATTGTCAAGATACAGATTTGGTCGTCCCTGAATTGTCTTTCCGAGGAAGCACAAAAGACGATTATTTGCCGTCCCATATATAACGAGGCATTGATATAAACCTCGATATTCTCTTTTTTCTCCCGCCCTTCCTTTTCGCTTTCTTCCGCCGCTATGGCTTCTTTCCTTTTCTTGGACTATGTCCTTTTCCTTGCGAGCATCTATTTTCTTCAACGCCTAGTTTCCAAACGACATGCACCTCTACCCCCTGGTCCTCGTGGCTACCCTCTCATTGGCAACATCTTTGACATGCCCACCGACCGCCCATGGCTGACTTTTGCCCGTTGGGCTGAAATATGGGGTAGGCAGTCACTTTTTTTTCTCCGCGTGTAACTGGATTTTGACGCGTCACGACAGGTGATGTCTGCTCCCTGTCAATATTTGGTCAATCTTTCATCGTCCTAAACTCTTATCGCTCCGCCTATGCCCTCCTTGACAAACGCAGTGTCATATACTCCGAGCGTCCAAATTTAGTGATGGCCGGTGAGCTCATGGGTTGGAACGACATAATCGGCCTGGCTTCATACGGCGAAACCTTCCGTGCTCATCGCAAACTCCTTCACTCTGTTCTCGGAAGCAAGTCGACGATACGGACATTTTATCCTATGGAGGAGCAAGAAGCGCTCACCCTCATGAAGCGGCTGCTCGACTCTCCAGAAAAACTTCATTCGCATATTTCTCAGTAAGTCATGCATTGTCTGCCGTAAGTGAAAAAAAATATTGATCCGTTTCTAGGGATGTCGCAGCATTGGTCCTTCGCATCACCTATGGTTACGAAGTGAAAAAGGAGGACGATGAAATGGTGGCGCTCGTGAACCGTGCTATGGAAGAGTTGTCGGTTGCCTCTACTCCAGGACAATTTTTGGTCGATATCATCCCGATGCGTAAGTGGCTTGATCTAGCCGCGACATTCCATTTTTAACTCGAGCTTCTAGTGCGTCATCTTCCGGAGTGGATACCTGGCGCCGGATTCCAAGTCAAAGCCAAGCAATGGGCCCAGGATTTGCGTAACATGATAAATGTGCCTTACGACATGGTCAAGAGGCAAATTGTGCGTACCTGGTGATGCGCATGCAGAGTGTATTGACTGACAATGTTCTAGGCTACAGGAGAAGCCCCAGAGTGTTTTGTGTCAAATCTGCTTCTGCAAGAAACCGAAGGTGTACAAGAGCATGACCTGAAATGGGCTGCAGGCGCGATATATGCAGGTTCGTTTGCACCTCGAGGCTACTCTAATTGGAAACTAACGTACGCCACGAATTTTAGCCGGCGCTGACACTGTAAGTTTTCCAATCGAATCAGTACGTTCCTCGGTTATTCATGAATTTTTTTCAGACTGTTGCCGCTCTCGACACGTTTTTTGTTCTGATGATGTTGTATCCCGATGTTCAGAAAAAGGCTCAGGCTGAGCTGGATTCTATACTTGGAGGAGACAGACTTCCCACGTTCGATGACCAAGAAGACCTGCCGTATATCAACGCTTTGTGCAAGGAGCTTGTCCGATTCCATCCTGTCGCTCCCATCGGTATGTGCACCCGTTGGCTTGGTATCTTTAGATTACTCATTCCCGACAGGCATCCCTCACGGTACTCTCGAAGATGATGTCTTTGAAGGGCATTTCATTCCGAAAGGATCGGTCGTTTTCGCCAACATATGGTAGGTGCCACACTGTCCAATATTTGTTCATTCCATTCAACATATCTCGCGAATAGGGCCATGACGCATGATCCCGAAGTGTACAAAGACCCAATGACATTCAACCCTGAACGTTTCCTCGGTCCCAATCCTGAACAAGATCCTCGCGAAGTAAGCTTTGGATTTGGCAGACGGTATGTTTATATTTATCATCTCGGCAATGTTCCATGCATTTATGACTGTTTCTTCTAGGATATGTCCAGGCGAGTTGACACACCACAAACTTCCGTTCCGAGATCTAATCCCCTTTCAGGACGTCTCTTGGCTCAAGCGACAATGTACATCGTATGCTCCATGGCGCTCGTTTCCTTTGATATATCAAAAGTAAAAGGTGACGAGCCTGTGTTCGATCCCACCCACGGCAGTGTCAGGTATGTCGGTTTCTCCATCCCGCGATGACACCACGGTCTCACGCACGAGGCAGCCACCCCGCACCCTTCAAGTGTAACATAACTCCTCGGTCAATACGAGCTGCGGAGCTCATTTCACGACACGATTAGTTCCGACGCTTTCGTATTTTCCCTTTGCATGACAGGATCACGCCGATGTCTAATACTCGGACAATTGCTCCTACCGTTTTTGTTCTTCGTTCTTCGTTCCTCGCGGGCTCCACTGTTTGTTGCATTGCATTGTATATTATCGCCCCCACTCACATTACGAGTACACCATCACCATACTTAGCACCTTATCCCGTACTCTACGCATTTGCATAGCCAATAGTAACATAAAGTTACTACTATTATTATTACTCCTTCGTTACTACAATTAATATTAGTTATATACACCCTTCGTGTTCACTACTTACAAGCATACTGTCTTTGTTACTCGTTGTATTTTTGATGGACTTCTTGCACCATGAAATGCTTCGGTGCACTTCTACATACCGTATGTCAATCATGTTTATGGCGCCCCGGCGCCTCAGAAATGGGATCATGGTTCTGTGATGTGCTTCTTCAGGCTTCCCTCGCCCATCACTTCGTTCAATTCAGATGAGCCGGCAACTACAAAGAATCGTGAGACTTGCGAGCTCGAGTGGGTACTATGGCTGTCCAGTTGCCTGAATCCTGATTGAAACTCGAGTCAAGCATCCTGTCGCGAATAGCGAGCTTGGGCCGACAGCGGCGCGCAGGCAGGGGCTGTGCAGCAATGGAAGCAATGTACACAGGCAAACGAGCTGGTACTGCCGCCGGTAGTAGCGTCATGGAATCAACAATGTTCGTTGACCAAGAACATGATAGATTAATTACCGTCATCAGTACGCGATAAGGCACCGCTTGGGCAATAGATTTATGATGCCATTGAATCATTACCAGGAACTTGCGATGAACTGATCCTCGCCGCTGATCTGACCTCGAGCCGACGTCCGCGCGGTTCTCGTCCCGGTTAAGTATCACCCCTAAAGAGCGTCCAAGAATCTCCGGGCTACGGGACGTGATAGGCTGCGTGTGTCGGAAGGGATTCTAGGTCTGCGGAGTGTTGAAACCGGAGGCATCAGCGCACAGGACTGTACTGTTAGGATCACGTACCTGGCTTTCTTCAGACTGAGGTTTGATACGTACTGAGGGACTGTAACTGGTTTTGCCATCCCGCAAATGTTTCCGGTTGCTGTGGTCTTTCCTTTCTGTATTTCGGGAGGGAAGATGAGAACGGTTGATTGGAGAAGATGTTTCGAATCTCCCCGGTAAATGGAACTGTAATAAGCAGATTTCTTGGCCAGGACAAATGGCGTCAGAGGGGTGGTATACGCAGCGAAAAGGAATAAAGGTCTCACCATTGAGGAGATCGCATCCCGAGCAAGGGGTATGGTTTGATCTTCACCTATACTAGTCTTATGGGCCTGTCTTGAGGATTAGGACAATAGTCGAAGGAGAGACCGACGTATTTACGCCGCCGAGAATATCACGCTGACCATTTATCCGACCGCCTCCTTCCAACCTGCCGGCTCGTGTTGATTTGCACGTCTTCCCCAATGTTTCATGTAGAGCACAGCTGGACTTGTTATTGTCAGGTATGATTATGCCACTGTAGGAGAAGGGAAAAAAATCAAATGAAGTGATACCCAAACCGTTTCAATGACATTCGACCCGCAAAACACAATGAGAAAGTGAATTTGTGCGGGCGCTATGTGATGACGAAGGCGAGTAGACCATTTCGCCCAGTCCATCGCTGAGTTCTAGTACGCGACTCCTGACCCAGATCGGATAAAACGCGCTAGGCAAAGTAAAAATCAGGTCATCTCTCGGACATGAAAATTTCGCCCGGCGATGGATTTTAGGAAATACTTAGCTCGACGGCGGTGATCATCGTCAGTCCCGGGTGGTCTGGGAGCAGTGAGCACAGCAAGGCACTGTTATATTCAGTGCGGGAACAATTTAGGTTTCCCTCTGAGGCCGCCCATTAACGAGGGCTGCGCTTTAATATAGCATTGGCGCTTGAGAGGTATCAGCCGATGTGGGCGGCGGATTTGATATGAAATGGAGCGACGTACAGGCATGATTGGCGGGCATGAGCTCATCATCCTGGCGGTTGTTCCGCAGTGAACCCGACGCTAACAAGGGTTCTAGCTCTTCCTCACAATACTCTCTAGGCACTGTCAAAAGTCCGAATATGCGGCACAATCGTAACCATCGCGGTAAAATGAGTCTCTGGATCGCTGTGGGGTAATTCAGATTTGAGCCAAGGACTGTGGAATGATAGAATACCATCCCGAATATGCGATGAATCACCAGTTCATCGTACGGTCTGGACTCAAGATCTGCGGGCCTCGCTAACATACGGTTTTATTATCCACCAGCTGCCCGGCTACCAAAAAATCACCAGAGGTAGTAGCCCATAGTTGGCTACTGTCCCTAAGAACTAGGAGAAGAGAAATAATAACAACAACCTGCCTTCCTGTAGCAATCCAGTACTTGGGTGGGACCAGACGAAGACTGACTAGAACTCGTAGAGAAGACGTTAAGTGGCCTAGGTCCACCGATAGCCTATGTCGATGTTATGGACATATGCTTGTTTGATGCCTAGACTCTTCGCACTTCTGAACTTCAGTTTATGAGATATGACTGGTGCAGGCCCTCCGGCTTTTGAGAAACACGCATTTAGTGCGCCTCCCCTCGCATCAGTTCAGGTATCGTAGCCTAAACCTTTGTTACAAGTGGTCATGATCTCCGAGAGAAATGCCACGAACGGCAAGTACTGTATCCAAGATGATGTCAGTTTACTTCATTGAAAATGGCAACAAGGAAATACTTCGGCGAAGATACAACGTAGGTGTCCTTGAAATCTTCTACTTTGTGCTGATTTCTTGTTGGAGGAACGTTAGCTACTGGGAAAGGATGTCTGCATCCAGAGCTTACACGACGCATGATCGTGATGCAAACACGAAGAGGATGAGATGGCGGACCGCCCTAGGTCCCTGCCAAAGTGCCGAACCAATGATATACCTGTCATAAGGTTAGGGTTTCCGCGTCGAACGTGTAGGGTTAAGGTTATCTTCTCTCTTTCTCCCCCATGTCGTTCGTCGTTCATTTTCTCTGGCAGCTACATAACATCGACCGACGAGCTGGCAGCCCATCTGAAATAGATACAAGTGGTGCTTTTGGTTCTTTCTCACCCTGATATTCGCTTCGGACGAGACTAGGGCATGAAGAAAGCAAGAGACTTGCAACGGTAGCCCAATTTCTGCAAAACGGCAGTACATCGAAATTATGGCTGCTACGCTACAGGGAATACATGGTAAGCACATTCTTATTCTTTCATGTTACCTCTCGAGTCTCATGTGTGATAGATTCATGCCCCACGGCCCGACCAACTGTCCTTATCGGCTCTACACTGGGTCACGGCACTCTTGAGAACCGGACAGCGATGTTCCAGGATACTACTAGAGGGTCTTAAAGATCTAGAACTGGGAGGACACTCGGTGTGGGGTGTGAGTATATGCGGAAGGAAAAGGTGCATATACTTACTCGTCCTCCCCCATCCCTTGGCTGATGAAAGTCCATGTATACGCAGCGCCGATTAGTATCATCGGGGAGCGTCGCTCTTATCTATCGTCAATGTCGGCGGATGTAAGGGCAAGAACGATGCTTTGCGGCCATATTCAGTAACAGCGGTATATGCGTGCGAGCGAGGCCGAGTAAAAAAGCAGGGTATCCATTGATATCCAGCAGAGTTTTGCTTCGGAGAGAAAGATGTGTGTCATGGTCGTATCTCGCAGCCTTATACTAACATGTGTGTAGTTTAGCGTTCCGGTGGGGAGCCTGGTCTTTCTTCACGAAGTCACCAAGATCCATGCTTCTCAAAGACTTGCCAAGACGTCGTTGTCCTAGTCGTGTCCGAAGGTTCTGCACCGCGATACCAGCACTTGTGTGTGTTTACTATCACTTCCCTAATCCTGGGCTGACGTCTGCATTGCAGAGCTCGTACACGATGCGCTTTACAATACCTTCGTAGCCCAGTGCCACTTATTCATCAGACACTTGCGAAGTCAGAGTTGCGACTGAGATTAGGCGCAACGTTGGAGACCGGCACTGAGGAGCTCTGTTTTCGGAGGCTGGCATATTGAGAGGTCACTTGTCTTCGCTAGGGACTGTGCACTCCGTCATTAGCGGGCTCTTCCCCTTATCGTTGTCAACACGTCCCTACTGATCCCGTACAGAAAGGGACACTATACCATGGGAATACTTGCACGACGTTACCAAATGACAGAGGGAATGCATCCTAGCCTACGCTCTGCATTATGTTTGCAGTCGATTTGATCCTCAGTGGAACCTCCCCCTACCTGAACATGTGTACCGATCGGCTAGTGACGGAGTTGTCGCGTCCCCGTAAAGATAGTATCTTTCCTTTGGATCTATCAACGGAGCCTGCGGCCGTATCAGGCAACAAATCGCGCCTCAGGAGTGGAGGGCCCTGCAGCGTACGATGCCGCGACAATCTTTGGGCGGAAGGGCAGACATTCTGGTCCGTTCTTCGCAGATGTAGCCGCAGGAGGACAGTGCCTGATCGTATTTCTCCCCTGGTCAGTTGGCCATGCGGATATTTTGCCCGCCGCAGGTACTATCGGACTTCTACGACTGGTACAAAGTCAAATGCAAATGGCCCTAATCCAGCCATGCCGTCGACATATCCTTTCGCTCATATAACGACACTCCTTGTGTTGCAAGGCCGTCATGCCATACCTCCCGAAAACAAGGAAAGACGCAATGGGGATAGATACCCCCATGTCTCGACCTCGCGGCGTCTTCAATCACAGGCGGTGGGGCCTTGTAACACCAACGCTGGTCTCACCAACATGGGGGTTACGTCAGCTAAGGCATTGATAGGACAGCGCCATGAAGGTCAGTGATATCAGTGATTTCTTGCCGCATTATCGTTGATATATCGAATCATCAGTATCCCCTTCAATACACAACCTCTCAAGTCTTCCTCTTCAAACATTCATGTATACGAACCAATGGTCGGACTAGCTCTTATTCGTCAGTCAACGATTCACCAGCCGTCGGAATCGACACGAACTCTCCAGTCCTTCTCGTCGAAACATTCAGGTGTTAGATCATAAACCGATGTTTCAACTCATGTTTCCCCTTCGGTCAACGATTCACTGGTCGTCGGAATCTTGTTGACATCTCGGGACGGTTCACCACAATGCATGCGTAGGTTTCACCCCGTTCCTGCAACTCGCACTGCTTGAGGGTCGCTGGCGGTCTGATGCATACCAATAGCATTCGGGTTATGACGCGCATTCTTGTTCCCTCAAGAAGCTGTCTAGCGTTCAACATCGGCTTCTTTCCGTGGTCCTGCTTGTTATGCCACAGGCTGTGCACCGGAGGTGTATTATGTCACTGACTCTGGCGCGGTGTGAGCCCACCTTGAATCTCGGCGACCACACTGTCCTGGTTTTTGGACCAAATCGCCCAAGCCATACCAGCTTGTATAGATGCCAATGTAACGGCTTGCTGAATAGTGCTCTCGTCTCAAACCTAGACAAGCTAGTCGCGGAAAAGGTACGGCATACGATTACATAGTATCCATTTTGCACTTAACGCATTCGCAGCTCTTTGCCTTTAAGTTATCTGGAAGCTAGCTCCGTAAAGGAAATATGTCCCACCTAGGGAATGAATTCGAGTCGTCGGCTCTTTATCTTTCCCCTTCGGAACCAGAAGTCCTTATGTGAACAGGAAATGTTATCGCTATACGTATGCTATGCCCGTTGGCACTGATTTGAAGCTGATGGTACGCTCAAGGATGGCGATGTTTTGACCTTCTCTATCCCATAGATTGTCTATATCCGACGATGCGCGAAAGACGCGGCATTGATATAAATTCAAGCGACGATAGACGCCGTCGCCATAATCTGTACACGTAAACGAAGAAAGTGTATTGTCCAAAAGAAAAATAAATAAGGACACTAGGCAATGACAACATCCAACGTCTCCGCGCTTGTTGCAGGAATACCCTGGACGCAGAGAGATCAGCATGATACAAACCGATAATTAAGGACTTACGGAGTAGGCAGTATATGTTTCGAGAACCACTATTTGGAAATTGCCAGACCTCTGTGACCCGTAGAAGAAGGACGGCGTGAGTTCGGAGTAGTACTTGTAAAGGCCTGAAGTCGTGGGCTGAAGGTCCTTTACGAGCGTTGTCCCGTAGAGCTTGGAGCTGTATTCTCCTTCGGTCAGGAGGACAGTGATGGAAAGCGAATTCTCTTTGAAGTAACGACCGGATGACCAGGTCAAGTTGAATGGCTAAAGGTCACAGCCATGAGTATGCTACGAGAAGGAAGAAATAAATGCTCACTTCGTTCGCAGAGATCGTCTGGCCCGAGGTTGGAGAGTTGAACGTCCCGGCAGCGACCAAAGTGCCAGCGAGAGCGGGGATAAGTGAGACGAGGGTTGTGAACTTCATGGTGCAGTAAAGCGAGCTTGATGGAACCGATAACTTTACGTCGTTTATATACCGTCAAGCTATAAGTCTTGGCGCCGTCATGGACGGAGAGCTCAGGCCATTCTATTGCGCGAGCATACGAGTATGAAACGGCAAGACAGCGGTCGATACAGGACTTTGAGATCCATAGGGCAGTGCATGCCAACCTAGATTTTGTGGATTTGCGCCATCGACGCCACATGAATTTGAAAGCCGCACCCATCGGTTTGAAAATACCGGGGCTTTGTTTGTTGTGCGGGGTACAAATTCGTGTAAGAGAGAGGCTTTTTATGAAACGTCAAGATCGTACTCTGGGCACTGTCAAGGTTCAAGGATGTTCTGTGGAACGCCAGAATAAATACTTGATCACGAGATAAAGGAAAATGCGCGTACTCGTGATGTTCTTATGACGCGAAGATCTCTGGACCTTCGAAGGCAATGGCTATCAGCCTTTGCTCCGAAGCACGTTTGACAGTCACTTGATCGTAAATTTAAGCGGGTGGACCCTGGTTAAGGACTGTCAATAATCATGCTGTACTTCTCCGCGATGTCAGGAGTCGAATTTCTGTTGCAATGTGGTGTCATTTCAAGAAGATAACAGAAAATAATTTCAAACGTACAGTCAACCCGGTTGATTTTCCCTGAGGACGAGGTCATTCAAATCGTCCGTATATTGTTATGAAATATAGAGCGGCTGAGGCTGTACACCCCGTTTCAAGATTTCAGTAGAATTTTGGTCTTGTGCACTTGCGTGAACAAGTATAAGACACCAGTTGCGCGATTTTATGGAGAAGACATTGACACTTGTACCGCACTCGCAGAAGGTAAGTAGAAGGACTTAATCTTTGATATGCGAACGGTAAGAACCGGAATGGAGATCCGTGTCTGGAATTTGCTGTATGTATCAGATGAGGCGTCGAAAGGAGAAGAATACGTGCTCACGATGAAACTTTACATACGGTCCAGCGAACCTGGTTACGGAGGAGCAACAGTAAACATTGAGAGAGGCCCCTAGAAGCTCTCACCTTGAAACTTTGTCCAGACTTTAGCATATCTTAGCCCTGAAAAACCCGACGCTTTTGTCCGGAGTTAGCATATTTTAGACCCCCCCGGAGACCCCCAACTAACATAACTTTGTCCGGAGTTGACATTTTTTGGGCGGTGGAGACGGGTGGTGAGCCGGGGAAGGTTCTCTAAAGAGCGGTGGAGATGATACAGGCAAGACAAAGATCATGAGAAATTTGCTCGATTCTCACCCAAGCCTTTCGTGAAGCACCAAAGTTAACAAAAATCGGGGAAAGAACAATTTTGGATGCGGAACAGGCAGTTTCGGGCAGGAGAACTTTGTCGGAGATAGCATATTTGCGACGCAAATGTTGCATATTTAAGGCCTAATTTCCTAGGATTCAGACAAAGTTTGGAGAACCTGGGGGCGAGTCAAAGGAGAAAAGATTTTACGCGTTTGTTTGGCGCAGTTGATTCTTGAGAATGTCACCCTTGCCAGGATGCCGCCGTCACTACTGAACTTTCCATGAATCTATGTTGTCAAATCGGATTCGACTTTTGGAGGTTACAGCCACGACAGTATTTTTGGAACTTTGGCCGCCTTCGACTTAATTTTTGGACCTCTGACGTCCTCATAGGACATTGTCACTCACCGTTGGGCTCCTACAAAGCTCTGGGAAAATTTGACTGCTTGAGGTTCACGTCGCATTACAATCTGTGGCTTATGACGCTCGTAGGTATTCCTCCATCCGTGGCTTAATGGTGCTAATTTAAATCAATGCCAGGTCTATTGGGTTTTTTCAAGAAATCATCCAGCTTGATCAATACTATCTGAACATACTATTCAATCAAGTTATCCAACGCTGTTTTCATCGTAGCTCTTCGGCCGGGACACGAAACTCAATTTGATTCTATGGCATCTATTCAAATTCCAGACACCTGCGAAGATTCAAGCTCACGCCCTGACAACCGTATGTCTCTTTACTTGGCCAATCTTCGTGATAATTGAACCCATTATCTACAGAAGTGATTTCCACAGGAAAAGACAGGTTATGTGGTGCTCTTCACCCCCACTGCCATAGCTTCATCACCTCGCCTAACTCTCATTATATACCCGCTCCTCCTCCAGACCAATGTACCTTTATGCTGCGCTCTAACTTTCGACTTGGTGCGGTTGACCCCATCCAAGCGCCTCAGATGATTCTCCCCGAAAATGCATTCTACGCCACTATTCCTTGTTGTCCCATGGACAACGATGTTGATCATCCATATCTAAAGTACAAGTACATGTGGACAAACGCTGCTGACAAGGACATCGTATTTGCAGAAGGAGATCGAAACTTATCTGGGGTAGCAACTCTGTCGAAACACTTCTTTCAGCGTCTCTGAGCTGCGGTTAAATATGCCGTGGAAAGGTCTGAGGAGATACGAGAACGTCGGACTGAGTCATTGCCAATCATATTCGCTCATCCGAGTCTATACAAGATAGAGCACTTGATGATACCCCCCGACCTTCTACAGCGCATTGTCAAAGATGCCCCCTTGTTGATGCGCATGAGCATCAATCGTTTGGAGACACTAAAGCTTGACCCTCAGACGATTTTTCTCACAGTCGGCATGATCCAGGGCTTCTGGATAGAACTATGCGGAGCGCTGGATTACATCCAGTTTTTCCGTGACGCGATTGACTCGGGCCCGAGAACCCGCAATAGGGTCCATACGCCGTCTAGACCGTTGTTACACCATTTGATGGGTGGTTTTACGGATTCAGATGAATATGCAAAAGACCTCTTTCGCGCTGGAATACCAGTGTATCTAATACGACCGCTGAGTGCATTTCCAGACAGAGAGGTGCTTGACATGGTTGGGCTTACCTATCTTCCCATTGAAACGGAGCCGGCCAGAGGTCCGTATCATACCATCACGACTGGTACCGCATCCGATAATAGGAAGCTGTTTGCCTATAATCATCTCGTCTATGCGGATGCCTTTAGCACATGTTTTGGGCCCTGGCCACTGCTTGCGCCAGCTAAGTCTGGATCCACACGTTCAGTGACGCAGAATTCTTCTTCTAGCTCGTCAAAAGGCGAGTCCATTCTCTAACTTATCTACACGCTTACTAACTGGTTCCCAGATTCATCCCAGTACCTCGATAGATTCTTGGAGCTGACCGGAGACTACGCTCCTCCTGCCATAAATTCGTGGTTTCATGCAAATGCAGTCAAGGTTAACCGATTCTCAGCAAAATACCAACAGCGCAAACATCTTCCGTCCGATGCCAATTATTTCTTCCCAGATCCGCATATTTTTCTTGATGTTTCTAATCGTGGGCGTACAGCATATCTTCATATGTGGAAACAAATCAGTTCCTTTTGGAAGTACAGAGCGAGCTGTAATAAACCGGATGCTCGTCCACTTTCCTCTGAAGAGTGGCGCGATCTTCTCGGTATTCCCTTGAAAGCATCGACCGAGTCTGAGATTCGGAAACAAGTCAAAATATTCTTGGGACCGTCCCCTGATAGCAAAGGAGTGAGTTATCATCTCAATGCCTCCGACTTTAACCTTCCGATTGAGAAGAAAGAGGCGTTGGAGCTCGTATGGGAGATATGCGAGCCGAATTTCCGTTTCGAGCTTCTATCCCTTGACGTTAGGGCAGCCGCCAGGTCGCCCAGATCACAGTCAACTGGAGATGAATACTTCCAAGCAGAAAGCACGTTCAGAATAGAGCGGCAGACGAAATTCGGATGGTGTTTTCCCGATGCCTTCTCTTCGCCACAATCCGCTCGGGCTGACTACGGGATTTCGTCGACGCACTGGAGTCGAAGATTTAAAAGGCTGAAGTACTTGAGGAAGCTCATGGAAGGATGGGCGGATCCCCCCCGGCGCGAAGTGATGACGATTCGGCCAGAGGTGCTGGAGAAGGAATCAAGAGTGTCGGTGGAATGGGAACAGGGATTGGTACAGCACTACGTTCAAACATTTTACGATTATTTTGGACGACCCGCTATTCTTCCTCGCCGGCTTCCAGCGGAATGCCAACCAGTATCTAGAATTTAGGACGCAGAAAGGAACTTGTATACACTTATATTTGGTCTCGAGTACGTGTTTACAATGTACCTCGAGTTCTTCTTGACTTGAAAAAGCTCGACAACTAAGTTACTCGGGATTCCCGGGGTGGAATTGGTTAAGTAAGAAAGATGATTCGTGCCCTATATACTTGGGAACCTTAATACTACGCAAGGCCTCGAAAACACTCAGGTATTCTGGAATTTATTGTAAGTCCGGAATAATCGGGAAAGATTGTAAAGAAAGAAACTTCCAAGTCCTACTTCAGGCGCGAAAGACTAATCGAACCACACTGGTCCATATCCCTAGTACTACCTACAGTCCATGGGATAAATAACACGTAGACCCAACATAGACCATACATCCTAGCCGATCACAAACAATGGCATCCTTTCCAACAGAGGAGAGGACTCGACTGTATCACCGAATCTGGCGCGAAGGTCCCGGTAATGGTGGCAGCGACGACAAGGAAGAGTGTTGAATAAAGGGATTAGAAATATCACTCCTACGCGCCGAGCGATAAGATGGCGGTGGGGAGCCAGTGTTCATGAGCTCCATCTGTTCATGCATGCACCGGATATAATTTTTCTGAGACAAGACCTCTTCTCGTGGCCATTCGATCTCTTCTTCATATGCGTTTCGAGAAGATTGTGATAGTCTCCTTGGGAGGTCGCATGCGAGAGATTCGATAGTCAAGATAGATGCGTTCCGCGAGGAGGAAGATGATGATGGTAAGATGGGGGTAGGGATTGGATCAGGTGCAACGGGTGTTGAAACAATGTCACCAGCATCGTTGTCACCAGCCCCGTCGCGTTTTACCTTCCTCTGCCCGAACACCAAGAGCAGAAGGAGGGTGAAAAAGACCAAGAATCCAGCGATAATGCCAATAATCACCCTCCCTGGAGTTCCAAGAGGTGGTAAGTCAGTATTTGCTGATGCTCCTCTGTGAGGAAACCGTAGTTCGTATGCTGTGTTTGTCTCAGACTAGTGTTTGACTTACAAAATGGGTTGCGAAAAGACAGTAGGACCATCAAGGCCCCGAGGAGTGATCAAGTTTCTATCGGAAAGTATAAACATGTCAGATATGCGCTGCATCTGGGGGGAGAGACTGCAGATTGGGAAGTGGAGGTTCTGAGACCCAAGCTTCGTTAACATCGTATAGTAAAAGTATTGATAAGGCTTACTCTGTAGCAGAAGTAGAGGTGACCGTAGTCTCGACCTCTCTGCTACTTGTTAGAGCAAACATTCTATGAAAACTCATTAGTCATCGAGGCTGAGGAGAACAAGCCTAAGGTGTCCGGGACTAACGCGAATATAGTATGTTATCTATGAGGTAGTTCGGGTCCGTCAGTCAGTACTGGAGAATTATCACCGAAACATCCAGGGTGATTCTCACGATATAATGATAATAAACCGAAATGGTCGTATACTGCCTGGACGCACGGGGAAATAAACAGTGCGAAGGGGAGTCCACTAATGAAATAGGGACGGGGGTCACTGAAGAGCGTAGTGGAATAAGATGTATTGATCTATGAGAAAAGAACAAGTCCGACCCTAAAATAGGACTTGTGAGCTTGAATGACCGAAGATCTTACAAAGATGCTACCGTGATGAGGGTGAATACGCTGATCATCTAGAAGTTGTGGATCAATCCAAATTTAAAAGGACTGGGTGTAAGCCCAAAGATAGACGTCACACTGACTAGGATACTACGCCGCAAGAATCTTACTCCATGATACATTCCCGGGCCTTGGGGGCTGACATGCTGGTTCCACAAGGGACTCGATCTTCCAATGTGAGATGGACTAATCATCCAGACGAGAGTCGTGAAGGACACAGATATCAATGATCATTGAACGGAATTGACCGACTCGGCGCTACCAGATGAGAAGTGCTCTTTCTTCGAGACATATATCCCAGGCAACTGATGATTCGAGACATTTCTTCACGTCGAATGGTGCCATCACGTACTAACTGTTAAGTCTACGGGAATTTATAGCTTGAAACAAGTCGAACCTGCCATGCAAGGTAGTTGTTTGGAAGCGGAGTACAGCCACAGTGATCGTTATCAGATGATCGCGATAGGACCACGTGGATGCGTCGCAGTTCTCCGTGGTTACCGTTACGGCCCTCCGTTTTTCCTTCCATCTTCGCCCTCATACATGTACTTATGACGGCTGCTGCGATATAAATCATGGCAAAAGACAAGGAGCTCTAACCATGAATTTAAAGTGGAACGAAAGGGCCCAAGGGATGACTCCGGGCATTACAGTGACTCTGAGCGGCTCTGTAACCCGTTTCTCGGGTTCCTAAGTTCAACAGTAAAATATCAAAGACCTCCTTCGGGACATGTGAGTAAAGACCGTAACATACAACTTGATACAGCCCCCTGGTTTCCAATTTCGTGTACAAAAGAACGAACGCTCGCCTATATGGACACATTGGGACTTGAACCCAACACCTCCCGCATACAACTCGAAGATATCTATGCTAAGCGGGCGTGATAAACCATCTACACCATGTGCCCATGATCAATTGTAAATTTCCATGTGCTAGATATTTGAATACGGAATACACATGCGTTTGACACAGCAGCTCACTGGTTTATGGCGAGTAATAGCAGTAACTGATATCATAGCATTTGTTCCAGCCTGCCGCTCATAGTAAAAGTCCGTTTGTCTCTGACTGAGTTCTCTGCAAGCCTTACTTGGAGCAATCAAATGTATTCTTGTGAATTATATACCGGCTAATTGAGGACAGAGATCAGACAAGGTGACGCTACAAGACGGGAAAGGGAAATGGAGACTTGAATGCTCAGCCTTTTCATCCAAGTCGGTAGAATATGTAGTTTACACACTGGTAGGCTCATGATTGAAGGCGTATAGAAGACAGAAGCTGGACCCCATGTTGCTACCAGCATTTTACCTTGTTCCCATAAACACACGTCAATTTACTACGATGAGAAATTACCAGAGACGTACCTTATAACCGGGAAGCAATAATACCCGTTAGTTTCCCCATGTGCTTCATTAGCATTGCAGACAACGCTAGCGCTAGCTTAACGAATTAGCGAGGGCCCCAGTTAGGCGGTCATATATCATCGCATGTTATCACGCACAGAACGTCCATCGTACCTGTCATAGTGGAGGAGGTTTCTGGAATATAGAGCGGACAACAAATGAAGTTGTATTAAGCAAGGCTGCAGTACAAGAGTACCGAGCTCCATCTTTACGACACTCCGTTTCTCGAATCAGAGAGTACAATCGCATTACCGGGGTCGTCGCTTTGATAAGCTGCACCCGGGACCCCACAGAATCAATCCAAAATGATTCGGGACACCTCAAAAAGCATATCTCGGGATACCCTTACGGTCTGTCTGTCAAATCGGATAGTCGCACGAACTACGAACGACATACCTTGAGGAGTCCCGAACGAAGCCAGCGAGGAAGAGACTGCATCGATCTTGGTTTTTAGTCTGCGAGCAGCAGAAGCTAAGTGCAAGAATTGTCGCACTCAACCTGAAATCGCCCAGCATGTGATGTCCAACATAGCTGGACTTCATCGAAAGCTGCTTTTCGACGCGTCGCATAGCTTAGATTATATATATTACAGACGGCCAGGAGCTGCGAGACAATAAGCAAAAACGTGGGAAGACAAAACGAAATACGCGCTTGAGGAGACTGATAAGCACAAGAATAAGTGCACCAAAAAAGGGCACCCAGCTAAATATCCCTACATCAGCGCCGTCGGACCGAAATGCGATTCTACAACTTACGTAGATAGACTAAATCCACCGGACCAAAACAGTTCCATTACCACCAGCGAGACGATCGTCGCCCCACATACCACGCTGAGGACACTTATGCCCAAGAACACCAGTAAGACAATCACTGCCAAAGTGACTCTCGACCGCTGCGGGTTCACTTTTTTCATCCTTGTAGGCCTCAGCGGCACCAAGGGATAATCTTCAGGCTCGTGAATTCGTTTATGCTCACATCCCGGGGGGAACAAGACATTGAGGAAAGCAATGGTAGCACAGACAATGAAGATAGGGGTGTAGAAAACAAAAGTCCAGTATAACGTGAAGCTGAATATTTGACCATAATGGTAGAGGTACACTGCGCCAGGTTGTTTGGCGTCGTGGTTGGGAATCTCGAAGAATTCGAGGCTGGGGTCGTACAGTGATGGCCAGCTGGGCCTGTCGTCGCTGTCCATGGAGAGAAATGGCCGTTGTCTTAGCTAAGTTTGCCACGGAGCTGAGCGTGCCGGCTCTGCCGACGGCACAAATGTACGGGCCGATGGTGCCGTTATGTGCCGAAGCTTGTGAATCTAGTAGTACTACAGTAGGGGCCGGGCATAATACTACTAACTTTAGCCCTTCCTAATAATAGTCTGTGATACTAATAGCTAACATGATATCCGGAGAACATAATTATTTTAGGCTTGTACTGCGTCCGGATAACGAGCTTGCGGATGGGAGAAAGTTGTGAGAAAGTATATGAAGACTAAACGAGTGACTAATGCGATAAGGAATGTTCGATGAGAGCTATTAAGAGTCCTTTTCTCCACCTCGATGAGTTGCGGCATTTGCTTTCGCGACGGCCCCTCGTCGGAACAACCATTGAAAGAGAGGGAGAGTTATCAACGATATACCCATCCAAGTGAGGAGGACGCCGAAATGTAACCCCACTAAAAAAATTCCCTAGTTTAACGCCAGCGGGAAGACATACGGATGCAACCACTCACGCTGATTCTTGGTCCCGAACAAAATTGTCCGTACTGCACCTGATACATTATAGAAGGGAAAGATGTAGCCATACCGGAATATGCCTGGAAGTACTTCCAGGGGCATGAAGCACACGGATACATTCGCTGAAGCGGCGCAGTCAGGTACACATCCCATCTTCCAAGATGAGAGTACTTACAGATAATAAAAAATATCATAAAGAACCCGACAAATCTCGCCGTGAGCAGCGTGAACATCGCTTCCAAAGACAGCCCCAAGGCCAACATTCCGACAAAGTTCAGCATCCAGAATACGACAAAGCCCGAATGTCCAAATCTGGTTTACCGATCAGAGTTTGTAGCGGTGGTGATTACAGGAATAGAGCAAACTCACGTCTTTGAAAAGTCCACTTGGAAGGCCAAACATAGCATGGAATAGAAAAAGGCGAGCATGAAGTACGAGACAAAGCTTGATACCAATCGAAGGAAGATAAGGGACCATGTTGTTAATGATGTCTCCAGTCCTGACATCTCACGAGCAGCAGCAGAAAAGTGCTGTACATAACCTCAGAGAGAAGTCATCAATGAAGAGCACAGGGAACGTACGACAATAAAGTAAGCTAGGACCAAAACATAGATGAGGCCGACAAACGTCATGGCACTGGCGCTACAGAGGACGTGTGAGTTAGGTAGCAAGATTCAAGAAAAACACCTACACGGGGACATTGAAAGGTCGGATATTGTTCAGCGTATATCCTACGGGTTGTGCCAATATTTGAGGGGCAGTCGTAGAAAGATTGGCTATTATTTGCGGATAGGACGTCCCGACCTGTTTCACAAAGGATTTGGCAATCCCGAGGGATACAGCATTAAGCGTTCCTTCTATTAAAGGCCGAATCAAAATGCGACTAGAAGATAATTAGATTTAATTTTATGAAGAAAGAAAAGGGTGCTCACTAGGCGTTCTCATTGCGGGCTTCAATGGCATAGGCTGTGATGGCATTCGAACCATTGTATGATGAGTCCATAGTGAGAACCGCTGACTCGAGAAGCCTTGTTGTATTTGGGTGCACTATCAGATGAAAAGATCAACCCAGATTCCTGACCGCCGAAGATTAATACCACGCACCGACAACAGCTACCCATGTCTGCTGATCCAGCACCGCATACGCAACATCGTCCACACCACCCGGAAATTCACTCGCTGATTTGCTCGTCCAGCTCACTATACTGGAGGATGATGACATCATGGCTTGGACAACAGCGTTCCCCACCGTCGAGTCATCAAAATCCTATCAATGCCAGTCAGTAAGGAAGATCAGAGTGTGCTCGAATATCGACTCACCACAACCCATCCTTCCAAACTACGCTCTGGAATTTTCCACAGCGCTCCCCAGTATATCGAAAAGACAGAAAACATGAGAATGATCATCGACACGACCCCCACTCCTACGACCTTCAAGTACATACTCCGCGACTCCCTCATCGTCTCTGTGCGGTCCATAAAATGGGAAGTATACAATGGCGTCGCCACCTCGCTCGGGCCTGGCGCCTGCATACCGTCAATCAAGTGGTGTGGGTAAGGGGCATCACTCAGATTAGGCATGATATCCATTCCTTTCATCGAGTAATCTGTGGAGGACGTTGTCAGACGCTCAGACTGAGAGTGCATGGAGTGCGACATTTCGCTCGCCCCATCATGGAATCCCGTCAAACGCTATATATTCCTTCCTTCCGTGGGTCGACAGAAGAGTAATACGTGATGACTGCACCCGTAGGCCCGGAGTGTGAGAGAAATGATAGGACTTCTTATTGCAGGATTCGCAGGTAAAGTTAAATGTTGCGCCACAGAGGTACGATCTAACTCGGGTAAGTGAGATGTTTATAAAGAGAATCGGAGAGCAGTGGAGGTACCAATATTTCCGTTAGCCCAGCGTATGCAGGCCCACTGCTGTGCTTGAAGAACAGAGCTTCTTGACGGTCCTCATGGAAATACCACACGAGGCTTCCAATCCGCAGAAGAAAGAAAAAAAAACTTGCGAGATAGCTTGAAACATCAACATGCGGCCGAATAATCAACACGAAGAAAGCACGGGGACTTCTTAAAATATCTTCGCGGCGGTGTTGGCTTGCATGTCTTCCTCCTGCCTACCGTCAGGCTAATGAACATATTTCATTATCTGCCACTTGTATGCGGAATATCAGCCATTTGAATGCGGAAAGCTTCATAAACGTACCCTTCCTCGAAAACCGGACATAGTGGGCGCTTTACGGGATACGAAGAGCCTTCACATGGGCATGTCATCGACTATCGGTCCAGGGGCAAGATGGTTATTCTTGCTCGCCATACCGCAGCACACCTTCCCCCGTCACCTCATGAGTCTGTTTCATTTGATAAACAGAAATGCTTGACACACTGCACTTTGCATTTTGACAGTGCTCTCTATCTCGAGCTCGATGCAAGAAAGCGATCGGTGTAATATGGCCAAGAGATTGCAGTAATCTGTCAAGTTTAATTGATTCCGTTGGGCGTAGAAGCCATTAAAGGAGCGTGCGGAGCTCTGATAACGGATAGTGGTCCCCGAGATTCCAAGAATACAAGATAGACATCCAGAATAGAACAGAACAATAATCCATCAACGAACCTCACGCTTGTGCTTCTCCAAAGGGAAACTCCCACCCGATAAAAGCCGCTTATTATTAGGGGGCAAGCGTGATTCAAAGGAGAATGTGTTCTCCCCTTTGTGACTTGTGGTGACGTTGAAGCATACTGCACATTGCATAATTCAGAAGGAAATACGATACTTGAAACAATTAGGGACCCACCTGTCTGCTGATCATCTTAATTCCTTGACACACAGCTGCTATTCAAGCTTCGCGTTCTGGGATTCGTCGATATCGAAACCGAGAATAGCATCGGAACCGTGATGGATCGAAAGAAGGATGGCAACCCTAACCCTAGCGTTTGCACTGATCTTTGTCCATCAAGCCTACACTCACACACCTCTTGCAGCTAACATCGCCCAGCACGCACGTGCATGGAGAAAATAAATAATAATTTTTTATTAACTGGTGATGACTCGAGGAGAGATAACCAGTTAAACTTAAGTGCCGGACTCGCGCTCGAAGAGTCGATGCACGCCGAATGCTGACCGAATGAAGAATAAAACCAGGCACATAGGTATCTTGAAGACTTGATGGATATATTTTGTACAACGTTACATTGCTCCGATCAAATCCACAGCCCCGGAAGATCGAGGGGTAATAGAGCACTTGAACTGGGCAGGATGGCTGATGAAGAGAGACTGTTTAGATACCGACCAAAACGCGGAGAAATCTTACCTGATCGTTCCGTTCAAAGGTTCTAATGCAGGCTCCGGAGAGGAATCGTCTTCCTTGGAAATGTTGAAGACGCTTAAGACCGTGGCACAGACAATAAAGATCATCTCGTCCGCCAGGTACTGTCCTGTTTAAAATAAGATAAATCCCGCAGGTACAGGTGCGCCGGGATATCATACCAGGGCATTTCCTAGAGCAGGAAATAAATAAAAGATAGCGTGAAGAAGTGAAATTACTGACCTTCTACCGAAGCCGAAGATGATACTTCTGGGATCTCTTTCCGGTACACGTCCCAATCCAGGCAAGAATCGAGAAGGGTTAAATACTTCTGGATCTTCATAGACCGCAGGATCATGAGTCATTTCCCTAAGATTAAAGTTATTACACTCCCTGTTCAGAAAAAAGCGGCGCGCCTTATATTAGCCAGTACGAGTGTGTCCTTCGGAATGAAATAATCATTATAGAAATCGTCTCGCAGTGTACTGTGTGAAACACCTAAGAGAACGACCAGATTAGAAAATAGGTATGCCAGAGAAAAAAGCTTGACGCACCCAAAGGAACAGACGAATGGAATCGCATCACTTCCTTACATAGGGCGTTCACATATGGTAGCTTGTCCCGATCTTGGTATGTTGGAAGGCGCCGGCCTTGCAGTACGTCGTCGATCTCTGCATGAGCCGTCTTCTGCACATCAGGGAAGAGCACCATAGTAAGCAAAAAAGCTCTGATGGTGGCGATGGTCTATTGATCGCAAAATGACAGTGAATGGATATTTGAGGTATCGCAAGGTCGTACTCACAGTTTCTCCTGCGGCTGGAGATTTACTCTAGAATTTAGAGAGAAGATCTCAGATTAACAACAGACATCGGGCTTACCTCCGTAAATGGACGCAGCGGTCCACTTCAGATCGTGTCCCGTCACAGACGAATTTTTCAGTAGAGTAGAAACGAAGGACTTATTTTCGACACCCATAGCCTATTTCAAGGAGCAATGAGCATCAGAGAGTGATAAGACCTGACCCATCAGGAACATCTTATGTTACGATTATTCTTTTCTTTTTCCTTTTCTTTTTCTTTTCTTTTCTTTTCTTACGTGTTCACGCTCACTCTATGTTGCGATCTCGGCCGGACGTTGCTGCGGCACTATCTTTAGCCTACGCAACGTGTATTTAAGTAGAGCCTCAGCTGGTCTAAACCCCAGCTTCGGCTAAGGTTAATTCTACCTAACATCGAACTCCGTTCTTCTGTCTAAGTGTCCCATTCACTTTCGTCGCCTTTGACTTGTTGAGTGTCGTCTACCGAAGCGCGAGTAGAGACCTTAGCACGATCTAAGTCGATTAGAGTTAGTGGCTAACATTTAGCCGAAGCTCGATCTACGTTGCTCAGCGTCACTTCCGAGAAAGAGCGCTGCCCAACTTCTTTACGAGAAAATTTACCTCGCTTGACCAGAGAGGTCATCACCTACGTTCGTGTGGACAACCCGGTGCTTGTCAACGTACAGCGAGTGGACCGACGGAAAAGCACTCACTGTCATCATTCATCCGATACACTACCTCGTCGCACTAGCCTTGTGGCTAATACCCCCTCGGCTACTTCTTCTGTTGTTAGTAACCCGTTTGATTGTTGAATCCATCCTCAACGACGACCTCCTCCTTGGAGTGTTCTTCACTATATCCTTCACCCTCGTTCTTATCGGACTCGGAATATCAGCAGTGGTGCTAGCAGGATTGTTAGCCGCCCTGTACGCGATATACCCCCGTCTCGTTTAGGAACCACGTATCCCAACACGAAGCCTTTTGTGCTCGCTCTTCAGCTCGCCTCTATTTTAACAGTTTTGCTGTTAATAGTAACGAGCACTCCTCCCGACGAAACCTGCGAAATCTCGTTAATGAACGGTTCCAACTACGAAACCGACCTTAGCCTGATCATCGCCCTCCTTATCGTTCTGACCATCCTCGCTGTTTATCAGCTTGCATGGTCCATCGTCGACTTACGCCACGGATAGATTCCCGGACGAATGCCCTGGTCCGAATCCATTCTCGCCGTCTTCGCGACTTTTATACTCTTTTTCTGCTCCATTTCTTTATACCAACTTCGCCGTTGCTGCCAGCGGAGACAAGTCCACGCACAACTACCGTTCCATTATATCCCCAGTGCCCCGGCCTATCCACCACCGGTAATCGACATTCCCTCGGCCTCTCAGCAGACAGTCGGAGATGTCGAATCCAACGTCTCCGGGGAACGTGGAGGATCCCTATACACCTCGTCGCGACCCAGCTCGCGATCCTCAGAGTCGAGCACCGACTCCTACAGAAGCGCTTCCAGCGCACCAGCAGACTCCATCGACATCACCGATACCCGGGGGGTACTCCTCGACCGAGGAGACTCGCCCTTACCAGGTCTCTTCGACCAGTCTCCAGTCCAAGGCGAGTCTGGCGACGCAGGAATCCGAGGACAAGACACCAGGCATCTGGTCGCGGGCGAAGAAACGCCTAATACCGAGTTCGAAGGGGACGAGCTCACCGAGTGGGAAAGAACCCGACTCGATGACCTCCTCGATGACCTCTACCCGAACACGGAAGAAGATGCAACCTATACCGGAGACAATTACAGCGGCCGGTCAGGACACACATGGACAGATGCCGTCTGGAAAAGTGAAAGTAGGAGATACCGGGTCGCCCAAGAAGATGACTTCGACAGCGATTCCGGGGAGCTTGGCCTCGGAGCCTCCGCGGCTTCCACCAGTACAACTGAGCCACAGCCTGTTTCAAGGGCCTGGCCAACCGATAGAGGACCCCCTGTCGCCTGGCACCCAGCTACCAGCTGGGTCTACGCCGACGACGGGGAAGAGGCTCCTATGGCCGGAAAGTCGACCAGAGGAAAGCCCGACCCGATCGTTGAAAGACCCGAGACCCCAACGCTCCCTACCCCCGTCCCCTCGGACGAGCCGACGGATAGGGAGCTTTGGAGCGAGTACGGCGAGCTCGACTCCGAGGAACTTGGAACAGTTACCGTTTCCGAGCGACTCGCCGGAGTTTCCGACTGGGAACCGTCCGTTGCGTCGCGAGCCTTCGCCGACCCCGTCCCTCTCTCACAGCGTCCGTGGCCCCTTCTTTACCACACGTACGTCGAGTCCCTCGGACTCCCTGGATCTGCCCGGCAGTCCCCAGAAGTCGAGGCCCGAATGGACCGAGGCAGAGCGCACGATGCACGCATCCGACGCGCCGAAGAAGACGCCCTCTACGGGCCCAACGGCTTCTGGGACTTACCTGTCGAGCCCGACGCCACCCCCGCAGAAATTGACAACCGGATACGAGCCGCTGCCGTACGCTACACCGGTTACGCCCGAAGGGCAGGAACGGACCTCGAGGCCAGAGCGAGAGCGTGGAGAGTCTACCAGGAGGAGATCACCAATGAGGACTCCGACATCGGGCGGTGGCGGAGAAACCAGGAAATCGACCGAATCGCCAGAGAGAGGAAGGAGGCAGAGGATGCCAAGTCGGCCTCCCAATCAAGCTCTGGAACCAACCGTGATGGCAGCGGTGAAGCAGGTTCTGCTTCAGGGTCCAGTGCCTAGGCCGGGTATTTTCGAACTACTACCCTGGCACGGCTTATATGAAATAATGATGGAAGACATGGAAAGAGACCCGCAATGGCTCTTCTCCGAGGCGGGCCAAGACTACCGCCACGCGAAATGAATGGGGGATGTATACCTGATGAGGAACATCCTCGAAGTAGAGACTTGGCACCGGGCGGCTGTCGTCTGGAACTTGGTCAACCCCAATGCGCTGCAGCGGGAGTGTGAACCCTATAGACGACCGCAACCGATGCCTCACCCGACAGACCCGTCGGACTTCTTCCCCGAAGGATTCTTCGGAGGAGCCGGAGAAGACGACGATGACATGGACGACCCAGGCGCTGGACCATCGCGCCTTGACAAGGGGAAGGGGTCTACGGTACCCCCATTCCCACCAAAACAGCCGCACTACCCGGATCCTGCGGGATATCCTCCTCCGGGGGAAAACCGCAATTTGCGATCGGTATCGCGACCGCCTAAACCGCCGGTACCGCCGCACGTACCTTCCCCCCCGGATCCAATTCCTCCTTGGCAACTCGCGCCGGGAGCCGTCAACAATCCCTGGAATGACGTCAAACCCAAGTTAGTAACTCAGCCCGAGTACTTTACCGGGGTTTCCTCGGATATCACGCGTTTCCTACACCACTGCGAAGTTTACTTCGCGGTGTTCCCTATGTACTACTCCATGAACGACCAGGGGCATAACCCCTACCGCATCACGTTCGCTCAGGGGTACCTACGAGGGGACGCGCAGCAGTGGTGGGTCGACCAGTACTACCGGTACCGGGACCCCCAAGGACATTGGAGATTCCCCACCTGGGTGGAATTCTCCGAGGACCTCAGGCGCGAATTCCGCGAGGTAGCGGAGTTGACGATCTGGAAGGCCGAGTGGAAGAAGATCCGCCAATCGGACTTCAAGTCCGCAGTAGAGTTCTTCGCGAAGTTCGAACGGTTAGCCCATAAGTGCGAGGAGTTCGGCGATGAGAAGCAAATGTTCGAAGCAGTCGAAGCGGCGATAAGGCCAACGGTGCGGAATACGGTTATGCATGGGGACAACGAGCGCCCCACAACCTACGCACAATGGAAGGCGCGGGTCCTGAGGATCGACGCCAACTACAGGTACGGAGTAGCCCAAGGACTGGGCAGTAAGTCCTCCCCGAACCAAGGCGGTTCGGGTCGAGGCAATCAATCAAAAGGAAGTGGGTCGGGTTCCGGAAGCGATAAGAAGGACGCCACAGGAACCACGTACGGTGGAGCAGGGCAGCCGATGGAGATCGACAAACTGCGGTCCGATAAGCGGTGCTTTAAGTGTGGGAACACGGGGTGGAGCCCCAAGCACAAGTGCCCTGACGACAAGTCCAAGTGGCTTCCCGTCAAACTCCCACCACGCAAAAAACCCAACGTCGCCCGCCTTCGCCAACTACTTGAAGAAGCCGTGAAAGAAGAGAACGGGAAGGACACGAAGATCGAGGAGGTCAAGGACGATAAGTCGTCAAAAGACCAGCCGGCGTCGAAATAAGCGATTCGACGGCGTCGGCTAAGGACTTAGTTTCAGCTGGTACGCACTCATGTAATTCTAGTCGGACTTATACTACGTATGTAGGTACTCCGTACGATCAATATAACAACTTTTTCGCCGCGTTACCAGTAGAGAAAACTAAGGACGATGAATCGCCAACCACCAACGGCGTAGGAGGGGATTACCGCCTCCTGGCGCGGTCTGCGCTTGGAACTGAACCCCTAGGGGCCGTCCGAGCTCAGGAACCCCCGGCGCACCGCACAGGGAAAGCCCCTCGAGGGCAGAGCCCCCTAGGTAGCGTCTCGACTGCACCCTTGACGAAGGGAGGTCAGCCCGGAGAGGGAGAAAGGACGTCAGCCCAGCCCGCTGGGCCTGCGTCTTCGTCTGTGGAGGCGTCTGTTCCAGCGGGAAGCGTCGGAAAAGCAGCTGAGGCCGGGAACTCGAGGGACCACCTGCCCCTAGTAGCCAAGGGACACCCGACGGCAAACAGTGCAGACCCCTCGGGGGAGCCAATATGTGTGCCCCCGCGAAGGGCAACCCGAAGTACCGCCGGGTCTAGGAAGAGCAGTAAGTCTAGGACAACCATGGAGGTTACAACGCCGCGCACAAACGCCCGAGGCCAGGGCCGAAGACAGGGCAGAGCGCCCTCCTCCACCACCTCGAATATCAAAGGCGCCCAAGTGCCGCCTCTGGACCCTTCTCGTCCAGGTGACCAAATGCCACTTCGAGGGAAGAACCCCAGCGTTCTATTGGAGGAAGTAGAAGACGAAGAAGCCTACCTACGGTACGACATACCCGTCGTAGCCCCTAGAAGGCCATCGTCCCCCACCATGTCCCTCACCGCGAATGCCAACGACCAGAAAGTATTTGCGGCAATGTACTACGAGCCCCATGGCATCTTGTGGACTCGCCGGGCCATACGAATTGCTCGGGGAGATGCGGCAGCACGCGCCGTCCTCAATGGATGGGTCCACCCACGACGACGCGAGGAGGTAACTGATCAACTATGTCGTCAGTTGGAGGAGCAGACAGAAACGGCGGCGCAGGCCAGAGAACGCTGGCAATGGATGGAAGATTTACAGAAGCCACCGATGTATATACGAGGGAGAAAGGGGCGGAATGTTTCAATAAAGCTGCAGTTGGAGACGCTTGATACCCGCGAGACGCATGCCTTATCCGCCCTAGTCGACAGCGGGGCGACGGGGAGTTCAATCGACCGCACTTGGGCTCAGGCCCACGATCTCAATTTGAAGAAAGCGGCCCGACCCGTCCCGGTCTATAATGCCGACGGCACTCGTAACAAGGGAGGGGATATCACCGAATATGCCGAAGTACGGCTACGAATAGGAGACCACGTGGAACGGATCGAGTTAGCCGTGGTCGACCTAGGCTCTACTCCGCTGTTCCTAGGGCATGACTGGTTACAACGTCATAATCCGCTCATTGATTGGGATACCGGAGCCGTTACCCTGGCTCGATGCACCTGCAGGAAAATTCCATTTTCCCTCCCCGACACCGATCCCTCGGCGCGTTGGGACGAGTATGAGGAAGGGGACACTATCCTAGTAATCGATTTCGAGGAAGCCTTCCACGTACGGGCTATGGGGACTAAAGCCAACGAGCTAGCTGCCCAAGCTAACGCCAAGAAGGGCACCAAGTCGTTCGAAGAAATAGTACCCGAAGAATACCGGGACTATAAGGACATCTTCGACAAGGAAAGCTTCGACGAACTACCCCCGCGTAAACCTTGGGACCATGCCATCGAGCTAATCCCCAACGCTAACGCCAATCTAGACTGTAAGGTCTACCCTCTCAACCCTACGGAGCAGGAGGAGTTGGACAAGTTCTTGGACGAGAACTTAGCCACCGGGCGTATCCAGGCCTCGAAATCCCCCATGGCTTCTCCCTTCTTCTTTGTTAAAAAGAAGGACGGGAAGTTGCGACCCGTTCAAGACTACCGAAAGCTCAACGAAATGACCATCAAAAACCGTTACCCGTTGCCGCTTATCGGAGAACTCATGGACCGACTGAAGAAGGCCAAGTACTTTACCAAACTAGACGTTCGGTGGGGGTACAATAACGTGCGAATCAAAAAGGGGGACGAGTGGAAGGCAGCTTTCCGAACCAATCGCGGCCTTTACGAGCCCCTCGTCATGTTCTTCGGGCTCACGAATTCTCCCGCTACCTTCCAATGGATGATGAACGACATCTTTAAGGATCTCATCACCGCTGGGGAGGTGTCGGTATATCTGGATGACATCCTCATTGCCTCCAAAACCAAGGCGGAGCATAAGAGGATTGTACGAAAGGTCCTCCAAATATTACGGGAGAATAACTTGTTCCTCAAGGCGGAGAAGTGCGAATTTGAAGTGGAAGAAACCGAGTACTTAGGGGTGATCATCAGCGAGGGGAAGATCCGCATGGACCCCGTCAAGATTGCGGGCCTCTTAGATTGGCCGGTTCCTCGGAGGAAGCAAGAATTGCAGTCCTTCCTCGGGTTCTGCAACTTCTATCGACGATTCATTCGTGACTATAGCAAGCACGTTCGACCGTTAACAATGCTTACCGGAAAGCAGGAGTGGACGTGGGGGGAGGCCCAGCAGAGAGCCTTTGAAAAACTCAAAGAATTATTCCGAGAAGATGTGGTCCTGGCCATTCCCCTTGACCAAGGGCGGTTCCGTGTAGAGGCAGACTCGAGCGAGGGAGCGATAGGAGCCGTACTTTCACAGTGGCAGGATGAGAAATGGCGACCAGTCGCGTTTCTCTCCAAGGCTCTTTCAACCACAGAGCGCAATTACGAGATCTACGACAAGGAACTTCTCGCAATTATGATCGCCCTCGAAGAATGGCGACAGTATCTCATGGGGGCCCGAGAGGATTTCGAGATCTGGACCGACCATTCAAACCTTCAGTATTTCCGCAAACCCCAGAAACTCAACCGGCGACAAGCCCGGTGGGTAACTGAGTTGGCGGAGTATCAGTTCAGTTTGCATCACAAACCAGGGGCTCAAAACCGCAAAGCCGACCTTCTATCCCGAAGGGCAGATCACGACCAGGGAAAGGAGGACAATCGAGACGTTGTGGTCCTTAAAGCGGAGCACTTTAGGGCCCTAATAATGCCAACCACAGAAGACTTGCACGAGAGGATCAAAGCTGCTACTCACGATCCTCGCCGATGGGATAGAGGCATTTCGGACTCCCTCAACCACGAAAAGGGGGTATCCCGCGAGCAGGACCTACTCTGGTACGACGGACGCATTTATGTGCCGATGGATAGGGACTTACGAGGGCAGCTCATTGCTCTCAAACATGATCACATCACCGCAGGGCACCCAGGGATCGAGAAGACCAAAGAGTTGGTACTCCGCGATTATTGGTGGCCTCGCATGCGAAAAGACGTGGAGGCATACGTGAAGGGCTGCGAGGTTTGCCAGCGAACCAAGGCTGACCGCCGTCCGAAGAAAGCCCCCCTTCACCCAAACAAGGTGCCAACACGACCGTGGACCCATATCTCGGTCGACATGATCACTAAACTCCCGACCTCCAAGGGGTTTGACTCCATCCTCGTCATCGTGGACCGGTTCTCTAAAGCCATCATCCCCATAGCGTGCACTGAGGAACTCACTTCTCTCGGATTCGCCAAAATCTTAAGAGATTATGTCTATGTGCCCTATGGGGTAATGCCCGAGACAGTAATCTCGGATCGAGGCTCGGTATTCGTATCCAAATTCATGAAGGAGTTCTACCGACTGCTCCACGTCGAGGGAAATCCCTCCACGGCGTATCACCCACAAACCGACGGGCAGACGGAGAGGGTTAATCAGGAAGTTGAGAAATATTTGAAAATGTTCGTCAATGACAGACAAGACGATTGGAGCGAATGGCTACCGCTAGCGGCCTTCACTCACAATAATCGCCAACATTCGGCGACGGGGTATTCTCCCTATTGAGTCATCTTTGGAAGAGATGGAGAGGTCATTAAAAAGCCTCAACGAGCCACAAGTGTGCCGGCAGCGGGAAAGCTCGTGGAAGAAATAGAAAAGGCGCAAGGCGAAGCAAAAAGATCATTGGAGAAAGCGGCAGAATCCATGAAAAGGGCCTATGACAAACACAAGGCCGCCGCCATGGAATACCAAATAGGGGACAAGGTTTGGCTCGACACGACCAACCTTCACCTCCCGAGACCAACCAAGAAACTCGGGGATCGTCGGGTCGGACCCTTCATAATCGTCGCAAAAAAAGGGGCTTCTGCCTACGAGTTGAAACTACCAGTAAAATGGAAAATTCACAACCGTTTCAACGAATCCCTATTGACCCCCTATATTGCTCCAACCTTTCCAAATCAACCGCGCCCCGAACGGCCCCCTCCAGAATTAATTGACGACGAAGAAGAATACGAGATAGAAGAAATCGTCGAACAGCGGGACAAGGTTATTGGTCGTGGACGGACCCGCCGCGCGATAACCGAGTACCTGGTTAAGTGGAGAGGATATCCAAGAGAAGAGAACTCCTGGGTAAAACGTTCGGACATGGCGAACGCAGAAGAACTCGTTAACGAGTACGAAGCCCACCTCCAAAGGATCCGTTGGGAGGTTGATAAACACGGAAAGACGGTCGGAAGAGACGACAAAATACCTCCGGAAGCTAAAACGCCATACCATGACCCGGACACCCCGTGCGTCACGGATGTCGAAACGGTCTGCTCATCCGAATGCACGAACCCAAGGCATTCGGATGTGCAGTCCTCAATAGAAATACGCGAAGTCACAGAAGAAGAGGCCAACGGAATACCTATCATCGAAGAGACATCCAACGATGAAGACTCAGATTCCGACCTCGACAATCTACAGCGAGTCCATGAAAACTGGGACTTCGACAGCGAAGATGATGACAACGATGATCATAGCGTCCTATCCTTCTATAGCGAGTCGGCAACGAGTGGAGAGGAGAGTCAAGGCTCATTCGGGACGAACGAGTCTTGAGGAGGGGGTAATGTTACGATTATTCTTTTCTTTTTCCTTTTCTTTTTCTTTTCTTTTCTTTTCTTACGTGTTCACGCTCACTCTATGTTGCGATCTCGGCCGGACGTTGCTGCGGCACTATCTTTAGCCTACGCAACGTGTATTTAAGTAGAGCCTCAGCTGGTCTAAACCCCAGCTTCGGCTAAGGTTAATTCTACCTAACATCGAACTCCGTTCTTCTGTCTAAGTGTCCCATTCACTTTCGTCGCCTTTGACTTGTTGAGTGTCGTCTACCGAAGCGCGAGTAGAGACCTTAGCACGATCTAAGTCGATTAGAGTTAGTGGCTAACAATCTTACCACTTGGCGCTCCGTAAATTTATAAGGTACGTTCACCATGTCATGGAGGTCCTTAGCCCATTTCCGTGCCTTCGACTTGAAACCCATCCCAGGAAGCCATCCAGGAAGGAAACGCACTAAAATATATATGGGTGAAATACATCAGAGAACAGAAGACCAACGTGTACGCACGAACAGGTATTTTATCCACAAGAAATGCCCCCGGAACAGTTACTTGCGAAAATTCAGCCATAGCCCTGTCAACCAGCTCAACGAGGGCATCTCCGTCTCCATTGACCTCATATCCGTATGTGATGCTGAGAATGAAACCGACAACACGACTGGAATAGCGACTGATATTAGAAGTTTTCTCGATGAATACCTTTCGCACTCACCGAGATATATGGTCGTCGAACTTGTCAGGGGTATTCATTAAATCCCTAAGGAGTCGCAGGGCCGTTGTTTCCTGCACTGTATGAAGTTGCCCCACGACGTTTGTACCAAAAATGCTATGCATGAGTTTCCGCTGCCTTCGCAAAACGGCTCCGTTGGGCAAGAGTCCAGGAACCGACTTCCAACCAACCATGTCTCCTCCCATTGTGAGGTGAGGGCGCTCAGAGTATATGGAGCCACGTTTATCGAGAAGGTCGACGGCTATCTCATAAGAGTTGAGGATTACAAATGTTTGCCCGAGGACGGTTGCCGAGCAAATGTCGCCTGAAACTAGTGAGGACGCATGACGTGGAAAGAGGATTACACATACCATACGTCTCTCTCCAGCGTGCGAAAGTCAACCAGGGCTTATCAGTGGGCATGTCTAAAGCATTGCCAATGAAAGGAAGTCCTCTCGGTCCTGGTGGTCGACGGCCTTTTGTGATAAGTATTTTATACGCAAGCCATGCGAGAGTGTAAGTCCCCAATGTAGACAGAAGGGCGTATAAGAACGCAGGAATAGATGTGAGCATTGCGAGAATGGATTCCCGCACAATTTGCTTTCGGATAGATGCTGGCAACGCTGGATTTTATACAAGGATGCAGCGCTGGGGGAGAGCTATGTTTAGACATGGCTTACGAATAGTCAGGCGTAAAACGGCATTCGTCAGGTCCCACGGACTTTTCGCCGCCAACACCATTTGTATACATCTCTTCGAGGACTAAGTGGTGAAATCGGACCAACGTCAACGTATCAGTTCCAGAAATACTCTCCCGCGAGAGGCCTGGCCATCGGTACGGAACACAGCAGGTATGGACATAAAGCGACAGGTTCTCCAGCGAAAATATAATGGATCTGTGTGGCAATATCAATGAATGCTGCCGTCCTAGCTTAACGAAATACGAACCTAAGTGTACATTTGAACATAGATTAGAAGCTTTCATTCGTTCTGTAGCCCTAAGGCGCTCTGTTTTCCCATACTACGTTACAGTTCCAAATAAATGAGTGGCGAACACGTACCAATTTGACATGAGTACAAAACGAATTGCACGGCGATTAAATATTAAATGCTCAGTGCGTCGGAAAAGGAAGGGTCGAGACACGTGGTGCTTAGTGCATTTTTAGGTCCCCGCCTCCTGTTTCGGTCCATGATGGCGCATCAACGTTTCAACGTTCAACTCGCGTTTTCTTATCGTCGACTTTGTCTTTTTGACGCTTCGGGAGCTGGAAAAATTCGGTTATTATGCCAGTCCTTTGCGAGAGTCAAAGCGAAATAATCGAAACGGGACTAAAGAAACAAAGACTGAGTTTAGTGTTCGAGGCTTATGAAAATATAAAAACTGGACGAATTTCCCCCGAAGATGATCTACAGCATACTGTATGTGTACACGAAGGGCATTGTTTATCCTAGTGAGGATAACATTGGGGCATACTTTGATATCCGGAAGAAAGCCAGACGCCTAGGTAGAATATAGAGCTTTGTAAAGCTCTCCCCTCACACAGATAAGCCATTTTGGTCTCCTACACAACGTGAGGTGTTTCCTACTCGTATTCCTGCCGACATCCTTCTCAAGTTCACATATTCTATAAATCTGAGTTTTGTCTCCGCATGAACTAGGAGATGTGAATTTGCTCACCTTCAGCAGAGTAATAACCCTCTCGTTGCTGCTACAATTATTCGTATTCATGGGCCTGTCTATCGCAGAGCCGGTAGGTCCTCAGGTTGTTTCTATCTGTCCTCGGGCATGAGAAGATGATCACAATTCTCTATGCTCGAAACCTGTGGATAGAATTCGGTACTCAGTTTATCGGGAGTTGTAAATAGAGAGTGAACATGATACAAAGTAATCGAAGAGGGATGTTGCCACCGTGGGCGAGATCTCACGCAAGCGACAGTAATCCTTCCAAGCCTTCCATTCGCCCGCTATCTAAAGCTGCGCACTCTCACCTAAGACGCTTTCTTCACTTCTCCTGAGGAGACACCCACCAGTGTCGTCTCCGGGAGTGTCGATTGTCTGACTCCAGGTACCAGCGCGGTATCCAGAGCATTACTGCCGCGACAATCCCTTTGCACCGGGAGTTGCCGATCTGCGGTAGCGACAGTCTCCCTTGACAGGGCATAGCCGGAGGCAACACGAAGAATAATGAGTTGCGGGGTCGCCGCCTAAGTCATTGTGAGTTCAGTGAAAACGCCTAATCGATGATGCCCACCTCGATCATAGTCAACAATGGAACGAACAAGAGATAAGCTATGTGGTTCGAACAGTACAAACCGATGAGTAAAACCGAGACGATAGTATGCGGCAGGGCAGATTCGATCATCAGCGCGGCCAACCCGGTATACAGCCGTCCGTACTGCGGCCCCAAAGAAGCTCGAATTTTCTTGCGTATCAAGAGAAGTCGGGCGACCATCATGAGCGTGACGAGAATATTGAAAGTGACTGATAACGACCTGTAAGCGACATGGGCCTTGATGGTAATTCCGCTGCTACTGTTGCGTGGTGAAGCAATTTCGATGAGGTAGAGAATGCCCATAGCTGTGGAGAAACGAGTAGGGTTTAGCTATGGAAAGAAAGGTAAAGGTTTCAATAACTTACTCGCTGTTGAGAAAAGAATCAGGGCGGGAAGTACAACAACGATCCATTTGTTGTGGTACACGACGTAGCATCGCCAAAGCTATGAGGAGGCCCGTTGAATATAGGTAAATCGCCACGCACGATAGAGCTTACCAAACAGATGTCGGCAAGAAACGTGATGATAATCGCTGCAGCACCCGCAACGAGGGGTGGAGTATGGTTCTGTGTGTAGAGATACATTGGGGGGGTCCGCCCGGGTAGTTGCGTTCGTCGATCCAGGTCAATTCGCATGCGTTTATGTTACCGATGGTGTAGGCTGTTGACAAAACAACCAGGAGGGCGATATAAGTTATGTACTGCCAGGCGAACTTCTGCCGTTTCCCGTATAGAATGTGGTAAATGGCAAGATAGGCAATGACCAGTTGTGCACCTGCAATGAGGATTTAGCCCATGATTCCCACCTAGAGGGACAAACCTACCGTATGCGATAGCCCCAATATAAGTCGTAGCGTTGTAGGTCTGTTCAATCCACAGAGACTCGGCGGGCTCGTTGGTCTTGTACGGATCGTTGGACATGCTTCAAGTACAAAGTCAGGGAGGACACAACTGTCAAGCTGACGTCACGCCAAACTGGCATTGAGCGAGTTTTTAAGAGATGCCAGAAAGAGTGACCCACCAAAATCCGAGTGGATATATACGCCTGTTTCTGTCGGCTGGAGGTCTGACACCGACCTCTTCGATACAGAGATTGCTTGAGGGGTGAATTGGTCACATCTGGTCGGCGTTGGACCTTCAGCATCCATGCCAATTGCCCGATACGGACCACCTGAATGCCGATGCTCTGGTCAACCGCTAAATATCTGAAGGAGCGGATCCTGAGATTGCAGGGAACCTTCAGCTCCAGTTGTAATCGGTTTGCTAGGACAATGTCGGTCCATACTACGTGTTCTTGTGCACGATTGATAACGAAGTTCAGGGTTCTTGCACTATCAATACAATCAATGCCTGTCGAGGCTGCAGCGAAACAATATGACGCACCATGAAGCCTTGGATATGGATATGTAGGTCTCCTCAACGCCTTCTTCAAGAGCACATCAAACGACTGCGTTCCTGTAGTTGTTCAAGTGCTGTACATATTACAGTCAACGTTGTTAAAGCAGAGGCTAGTAGTCGTACGTACCTTCAAGTTGACGAGCTCAGTCTGCCCCAATATCAGCATGATTGGGGACCATCATTGTACGTCGACGCGCCGCATCCAGCAGTAGTTCCAAGTCCTCACGCATGCTCTCGTTGTCGCGTCGCGTCGCGAGCTTTCGTTGATGAGAGTAAGAAGGAGAAAGTGGCGCACAGTTGGCACTTGTTTGCTTCTTTTCCTTTCGATCCGAGCAAAAGGATTTGGTACATAATTCGATCCAATTACGGCCCTTGCAGAGAGCGGGTGTCGGCTGGCCCATTCGCGTCCGAGGCAAACTAGCTAGCACTACTGCGGTTGGTATGCTCTTTGCCTTGGTTGTTATCTCATTACTCGATATTCAGGTGAACTGGGGAATATTCGGGGAACATCGAAGTAGAAAAAGGTGACAGACTTCTAAATCCTACTTCAGACGCTGAAGGCCAATCGTCCGGCGATGTGCCGTCTCCTTTCAAAGTACATCAGATACACATTAATATCACATCCAATATTGTGGCGAGACTACATCATCGGTGAAGGCAGTGGCGGGAGTGGCGGAAGCGATGGGGACGAACCAAAACGATCCGAAATTTCACTCCTACGCGAGCGGTAAGAGGGTGGTGGTGGGGATGCTCTGTACGTGAACTCCAGCTGTTCGTCCAGGTACCTGATCTGATTTCTCTGAGACAAATTCTCCTCTTGTAGCCGCTCGATCTCGTCTTCGTATGCAAGCCGAGAAGACCAAGATAGTCTTCTCGATGACTCGGATGTGAAGGATTGGCGGGATCCGGCCTGTGTAGAGGATGTTAAAGCGGGAGTGATGATTGGATTGGGAGCGGAAGTCGTTCCGAGGCCAATATCATCGCTGGCATTGCTATTAGCCCTGTTACGACGTTCTCTTCTTCGCCAGAGGACGAAAACCAAAACGAGTACAGCAACAGAAGCTAAGGATCCAATGACACTGCCAGCGATCACGGCTGGACTTGTTCTGCGAGAGGAGTCGCTATTTGCTGCTTTATGAGAAAACGTGGCCCCCGACATCGTGTTTCACTTACGAAGAAGCTTGTAGAGAGACAGATGGACTGAGAGTAGTGGTTGTTGTTCTGTTGGAAAGTGAGAAAACATGTCAAACTTTGGGCGCTGCATCGAGAAGACGGACCTGATGCTGCAATACTGAGATAAGCTTCGGCAATAGTAAAAGTATAATAAGACTTACTTTGCAATAGTCACGGTTGCCGTGCTTTCAATGTTGTGGATGCTTGTGGAAATAATCGTCGGATCTTCTCTATGAAGAACTTGTTAGTAATTAGATATTGAGATTGAAGAGCAAATGCCGCCGCAGGCTTTTTTTTTTTTTTGACTTATGACTGGCCGCCCGAGTCATCTGGAGGGGAAGGCGGAAGTAACAAGGAGATCATCGTTCTGTTGAACAGTGTCAAGCCATGGTGAATGGGCGGCGCATCGAAAAGACGAACTCGGGACTGCAAATACTGAGCTAAGCTTCGAAAGTATTGATAAAGCTTACATTATATCATCAGGGATAGGTGGTATAGCGATACCGGTGATATTCGTGACTCCATTCATTGTGGCGAGACTCACTAGGTGCAAGAAGAGATCCGAGACAATGGCAGGGTGAAGGAGAATCTAATGAGATCGAGTCACTGAAGAGCATAATTAGAGAAGATGGACAAACCTACGAGTAAGGAGATGGTGACCAGAGGCTAAAACGGCGCACTACAACTGAACGTTTATATGCAACGACCAGGCCTACTTGGCAACAATATCTCCCGTGATGAAGATGAAGATGAATACACCGATCATATAAATCAGCCGCATAACTCAAAAAGATTTTGTATAAGCTCAAAGACGGTCGGGGTGCCAACAGGGATGTTACGCTGTCACGAAAACCGTTCTGTGACGCATACATAGGCCTTGGAAGATCAATGTATTGAAATTTCGGTCCCACAGAGGGTGCACTTATCCTGTATGAGATGGATCAAAAGGTGGGAATCGTGAAGGAATTGAAATCAGGATATGATCAGTACTCTACTTTTTGGAGTGATGTGCATAGCTAGGCACCGACTCGTAGATGTTTTCGACGGTAGTGTGATTATCTTGGCATTCTATAGCTTGAACTGCGCGCATCCAGGATACCTGATTGGAAGAGAAGTGGGTAGCGACCGGGCTATTGAATATTCGAACAGTGAGAATATTATTGACCTTGGTGCAGCGATAAAGTAGATTCGCAGAGAAAAGAGGTTTCCTTCATAACATGTGTGTTCGACAGTAAGAGTAGCTAGACAGGATCACATTGTGAATGGAAAGGAAATTACTCTTCGCACCGAGAAAAGATGCCAAGAACCTGATCCTGGCAACGAAACAGTGAAGATGCAAGCCAGTCCACATCAACGAAGAACCGCCGAGGTGGATTATTTGGAGGCCGCAGCCTTAGCAAGGAAAACTCGTTTGTACCATTGTTCTGCCTCCGTCTATACTGTAGAAATAGTCTCAGGCGTTGACATCAAATACCGGATGGTAGAGTAACGCACCTGGATTTGACCGTACTACGACTGGTCTTGACCTAAGCATTCCGAGTAGTGGTTTTATCGCAACATCAGTGTTGGCCGTCCTTCAAGAAGGCTTGAAATTGGGCGGGACCTCCGGACTCACTGGCTTCGCTAACGGACTGAATGGTTGACGTCGATGCGTATACTCTCGTCTTCCACTAAGATATCTGAAGGGGCACTCATCAGGATCCAGAGGTTGCGATGAGCCTTCAGCTGCAGTTGGGTTGAGAGGAAAAGATCGTTCAGATCATACTATTGCGCATGATCAATAATGAAGTTGAGCCTGCTCTATCAGTACAGTCAATACCCATCGAGGTTGCAATATGACGCACCATGAAACCAGGTATGCATACGCCTACCGAGCCCCAGCATCGCAACCTGTCAACAGCAAACAATTTGCCTGCGTTCCCACAGTTGTCCAGGCGCTGTACATGTTACGGTCAATATTGGTAAAGCAGGGCTGAGTAGCTGTACATACCTTGATGAGCTCAGTCTGCCCCAATATCAGCTTGATCCAGGATCATTCTCGTACATTGACGCGCAGATCCTAGCAGTAAGTACGGGCCTTCACGTATGTCCTCGCTGTCGCGTCGTGTCGCGAGCTTTCGTTGATGGAAGTAAGAAGGAGAGAGTGACGCGCAGTTGACACTTGTTTGCTTTTCTTTTCCTTCTTAGAAATTTCGCTCCTATCTCATCTCATCATTACACGACCCGCTACCCTCAGCTTTCGACTTGAGAACAAAAATTTCAGTGTGTAATACGATCCAATTGTGGCCCTAGCAAATACCCAGATTTCCGGTGTCGGTCGGATTGAAGGAGAGCTTGCGTTCAAGACAAACCAAAGCGCCATCACTGCGACAATGCACAGTGTGGTGCACCTAGGTGAGCGATGGAAATCTGCAAGTATATGCTAGATAGAAAAGCTTGGCGCACCCAAGGGAACAGCCGGATGAAATTACATCACTTCTTTACATGCCTGTCCCGATCTTGGGATGTTGGAAGGCGTCGTTGGCCTTGCAGTACGTCGTCGAGCTCTGCATGAGCTTCTGCACATCAAGGAAGAGCACATAATTCGATCCAATTACGGCCCTTGCAGAGAGCGGGTGTCGGCTGGCTCCATTGAGGGAGCGTTCACATCGGAGGCAAACCAGCTAGCACTACTGCGGCAGCATCTGTGCACTGGGAATTGTCGATCAACACTGACGAGAGATGAATTGTTGGTGTGCTGTTTGCCTTGGTTGTTACCTCAATACTCAAGTATTAAGGTGAATTGGGGAACACTCGGGGAACATCGTAGAAAAAGAAAGAGACATCTGAATTCTACTTCAGATGCTGAAGGCCAATCGTCCGGCAATAGCCTGTCTCCTTTCAAATCAGTTGTAAAAAATACGATACCTTATGGAGTTCCTTGACCCAATAAATACACACGCCAGCGGGGTGTATTGAGAGGAGAGAGTCAAGAGTACAAGCAAGTAAGGTAGACGTAGGTGAAAAGTGATTAAGAAGCGAAGCGATCAGATCAATACGGAAGAAGACGGAAGAGCAACGGGCATAGCTAAGGAAGTAGGTAGATAAGGATACACATATGAAGTCCATATCCTTTACAAAGTACATCAACGATCACTGTGTACACATTAATATCCTATCCAACATTGTGGCGAGACTACATCATCGGTGAAGGCAACGGGGGCAGTGGCGGCGGTGACGGGGAAGAATCAAAAGGATCCGAAATCTCACTCAGGCTCATACGTGAGCGGTAAGAGGGTGGTGGCGGGGATCCTCTGCACGCGGACTCCGTCTGCTCGTCCATCTGCCCGTCCATGTACCTGATCTGATTTCTCTGAGACGAATTCTCCTCTCGTAGCTGCTCAATCTCTTCTTCGTATACATGCCGAGAAGACCAAGATAGTGTTATCGGAAGCGCAGCTGGCTTGGATGTGAGGGATTTGATGGATCCGGCCCGTGTCCGCGTGGAGGTTGTTAACATGGGAGTGATAATTGGATCGGAAGGGACACTTGTCTCAAGGTCAATATCATCGCTAGCATTGGTAGTAGCTCTGTTGCGATTTTTTCTTCTTCGCCAGAGGACGAAAGCCAAAATAAGGACAGCAACAAAAGCTAAGGATCCGACGACACTGCTGGCGATCACGGCTGGAGTGGTTTGACGAGACGATCAGTGTTTGCTGAACTAGCGGCTGCTTTATGAGAAAACGTGGCTTCCAACCTTGTGTTTCACTTACGAGGAATCCTGTGGAGAGGAAGATGGACCGAGAGTAACGGTCGTTATTCTGTTGGAAAGTGAGAAAAGTAGATTGAAAGGGACGATGCCTTACACAGCGTCAACGACCGGCGTCTCAGTAATAGGTGCACTATCACATTTGAGAAGGCCCGTAAGTCAGCACAGAAGGCGTTAGCACGGAGAGGGTACTTACGATGTTGTGGCGATACCAGCCGTACTATTCGTGACACACATCGTGGTGAGACTTACTGGGTGCAGGAAGAGATCCGAGACGATGGCAGGATGAAGGGGAATCTACTGAGATCGAGTCACTAAAGAGTGTATTGAGAGAAGATGGATGGACCTACGAGTAGAGGAGACGGCGCGGCCAGAGAATATGGCCCACTACAATTGAGCGTTTAAGCTTTATATGCAACGACTAGGCCTACTTGGTAGCAACACCTCCGTGATGAGCATGAGGATGATCCTCATGCATGGTCAATACACCGATCATATGGAAGTCACTGATCGGCCACATAGCTCAGAAGGATTTTGTACGAGCTTAGAGACAGCCGTGGCACCAACAGGATCCTATGCTGCGCGAAAGCCATTCTGCGACGCATACCCGGGCTTGGGAGCTCAGTTTATTGAAATACGAGTTCCGCAGAGGATGCACTCATCCTGTATGAGATGGATCAAGTCAAATCATCGAGGTGGGGGTCGTGAAGGACTTAGATATTAGATACGATCATTGAACTTAATGCTGGTAGGTGATAAGCGCTCTTTTTTGGAGTAACACAGCAACTTATCTTGGCAATCTACATCTTGTGTATCCAAGATACCTGATTAGAAGAGACGTGGATGAAGATCATACCATTGAAGATTCGAAAAGCGAGAACACTATTAAGCTTGATGCAGCGAGGAACTAGATTTATAGAGAGAAGAGGTTTCTTACATAGCGCGTACGATGGACAAGGGGGTACCGGAATTCCGGCCCGGCACACCGGGTAGGTAGGTAGGTCCAGCCGGATGTCACGAAAAAAAAAAGTTGACCACCATTTTGGGGGTCTAAGAATGGACTTCAAGGATAAATTTTAGAGCATACATGATACAATATATGCTACTGAGTGTGCTACTTACCTTAGGGCATCATACCTAGCGATACCAACACTCAGTCAATGCCATTACAAAGTGGCCCTGCTGACTGGACATGGTGACATTACAACATCCCATTAGAGCACAGCCATGATTCAGACTTGATAGCGTACAGATTATGTTCAAAACACTTTCAATATTAATATCACGGCTATTTCAGGCAAAATATTCACCGAATTGAGTCGAAAGATACCCAAATTTAGCATAATGACATCATAGATGTCACGTGAAGGTAGGTAGGTCCATCGTTGGTGCACGAAATTATTTAATCGACCTACTGTCTTTTAATTCATTATTAGGACCCCCTTGACAATGGACAGTAAGAGTAGCTTGACAAGATTACAAGGCGAACGGGCTAAGAAAGAAAGAAAATAACTTTTCACATCGAGAAAAGACGCCGGAACCAGATAAAAAAAGATTTGCCATGGTGGATTGACCGGCATCAGCGTCCATGCTGCGTCCATAATCTCATGTGTTGGTACCAGATATCAGAGAGCAGAGAAACGCACCTGGATTTAACCGTACTAGGCCGATCTTGACCCAAGCACTGCAAGTGGCAGTATTATCGCAATATCAGTGTTGGCCATCCTAAGCAAGCTTGAAATCGGGTGGGACCTCCAGACTCACTGGCCTCGTTAACGCCGAATGATTTCCTCAGCCATGTCAGTCTTCCACAACGCCGTTGACTTCGTCTTATGCCCTTTGAGTTGCTCATCGATGCCGCGTGCCTCAGTTAAACATTCTGAAGGTACTGCATTGAATGGATATCTGACCAGAAAGTCGGATTTGAGTTCCTTGGCCGCGCGCTAGGCAGGACATAGTACTGGTTCTCAACTGGTTCTTCGATAAATTGATATAACACAAAGCAAAGATGCCGCCCTCGGTCGTGACGTCGGTATGGCCATTTGTCGACGACATAGGTGATGCTCAACATCAGCCTTTCGTCGTCGGGAGAAATAAAGTCACGATCTAGGTTCTAGAGGTGCATATGTCAATGGCAATGGATCCTGTATTGATACAGAGATTTACGAACTTTGGTCGCTCGCCAGGTAAGGTCCAGTCCCAAATTGTCGATGCACGCTCCGACCAGAGAATCGTCAGAATACACAAAAATGGAAGCGCCAGAAGCCATCAAAAGCTGTGCTAGATGAACAACCGTGAGGAACCAGAGAGTCGCAGCGTGAAGAAATGAAGGTTGAAGTCGTTCGTGGTGGTCGATGGCAAAGGTTGTTTGGCAACGTCAACAAACAAACACGCCTTCCCTACCTTCACCTTCACGCGTCTGTCGTGCAAGTCGCAACAATATTGTCTCGTAGACGTGTCTGCAAAATTTATCTGCAGCCATACGATGCCTACGAAGGGTCTGGAAGCTAGTTTGAGTGACGGTTCGGAGTGAGCAAACCTATTTCTTCCTTTCCTCGCTGTTCTTACGCTCAAATCTAGGCATCTTGGTGGTGACGGAATCTGTTTATCACTGTATGAGTGGCCGATGACCAGTTGACAGTGAGGCAGCTCGTGACTGGTATCCCTGACCCCTGCCTAATGCCATGATGGACAAATTCGGCCTGTAGCAGGCTGTTATATAGTCGGTCGGCCCTACTTGTTTTCGTTTCACTTTTGTTCATTGTCGAACAGTATGTCTGGGTAGCATACACCGCGAAGATATATGTGCACATACAATCGACCGGTAGTTCAGGATGGACGTTACTACCAAGGGTCGCAATCCTCTTCCTATACGCGCCACTGTCACCTCATTTTCAGTATAGAAATTTACATGCTAGGTCGTTGCCAGTTGGCTCTGTGCAATCAAATCTCGATATCTCACTATTGCGTGAAGCTGTATCTACTTCTCCTGTCCTAGGAAGCACTAGACTCATTGTATCTCCCTTGTTTCACTGCAGCGAGGTAACGAGATTCCGTCGCTTCTCGAAAATTTCCGCTGGCAGCTCAAATAGATTCAGGCTTGCCGGCGGATATGACAGCATACGGACGAAGGGACGGCTCTAAGCTGTCACTTGCTCCAGACAAATATATACGGCTACTCCTCGAGATACATGTAATGCTCAGCTGCGAAACAGGCTATTGAAATGATATCAAAAAGCTAACTCATGATAGCCAGTAAGCAAGCCCATCGTTTCTTCTCTTATGCCATCTTGAGTGATGAAAGGAGCCTTCGTTATTGTTGTATGAACGGACATGTGGTCCCATGGCAATACCGCCTCTAGAAGGGCTGGCAACACGCTGCACCGGCTCAGTCTAAAGGTGCCTTATATTCCGAAGGGTGGGTCCCACTGGTGGTAGCCATTGACGTCTCTAAGATGGTCCAGCCCGCCCTGCCGTTCTTCACAGCCTTCTCCTCTCATCCATCATTGGATGGTATAGCTAGGTACCACCTAATGTGTGGACTGATCTGATCGTCTCCGGCATGGGTATCCTAAGTATCGCCTCGTGGCTCAAAGAAGGATGTGGTTACTGACGAAGGTTAGTTAGATTTATTCTATTTGGCACTAATAGTAGTACGAGACTGAAATCAATGTACGATCCCACTGTAGCATGGACGGTACTGTCTATATTCCTATGGAAACAAATAATATAAGAATTACACATACTAAACGATACAATTAATGAGATCCCATCTAAAACAAAGATGAGGCTGCGTCATCAACCAATCTCATACGGAGGTAATGGCGTCGCCAGTGGCAGGGAAGAGCGGAAAGGATCTGAATTATCACTCCTACGGGCGGAGTGGTAAGAGGGTGGTAGAGAGCCACCATGAACGAAACCCATCTGCTCGTCTGTGTGCCCGAGTTGTTGTCGTAGCTGCACCATCTCTTCTTCATTTGCATTTCGAGAAGACTGAGATAGTCTCCTCTGAAGGGAAGACGACTCAGATGTGAGAGATTCGATGGTCATGGTGGATTCGCGCATGGTGCGTGCGGAGGGAGGTGATGATTGCGATATGAGGGGAAGGATTGGATTGGATACAACAGTCTCTAGACCAATCTCATCAGTATTGTTACGTGCCGGCTTTCAATACTTTTCTGTTCGCCAGAGGACAAAAATCAGGGCAACTTCAATGGCAATAACCAAAGTTAAAGATCCGATGATGATGGTAACAATCACCGTTGGAGACATCTTATGAGAGTAGGCAGTAGCTTCTGAACTGGACATGATTGTGTGAGAAAACATGGCTTCGATTGTGTTTAACTTACTCTGCAGTAGCAGCAAGGGTGTTCGGGATCTCAATGCCTCTGCTATTTGTTGAAGTAGATGATCTATAAAACATTTGTCACTTATTAGTCGCTGAGGTTAAGACGGACAGGACGGTTGATCTTACGGTATAAATGTGAATGTAGGTGTAAACGCTGTATATCTATGAAAGAGTGTGGTTTCGTTGGTCAGTACTGAAGAGTTATGACTGAAAGGGTGAGGGTGACACTTACGACGATGTAATAATCTGACTACTCTGAGTCTTTTCATCCATTCCGCATAGATTGACTAAGCACACGAGGAGGTCCGAGAAGACGATAGCGTGAAGGATAGTATGAATCAGGTCACTGAAGAGTGTGGCGAGACAAACTGAGTTGGCCTACAAGCAAAGGAGGCGGTTGCTAGGGCCTAAAATGGCCCCATGCGACTGAATGTTTATACAGAACAACTAGACAGAATTGGTGAGGGGGGTTCAATGATGAGGGTAAATGCTTCGCCGATCAGGAAGAGGTTACTGACTAGCCAGATAGTCCAAAAGGGGACTCGTCGATTGTGGATCTGTAAGACCGAAAGACAGTCATAGTAATAATCTGCATCTTATACCAGGCATAGCCATCCCATAACACATACAATAGGAGCCAGTGCATAATAAGATGTACCGAAACAAATTATTGAGGCAGGAGTCGTGAAGGACCCAGATGTCATGATATGATCGTTGAATCGAAACCGAATGCTGTTTGAAGGTAAGCGCTCTCCTTTTTCAGAATGATATACACAGCACAAGAAACTTATCATTCGCATGCATTTTTTTCGCCAATGATACCAACCCGAAGTCATCACAGTGATGGGGACTACGATGCAGATAAGCAAGGCGATCCACCATTTAGATAAGTACTACACTGCTTCTGAGTCATTTCCCTATATGATATGCACACTGATATGTGTGACGAAAACATTGACAACATCGTACAGAGTGGAAAGCATTAACTGAGGGATTGATATTCAGAACGGTGTCGGAAAAGGAAGGGATGGGGCACGTAGTCGTTAACTCGAACGACGATTCTTGAAGAGACGAGGAAGAGTACATGCACGTGCCTGGGATCCACGAAACCCGGACCGGCCTCAGCACTTTTTTTCCCCCGGATTTCAAAATCGATTCCATTCGCAACTCTCGCTTTGTCATTTCAAGTTGCCACCTCCAGGGCTGGATGAATTCGGCTATCATGCCAACCTTGGGCAGAAGCTATGGCGAAGTATTCCAAAGCTGCGAACCGAAGGCCAACAAATTTGAAGCTTTTTGTAAAGACAAGACCTCGAACTTACGGTGTCCTGATCTGACGAACAAGCTCCTCATTGCGGAGAGCGCCGTATGGCCCGACGAGAGCAACGCCGCGACATCACTTGTCACTCAGAAGAAGTCCGGATGATAAGGTGAAGTGTAGAGGCCTTTCAAGCTCTATCTTCGTAAGGACAAGATCATATTGACTCTACTGCGCATTCTGGGTGTGGTTTCAGGCTTGTCGCTCTACCAGATCCTTTCTCAGTATTCACGCAATATTTGGGCATTTCCGAAACAGACTTGCATGACTTTCATGATGATACATCTGTTGCTGCTGCGGTCCTTATACTCTGGCATATTTACTCGATGGTACAAGGCGGTGTGGCAGTATCAATGCTTTCAATCCGCAGTCACGACCCTAGATTGCCAATATCTCACCAACGTTCAATGTTCATTGTTGAAGAATTAAAACTTGGTCTTTTAGAACTAAAGCCAACGCTTTGAACTCCGGTCTAACGGGATATCTCTGGAGCTACGATACGTCTGTAAAGCTATGCAAAGCCTGCTGGTCTGAGGAATCACATACCATTTCAATGAACAACACGACATGCGGGCAGGATACCCTGCCAATGGACTGTTTTTCAGATGTACGCGAAGGAGGCGATACATGACCTCCTAGCTGTGGATATCATGAAACCTCGAGGGAAGGGTATGTTGACTCATTCTTAAAGCGCGTCGACCAACAGCTTTTCTTCATTGTATTTCTTCGTCTTCACTGTCTAATACTCCAGAAACTGGCATTCATTTCTCCGGTCATGTCTCTAGATTACGGTGCGTGATTTTTCCCACATCCTTGTCTCAGCATTGATTGACACCTCCATGTTCGATCCAGTTAAAGTGCTTGCTCAGATGGAAGCAAACAACAATGATTTATATGGGTATGTGCCCACCAAGGGCGTCACACTCATGTTTATCATCCTATTCGGTATTTCTACCTGTGAGTGCAAGACCTGGGTATTGGTACAGATTGATATTTATTTTCTCCAGTGACGCATACCTTCCAAGGCATGTACTTCCACATGTGGTGGACCATTCCAACTATCCTTCTCGGTGGGAGCTTGGAGATACTGGGATGGAGTGCACGCTTTTGGTCGAGCATCTCTCCGCGTCTCGATACGCCGTTTACTATTCAGTGTGTGCAACCCTTTCTTTAACCTGGCTGATGTTGATCATTAACACAGAATAACGTCCACTATCATCGGACCAACGCCTCTCGTCGCTGCAAATTTCATCATCACGGGTGCGATTATTCGTATTCTGGGGCCTTCCTACAGTAGACTGAGTCCGAGAGCATGTAAGTCCGAGTATTATGTTTCCACTTGTCCTATCGCTCACATGTAAGCTAGATTCCAGGATATTCGTCAGCTGCGTGAGTATTTTGCAGGACCATCAGCATTATCACTGATGCTATCTTGTTCTAGGATATCCTTTCCCTCTTTACGCAAGCTACAGGAGGAAGTATGGCGTCGTCAAATGACGATCTTAATATGGTCAAAATTGTGAGGCTAACAAATTCTTCTCTGTTGTGTAAGCCACTAACTCTGATCGACTTAGATCGTGTTAGGGTCGCTACTCGCACTTCGGTAGACGACGATCCAACAAGTCAAAGGCGACGAAAGTCGATGGGACAGATAGTCACAAAGGACGGAGTTCGATGTTAGGTAGAATAAACCTTAGCCGAAGCTGGGATTCAAACCAGCTGAGGCTCTACTTAAATACACAATGCGTAGACTAAAAATAGTACTGTGAGAATGTCCGATCAGAACCGCAGCATAGAGTAAGCCTGAATACGTAAGAAAAAGGAAAAGAAAAGAATAAACCGTAACATGTTGATACGGATCTGACGTTCTCGGTGATGTAGGGAAGCGACGTGATGCTTGGAGGTATTGCCTTCCAACTGGGTAAGCTTAGAGAGCTGTTTCGTGAGCGTTGTTAACCTATCACAGCCGTCATCGTATTCTACGCCATTTTGGGCTGCGAGTTCCTTCTCAGGTACAAGTACGACCGCCCTTTCATCCGGCGCAGGAATCGGAACCCCTCCTCGACAACCCTTTCATCGCCAAACATCGAATGAGGAGTCATGGACAAAGGATTGAAGTACATGATTCGCGCTTTGGTCTTCAACACTGTTTGCCTCATTGTTCGGTATGTGAGACCGTCGTGTATTTGATTACTCCCTACAATGTTTTTTCAGGGCGATTTATCGGACTATTGAACTCGCAGATGGGTGGGATGGAAAGGTCATCCACACGCAAGCCTACTTCAGTACTTATTCAATTACTCATTTTCTTCAACCGTGGCTGATCAACTAACTAATAGACATTTTCGACGGTGCTATGGTTATCTTGGCCATCTACACCTTAAACTTTGCCCATCCCGGGTACCTGATTGGAAGAGGAATGGGTAGAGACCGGGCCATTGAAGACCAGAAAAGCGAGAGCGCTATTGAGCTTGGTACAGCGACGAACTAGATTCAGAGGTAAATGAATATTCATAGCGCGTAAAGCGGTGGACGCTCAGAGCAGCTATATACAGCTGAAGGGTGAATAGATCAAACAAACGAATTTACCCCACCTAAGTGCAGGACTAAGCAATCGTTCTAGGTCGAGTTAACGCCGGTTCAAGACCAGAGGTGTGACAGAGGGCTCCAGGGCCGGCCGGACTGCAGCTGGGGTTTTGCTCATGCTTGTTGGTGTTATTCTTCTACAGACACCACCATCATAATAATGGGTCATGATACCGCTGAACAGCCGCTTAGTGGCTCCGCAAAACTGCTCAGTACTGAGATTTTCTGGCGCAAGCATGCTGCGTGGCTGAAAGAGTGTGGCTATGAGCTACGGCCTCGCCTTTGACCTGGTTGGGTTCCATCATGGATAGGCATAAAGAAGGACCCGTATGACTGCGAGGATGGTCACTGCATATCGGTGGGAGCACAAGAATTCCTGGTTACGTATATACTCATTTTCTGTTAGCATAGTGCCGTATTTATCAATGCCAAGGACATATCAACTGGGCAGGTCATGGCAATGAAGAGAATCAAGCACGAAAACAGTCCAAACGAGTTGGCCATTGGAAACCCTAAACCCCGCACAATGCAGAGAATAAGACCAACTTTTCAATGAAACCGTACACCTCGAGCTCAAGCTCAAGCATAAAATAAAACTCGTCTTGTCCTATCAACTCATCCAGATCATGCGATCCGCCCAAGACAAAATAGCCCAGTCTAAAAACTATCGACAGTAGCGATCTCTTCTTTGCCCACTGGCAGCAACACTCGAGGACCTCAAGCTAGGAATCCATGAAACGTTTGGTGGAGACTCTGGTACGTTCCGTGGATGCGTCGTCTACGCCTAGTATATTTATTTTGTTTCAGAGGCATACCAGCATCTGCTTCTGGAAGAACAACTGCCCTGTCATCAGTAATTATGCTCCCTGCTGTGTCCTTGACGTTGAACTAGGCTGACTGACGTGCTGATCTTTCATCTGCTCTCGTCCACGTTCTTCTGGCTTGGGATCCTCTCTCCATTTCTGCTGTGGTCTCTACTTTGGGCAAAGGATCTACCTTGAAAGCTTGACCGTCGGTACGTCTTAACAAACCCGTCGCAGATACTCGTTGTCTGATGCGTTTGTTTTAACAGTATTTTTCTACATCATTCTATGTATACCTACTGTCTTGTGTACCCCATCATGTCATGGTGAAATGTATGTGAATTGACTCGGAGAACATTCTGGTTCTTGTATGGACAAGGTTCATCGGCGCGAAGGTCCATTTTCATCTACACTCAGTCCTCAACACAACCCTCTTCACAGACGAAAATCCAAGACATGAACCGGTCTTTTAGTTTGGGTAATGAACTTACCGGGTGTGTAGCTGCGTGATTACAATCCTGTCTGTTTCGCCTTACTTCATTCTGGTCAAGACGGCGAGGTTACGCCTAAATAAACCACTTCTCCAGTACCGCAGTAACCACGTCGCTCTTCTCACTAACCTGCTTGTACTTCTGGTGCCCAGCCTTCAGTTTCAACCTCAATACCTCACTCCCAAGAAACCTTGTACCCAGCAAGACCCTTCAACCTGTTTGCCTGCCGTCTTCTCCTACAGTTTCTGAGCTGTCTCTTAGGTGTACTTGACTTTACCTTCCAATTCCTGTGCTTGAATCTTTTGCTGAGAAGCCCCCCTGCAGCTGCGCAATGCGGTTTGTCGATACATCGTAGCACTGTTTGATTCTGTTCCTTTTGTCCGAGAGACTACAGTCGCCTCTGAAGTAACCCATACTTGTATTAACCCATACTCTGCTGTAACCCATAGGTTTTGTCATCCACTGACCTCGTTTGCAGGTAAAATGAGTACATAACCCATAACTTTGCTATAACCCATAACCCATAGCTCTTTCCTGAAAATCCCTCTGTATAGCCACATACTCAGCCAATAATTTGGGTCAGATGGCTCAATTGTTAGCATTTTGTGTTGAATTTTGGGTTGTTGCGGGTTCAAACCTTGCTGTTTGCATTGTTTTTGGGCAAGCGCAGACTGGTGCGTGCGGAGAAATATGATTTACGGCTCGATTCTTGCCGCTCCCTCGACTCCTGCAGCCATGCCTGACCCTATTACTAACGTCGAGAAGGATGTTGAGGTGATGACAGCGCATAACGAGGAGGAAGCTGAAGAGATGAGCGATGCTGATGTGAATCAATGCCAGTGTATCAATCTAGTTCCCTCCTGTAAAGGGTCCCTGAAGGCTGTTGCAACTCTTCAACAACATGTTAGCAACCTGGACGACCCTTATGCCCACCAGCTTGAAAGAATTCTGGCCTCGACAGGTTGGGAGAGGCTCATTCATTGAAGGATACCAAAATTACAATGTGTTTTACTTCAAACTAGGTCTAGAATACCATTTACGTGTAGTAGAGGCCTTTGAGACCCTTCAGAGACACCTTACAACGACCTCTGCTAGAACCCATACTCTGTAGTAACCTGCCGCTCCTTTGCTTACAGCTGAAGCTCGAGGTGCTTGATGAGGTTCAAGTCCCAGTTGTCCTCTTCCAGCTCCACGGTCAACATGTGCCCTTTTCACAAGGATCTTTAAGAAATCATGAACTACCGGGGAAGAAACCTTAACGGGTTCCAAATCCCAGTTCAAGCTCTTTATATCGGACAAGTGCTTGTGGTAATGGTACTGGTGTGGTATATCAAGTAGCACCATGGCTTCCCAATGAACATCCCTGATGTGTCTTCTGGCATCGGCTTGTTGCAGGGAATCCATTTCAATGATGATACTGCACATGGTGTGGAGCCACTCCTTGTGGTTTGTTGGAAAACGGGGTATCGGTTCGTTCCCAGTGTCACATGCATGGTAGCAAGCCAATAGTATTGCGCTTGGCTGAGCTCTGCAAACACATGAGGATCTATGCTACAGTACCTACTTTTATACTAAATGTACTTTTACTAGAACTTTCCACACTTTTCCTCAGACTTCTTCCTTAATAAGCAGACTCAGCATGATGCTGGATTGCCAAATCCCAACATGGTTTCTACTATGCTGTAATGGACTCGGGAACTCTTTGATGTAATGACACGCAATTTAGTTATCTCCAGAGCATAGGAAAACACTTTATCATGCACCTCTGCCCAGATTTCGTGTTCTGCAGGTGAACAAGTCTCACGTTTCACATAACCTTGTCCGTTTTCTCCTGCTATCCATCATGCTGTTTGGGGTTCAGTCCAGCATGGTCACTGTGTGAGGTCTAGACATGATGTTCCATATGCAGAAGTGGATATTGAATGTATCTGATGGGGGTGTTGTGGAATATTGATGATCCTGTGGCTGTGTGAGCTGGCACGATGTCCAGTTAGCCCGAGTTTTGCTGAGTAAAGGTTTACTAAGAGAAAGAAAGTACTAGAAGATACAAAATGGTATTTAAGTAGCTAGATTTCGTAGTATTCTGTACTCGTTTGCCTTCTAAGCAAACATTAACTACTCGCTAGGCAAACATGCCTGAGCACACAGTGTGTGTGTTATCCAACAGGTGGCATCCTTGAGAGGCCTTCATAGAGAAAGGTTGGTTGGAAAGGAGAGAGATGTGATTTGTCTCTTTGTTTATGTAGTGGTCAGCCCGGGCCCAGTAATCAAGTCGAGTAATCATTTGAATGTTCCCCTTTCATCAAATAAACTCATCTTGGAAAGCTTCAGTAGTGAAAGATCATATGTTGTCCTACAAGATATGATGATTGGGTGATATCAGGATTTGAACCATGTGCAGACTAGTACACACTAATATAGTCCTGGCAGTCTCTGAAGCGACTATCATTCACCGTGTAATGTAAAACCCTCACCCTTAAAGGTAGCTGAGAGCCCACAAAGTGTATGACCCCCGGTGAACCAGGAAAATATAGGACCTCGACTCCTCCCTCAGGCAAACTGAATTCAAAGTGCTGAATCAGGTTAGCTAGGATTGTTTGGATTTCCATGATATTGCATTTTTGAAGATCAGCTGGATTGAAACTAGACTGGAATGATGAGGTACATACACAAATCGCCACCTATGAGAGAAGGAAGAGCATCAGCAACGGAACAAGATGAAATAGAATTGATTAATAATTACCTGATGCATGAACGAGATCCACCACCTGAGGGTCACATAAGTGAAAGAAAAAAGTACCGAAGCATGACTCACTAAATGACATCCTAGCATCCCACCTAAGTCCTCCTAAGAGCACGCACAAAGTCAAGATCTCACTCACAGATTAGTGTACACACCAAGCGAGACTGGCAGAGTCTTGTCAAGAAACTGGCCAGGGTTCCACTCTTCCACATTGTCTCCCCAGAGAGATGGCAGACTAGAAAAAGTTGGCATCACATTTACATTGAAGTGATGTGGGAAGAGCGTACTGGTTGTATAGGTAAGCGGAACAAACGAGCATCTGCTCCTTGGGTATGGCAAGCGTTTTACCTCCTGAAAGAGGGAGGACATCATCATGAGGAGCGGTACATATCAAGGAGTGCACAATTGGGTGTAGACGGAGAGCCTCCTGTTATGAGAGGTTGTCAGCCTAAGCACCTATACCGATAACACGAATGTCAGAACTAAGGTATGGTAAGTAAGATAAAGGCGTGAACAATAAGAAAATGAATAACTAACCTCCTCAGTCCATGGGCAATGTGGAAACGACTGAGGAGTAAGAAAGGAAGGTACAAGCTATATAAGTGTCCGGGATGATTATATGATAAAGATGTGATCAACGCGATGTGTCTGTGCATGATGGTCATCCGAATAAGTATCCCCTACTCCCAACACACCCCCATTCGGCTGACCATCATCTCTTGACCAGACCAAGAAAAAGGCAATGTTTCAAGTGAAGCGGAGGAGAAAGAGGTTTCGTGAGAACATCGGCTGTCATCTTGAGGGTGGGTATCCAGTGAGTGTGGAAATTTTCGGTCCGGAGGTGTTTGTGGATGAAGTGGTACCTAATATCAATGTGTTTCATGCGAGCAGTGGAGCTATAAGAAGAAGCGACTTCAAGTGATGCTTGGTTGTCAGAACCAATAGGGAAAGGTCTTGGTATGGGTAGAGTTTGCAGACGCAGGAACATCCTCATCCAGAGTAACTCCTTGAGAACATGAGTCAAGCCCATGTACTCCGATTCCGTCGAGGATAGTGAGACCGATTTTTGCTTAACACTCGACCATGCCACCAGTCCTCCATATAGAAAGATGCCATAGCCCGTTATGCTTTTCCAATCCTTTTCGTCTGAAGCCCAATCCGCGTCCACCAATGCTAAGTCTGATCTGACCACCGCGTCCGGTCCCACTTTCTCCTGTAGATAGACACCCCCATACTCAATAGCCTAATCTTGAGTAGCATTGAGATAACAGAGCACTCCCTTGGCTGCTGCCAGTAGATTTTGAGTAGGTCACGTGTTATATTGGCCTAGAGCCATAGCAGTATAAGCAAGGTCAGGTCATGTAGTGACTGCCAGATATATGAAGGATCCCATTAAGCTTTGATAGAGAAGTTGTATGTCGTTGTCAGGAACATCAGGTAGCGCGTTTTTGGCAAGAGGTGTGACTTTATCAAGTTTCGTATGAAGGGGAACATTTGAGTGTGTGCATTGAGACATATTATTTGCGGAGAGTAGGTCCATGACAAAACTTTTCTGCGATAGCCATATTTTTCTTGCTTTGCGATCCCGCTCGATATGAATGCCTAAGAACATTGATGCAGGGCCTAAGTCCTTGATCGAGAATCTTTTGTTTAGTTCTGTGATCAGCCACGAGTATAGTGTCAGGGAGTTGGTAGCGGAGAGACCATCGTCGACGTGAATCAGTATAATTAGGAAAAGATCAGAGCTGTCTGTCAGCATAGGGACTATGGGATGGGGCTTAGATGCCGACCAACGAGCCATGAACACTGCTTCGTCCACCAGGCAAGAGATAAAGCCAAGACTTTTGAGAACGGACGAAAACTCTCGAAACCACTCATGAGGGGATTGCTTTAGGCCGTAGATAGCTTTCTGGAGACGTTGGAAGGATTTGGGATCAGGGAGAGAAAAACCTGGGACTTGACGTATGTATACTTCTTGCTGTAGAGGCATGTTAAGAAAAGCTGTATGCACGTCGAAGGTGTATAGTTCCAGGTCTTCTTTCACCACATACGCCAGTACAATCTGTATGCTCGTCATCTTTGCCACAGGCGCGTACGTGTTACCACAGTCATCTGGATGTTGCATATGACCTTGAGCCACTATGCGAGCTTTTGCCACCTTCGACTCATTTGAATCCTTCCAGATGAACACCCACCTCAATCCAATCGCCTTCTTGCCCTTCAGCAATATGGGTACAGGTTCTGGATCAAAAACACCTTTCTCTGCCATAGCTGTCCTCTCAGTTTCCATTGCGACGATCCACTTTGAACTGTCAGGCCTTGCCATCACCTCCTGGTAGGTAATCGGAGCCTTAGTAAGATCCCATGTCTGCGGAGCAGAAGAACGATAAGGTAGTTGCTGTGCCAGGAAGACCGTCGGATTCGACGTAATGACCAAAGTATCCAAGGAACCTATAGAGAAGTAATTTTCTGGCGGATCAATCTTGTGAGCAACCAAGAGAGCTGAGGCATCCTGCGCTGCTTTCGCTGCTGCTGTTTGATGTCGACATTGCAACTGAGTCTCTGTAAGCTGTAGTTGATTCTTCCAGGTGAGACCTTTTTCTGTCAGGTTCTGTGGTCACCGTTTATGCGATTCTTCATCGGATCCCATTGTTGCTTCTACATTTGATGAGACCTGCTCCTCGTCAGTGACCTCGTTAACCATCTGCTCTGACATCTTCTTCTTTGTACTCAGCTTCCCTGGTGTCTCTTCATCAAACTCGACATCCCTCGAAAAATGGTACTTTCCCTTTAAGTCCCTAATCCACCAACCTATCCTATCTTCTTTGTATCTCACAAATATCCCTTCAAACATTTTTACTCCCCCTTTTGTACGTTTCTCCTTGGGTATTGTCACCCAACAATGGCACCCCCAGACGCGCAGATGTGAGAGGTCAGGTTTCTTTGAGTACATGAGTTCATATGGCGTTGTCCCTTTTGGAATCGATGAGTTTGGTAGACGCATGTAGAGGTAGGCTGTAGTTAGGATTGTGTCTGCAAGAAAAGAAGCTGGTAGTCCTGAGTGAGCCAGTAATGCTAGAGATCTATCCTCAATGGTTCGAATAAAGCATTCAATCTTTCCATTCTGCTGGTGAGCATAAGGTACGCAGAGTTGCCGACGGATACCGCGTTTTCGAAGATACTCCCCCATCTCACCTTCGGTGAGCTCAGGTGCATTATCCGAGCGTAAAAACATGACAGGCCGCCCTGATATCTGCTTCCACTTCGCCACAGTCTCCTCAAAGCATCTGAATGCTTCATTCTTGCGCTTAAGCATGTGAACCTCGGCCGCCATTGTCTTATCCTCCAGCATCGCAAAGAAGTATCTTGCGCCTTGAGGAGATGCAGTCGGAAACGGGCCACAGGTAGCTACATGAATGAGATCGCAGATGTTCTCCGCTGTATGACCGTGATGTTCATAGGGTTTTTGTGGGTGTTTGCCGATGAGACAGGATGGACACACGAGTTTAGTGTTAGGGCCATGATAAATAACCCCAGTAACTGCGTTCCCTGTAATGACTTTGGTGGTGAGGTCTTGTCCAGGGTGACCAAGCTGACAATGCCAAATATGTCATGTTGGTTTAGTCTTCTTGAATGGTGCTGGCATTGCCATCGTGCAAGTTGGATCTTCTGATGGGCTTACAGAGGGATCTACAGGCGGTTCAAGGATTTCGCAATCCAAAAAGGTAAGATGTCCTAGAACCTTCACAGAGAATTTATGACCGGCAAATTTAGGATGATCCTTCGGGAAGTGAATTGTCATCCAATTCTTGCCAAAAATCAAGAACATGTTGCGTTCCATAAGAGCTCCCACTGAAATCAGGTTCATCGGTACACTAGGTGCATGTAGACAGTCCAGCAGTCTCATAGTGATGGAGACACCATTTGTACAATGAACACGAACACGAATCTCACCACGAGCTTCGGTGCTGAGGACACCGCAGTTCACAGTCTTCACGTCAACAGCCAAATCAGACTGGTATGTCCAGAAATAGCGTTTCTCTTTGAAAATGTGGGCAGTGCACCCAGAATCCAGTAATGACTTCACTGCCTGAGTGAGGAGGGCAAACTCGGCTTCCTTCATCACATCAAGATACCAGGTGGATGCAGAGTCCATAGGTCTTATCAGAGTCACACTCGTGCAAATGAAAAGGTCCTCATTGTTATAGTTATCGACAGTACAGGTGGAGTCTGGTAGTTCGCTAATTGTTGCATAACTCTCTTCTTCAGTCACCGGCACCTCTGCATCGCTAGAGGTAGTCGGTTCTGCAGTCGTATCTGCATAATTTGCTCGTGGAGTAGAATAGGACTTGTCTGGAGGTCTGGGATTTGTGCGGGGAGGAGGACATCCAGTGGATGAAATGTCATTAGCCTTCTGTTTAGATGGGTCATGCTGTTCGGTAGTGTGACTTTGTTGACCACAGATGTCACATTTCTTTCGGAGGGTACGAGATGAGGGTTTAGAAAGATGCCATTGAGTATCCAGGTCCAGTACACGATCCATCAACGAGTCGAAGTACGTGAAATCAATGGCATCCACCACCTGACCACAATCGTGAGTGACTTCTTGATGGATTGGAAGATACCAACCACCATCTTTGGGTAGGTTTTTCACCAGGTTCAACGCCACGTCAAAGTAAATGATCGGGTATCATTCAGCCCTCAACGAAAGAATCGTCGAACGCCAGTGCTGTATGAACCTGGACACGTTCCTCATATCCACTGTGTACGTGTGTAATGCCTCTTGAGCTGCATGTGCTTGCACTGGTTGACCCAGGCCAAAATGCTTCCTCAAAATACCCAATAGGGTGCACGCAGTGAATTCTCGTTCGGTGCCCCCATGATCATCGACCATGGGAAGCACCGCAGAAACATCAGCCGACAGTCATGAGGTCAGGATATGAATCATGACCGCATCTTTACGATGCCACACCACAAAGGTGTCCCATTCTTGGGGAGACAGATCCGGTGATAACACGGGGGGGTAAGAAGGGCGACGCATAGGGTTGATCACCACTACACCCGGCATCAGTTCCTCGATGATGTGAGGTAGTACCCCATTGATATCCGCCAGTGACTTGATGCCACGAACCCATAATCCCCAGGTCGTCCGCCCCATCAGTTCCGGAATTGAGGTCATGGATGGGGTGGAAACAGATGAAGATGGAGAAGAATATGTAAAGTAATTATAGGTATTATGTATTGGCTGACTGTTATTCTGCAAATTAAGAAAAGGATTATTACTGTTACTGGCGTTCTGTTGCTGTTGTTGTTGTGTATGTATAGACAGTTGCTGGTGCTGAGAAATATTTGACGGTACACTACTAGGGTAAGGATTCAAGTTCAGTGCGGAGAGAGACGGTTGTAAGAAAGGATTAAATGACGAAGACATAACAAAAGAAGAAGAGGGAAATGGAGATGGCATAGATGGAGCTGCACATCCTGGGAACGACGGAGGCAGAACGACAGGTGGATACAGATTCGGCCACAAACGATGCGAGTGTTGAAACGACAAATTCGAGGAAGCTGACATCGATGAACCCAGAGATGGTTGTGACACGTGTGGCAAGTGTGAAGGAGAAGGAACAGAAGGGGCAGGAAACCAGAACCCGTCAGGAGCCACCGACGGTCATTGACCTGGGCCAGAAGACGAAGGAAACATGGATATATGTGCTTAAGAAAGAACGATATTGAAGGTTGAGGAATGGCAGGATGCAGGAATGGTCGTCTATGGCAGCCTAAGCGAGAGGAAGTGTCGTCTGTCGCTGTGTCCACGAGAAGGCAATAAAAACCAGAAAGGCGAGTCGCGAGCCAAAAGAAAAATCCCGTGTCGTATCACCGGTAGGTCAGGCTGAGATACAACCCATAACCTGTCAGCCTAAGCACCTATACCGATAACACGAATGTCAGAACTAAGGTATGGTAAGTAAGATAAAGGCGTGAACAATAAGAAAATGAATAACTAACCTCCTCAGTCCACGGGCAATGTGGAAATGACTGAGGAGTAAGAAAGGAAGGTACAAGCTATATAAGTGTCCGGGATGATTATATGATAAAGATGTGATCAACACGATGTGTCCGTGCATGATGGTCATCTGAATAAGTATCCCCTACTCCCAACAGAGGTCAACATGGGTATTCAACGTAGCTACTAAGCTCACTTTGATGATTGCATTCAAGAATGGCATCGAGTCATAGTCGTTTGACTGTTTGAGCTCTGCATGAATTATGGACTGATGTTCAGGATGTACAGCAAGTTTGTATAACAACCAGGATAGGCTAGTGCTCGACGACTCGTACCCGCCAACAACGAAGGTCCTGGAACACAAAATTTTGAATGAAGGGTAAGTAAGACTATGACTACGAACATTAGCTGCACCTCAATTTCATCATCTTGCATTTTTCCTACTGAGTGAACTGTCATGTAGTCATGTTCATAGGCATATTATCAGATGGGACCAATAAATTTACCTAGGAGATTAATGATGTCTTTGTCTTCACCTGGTATCTGTACCTCATTATGGCTAGCCATGACCTCTCACACGGTTTTCTTGGCAACATTTCCTATGCTGGAAAGTAAACGAATCTCTTGGGTAGAAATTAGCTGTAAGAGTCCTAGGACTGAATCTGGAAGCATTCGGTGATGTGCTCAGTAACGGTGAGTGACAAAAGGCTAGTGAATGGATATGAACACCACAACACCAAAACCCTCTACTACTCTACACTAATCACCAATATTATTGAGTTCAGGTGTTTCGAGTACGATAGAAGCACTCTGCAGACTTCAACAAATCAGGGAAAGGTTGTTTAAAGATGTATATTTGGTACTAGTGAGCTACACAAGATGTAATACTTGCACTAGCGGGGTTTTAAGACACGATTGGATGAATAGTGACTTGGGTTGAGCAACTGTGCCTGGTCTAACTCTGATACTTTGAAACTAGTGGCACTCTGGGCCAAATACTGGGTCTCACAAGTGGTCTACACTTGACTAGCGGCACCCTAGGCTCGACTAGTGGCACTCTTGGCCTAAGAACAAATACTTTAACTCCAAGAAAATACTTTAACTAACTTCGAAATGCTCTGAGTCACTCCAGGATGGAATAGTAACTTTAAGACACTTCAATCCGTTCAATACTATAGGTGACTAAGCGACTAGTAGACACTTCGTTGAGGTTAAGCACAAAAGCCTTTAATTGGGGCACTAGAATACAGACTAGTAGGTCACAATTGTGGGGATGGCTTGCCTGCCTGCGAGGCCGCCCCTTCTACTACTTATATACTACAGAGACAGGTACAGAATAAATATAAATAGATTCTTTAGGGGTAATATTGGTAAGGATGTCTTGGCTAGTCACGAATTATGGTGAATAATCATGCAATAGTCGGCCTAGCCTGTTCTTTCTGTCGGATAGCGGGTCGAGGGACTCCGCTATTGGGTTGTTTCTGCACCCTTTGCCCAGCGGTGCTCCACTAGTGACACGGCTATATGAATAGTTGGATAACCATGCCTGTAGCAACTGCTTGATCATGATCGGGGCACAGCCCAGCTATACTAGTGCCGATCGTATGAGATCTGTATCACACTAGCCGGATCTGGGCAAAGGGTTATGCCTTTACTGGTTCATTTCTAAGTCCTTTCAGAAGTGCTCGCATGACTAGTCATCCTGACTTAGGTGTTCATGCCCAGATCGGTCCACTAGCGACTGAATAGTCGAGATCTGTGTGGGTTCTTACTTCTTGTTTGGGTGCTAGCAGCTGTATTCTTTACTAGTGACCGTATTTTACTAAGTCATACTAGCTTTGGAGGTGCTAGTCTGGTCGGCTGGTAGGGCTGACCCACTAGTGGTATCATTCCTAAGTCTTGACTCGACTAGTAGCATGCTAACTTGACTATCAGTCCGAAGTCTCAACTATAGCCCTTGATATATGACTAGTATAGGATAGACATGCAATAGTATTGTTATAAAATCGCAAAATCTAGGTGTGAATGCGTAGATGGCATATCATCGGATCAGAGCTAAAAGAACAAATTCTAGTGCCATTGTATTGGATTGTGAAGCAGTTCTGAAGTCTGATGTTAGATGCAGTAACCATTGAGATAAAGAAACAGATCTTACAAAAGATGCTTCATTGCTTGCCCTAGCTCCGTTGTTTGACCATCAAGCGAACTGAAATCATACCGGAAAGAGGCTTTGGGATTTCATATTAAGTGAAAGAGAGAGTAGGGGAAATGACTGGCACTCACCTAACCCAATTACATCTAGGGCAGCCTTGCTTATCCAATCAAGAATATTGATGGTTTCACCTGTACCAGTCACAGTTCTCTTGATCCCATTGTTGTGACTGCAGCCTATTTACATGTGTAATTTTGCAATCTAACATGTTTTACACACATACTGAGATATAGTGAGCAAGTGGACTAAAACTATGCGTCGACACTAATGCTACGTGGTGCAATGATATGGAATATAACTTATGGCATAAGAAGCAACAGGATTCTAAACAGGACTTAGTCACAGCACTGTACTTGACAGGCATGCATGATGAGAAGGCCAAACCCTATACCCAATGCCTTAGGCTCTAACTTACAAGCACACTCACGGGAGCTAGATAAAACCTTGAAGATTGCAGTGACACTGAGAGTACGTAGTGTGCTTGCTAACTGTGATGTGTTGTACCTGAAAATCCAGGGAAATACTTAAGCGAGATGACAGATATCACCGGCATGAACTTGGATAATGGGCTTTGGCCAAAGTCTGCAAGCCTGCATCCCATTGTTCTGAGTCCCATTGTTAGAAGACTCACTTGTTGCCATGTCTATGAGAAGCCTCTGTGAATCCAAGAAAGAAGTCTTGAACGACATATGCCAGGACTGATAGTTCTGTGCGCCTAGACCTGTCAGTCGCTAGAGAACAAGCCTGCAGGTGTCAGGAGAGCACCTCTTGGCATGTGTTTAGTGAGCTCACTATAGAAATGAGACTAAAACTGGGAAGTCCGACTCGGATGCTCAGTAAGGCAGTGGTGGCAATGTGCTACACATGTAGGAGTCTGGGTACTGCACGATGTTTGTAATTCTAATTCCCCTGTAGTATAAGTAGGCTGGTTACAGTAGGTAGAAAGTAAGTTTCGAGCCTCTGAGTTCCTGTGCCTGCATTGAAGGCGGTACTGTAACAAAGGATCAGTTTGTGACTTCGAGCTTTGCATAGAATTAGCAAGCTCACTCAGAGAAATATGAGATACCCTTTTGATAAGACTTTTGAGAACTTAGTCAGAGTGAATACGAATCAGTGAAGCTGTTTCTGTTCTGTTAAGTGTGATAAGTCTGTTCAGAGAATGTGTTGAAGTGGAAATCTGAGTTCTGTTCTGTTCTGTTCTGTTCTGTTTCAGTCTGTTCCGTGTCAGTTCTGTTCGAAGTTCCATTTCTGAATCTGTTTCCAAGCGCTTCTGAAGTGTTCTTGAGTCGAGATAACCTGCTAGAGTTAGTTGGAGAACTCCTACATACAGTTGTGTAGCAAGTGGGCTAAGTCAGTGCTTGCCTGTGGTGTTCTTTTAGCGAGCTCACTATTGTTTCAGCATGTATTGCCTCTGTTTCTGTCGGGATCAGTGTCCCTTGTGTATTTTAACTCAAATCTGCCTTGAAGGTTGCATCGTGCCAGTGAACGACCTTCCTGTAAAAGTTCCTAGACTTAGGGATTCATTAGAGAAAGCTTAGCTTCGCTAAGAGCGCTGAGAATAAGAGAAACTCTTCGAGATATTGAAGTATAGTCGGATCACATTAGGAATAATCACTCCCCCTAGAACTTACGAGGGTGATTGTAGTTTGTGTAGTTGTGTGAGTGTGTGTGTGGGTTTTTGAGGTTCACCCTTTTAGCCTGCTCACTATTCCACAGGTGCCCACAGCCAGCCTCTTCACCATTCACAAGCTATAATCGCTGAAAGCTTCTGAACATTCCCACATTTATTGATGGGCAGATGCACCTACCTTGTCAGAGCATTGCTGAAAGATAATCTCGTATTTTCAGAGCTGCATAAGAGAGAATGCCAGATTCAGGATCTTGTGTTGGTGGTGGTGAGTTTCATCTGAATGTGCTAGGTGTCTTTGTGTGCAAACTGAACACAATGAGCACTCACTAACAACAGTGGAAAGCCCCTGGCCAATGAAGAGATTCAGGATGAAGGTGGTGTTCTTCAATTTTGGATAAGGTCATGACTTGTGGAAAATATGTTTGAAAGCCTTGAGGTCACACACTACCAGGACGTCTTGCTGAAAAATTGTTGAGTTAACTTTGACCATGAGAGATAGAATGCTTGATTACCCCCAAACAGCCCCCAACATGATAAAGCATGCCATATTCCCTACGCCACTTCGTTTCGAGATCACCAGCATTAGCTTGATTGTGGAGAACGCATTCGTGGCCTGATGGGTATCGAGTATGAGCCCATGTTTGTACCAAAGTATGATCATTTACCTAGCTGGAAAGAGGCCAATGGTGGTCCCTTGATGTACTTGACTGATGGACATCTGAACCATCAATAAAGCAGAGAGCTTATGAGGAGCAATGTGATGACAAGAGTTAATGCGACCATGTGAAGAAAGAACTGCGGCTCTTAGATTCAGTGATATATTTCCAGCTTTAAATAAGATGCTGCTATAATTTGACAATTGAATGAAGGTTCACCCAGCAAAAAGACCTCCCTGAGCTAAGCCTTGGAGTTCTGAATCCTATATGTATATATAGGTATTTGGTCTTTATACCAACCTGGATGCCCTTTTTTGATTGTCCAACATGGGAATTGCCATCTGATTCTCCCTGGGCTATCCATGGGAAATTTTCGTCAACATTCATCATTTTCATGGGATTTCTTTGCCTTTTTCTTTCCTGTGCTTCTGCTGTCGTCTTATTCAACCTGCCTATTCGTCTCGTTTGCCTTTCACGCTCTTGTATTATAGTTACATTGTTTTGTCTTCTATCCCCCTCCGACCCTTCACCCATTTCCTGTCTTTTTTATTGCTTGCCTCTTCATGTTCATCCTCTTCCATAAAATATATCTTGCACTTAAAACCTCGACTCCCTTGTCCTTCCATTGTTGCTTTGCCTCCTGGAGATGCTGCCTTCACTCTGACTGCTGCCTTTTTCTTTGTGTGGACAGAGTAGGTGCACGTTGAAGAGGCTGGCTGTGGGCACCTGTGGAATAGTGAGCAGGCTAAAAGGGTGAACCTCAAAAACCCACACACACACTCACACAACTACACAAACTACAATCACCCTCGTAAGTTCTAGGGGGAGTGATTATTCCTAATGTGATCCGACTATACTTCAATATCTCGAAGAGTTTCTCTTATTCTCAGCGCTCTTAGCGAAGCTAAGCTTTCTCTAATGAATCCCTAAGTCTAGGAACTTTTACAGGAAGGTCGTTCACTGGCACGATGCAACCTTCAAGGCAGATTTGAGTTAAAATACACAAGGGACACTGATCCCGACAGAAACAGAGGCAATACATGCTGAAACAATAGTGAGCTCGCTAAAAGAACACCACAGGCAAGCACTGACTTAGCCCACTTGCTACACAACTGTATGTAGGAGTTCTCCAACTAACTCTAGCAGGTTATCTCGACTCAAGAACACTTCAGAAGCGCTTGGAAACAGATTCAGAAATGGAACTTCGAACAGAACTGACACGGAACAGACTGAAACAGAACAGAACAGAACAGAACAGAACTCAGATTTCCACTTCAACACATTCTCTGAACAGACTTATCACACTTAACAGAACAGAAACAGCTTCACTGATTCGTATTCACTCTGACTAAGTTCTCAAAAGTCTTATCAAAAGGGTATCTCATATTTCTCTGAGTGAGCTTGCTAATTCTATGCAAAGCTCGAAGTCACAAACTGATCCTTTGTTACAGTACCGCCTTCAATGCAGGCACAGGAACTCAGAGGCTCGAAACTTACTTTCTACCTACTGTAACCAGCCTACTTATACTACAGGGGAATTAGAATTACAAACATCGTGCAGTACCCAGACTCCTACATGTGTAGCACATTGCCACCACTGCCTTACTGAGCATCCGAGTCGGACTTCCCAGTTTTAGTCTCATTTCTATAGTGAGCTCACTAAACACATGCCAAGAGGTGCTCTCCTGACACCTGCAGGCTTGTTCTCTAGCGACTGACAGGTCTAGGCGCACAGAACTATCAGTCCTGGCATATGTCGTTCAAGACTTCTTTCTTGGATTCACAGAGGCTTCTCATAGACATGGCAACAAGTGAGTCTTCTAACAATGGGACTCAGAACAATGGGATGCAGGCTTGCAGACTTTGGCCAAAGCCCATTATCCAAGTTCATGCCGGTGATATCTGTCATCTCGCTTAAGTATTTCCCTGGATTTTCAGGTACAACACATCACAGTTAGCAAGCACACTACGTACTCTCAGTGTCACTGCAATCTTCAAGGTTTTATCTAGCTCCCGTGAGTGTGCTTGTAAGTTAGAGCCTAAGGCATTGGGTATAGGGTTTGGCCTTCTCATCATGCATGCCTGTCAAGTACAGTGCTGTGACTAAGTCCTGTTTAGAATCCTGTTGCTTCTTATGCCATAAGTTATATTCCATATCATTGCACCACGTAGCATTAGTGTCGACGCATAGTTTTAGTCCACTTGCTCACTATATCTCAGTATGTGTGTAAAACATGTTAGATTGCAAAATTACACATGTAAATAGGCTGCAGTCACAACAACGTGTTCCGTTTTTTGTAATAAATTTGGTGATGCAAGTGGTATAAGTGATTAACATTATGATGGCTGACTGTTAAATAACTTGTCACTTACCTGTGTGAAGTCGCTGTCTATAGGAGCCACTGCCCTCAGGATTGGCTTGATACAGTGCATCCTCTTTTTCCCTCTTATGACAGCCAATGTGACTTGTACCTCAACTATGTTGCCTGCCCTGAACAGCTGCAGTTTTGCTCAGATGTATCTGTGTTATGTGACATCGTTCAGTTGTTCGCATCACCTCCATGTTTGCTTTTCTCACCTTCTTTTGCCTCCATCATCTACATTGCTCCTGAAGTAGCATACTACATTCTCTTCAGTGTGAACCAAGCCTGGTCATATGAGTTGCTGCAGTGCTCCATTGGGATCTACTTCCTTTGATATCAGCATTACCTCCTCGCTTTCTCCCTCTATAATTCTCCTGAAGTATCAGTTGGTAGACTCCATTGCGTCGAAACTGTGGTATGTGGTTGGTCTCCATTGTTTTAGCGCCTCTTGCTTGAACTCCCTTTCTGCCGTCAGGCTCACCTCTTTCGGTTCCTCCATTGCCTCCTCAAAATATCTTGACCCTAATCCCGTAATTGTTATTTTTTGCGATAGCATGCTTGGCTTGTCTGATAATGACCTTGACCTTATCAGTGACTGAACCCTTCTGCTTTTAATCTGACCAACTTGTACTCACTTTGGAACTTTGAACAGGGGGGGTAGGTCTAGGCTGCATATGATCCCATTAGCGGTGAATACTACCTCTTTGGCCTCCTTCCCTTCATTTGTACTCTTGAGTATGTGCCATACATGACCCGTTCCATCATCTTCGAGTGATACTTTCTGCATGGACCAGTTCTGTGTGTTTTAGTTCGTATTGAATACCTGTTTTATGGTATGTATTGTTGATACCTTGGTTATTGCACAAAGATGGTACTCATTTTTTTGGGTGCTTTCTGCCATGTATATTTCCAGTGCTTCTCCTTATTTTCTGTATCAGAAACATTGTAATCCTTGGAAATGTATGCACGTACTTGCTTTATCCATGTCGTAGAATTCATTCATTCTACAAGTCTTTTTGTCAGGTTTGGATTGTTCTCTGGTTACAGTTACGAGTGACCACGCTTGGTTGCGACTTGAACTGTCCCATTCAGATCTTCATTTTCGCCTTTCACCTGTGCACCATTGGCGTGATCATTCATGTGTGTAAAGAAGAACCGGTTCGTCTTTGTGGGTCAAATTTTCGTGCTTCTCTGTCTGTCAGTACATATCATGTGATTGATTACACATCCACATCACATGTTTGTGCAAAGGTATCATTTTTATTTTTGGCAACCTGTCCTCTTGATCACCCACTGTGTGTCCCTTCTTAATGGGCCATTCGATTGTGAGGATGGATATCCTCACCCCATGTCTTTTTTGCCCTATTGTGCTTTATTATCCTCGTGCTCATCATTTCTGTACTTTCTCTCAATATGCCTCCTCGTCCTATGTAGCAAACATTCCTGTTTGCTGCCCTTCTCCACTGTTAATAATTGTTCCTTTTCTTTTGTGACTAGACGTTCTTGCAAAATAAAAGAGAGGTCCCCCTCAGTAGAACTTCTCAATGCTGTTGAAGTTGCACCTCCTGTCAACAAGGTTCCTGAAACAACTCTGTCCCCTCGTAAAAAGGTCAAGCCTATGCCTGTTGGAAGGTCTGCCACCCTCAATAGGTGTGGTCTACTTCTTCTTCCTTGGTATGCGTGCTGATGATATTGAAGGCCTGTTTGATTGTCTATTCAGAGTGCTCACTCTGCGGGGTACGTCCTGTCTTTGACTGTCTGCTTTCTTGTATGAATTTCGATCCTCTGCACTAGTAGCAATGTTTGTTCCACTCATTCTTATTGTGCTCCCAAAGAATTGTTGCCACCGGTGTCTATTACGTGCATGGTTATATTTGTTGGATTTGTGTCATATGCTGACTTTCGTATACATTGCATTGAACAGTTCTCACCAGAGTAGGTCATTCACTCCTGTACAATGTGCTTCCATGTCTATTGGTGATGTTTCTGGCGATGAGATAGACTCTGTTGTGGCAAGGTTGGATGTCGATGCCGATATGCCTGATGCTGTTCGCAATTGTGTATCAGATATTATTCCTGTGGCATCACTCCTTTGAGAACGCAGATTAAGCAAACTATATCACAGTATTTGTCTTTGACTCAGCAATATCCATCAAGAATAACATGTACCAAATGTGGATCCTCCATGCGCAAAATAGAGCATTATCACATATCCCCTGATATAATTCCTGTGTACATTGAAGGATCGTCTACCACACTGGACATTTATTTTACGTTGAATGTAAACAGAGAAGATGTGGGTTACATGTTAGCCAGTGTCATATATTTTGGAAATGCACATTTTACAGCCAGGTTTATAGATAACATGGGAAATGTATGGTTTAACAATGGTTATGTCAATGGGAGAAAATTGATCCTAGAAGGTGAAATGATTCACATCGACTTTTCAATTTCACCTGATGAGAGGGAGCCTGTGATGGCAACATACAGGAAAAACTGACTACATTCCACATTGTAAAACAACATGGACAAGGGGGACATACTTGGTACAGGACTCGGATAATGCCACTCGAGTGCAATGGCCATCAAATGCTAGTTCATATTGACTGAACATTCCATAAGACAAGAAGAATAGTAACCGTCCCCCTCAGAACTAAGACTCTAGGCTACTGCACTGTTATAATGGATGGAAGATAGAAGATTATGGTTGTTGCTCTGTTGAATCCTCAGCACATGTCATATCTGGTTACAACCTTGATGCAGTCGCATCGGGAAGACAAGCTGCCTCAAACGCTTCACAATGAGAGACCTGTATTGGACATGTTGGTCAGTAACTGGTCCAGTGGAGCAATTCACTGATCAAAGCATTTGTTCTGCGCTGCCTGGACATCTCATACAAGCTGACAAAGCTGACATAACTGAAGGTACACGTGCTAGAGAATGACATATACACAGCAAAACCTCGGACTTGATGAAATTGCACCCTCACCGAAATGCTCAGGATAGCATAAGACTGAGACCTGTATACACAGGACTCGGAAAATGATAAACACCAACATGAGGTGACAATTGGGTGGTGATTCCCTGACCGAATGGTCTGAATATCTCCATTGTGGTCGCTTGTACTTCTGTTCTGATAGGACTGCAGAGTTTTTATGCATTATTCTCATGATGGACTGAGGTCTAGGGATCTGTATCAATACAATTCAGTCCATTGAAGCTGTGTACAGTGTGGATGTGGACCCACAACTTGTGCATGTATTGTGTCATCTAATGAGAAGACCTTTGCATTGAAAGTTGTGCCTTCCACAGATGTTCCTACATACAATTGCATTAATGCACCATATGGGGCTGGGTCCAGAATTTGAGACTAACAGGCATAAATTTAGTTGGGATTAAGGACATGCTATACTATATCACATAGGATCAAGAAGCGCTTTGATCCCCCAAAAGTCCGCTATAGCTCTATTGTGAGATTTCCTGTTTGTGTTTTAATAGATGTATGATATGTGTAGTAGAAAACAAACCAGGATTGATGAGATATAATTGATGGTCCCCATGAGGCTCTTGAACATTTGCAGTTGACATGCATGCATATGGCAAAACTTGGTCAAGTGCAGTGATTCACCTGTAGGAGAGAAGTATCACAGTAGATGCAGTGTCAACAGCCTCAGCCTTGACAGGACCATCGGAGTTCTGCACGCCTTGCTAGTAGCGCTGGAAAAAGCTTCATGAAGTGGAAATAGCCTGTAAGAATCTGCAAATATTAACAATAGGAAATTGATTACACAAGGATACTAACCAAGTACATTGACTCCAATAGTGATATCATATCCTTCATCAGTCAATTCAGTGCTATCAGGTTCCATAATTCCCCTAAGATGCATCAACAATATATCACATAACGAGATGCCAACCGATGCTGATGTGCTTGGTAACGGGCAGCGCACAAATGAAACAAGCATCTAGATTGTCAATCTAGATACTAAATCACACACACACACTATCACCAATGTATATAAGTTTGAGGGTGAGTACAATAGAAGCACTCGCAATGTACTTAGATTTAGATAATCTAGTGGGGTTTTGTCTGAAAACAACTTCAATTCTTCTTTCGATGTGTTTTACACAAAGTACACTAGTCCACGATAGCGGGGTTTTATGAACTTGTTTTGTAAGGTATAGTCGAGCAAGTTATACTCGTTTTGACATCGTCTAGAAGAGCTTCTAGCAGACACTTCAAATAATCAAACAACCAAAGACTCCGAGGTCTACAAAGAGTGCAAAATCACTCTACAAAGAATGCTCAGGTTCTGACTTCAAGTACAAGACTTGCAAAGAGTACACAGACTCTGGAGTTCCTTGAACTCGATGATTGTTTGAACTTAAAGCGTTCTAGAGCTTATTTTACTTCAACTAGATGAGGTCTTTTGACTTAAAGTCGACTCAGCATGTCTAGATCGCTAATCTCGGAGAGAGAGGGCATGAGGCCTTTGTCCACAGAGCAGTTCAATTAACTAGCAAGGTGCAAACACGGGGATGGCTCTACTTCCTACTTAACTCTTCTAGATTACTGTAGTCACCCTTATGGGTTGACTTTGGTAACTTAATTCACTTCAGTTGAGGATATGCAATAAAACCAGTGATTGATTAGGTAGCTATACAGGCTACTAGCACAAACGTGGGGGAATGCTTTCCTGCCGTTATGCATCTAGTTGCTGCTAATTTATATGATTCATGTTCTAGGTATAGGAGCCCATATTCTACAGTAATTATGGTATGAGCTTTGGAATTAATACAAATGGTGAGTCACTATCCTACAAGTATCGTGCCATTCAGTAGTTTCTATTCAGTTCAACGCAACTGCACCAGGTTATTCTGTCACCGAGGAGTGCCCTACTGGTCCGTGGGTGCTCCTTCTTCCATCTGCAAGGCTTGCCGCATGCCGTATGTATTGAATACTGTGGTATGCACAGGATCTCAAGGATGTAACCACTGATCGCGATCGGCTGCAGGTCCGAGATTATATTTTGTTGATCACTGCATGATCAAGGTCGGTCACCTCAGTACCCAATGCAGCTATTCATTCTTCCAAGATTATTCCTTTCCTAGCCTGAGTTGATCTTGAAAGCTGATCTGTTTCTTGACTTAACAATTTTTCTTGACAGGTTCTTTCTACTTGTTGAGACGACGAGGCATCTAGTTCATTCCATTCTTCAACTTCTTGGTTTTTATACTCCTTACAGACGAGTCCCCGAGATTTGACTGTAATAGTCTTGTTTAGGTAGGGCTTAGCTTAGCGTGTTGACGGCTGGTAGAATTGACTCTTCGAGATGTTGTTTCTAAGTCCATTCTGTACTGCCATGCTTTCATTCTTTTATGTAGTATTTAGCTACCAGCATGAAGCCTCCACTGTAGCTCTCTGTACTGCTTGTAGATTGCATAAACTGATGTAAAATCGCAAAATCTATGGGTAGCCTGATACCAGGCATATCAATGCGCAGGCGAGTGGGACTTGATGCACGATATCCAGGCCATCCAGGGGCTACCAGATGGATCAAAAGTACCTATAAAACCTATATTAGCATTAAAAGTAATGAAATATACCTTTATTTCCATTCAAATGAACAGTGGGGGGCAGGCAGGTGACTATGCCATGAAAAGGTGAGACGAAAAAAGAAGGCATACAGCCACTCAATCAGTATCCGGTTTACTGGACTGGAGCGATTGAATGAGCAGAATGGATGCTTGAGATGCATCCTCTGCTCAAATCCTTTACTCCAATGAAGAGGCTGGCTGTGGGCACCTGTGGAATAGTGAGCAGGCTAAAAGGGTGAACCTCAAAAACCCACACACACACTCACACAACTACACAAACTACAATCACCCTCGTAAGTTCTAGGGGGAGTGATTATTCCTAATGTGATCCGACTATACTTCAATATCTCGAAGAGTTTCTCTTATTCTCAGCGCTCTTAGCGAAGCTAAGCTTTCTCTAATGAATCCCTAAGTCTAGGAACTTTTACAGGAAGGTCGTTCACTGGCACGATGCAACCTTCAAGGCAGATTTGAGTTAAAATACACAAGGGACACTGATCCCGACAGAAACAGAGGCAATACATGCTGAAACAATAGTGAGCTCGCTAAAAGAACACCACAGGCAAGCACTGACTTAGCCCACTTGCTACACAACTGTATGTAGGAGTTCTCCAACTAACTCTAGCAGGTTATCTCGACTCAAGAACACTTCAGAAGCGCTTGGAAACAGATTCAGAAATGGAACTTCGAACAGAACTGACACGGAACAGACTGAAACAGAACAGAACAGAACAGAACAGAACTCAGATTTCCACTTCAACACATTCTCTGAACAGACTTATCACACTTAACAGAACAGAAACAGTGTCACTGATTTGTATTCACTCTGACTAAGTTCTCAAAAGTCTTATCAAAAGGGTATCTCGTATTTCTCTGAGTGAGCTTGCTAATTCTATGCAAAGCTCGAAGTCACAAACTGATCCTTTGTTACAGTACCGCCTTCAACGCGTGCATGGGAACTCGGGGGCTCGAAACTTAGCCTCTACCTACTGTAACCAGCCTACTTATACTACAGGGGAATTAGAATTACAAATGTCGCGCAGTACCCAGACTCCTACATGCGTAGCACATTGCCACCGCCGCCTTACTGAGCATCCGAGTCGGACTTCCCAGTTTTAGTCTCATTTCTATAGTGAGCTCGCTAAACGCGTGCCAAGAGGTGCTCTCCCGACACCCGCGGGCTTGTTCTCTAGCGACCGACAGGTCTAGGCACATGGAACTATCAGTTCTGGCGTATGTCATTCAGGACTTCTTTCTTGGATTCACAGAGGCTTCTCGTAGACACGGCAACAAGTGAGTCTTCTAACAATGGGACTCAGAACAATGGAACGCGGGCTCGCGGACTTTGGCTGAAGCCCATTGCCCAAGCTCGTGCCGGTGATATCTGTCAGCTCGCTTAAGGATTTCCCTGGATTTTCAGGTATGGCGTGTCACAGTTAGCGAGCACGCTAAGTGTTCTCAGTGTCAGTGCAATCTTCAAGGTTTTATCTAGCTCCCGCGAGTGTGCTTGTAAGTTAGAGCCTAAGGCATTGGGTATAGGGTTTGGCCTTCTCATCATGCATGCCCATCAGGTACAGTGCTGTGACTAAGTCCTGTTTAGAATCCCGTTGCTTCTTATGCCATAAGTTATATTCCATGTCATTGCACCGCGTAGCATTAGTGTCGACGCGTAGTTTTAGTCCACTTGCTCACTATATCTCAGTATGTGTGTAAAACACTCTAGATTGCAAAATTACACGCGTAAATAGGCTGCAGTCACAACACCGAAGCCCAGAAATCTGATGGAATATACTATATAAATGCTTTAGTATACATTTGTGTACTTTTTATAGTATATAATCTATCCCAACCTTGATTTATCTGCTATTTATGGTGAATATCATGCATTTTAGGACATTTCAAGGATGCATCATTTGTACACAGGTATGTGCAACCATTCCAAGGGTAAGAATGATTGAAAATAAAATTCTATGTATTACATTATCCAAAGCAAGTGTCCGATTCATGGCGATCTGCCTTTATGTGTGTTGTAATTGCATTTCTCATTGAAGTAAACTCATAAAAGAACATTACATGCACAATCTCACCTCGTGCAATTTCGTCTGACCAAGGTATATTTCTGCCAGGGCAGATATACACTGTGACACATATCACTCCAAATAAGTACAGACCATGCATCTCTGGGTAATATACTTCAATTTAAGCATGTACTGTAAGGTATGCCTTTTACACATGTCTCTGGCATACTTCTGAGATCATAATTCATGTCTACATTAGCACACCATTGGCACAGGATGGAAAACATGCAAAGAGAAGATGCATAGAACATTAAAGAAGCTAATAGACATTTTGAAGTATATTTCCAAGCACTGAGAGAATTTCAGGACTGTACAATCTCGACCTATTTGCTTACTGTGAGCAGGTTAGGGTGTTTTGGAAAACTCCAGAAAATGTCAGGATACTTCTTGTCCTTAGTATCCATACATTATATGATATAAACAAGATAGAGCAATCATATACTGCTTCTTTTGTCATATTTTAATTGAATAAGTGTAATATACTGTCTACTATCCCAAAATTCACCCACTTTCACAATTTCTGAACTGTATACCAAATCGGGAATGGTATACTCCCACAGTCTGTGCATCCAAGCTGCCAATGTGCATTCAGTCAAATATATGGTAAGGGTAGGTGTAGAAGCAGTTTGGAAGCAGTACTAGTAAGTATATCAAATAATATTTCCTGAGCCTGCTCTTTTGTGGCCACCTGGCAATGAGTAGAAGGGTGGAAAATTCACCACCCCAGTTGCCACCCAGTATCAGCCAGTATCAATTAAATATTATGTGAGTGCTAAAAAAATGTCAATAATTAATTGTTGGCGATTATTCCCAGTGTTTTTGGGGCTGTGGGCGGAGGGGCAGAGGGTTGGGGAGGGTATTGTGGCATAATAAGGATGTAGGAAAATTACAGGACCCTGAGTATGCAGAGCATTGTGCACAGCTCTTCCGACTCTGCATACTCCATTCACCTGTAGTTACAGGAAACTCTACATACCAGGCTGCACTGTAACTACAGGGAAACTCTGCATAATATGGACGGTATAGCCTCAAAGAAGCTCATTCATCACATTGATACATTGGTCAAGAGGTTCATGCAGCTCCTAACTGATAAGAAGGAGAATCCAGGAGACAACATGATGATCTTCATGCTGAAGAACCCTGCTATGTCGCATCAAGAGCTGCAGGATAACATGATCATGCTATTCATTGGTGGACATGTAAGGTTTAATCATATTCCGTGATGTATTGAACTGACTTTCTATCCTTGTTAGGATACCACCGCCAGTTCGATATGGACATTATTCTATTATCTTGCCTGCTATCCTGATATACAATGGCAAGCACAGGAAGAAGTCATGGAAGTACTTGGAGATGACATTGATCAAACCGTCAAATAGTTCTCTGGGACATCACTGCCATATCTCACAGCCTGTATTCACAAAGCAATGCGGATCAATAGTCCCACTTCCTACATTGTCCCCCACCAATCAAATCGACCTTTTCAACTCGGGAAATACTCTATTCCAGCATATACCTCATTGATAGTGAACATTTACGCTATTCACCATGATGAAGAACATTGGAACTCACCTGACACCTTTATCCCCAAAAGATTTTTGGAACATGGATGGCAGAAGTCTGGATGGCTCCCATTCGCTCTTGGGCCATGCCAGTGTCTGGCAAGGAATTTTGCCATGTACGAGCAAAGAACACTGGCAGCCATTTTTCTGTGGGATTATGAGTGGTCTTTGCCTGAGCACTCTATCCATAAAGATTCATTGAAGAACGCGTTCTCTCCTTTTGCTCTGACTTTACCTCATGACTTGGAATTAACATTTAGGCAGATTGTAAAGAATGAGGGACAACTCTTGGGGGTTTCCAAAGCAGGTCAAAGATAATATCAGTTCGAGGCAGGAGAAAATTAAATTTCTTTGATCAGATTCTCAAATTGTTATCAGCTTTTGGTGCAATAATCAGTTGGATTCTAAAACCAGACTATATAAACACTGAAGTACAGTTTTGCCATAAATAGCAAGCTGCCAAGCTCAGCCCTGACAATCGCTAGCACAAAGCCCTAGTTGAGGTGGTGACATAGGATTAAACTCTTAGATGTACTTAGGAAAACTACACAGAACTCGGACTGGCGAAGCGGATGCGTTAACCCTCACAAACTAATATCACACAGTTGCATGGATACATCAACCAATAGCTCTCCTACCCTTTGTCACCATCGTAGTGATGGTTGTCGTAATGACAATGTCACCTTCAGAGCTTTCAACAGAGTTCATCACCACTGCTGGCTTGGCTAGTAGTGGTGGTGATGGAAAACCTTCACATTCATGGATCTATCATAGCTGCGAGGAATCAATATTTGAATCCTGCTTGGAAAGGTAAACCTGGTCTGATTTTGAGTCCAAAACCTGGGTGCTCATTAAGGCAACATACAGGCTCAATAGGACTGTTGAAGTCGGGATCCAAGCTAAGTACATATTCGCTGTCAGGCCATCGAATGCTATTGATCTCAAGAATCAGAATGTGCATTACTACACAGGGATGGAATCCAACCTATATATCCCATTCTCTACATCATGCGGCTTAACATCCCAACTGACAGGGAATGATGAAGCAATAAGGTGTGGTCAAATCAGCTGCTCATTGAGCATTCTGAAATCGATGGACAAGTATAATCCATTGCAGATACACCGAATAGAGCATCCTGCACCTGACATCATGAATTTCCACTGACAATTATTAGACAGTACCAGTAAACTTGCAAGAGGTGACTCTGTCATACCTGTTGATTACTGCCATTGTGGCCAAGGCAGCCTGTGGGGCCGTGATGAGATAGTCATGTGAACAAGATAGATGTGTGCACGTACAAATGATAGACCTCCAGTCTTCCCCTGAGAGGTCGACATGGCTATTGCGAGTTTGCAAGTTAGCATGTGCGAGTTGTATTGTGTACGTACTGGACTTCAGGACTTCCATGAGTGTAGAAGAGTGATTAACTATTCGAGCACTTTAAAAAGTAGGATGGAAGGCAGAAATCAGCAATGTTCCTGAAGATAGCATCCATCGATAACAGGAACAGGCTACTATCTGGCACAAGTGTCCATCATTACGAAGAGAAGGGTGGAGCAAGGATTTTCATGGTATGAGGGCCATATTTAGCCGGAGTGGACCAAGAAATGTCATTCTTGAACCACACATAAGGGTAGTGCTTCTCCTTACGCTTAAGTGAGTTCCAAAGGAAAAGAAAACTTTTGGGGGTTCCCAAAGGGGTGTAAAGATAGTATCAGCTTGAGGAAAGGAAACTCTTAGATATGATTTTTGTTGGTCTTCGGGTCTCGGCATAATGATCAGTTGGATTCGAAAGTCAGGCTATATAAACACCGCTGCGAAGTCAACTTTGAAGTAGTTTCTCTGTTAATAAAGGAAGGGTATCAGTGAAAACCAAAGCTATGATGACAGTCAACTCATCGAAAAGCTTGGCAATGGCAGTAATCTGTCACCCTCTTAGTAAGCAACTGATTCATGCCAGTTGAGATACAATGGAAAAAAATTGGCTGACAGATCAGACTTCAGCTCCAGCTTTTGACTACAGCAGTCTGAGTCCTGGGTCAGAATTTGCTATGTTATGCAGATACTTCCATCAGGAGTGGGAGGACTCGACAAAGGTAATATTTGCATGAGACAATCTTCAAGTTGTTATCGAGATGAATGAAGAGTTGTCTCTCTTGTGGGAAGACAATTGAACACCATCATAGCTTCAGCAGGAAGACGTTAGTATCATTGGCCAGTCAGATGTTCATGCTATGGCATGATCTGAGATGTCGGTGTAATCATGCGTCAATGGCAGAGGTGATGCTTAACATTAGCAATTCGCCATCAGGAGAAACCAAGCTATTCTCGGTAGTGATGCCGCCGGCTCAGCTAAAGCGGACAAGCTGACTGAGCTGAGCCGGCATTTTCCGAGCCGCGCTCGAAATCCTAGCTCAAAGCTTTGTGCTGCTCGGCTCCTTATTCTAGCGGCTTGATTTCGGCTTGAGCCAGCTAAGCTGAGAGCTCGTTTCCTAATTGGGATGCTGACGTGTTTCTTCTCCTTCCCATCATCACTACCTCCCTAGAGTACGTGCTCTGACAGCAGGGGCCTCTACTTCGGTCTTCATCTTCACGGACATGTATCTAAAGACTATTCCCATGCCAATATAGCCAGTTTCACCAAAACCCGAGTGATTATGACCAGATTTTCCGCCCTTTTTGCCAGATAACTGCTAGATTGATCTTCAAGATATCATCTTCAACATTTTTGGAGTATTTGTCTCGTATATCTTTACCCTGGAGCCTTAGATCATCGGAGCATTGACAATACCGAAGCTTGAAGACGCAAAAAGTGGTAAATGAAGGGATATAGCAGACTGGCTGACATTGGTGTGTATGCTGTCCGACTTCACATCCTCTTCGCTTATGTGGTGTCTCTAGCTAGCAACGCTGTCTATTCCGGTGCCACTGTCTCAATGTTTAGCAACAGTCAATGTCTGTGTCTCTGCTGGCAGCAAAAATCCGACCAAATTTTCTGCAAAATTTTCTGCTGTGTTCGTATAAAAACCTATAGACATTCTTTGACTTAGCACCAGCATATGATGGCACCACGCCGTACAGGAACTAATACGATACCTCCTCGTGGGGGTGTCCTTGAGGTTGAAGGCTTCGAAATAGAGGGTACGTGTTGCAACTGGATCTTGATGCCATTTAGCTGATGTAGCCATGGATAGGGATCAACATAGCAGGTCCTAGGTGAAGTAAAAGAATGGCTGCAGCTTCACTAAAACAAGGTTTGGGCTTGCACTTACTAGTCCTGAATGCTGCTCATGATTATGTAGCAGTGACGCTGAAACAACCAACACAAGGCAAGACGACTTCAAACAGCCTTGAGCCCCAATTATCACAGCCTATAGACAAGCAAGGTCCTTCAGGTATATTATGCTGGATGGTTCCTTAAGAGTGCATCTGATTCCTAGTTTGCAGAACCCCGTTCTAAAACTCGTGCGACAGGGAAGAGTCGTAAAAAAGGAGGAGCGAAGGCATCAACAAATGTAGTCACCGAAGGATCTGAAGGTAGCCCCCATCATGGTCAACCACATCACCAAGAAGACCCCCCCGAGCTTGCAAACCCAGATGCCTGAGCATGTAGACCTGTGTCTCAACATACGTAAAACAGTCTCTTGAACAAAAAATGGTTTAACATGTATGTTAGGCATAACAACTGTACAGGATGATGACGATGAATTAAATCCCTTTGCACCTACCCTTCCACCTTCGTCACCACACATACTTGAGGGTCCGTACGACTTTGTCTCACCACCGTCAACTCCCTCCCGTTCACATTCTGCTTCACCACCCTCTCGTCGATCTGCAGATGGTGCGACAACATATAGGTTTGTTCATTTTGAGGAGCCATCTATCACACCATCATCACCAGAGGATTCGCTCTCATCACCATTGCCATCGTTGGCATCACCTCTGTCATCTCCTGCATCAATATCGGTGTCACCTCTATCATCAGCAAAGGAGCGCCGTGATGCAGACGATGTGTGGCCATTTTACATGGAAGGCGATCGCCGGATTTGTAAACTATGTCAGTGAGTATGACTCCTTGTACTCCACCATTGTGCTCACTCTTAATTCATTAGGGCGGGTGATAAGCATAAGAACGCCAAGGACAAGACTTATTCTATGAGCACAGGGACAACAAGTCTTCGCCATCATCTCATAAGAGAACACCTCAAATTATGGGTTACGGCTTGCGACAGGCTCGGCACTTTGATCAAGGGCAATGGGACAAAAGCCGCTGAGAAGTTTCGGAAAGCAAATGGTATGACAATGCCCTCAGATGCCTCATGTAGCGACACTTCATCTATTCCCGAATTCTCTCATGATGCATTTATCGATGCTATCATTGAATGGATTATTGCTGATGATCAGGTATGTAATTTTATCGCATGGCTATATAACACGTTGAAGAGGCTCTGTGCGCGCCAAGCTAGAAATGCACTAGCGTATATAACACTAACACACCCACACTCACACTCACACACACACAAACCCTCAGTAGTTTGAGGGTGATGTGCGATACAAGCACACAATAGCAGTAGTATTGAAATAATCCTTGCACATTACAATATAATATAGCACGCTTAGCAATATAATAATCTTCTAAGTCCAAATGCTTTTGGAACAGGAGGTGAGTGACAGAATCGCTCGGCCTCAAGGCAAAAGTATTATTTCGCAAGCCCCCAAATGTTCTACAAGAATGTATAACCCTCAAAATACGTCGCGCGCAACACACAAGTGTCCACAACGTTTCACAATACACTTAACACGACTTAAAGCCTTGCGCTCCAAGCAGAAAACACTTCAAAACCCGTTCGTAGATCCACAGGGTTCTAACCTATGCGATCCAGAGATACACAAACACAGAAAACACGTCCACAAGCCACAGGGTTTGAACCTGTGCCACTTGGGAATAAACCAAAAAAAACCTCAGAGATTACTGACAAGCCAAAGGGTTCGAACCTCTGCCACTTGCAATAACTCAGAATTCACAAACAAGTTCCAAAAACACAAATGCACATTCAAGTTATCACAATACAATATTCTCTAAGTAGAGCGCAATCAATTACTGTACTTTACTTGAACAAATCAACCGCGCTCGAGCAAGGCGTGCCTCGCGAGCTCTCAAAGTGTTCAAAATAATTCTAAGTTCAATAATACTCTCTCGCTCGAAGCTTCAAATAAAATCCTTTCGTCGTACACTAAGCGCGCTGCTTCGTAGTACAACTGCGGGGGTCTGAAAACTTGCTAACTACCTGTAACTACCACTCTTATATTTACCGTTAACTATATGAAATGTAAATACTGAAAATAGACAACGCTCCACCTCGGACTCCCTTCCCTTGCGTGCCACGTCAGCCATGGTGATAGTAATCATTATTTTACTCAGCACTCCATGTTGGCACGCGTGCTACCACTGTTTTCTCCACTTGGCAAGGCCTAGCCTCGTCGTGCCATGTGGCGTGTGTCTTCTTATTGGCTCCGCGGATTTAATTACAGTGCCACGCAACTTATCTAGTGAGCGAGTTTTATTTTATTGGTTGCCGCGCAACCATTTCTAGTTTAATATTTCATATGGGCAGCGGGTTTTATTTCTCTCCGGCCGAGAACTCCTTAGAGTATTTGGACTTGTTGATTCTTCGTTCAGGATGACGTTTCTCGGTGATTGCCGGATCGGCAGGGTTCACGCGACATAGATCAATGTAGCACGAAGCACCTTCAATATATTATCTTCAGTGAATTTAATTGAGTGATACACTGCAGAGGAGGGTACAGTGTGTGTGTATAAGCACTGAGACTGCACACTTAAATGACACAAGTGTGCCGTTCTAAGTCTAAGCCATGCGCTCTACTCATATTATTTTTATTATAGTGCTTTCTGCCTCAGTGTGTAGCGCTCTATGCCTTACATGCACTCTAATATTATTCACGGGGCACACACACGTTTGCATTCCTAGAATTCGCAAAATTACATGTGTGAACATGTTGCACGCGTGTCAACGTACTGACTTTTTCTGAGTCAATCAATGTTATTGAGTGCCCACAACTCCGCCGAATATTTCTCATGCTTCGTGATGAACTAAATGATACAGATATTCTGCACCGTACATTTATACGGGCCCGGGTTATTGAGACATGGGAGAGGTATATTCAAACCCTCAAGGGAGAAATGGAGGCAAGTCTTCATTTTCTCTGTTTCATCATGATTTTAATTCTCCGGAAACTTCAGCACTCTATGAGTAGCATCTCCCTTACCATGGATCTCTCTAGTGACCTTAACTTAGTGAACTACATGGCTGTCACTGCGCACTGGATGGAGCCTGTTGGTGTTGATGCTGATGGCCGTACTACTGTTCGTCTATGTTCTGACCTTATCGGGTATCATTGTGTTCCTGGTCGCCATGAGGGTGAACATCTCGCTGCGGCTGTTCTCTACATCACCAATCGTGTTGGCATTACAAGTAAAGATCACAAGCACCGACTGAAGGTAGGAAAACTGTTATTCCAGAATATCTAAGCATTGACTCTCTATAGCTTGGTTGGATTACGATGGATAATGCAGCTAATAATGGGACATTTATGGTTTTTCTAGAGCGCGATTTGCTGCGCCGTGGATTTCGTTTCTGTGCTGTTGAGAAGCGAATAAGGTAAATAATTTTAAATCTCATAATATCTTACGTTGACTCGACTCTAGATGTTTTGCCCATATCGTGAATCTTGCTGCAAAGGCAGTTATATCTGCTATTACAGCCTTGAACGCTGTTCTTCTGGAAGGTATGTATGTGTTCAGAATGTTAAGGATGATCTTTATCTGCATTTCAGAGAGCATGGACATCACCCGGGATCCCATAGCTGCTGTTAGGGCTCTTGTACATGCGGTGAGATTGAGCATCCTTTTGTCTTGGATAAAATTGAACTTATTGGAGTAGATTCGGGGATCATCACTCCACCGACACAGTTTTTTGTCAGTTCTCAAGACACTTGATAAAAAAGTGCTTCAACTAGTTCTTGATGTTGAAATTCGGTGGTCATCAACTGATATAATGATTGAGCATGTGATTGAACTCCGGGAGGTAAGAGACTATATTTGTATTATGCTCATTGCTTATCAATCATTAGGAAATTGAAGTATTCTTGGATAAAAGGGATTTCGCTGATCTTCGTAGGTATCAACTCTCCAAAGAGGAATGGAAAGCATTGGACATTATCCATCAGATTTTGGCAGTATGTACACATCTTTTCTCAGCATAACTCTGGTTAATTGCCTTGCTAGGTGCCACATGCATTTCAACAAAAGTTATCAGCTGACAAGACTCTGACTCTCTCATTGGCAATTCCAAGTTTCCGACGTATGATACAAATCTGGCAGAATATGAAGGAGACCTTCCCCCCAGCAGCGTCAGCCCTTGATGATGGACTCGTCAAACTTGAGACCTACCATGAGCGACTGGATGTTGTTCCAGCATATACACTAGCAACAAGTATGTTAACATGGCAAGCTCCTTTGTGATATACTGATTATATCACTTCAGTCCTCAACCCTAATGCAAAACTATGATGGTTCAGTCGTTACATGCCAGCAGAAGAGGATGAGGCTCGGCAATTATTTTTATGCAAGGTTTGTCTTGAGTACTCCTTGTTCCTTTTTCTAATATGTACTGCATAGCTTCGAGAGTACCGGTCTTTAACCTCAATCCCATCAACACCTGCACGGTCACAAATATCAGATCCACGTGGAAGTCACTGGGCAGATGATCTACTTGGCGACAATCTCTTTGATACCGCAATGCATCCACAAAGTCTCGAGGCTGAAGTTGATGCCTACTTATCTGATGTCAAGACTAGTCACGATATTGTGAAATATTGGCAGGTAAGCTTGTATGTTGAGGTTCTTCAGCATCTCGTTGCTCATCAGTTTCAGGATAATCAACTTATTTACCCAACGATATTTGTGATGGCTATGGACATCCTCCCGATTCAGGGAACATCAGTACCTTGCGAACGTGTCTTTTCCTCAGGAAAGGAAACCGCTACGGTACAACGGAACCGGCTATCACCTGAGTTGATGGAAGCTCTTCAGATGTTGAAGTTTGCTTTCAAACAGGGTCAATTTCTTAACTTTACAGAAGGAACATCTAAGGAGGCTGAAGTTATTGCTTTAGAAGCTTTACTTGCAGAGCAGGATAGAGTACCAGAGGATGTAACTGCTTTTATTGAGCAGCTCTGCACTGCAAATTAAAATTTACATTTTCGTTACTTATTTTGGTATCAAGCGCGGTGCTTAGCGGAAGCCGAGCTGAGCTGACAAATTCATACACAGCTTGGCCCAGCTAAAAGCTATATAAGGGCATAATCTGGGAAAAGCTGACCGGAGCTGAGTTTAGCCGAGCGGCGGCAACACTAATTCTTGGAGTTCTAGAGGCATGTCTGTCAGTAAGTTCTGCCTTGATATAAAGAATTTACAAACCTTGGTCACTCATTGGGCGAGCTGCAATACCAATTTGTCGATAAGCACTCTGACCAGCAATACACGAGAACAAAAGTGCCCGAGGTAGCTGACAGTCATGTCAGATGAGCAGCCATGAAGAATCAGACCATAACTGCATAAAAAAACCAAGGTCGAGATCATTGTAGTGGTCGATGGCAAAGGTTGTTTGGCAACATCAACAAACAAACATGGCTTCTTTCAAGTTGCCTCAAATTTGCCCTCTGTTACTGTGATGTGATGACCTGAAAAGGAAGTCATGCAATGAGCTGGTTTGGCTGAGGCGCTATCCATGTGGATTCGGTCCTCCACACATGCAAGCCACTCATTGTTCAAAATTTTGGCTTAGTAGGAATTATAACAATGCTGAATTTAGGACGAATTTTTACCAATTTACAGAAGATTTAAATCATATACAACAGGACTTGTAGTAAAAAGTAAGAGTATTTATTCAACCTAGCTAAGATATACTATCTATAAGCAAAGGAGCATCACTCCTATTGAACAAGATCACCCCCTGGTTGACAGTGTGATGGAGGTACGGGAGGCAGCGGCATGTAAACGTTGCAGAGCGCATGTTGGCGTGCTGGACTGGGACTGGCCTGACTTGATTGGCTTCATGACTCGTGATCCTGAGGAGGAAGTCGGCAGTCCTGGAAGGGGCTGGCTGGGGCTGGCGTGTGCAGTGATGGAGCAGAATTGCAGGATGGTGGTGGAAAGTGGCAGACATGGTTGAGACGAGCTGACTCGTGGCACACATAGGCTCAAGTGCCATTATCCTCTTTTGGGATTCACGTGGTGGCTGTATGAAGGGCTTTTTTTTTTTTTTTTTTTTTTTTAAATCTATATTTCAAAACCGCAACCCGTAATCTATGTACAGAGATGCGGCGGCGCTTGCTCATAGCCAGCCCCAGTAGCTACTGTAGGTACACAAGAGGATTTTCAGACCTTTAATGGTATAGATTTCTCATGTCTTTATGTGTTGAGTCCTTGGTATCCAGGGGGGTTGACGCCACCATAGCTCAGGCTATGGGGCACGGGTTTGTGTGCATGGAGCGAGTTCCTTGGTTGTTCTCTGGGTCCATCAGCATTTCCATCCTCCCTCTACCACTTTTCAACCTCCGGGATCTTCCTCTCGCTCCAGGTCCTGATCTCCCAGCCAGTCTTCAAGCATGGTTTCTTCATCATCCAATGTGGGTCGCATTGGTGGCCGTTTGGGGGTGCCAGTCTTTGTGAATGCGCCTGACTTCTCCAGGAACACTGCCAGGGCTTCTATGCCCCTTTTCATCCCTAAGATGTCCGGCAAGTATACGTCTCTGGAGACTTTGCAGAGTCCATCTCGGTGACTAGTTGGGTGAGGGCCAGCTCATCCGGTGGCAAAACCGAGTCCTATTTTTATCACACTGATTCTGGAAAACATCGGTACACAAAGGCATTAGCCAACTTCCCAGTTAGATCCTTACACATGTTCACGTCATCGAAAGAGCCCTCCCCAGAGATGAAGCGTACTGACCCAGGTATGTCTGCATCCCGGTTTGTTTCTCAACACAACCATTTCCAACCCACTGCGCACATACTATTCAACGGCATTGAACCAGGGACTTGGAAGGAACTCACCCTTTGGCTAGCAGTCTTTCATTAGTCCTCTCATCGAGCTAACAAATCAAATGTGCGCACCGAGATCGATGGAGCACCCTATGCCATGATCACCCAACCACGAACTGAAGCAAGAGCAATAATTGAAAAAAGCAGGAAAAGTAATAACAAAGAAAAAAATAGAAAGAGGCCAGAAAAACAGAAACACAATGATGGCAAGTGTGGAGGAGACGGGGCAGTCGAGAAAAACAGGCATAGCCCGGCAAAGACCGTGCACGAATAGAAAAAATCCTACAGGATGAACCCAGACCCAGGAGACGGATGATCGGCAAACGCCGCGCATGAATAGAAAAATCCCACGGGGAACACAGACCCACAGAGCCAGATAGCCGGCAATCACCGAGACCAATTGATTTCACGAATAGATTTTCCCACGGGCCTTTCCCAACTGCATAATGACCGATTACCTATATTCATAGGACTCGGAACCATTGTATCGGGGGCATTCATGGATGATGTGGTCTCGTGTTTGCATAGGCTCTCCACAGGGACACTGAATGCCTTTGTGCGGGACAAAGCGACTGTAGTACTCGCCTGTGAAGCAATGCCCAGTTCGACACTGGACCAGGCGACCGAAGACTTCACGTTTGCCATGGAGATGGCGGAAGTGTATTGTGGGTTTCGGGAATGGCGCTATGCGGTTGGAAGGTGCAAAAAAGCCGGTTTTGGGGCTGTTTTTCCACGCCCTTGTCCAGTCTCTCTTCAGCTTCTCTTTAGATCTCCGGAGAGCGTTTGATCTGCTCCCTGCGACTTTAGCTTCGAGCTCCACTGCCTCCTTGGCTAGCTCGTCAGTTTTTTCGTTCCCCTGGATCCCTGTGTGGCCCGGTGCCCAGGCCAGTTCCACACTGCGGTCTTCATCCTCTAGGAGCTCGTGTATCCTTTTGTTGAATATGATACAAAACGACTGCCCTGGTTTGGAGCTTGTATCGAACGCTGCGCCAACTGCGGATGTGTTGTCTGCAAAAAAGTGAATGTGTGTGATCTCGGGGTGAGTGGAGCAGTACTTAACTGCTGCTGTGGCGCCCATAGCAAGCGCTGCGAGTTCGCCATCGTACACCTCCGCATGTGATCCGAGTCCCATTTTTTGGGTAAATACCTCTACCCCATTCTGGTACCCCACGACACCTGCTCCCACTCGACGGACGCGGTGTAGTGGTCGTAGTGAGCCGTCTGTATAGATCAGCAGGTGGTTTGATGCCTGGAGTGCTGCGACATAATGTTTGTGCCTTGTTGCAGCCTCCTTCTTGTCCTCTACTGGGTCCGCTTCTGTCACTTGGAACCGTCCGTTGAAGTCAGTCATTGATTCGTGCCACGGTGGTTGGTGAAACGGGAACAGTCGCTCATCATTTGGGCTTGTATGTTGTGCAACCTGCTGAAGGCGAGTACTTTTAGTCATATTTTTTTTGGACTGGGAGTTGGGGCGGCAGGGTAGTGGTGGGGATAGGCTGGGAGCTCTGCCACCTCTCCATCGGTTGTTGAGCCGCTCAATGATGGGGTTGGAGGAACTCAGCTTATTAAATCGGATTGCACATCGCCTCGTGCACATATCAAGGTGCATACAGAGAGGGGGGATCGATGCTTCGATCTCTAGTGCTGCTGTTGGTGTAGTCTTGAAGGCAGCACAGATTAGCCGAAGTGCACGGTGTTGAATTTTCTCAAGGACGTCTAGGTGAGCTTTCTTGCCTGTCCACCACACGGCTGTACGAAGGGCGAATTTTCAAAAACTCTTCTTTCACCACCGCGACCAGCACGTGTCCTTCGTAGAAGTCGCGACAGTATCATCTGTAGACGTGTCTTGAAATTTTCTCTTGAAATTTCAAGCCTAAATGATGCCGACAAAGGCCTGACAGCAGCTGCAGACAGGAATTTTCAGCTTAGAGTAAGCAAACCTGTCATTTGTCCTTCCCTTCGGTTTTCTTACGCCTATCTCAAGCTGTATTTGGCGGCGAATGAATTCTGTTTTTTGCTGAACTGGCGGCCGATGGTTACACTATAGGGAATTAACATGGTATGAAATTATACAGTTATCTGGTAGTTTTATCTAATATTTACTATGATCCCGAAGTTCACTCGTTCTCGCTCAGTGAGGAGTCGGCTAGGCTACACTGGATGGCATAGATAGCCATCACCGTTGTCAGACCTCGATTCCCGATGCTGAGACCCGAAGATCCGTATTTGTAGATCAAACCCATATCCCATCCTCCGTCTTCACATTGGGAAGCTCTAAGAGATTGAAGATCGATATCGTTTTTAACACCTGTAAAATGGCAAACGATAAGGCGCATTGCTAAGGCAAGTCCATCACCTGCCGCCCCAATTCGTTCCAGAATTCTTTCTTTTAAGAGCGGATAGAAGCGGTTGTGGACGACTGGATCATTGCAGCGGCTGATAAATCGATAGAGGAAGAAGAGGAAGCATTCTGCTGTTTGATAGTAACGCGATCCTTCGACATACGCCCGATGAAGAAGCACCTCGTGCACCCATTGCAAAGTCTGCTCCATCTCGCTTCCTCGACCATATGAATAGAAGAGGTGAAGGACGTTCACGCAGACAACGGGATCGATTCGCGGTCTATCATGATCGAAGTATGTCTAACAAGAGACGTTTAGACGCAGATTGAATTCAAGCTCGAGGACAATTACCTGTACGATACCGTCTTCGTTGACATAATTCAACATCTCATCCATTATAGACGTTGCTATTTTCATCCTTGCTTGAACCACCGTAAGGCCGAGTGATGTGGTGTCTAAATCGCAAGGAAACTCGTCTGTGGTAAGTTGACTATTCCCTTTAAGTATCATTAGCTCAGTTGGCGATGAACTCATCAGCCTGGCTTGCCTCGAAAAAAGTTCCACTTTCCTTCCTTCTGAACAATATCCGACTCGACCAAAGATCTGCCAAGCTGTTAGCCCATAAATCCGACGTGTAAGTTGACCTGATCCTCACCGGTCATTTGTCATCTCCAGAATGAGTAACTGAGCGAAGTTTTCCTGTATAGCTATTCCACCACACATTGAAACAAAATGTCCTGCATTCTCCTTCAAAAAGTTTTGACCTCTCTGAACCGGATCTCCAAACAAACTGAGCAGCGATTGCTTCAGTTCCTTGGGTTCGCGATACACGATACCATGCACTCCTTGGGAGCGTGCAGAAAGTACATTCTCGAGCTTGTCGTCTATGAATATAGTTCGAGAGGGTTCCAGGTTCGCCTGCGATAGCGCGTACCGGTAGAATTTAAGTTCGGGTTTACGCGTTCTCGCTGCGAAGGAGGTGAAGATGCCATCGAATATCGACCAATCCATATTATCAGCAATGCTCCGCAGGGCATCATAGTCTGGTTGTGATATGTTTGATATCCCAAAGATGCGCAAGGTCTCCCCTGTCGAGTCTTTGAGTTCCCGCAGGAAATTCACAAGATCGAGGTTGCAACGCAAAGAGGCGCAGGACTCTTCGATTGCCTTGCGGACATATATCGGGCTGATGGATAGTTCTCGTCCAAGGCTATCGTAGCATGCCTGCTGGGAGATTCGGCCCTTCTCGTACTCGAACCATGTCGATGAGGAGAGAACTCTGCGAAGGGTGTTCAGAGGGAGGGTCGAATTGGGCGGGGGAGACCATGTGAAGAGAACGTCCCCCAGACCACAAAGTATGGCGTTGTACCTTGCCATTGCCATTCTTTATTCTTGGGGCCAAGTTGATGTTTATATACATTTACTAGCATGTTTGTTTGAGGAGAATTCCCTCGGCTGCCGCGATGCTGTCTCCATGGGCTGTACATTGATCTTGTCCGCTCGTATTCCCGCCAGCGCATCACCGTTTGTTACAGGGCCTTGTAATCCACGAGGAAGGAGTTTCGATGGATGGATAAATGCAGCTATATGCGGAAAGCCTAAGGAAATAAAATGGACTGCATAGAATGTAAAGCACAAAAGAAGGCTTTTAGGGCAAAAGTTGAATGCGATATGCTCCCGGTTGATCCATGGGTATGGTATTCCCAAACTTGACGTCCCGGTGGAATGGTAGCAGCTCCTGTTAAGCATCTCGCCGGAGAATTCAAGTTCATCTGGTGCGCTTCGCATGACTTCTGCGTGAATTTGACCCCTCCTACAGTAACTGCTTCGACACTTCGCACTGAAGCGCTCTGCGACCGTAATTCGGCAACGCCCAAGAGAATATGAAATCAGGTCGAGATAGACTACCTACTACTAATATTCGCGCTACTTGCATAGCGTATGATCAAAGGGTATGTACATCGCAATGCGGTCATTTGTATCTTGAGAGCCAAGGTCATTTTTGTGGTTGGTGAGAGAAAGATCGGACTTTATCACGAACCGACCTTGAGCGCATGGAAGAGCCTCCGAGACTGCCGAGATAGCCAGAAACTAGCCCATAAGCATCATAAACTTGTGACGGATTCAATGGTCACCAAAAGTGAGTCCAGTATCTCTTGGTAGACTGTCTTGGCTGAAGTCGAGGGTGCCATCCAATCTGTCATACATCAGCGCTAGTCCAACAAGGCCCTAGGACCTTGATTATCGGATTCTAGATACTGTCAGGAAGGTCACGAGCGGCTGACGTTGACCGTCTCCAGGACAAGTGATGTCCTATGGCACCGTATCATGACGCTGATAGCACTTAACGCGTTATTTTGATGTAGGAGATAGCGCTAACTTGAACTTGGTACACCGCATGCTCGCATCAAGGGACACACATTTCTTTTTGACAGTACAGTGGTTCCGTGCCAAGGTTCCTTTGAGCAGGACAACTTTTTGAAAGATTCGTAATCGAGTTGCGATAGATGCAGTTTGAACAACCTAGACAGGATTCAGTGATCGTTCCATCAGTTTCAAGAGAGAACCAATACTTACTCGAACACCGTATGACTTCGGGTTGTATTTAGCTCGCCATCCCATAGATGATGGAACAAGCATAAGTGGTGGTGTTTTCAATGACAGCTTCAAATATGTGCCGGTATATATATAAATTGGTCCAGCGTAGGGGTTGCCGATACTTTTCTGGTCAAGCTATGACATGTCACATTTCTGGACCTAGGAATCGCAGTTAGAAGGACGGACACGGAGCTTTTTTTGAAAGTTAGTGTATCAAGGATGTGTGAGAATCGGATTCATCCTTAATATTAAAAAAGGATTCCAAAAACGTAGGGGTCCACCGTCGTGAAGTGCCTGAAATTCCCGCTACCTTGGTAGTGGGTTATGTGCGGTGCACTATTGTTCGAAGTTTTGGCGTGAAATTGCAAACTAGCCGGAAAGAAACCCGGAGGCAGTGTTCCGTGTGTGCCCGGTCGGTGAAGAAGAAAAAAACGCTACTGTTTGAACTTTTGGCGTGAAATTGCAAGATAACCGGTTTAGTGACCGGATCCAATGGTCCGTTTTTTTCCGCAACACCGCCATGGAGCTTGGAGGCAATGTCCAGCCACCGTATTCCGTGTGTGCCCGATCGGTGAAGAAGAAAAAAACACTACTGTTTGAACTTTTGGCGTGAAATTACAAGATAACCGGTTTAGTATACCCTTGTCCGTTTTCTCCCGTCTGGATCACGTGGGAGCGCGATCCTGACCAAGCAGCGCGGCAGCTCTTGATTACTTACGTCTGTCTTTACTTCCTCTTGCTTCACTGTCTCGTTGGCAAGGGAAAATACCAACTTACTCTCGCTTTTGAAAACAACCGCTCTCGATGCGGCAGTCTCGTCCGTACTACTGGAGGAATATCCGCCGTTACTGTTCAATGTGAACAGGGACTTTTTACGACCCAAATTCCGCTTTTGATTCGAAGAGAAAGTAATGCAGTCGTCCAGCTCGGATTTGACTAGTTTCTGGAGCTTGTCAGAAATTCCAACTTCCGCAAAGGTGTGTTATATCATTTACGGTTTTCTTGATAATGTTTGAACTAATTATCTCTTCAAGGGAATAACAAGCTACCAGTCGTCGCTCTCCAGGCTTTGAGTGATCATTATGTCGCATTGACAGATCTTACTCAAGGTCTTCTTACCGTCAACCATCGCGACCTTGTGCATGGTCATGGTTCTCTTTCATATACGACTTGCGCAGATTTCCGCAATTTTGGAAGGTTGCTATTGGAACATTTCCTTGCTGGCCTGTGTGCAAGCGAGAGCGGTTTCTTGTGCTCTGCAATGATGACTCAGTGTCACACAGTCATGATCCGCCCATCTTTGTTCTCTTTGTCATGTTTGTTGTCATCAAACCCCGTGTTACGGATGTCATCCCCTATGCTCCGGACCGTCATCGATGTTGTTGGACTTTCAGTCGACGTTGAAGCTGTATATGTTCAGAGCGCTCTCCAGGAACGTCTGCATGATGCATTGTACATGCCCTATAATCCTCATCCTGATTACATTGTTCGTCTTTTGACAGGGTTTGAAAGACTCCGGCGTGAAGACGTACGGTATCGGCGTCGAAGGCAGTGTTGAAACGCTACGTACGCGTGTCTGCGATCATGTTTTCAGGGTTCTTGTCTCACTTCAGTGCGTCGCCCCTTGCTGACTGTTTGTCCTGGTTGTTTGGAGGTTTTTGCAGAGCTTTAAAGACCCGATACTAAGGGTTTTTTCCCTTTTCTTCCTTCCCCTGTAACTCATCTATGTCTCAGCCTCAATTCACTGTTTTCTCCGTTCTCGACGAGCCTGTCCGCTACTCGTTTGACATTTACATGTTCAATTCCATAGTGTCAACGTCGTGGTTGTCTTCCCGCGGGCTTCAGACGTCTCGTTCTTTGGAGCTTATTGTCCATTGTCAAGGAGAGCGTGGCACGGCTGTGTTAAGCATGCGATTCCGACCGTCCAATTTCACTGATAACGACATCATTCTCGGCCGTGATTTCTTCGCGTTATATCGTGAGTTGTATCCGATTTATGGCTCTAGTATGTCTTTCCTTGTTTTCTTTACGCTATTTTTATTTAAACTACTTGTTGCAGTTGATGGTGTGTCGCATGAATCCAACGGTGACATCATTCCCGTTCATCATTTTGACACTTTCATCCCAAGGGATGTCGATTCGGTGATTGCTCTGTCTCCCTCGACCGTCCTGTCTGTGACAGGAGTTTCCACCTCCATGTCAAACGACATGAGTACTGGAAGTGGTCGTAGCGCTGCATCCCGTGCCTCTATACCCGCTGATACCGCTGATACCGCTGATACTACCGCTGATTTTACCGCTGAGACTCCTGAGATGCATGCCGTTGCTCCTAGCCTGTTGTTCGGAGATTCTGATTCTTCTGGTGTTGGATTCAGTGTTCAACAGCATATTCTCACTTCCTTTTTTTTCAGTCATATCACTACTGGACCTCGTGCTTCTCTCTTCGTTGAGGACTGCAATGTTCTTCATGTTATTGCTCGCAGTCATGGTCTGACCTACGACGACAGTCTTGACATCGCTACAATTAGACAGTCAGTCTATAATACGACGTTTGATTTTAGGAGATTGCTACGGCTCTCATAGAAAATATAGGAAGGATGATGAATTTTTAAAGAACATCAATGATACATTTGACTGTGCTGTATTTGCATCTGGATTCACGTCTGCAATCGAACTCAGTTTACGCACTGTCCGACATATATTGAGTTACACTGGGCATGTCGCACACTTGACTCTACTGAAGCTTAGCGCTATAGTTGAGTCACTAGGCTTTAAAGGATCTCGGACAAGGCAGAGAATGCTTAACTTTCTGACAGATTATACACGAACTATTGATCCACCTACTCGAGGTTTTCTGGATGGTACTCCGACACTTGTTTTAGAGCGCATGGCCAACGCTCACGGAATTTTATGCAATGTTAACAGCACGATCTCTGACTTGATAACCGATCTCAGTGAACATTTTCAGGAAGGACTTTGTGCCCATCACCACGATACAGCACACGTGTCCGACGAACACCGCTCTTTTTCTGATATACCTGGTCGTTCTGACGCAGACTTGATACTTGTCCGAATGGAACGTATTGTTAGAACGCTTTCTTTAAGAGCGTGTCGTCGCATCATGATTAGTCATGGTTTAAACCCTGATGTATCCACTGCAAGGGAGGCCCGCACTGCTATAAGGAATCACATCCATGGAATTAGAAAAGGCAAAAAATACGCCGAGTTTGTTTCTGGCCATAGTGCTATCAAGAAAACCGTAGATGATATAACACACCTTTGCGGAAGTTGGAATTTTTGACAAGGTCCAGACACCATGCGGGCCTCCCTTGCAGTGGATACATCAGGGTTCAAAATGATGCGATGACACGCTCTTAAAGAAAGCGTTCTAACAATACGTTCCATTCGGACAAGTATCAAGTCTGTGTCAGAACGAACAGGGTGATCCAGACGGGAGAAAACGGACAAGGGTATACGGTCTCTAAACCGGTTTCAAATCTCGACTGTTCTGATTTGGAGAGTCTGCCTAGGGGAGACTACTAAACAGGTTATCTTGCAATTTCACGCCAAAAGTTCAAACAGTAGTGTTTTTTTCATCTTCACCGATCGGTCGTGGGGGTAGAGAAGCACAACAGCTTTGTATAAATTTTTATGAGTTCGTCGCGCTCAAATTCTTGGCGTGAAATTGGGTTATATATATGGTACGACGGGGAATGCGAAACAACAGTCAGTCACCTCTTGATGTCGGTTCGAGTGGCCTCCAAAAATCCTCATTGAACTCTGATAAAAATTCCCTGATGTACAAGTGAGTCCTACTGCGGAATTTTCCGACTGACTAGTCGGCTGACAGACCTGAAACAAGGTAGCGGGTCTTGCCGCTCGCCGGCCCTACTTACTTATTAAATACTATAGCCTGGGTGTCCTCCGCAATCCGACCTTTAAACGTGACCAACGTCAACATCAATGGCGCTAAGCAAGGAAAAGAAAATTGTCAGCACTAGGTACCCCAACAATGCGTCAGGAGTAATGCGGGCATACCCAGATTCTTCGAAAGGCAGAGAATAGCGCAGGGGCGAACAAACAACTTGGACGGGGGTCGGGACTCGTCGCCGCGTCGGGCCGATGGCAGCGATTGTTTGGCATCAACAAACAAACACAGCTTTCTTCACCACCACCACGAACATCACGCGTCCTTCGTACAGGCCACGATACTATCGCGCCGTAGATGTGTCTGTAACATCATTTGGGAGCTTAAATTCCTGGACGATGCCGAAGAATGACCTGGCAGCCGGTTTGGACGCAGATTTTCGGTTCGGAGTGAGCAAATCTACCATCTCTTCGTCTTTCCAACGTCCTTATATCCAATTTTAAGCACATTTCGCGGAGAACGGGGGCCTTTTTATTGGCGTACAGCGGTTCATCGGCAGCAGGACATCATTGAAGAGCTCCACCGATTCCGCCTAAAGTACCATCCATTACTAGACTATCTGGTCTGTAATAGCGGCTTTACAATGGTTAATGGTCAGTATACCTACCAGTCTTTGCGATGTTTTTGTTTATCATCTGACAACGCGTCTAGGTAGTACGTATTGCCGAAGGCAGATTCCATTCAAAAGAAGGACAGGCATCCCCGCCAAAGGCCTGATCCTGTCATCGTCTCTAATGCATATGCGCGATGCTACTTCCTAAGCAATATGTGAAGCCCGATGGACGAGTGTAACGGTACGAAATCAACAAATTACACCATGATACATCCTTATTGTCATCATTGAAAGGCTGATTCGTCGCCGTTCCATAGTGAGGAACTAGCCATGCTACTACACTGGATAGCGTGGATAGCCATTACCGTCGTCAGACCCCGATTCCCAATACGGAGACCCGAAGAGCCATATTTGTATATCAAGCCAATATCCCACCCTCCATCCTCACGCTGAAGCCCTCGGAGAGTCTGGAGGTCGATCTTATTCTTCACATCTGTAAAGTCGCACACAATCAGGCGCATCGCCAAGGCAAGTCCGTCTCCTTCTGTCCCAATCCGCTCCATAACTCTATCTCTCAGGAGCGGATAGAAACGATTGTGGATGACTGAGTTATCGCAACCGCTGATAAATCGATAGAGGAAGAAGAGGAAGCTTTCTGCTGTCTCGTAGTATCGCGATCCTTGTACGTATGCACGATGGAGAAGGACCTGGTATACCCATTCCAAGGTTTGGCTCATTTCATTTCCTCGACCGTAAGAGTAGAAGAGGTTGAGGACGTTTACACAGACAACGGGATCAATCCGCGGCCGGGTGCGGTCAAAGTACGTCTATGCAGACGCGTTAGGAATTGTCCCTTAGTCTCGCGGAAAAAGAATCACCTGTACGATTCCGTCCTCATTCACATACATCAACATCTCATCCATCGTAGATGCTGCTACCTCTTCTTTCGCTCGAATCACTGTGAGCCCAAGCGAGGTCGTGTCCAGGTCACAAGGAAATTTTGTCGTCGTAAGTTGACCATCCCCTTTGATCGTTATCAGCTCGGATAACCACGGTAATCTACTAGTTCAACTTGCCGCGGAAGAAGTTCCACTTTCCCTCATTTGGTATATCCAGATCAACCAAAGACCTATCACTCTGTTAGCACCTGATCTCCAAGAAGCTCAAAGATATGAAATCACCGATCACTAGTCATCTCCAAAATGAGCAGCTGAGCAAAGTTTTCCTGAATGACTAGTCCAGCGCATTCGGAGGTAAGACGCCCTGCATTCTCCTTCAAGTATTCTTGACCTCTCAGTACCGGATTTCCCACCAGATTGAGTAATGATTGCTTCAATTCTCTGAAGCCATGGTATACGAGACCATGTAGTCCTTGAGAACGCGCTGAGAGTACGTTCTCGAGCTTGTCGTCTATAAAAATGGTTCGAGAGGGATCGAGATTCGCTTGAGACAGCGTGTAGCGGTAAAAACTCAGATCAGGTTTACGTTTACCTGCTGCAAAGGAGGTGAAGATGCCGTCGAAAACCGACCAGTCCATGTCCGCCGAAATGCTCCGGAGCGCTTCATAGTCTGGTTGCGATATGTTGGACATAGCAAAGATACGCAGCGATTCCCGATTCGTGTCTTTGAGCTCCTGGAAGAAGCTCGCCAGATTCCTGTCCCATTTCAGGGAGGCACAGGAGTCGTCGATTGTTTTGCGGATGTCAGCCGGATCGAGGGACAATTCTTGTCCGAGACGGCCATAGCAGACCTGCTGGGAGACACCGCCTTTCTCGTACTCAAACCATGTCGCAGAGGAAAAGATTTTCTGCAGGTTTTTCGGAGAAATGGTGTGGCTGGATGGAGGAGACCATTTGAAGAGGACATCTCCCAAATCGCAGATTATGCTGTTGTATCGCGCCATCGATATCCTATGGTTTTCAGTCTCAGACAAGGCGGATTCTTTTATCTGGTTTGCTGCAAGGAGTTCATTGCCGAGCCTCCGACATTAGTGCATTCTAGGTCCATTTTCTCTTCTGTGGATCTGTCGCTAGACACTGATTGTGTATTACAGCGCCTTTGACTCGTGAAAACAACTGAATGTATATTGGGGCCACAGGAACCAAACCCTTCGCATAGCGCATAAAGGAAAGAAGAAAGAGTTGTCAGGTCAACCATACCCCGAGCTCGGGTTTTGATGTCCTGAACCAGTATGGTATGGCACCTGGTAAAACGGTTTTCTTGGACAAGTTTCCCTTGTGGTTGTTCATGAGGCTGGCATGAATTGGGTGTATCCCGCAGCGCCTCCAGCGACAGTCCCTGCATCTCTATCCCCGAAGAACTCCGGGTCCTCATCCATCGAGGCCACATTAGTCAACTCAACAGAACAGCTCCTCGAACACATTGTGCTTGTTGTCGGCGGGCGATGTGTCTCTCATTGGAACGGGAACAACTGAGCAAAGCGTAGCGGCAGGATTGACCCAAGGTTATCGTGATGGTCGACGAAAGAGGCTGTTTTCGCGATGTCAACGATGACTACTTTCTCCAGTACCATCATCACCGCGCATTCTCCGCAATGACCACGATGATATCTACGCAGATGTTTATATCACATCCTCGGGCCTGCGAGAGCATTCGGAAATGACGATAGGTGTGGCAGTTGGCGGCACGGCTTACGCTGGTCCATCTTTGGTCACATCATGGTGAGCAAGGCCTAACCTTTCTTCTTTCAATCATCTTTACGGGCCTTTATAGATCCCCGAAACAATGACGGAACCCTTAATGTTTCCGTTTGCCGCAAAAGAGCACCTTGACCCCAAACTGTTGATGACCCGCTGCGCTGATTGGACCTTACAGCGCCCTTCCTCACAGTGAAATTCCTAGTTTGCAGACTGTTTCGGTTGCAATGCTTATTTTGGTGTTCCGTCACAAGCTCCGCGCTCCATCCATTACGACCTTCCTGCCTGCCTCTCTGCCTCTCTTCAAAAGAGGATAGCGACAACAAGGGTATGTTCCAGACCGGACGACCGGAGTGACCCTGGTTGTTCGACGTCCTTCACAACCCATGGATCCCCCGTTCTTATGCCCTTTTCAAAGTATACGAGGATTAGCGGTATCCTCTACCGGCGCGAGACCCCGCAGCTGCCTACCACTCTGAGATTCCCAACTTTTGTGGTATGTCTACCCTATTCAGTTGCGAGGAATATGGAGGCTCAAAGTGCTTAGCAAACCATTTCGTGACGAGCGTATTACATCAATCTCCCTCACATCACAGCTATTTATCATTCGTTGGCTCGACTCGGTTATAGACGATGGATCAAATGATGTCTATAAAGCCCTTTCTGTCGCAACGGGTGCTTGTTCTCCTCATAGTCCATCGTATCCCTAATGCCTAACTTGGAAACGGCTTCGACAATTCCTCAAAGGAGCTCTCAGACCCAGGTCCCGCTCCTTCCTTTGCGTGCACTACCTCTCTTATCGTCGTCATAGGAGAGTCGGATCGCTCGGTATCGGAAAAAACGCTCTGAAATTCCATCGCCGACATTTGTCCACTTGCGGCAGCGACAGCCTCACTTGACAGACCATGGCCGCAGGCGACGCGTATCATAATGAGCTGCGGGGTCATGGCCTATAAAAATAAGGTGCATGTTAGTTTTGTTCTGCGAAGAAGTGGGAGGTGCTTAACCTCAACCATGATCATCAGCGGGACAAACAAATTGGACGCCGTGGTCCTCAAACCATATAGGATGATGAAAACAAATGAGATCAGCGCGTACGGCAGGGCACATTCAACCAACATTGCCGCAATTCCGGTATATAATTTCTCGCACTCTGGTCCCAACTTCTGGATCCCCCTACGCATCGATAGAACACGGGCGACGATCATGAACGTCACGAGAAGGGTGAAGGTGATTGAAAGGGCCCAGTATGGGATGGAAAACTTGGCAATACTAGCTCCCCAGATCACCACGCCGGGTAAAGCCAACTGAAGGACGAGGAGTATGCCCATGGCTGCCAGAGGAATATCGCGTCAGTCGAAACACGGGAACTTGTTGAAGAGCGTATCGTACCAGTCGAGGAAAGAAGAAGCAAAGCTGGAAGGGCGACGGCTATCCATAGGCCCCGGTACACTATCCAGCACCTCCAGAGCTGCTATCAGATGAGCCGATACCGATGCAACAATCCGCGACGAGACGCACCATACAGATATCGGCAAGAAATGTGATAGAAATCGCTGCCACGTTAGCGACAAGGATTGTTGTCGTATAACTCTGCTCAATCTGGTACTGCAGGGGTCCGCCAGGGTAGCCGCGTTCGTCGATCCACGCCATCTCATTCGAATGGATGTTACATGCCGTATAGATTGTCGATAACAGAACCAGTATGCCGACATATGTGATGGACTGCCAGACATATTTCTTTGTCTTCGAATTTATGACGTGGTACACGGCGAGGAACGCAATTGCCAGTTGCGTACCTTGATGCGGGGCAGAGGTGGGTGAGGTTCTACTGCTTCAAAAGCGAAACTCACCATATGCCATAGCGCCGATATAAACTGTGGCATTAAGGGCCTGTTCAAACCACAGCGATGAAGCAGACTCATCGGTCCTCCACGGGTCTTTAGCCATATGCTGGACTAGCGCTGGAGGCGGAACGGTGCCAGCGAAGCCTGTCGAGCTGTTTTTGTGCTCCTGCGATGGTACCGTGCCTACCGGGGACGTCGACACAAGCAAGTGGAGCAAGTGCCAGTAACGAAAATTGACATTTATTGATCATCAGCCAACGGATACTAAACACGAGATCTTCTATTACATACTAGTGTTGCTTCTTTTTATAGTAACCCTGTAACAGGTGGGTATCAGTCCTTGTGTTCTGTATACATATTAAGCTAATTGAGCTTGCGATAGCATTAGATCTGCAAGCTATCTGCTTTGAATTCGGGTTCCTTCAGAGTCCAGGAATTGCTGGTGCAGGCCATTGCACCTTCATCATGTGTGGTATCTATCAACTCCGGGGCGCATTTCGGACGACTCTTGGAGACGCGATGGGGAGTATCCAGGAGGTCCGATGAAGCAATGATTCCAGATAGCGCCTGGACGTAATTATCAGAGGCAAATGAATGGTCATCATCTTAGTCTACATAGCCATCTCGGCTGTGAACCTCTGCGACCTCGAGCTACTGACGGAAACGTTGCTCCGGATCTCTCTGAGCCCTCACCGCATGGTCTCGTCGCGATATCGATCAGAGAGTCCTCGATGCGCTTTCTGTATAAAAGATCTTCTCCGCCTAGGATGTTGTTAGCAACATTCACCCACTGTCCCACCAAGAATCCCGATGTCTACTAGATTCGTCTCAGCTCTTCTCGCCTGCATTCTCATGCTCGCTATCTTCTCGTCCAATGTCTCAGCAGCCCCGTTGACACTGGGCTCTGCAGCAAATGGTATGTGGACAGATCATTTTTGTAGCGAGCGCACTAACCCCGTCTTGTCCGGTAGATAATCCGGCTACTGATGCCAGTGGTTCCATTCTGGAAACGCACGCTCAATCTGGGGAAGGATCCTCATACAAGGTACTTGCATACGGCATCTAGTTTTGGTACGTGAGACTCCTTCAAAGCCATTTCAGCTTCCTTATAATCATTACTTCTAAGGTTTTGTCTACTAGCGGTCAGATGGCTTGGCATGTAGTAATCCGGAGTTATATCGTGTCGTATTGATGTGCGCCAAATGGAATAGCTTGATGATTCCGGATGTTGAAACGCGAGCCTGACCAGACTTGAGTTAATCTGACGATGAGGTCCCCTGACGTTGCGTGTATCAATGAGAAACCGGAACGGGGCAACCATCACGAATCCGAGTGTATAAAAGATGTGCGAGCTAAGGTATACTTTTTATCTTACCTGCATTCACATATCCCAACTCGACTGTGAAATATGTTTATGGAGCAAAAAGGTAAAGAAGATAATTTGAAGAGCGCATATCACACATCTGTTAAAATAAATTTCCTAGGAAATCCGCTTTCCTCAAGGCTTCGGCTCGTAATAACTTTCTTGGCAGCATCTACAGTTTTCACTGCCATTTGCGCGACTATCACCTGTAATCAATTTCAGGCTTCGCAGGCGATTCGTTCCAAAATCAAGTCACTTGGAGAGAATTCTAAGACTCAGAACTACTGTGAGCACTCAGGAATATTCCCCCGTCATTGCTAACTATCCACTACAGCGTACCTTGGGCATGATTACCCACAGGAATGGAATGTCCCCGGTCTTACTGACTCGGAAGTGTACGTCTACGTCGGAAACTCGGAGCATTACGCACTAGATACAGAGCCCGGCATATCAGAATGGGACAGACTCTTGCCTCCGGGCGGCGGGATGGTGCATCTCGGACCTAACCAAAGACCGTTCAGCATCTCCATATTTCATCAGCTTCGCTGCTTGAACATCATACGTGGGGGATTGACGGACTCGCAGAAGACGGCGGACCCGAAGTTACTTCAGCATTGCATGAATTATTTGCGGCAGATGGTTCTATGTCGAGCCGACTCGCAGCTTCAGTCGGTGAGGAGATCTACAGGTGGACATGTGACATCATGGAGCCAGCCGCGCGTTTGTAGGAACTGGAAGATGGTGTATGATGCTACTGAGGCGAATTTCAGGGAATATGATCAGGATATCACTGGGCTTTGAATCTGACCAGGACTGTCATCGCGCCATTGTATATAGCATACCGTGTCATTAAAGGTCTCCGAAAACATGAGTAACTATTTATGCATCACGATGTACCCCGACATAAGCGGGCGGCAGTCGAGCCAACGTACTGACTTGAGTCGCTCCATCCTGAACCTTTTCGCGGAACCGACAAGCCGAAATTTGGAACACAAAGACTTGAATAGTTGTAAATAGCATGACAACCGTTACTGACACTTCCCTTTGAAACGCCTGAGTAAGGATTCACTAGTCAGGATGCATCGAAGTTTGAAGCAATTTCTCTGTGGACTATGGGGATAGGTAAAACTTTGCCTGTGGTTATACAGCCGAATTCAGCAGCGAAAGCCTTCCTTTTCTCGCCTGTCTCTCTCGCTGCCTCCTCAATTACTGTACTGGTGAATTTCATTCAAGTTTCTCTTTGTCGTGGGTACTCTCAACAAATTATCTTATCATGTGGGCGACATGATTTCAAGTTCGGTGGACATACAAGGGACTGTAACGTGGCATACTTATAGCCAACATATAGCGAACCACATTCAGATCACGGAGGCTATGAGAGTGCCCAGGGGGCCGAACAGCAATCTGGTGACGGCCCTCCGATGCATCTAGAAACAATGATTCTTGATCCACGTATGGGCCCACGCGTCGCATATCTACCGTACATTTACGAGGTACAGCCTAGTTAGCAAGCACTTGAGACCTACTACCAGAGATATCCTCGACTGGTTGAAACTTCAGTGGGAAACTATGCTACATGATATTCCTGACGGTTGCCGGAATGTCTCGTATTCCTGCGTCTCTTTGTCGTACAATGCAGCGCATCCACGAGATAGTTAAAACAGTATATTATGCAGCCTCTGTAGAAATCATCGCAGCAACTCCTTAACCCTCTCGGTAGTAATTATGAAGCTTCAGGACAGTAAAGCTTGTCTCTCGATCTGCTACTTTCTCATTGCAATTTTGTATGCATCGAATATCGTCCTGCATATTATATATTGGAAAACAAATACACCGTCTCTTCGAGGCGACACAACAACAAGCCACAACCCCAGTGAGTCCTCATATTATAATAACAAATTTCCTCTCAACTAACGCGAACAACAATACCAGGCTTTCTGGGCCATGACTTCCCTTCGAGTCTTCCTCTTCCTCCTTCGCGTCCTCCCTCGGACCGTGTCCTACTCCCCGTCCAGGAAACCGTTCATTATTCCCTCTCCGGAGACGCGTCAGACAACGAATGGTTCAATCTTACCTCTGCAGGATTTGGATACGCTCATCTGGGACCCGATAGTCGATTGTTCATGGTTGGGATGTTCCATGAGCTGCACTGCCTTCGCGTCCTCAACTTCGCGTTTGGCCATTCTCACATGGCTATGATGGACCATTCTCACCATTGTCTGAACTACTTGCGACAGATGGCCCTTTGTTCCGCCGACGTTACCCTCGAGCCTGGTGATTTTACGGAACGAAACTTTGAAGGAAGCAGAACAGGAGCGGTGCATGTCTGCCGAGATTGGAGTGCACTGTACGACGTTATGGAGGAGAACTGGGCTCAGTGGGGGGATGTGGTTGGTGACGACACTAATGCGCGCGCAGCTGCTTCTCTGTAGTTCGGGGAACAGACTGGCCGAGATGATACAGCATTCGACGGCTGAGAAGGACACTATACGACATTGGATATATCCTATTGAATACCTAGTAATATTAAATATATCAGTACTATGTATATTATAATATATTCCATTTATTCCTTACTGACTTGGTTCGACACCCTCTCGGCCTGAAGCAACGTGAGTGAACACTACAACTGGGTCGTCGATGACATGGGGCCCCACTGACCGCAGCATCAGGTGCAACGGTGGAGGCACGGTCATACGAGTGGACCTCGTTGTGTGAGGCCAAGGAGAGAAAAGCCTGGGCGGTATGCGCGGATGGACTAGAGTACCGCCGTACTTGCCAGGTCATTGATATCCGTACAGTCTTTGATTAAATTTCAATGATATCAGTAAAAACGGTGACTGCAGCGCAATGTTCGCTAAAACGAGGAGAACGGCGATGGAGTGAACCCAAACTCGAGAAAGACTGGTCAGAAAAAGTGAAGGAAGATGCAAAGGAAGATTTACCGGGACATCGGTCCGCGATGAGATTCAGGTGCCATCGGCAATTGCCGATGTTCCGCTTTTCTCTACTTTCAAGTCAGAAAAGTAAGTATTCTGATGCCAACCTTCATTGCCGCGTGCTATCGCTGACAGCGTTCCCCCATCTTTTTACCGCTGGAAAGCCTCAAGAGCAGTAAGCCAGAAAAGGAACTTTGCGTAAACTGTGAATTCAATACAACTTGAACTTAAACTTTCTCCCGGTAACCCACTTGGTTGATCGTCTCGTCGCATCACCGTAATTTTTAACACACATGGAAGGCTACGTGTGTATTCCCACTCTCGATGTTATCAAAGTTGAACGTCATCGAAAATCGTTAACCAATACTCATTACCGCCGGCTACCACGTTCGGCACTGCCTTGGCTTCAGGCTGTGGTCGACGGTCGTTTTATCAAGTTGATATCGCCGTCGCTTCCTGTGCACGCAATTATCATTGTAAGTAGCGCTGCTCATCGTGCTGGTCGTGGAGAAGGATGATCGCTATGCGCAGATGCAACGCCAGCACTGCTCGACTCCCCCGCCTGCCCCGCTTTTTGTAACAGTTTCGTATGGTCGAGCTGTTTACCAGTAGCGGGGAATAGTAACCAACGACAATCAAGTGGTAGTGACTACTGCCGAGATGATCTGAGGATACGGAGGTGGCTGTATAGGGAGAGATGAACGTTTCTCCCTAACTTTCTAGGTTTCGAGCGATTGGAACTTGAGTCAAACCCACTGATTTTGCATGCTAGAGATGCGATATCTACAGTCACCCTACGAATTTGACTCATTATGAATAAGTTGGGGCCACTCCAGAGGAGTTCCGGCGTCCCGTTTAACGGCATTGGAAGGAGGACTTCGACCGAAACGTTAGCTGTGAGTCTATCCGGTGATCCTATGCAGTGCAACGTTATTTATCTCAACTATCTAGCTTGCTACGCGCCCACTTCATAGGCGGCCATCACGTATCAGTTTGGTCATACTATGACGCCCTGTGGCGGAATTGAAACGATGCTGGACTCGTTGATTCCGCTCTTGCTCAAATATCGGCCGGTGCAAAGGATTAGAAAGTACTATCTACCCCCCCCCTCTCCCGTCATCCAATATGCTATCAGCTTTTTGGCAAGCGATGGCAGGGTACACACCAGTGATGACGTCGAAAGACAGCGATACAGAAGGAGGGAACGCTACCAGCTGTAAGTCCTTACAATATTGTCGGGAAGGAGTGCAAGGGAATGAAACTCTCCCCACAGGTTGGACCGACCATCTGATTATGTGGACATCTATTGGAACCCTATTCTCGTCTCTAATCACCCTGTTAATGGTGGCGTTGAATATTGTCAATTTTACGTCCAGCATGCACGGATCTCCCATCGTTCAAACCAGACAACCTAGCCAGTACATTCATCTTGACTCTGTTTTCCGGAATAACCATGATCGGAACGCCTCGCACCACACTTCCGTCGTGAATTTCCCCGATATTGTAACACAGATAGAAGCACGTAGCCCTGGTCGCCTAGTGCAAGAAGATACAAGCCGTCAGTGGCGCACCCCGCTCGGTACCGTATTTCCAGATGATCGACATGTTATCGTATCTTCGGAGGTGAGCGTTAGCTACTTCTTCTATCGGGGATGCGCATTAACTCACGGTATCTTTTAGACATCAACGGTACTCCAGTTCTTCCACTTGGACTACGGAATGGAGTATTGCTCTTTGACGTTATCGATCCCTCCGCCCAGCGATGGATTTGACCCGGAAGTGAAGCTAGAGAATGATACAGTCATCGACGTTTGGCTGCTACAGTCGGAGTGGTCAAAGTGCCTCATACGTGCATCTTCTGGGGAAACCGCACCGAAGAGAATGGCACTGGTAGCCAGTGTTCCTATCCGTTTTGGAGAGCCTTTCGTGACGGACAGATTCCGTTGTCCTTCAGGCGAGCTATCGCTGTTTGAACTGTCGTGTTCGCCTTCAAGTGCGCACTCTTGCCATGTCGAGTTTTGGCAAAGTGGAGAAATCTCGCCGCATGCAGGTAAGGTCTCAGGCTTTTGATATGAGATGGAAACTAATAAAGATATCTAGGGGCGTATATCACGCAAGAGTGCAGTCTGGAAGGAAGAGAAGTGTAAGATAATGGACCGTCTCCATCACGGTACCCTATAGCTATATAATTATAAGCTACTTACATATGTTAAATAGATTTTCCTAATGTGCAATGAGCATCATATTTGATGATGGAAATGGAAAGAAATATTTGAACTCGTAGGCAATCGTCTGCGTACAGTTCTCTCAAGAATCAAGATGTTGTCTTGTGTATGTTTCGTAGTGTGCTGGCCATCATAGAGGAGGAATGCCTCCGTTCTGATCATGGCGATGACCAAATTCAGAAGAATGCCTCCGTCATGATCAGTAAGCTGTAATCATCCAGATCATACAGCTGACAGGTCTTGGTCACATCGTGATAAGCAAGCCACCCTCAAAGGGGTATCGAAGGCGCACGGATTCGATCATACGACATCGTATTGCGACATATACCCTTAATTGGTGTGCGAACGGTCGCGCCAAGGTCGGAGGAATCTTCATAATGACGAACCCCGAATCCGAAGTTATAACTCGCTATAAGAAACCAAGAATGCGTTCAGTACGAACCAACACAACATGTCTTCACCCGCCTACAAATCATTCGCTCTCGTCGGCGCCAATGGCACAGTCGGCAAGGCGATTTTGGACGCCCTCATTGCAGAGAACGCCTCATTCATCATCCTCACTCGAAAATCCTCAGACTCCTCTTCCAAACTCCCTAGCAATGTCAAGATTGCGAAAGTCGACTACGGGGACAGTGCAGAAGTGTCTGCTGTGCTCAAGGAGAACGGCGTCGACGTCTTGATTTCGGCTATCAATCCTGCAGTAGGGGGGAAGAGCCAGTATGCTCTGGCGGATAGTGCTAAGGCTGCGGGCGTCAAGCTGTTCGTGCCGTCGGAATTTGGGTTCGTGACTGCAGGGGCACCTGCGGGGTTGTTGAAAGAAAAGGACGATTTTGCTAGTAAGTGTATCGCCTCTCTCTCAATTGAATGCGGGCTGAAGACGATACTAGAATATTTGAAGAAGATAGGATTGCCATCTGCAAGGTTCTTCGTGAGTATACATTGATATATAGTCTCGGCGATTACTCACTGCTGGGCGTAGACGGGATTCTTCTATTCCTACATCCCTGGACTCGTCGGATACATCGTGGACCAGAAATTCAGCATTGTTGGAAAGAGTCAATCGAAGGCATCCTTTACCGCGCTCGAAGATATCAGCGGTGAGTGAACTTTCCATTGCACTGCTTCATTCGCTGATTTGATCATAGGTTTTGTTGCGTATGTCCTGACGCACTTGCCAGCTGAGCAACTGAACGACAAAATATTCCGTCTGCAAGGGGAGGGGCTGACGCTGGTGGAAGTTGCTGCGAAATCGGGACTCCCACCCAATCATGTCGCCAAGCTACCTGGGGACCTGGCTGAGTCGTTCTTGAGCCAACTACAAGCACTGATAGAAAGTGGTGGAGGCTCAACTGGGTGGGATCATGAGGCAAACAAGGAAGGGGCAGATAAAGCTGGAAGCACAAATGCTCTATGGCCTGGACACGAATGGAAAGTGATCACGCCCGCCATCTTTAGCAAGCCGTAAATACCATTGTGTAACAGTGACGATGTCAGTTTGGAAACACAGCGAGAAGCATTTCGTTTTCTGCTGTTGAAATGGATACATTTTTGAAGGAAATTACTGCTTACATCGTTAATGAGGAAGGAACGGCAGTACCATGCATGCTGATAAAAACCAGAGAGCTCAGGCTATCGGTACGAAACAACGACGAACTTAAAAGCCGGTAACCAAATAAAGTGCTGCTTGTGGAGTCGAGTCTGAAGAGGTTGACTCAAATCGAGATTGAACGTTGTATAGTATACAAATTTATGGTACCGACCCAGAACGTGTATATATTCCTCTTGAAATTACCTATAGAAAATGCAAAGCCAAAGCTAGGTGTGTATATAATGAATGAATGGATAGAATAAAGAGCGGTGCTCGTCTTTACGTCTTGACGAACTTGAAGAATCGCGGGTTGACATAGCAGTAGTAGAGCTTGTCTCAGTCTGAGAGTGTAGTTTCTCGGCGTCCGGAACGTTTGGCGGTCGGTCCATATTCCTCGCTATCGACCATACAGCGAAAGATCCATATCTATACCAGCAAGCATGAGGACATGTAGTAGGGCAAGTGAGAAATAAAAACGTACATTTGTGTCGACACAAGTAGCACGCAAATACACACTAGCATCACGCTGAAGGCAATGTTACCGAGCGTGTGGAACTTGGCTAACTTCAAACCCCACCAGACAATCAGATACACTGCGAATCCGATTTTGCACAAGCGAAGTAGCCACGACAATGTCAGCGATCGGACGAAAGGCTCATGAGAGAAATAGGACACACAATGATTGCACTGCGGCGAACTGTAATGTTCTCTTCACCAAGAACTTCTGATATCGAAGTCTATACAGGAAGAGTCCAATGAAGACAGACTGCTCCGTCGTTGCCTGAAATACCCATATGTATCCGACAGTTGCAATAGCAGGATGTCCTGTGGTTTGTAGCATGACTTGAAGGAATATAATGGCAAATAGAGTCTATAGGGCTAACGTAAGTCCAGAAGGGGAAAGAATTCGTGGAAGAACTTACGCAAAAGTGATGGATGAGTAAAGGCCGCCTCATGTTCGGGCGGTAAGTAAGCTCGAAGATGTCTGGATGCACATTAGTCCTCTGTGGTACCTTTAGGAAAGGGAGAAGACGTACATAAACCGGAAATGAGATTGCCGACTACCCTCACTAGAGAGATGTTGAGAACGGTGTAGTTCTGAGTAGCTACTGATCCTCCAACGCCTTGTATGACCAGTACGACCAAGGTCCAAAACGTATTCATGGCGTCTAGAATTACCATCGAGACCAAGTCCGGGAATTTTAAAGACGGGATTCACAAATAACAGTATTCCGCTTATTTTCGAACGACAGATCCCTGTATGTCGCGGATATCCTCGGCAGTACCACCTCCACGCCTTTCGCGCAAACGTACAATAGGAAGAAATATAAAATCGTTGGGATGGAGTACTGTTCGAGTTCGTCTGAGTGGCAACAGCAATGATGTAAAGGAAACTCACGAAAGCAACTGTAGTGGGATAGATCTGCAGCATGCTGAATTTCATCAACTCTATCACGGCATCCTTAGACAATCCCTTCGTATCATCGATCGTGAAAGAGGTCCCTCCTGCATGAGACTCGGACGTTTGGTATCCAATACCGATGGTCGTCATGTCGTAGTACTGAATACCGGCAGACCTACGGAGAGCAGCAGAAATCGTGAACGGCGTGTGATGTAGAGTAAGAGAGGAATAGAAGGGAAAGGAAGGAATGCGAATACACGAAGAGACGCGACTATTTATATGAGCGGAGGAAAAAGGACGAAAATCGGACGTAAATATTAGCCCGTTCGAATGCTATCATGTATGTACGTCATCGCACAAGTAGCTGCGTCATCCGTACATTTTAAGAAAATAAGCTTCTGCGTGAGCCAGGTGTCGAGGAGTTCGCTATTTTCAAGTTCCTTTGGAAGAAACTACGGGTCTTTTTCTTCTCCATCGCCAACCTATCGAACAAGATATTCGTAAAATCGGTCATCGGTGATCTTATCACGGTCACGATGAGGAAAAGGGCACAGGCGTTAGGTACGAAGGATTTGAGAACGCTAGAAAGTCATGAAGTTCGGAAGATCGATGATTAGTAAGCCGAAAGAAATGTCCGAACCGAGCCTGCCGCTGGTGCGGAAAGTTCCGGTCTGCTTTTGTCGTTGTTCCTCGGACGTCGATCAGCGATCTGAGCGCTCTACACTTGCACTGCTCAGTGCTCGAGGGTCAGCTACTTGGTTCATTACGCGCAACGAAGAAATTTGGTACCAAGTCCTCATCGTATCCAAGCTGGCATCTACTGGGTAATTTTTAACCTTGGTCCGAGCCATGCTTCAGCAGTGACCAAAAAAGAGAACATTAACAATCGCCTTGCTTTTTTTTCATCCCCGGAATAGGTTTGATTCTCCTCCAACAATGACAAATTCTCTATGTCGTCTCCAAGGCACGGATTCTGTCTAGAGCCACCTTCCCTGGCGACCATATGTTCCTGCCAATCAATCGACTGTGCTGCCTTCTTGGATACCTTTCGTTTCCTACACGCGACTCTCTACTGGATGCGGGTTTTATGCGAAAACGGACCCGGCCGTGTATCTGTGGCTGGATGTCGACATATATATATGACAGTCTGATATCTCTTCTTCCAGAAGAAGACTTTCATCTCAATGTATATCCTGACGGCCATCCCCTTCGTCTTTCTACTCATATGCTGGTATGGGATCGCTGTTCCTCCCAAAAATTTGCGGCACCTACCTCGTGTTGCGATCCTTCCTCTTCTTTGGAGCTACCTTACTGGAGAAACCGAAGATTGTCGGATAAAGAGGCTCGTCTTGCCCTTCTCCCGGGCTGGTGAACAAGTCGTTCTCGTATGGGCTCTCGGTCGATGGATGGTACATATTTTGGATTACAAGGTATGGTCGCCTCTATCGCAGTACATCTTATCATTGACACCCCGATACAAAGCTCGCCCAAGAACTCAGTGATAATGTCGTTCTATTTCCGAAGGAGACTCCTGACGATGCGTCCCTGTTGTGGCGTTTCGTTGGTTCTGCTAGTCTCCTCATGTCCAACGGCGAGCAGTGGCGGAAGCAGTCCTGTCTTGATCGACGAAGCATTCAGCGCTAGAATCCCCATCGAAGCATTCACTTCTCTCGCTCATAGTCTCTCCGCGATTGTGGGGAAGAGGTGTACTGTGATTTGGGATAAATACGCCCAATGTTTTGCCCTTGACGCGGTCGGTTCGACAGTCCTAGGCCACAATTTCGACGCCATAGAAACGGATAATCTGTTCGTCCAAGATTACAATGGTGTCATGGGGGAGATTGCCGATCCCTTGTATCTCATCTTTCCTTGGATGGAGCGCACCTTCCCCAGAAGGAAGCTCATGTGTCGAATCGACACCTTAGTTGACAGCTTCATGAAGCTTTTAACTGATAAGAAGGTGGACCCAGGAGATGACATGATGACCTTCATGCTCAAAGACCCCGCTATGTCGCATCGAGAGCTACGAGATAACATGATCACCCTGTTCATTGGTGGACATGTAAGGTCTAGCCTCGTACGACAATGAATTGGTGCTGACTTCTGTACCTCTTTTCAGGATACCGCCGCAGGGGCAATTTCCACACTATTCTATTTCCTCGCACGGCGGCCTGACATACAACAACGCGCGCGCGCTGAAGTTCTGGACGTTTTGGGTGACGATCTTGATCCAACTGTCGAACAGCTCTCCGGAGTATCGCTGCCATATCTCACCGCGTGCATCCGCGAAGCCTTGCGCATCAACACGCCAATATCCTACATTGTACCCCGTCAGGCGAATCAACCGGTTCAGCTTGGGAAGTACGCTATCCCCGCGTATACCTCCTTGATTGTGAATATCTACGCTATCCATCACGACAGTGGGCGGTGGGCGTCTCCTGACTCTTTCATGCCAGAAAGGTTTCTAGAGCGTGGATGGCAGAAGTCTGGATGGCTTCCGTTCGCTCTTGGTCCGCGTCAGTGCCCTGCGAGAAATTTTGCAATGTACGAACAGAGGGCCCTGGCGGCCGTATTTCTGCGGGAGTATGAGTGGACTTTACCGGAGCAGTCTATCCATAGGGATTCGTTGAAGAATGCGTTTTCGCCCTTTGCTCTAACGTTACCTCATGATTTGGAGCTCACGTTCACGCGAATCGAAAAAGCGGGGAAGATGTCCCGCAAGTGGGGTAGTTAACAAATCATGCAAGCACCCTTAATCACAGTGAATGACAGGTTTTAATCTAGTTATCATGTAACATTGCCTGCCTACTATTTACGAGGTCGCAACCGAGTATCCTCTATCATCTCTATCACTAGTTCTAGATCGTTACGTTGGATATGCGTCACGTAATACACAAATCGGAGTCGTCTACTTAGATGCTAAGCGTGCCGTCGAAGACTAATGCCCAGATAACGCTCAAAAGATTCTACGAGAGCGTCGGATTGGATCCACGTGTTATAGACCTGAGTATCGAAGAGTGTGCCAGTGGCCGTGTTCTGTTTCATCGAAATGGTGACGCCGAATCTGTGGTGCAGCTTGAATTTTTTGGTGTCTGATAGAACCTCGTCAAAGTATATCCATTGTGTTGCCCTTCCTCCCGAGGGTAGATTAGCCACGTTAGCGATGGACTGCTGATCGACCATGACCACGATGCGGATATCGGAGATGCGGTTAGGTCGTGGAACCTGCTTGAGGGAGGATGTCCACCATCTGAGGCAGTCGTTGGTGCGCCGGAAATCATGTGTGCCGTCAAGGGGGATGACGACAACGAGATTTTTTACTTCGGATAGCTTAGCGATAGGTGGAGGATGTACTGTAACAGCGCCATGATTAGTATACAGTATATAGCGACCGAGGATGAGACTCACCAAGATTAAAACCATCACAGTCTATATTCAACTCAAGGGGAGTCGAGAGCTCGACCAATCTCGCGATCTGTTGGCCAATGTCGCTATCGCCCTTTCCCGAGATAGCAAGCTTCTCAAGTTTGGAGAATGACACTGGAGACCAGGGCTGGGTGAAGATCTCCAAAATATTAGAATCTTGGCTAACAGTGACGTCCAGATATAGGATCTCGGGGCCTTCATGGTTGGGTATGAGTGAACTTGCATCCGTGGAAAAAGGATGCACATGGAGGGCACCCGTAATGGAACAGTTGTGGACTTCGAGCCCTTGTAGTGGTAACGAACGAACCAGGGAAAAGAACTCATCTGCCTGGAGCGAGCAGTCTGTCATTGTGAGATAAGTGATGTTGGGGAATCCGATGATGGAGGAATGCCATAAGTGGCGAGATGCAAAGTGGGACCAGTCCACATCGTGGAGGAAGAGCGTGGAGATGTCTTCGTGTTCGGAGAGGGCCGTTAGGAGTCTGGGAAGGAATGGGTCGCTGGGGCCGTTGGATGGGCCGCGGCGTTCAATGCTGATGGTCATGAACTCTGGTTGGAGGATTTCTTCGGCAGAGCGTGCATCGAGGAGGCGGTTGTAGAGTTCATGACAAGTGTACGGGCGGCCGTAGTTCGTACTGAGATTGCTGTATGGCCAATAAGCCAGAGCAGCGTTAGGGTTAGGTGCATCCAGGGGGCTGGCAAGGTGGTTAGAATTTCATGGGCGATGTTAGAGGCTGAAGACTTACTTGGACTGTGGAATTGCCATGTTTCCTTTGGAAAAATTAGGGTGCGAAAATCGCTGGGGGAACGGCCTCAGGCCTCAACATGGACGGCATTTTAAGTGACGAAAGCCACTCTGAAAGACAAAGGAGCAAGAAGGATTACCCATTGACAAAAAGCCAACAATGCAAGAAGAACAGTGGTTATTAAACATGCGTGTCTCTCACAAGGCAACATAGAATTTCCTAAATAGTACTCAGTTGTGAAAGACATAGATGCATAGAGGAAGAATGCGGTGGCGCTTACTTTACTTTGTTGTGTTGACGCGATTTGAAATGCTTTGAATTGAAACGGTCCCGCGACAAGTCGGTGACCGAAGGTTCGGAAACTCAAATCTAATAGTCATTTTCAAGCTCTTCAAAAAATTCAGAAAAATCCGGCTGTAATGTGAACATTGCTAACGGTTCCGGGAATGACGACGGCGCCTAGGTAAACCTCGACGATAGAGTAAGCATGGCCTTGCCACTGATCATGGTTTGAGTCCTGGCTCAGATTTGGTCTCCTAATTATCAAGAGCTCACTAGCACTAGCGGTCAAGTCTAAACCTAGAAAAACTGGCAGAAAATGAATAAATTTTCATGGTTCGTTGTATGGACTTCAATTCTTACTGGAAGATTCAACGGTCGGTTGTCCATTGACGGATTTTGAACGGCTTGGTTGATCATAGTAACAGTCAATCCAAGGTCAATCAGTGATGACGTCCTCGAGGAGGAAGCCAACCCTAGGGTTAGGGTTACAATCCTTCTTCTGCACCACCATTATCGCCTTCCTTTCAACTTCTTCGCGTCGTATCCCGTCTTTCTTCCATCCGTTCCTTTTCTGATACTCTCAGCGAGTCGGATGAGCTGCAGAGCTGCACTATGAGGTAGCATCTACAAGGGCGTGAACCTTGACTAGTGTCGTCACGGTGAGTAGCACTCAACGTCGACATCGAAGTCTCTTTTCTGACCTTCAGGCCGTTTTTTAAGATATAAAGGCCTGGTGTAACTAGAAGAAAGACCACTGCCTCGACCGGCTGATGTTCAGAGCCTCGATTCTCGTTTGGACGAAAGGGAACGATGCAGAGAGGAGCCAAAAATTGCAACAATGAGCTCGACGGGAGCCCTACAGGTACGTTCTCTTGCCCTTCAACTCGTTGCAGTGCTGATACGTGGCCGTTAAGAGCGGGCTGTAGTGCTCAGCTCTATTGAGCCGGCCTGCTCCAAGTCGACAACGAGGATAGCATGCAATCCAGAATTTGGGCCTTGTCGACAGTAGACTATCCCAGAAACCAAGTATGATGCTGTTCGCCTTCGCATTTAGCTGGAACTTCAATTGCTGTGATCACAGTGGAACCTACGAAGCAGATCTCAACGTCGTGCATATAATCGGACGTTGCAGAATCCTTGTCGTCCTTCCTCGAGGGAGAATGTGAATGTATTGTATGCGGTAAGTTGTTGCGAGTCCATCGTTATACTTCAGCCTAACTTTGCTTCAGTTGGATATTTCGTGTCTAACGTGCGAAAGCCGATCTTTCCGGCATCGATTTGAACGACGCTAAAATGGATCCTCTGCGGTGGGCATTGCTGCAACAATGCGTACGTATCGTCCAAAGTCTACTTGTGAAGGAATGCGAGATAGAAGGCTGGGTTACTCCCATGCTCCGTGTTGATGATGAGGGAATGCAAGATCGATATCAGGAGCACTCGTCATTGGCTGCACGTGCCGAAATAAAGGCAGCTACAGTCGATGAAATCCGAAGAGTTAGAGTTACACAATCAGGTGAGCCAGATTTCTTAAACGTTTTTGCTAAAGCTAAGGTCCAACTTTCTCTTTAGTGTCTTTGAACACCCTGAACTCAGAAGAGCTCCATATGGGAGGTGGCGGCTCTTGACTCGAGAGTCAAATTTCCTGCGCCTTCGAACTATCAAGTCTTCGGCGTCTCGACCACCTACCGCCTTCTCACCGGCACCACCCGCAACTTCCTTATACCCTTGTCAGACTGCGCATGCAGTTTCTATCTCTTCTATTGAGCGGATTCGGCCAATTCTCCAGCATTGTTCGAGCTGAAAGTTTGATATTCGCCACTCAATTTCTTCCTTTGTCCACATTGTTTCCGACTGGGCATCGGCGTTCGGGTGGCCAGAGCAGCTTACTTTGTTCACTACGATGTTCGTGCCAGCAAGCCGTCTGTCTGTTGTCTTATTTTCCATCCTGGCTTGGTTGCCTTTGTTTATGTGGCCCGTCTCCATACGTAATAGCCGGGATGTTTAGCTCGGAAATGTCGTCTTCTCCATTTTCCATCGCCTTCTCCAGAATACCTTTCGTTGCGGCGTGAGTTTGATTATTGTGCATTTAATAAATCTATGCTGACTGGCTAACAGAATAATCATGCCGCCCTTCCAGATCGGACCTTACGGGGAGCAGGGCGTGCCCTATGGTTGAATGTGTGACGAATTGGCATAGAAAAGCTCCCTCAGAGGCTAGCTGTACATCTATGGCCGCAGAAGTTCACGGGGAACCGCACGCCGATATGACCAGAACTTCGTCCGCCTCCTGCGCGATATCGCCCATTACTATTTCGAAGGGAAAAAGTCTGTAAAGAGTATCGCCATCAACAACCTTGCATGGTCCCATTTGCGCTGTGATCGTGGCGCTTACCACAACGCCCTTATGTCGTTCTCGAACGTCACTTCCCTCTTCCTACGGAATGTCCACTGCGCCTGCAATAAGCCTGTTCACCCTTGTACGCTTCCTATTCCGAACTTGAGACCTTGGACATACAGGGTCTGCAATTCAACGACGGTTCCCCTTCCCTGTTCCGGTCGATCCTACACGGACTGCCCTCCGTCACAGAGTTTTTGGACCTGGATGTTCACAGTTCTTCGCCGTCCCTCTCTTCTCTTCTCATCTCTTCCTCTCCGATATGTGCCTGGATATCTTTCGCAGTTGCGCCAATGGCACAAGGAGGAGCTTGCCTTCTCTCAGTCATCAGTCGACGCAGTGAAAGAAAAGATTATCTGTCTCACTATTACCACGACTCAACAAGAACGCTAATCATAATCCATCCCATATCGATGTCGCGCTAGGCTCCTTTAAAAGATTGACTATCCCACTCCGTACCGAGTACGGTATATCTCTTTGGCCCTCCTGCTTCCCTCATCGCCATCCCGCTCAAGTCTGACCTGTATTTTGGGTACGCACGTCGGTTTCTTCTTCCCATCCCTCGTATTGATTTATGTGTAAAAGAGAGGACATCAGCCGTGTCAACGACCTCAATTTTACTGTCTATGTAGACGAAAAGTGTAGCTACCGCCGTTGCATTGAATGGTATTGGCCGTCATGTTGCCAAACTTCGCAAGCTCACTATTAACATCCAAGTAAAGAATTATTACTTTCGTACTCCAGCGGACATTCCTTTGGCGTGTATTGGACCAAGCTTTGTGTGATAATCCGCCTTGCACTAGTTGTGCTTCGGAATCTCCTTGCCCACTTGGCAATCTCGTCGAGACTATGTGAGAGCGGTGATGAATCACCTTCAGAGCACAGTCTACCACTATTGGAGATGAAGTCTTTTCAGATGCTGTGACGCACATTGCAACCGATTGCGTAGCGCATGACTTGCCTCGTTTTTCTTCACTTTATAATTTGTGCAATCTTACTGAAAGGAATAAAAAATTCTGGTTTTACTATCGAAGAACAATAGTATAGTACTGCGAACTTAGGCAATGCCTCGGTGCTACTTAGGTGCGTTTGGTAAGACGAGACAGACCCGAAGGCACTGTGCAACGTCTGTAAGCCCGGGACCCACGTCAAGGGAGCACCCGGACAGAAGGCACGAGCTGCTCTCTGTCCTATCCCCCGGGAGACAATACCTTGTATTGTCATCATGTTGGCACCTCTCGAGGAGGTAATCACTCGCTCACTGGGACATGCGCCTTCCTGAACATTTCATTGATGTTTTGAAGGGCGTCATCTAATTGTCGGTTATGAGATACAACTTATGAAAGGAGAAGGAGAAGCAACGACGACGTACTGAGATCATTAAGACTATAAGTAGGCGTATTAAACGTTGAGAATCTGTTGGCTCAATGTTGGCGTCTCGTTGGAAGCAGTCATTCGCTCAAGATACTCATAACAAGTTGGATGTTGACGTCGATGCCTTGACAGTATCATAATATGGCCTGTGGTACGGTCGTCCCAGTAGATGATAGGGCCGTGTTCCATGACTTATGGTTGCAGGAGTATTATCTTGATCACGGAAGAGGAGCCGATTCACCTAGAATACTAATCATCAGTCGGGATACATAGAATAGAATCCCTCGGCACTCACCTGACCATCCTAATCGGTAGGAGACGAGGAAGCAACAAGGTTGGTACGGCGAAAAGTCCTGAAAAGAACTTCTCTATGTACGGACTACTTCCTGGCAGCACTCAATGGACCATTGCGATCGCGAGGAGGGAAAGAAGCAAGGTCGGTACGGCGAGCAGTCCTCGGAAAAACCGCTCTGTGTACGGACAACTCCAAACCGGAATGAGTTAACAAACCGGACGCGCAGAAATAGGTGCGTTTGGTGGAAAGCCCGGGGCCCACGACAAGGGAGCACCCAGACGGAGCAGCGCGCATCTGCCTCCGTCCTATCCCCCGGAAAATGTTTGACACGTACCTGCAAGGAGTAGTTCTTTCTCCACGTGAAGCATTTATAGGAAAGGCATATGGGGTCGGAAGAAATGGATGGACCAATTGTAATCTCTAATTGCTGCCAAGGATGTCAGACGGCGCGAGATGACAACGATAAATACATACTCCTCTGTTTGCCCCGCTCGTATCGGCGCTTGTTTACATTCTTGCGACGCCTACGTGTCGAAATGCCATGGATTTGTGCTACCTGCTTCGACGAGCAGGATTTTCTAGAACAATAAAGTCGCATAAGCAATTGAGATAAGAAAATGATTGAGAACAACGTACATGCATTTTTTTGCGCGTGAGTATCACTGGAACGGCAAAGATGTAAATAAGAATCTGAGGTGGTAAACTCGACCGACGCACCGCTGTTTGTCATGGGGTGGGTGTATTGGATACCACCTGCTATCCCGTGGTCAATACCCCACCCCGCTTTGAAGAATGTGAACGAGTCTTAGTGCCTCGTGTTGTTCTGGGAAGAACATATCAACGAGGAAAGCACTGTCAAGAAACAACGCGGACATACCGTGTTATTTTTGGCAGTAAAGCAAACCGAAGTCTACAAAAGAGTACTTCGTTAGGTAAAGGTTGTAATGATAGAAAGTAAGGACTCACGCGGAAATTCAATCAATGCCGTTGGCATTGAAAGAGAGGAGTAGCCGATGCCTCAAGGAGATCCGATTACAAACTCCTCACCGGTTCGGTTGCTTTTCTCGAACGGTGACCCTCGGTACTGCATCGCTGGAAAGCAGGGTGCCGATCCCGGGCCACCATCAGCCTTATTATCGATTGCGCGGAAGATGCCCGGCCTGTCCAAGGAGGGGTCATCATATTCCACGGCGACACGAAAAGGTGATGGTCATAGGGTCCAAGATAGTCATCAGAAACGACCGCACGCGTCTACCACAATGCTTAGACCTTGGTCACCGTTCGAGTCGGTCAACGACCTCATTGGGAAGATGGATGGGTATTGGTACCCAACACTGCGTGCCGATCCATGGCCTGGCCAACTCTGTTGAGAATGGCATTGGTCACAAGTCACTCCCGTTCACCAGACAGTGGGTTCGCTCGAATCGAAAGAGCGCCGTGATCCGTCGAGTGGCGGGAGCGACATGACTGACTGTGACCCGGATAGTCGCTGAGCGACTGCACGTATCCCCCATGGCCTAGAAAGACGTTGACCTAGAGAGCGTCAGTAGTCGAAGTGAAGACATGATAGGGAAAAACGTACGCATTGGCTGTTATTTGCGACGAACATAATGAATGTGGCGCGATGAGCCACTCAAGTTTTCGACGTTGATGACCTCCCAGCTGAGATGCAACGAGGATAAATCCTGCGCTCAGAGTTAGTGATCACAGTAACGGGTAACAGGCAGTGACGGCGCTGACCTACCTGTCTTCTGGGAGGAGAGTGAGACAGACGACTACGGCTGACAATCGACATAGCCTTGCCTCTAAGAAAGAGGTCGAGGTGTTGTCATCTCAAGAGCAGCGCGCAGTATAGTAGATCATCGTTGGAAGGAAGAGAGGATGGCGGCTCAGAGGGAGAAAGGGAAGCATTTATACCCCGCGGACCAGTTGTGGCTTGTTTGCCTCGTGTTTGCGGGTCGTATCCACAAGGATCACTCAGCCAGCGCCTATCACTATTTTTCCATCTTCAGACAAGGAAACACGTCTTCATCATTCTAGATCCTTTAGAACAGTGGCCTGATGGAAAAGATAAGGCTTGTTGGATATTAAACTGGCCCTTTCTGTAGGCACGCTGGGTCGCGGCGCCACATACAGGTCCCGAGGAACAAAGGCAGGGCTCGAAATGGGGGTGACGCGAGTGAAGGCAACCGGTTACCGTCGTGGTACCTGGACAAGAAGGAACCGAATTGGGCGTGCGGAGTTTGATCGATCGCATCAACGTCACACGTGATCGCATGTTCGCTGGATTTGACGACTGACCCCTAAGTACGACCTTTCCCATTGTCCAATCAATTAGGTGGATTATGAAGCGCGTTTCCCGGCGGATGTAAAGCAAGTAACAAACTTATTTTGACCTATTTATATCCCTCAGATGTGTTTGTTTTATGCGCAGGGCGGAGTAACAGCCACGCCACAACCCATCGGGGCTTCAATTTTCATAGCTAGGAGTCAGAATCTGCTCTCGGTCTCCACCATTTTCGCCGGTCACCATTGCCTGTTATCGATGGATCGCTATGTTCCGAAATCAGGAGCTATTTTTCCTGCCATGTATCTGCCCGGAATCTGGTGTCGTGGGTTCTGCAGCCATCTGATTGCTCGTCTGTCGGAGTCCAACTGGGAGCCATGGAATCCAGTCAGCTTCTAGATGCTGTTGATATATTCCATCAAACGTTATCTACACGCTTCAATCTTTTAACGTGGAAAGAATGCGCGGTTGCGGAAATTTATTGACTCATCATTGAGGCCACTTACCCGCTAAGGCCTCCCTACATGTCCTCCATATTCAATCTATGACTATTCTTCATGGTATATAGCTATAATTTGTGCTTTGATGACCACGAACGTCCTGAGGATGTTCAGTGTGCCAGTCGCATAATTTGCAGCCACAATCCTGTCGGGCTTCTTGTTCGTGTGGCGCGGTGCTTAAACTACGTGAAATGTTGCATCCTTGCTTAACTTGGTTCAAGATTCTCCTTTTACTAGCCTGCATAAATTCTAACAAATCTCGAAGACGACAAACCGCCACACCCACGATCGGCTGCGTATCGAAAGGAAGAAGACACGAATTGAGGATAGAATCAATATATTACTGAGGAGTAAAGGGTATACACATAGTACGTTCCACGACTGACTTCAAAAGAACAACAAAACTGTACGAGTTCGTCGCACAAACAGTTTACGCAGGCGGAACGGTCACCGACGCAGAACTGCCATGCACCCACTCCTTCGCACTAATCCAAGCACTGTCGTCCAAATCTGTTGCTTCGAAGCCAGCCGGAGAGGTCGCATCCATGGTTTTCCATGAATCATCCGTGTAATATGTCTCCGATGTACCATCATTGTACGCCACCAAAACACCCGCAATGAGCCCAGCAACGGTGGGTTGCGTATTCACGCTATCCACCGCGATAAGGTTTTCATCTGCATCCAGAATGGGAATAGAATACGCCTGCATGGCTAGCCAGTTGCTGCCATTGCCAATGTTATTTCCATTAACATACAACGTGTACGCGTCATCGCTGCAAATCGTGATCAGAGGAATCGTAATTGAGGTTATGAAGGAAGACATACGCGGTGATGACGACCTTTCCGCAAACAGCAGCCTTTCCATATGGCGATGCAATAGTCTTGCGGAACGGTCTGTGACCAAGAGGGTCTACCCCAGCTGCCGAAGTCTCGTTTGTCCTGATCCAACTGACTCCGGTCATATTCATGGCAGGGGGGAGCGCAGGCAACCCCCAAGGTGTGCTTGCCGTAGGTCCTTCCGAGATTGCAGCGATCCAAGCTGAATCATCGAAGCTTGGGCTTGTCCAGCCTCCGGGGGGCGTAGCTTTGATCGTCTTCCAGGTCGTGTCAGTGACGATAGTTTGGGTGGTACCATCACTGTAGTCGACAAGGATGGTGGCGATAAGACCAGCGGCTCCTCCGGTGTTATTCACGGCAATAGCAAAGACATTATGGCCTTCAGGTTCGAGGCCGGCAGTGTAAACGGCGGACCTTTTGTAACCGTTGCCTGCTCCTATCTCGTTTCCGTTAACAACAATAGAGTAAAGATCGTCGCTACAAGAGTGTCAGTACGCGCTCAAACATCCGAGCACAGGAAAACCTACGAAGAGATGATGATAGTGGCGCATACAGGACATTTTGTACTGGATGAGGGGATGGCCTTGCGGAACGGACGCACACCTACGGGCGCATTATCGTTGGCCCCAGTCTGTTCGCCTGTCCAAATCCAAGTAGAGCCAGAAAAGTCAAGCGTGGGTGCAACAGCACGCGCATCCAGCGAGCGCCGCAATAAGGCGTCGAGAGAGACACCTGCATCGACGTCGGCAGACACGTCGGCACCGATTTCAGCAGAAACGTCTGCAAGAACATCAAGGTCGACTGCGGGCGTTGCAGCCTGCAGGTCAACTGATCGTAGGAGTACCGCATCGGCAGACACGTCGGCAGCAGCACCTACAGACACGTCGGCGGCAACGCCTACAGAAGCATCTACGACGCAATCAGACAAGTAAATGGTGTAACCGCAAAACAATGTCCGACCTGCGACGGGTGGCAGAATACTTCCAGCGGCGACGGATAGATATGCAGGCAAGAGGAACACAACTAGGTCCTATGGGTCAGCTTGTTTACTCTGAGATGCAAGTGAGTGAATACCAACCCTTGGAGAACATCGTAGAACTGAGCTCGATGGTTTGGTCGAAAGAAAGGCGCAGCCTTTTATGCCGATGCGAGTCCAGACAACAAGTCAGAGACTGAGCATATCGCATCACTGTTTGACAGTCAAAATTTAAAAAAATCAATGGCCAGGAAGACAAATTTTCTTCGATTAATCGTGTCATGTTAGTATACGAGTCTCGCAGATTTTCAAAGGGCGATGATTTTTCCGCAGAATCATGTTCCAAGCTAGAAGCATGAATAATCAGAATTCATCCTCGAGCCGTGTGGAAGCACATCTACACTTACATGTTCCAAGCTAATCACCTTCGTACCACGGATAGTGAAGAGAAGTGCGCCACAGATCATCTCGTCCTCAGAGCATCCGCCAAAAAATCATCTGAGTTTATCACTCTGAACGTGAAATATTGGGATCTCTAGAACAGAGTAGCAGGAGAAGTGTCACGCACAAATTGTCCTCGAAGAAGTGCTACATGGTCACGAAGCGACAGATCAGAGGCAGAGAAGGACGAAGCATGATGGCTTTCATGTAAGCACGGAACAAAACGAGAAGAATCATAAGTTATTCTATCAAAATATGATATCAATGAAGTGAACTTTGGAGCCAGGCAATGTGAATGATACTAATACCATTCATTCTGTCTATGCCTGACAAAATGTGAAATGAGGGATACCGGAAGTTTCACGAAACACGTGATAATCGCAAGTAGCGGTATACCGAAGGGTTTTTCCCTTTCATATAAGCGAAAATTAAACTAGCGCGTATCGATCTGATGATGGAAGGACCGTCAGTAAATTCAAAATGATGATGCAAGAACTCGGTAGACGCGCGTAACAGTTTTCTTATTCTGGGGTTCAAATGCCCTTGTGAAGTAGGACAAGTTCGCGTACAGAAAATGTCACGCATAACTTGTTGTATAATTTGCGAGCAAGTTTGTCAAACTGACCAAAACGAGAAGCCAAGGCGCCATCTAAAACATCCTGAGGGTCAGGCCTAAAGTATAGCATGGATCTAGGCTCGGTGACGATAAATGGATACGCACAGGTAGATCTAGAACGCAAAATCTTCAGCTAATTCCGCCGTACCATGACACCTTCCCAACACCTTCCTTGGATTGGCTCTTCCACCAATTAATAGTCTGAGTGAAGGACAGAGTGCAAATCCTGCCAGCAAGGAACATGCAGCTTTCAACCAGAGAATAGGCTATCTGCATATGGTATAGGGGGGTTGAGGATTCATGTCGTCCTAATTCAAAGACGCTGTATGTTTGAACGGCATAAGACGGTTGAACCGACAAACGTTGAATCAAGTAAAGCCGCGGTGCCACGTGGAATGACTTGCGGCAAAATCCGAACGAAAACATGTGATGGACTCAGCCTGAGCGTATGATTCAAAAATCAAACTGATGTACCAACAAGCGCCAAAATTGAATGTTCTTCTTCCCGTGAGTAGTAGCTGTGCTGCTTCAATAGCACAATTCACTCATAAATCACTGGCTAGAACTTTAAGGCTATGATTATCCCTACTGAATGGTTCTGAACGGTTCTTGAACGTTTTAACAGGTATAAATGCGGCAAGTTCGTCAAGCGAAAACATCGATGAAGTCTCGCGTCGGCACCAAAATATATTACAAGTGAAGGTGGTTAAATGTAGGGTAACGATTTCTACTTTTACTAACAGATGAATGTGCGGAATCGGCTCCTGGATGCCGGCATTATGATGACTGCAAACAGGAATTAACGATTTAATTTTCTCACACAAATCCATGATCTGTGGGTGCTGCGAACTGGGAACTGGGTCGACTCCGAGTCTTGGTCCTTACACTGTGACAGCACCGCTATCTGTGAAATTTACTGCTCGAAGCTTCGGGGGCGCTTAAAGGAAGCATGAACATTTGGCCAGAGCAAGCTGATGACAACGAACTCTTCCTTCTTTGCTGACGATCAAATTCGTAGACGCTCTCGGGGACGGTGTTTTTCTGCCGCCCACAGGCGGCTACTACTATAGAGCATCTTTCCTGCCAGTACTCTTTACTGGCTTCCATCAGGAATTCAATCTCCGTCAGCATAAGGTATTGGACTTGGGCTTCCTTACAGTCTTCGTTTACTAAAAGTTAGATAGAAATCAACTATGGCTGCTTTTTAATGCATATGCATGATGCGTCGTCTGTTCCACAGCGCTTAAGGATGTGTCTGTTTGATGAATGATGGAGTCAGCTGTACTGTCATGTCCACGAGTTTTCTCATTCTCAGCACAACCATGATCAAAGGCACCGTCATCTCGTATCCGTCTTCTCCGGTACTCATTGCCATCCAATCGCGGTCAGATAAAGAACCGAAATAGCTGTCACTCCAAGAGCAAGTTATCAAACAGCACTGCTCTAGTCTCCCTGATGACTTCAAACTACCGTGGTGGCTGAATAGGTACGTTCTTGGTCTCATTTTCACTCTAGCGAGCTCACGGGATATCTGTAGCGGTTATATGCAAACACTATTTTGTGTAGTGGGAGATTTCAGCAAGTCTGATCAGGTTCAACACTCAAGGTATAGCTCTCGGTACTAAGTATAATGCGATTTTCACGCAGTTCGTTTATATGACTTATCTTCGTCTTCTGGACGGAGGTGCTTTGTAGGTTGCCTCTTTCGATCTTATATATCCTCCCGATTTAACGGATAGATCCTCAGAGGTTTGGGTTTTACCCCACCCGACAATGTGCCCGTGGCGTAGGATGCTCCGATCATAGTAGTACTAACGGGATTGACAGGAGGAATGTATCTGTCCACGGGATGAAGCCGCGTACCGGATAACCAATCCACTAGGATCGTTCGAGCCTTGTGTGAAAGCAATACTTTCGCCTGCGTGTGCGCCTATCGATCAAGGTGGCCTTGGTTATCGGGATGTGGTAGTCAATTTTCGCGAGTGCAAGTTTATTATCCTATATTGAACCGCTCAAAGTCAACGAATTTCATAGGTGCTGGCGTACCAATCACTTCGTTGCTATTCTACGACGCTGGGTCGACAGATGATCTGAGGCAGACCTTGATGTATGAGCGCCCAAGGCACCTCTTCTAGGGCCGGCTTTCTTTGGGTGGAAACATAACGATAAGATATTTGGCGGAGGAGAAGGAGGAGAGTAGACTGTCCACTGCATTTGTTCTCGGCTATGTAAGTTTTGTGCCGGTCGTCTTTTCTTTTCTTTTTGACATATATGCATTAGCCCTGGAATCTTTCCAAAAATAGTGAGGCGTAAGTACATACCCGTCTTTCTGAGGACAAGATAGGTTATAGGTTGCAGGTTAGAAATTTCCTTCCTCGAGCGATCCGACTCCAAAGGTCGCGCTGGAAATTTTGTCAGGATCGTCACAGAAAACTAAGCGACCCTCGGAGAGAAACCTTCATTCAAAGAACTCGTCACAGCAACGATGGCCTTGAAATTTCCAACACTCTCAAAGTTCGACGATGTCTATTCACATATCGCCGGCGCAGGAGGACCGCCTTTTCCCTTTCCTTCTGGAAGTCCATATTACAAGCGGGCATCGATCCATTACGTGTTGCCAGATCCCCGTATTGACCATGCAGGACGATCCGTTCAGAAGGCTTGGAATACGGTTCCAAGTCGAAGTCAATGAATGATAGGGTGAGGCTGAGGGGGCCCCTGCGACGGGGCTGATTCATTGATGCCTAAGGGACCTCCTTAGACCAACGTCATGCCTTTGCTTTCGATACCATCTTGCTATCGTTGTTGGGAGCCGTACTTATTTTGCGTCCGAAATATAATAAAACAACCGTCGGCCGTAAGATCGGTACATATGCTATGTTATGAGAGAACGCAGATACATAAACCAGACTCCTGATATCGTGGTTCCAACCTGCAGCACCACTACGACAAAAGTTCCCTAAACGCCTCTGATAAGAATGTCAGACCAACTTGTTCGACTCTATTGCCTCGAAGCAACCACCTCTCTTTCGACGCCAATAGAACGCTATCGTGTCCTGTCCGTTTGGATAATGAGACCGCGGGATCTGACGGAAGGTCAGGTTCTTACTCTTTGTGTCCCAAACGAGAGCGCCATTACGATGGGGGCTGATGTGCTATTTTAGTGAAACTCAGATGAATCAAACAAGAAAGCATGAGTACTTACGCGTGGTCAAAGTCATTTCCCAAACAAGCCAATTGCCGGTCGGACTAGGGATCGTAGAAGCACTAATTCTGATAACGGTCGTCATCATCCTTTTTTTTTTTTAAAAAAAAAAAAGAAAAACGCAGGACACGAACGTTCCCGGCCCCACGGCAGGTACTGCGGCATATACTCGGCCGCATTACGTACTTGGTTCAATGCTGATGGCCGCTCTCTAATCTTGACAACGACGCGTCGGCCTCCAAAGGCACGAAGTTTGGTGTATGTAGCCTCGCAACGGCTGCTGACAATTAGTATTCCACGCACTCCTACCGAAACTTCCGTGCTGACTAGCGAGGCATTTTCTAGATACAAACACCTTGACACTTGTCACTAAGACAGACCCGAATGCGCTGTACAACGTCTGGCTCATTGCGCATTAGTAAAATATATTTACTATATGTAAGTAGCTTAGAATTATATAGCTATAGGGTACCGTGATGACTAGACGATCCATTATCTTACACTTCTCCTCTTTCCAGACTGCACTCTTGCGTGATATACGCCCCTGGATATCTTTATCAGCTTCCATACTATGTCAATGCCTGAGACCTTACCTGCATGTGGCGAGATTTCTCCATTTTGCCAAAACTCGACATGGCAAGAGTGCGCACTTGACGGAGAACACGACAGTTCAAACAGCGATAGCTCGCCTGAACGACAACGGAATCTATCCGTCACGAAAGGCTCTCCGAAGCGGATAGGAACACTGGCCACCAGTGTCTTTCTCTTTGGTGCAATTTCCCCAGAAGACGCACGTATGAGGCGGTCTGACCAGTTTGACTGCAACAGCCAAACGTCGACGACTGTGTCGTTTTCTAGCTTCGCTTCCGGGTCAAATCCATCACTGGGCGGAGGGATCGATAGCGCCAAAGAGCAATACTCCATTCCGTAGTCCAAGTGGAAGAACTGGAGGACCGTTGATGCCTAGAAGATACCGTGAGTTAATGCACATCCTCAATAGAAGAAGTAGCTAACACTCACTTCCGAAGATACGATAACATGTCGATCCTCTGGAAATACGGTGCCGAGCGGGGTGCGCCACTGACGGCTTGTATCTTCTTGCACAAGACGATCAAGGCTACGTGCTTCTATCTGTGCTACAATATCGGGGAAATTCACGATGGAAGTGTGGTGCGAGGTGTTCCGATCATGGTTATTCCGGAAAACAGAGTCGAGATGGATGTACTGGCTAGGTTGGCCGGCTTGAACGATGGGAGATCCGTGCATGCTGGACGTAAAATTGACAATATTCAACGCCACCATTAACAGGGTGATTAGAGACGAGAATAGGGTTCCAATAGATGTCCACATAATCAGATGGTCGGTCCAACCTGTGGGGAGAGTTTCATTCCCTTGCACTCCTTCCCGACAATATTGTAAGGACTTACAGCTGGTAGCGTTCCCTCCTTCTGTATCGCTGTCTTTCGACGTCATCACTGGTGTGTACCCTGCCATCGCTTGCCAAAAAGCTGATAGCATATTGGATGACGGAAGAGGGGGGTAGATAGTACTTTCTAATCCTTTGCACCGGCCGATATTTGAGCAAGAGCGGAATCAACGAGTCCAGCATCGTTTCAATTCCGCCACAGGGCGTCATAGTATGACCAAACTGATACGTGATGGCCGCCTATGAAGTGGGCGCGTAGCAAGCTAGATAGTTGAGATAAATAACGTTGCACTGCATAGGATCACCGGATAGACTCACAGCTAACGTTTCGGTCGAAGTCCTCCTTCCAATGCCGCTAAACGGGACGCCGGAACTCCTCTGGAGTGGCCCCAACTTATTCATAATGAGTCATGTTCGTAGGGAGAATGCAGGACCTCACCTCCAGCATGTATGATCCATAGATTTGACTCAAGTTCCACGCTCGAAACCTAGAAAGTTAGGGAGAAACGTTCATCGTTCTCTACACAGCACCTGTGTACCCTCAAGGATCATCCTGTCGGTAGTTAGTACTACCACTTGATTGTCGTTGGCTACTATTTCTCGCTGCTGAGAAACAACTCGACCATACGAAACTGTTGGGGGGGGGAGGAGCTTCGAGCAGTGCTAACGTCACATCTACGCATAGAGATCAACATTTTCCGCAACCACACGATGAGACGCGCACAATGATAATCTGCGTGCACCGGAAACAGCGGCGATATCAACTTGATAAAAAGTTCCACAGCCTGAAGCCAAGGCGGTACCGAACGTAGTAGCCGGTAGTAGCCGGTGGTCATGAGTCTTGGCAACGATTTTCGATGAAGACTGGCGATACATCCTAGTCTGCCATGCGTGATGAAAGTTACGATGATGCGACGAGACGATCAACGAAGTGGATTATCGGGAGAAGTTCAAGTGGTATTGGATTCACGCTTCACGTAAAGTTCGTTTTCTTACTTACTGTTCCTAACGCTTTTCAGCAAAAAAAAAATGGGCGAACGCTGTCAGTGATAGCACACAGAAATGTAGATTGGCACCAGAATACTTACTTGTTTGACTTGAAAGTAGGGAAAAGCGGAACATCGGCAATTACCGATGGCACCTCATCGATCATCACGGACCGGTGTCCCGGTAAATCTTTCTTTGATCTTCCTTCACTTTTTCTGAACCAGTCTTTCTCGAGTTGGGGTTCATTCCATCGCCGTTCTCCTCGTTTTAACGAATCTCGCTCTACAGTTACTATTTTTACTGATACCACTGAAATTTAATCCAAGACTGTAACCTGATATCAATGACCTGGCAAGTACGGCGGTACCCAAGTGCATCCATGCCCATGCATATCCCCTGGCTTTCTTTCCTTGGCCTCACACAATGAGGCGGACTACTTCTAAGACCGTGCCTCCATCGTTGCTCCAGATGTCGCGGTCAGTGGGGCCCCACATCATCAACCCGACTCAGCCCGACCCGTTGCGCTCACTCAAATTCCCTCAGACCGAGGGAATGTCGAACCAAGTCAGTAAGGAATAAATGGAATATAGTATAGTAAAATAGTACTGATATGATATTACTAGGCATATAATAGGATAGCTCCAATGCCATATAGCGCCCTTCTCAGCTGTCGAATGCTGTGTTATCTCGGGCAGTCTGTTCCCCGAACTACAGAGAAGCACCTGCGCGTGTATTGGTGCCGTCACCAGCCACATCCTCCCACTGAACCCAGTTCTCCTCCATTACGTCGTATAGCGCGCTCCAATCTTGGCAGACATGCACCGATCCTGTTCTGCTTCCTTCAAAGTTTCGTTCCGTAAAATCACCAGGCTCGAGGGTAACGTCGGCGGAACAAAGAGCCGTCTGTCGCAGGTAGTTCAGATATGGGCGTAATAGCGTGCAAAAAATCGGATAAACGCAAGTTATCTTTTTCCAGTCGCAAGTTACTTTTGAGTGTGCAAGTTCGCTTCCCCGCAAGTCAAGTGTTTTCCTAAAAGTGATATACACATCGGCATCAGTTGTTATCATAGATCTCTGAATAAGATCTGGCGGCGTGAGTTTAGAGCAGGAAGAGGTAGCTGAACCGGCCGACATTATTTCGGTGCTTGACACCAGTCGTTCCGCTATTGCCGTAATGGCCCGAATTCCTTCAGCGTCCTATTCATCTGCTTTACCTACTTCTCCATCGCTTTTTCAAGTGATGGATTCAGATACATTTCCCTTCGGTGTTTGATCTCTGGATCCAAAGCCTCTCAGTCTAGACAGTCCACTGACTCATCACTCGGATTCACTCCCCTATAGATTTGAATTCTCGGAAGACTGCCAGACAGCGATAGATTGAGCTCAGTGGGGCGCACTGAGAACGACATTCCAGAGGGTTCAAGGGGTTTGCGACATGGCCGGCTGAACAGCGTAGGACCGTAGGTACCGTATTCCTTCCCAGAGTGTTGGCGTTGCTATGGTTCATAACTAATGTCAGGTACCCTGACAGCTGGACAGAGATTTGTATATTTCAACCTAGGCATTACTTATTCTGAAGCTATAGCTAACAGCAAACTTGCGGAAAAAAAAAAATACTAACTTGCGGAAGGATACAATCAAACTTGGGGGCTAATAACCAACTTGCGACCGGAAAAAACGCGACTTGCGCCTATGTGAATTTTTGCATGCTATTACGCCCATATTCAGACAATGGTGAGAATGGTCCATCATAGCCATGTGAGAATGGCCAAATGCGAAGTTGAGGACGCGAAGGCAGTGCAGCTCATGGAACATCCCAACCATGAACAGCCGACTATCGGGTCCCAGATGAGCGTATCCAAACCCTGCAGAGGTGAGATTGAACCATTCGTTGTCTGACGCGTCTCCAGAGAGGGAATAACGAACGGTTTCCTGGACGGGGAGTAGGACACTGTCCAAGGGAGAACTTGAAGGAGGAAGAGGGAGGTTCGAAGGGAAATCATGGCCCAGAAAACCTGGTATCGTCGTTCGCGTTAGTTAAGAGGAATTTTTATCATAATATGAGGACTCACTGAGGTTGTGGCTTGTTGTTGTGTCGCCTCGAAGAGATAATGTATTCGTTCGCCAATATGTGATATGTAGGACGAGATTCGATGCATGCAAAATTGCAATGAGAAGGTAGCAGATCGAGATGCAAGCTTTACTGTTCTGAAGCTTCATAATTACTACCGAGAAGGTCAGTGAGCTGCTACGATGAATTCTTCACAGCGGCTGTATAACATAGTGCTTTATCTACCTCCAAAATGCGCTGCATCGTACGATAAAGAGACGCAGGGATACAAGGCCTTCCGGGCCACCGTAAGGAATAGCCATGTAGCGCGGTGTCCTATTGTTTCAACCAGGCGAAAACATCTCTGGTAGTAGGGCTTGGCAAGCGCCCACTAATTAGGCTGTACCTCGTAAATGTCTCGCAGATACTAGATATACAGACCCGACACGCGAAGGCTACATGGATCAAGGATCATTGGGTCTAGATGCTCTTAGATTCATCACAATATCGCTGTACGTTGCTCCTGGGCGCCCTCATAGCCTCCGTGATCGGCGTGTGGTCCGCTATATGCCACGTTGCGGTCCTTGAAGTACCACAGAAAATAATATCGGGCTCGCAGCGATTTATTGAGAGCACCCATGAGAAGAAGTATCCTGAAAGACATTTATCAGTCACATACCTGATTAATCGCGGAAATCTGAGACAGCGAGAGAGGAGGGCGGAAACACTCCCACCCGGAAAGAGCTAGGCGGTCGTTGCTGGGGCCGGCTGCATAGCCACATATAACAATTTATGGGTCCCCACAGTCCAAAGGGAACTTGATTCGAGCTTAGACGCGTCCTGACTGCTTAATCCGGCGTTTCAAAGGATTGTCACACCATTCAAGTTCGATTCAAGCGGTTTTTCCCCAATTTTCGGCTTACCCATGCCCGAGAAAAGAGATCGTTTTTCCTGAATATAGTTAAGTTGATCCTAGCGTTCCAAAGAAGTAACTAAGAGGACGGGTGACAAACATTGGTAGTGACGATCGTAGTTAAAACACGCACACGTGACTAAGACAAGTTAGGCTTTGAAGTGGTTAGCACGTTGGCTTTACTACCGCTCGCTTACGTTGCGGTACATCGCGATGCATCAATAATTGATTATGTTTTCGGCAACCATTGGTGACAGAGCATATTATATATAATGGCGCGATGACAGTCCTGGTCATGAAAGTCCAGCGGTATACCAGTTATAATCCCTGGAATTCGCCTCAGTAGCATCATGCACTACATTCCACTATCTTCCAGCTCCTACAAGCGCGAGGCTGGCTCCATGATGTCACATGTCTGCCTGTAGATCTCCTCACTGACTGAAGCTGCGAGTCGGCTCGACATAGAACCATCTGTTGCAAATAATTCATGCAGTGCTGAAGTAACTCCTTCGGGTCCTTCAATCCCCCGCGTATGATGTTCAAATAGCGAAGCTGATGAAACATAGAGACGCTGAATGGTCTTTGGGTAGGTCCAAGATGTACCATCCCGCCACCCGGTGGTAAGAGTCTGTCCCATTCTGATATGCCGGTCTCGGTATCGAGGGCGTAATGCTTCAAGTTTGCGACGTAGGCGTACACCTCCGAGTCAGTAGGACCGGGGACGTTCCATTCCTGCAGATAATCATGCCCAAGGTACGCTATAGTGGATAGTCAGCGATGACAAGGGTTCATTCCTGGGTGCTCACAATAGTTCTGTGTCTGAATGTTCTCTCCGAATAATTTGATTTTGGGGCGAATTGCCTGCGCAGTCTGAAATTGATTGCAGGTAATAATAGCGCAAATGGCAGTGAAAAACTGTGATGCTGCTAAGAAAGTTATTACGAGCCGAAGCCTTGAAGAAAGTGGATATCCTAAGGAAGCGGCATTAGCAGATGCATGACAAGCGCTCTCCGACTTAGCTTCCGAACCTTTCTGCTCCATAAACATATCTCACCGGAGTTGGGATACGTGGAGGCAGGTGGGGTAAAAAGTATACTTCAGTTGGTACATCTTTTATACGCTCGGATTCGTGATGGTTGTCCCGTTCCGGTCTCTCGCAACGTCAAGGGGCAACATCATCAGTGATTAACTCAAGTCTGATCAGGTTCGCGTTTCAACATCCGGAATCATCAAGCTGTTCTAATTGGTGCACATTAACACGACATCATACAACTCTGGATTATTACATGCCAAGATATCTAACCGCTTGTACGCAAAACCTTGAAAGTAACAATTATCAGGACACTGAAAATGCGTCGAAGAGGTTTCACTTACAAAAGCTAGATGCCGTATACAAGTACCTTGTATGAGGAGGATCCTTCTCCAGGTTGAGCGTGCGTTTCCAGAATGGAACCACTGGCATCAGTAGCCGGATTATCTACGCACAAGACGGGGTTAGTGCGCTCGCTACAAAAATGATCTGTCCACATACCATTTGCTGCAGAGCCCGGTGTCAACGGGACTGCTGAGACATTGGGCGAGAAGATGGCGAGTATGAGAATGCAGGCAATAAGAGCTGAGACGAATCTAGTAGACATCGGGATTCTTGGTGGGATAGTGAATGAGTGTTGCTAACATCCCAGGATGAGAGGGTCTTTTATACAGAAAGCGCATTGAGGGCGCTCCGATCGATATCGCGACGAGACCATGCGGTGGGAGCTGAGACAGATCCGGAGGAACGTTTCCGTCAGTGGCTTGGGGTCGCAGAGGTTCACGGCCGAGATGGCTATGTAGGCTAGGATGATGACCATTCATTTCCCTTTGATAATTACGTCCAGGCGATATCTGGAATCATTGCTTCATCGAACCTCCTGGATACTCCTCATCGCGTCTCCAGAAGTCGTCCGAAACGCTCCTCGGAGTTGATAGCCACCAGTCACGATGAAGATACAATGGCCTGCACCAGCAATTCTTGTCAAGGGACTCTAAACGAACCTGCATTCAGAACAGTTAGCTTGATATACAAAGCACAACGACTAATACCCACCCGTTACAGAGTTATCAGGCAAAAAGAAGCAACGCTCGTATGTAATAGAAGACTTCGTAGTGAGTATCCGTTCGCTGCTCATCGATAAACGTCAATTTCCGACACCGGCGCTTGCTCGGTGTCGATGTCCCCGATAGGAACAAGTTCCGTCGCAGGAGTACAAAATAGGTCGAAACGTTGCGCTGGCTCCATTCCGCCTCCAGCGCTAGCCTAGCAGATGGCTAGAGACCCGTGGAGGACCGATGAGTCTGCTTCATCGCTGTGGTTTGAACAGGCAGTGAACGCCGCGGTTCATATCGGCGCTATGGCGTACGGTGAGTTTTACTTTTTGAAGCAGTAAACCTTCACTCACCTCTGCCCCGCATCAAGGTATGCAACTGGCAACTGCGTTCCTCGCCGTGTACCACGTCATAAATTCGAAGGAAAAGAAATATGTCTGGCAGTCCATCACCTATGTCGGCATACTGGTTCTATTATCGACAATCTATACGGCGTGTAACATCCATTCGAATGAGATGGCGTGGATCGACGAACGCGGCTACCCTGGCGGACCCCTGCAGTACCAGATTGAGCAGAGTTATACGACAACAATCCTTGTCGCTAACGTGGCAGCGATTATGATCACATTTCTTGCCGATATCTGTATGGTGCGCCTCGTCCCGGACTGTTGCATCGGTTTCGACTCATCCGATAGCAGCTCTGGAGATGCTGCATCCTGTACCAAGGCCTGTGGATGGCTGTCGTCCTTCCAGCTTTGCTTCTTCTCTCCTCGACCGGTACGATACGCTCTATACAAGTTCCCGTGTTTCGACTGACGCGATATTCCTCGGGCAGCCATGGGCGTACTTCTCGTCCTTCAATTGGCTTTACCGGGCGCGGCGATCTGGGGAACTAGGATTGCCAAATTTTCCATCCCATACTGGGCCCTTTCAATCACCTTCACCCTTCTCGTGACGTTCATGATCGTCGCCCGTCTTCTATCGATGCGTAGAAGGATTCAGACAACGTTAGGAACCGAGTACGGGAGAGCATATACCGGAATTGCGGCAATGTTGACTGAATGTGCTCTGCCGTACGCGCTGATAATCGTTTGTTTTGATCATCCTATATGGTCTGGGGTCCACGGCATTCAATTTGTTTGTCCCGCTGATGATCATGGTTGAGGTTAAGCACCTCCCACTTCTTCGCAGAACAAAACTAACATGCACCTTATCTTTGTAGGCCATGACCCCGCAGCTCATTATGATACGCGTCGCCCGTGGCCGTGGCCTGTCAAGTGAGGCTGTCGCTACTGCAAGCGGACAAATATCGGCGTTGCAATTTCGTCGCAGTGTTTTTCCCGATATCGAGCGACCCGACTCTCCTATGACAACGCTAAGAGAGATAGTGCACGCAAAGGAAGGAGCTGGATCTGGATCTGAGGACTCTTTTGAGGAAGCGTTAAAATTGTCCCCACGTTAGCGATTAGGGATACGTAGATGCAATCGTTGTGACAGAAAGGGCTTTGCAGACACTGTTGGATTCATCGCCTGAAACCGAGTCGAGCCAATGAGCTGCGGAATGAGGGAAGTTGATGTAATCGAAGGAGGGAGAGGGACCTTTTTCCCTGGCAGTGCAACTGATAGAATGTTGCGGTCAGCTGAGTCGAAAGTGATTAAAGAGAATGGTCACCTCGCGACGACCAGTTTTCCTTATAACTCGGACACAATCTCTCTTTGCCTCACAGTAATTCGAGCGAAAGAAGAAATGGGAACCACGAAATTCTGACGTGCGTGAATGGAGATGGAATCGTTCAGGTAAATCTTTCCACATGCTGAGATCGATGGGTGAAACCTAACTTGCTTGCCATTATCTAAGTTAATGTTCTCAGCCTCTCCTATTCTTGAGGACGAGGAAACGAAAAAGCCAGACCTTGGAATGGGCATACCAGGAAATCATCCAACAATTCTCCATGAGGTCTCGACCCACGTCTCGCGCAGTCTTTGACTCGGTATTCACTGTATTGACAAAATTAGACTAGAACTAAATATCACGAGACCGAGTAAATAAACGTACCCCATCCGAACTGACCACCTCGAATCCAGAAAGGGATAAGTAGCTACGATGGCAACACGGTGTCTTCCTGGAACACTGCTACCAAATTCTTTTCGTCTCCATTGGTGGACAACAGGATGCCACCTCCTTGGACAGATGAGGCTCTAAAAAGGAGATTACGACCTTGCCACAGACAACGGATTATCCATGGGGTGAAGTAAAGGTCATGCCAAAAGGTCTGGCCACGAGGAGTGTTCCCGCTTGAAACGCTCTCGTTTGTCTGTAGCACGGTCATCACCAATCATACTCTCGGTCATGTCACTCGTGTAATAGACGAGGATCGTGACGATGAGTCCAGTGGAGCCTATGTGTTGTTCGGCAGAGCTGTGGAGGTGGTGATGTTGGTTCTTTCGGTATCCTATACAAAGATGACTGATATAGAAAAGCAACACAAAAGGCAACATACCTCTACAAGAGGAAGATTTCTTTGGCGCATTTGGGATGTCAGGCTTGGACTGTCGAAAAGAGCGTATCACCCTTCAAGTTCAAGGCCTGCAGAAATACCCGTTGCTGAGTCGACCACTACGGTTCAAATGCCGGTAGTCCACTCCTATCCTGAACACAATGAGCTGAAGAAGAACGAATAAATGCCGACTGAGGACATACAGATCATCCGTTCCCTCAATCAATATCCGTCCAGCCTTCGTAGTCCAAATCCTGCCCAGTGGCCAACACCAACATTGATTTCTCTACAGTATTGAGTATGGACGCCCTTGCGCTCATTACAGAGCTGAGAATTGTACCAGAGCATGGAGAAATTTGTTTGACTGTCGAAAGACAGTAAAAGCTCATTCGGATGAGAAATTAGAACTCTGAGCTGCCGTCAACGGACGCGACTGTTTGTGTTGAGAAGGAAAAGGGAGGCAGGCACGTTGCCATCGGCAATCACAATTTTGAGCCGCGGCAACTCGGCAGAACCAGAATCAACCGAACCAGCCTCCTTCAAGCTTGCCTGCCAAAAAGTCCTTCAACAACATTTAGAACGATTTACCGGAATTGTCCCAATCCTATCGAGGATAAAATCCACCATGCCTTTTCTTTTGTATCTTCTCCCTACAAAAGACCGATTTTACTGTTTATCCAAGATCATTCGCCTCCCGACGCTCCTGATTTTATCACTAGTCAGTGTTCGCTCTGCAGACCTAGGTACCTCTCTTCGCGCAAGTGTCTGATAATCAGATTAGAGAGCGCATATTTAAATCTAAATAAGTTAAAGGCATACAACTTCTACTTGGTTGAATGCTGACGACCGCTCTCTGATCAACCTCTTTTCATCGGCGCGTCGACCTCCAAAGGCACGAGATTTAGTCTATGGAGCCTCATAACGACTGCTACCGTCAACATTCCAGGTAATCCTTCCGAAACTTCCCTAATAACTACAACTGGGTCATTTTCTAGACACAAACACCTTGTTTTTCACACAAGTAAAACTTGTATGGCCAGCGTCAACGTCCTCGAGTGCTTTTTTAATTCAAGATTCCCTCCTTATCAACCGGCCATCCTTACAAAAGACGAAGAGAAATGCAACAAAATATTCCTCCTCAAAAATTGGGATCTCGGCGCGTACTCATGACGCACAGATGTTCAGCCGCCCCTTTGCTAGTTCTTTCAATATTCGATTGTGTTGTGTCTTGATAACAAGATCAGCGGAAATGGTCCAGGATTTCGCCGGTTTAATTCAAGATGCCATTATTGTTCGATAGTTACTTTCGTTCAAAGAAATTTCTCCGTCTGATTAACGTGGAATTGACAGATAATCGCAGATGTCTTTGTTGGCTTAGCGGTGAATTACTGTCATTCTCAGGGGTTCGGATCTCAGAAATGGACCTCTACTTAGCAGCTTGAGACCTTGTCGGACCCGGATCTGCATTGTTGAACTTAATTGTTTGTCTTGAACTGCCCGACCAGCTCTCTGACCTTCATTCATGCGGCCACATATAGAAGGACACAGACAACGCTTTGGAGACCATCTCGCTTCTGACTTCCTCCACGCTCTTATATACTACTAGAAAATTCTTCCTGATAAACAGTAAGCACAATTTAATCCGACTTGGTGTGGTGATTAATATATCTGCAGAGCAATGCATTCCTTCCCTAACATAATACCTCGCCGAGGACCGTACGACGCGTCTTGTGTACGGATTTGTGAAGGAAGGCAGTGGACATATAATGACATCGGCCGCATTTATATCTATGACCGAGGAAGAGACGGCATCCCTTACCCGGGCTTTCTTCCTCTGCTACATCACCTTGCCGCCTATAAAGCAAGCGGACGAAGTCCGGTAACAACTTTGGCCATCAACAGAATCTCACGGTCTGACCTCGGAAACGACCGCACGACATACCACAACGTCCTCACCTCATTCCCGGATATCAAATCGCTCTTCCTACAAGACATCACCTGCAGCCGCAATGAACTCTGCACGCTTCTGGGTTCCTATTCCCACCTCACAGCAGTGTCTATCGAAGGATTGAAATTCGACGACTTTCCCGTGTTGTACAATTGAATCCCGGGCAGACAAAACACATCGATCGATTCTCTGACACTTTATCTCGACTCAGCTCAGTGGTCCCTGACCCTCCTTCGCTTTCTCACTTCTCATGACTACCCCCTTTCGCTGTACCCAGTGAGACGTCTCGAAGTTATTGGCGCGAACCGGGGCAATATTCCAGGGTTCGATAAACTCTTCGCTTCCCTAGTTCCGGTCGTTGGCACACCCATAAAGAATTCACTAGTATTTGGGAACATAGCTATTACGCGTAGTAGGATGATTTGTTAACCTTCGTGTTCTGCTATCGCTGACGCATGCTATGACAGAGGAGACGCCCCAAAATCTCAATATCAAGCTCGTCTCGAACCTCACATTTACGCTTGTTCTGGACGACCAGGGCCTCTATATGCATTCTATTAGGTGGTGGACCGCAACAATTAACCAGGCTAGCAACACACTCCAGTATATCAGCATCAGCATCAGCAGCGAGGGTTTCCTGTCAGATCACTCATATTGGCAGTCTTTGGATACCATCTTGCGTGAAAGGAACCTCAGTAGGTTGAGCCTTCGGCTTTGCGTACCTAACATGGAAACCTGCGTCAAGTCTGGCAGGGAGATACTTGTGCGCCTTCCCATGTCCTATAACCACTACAGGGCATCGGGACGGTTAGCTTGGTTGAGCGAAGGGGGGGAGCAACTGCATTTGGACTAATGACTCGGCTAAAATTTTAAGGCTATGATTATCCTACTGAATGGCCGCGATATGAATGGGTGCTGAACGTTTTACCACGTATAAATGAGGCAAGCTCGTCTGTGAGAGTCGCAAACTCACCTCAAGTTAAGGTTAAAGCAGGGTAGCAATCAACAACTGAATGCGCACTGCGGTCTAACGCTGCCTACCGTTGTGTCAGTGGATCTAGTATCCCAGTTTTTCTCGCAATAATCAATGATCCGTGAGCACTGGGGTCAACACCGAATCCTGGTCTTTATACTGTAACAGCAACAGCGTCGCTAAGCGCTTTCCGTGAATTCTAGTACTGCGGCGAAGATACCATCTTGGGGCGCTTGAATGAAGTACAAATACTTGACTGGAAGCTGATGCTGATCATTTCTTCCTTCATTTCTGATAATCAGTCCTCAAGATTATATCAGCGGCGGTGTTTCTCTGCCGCTCACAAGCTCACTCTGGCCCCTGCATAGGACCTACCTTCCTTCCTGACTGTTAATAAATGAAGATGAATAAAAACAGCATGATATTTGTGCATACCCTCTGCTGCAATCGAGCCATCGATGCTGCCGGTCTTCTTCAATCTCTACTGAATTCCATCAATGCAGAAATCCAGTCTCCATTTGGACGCTTGCGCAGGGTATTCGTATACAAAAGGTGGATTAAATTGAACTTCGACGGCTTAATATCAGTTGTTACATCTTGGATCACAAGTTGATGCACGGATGCGTTGTCTGCTTCACGACGCTTAAGTACGCAACCCTCATTTGACGAACGAAACCATCAGATTTCCGTAAGAGCCACACCTATGAGTCCTCTTGCACAACCATGACCAATAGCATGGTCTTCTCGTATCCGTCGTCTCGTTTATTGTCGTCCGGACAGCGAAATCGAATAACGGTCACTACGTTAAACTAACGTGGTCGCTGAACAGGTATGTCCATCTTCTCATTATCATTCAAACGAATTCATGATGTATATGCAGCAGCGAATATACGCAAACAGTATACTGTGTAGTGGGGGATTTCAGCAACTCTGATCAGGTTCAACACGTACAGCTCTTCGACGAGTCGAAAATGAAGAACGCTTGGCAGGGGCTGAGCAATATCTCCAGTGATCCGTCGATGCACAATATACTTGGCCAGCCCGACTTTGCTTCCGATGCCATATTGCTATCGCAATGTCCGCACTTGGTATCATCTTAGGATACTGTTTGTTGCCGGCTCAATTCAGTATATTCCAGTGGCGCAGCTGGGTAGATACGTGCAAGGGGTAGTGTTACGAGACCGAGATATAAATGCGTAATTGAGATAGAAAATGATATGGTGACTGTGAAATCGATACGTACAACATGTTACCCTAAAGACACAAATCAGAATCAACGTTGGTAAGTGTCCCAGCTTGCAGAACCACTCTGACAGAGCTTTCTTGACGCCCCGGATAAAAATTTCAGGTCACCCTGGCTTCTTCACTTTTACGGTGCCGATAAAACGCTATTATGTCCTATCCGTTTGGTAGTAAGATAGCTGCATTTCACAGAAAGCTAAAACCTTACTTTCTGTGACCCAAACGACAGTGCCATTCCAAGTGGGGCTGAAGCGTCATGCTCGATAAAACTCAGATGAGAGAATGCGAGTACTTACGCGTAGTCAAAGCCAAGTTCCATAAGGGTGATTTGCCTGAACTAGGGAACATAGAAGCAGAAGTGATTCTAATAATGACTGATTGTCATCTTATTTCGAAATACGCATCGTGAACATAACAAACCCAATACTGAGAAGAACGTATACCGAAAACGTTAAGGATCGGAAGAAAAGACTTAGAGGGAAGATCGAAGAGAGGTTGTTGTTGTTGCCGTCTAACTTCATTCTTTTCTTTTTTTTCCATAGAATGACTGCCATAGACACTTGGACAGCTTATGAGCTTGGGAAAACACAAGAACAGCCCCTCGGGCTGTAACCCGGATGCCGGTTACATCGGCTATTCCCGATGTGACATAGATACGAGGGATTGCCATGTCACGTCTCTTTAGTTTACCACCACCATCTGTACCGTCGTCTCACGAATACCGAGCTGGTTCCTTGCACATCTGTGTGAACGAGTTCTTCAGTGTAGCTCCGTGGCTACGAGCTTCCACGGGCCTACCTTTCAATATAATTATAATCGATGCCTCCATCAGGACGACAATGGCAACAACAAGTGTCCTACAATATCATGTCAGTCTTGGATCAAGAAAATGGTTGCAGACTCACGGAGATGAGGCTGTTGAATGACAATATAGGTCCCATTGATCACGTTCAATGGTCCCGTCTTGTTGAAGACCCATCTATAACACATGTCAGCACATTTCCAGAGTGTAAGAAGCAGCTCCTGTTACCAAAAGAGTCGTATTAAAAAGCACCGAATAGATAAGTGAGGGAACTGCTATCAGCTAGATGCACGCTATATGAATATAATCAAATCAAACGAACAGGGCTGACCAATATCTGTGTACGAGTCGATGACCCCAGTGCACTCCCATAGATTACACGAGTCAACACAAGGAAGAGCTATCATCGCAGTGAAGTCAGCATATGTTCTATAGAGGGAGGATCTACAAAAGGACAAGCTTACCTCAACCACGAATGTCAGTGTGAAAGAGATGATCCTGGAAGTATGTCTTCAGCGATAGAAAAATTTTTGCAAAAAGAATACATACAAAACTGGTGCACAATAGATCAAACAGGATTGTAAAAGGCAAAGCGTAAAGGAGGGCGGTGGTCCAGTTTGCTGACCGAGGATCATCAGGGGCATATAACAGAGGCTATATACGAGACCGGAAATGACCATCGCATACCAAGTCCTCACCCGGCGGACACGGGTAGAAAACAGGGCAGGTACCAGAACTGCCAGCAGAAGGATCGAGTTTAAAAGTTGGAGGCAATTGAAGATGGCCACCACATTCCGGTTGGCATAAGCATCCATAGATACTACGAGAAGATAAGCATCGGTCTGCCGTGTGGACATTATGGCTTACTTTCTTCAATTTTCAAGTACGGAAAAATGAGTGAAGAATCACATATAACCAAGCTCGCAGAGCGGTCGTGAGGACGGGTCGAAGAACGAGACGACGTCGCCTTACTTATACAATGCCCCTTTACTTATACATGGAGTCGTTTCACATTCTATCTGATTCGGTGTGTCGTTATGGAGCATAAGGTCTTGGCACCAAACGATCGTCCGACGTCGTACATGATCTCTGTTATGTTGACCTCGAGTTCTCTGTGATGATGTCCTAAACGGGAACTTTGGATCGAGCTGAATACGCTGGCCAAAAACAGAAGAACAATCTTGACGAGAAGATTTTAGGAAGATTTTTTGATTAGATACGATTCAAGGCATGATGTATGAGGGTTGTACAATGGCATGTGAATTTTTCTAAACAAAGCGTTTAGTTGCAATCACGAATGCGGACAGACGTAGACTCAGCTGGCATAAGTTACAAGGCATGGAGACATCGATTTTTGACCGGCGACACCATGTAACTTGGTGATAAAAGCCTATTTATAGAAGAGGTTCCGAACTCGAACCGGCTCTGACGATGTATCTGTTCCCAAGCATGACTGAACCTGAGCGTCTGTATCGCACTCCTATTTGGGTTTTAGTTCTCCGAATAAAATGGCCGAATGTTGTTGACCCTGCACGACACTAGCGCGGATAAAGAAATTCTGAGAAAACGTGGCTCACAATAGCCATCTGGACGATCATCAGATCGCAAGACCGTCCGGATCCTTGAACATGGATCCGAGGCCTAAGCTGTCGCGCGCGCACCGATGAAAGTGGACATACCAGTCTTCTTGGTCGTTCTAAAGGACTACTTGGCAACCAACCTCCATCAAACATGCGGGACGCCCAAGAAAAGATCGCTATTCAGATATCATCGATATATAGATCGCAACTGTGCTTCTACATCTTCTACTGAAAGTCGGATATCTGTAAAGAACTATCAGCAAATAACTGTCATGGAAACTGGACAACGAACCATACATTTCTGGGGATCTACGCAATAGAGGATCCGTAGTGTTACCCTAACAAACGAAACTGAACCTACTTTTACTGAATTCCTTCTCTCTATGCTTGGCTACAAACCTTTCTAATGATGGTACAATCAATTTGACCACCTCTTCTCCGATTTCAGCTCTCCCTTCTTCATCATCCTCCAAAACAGACACCACGCCCCGATGACGGTCAATAACCTCATCAAACAAATCGAAGAACCTCGTAAACCTCTCCTTCGTAGCTGCTTTCCCCTTCTCTTTGGTATCATCGCTTAACGCCTGCATAAGCGGAGAAAAGTTGCTGTCGAAATATGCCGCTTTGGCCATACGGAAGTTGGAATTTATGACATCTTGTGTTGGCTTGGAAAGCATATCGATCAGCGCATCATGCTTAGGATCCAAGAGGACGTTTCCCCCAAGGAAAGCGATGTAATTGAGGAGAAAGAAGGAGAAAAGTAAAGCCTGCTTCTGTGTGTGCGATAATACTTGAGGCTATTAATCGTCGTATTAACTACGTCATCTGCAATACGGAATGTTTTTAAATACGGTTTGTCATCGAATAAGATGACTATACTTACCAACATTGTGCTCCAGGATGACGTGCTCATCACCTTCACCAGGTTTCGAGAGCTGTAATAGGATTGACAGCATCTGCACGATCCAATACTCGCCTACCCTGCCCTTCTAGACATTTGCGACACCATGCCCCACGCATGTTGACCTATCTCTTCTGTGTTTCTTTGGGTATCGACGGTGTAAAGGGCGAAATAGGATGCGTTAGATGAGTCGAGGGCAACGGCAGCGTGCGTAAGAAAGCAACCCAGGGAACGAGAGTCTCCAGCAAATAGGTTAATGGAAAAATCAGAGCCTGATGGTGGCATAGAACCTTCCGCGACAAGTTATATGCAGCGTTGCGTTAATTTCTTTACTCCCAACGGAGTCTAGCTACGATGTCAGAAAAGAATAAACAGGATAGATACTACAACGCACCATTTCCAGTGAGTCATCCTGGTACCTTTGAAGGCAACAGCTGCATCGAGACGCTCCAATGCATCTCTACTTAGATATCCTGCTTATTGCTCGCCAGCTTGTCAATCTTGAGTAATGGCTTCTCAATGTCTGCTAGGCATCAATCGTCCGTTCCTCCAAACGAAGAAAGGCAACGTATTGTTTGCACGTCAGTTGAGGATCTGAGTCCGAGAGCTCTTTTGAGGAAGCGTTCAAGTCATCTCCACGTTAGGGATTGGGGATACGTAGATGGACTACGAGGAAAACAAGCACTCGTTGCGACAGAAGGGGCTTTATAGACATGGTTGAAATCATCGCCTGAAACCGAGTCAAGCCAATGAGTGATAAATAGCTGCGGAATGAGGGAATTTGATGTAACCGAAGGAGAGAGAGGGACCTTTTCCCTGGTAGTTGAACTGATAGATTGCTGTGGTTAGCCGAGTCGAAAGTGATCAAAGAGAGTGGTCACTCGCGACGACAAGTTTTCCTTGTAAATTGGACCCGATCACTCTTTGCCTCACAGTAATTCGAGCGAAAGAAGAAATGGGAGCATCGAGTTGCTGACGCACCTGAATGAAGACGGAATCGTTCAGGTGAATCTTTCCACACGCCAAGATCGATGGGCGAAACCTGACTTGTCTGCATAGACGTGTTTTGACCGCGCCTGGCTGGCACGAATTGATTCCATTATCTGCGTTAATGATCTCAGCATCTTTTGTTATTACGGACGAGGAAACGAAAAAGCCAGACCTTGGAATGGGTATACCAGGAAATCATCCAATAATTCTCCGTGAGGTCTCGACCCACGCCTCGCGCAGTCTTTGACTCGGTATTCACTGTATTGACAAGATTAGGCTAGAACTAGATACCACGAGACCGAGTAAATGAACGCACCTTATCCGAACTGACCACCTCGAATCCAGAAAGGGATAAGTAGCTACGATGGCAACACGGTGCCTTCCTGGAACACTGCTACCAAATTCTTTTCGTCTCCATTGGTGGACAACAGGATGCCACCTCCTCGGACAGGTGAGGCTCTGAAACGGAGATCACGACCTTGCCACAGACCACGGATTATCCATGAGGCGAAGTAAAGGTAACGCGGAAGGGTCTAGCGACAAAGAGTATTCCCGCTTGAGTCACTCTCGGTCGTATCACTCATGTAATCGATGAGCATCGTGACGATGAGTCTGGTGGAGCCTATGATATTGTTCGGCAGAGCTGTAGAGGTGGTGACGTTGGTTCTTTCGGTATCCTATACAAAGATAACTGATATAGAAAAGCAACACAAAAGGCGACATACCTCTACAAGCGCAAGATTTCGTTGGCGCGTTTTGGGTGTCAGGATTAGACTGACTTCCTAGATAGTGTCGAAGAGAACGTTACCACGCCTCAAGTACAGGACCTGCAGAAATAGCCGTTGCTGAGTCGACCACTACGGTTCAAATGCCGGTAGTCCAGTCCTATCCTGAACACAGTGAGCTGAAGGAGAACGAATAAATGCCGACTGAGGACATACGGCTCATCCGTTCCCTCAATCAATATCCGTCCAACCTTCGCAGTCCAAACCCTGCCCGGTGGCCAACACCAGCATTGATTTCTCCACAGTATGGACGCCCTTGCGCTCATTACAGAGCTGAAAATTGTATCAGAGCATAGCGATGTTTGTTTGACTGTCGAAAGACGGCAAAATCTCATTCGGATGAGAAACTGAAGGTAGAGCTGCTGCCAACTCGAACGGACGCGACTGTTTGTGTGCCATCGGCAATCACAATTTTGAGCCGCGGCAACTCGGCACAACCAGAATCAACCGAACCTCCGTACAGCCACTGTGAATCCCCAAAGAGGATAACGGCAATTCCGCCTCCTTCCACCACCATCCTGCGATCCTGCTCTGTTACTGCGCCTTCCTCCTCAAGTCGGACTGATCCTAGTCCAGCGAGTCAACACTCTTTGTACTGTCCCCCGCATCTTCCTTTTTTTACAAGCCCTGTGCATGGGTAAAATTCATGCATGGGATGTAAAGTCCCGAGTCACAAAAACCGCGACCTTCTAAAACCTGCACCAAAGCAACCAAGCAACCATATAATAACCCAGTGTTATGTGTAAGCTTGTGAACGTTGACTGGCTGGCGAGTCTACTTGCCGTATACCCCCTTTGCTGATGGACTCAGTTTATGGCATATGATAAAATTAAGCTAATGTATGCAAGCGCCAAAATTGTATTATTTTCCTATGCGTAAAGCTGTGTGCTTCGTAGCCCAAGCCACTCATAAATCGCTTGGTAGAACTCTAAGGTAACAGGTTATGATTATATCTACTGATTGGATACTATGAACACCGGTTCTTGAATGTTTTAACAGGTAGTATTAATGACCCAAGTTCGTCCGTGAGAATCGCCGGCATCGAAATTCATCCCAAGTAAACGATTACTACTTTTACCAACCAATGAATGCGCGGGATCTGCCCCTGGATGCCGGCATTATCAAGGCATTATGTGTGACTTCACATTGTAAGGGGCTCACAATTTTTCTCGCAAACATATATGATCTGTGGGTGCTGGGGCCGAATGTGAGTAGTCTTGGTCTTCCCCGTATGACAGCACCGCTGTGTGTAGACTCAACTGCGCAAAGCTTCAGTCGGCGCTTAAAAGAAGCACGAATACGTGATCCGAGCAAGCCGATGCTAATGATCCCTTCATTTCTGGCGATCAGATTCGTAAGATTCTCTCAGGGACGGCCTGCTTCTGCCGCTTACGGGCGGCTTCTAGTATAGAATATCTTTCTCCTAGCTAAGGTAGGCCTCAAGCGGATTCCTTGACACCACGTGGCAGCCGGCTTGCTATCAGCGGTAGCGGGAAGGCATTTTGGGGGAAAACAGCTCCGAGGCATCCTCCCAATTGTTATTTAGAACAATGCCTCGGACGCCATTTTGGAGATTTTGCCTCTACATGCCCATAGATACGATGCCGGATGCCACGTGGTGTCCCTGGTTCCGCTTGAGGCCTACCTTACCAGTAACTCAGGAAGCGAACAGAAATAGCATGGCATTCCCACCCTGCCCTCCTCGTTGTCCCATCAAGTACTCCGTCTCCATCAACACGAGGCAGTGGGCTTGGTTAGCTTCCCCACAAGGTCTGTTTACTAAGTTAGATCAAAATCAACTTCGATGGCTGAATGTCAGTGACCGCTTTCCAGCACTGATGTGCGGGCGGTGCGTTGGATGTTCCAACAGCGCTTAAAGATAGATCCTTCTGATCAATGATGGGGTCAGCTCTTTGTCCTGTCACGTCCACGAGTTCTTTGATTCTCAATACAACCATGACCAACGGCACCGTCGTCTTGTATCCCCCTTCTCCAGCAGTACTTGCCATCCATTCGCAGACAGATAAAGAGATCGGACAGCGGTCACTCCAGGAGCTTGTCAAAGAGCGCTGCTCTAGTCTCTTTGACGACTTCAAGCCAACGTGGTGGTTGAATAGGCATGTTTGTCGTCTCATTCTCATTCACGTGAGCTCATATGGTATCTGTAGTGGTCATACGCAAACAGTATACTGTGTAGTAGGAGATTTCAGCAAGCGTGATCAGGTTCAATACTCAAGGTATAGCTCTCCATACTAAGCATAATGTGATTTTTACAATATATTTATAGGACTTATCTTCGTCTTCTGGACGGTGGTACTTTGTATGTTGTGTCCTTCGATCCTTGAGACCCAACTTGAATTCATCCGACGAACATTCAGAGGCTTGGATTTTACCCCGCCCGACGACGTGTCTGTGGCACAAGATGCTCCCATCATAGTAGTACTAACAGGATTAACGGGAGGTATGTCTAGGGGACGAAATTAAGCCGGATGCCGCATAACCAATCCACTAGGATCTTGGGAGCCTTACGTCAAAGCAATTTTATCACCTGCATGTGCGCCTATCGAGCAAGGTGGTCTTGGTTACCGAGCTGTGGTAGTCAATTTCCGAGGATGTAAGCCCCTTTTCTTACGATGAACTACTCGAAATCGACAAAGTTCACAGGTGCTGATGTACCGATCACTTCGTCGCTATTCTACAATGCAGGGTCGACAGATGATTTGAGACAGGCCTTGATCTACGTGCGCAACCGCTACCCCAAGGCACCTCTTCTGGGGCTGGCCTTTTCTCTGGGTGGAAATATAATGATAAGATATCTTGCAGAGGAGAAGGAGGAAAGTAGACTGTCCACTGCATTTGTTCTTGGCTGTGTAAGTTTTGTGCCAGTCGTCTGTCTATTATTTTCTTTCTGACATACGTGCAATAGCCCTGGAATCTTTCGGAAAATAGTGAGGCGTAAGTACACTGTACCTGTCTTCCTGACGACAACATGGATCATGGGTTTTTAGATTGGAGAGTTCTTTCCTTGGACGATTCTACTCCAAAGGGCTCGGTGGAAACTTTGTCAGGATCGTTACAGAAAACCAAGTTGCCCTCGGAAAGGACCCTTCTTTCAAAGAGCTCGTCACAGCAACGGTGGCCTTGAAATTTCCGACACTCTCAAAGTTCGACGATTTCTATTCGCGTGTTGCAGGCGCCGGAGAACCCCCCTTTCCCTTTCCTTCTGGAAGTGCTTATTACAAGTGGGCGTCGAGTCACTATGTATTACCAGATGTCCGTGTTCCGCTATTGACCCTCAACGCACGCGACGACCCGGTCGTGCGTCGTATCCCCGATCCGGTGGACAATCCATACGTGATCATGGCTAGTACCGAAGGGGGCGGACATCTGGGATGGTTTGTCAATGGAAGAGATAAATGGATTCGCAAGCCTATTTTGGAGTGGTTGCGGATGTCTGGGAGGGAAATTGTGCACACTAATCGAGAAAAAACTATAGCATTGGGCGAAGATGGATTTCTGAGGGAGGACGGAGAGAGCAAAATTGGATGCAGGACGATCAGTTCAGAAGACTTGGAATATGTCTGCAATTCAAAGTCGATGAATGTTTGGGTGAGGCTGAGGGGACTTCTGCGATAGGTCTGGTTCATTGGCGCATAAGGGGACCTACTTAGACCAGCCTCAGACCTTTGCTTTCGATACCATCTTGCCATCGTTGTTCGGACTTACTTATACTGCATCTGACATATAATAAAACAACTGCCCGCCGCAAAATTGGTACCTACGCTATGTTACGAGAGAACGCAGATACATAAGCGGTAAACCAGACTCCTGAAATCATGGTTCCAACCTGCAGCTGTAAAGGATCTGCCACGGGAAGGGTCTTCAACCCAAGATTGAGTACGATTCGGGCGTATATTGTCAAAGAATATAGAGTCGAAGACACGACATGGTGGTAGAAATCCTAGATCAAGTTGTGGAAAAGGCCAAAAAAAGGCGCATACGTAGTAGTCCAAAGGAACAGGTAAACATAGCTAAAGGAATGATGTAATTATGAGTCCATAGAAATTCACAGCACCACTACGGCAAAGATTCCTACATGTCTCTGATAAGAATGTCAGACCAATTTGTTCGAGCCTATTCCCTCCCTATAATCATCTCTCTTGTAGCGCCAATAGAACGCTATGGTATCCTGTCCGTTTAGATGATGAGATCGAGGAATCCGACGGACTGAGGCCAGGTTCTTACTTTTTGTGTACCAAACGAGAGTGCCATTGCGATGGGGGCTGATGCACCATGTTAGTAACCCGGATGAATCAAGCGAGACAGCGGAGTACTTACGTGTAGTCAAAGTCATCTTCCAAACGGGAGAACTGCCGGTTGGACTAGGGATGATGGAAGCACTGATTCTAGGGATAATTGCTTGTCAACCTAATTTTTGTCAAAAAAAAAACCGCGGACACGAACCCAATACCAAGAAGAATGTACACGGCAAACATCAAGGATCTGAAGAAGAGACTTAGAGGGAAGATTAGAGAGAGGTTGTCATTGGCGCCGTTTGATTTCAATCTTCTCTTATTTTTCCATAAGATGATTACCATGGATACTTGGGGAAAGCTTGTAAGCTTCGAAGATAACACGAGAATAGATCGTCGGGCCTACCTTGCAAAATAATCATAGTTGATGCCTCGATTAGGACAAAGGTAGCAGTAATAAGAGTCCTACAAAAATCTTGTTACTCTTAGAGCGAGGAATCAGTGGCAGACTCACGGAGATGAGGCTGCTGAATGACAATATAGACTCCATTCATCACGTTTGACGGTCTCGCGTTCTTGAAGACCAATCTATAACACTTGCCATCAGCGCATTTCCCGAGCGTAGGAAGAAGCTCAGCCTGTTACCAAGAGTGTCGTGGAGAAAACTATCATATAGATAAGCGAGGGAACTGCCAGCAGCTAGAGCACACTAGATAAGCAGAAGAGCTAAATCGAACGGGTGCGGCTGACCAACTTATGCACACGAGTTGATGACGCCAGTGGAATACCATAAATTGCATCAGTCAAAACAAGGAAGACCTAACATCACAGTCAGTGTATGTTCCGCGGATTATTTATCGAACGACAAGCCTACCTCAATCACAAATGCCAAAGAGAAAGAGACGAGTCTGGAAAAAAGTGCTCAGCAATATAAAATCCTTTGCGGGATGATACATACAAAACCGGAGCGCAATAGATCAAACAGGATTGGAAAAGACAAAGTGCAAAGGACGGTGCTGGTCCAAGTTGCCGGCCGAGAATCATCAGAAGCATGTAACCGAAGTTATATACAATACCGGAAATGACCATCGCATGCCAAGTCCTCATCCTGTGGATATGAGCGGAAAACAGGGCAGGTACCAGAACTGCCAGTAGAAGGATCAAGCCCAAAAGTTGTAGGCAATTGAAGATGGCAATAACATCCCGGACGACATAAACATCCATAGATACTATGAGGAGATAAGCATTGGTCTGCCTTGTGGACATCATGGCTTACTCTTCTGCAGATTTCAAGTAGGGAAAAATGAGTGACGAATCACATATAACCAAGCTCGCAGAGCGGTCGTGAAAACAGGTCACAGAACGAGACGATGGCGCCTTCTCTTATATACGCAGTTGTTTCATATTCCATCTGATTCGGTGTCGTTATTGGACGATAACGTCTCCGCACCAAACGATACTCAGTCCGACCGACCGACTCCGACTCCGAACATGATCATCGTTATGTTGTCCTCAAGTGCGCTGTTATGATGTACTAAAAGGGGACTGAAGGACCGAGCTGAATACGCTGGCCAAAAACAGAAGAACAATCTTGATGGGAAGATTTTGGTAAGATCTTTTGTCATGGCATGAGGGTTAATTTTGTACAATCGCCCCGGATACCGGTTACCCTGGATATTCCCGGTGTGGCCTATATACCATGGACTTGCCACATCACCTCTCTGGTTTACCACCCGTACCGTGTCGTCTCACGAATAACGAGCTCATTCCTTTGCACCTCAGTGTGACTGAGTTTTCGAGTGTAACTCCGTAGCCACGAGCTTCCACCCATGTGAGTTCTTCTAAACAAGGGTGTTTGGTTACAATCACGAGTGCGAACAGATGTAGACTCAACTGGCAATATGGAACGATATAAACAAAAAGACTTCGATTTTTGACCGGCGACATGTCTTGTTGATAGGAACCTAATGAAACAAGAGGTTCTGAACTTGAACTTGTTCCGAAAGGCCATCGGTTCCTAAGCATGGCTGAACCTGAGCATCCTGTCAGTGATTCGAATGTGTCACACTGGCAGTTGAGTCTTAGTTCTCGAACTATAAAGGTCAAGCATTGTTGAGCCTGCACAACACCGGTGCGAATAAAGCAATTCTAAGAAAGGAGATATGGCCTATAACAGCCACCCGGACGGTTATCATATCGCAAGACCGTGCAGATCCTTGAACATGGATCCGAGGCCTAAGCTGTCACACGCGCACCCATGAAAGCGGACATGCCAGTCTTTTTAGTCGTTCCAGTCGTTCCAAAGGGCTGCCTGGCAACCAACCTCCATCAAAACATGCGGGACGCCCAAGAAAAGATCGCTATTCAGATATCATCGATATATAGATCGCAACTGTGCTTCTACATCTTCTACTGAAAGTCGGATATCTGTAAAGAACTATCAGCAAACAATTGTCATGAAAACCGAACAACGAATCATACATTTCTGGGGATCTACGCAATAGAGGATCAGTAGTGTTACCCGAACGAACGAAACTGAACCTACTTTTACTGAATTCCTTCTCTCTATGCTTGGCTACAAACCTTTCTAACGACGGTACAATCAATTTGACCACCTCTTCTCCGATTTCAGCTCTCCCTTCTTCATCATCCTCCAAAACAGACACCACGCCCCGATGACGCTCGATAACCTCATCAAACAAATCGAAGAACCTCGTAAATCTCTCCTTCGTAGCTGCTTTCCCCTTCTCTTTGGTATCGTCGCTTAATGCTTGCATAAGTGGAGAAAAATTGCTGTCGAAATATGCCGCTTTGGCCACACGGAAGTTTGAATTTATGACATCTTGCGTTGGCTTGGAAAGCATATCGATCAGCGCATCATGCTTAGGATCCAAGAGGATGTTTCTTCGAAGGAAAGCGATGTTATTGAGGAGAAAGATGGAAGAAAGCACAGCACGCTTCTGTGTGCGCGATAATACGTTGAGGCTGTTAATCGTCGTATTAACCACGTCATCTGCAATACAGTATGCGCTTGAATACGGCTTAGCGTCGAAGAAGACGACTGTACTTACAGACATAGTGCTCCAGGATGATATGCTCGTCACCTTCACCAAGTTTTGAGGCTTTTCCCACTTGTACACCCTCACCCATTTTCCAGTTCCCATCACCCAAGGTCATCAGAGCGGCGCCCGCAGCGCTCTGCACCTCGGGCAGGCGGTCCAGATACTTCACTGTCTGCCAGACAACGATGATCAGTACGGAGAAGAATGGACATGGAGATGCATACCGAAACGACGAAATCTGCAAGCGTGGTGCCCAACTCGCCACCCTTACCCATTGACGCCATCTTCACATCGGCCAGGAACTCGGGAAAGCTCCGAAGACAAACATTCCGTAAGCTCTGTAAGCCATCCCTAAACTCGTTTGTCTCTTTCCGAGCGTCAGTACCCCTCCGAGCCATAGTCTTGTCCCATCGAGACTGCAAAGAGAGCATATACTCGTATGAAGAAAGGGCGAGGAAATTGTACTTGTGCAGGGAACGCTTGATGGAACCGATAAGAGAGTTGAGCGTGCTACTAAAGAGTACGAGAATGGGGTTCATGAGAGCGCCGTATGCGAGCTGCGGGTTCGAAAGTGGCGAGAGATTCTCAAGAAGGTTGAATTCCTCCTGTATACAGTGTTAAATTTATGAGGAGATCAAAGAATTCAGCACGGACCTCGGCAACGTCAAGTATCGATTCAGCCCATTTACCAAACTCCAGCCCAGCTGCAATGGGATCGATGGTATCGGCACGATCTAGCACTCGCCTGCCCTGGCCTTCTAGACATTTGCGACACCATGCTCCACGCATGTCTGCATATCCCTTCTGTGCTTCTTTGAGTGTCGACAGTATAGCGGGTGAAGCAGGATGTGACGGGTGCGTCGAGGGCAACGGTAACGTGCGTAGGAAGGCAACCAAGGGAACGAGAGTCTCCAGCAGTGACGCCGGGAAAGGATTAATGGGAAAATCAGAGCCTGGTGGAGGCATGGAACCCGACGAGCCTTCCGCGACCAGTTTAGTGTACAGTTGCGTCAGTTTCTTTGCTCCAGTTTCGACCAACCGAGCCTGGAGATGATATTAGAATGAATACCAACGGGATAGATGCTACGACGCACCGTCTCCAGTGAGTCGCCCTCAGATCCTTTGAAGGCAATCGCTGCATTGAGACGCTCCAATGCATCTCTATATGCGTCGAGCTGGTTCGGCTGTGGTCTGGCGGTGGTAAGCAAGGCATATTGAGAAAGAAGCGGTACACTTACCCACGGAGAATCAGCGCCTCCTCGACCGCAACGCCCTCCTGATTGCTCGCCAGCTCGTCGATCTTGAGTAACGCCTTCTCGATGTCTGCTGGGCATCAGTCCTCCGTTCCTCCTCGAAGAAAGGCGACGTACTGCTTGCACGTCGATTGAGAATCTGCGTAGATGTGTACAGCGGCAATATCGACTTCTCTAGCTTGGCCAGTCGGGTATCAAAACTGTTGAGAATTGCTACTCGGTTAAGTGTTTGCCGCCGAGAAAATGTATGGAATTTACTTGTCATTCTTTGCGATATTTGTCTCGTTTTATTGAGATTTTGCTCCAGCTACAAGACTTGAGGTTCGGTTTGCATATAGCAGTCGTGACGGACGCACCAGCTCGATTTCTGCCGTTTCGTCGTCCATGGTGATAGTACAGAGCAAGAAGGTACATCACGATAGCAATTTCAAAACAACACGAACATACAAAGCATTTTTAACCCTAACCCTACTAGTTAACTTTTCCTCACAATTCCCTCACTCTACTTATTTTCCATCCACTTTTCAAATCCCTCTGCATCCCTCTACAACGTCACAAAAAGTCATTCAGATCCACCACCTGATGGCGGTCATTCAACAAGGTAAAGCACGGGTTGTCCCCAGTGAATCGCGACACATATCGTTGGCGGCTAACAGGAAGGCATCGCGTGCATATCCAGCGAAAGATACGCCCATCGTCCTCAGGCGCGCAAACCTTGACAAAGAGTTCCTCCAATTGGATCTCGTCACGGCACATCGCTCGATCCAACGCCGTCCAAGCAGAGAGGTCACGAGGGAACGGGGTACGGCTGGGTATCCCCCCCGTATCGACCTCCACCGTGACCGTGATCATCCTGAGCTGATTTTCCCTTGGTAGATGGAGAAGCGTATTTATCCACCAAAAGATCGCCTGGTCCATCTGATATGCGTGGTTCAAGTGGATGGTGAAGCGGAACCAATGAAGGTTGGGAATGTCCAGAGGGGGAAGAGACCGTGCTAGCACAGTAAAATAGTCAACGCACAATCACACAAAAGTGATATATACACATACTGATATTGAAATTGTCCAGGTCGAGATCAAACAGGTCGGTCGTCAATTTGAGGAGCATGTTTAAACGGCGAGCGAAGCTTATGTCGCAAACAAACTTGGCATAGTCCCGGATAACAAGCTCCCTCAAATGATGCAGGGCGACGGGAGAGTTCCGCGTAACGAAAAGGTCGATCATGATTTGGTCGGAAATGGTGGTAATGCCAATATGAAGAGCCTCCAGTTCCGGCCCCCGCTGGCCATTACGAATATCCTCGATGCTCGCAAATCGCGACTCCAAGTTCTCCACGCCCAAACTTCTTGTCACCTCGTACGCCCGTATTTGATTCTCGTCAAGTTGCAGGGCCTTCAAGGTTGGGAACGATCGAATAAGAGCCAGAAAGTGAACTTCGTCGCATTTTACGTCTTGCAGACACAACGAGGAAACGTTAGGGAACGATGTGAGCGCAGCGTGCCACGATCCTACGTCAGGGACATTGAACCAGCTCAGGCCGGACAGCTCCAAGCTGGAGATCGGAATCTGAGGATCCTTGAGAAGTTCAACGAGGAGACGGAAGAACTGGTCCCGTCCAAGGATAGAAGAATCGGGATCGTCGATAATTAACGGGCTCTCTTGCTTCTCGCCATTTCGAAGTGCAAAGGCTCCCTGATTCAAGCGAGCCAAAGCACGGAGCTTCGTAGGGGTGTGTTGAACGTGCGCGTACAACTCCCGGCAAGAGTGCGATTGACCTTGGCCCAGCGTCAGGTACGCCTTGAAAAATATAGCCGAGGCCATAGCTCTATAAACGAGGGTAGATCAGCGCCAGATTCAGACGGACGGAGGGGTTCGTACTTTGGGTTCGACTGGGTCGCGACAGAGGGTACGCATACGGATAGGGCTGTATATATCCTAGAGTGGCGATTACTCCACCCCAACAGTCGCCACAATATTATTCACAATAAGCCAGCGGCTGTTGTTTGGACTCGCCAACGTCTACATCCTGCCAATCAGCGGATTGCTAAACTGAGGCTCGAGGCACACCAAAAAAAGTAAAATTTCAGCCGAGTTTTTGTTGGTCAGAAACTAATTCCAAAACCAGGAAAAACCCATATATAGGAATCCCGCTCCATCCCGCCTTGGGGCGGGAGAGGGCGCATACCTATATATGGTATCCCACCAGTTTCTTATTTAGTTTTGGACAATTAGAAATTCGGCTGAAATTTTACTTTTCTTGGTGTGAGGCACTTACTCACCTGCTACGGACAATAGAGATCTTTATACCCAAATAAGATCACAATGTTCTACACGAGCAGATCCTCTTTTCTTCGTCTGTGCAAACTATCGTCAATACTCATTGTTTCTCCAAAAGTATACCGCGATTTGAGATACCTGGCTCTTCGGTCCGGGTTGCAGCGCCCCTTCGTATGCTCGGTGCTCAGGGACATGGCTGGATCCTGAACGTCTGCTAAGCCCGAACAATTAAAAAAAGACGGATTCCGAAGAAGACGCACGCACAAAATAATTTTTCACCGCCAAAAGATGTTTTAGAACGGAAGGCAGGGAAGCCCTGCATTTATACCAAATTCACTTCGTCCCATGTCGGGCTCCCAGGATTTATACACGAGCCCTCCGCCCCCCATCTGATGTTGATAAACGAAAAGGTTGTTGAACGTGAATTGCCTCCGTGGATAGTAGGGTAGAGTCCGAAGTAAAACCGATCGATGAGGGATCGATGTTGAGATCAAGCGCGCCACGTGGCTAAGCCGGACTTACCCGGGGCTGCAACCCACGCTTGAAGTTGTTCTTGACCATCAAACACTCAGAATGTGCGTACAACAGTGATTTTCTTCCTCTCCATAATTGGGTTTCAACACTGAATTTTCTGCTGCTTAGTATATATTTTTCCCTCCAAAAACTGTACACTAATAAATGCAACGTGGCCTCCAGAACACCGTTAAACAATTGCTTTAACTAGAATGGATCGTCCTAGGCATTGTTTTAGCTATCCGCGTATCCAAGCAACGCACATTCGCCTTATTTCTCACTCGCGCGCACTAAAAATAAGGCCAAAAAACGTCCCATTCCTGTAATTCTGGACGAGCCCGTGCAAGTTGATGTAAGCTATAACATTTTCTTTCCTGGGCTGTGGGTTGACCTTTACTCCAAATCCGTAGAAAATTTGTCAGTAACTTCTGCTGAACGGTAACTGTCCCGGCTTTTGGCTGACTGAAGGTCGCGGAATTTCCCAATGTGGAAGATCGTCTGCTTGCAGGTATCTGTTGCTGGCAAGCCGTAACCTACTTCGGCGCGCCGGTGGACTGGAGATATCTCGAGGCCGATACAAAAACGACGCAACCCGAAGCATTAGTACTAGTCACCTCTCGAGGGGCCAGACTCGCCGCTCTGATCGTGGTGAATTTTACCACTCTCCTGACGTCATGCCAACATATACTTGGCCGTTTTACAATAGCGTCCGTGTATGCGGTAGTTTTTGGGAGAAACAGGACGTATAATAAACGACATTGTACCCAAACTTGGCCATAACGACGTCTCGACGCGTCGGTACGTGTATGTCCCTGAACCTCTGACTAAAAACAATACCGTGATGATTATGGATATAGGCATTCGTTTGAAGAATCCTAACTCGGCATGCTAAACTTCAGTGGCTCCTCGAGTGGCTCAGCAGCTTCAAGGAATATAAATACGCGTCTCTTTCCTCTCCTCAACTCGTTCCATCGTGTCTCGATTTGGACCTAGGTTAGCCTCCGTTCGGTTCCGATTTTATCACATCCTCATTTGTTCGCTATAGATTAACAATGCCGCCTCGACGAAGGGCTCCTACTGTCAGAACACCGTCCTTGGAAGACTACCTCCAATACGGGAAGCACCAGAAATACAGCTCTCAGGTCCTGTATGCTCACATGCTCACCGCTCCCAGCCTATACAAGGCACTCGGGGCTCCAGAAGGTGCCGGTCAGCCCGAGCCAGACATCTACGGCCCCGGCTTGTACATCAACAGCAACTCAGAGCAGATCGGACGCGACGAGTACATCCCCTTTCTCTTCGCGCAACTCAAGGACCCCCGCTTCCCCGTCTTCGGCATGCACATCTGGGACCAAAACTGGCTCGAGGCAAGGAACCCCCCCGTCTTGATCAACGCGCTCTGCTCGTTCCCCAACGTCTGCGTCCTGAATTTACAAAGCATCGAGTGCAGCGAGGATCAGTTCATTTCCGTCGTCAGGTCTTACCCCAACCTCGCGAACTTGGATACTGAAGAGATCAAGATTCGAGAGTACGAGTCGGGTAGCAGCGCGCATGCAGACCCTGTGGAGGCCACATCTGTCAGCGCTAGCGTGATTCGTGACGGGCAGCGAGGGCCGGAGATCCAGCAAATCTCCATATACGTCGACAACACTACTGGATGGGTCTTCCTCGATCTTTTCGCCAGTCGTCGTTCGCCAGTTGCGTTGCGCAACCTGACCAAGCTGACCCTCCGACACAACTCGGATGTCATATGCAACGACGCGAACTTGGTTCGCCGACTGTCCTGTTTTATCAGGCTGTGTCCCAACCTCTGGGAGATTGACATCGACCATTTCAATATTGGCAAGTCCATGTGTCACGATCTTCTTTCGCGCGCTGATTAAAACTTCCTTTCCTGCGTAGTCACTCGTCTAGAGCCACTCGACCTCGGCGACACTATCCATCATGTTCATTTCTGCCTCTTCATCGCCGGCAACTTCGAGACGAACATGACGATCGACTGGTGGGCCTCCACTCTCAGCCAGCTCAGACGTCCACGCCATCTCACCAAGGTGACTATTGAAGTTGAAGTCGATATCGAAAACATTCCCCGTGAAGTGTGGAATAAGTTTCCGACCCGCAGTGCTCCTGGTTGGGCAGCTCTTGACCACGCTCTCACTCGGCCTCACTTCAAAGCGTACGAGATTCACCTGCAGACGGTCGAGTCTACAGCATCTCGAGCGGGTTTCAGTATGAGCATGATGTCGATGTGGCTCGGCCAAGTGTGTCTCCCCAAGAGTAAAAAGAAGTACGGAAGGAAGTTCGTCGGTTAGTGAAGGAAATGAGCACTCCCCTCAAACACGCATCACTGAATAATTACGTACTGTCTCTTCCTCTTGCATCCACTTTACTTGTAGCTTTGTTGACGCTCTAACATGTATGAATTGTCTCTATTATTTTGAACCCAGTCATTGCAAAGAACATTCTAACCGCAACCAACGTTACTCCTTCAAATACTTGAAGATATTCTTCTCCTCGCTCTCCAGCAAATCGAACTCCATTTTGCCGCTGAACCACCCTGCAATCTTATTCCCAACTTTCGAGCCTGTCTCTTCAGCCTGGTGAGGGGGAATCTTGACCGTATTTCCTGCAGCATCGGCAAGGAGCTGAACCTGACACGATTTCTCAAGGGATATGTAAAAGTATACTGCGGCCTCGATCGTATCACAAGCGACGAGCAGCCCGTGATTCTACAGATACATCAGTTCTTGCCGGTGAAGACATCAAAACACTTGATATACCTGGAGAATAGCCGTCTACCACGTCATTAATGAGCGTTTTCCAGTGGAGATTAAATGCAGGGTCACCGACCTTGTATGATCCCAACGCCTTGGCAATCGCTTCGCCCTCTTCAACATCAAGCGCAATGCCTCTATAGTCCGTGTACACCGCATGATCCTACGACCACTTCAGCGTCAACGCCTTTCGCGAAATATGGTCAACTTACATTGTAAAACGCGCAACTATCCTGCGAAATCATATCCAAAGGCTTTCCCAGCGCTGCGAAAGCCTTCCCATATACGGAATGTGAATGTGCCGCGCATATAACATCAGGCCTCGCCGCATGGATCTTTGAATGTATGAGAAATGCCGCAGTGTTCAACAAGGGGTATTTCCCTGCTTGCAATATCTTTCCCTGGGAGTCGACTAGAAGGAGATCCTCAGGCTGGATGAGCTTGAAATGGAGACCCTAGGAGCCGTCAGATATCCAATGGCGGTAGAGTTCGATAAGCGCCAGTACCCATGGGTTGACCCAGAAGCATTCCGTCTCAATTGGATCCTGAAACGGGCGGTGAGCAAGAGGAAAAGGCGATTAATCCGAATGTACATACCCTAACTGTGATATGTCCTGCAATTCCTTCATCATAGCCTCGGTTGCCTGGTAAGCTCGCCGTTACTCCTCTATTTCTGCAGTTTCAAAGGAGTTCCTACCAAAGATCCTCAGAGCCTGCGCCAATCTGAACTTTCGCCAAGCTCTTTCCTCAAGCTTATCCTCAAAAACGCGGGGCTTTGGTCCATTGGCTATCGTCGCTGCCAGCATGGCACGTCCATCGAGTTTCGTGGCCGACATTAAAGAAGAAGAGAGAGAGAGAACCGAATATGTGAGACTGACATTTGAATGTTCTATTGTTGTCCCATGATGTCACTTCGGTGTCACTCCGGTCCGGGACCTTTTAAGGCGCGTCGAGCATACAGGACGAAAGGGGTGGTCCCTCGGTCATCCAGGAAGAAATTGATTAGTCAAGACAGATGGTGCGTCCACATTTCAGCAAGGCGAGGGGGCAGAGGAAGTAGGCGGCGTGTTAGTATCCATACGACCATCAAAGTTCCTTCAAATTTCGACATGACCAACCAAAAGTGCGAGCATCGCTAGTCGGATTCGGGTAGTTGCTACACTGAGCGCTCCAATATTAACCCTCTTGCAGTACCTCGATGCAGTAGTAAAATTCATTGCTCGGTCTTTGTAAGAAGGACGAAGCCGGTCGTTGATCGACCTTGAAGCCCATTTGAATTTACAAGAGTGTATCCGAACTGACAAGACAAAAGGAAACATTGTGTGCCACTGGACCACGGCAAAGGGTCGTGTTGTACTTGTGAACCTTGAAAGATAATGATCAACAACCAGCATTTATAAAACACGAGAAAAATCAAAGAAAGGCACACATTCTCCACCAAAACCTCTGCCACTGCGCCGTCCTCGTCATGATCGTGATAACCCCCAGTCAAGCACCCACATCCAACCTGCGGATGTCTACTCTCGAGCCGAATCCTCCTCGGGAAGGTGATAACTAGATTTATGAACGGCCCTCTCCGCCTCGCCCAACATGCAGCTCGCCCACACTGGAAGAGGCCTTCGGTGCTGCTGGTACAAAAAAGAAGACTGCACCAAAGAAAAAGATCAAATTCGGCGTCATAGTAAAGGTAAAGAAGCGGTGTCGGACACAGATGTAGCTGGGGCCGGCTCGACAAGGAGGTTTTGAACAGAGAGTACAGCCCGGGAGGTCTAATGTAACACATCGCTGAAATTTAGTTCGAAACACCGAAAAGAGATGGCACATACATTATCACTGATAACAACTATGAACCACCCATCGATTGTCGCCTAAAAGGATTCTGTGAATCCCTGAGCTATTGACGTTGAGGCCTGACATTACCAGCGAATCGTAGCCAACGCTGGCTTGAAAACACTGAACGGATCCTCGAGATACAAACCTTACTAACGTATTAGCCCACAACGGCGCATCTGCACGCCGCCTAGGTAATTCGTGGGTCTGGCTTCATCGATATTCCGAGTCCTGGCCTCTGCTGCGCCAAAATTGATAAGACATTTGTTCCCGACATTGTTCCTTCCGATCCCTCTAAACGACGCTAGTATCAGCTCCAAAGGAGGTTGCTGCGCTCGATTTCGGTAGTCTACGGAACACTGAAAGTCAAAGATTATTATCACGGACGAACAAAGGGACCTACACAATTCCATCTTTATGTGTAGACCTTGGTATGTTAGAATGCGGATGTCGACCGATAGCTGCGGTCGCCACCGATAAATCCAGATCCCGTCGAATTCGAGCTTGGGTAACCTGTGCTAATATAAGCACTTTCCGATCCCAACGGAGGATGAGAGGACCGAAACGAAATGCATAAGCGGCGGTTTCAAGAGGGATCGTCGATACTTGAAGAGTCATGGCGAAGGAAATTAATAATGCAACAATATTAATGACAGTACAGATTTGAGCATTACTGTCTACGTACCTTTAATCACTGAAACAGCCCCCTCCCCCTTCTCTCCAATTTTTGGTGATTAGTAGCTGTCATTTTTCCCTTTCGTCTGTAATCCGAGCTTCTCATCCAACCTGTTGTCTTACTAGCAGGAGATGTTCAAGTTAGAGCAAACAATCCTCTTCTCATTGACGTTAAGTCCTACAGGATAAATAAGAGATAATGCATACTGCTCAAGAGTGGTTTGGCGTACCTAGGATTTACTTCCGTGTAGGAGCATAAAATTGTTCCACAAAAATACACGAGGGCAGATCATGGCAGCCGCCGTCATTGAATCGGTTGATGTTCGGTCCGGAGAGCCGGGAGCCGGTTGGGAAGTTCGGATATCGGGCCGATCAGATTTTTGACAGCAACCAGGTCCATATCTCACTGTGATAACGCCTGCAAGGCCCACATCAGGGGCAAAGCCTGCTACGTTGACTCCTCTTGAAGCTTGAAGCCTTATTCTTTATATAATTATGATGGTTTATAAAGAACCAAGTTTATGTATTCCTGCTACGTTAGTAGTAGGTCTTAACAAGGAATCATGGTAGCCGAAATTTTAAGCCGGGGCCGTCCTGGATGTCACGATAATTCCTAAATAAAGAAATTTAACGCGGGAATGCAGAAATAAATTTCCTTGAAAGTCAGAAATTCGGTGTGGCTGCTGCTTTGTCTGTCACTGTTTACATGTGACCCTGGGTTACTATCACACTCTCCACGGAATTGCTCAGCCGAACTTCCATTCAGCTCGGATTTCCCACCAGAGATTCTGGAAGAAAATGCGAGCTGGTGGCGGCGGCAGCCGCCACCGAGCGAGCCGTTTTCGATCAGCACTATCCAGCTGCTGCTGAGATGAGTTGTTGATGCAGAATTGATTAAAAGCTTCATAGGCAGCCCTCTCAATCATTGCATCAGTGCACTGCTTAGTTTCTGCTAGATGTTTTCCTTGAGATCAGTTGTTGATACTTTTGCATTTGTATTTTCAAGAAGATTAGCAGTAGATAAACGTAGCAGGCTCTGCCCCTGATGTGGGCCCTGACAAGCTTTATAATTGATTGATCTTGCGAGGTTTACTCTCTACACAGGTGGTGCACTTGTCGAACCACAGGCTAGCCAGGGCGTGGATAGAACAAAGCGACCCGCCGGCTGCATTCCGGGTGGAAATAAGCCTAGCAGCCGCGGGCTATATGACGACTGGGCCAACCCCAGGATAAACTGTCTTGGCCCCAGTCTATACGCTATTTTGAAATCTGAAGCAACCTCCTTTCCCGTTCCGCTCCCCCGGCTCACACCGGCTCGCATCGCGACTTCATATAGCAATGGACAATATTATGATTTTATTAGCGGTTCTCTAATGCACTACTGTACATGCCATAGACTACGTATAATAAGTAAGCTATGGCTGAGCCTACAGTCAACCGTTGGTCATGGTGCCATATGTAGTTGTGCGGCAAAGACTGAAAGACAGGGAATCAGAATGGTAGACACCAGCAGAACATATTTTGACTCACCGAGGGTGTCGAACGTCGCCGTCAAGATGACCTAGAGTGTTTGAAGACGCAGCAGGCACATATCACGCCGGTTTGCTGCTGAAATTTCGAAAGGAGGGGGGACTATACAAGACGGAGGCAGACAAGAATCTAGCGCGATGTGTGAACACAGTGCTCCCTTCTACCGGACAGGCGACAAACCCACCTATACAATGTCCAGGAAGGTTCATCGGCCTCCACGCGTGATGAAATGGCACAGGCGCCATGCATAGGGAGATACAAAAAGGGAGGGAACTTCAAGCTGTCACCGAAACGATGGTGGTGGTTGAAGTTCAAAGTTCAACATGGGCAAAACAATGGCAAACTCCCAAATTTAACATGTGGATGGCGTGCTCAGCTGCGGCTGGTTTGTGCTGGGGGTATCTGTCACCGAACATAGGATGCGTTGAAGACGTCGGGCCAGCCTCAGGCCAAATTTGGTTCTCGACGTGGGCCAGCTCCTACTGGGCGAAGCCGAGTCTATCCGAAGCTTCAGCTGTGTATAGTTCCTGCCGGAGCGATTGAATCAAGGCCCAAGGGTTATTCAAATCTTGGTTTGCAGAAAGAAGTCATAATCAATAATAGTTAGTAATAGTAGTATACTGTATGAATGAGACAGGACTACCCCTTGAAATCATTCACTCACAGTGGTGGTGGCTTCGGTTGCTGAGAGAAAAAGACTCGCTCGGTGGCGGCAGAATGCCGCCACCAGCTCGCATTTTCTCTCAGAGTCAGAATCCATGGCAAGATCGGCCAAACAAACCCGCTGAAAGCGTGATAGTAACAGGAGGTCACATATAAACAGGGACAAGCGGTGACTGTGCCACCCCGAAATTCTGACTTAAACGGAAATTTTGAAGCGCTGGGCCGTGAAATTCTTCCACAAATAGAAATTTTTATGACATCGGACTTCGGGTTAAACTCAAAACTCGGCTACCACCATCCCTCTATAAGACCTACTACTAACGTAGCAGGAATTCTCACATTTTGACTCTCACAGCGAGTAAATTGTCCGTTTCATTCCAAGATGAAGTTCCTGGCTCATGTTAGCCTCGTATCTACAAGTTTCGTGAGTTATTTACGTCTGTTGTTTTCCCCTCACCTTTTCTCCCACTTCTCACCAAAGACTTAACCATGTTTAACTTACAGGCAGAATTGATGATGGATGGGATCATTCGAAAACCAGGGACCACATGCCCAATTTGTGTTCCGACGTGTTAGCAGACGTGATGTGATACTCATCGTTGAATTTCTCGTCTCCGGAAGGCTCTCTCCCCACTTGTTGCTGGCTGATCTTTGAGTGAGAATTTAGAGATGTAAACTTTCAAATATTGTGTTTTCTGAAGTTCTTCTAACTTCAAATACAGGAAATCTGGCCCCAAGGTCTTCGGCCTCATCCTCGTGCTGTCGCGGGCTTGTGTGCAGGCCAGTAACGCTCAAAGCGAAATTATCCTGGACGAACTAACGGAACACCGAAGCACCTGGGATGTAATCTTCAGCTGCATCGCAACAGTTTTCGCTTGCACCTGGATCGCTGTACATCCAAACGTTCCGGGTCCCGATCTCAAATCTCGCGGCTGGGTTTTCATCGGACTTCACCGATTGAAGCTCATGGTCATAGCTATCATCGCCCCCGAAGTTATAATCATCTGGGCTTTTCGTCAATGGATGGTAGCGTCGATAATCTCTAAACGTACGTGTGAGATTATAATCATCCAGGTAATGGCTGACTTTGCTTTCAGACTTCGGCTTGACAAAGACACATGGATTTTTCATAAGCATGGGCGGATTCATTGGTGCTGGTGGAACCCCCATAAAAATTGCAGATCTTTTGCAGCTCGACGGTCTAGCACTTTTCCAGAAATCATTTTCGGTTCGCCCCGATTTAGACATGTCGTCGATATCCAACATCACCGAGGAAGAGCTACAGGATCGCAGCAAAGGCGATGCTCTATCGAAGCTCGTCGCCGTTGTTCAGACAACCTGGTTCGTCGTCCAGTATCTTTCCCGGTTCCAAGAATCCCTTCCCGTCACCCAACTAGAGACCGCGACTCTGGCTTTCGCGGTCTTGAACATCTTCAACTACGTCTTATGGTGGCACAAACCACTCGATGTATGTTGCCCAATCAAAGCCTGCTCAATTTTGGAGCAGAGAGATTTCTACGAAAGCGTGGATACCATGACTTTCGCGAGTCACAGCTCAACTTTCTCCTCCGATGTGACAGACATTGGCCCACGCAGGCATTTATCACTCAACAGAGCACCACATGACAACGAGTCGCCACGCAGCTCCTTGTTGCCTAGCTTGCTTCACCCTCTCCATAACACTAGTCTCAGACGTCCACCGTTTTCCATTCTTTGATTACACCTATACCGACGCACACCAATGGTTTTCTTACGCCACATACGGGCGCTTTACCACGGCGGCCTTCCAATCCATACTCCAGTGGTATCGCCGGACCATGGGAAGGATATTGTTTGGGCGTGGGTGGAGTAGTGCCTACGGTAGTGTACCAACCCTTTGGGCTGGTACACTGGATTATGAGAGGACATGGTACATCGGATACTTTGGTGCAGCTGTCGGAGCACTCTTCGGTGGCACACACTGCATCGCCTGGTCCTCCGTCTTCGCTTCTGATACCGAGCGCATCCTTTGGCGGATATCGTCGCTCGTTGTGACTGCGGTTCCTGTTGCCTTGGCGATGCAACTTGCGTTCATCAGGATACTACCTAATAGGAAGATTGTACGCGGTATCCAAGCGACTACGCCTCTCTTAATACTCCTATATCTCCTCGCGAGGATGACGTTGTTGGTGGAGGCTTTCTTTTCCCTCAGATTCCTCCAGCCTGGCGTCCTTGAGGAGGTTAGCTGGACGAAGTTTATTCCCCATCTGTAATCATTTTATAAGACCGGTCCGCACGTCACCGTAACGGCCGTCTATCTCTCTCATCGTTGAAACGATGCGCTTGGTGTCGGAATGATCCTAATAGGTGCAATATCACAAGCGGTGGGCTGCCACACTCTCATACGTATGCCTCAACTGAAGAACGCCTGAGACAGTGAAAAGCAGCATAGTTCAATTTATCATTGCTTTCTGCATTGCGACTGGTAACCCTACTTGTTTTATTCATTCATTCCTCGTTTACCTGAATCCTAGATTCGCATTTAACAAAAGGATACCGTGTGACGATATATCAATCTTGTTGCTTTGTATGCGGCTCGTCTACCCTTTCACGTTTTTTCTTAAATTGAAGCATCCAATTACCCCAACGTACCTGATATAAAATTCTTTTTGCAGTCAAAAATATGTTGTCATTCAAAGCTGTTTCGTACTCAAGCTTTTGCGTCGCAGAGCTATGACAGACCGAAATACTGTCTGGCTGCCTCAATATTGAAAGAGAATGTCTGTCCCGTCAAAACTAGTTATGTTCTTGCGAAAAATCATTTCATTGCCTCTTTCACATTATGTCATGAACCTCTCTGTCGCCAAAAGAAACCGTTTTAGCCCCAAAGGCGCTGGTACAACGAGTAAGGTTCGGCGAGCCTCGGAAGAACGTCTAGTATGTGAGACTTACCAAAATACGTGTAGTCGTCATCATGACTTGCGGTTCCTAGTTTGATGATCCCTGAAAACTATTCTCATCTTCTTCCATCATCTCGTCCAGGTCACTCCTGGCTTCCTGAGGCTCTTCGGGGGGAGTTTCGGCGACAATACTCCTCCTCGGGGTTGCAAGGAAGCGTGTTCCGTCAGACGGATACTTCTCTCGTGCATTAGGCAAGCAAATTTCATGCAGCCATGGAGAGATGGAGTCCGTGAGATCTGTCCGTAAAGGACGGGCCGACTCTACATGGATAATCAGGTCCCCAATACGCACTTCCGGTCGGCAAAGCGCGTCGTCCAAAGCGTTCCATTTCGTAATACTTTCATCACCATGTTCCGGGAGTCTATCCCAAAGTCGTGTTGTTGCTCCAATCCAGATGTTGATCTGGACACTTCGGATTTCAGTTGGATGGTTGATATTATTGAACGTTGCCGTGAACCACTCGAGAGAGATTGCTGTCTTGTAATTGTCTGTCAATCCAATAGCGCATACAAGGATCAGTAACGGCATATCAACAGGAATACGGAGAGGGGGGAGTGGAATACCCCCAACTTCAAGTAATGGGAAGATCAGCACCCGGATTTGACTAACAGACGTGAAGACGAATACCTGGTAATAGATTTCCAACGCAAAGTACAGCTCCTTGACGACTTGCTAATTCGAGCAGGATAGATATCGCTGCAACGACCGACGCACCGCAGAAGAATGGTTCATCAATTGGAGTCCAAGCGCAGATTTTTTTCAAAGCACGAGTTCGAGCAAGAGAGAATCTACCAGCGAACAGAGACAATAAGATACCGTCACAGATATGTTGAGATCCACGGCTAAGAACTGTAACGCCGGACCAGTTTGGCTCTCCTTGATCTCCTCGGGGGTATTCTGACCAGATAGATTCGCTATTTCTCCAACTCGTTCGAGATAGTTCGGTATTGACATCTCGCTTACCGCTAGGCCTTGCAAGTTGGGAAATGAGTCGATTATACCGTAATACTGAGCTTCAGTACAATCCACCTGGAAGAGTGACAGAACTGTGACGTTGTAGAACCTCAGCCCGGGACTCCATATTCTTCCCTTATGAGAAATCAAAGAGACCGCAGTGAACCAAACAGCTGTCTTGATACGACCACTCACCAAATAGAGCAAACGCTCAAAATATGGGTCAGAGAAAGTTTGTTCGTGCGGATTAATGATATGAAGATTGTCGAATGCTACTCCGGGCAACTTGATAGGAGGCGTTAGAGCAAATTTGTACAGGTCATAGGAAGAATGCCTTTGGCCATGGCCGATACTTAGAGTCTTGGATCTTAAGACTTCGAGGAGACTGACTGCCTCCTAAAAATCAATTCGACGTCAATTTCAACACAATATGACACGAAATGAAGAACATACATGAAATTTTAACATATCCAGGTTGTGAGCCACGGGGAGAAAGTGAAACGGAGAAGGGCTGACCATCCGGGTCCTCGCTGTTATATAGAAGTAAGAACAATAGCAATCTACATATTTGAAAAACGGCACGATTGTGGTGGCACTCCAATCTCCTGAGCCACTCCCTGCATGGAATTTGTCTGCAGCAAAGTAGGATAATCCAATTCATGTGGTATATCATGGCATCGCCACTCGAGCGCGAAGTCTGTCAGGTGCTTAGTCTAAGAACGAGGGGAAACTTGGGGAAAGAGGGACAGTAAAACGGTGGCTGGTAGCAGCAACAGCCTCCTCGTTTGCTGCCACCCAACTTACCACCTGCCGCCTACCAGTTTCCATTCAAAACAACCATTCGTTCCTTTGTGGCGGCGGATGTTTTTGGATCGCAGTACGCTGCAAGAATGGAGAAGTTTTTTTGTTCAAGTCGATGGTTGTTCACCCAGATCGTCCTTTTGTTTCTTTGTCAATTGTCTGTCGGCATATTGTAGGGACACCAGTTGCGCGTATCACTGACAAACTCGACTTACCTTATATGAACAAAATCGTATTTCTAGTTCGGCCGACTACGGTTCTCGAACTTAAACTTTGAAGGGCCGCGGGTTTTGTCTGCTCGCTTGCGACATTGGAACGAACATCCTCATACAGACTTCAGCGTTCGAGCTGATCTGTGCAAGACATCGATGAGAGGCTAAGAAAGAATCTATCTGAACAACTGCGTACCAAATAGCCATGCTGTGCAAGTAAGTATGATTAATGTAAAATACGAATACATATTGCTATGTGCTGCGACCTGATATTAATCGACGAAGAGAAATATTAGATGAAGTCCCCCACATTCAAGCCCTAGAGATATAGAAGAAGCAAAATATTAACAAATTATTCCGTACGATACCTCCCTCTGGACAGATAGGTGCTCAGAGGTGATCAACATGTTTTGTGACGATAGATCCAACGTTCGCTGCTAGATATTTAGGCGTAGCTACACGCCAAAGGAAAAGAAAAATATTTACCCTGAAGACGACCTGGTATCCCTGTCGCTCGTAGATCTCCATCCAGACTCGGCCGCCGGCTTTGATTGCGCGGCCATCTCCTCGAGTCCACAATCTACAGTTGGTAAGTAGTTGTCCTTGTCAGTGTTCCACGATAGAAGATCTCGCGCAAATAAGTCTGGGAGAAAGTCCATCCATATCAGTCCAACTCATCCGGCGTCACATCTCCATTCTCTAGATCCTTGAACTCCTGATCCATCACCTCCTCCAGCTTCTCGCACAGCTTCCACAACAACCAACTCGCCTCGGACATATCACTGAACAGCGGCCCATCGTCAGCGAGCCAGAAGCTCTCTTCCTCCGATTGTGGCATCCCGAGTAGAGCCAAGAAGTATTGCCACTCTTCCCAGCGATACTTCTTCGGTGACTTCCTTCCTGCGTCCCTGACAACTCTTTTTATGGACTTCGCAAGCGTAGTTCCACGGTGCATACCACGTTTCTCTTCCTCTTGTGCAATGATATCTCCAAGCATTTGTACGTCGAATTTCAGCTCCTTGGAGTCCACGGAGTCACTGCTCTCATTCAGCTCCTTCATGGTCTTGCGATCGGGGAGGATAGTATAGTGACCCAGCCATATCGTTCCCATCTCGAGCCATCCCACAACGGTGTCACCAAGGTTCGAAATGAGGATCGTCATGGTAGGAACAGCGATTAAAGTCCATATGACGAAAAAGGGTTTCCCAGAGTTTGATTCCGGGAAGAGGTCTCCATAGCCGACTGTCAAAAGGGAGGTATAGGAGAAGTACATCGAATCGAAGTAGGTCCATTGCTGTGGGGACTAGAAGAACCACGACGTCAGCCAAGACCGACAAAACAGGAATGAACAGTCTGACTTCTGTAAACCAAAACACTAACGCTCCCATAAACCACAGGAAAAAGAAAGCAACCGACGAAGCCGCTAGGGAGAGATACTTCCGCGTCATATCCGCCCGTCGCTCAATTTTTCTCATCGCCTCGAACTCTTCCTTCTCTTGCTGGCTGTTTGAGTGCTTGTTCCACTTCCGTCTCTGGGTCTTGAGAGCTCTGCGCTCTATCCTTGCTCGCCCTCTCTCCAACACCAGGTTTCGAACACTACCCACGATCAAACCGATCATCATAATCCCACCTACCGCATACGGCATCATGAGCCCGCGAGCCAACTGGCTCGTTAGCGGAAAGTCACTGCCTATCCCGATGGTCAGCAGGGTGTAATCTGCCCAGTAGAGCCCGTTGACAAACTCCCAGTCCTCGATAGCAGCGAAAATACCCGCACCCAGGGCAAGATAGAAGGAAAAGGCAACGGTTTGTAGCATAAGGGTACGCTGCGGCATTGTTAAGGCGGAGAATGAAGGAGGATAGGCGCGAAATTTGTATGCTCCGAGGACGTTGACAAGGAGTAGGGTAGATATGATGAAGTACAAAACGGTAGCGATGAGAGCATAGTAGTACGATTGCGCAAATGCGTGGTCATAGGTGGGTTTGATAATGAGAATCTTTGTGAGACCGAGTGGGACTAGGAGCAACACTGCCGAGAGGTACCTATCGAAGGACACGTCAACTCCTGTTATTTTTTCAGGTGGAGTGAGCCGCTACATGCCATAGAATGATCGTTAGCGGCTGCGCGATTGCATACCGCACCTTCCGAGCAAAATTGAACGATAGGAACAGGTTCGCGGAGAGAGAGCATGCAAGTGAGACAGAGTTGAGTACGAGTAACCTGTGTCCATATGAGACTTCAGACCTGTGCAAGCATAAAAAGCACACCAAGAAGGATCGGGAATACGTTCGCCATTAGCCTCTGTCCCACCTGGTGGGATCATGACACGCCAAGGCTGAACCAGGGCACATATGCTCATCAGGTTGGCCACAGGTCCAAAGGTCCCAGCAATCATAGGAATACCAATCGCGGCAGCCCACCATCGTCTACATTTGCCACGTCAGCAACCCCCACAGTGGACAGCTCATCGGTACTCACGTCGACAACACCGACGCCTTCTTCGCATCCTCTTCGTCCAACCTGAGGTTTTCCCTGATGTACTCGAGATTCTTTTCCTGGGATTCCTCTTCTCGGGGCGTATTTGAGAAGTTCATCGCTGTTTCTTGTAACGGTCCATTGAGATCGAGGGCATCCATGTTTTCCTCTGAGGAGAAACGGGGACCCGGTTAATGGAATGAGGCCAGGCCCATGGAATGATTGTGTTTCGGGTACCAAAGGGATGACATGACAAAGGTGACGTCATCCCAAGGGCACATGGTCGATCTTATCTTATCGCGGCCATAGACAGCATTTGCTGATCAGTTGTCCATCGAGAGGGAAAGAGGGAGGGGGCTCTAAAAAAACAGTCTATGTGAGTCCAAGTACCAGACTGTTACTTAGAAGTTCGATAATATACTTGCTTTTAAGTTTTCATAGAATTTGTTGAATATCACGTGTCAGTGAGATACGGCCCGGCATCCCGGTCCGGCAGTCGGTTGATAAGATTATCTTCTGATTGGCCTCATCAGTAACAGTCCATTATCACCGCCTAAGGTTAAGGTCAACGTTCTCTGGTACTTTGGAGAATCTGCTGGGGACATGCTGCTGTCAGCGCACACGTTGTGACATTGGACCAAGCTAGAACAAAGCAACCAAGTAATAGCTAGAGTTCTGCAAACCTCAAGTCTCGGCATCTTATAGGGCAAACGAGGAGGCTCACCTTAGACCGGACTCGTTCAGTTCTCGACTTTGATTACGTTCGTTGAGAAAAGGCGCCTGTTCAGTCGTGCATAGACGGTGTTTGGATAAAGAAACCGTTAGAGTATTTCAGGGGTCACGGTGGGGTGGCTAGAACAAACGGTCTCATGCTAAGAGCCTTGGTTCATTCAACTCCGTGGGCATGCGCCCATCGGAAAGACCGCCTCGACCGAGACCAATACATACGCATCAACAGTCGAATCATCCATTCTTCACTGCGCAAAAATTTTCAGTAGTGGGGGACTTTGGGTGGGCAAAGATAAGCTTGTCAGCACCAGACATGGCCGTGAATAACGGCAAGCCCTACCTATCATTTCCGCGTGGCTTTGGCTAACCATTCATGGAACAAGGTGTAAATCGTCCCGGAATAAAATCCAGCCGAGAATATCGCACTACCAGAACCACATTTAGGACGTCAGGGGACTTATTCACAATGAATATAAGGGTCTTTGGGAGAGCAATAAGGCAACTGACCCAGTTGAAAATTCGGAGAATCCCAATTGCAACCACACGATAAGGTTCTTGTACCCAGATTCCTGGCGCTTAGTAAACTTCCACCGGGAACTACAAGCGACTGCGATTCCCATCCTCTTCGGCGGTGCATGCACCGCACAGGTTGCACGGATCCAGGCAAGAAATGCATATTACTTGTTCAGAGAGGACGGCGACATGAATTAGTCAAAGAATCTGCAACTGATGATCCATCACCAAATCTATAGATAGAGGTACCCATCGTACCGGGCGCCTAGCACGCGATGTTTGCCTGCGGCGAATGGCGCCGGCTGGCAAAAGAGCAAAAAGACGCGTCGAGAATCTCTGAATTCGAGGACGGGATGCCAGGACAAGGCTCCGTCATTGCAGGATTGTTGGCGACGCGTTCGAAGGTGGTCAGAGGTTGAAGCTTAACCGGAAAATACTGGCCCGGGCCCCGAAGTCACCGGTAGATCATGTGCAAAGCACGTGATTCATACGAGTAACTTTTTTAAAACGAATTTCAATTGCCAAATGACTAATTAGATCTCTCCGTCTTCACGCGACGCGCACCCACGACTCATAATACGTGCAGCAGTGATATGACATGTTTTCCGCTCCACGGTACCACGCCTGAAACACGGAAAACTGAGGGGGGCTTCGATTTACCCAGACCCAAGGACGAGAAAAAAACTTTCCGCTGCCTTGGACATTACAGAAACCGTTCTAGAAAACAAGACGACCACTGACTTGGATTCCATGAGATTTCGCCTATTTTCCGCCCTGTCGGCGTGGAGGACACGACATTTCGCCTATTCCGAATCCGGCACCGAAGATAAATGCCGAATCAAGAACAAGGGTCTGCAGTAGGGCGCTTAGCGCCTTCATTCCTTTTTTTCTTCGCTTTGGACACGCATTTGTTGACGGAACCGTCGGCGTCGAAATGGACTAGGTTGCATTTACCGTTTCCACCCACGGGCTCGACAAGTCCAGACAGCACTCGGTTCATCATAACAGGTACCACGAAATCCACATGAGCTGCGAATATCATTCTTATGCAGGACATCACTCGGAACTAACGCAATTTTATGGTGATGATCAAGGGGGCCACGGCAATCTCAATTCAGGTCAACTCAAAAGCCACCAATAGTATGACAAGAATAACGTGCTGTCGCACCAATCAAAACGGGTACGCGTACAATGGCTCCACCAATCAGAACTCCGACAGAAAACCTAGGCCTCCAACTAGTAACAAGACATACATCGGATGCAGAACAAGGGTTGCTGCATGAATAGACTCCTGTCAATTCTTCCTTTTTGACATGAGAAAACGTTAACTTTGAGGTCATCAGAGTAAGATGAGAACATACAGTAGTGACATGATGGAGACAAGCTGGCACAGGTTTAGCTTTGGGGTCGAATTGCGGGATCGTTGCGGTTAACGACCTCCTTTACTTAACGATCGTGAACGCTCCGACTCGGTTCCGCCGAATTCATCCGCAACTGTACAATCGGAGAGGAAGATCGAATAGTTTCCTGTACGGTGCATATCGCAGGAACGGTCGGAGCGGTACCGGTACCTCAAATAGACAGATAGCCACTCATTGTACTCTCAAACACTTGGAAGACATATCAAACTTTTATTGAGCCGAACAGTGGACTTGATAAAAAAGCATCCTGAGGGATACCCATGCATGGAATGCACTTCAATTGACCAGAGAATTAAAGGAAGATGATCCGGCATTGAACAAGCCAATGACGAATTTTCGAGGCAGAGAGCAAAATTGTAGTGGAATTCGAAGCTGATGGATCAGGGTCCGGGTCTAGGCCCTCGGACCCTGAATTCAAGGAACCATATTGCGGGGTCGGAAAAGGAGGGAAAAAGTGATGCATGATGAGATCCAGCCCAGTACGTCAGTCGATTCTCCTTTTACATTCATGTGCCGCACCCAACGGTTCTTTCACAGCGTGTAATATATTCATTCCTTGTATTACGGTGATTTGGAGGCTTAGAATCTCCTTGGAACGGGTTATATTCGATGTCGATCCCGGTGCGCCCATTCTGCTGCAGGCAAGGGATATAAAAGCTGACTGGGTTAATGTCCTAGACCTTCATTACCCGGCATCGATAAATAGGCCTGTCGTATTTCACAGCGCCGGTGCCTCCCTCTACTCAACCCCTCCCATCGACCATGATTCGCTTTGATTCGGTGCCGCTCGCTGTCCAGCAGGCGATGTGCACGCCGATGCACCAGATACTCCCCCCCTCACCGATACCATCGAATCCGACAAAATCATCCGGTGCTCTGTTCCTTGGCTCTCTAGCCGCCATATACGAAAAAGATGCTTTAATAGAAAAAGAAATCACGCATCTCGTCCAGGTCCTGGACGCACCTTGGTTGCCTCTCTCAGAAAAAGACGGTTTTCATTGCTACCGTATCCCTATCCTAGACACCACGTCAGCGGATCTGAAGAGCCACCTGGAGGCAGTGTGTAGCCACATAGATCAGTGCCTGCGTTCTGGAAAAAGTGTATTGGTGCATTGTCAGCAGGTGCGTTCGTTTATCTTAAATCCATCAGAGCGAGCTAATCAGTTCTTCTTTTCATTTGAACCCTTCACTGATGCTTGTCCGGAAGGGTATATCTCGGAGCGCTTCAATTGTGATAGCCTATCTTATCCGGAATCGCGGAATGTCGTACGACAACGCGTTTGCCCTCGTGAGACGCGAAAGAGCCTGTGTGAAACCGAATTCAGGCTTCGTGCAGGCTCTTAGGGAGTGGGAAACAGCATGGCGCAGGCCAGTCATCGGCCGACGGTTTACGTCCTGATCGTCGTGCTCCGCGATGCTCGTCGTAAAATATTTTTTCCAGTCAGTTCCTTGCTCCTCACTGACAGGCTCCTTTCTGACATCAATTAACAGGAGGGGGGAGATTGTTCGGACTCTTTGCTGTATTTCTAACTGTCGGACTGCTTGTATATTTCTTTTTCTTCTTTGTGTATCAGGGGGACCTTTAATTTGGGCTTATATATCGACGTCGATTTATCCTCACTACGACTGCAAGCCCGTCTGAATTTTTGGCGATTGTCCGCTTAAATTATCCAGTCATCTAAATCTACCGTATTAGATCCTATCTGGCTGCGGCGTTAGACCAAGTACGTCCCGCCCTGCCCCTTTTTTGAGCTTTTGATGCATACACAGCCACCGCAGCAACTGCTCGATCAGATCCACCCACGTTCTTATTTATCACCACCTTGGTTGTCGATTGAATGAAAGCGCGGTTATTATTGTGAGATTTCAACTTTATTTTTTCATTTTCTATCTTTGGATTTAGGTGGAGTTATGCGGATTCTTCTTTGAGCTTGACGCGTCCCTGCCTCCCGGTATGGTTTTTCAAAGTACTATATAGAACGCTATAGTACGACCGATATGCCATGTGACCGCAGCGTCAGGTTGCGGTCGATCCTTGTGATTGTCAGAGCAATACCGACTGATTTATCATTTCCCAGGATTTTTAGGGACATCACGCAATGTGTCGACGAGGAAAATTCTCCAAAGGTCTTATAGGCCAGTCTTCAACAGCAACCATCCCTTTACCTGATTTGCCGTCGTTCGAGTGTGTGTAAATGATGGCCACATCCTCCGACGAGTTTGACACTGTTTTACCGTTCCCTACAATGGCTGCTTTTTGAAATTATTCAATGGGGCCTTTTCATACGACCCTTGGAAGTCGATTACTGTACGTTTCAATAACGTTGATTTTTGCTATTTCGTGGCGGCTACTGACTCCCCAACAAAGTTCCCTCACTGCTGTTAATAATTGATGGGTCAGTGCGGGTGCGCAGAGCATAGCCCGGTAACGTAATGGGCCGTTGCCGAACCTTAGTCCTCACCATCATATGTTATCGATCCTTCCTCAGTTCACACTGCCCGCCTATTTTCCGATCCATTCTGCCCAACTTTAAAAGCAAGATATCGCACTATTTCATCTCGTGCCAATAATGGTCTGTACGATTGCCTCCGATCCTTCCACCATGATGTTGTATTCTAAATTTTCATCTGCACAGGCGCCCGGCCCCAATAACACCGCAACGTTTTTCTGTGACTTGCCTTCCACAGGAACTGGTTGACCTTGTTGTCTACCATCTGCGAAATGATCGTCAAACGCTTAAGCAGTGTAGCCTAGTCACACGTAGACTGCTTGCCTGCATGTCGGAGGTACCTACATGACAAGGTCTATTTCGATTGCATGTACCGCTCGGAATCACTGAAATCGTCGTACGACCTCATATCCTCCTCTCCACACCTGACTCCCTATATCCGCACGCTTAAAATCTCCGGCGACGCTCATGGAACATTATCCATGTCCGAGTTACTACCATCCTTTTCGGCTTTATTGACGAACGTCACGAGGATTGAGCTATGTGGCTTGACACTTCCTCAAGCACCGGAGGCGGTCTTATATGTCAGGGATGTCCTGCATGCCCATCCGCTGGTGTCATCCGTAACAATATCAACATGTTCATTGTCAATCGCTGATATCAACATTCTCCTTGGGCAGTGTGCAGGTCTGCAACACCTTAAAATAGCCCGGTGTAGTGTCTTTGAGGACAAAGAAACGCGATTTCCCGCACGTACGAGTGACGTAGCTTATCTCCAAACGCTGGAAATCGACGGGTCGACTCCGTCTATGCTGCGCTCGTTGCCTAAATGGTTACTGGCCGGAGAATCGGATGTATCGCTGTCAAAATTACTCACTTTAAAGTCATCGCATTTGTCGGCATCAGATGTGGTCGTTTTGAATGAAGTCTTGGCCGGGACTACGGAGTCCTTGGAGCGTTTTGAGTTGGAACATCACGGTATGACTGTCAGGGAACTCGTCTACATCAATTGTCGCTTACTGGGAATATATATATCAATATAGACAACTCCCGACCTATCTACGTAAACCTGAGCGGGCACCAGCATTTAACCCACATACACATCCGCTCGGGGTTTCTTACGAGCACCCCCGAAAAGTGGATCAGACCGGTTCTGGCAACAGTAGGGTCACGGCGTGTAGCCGAGATTTGCATTGATTTGACACTAAATCGGTATCATGAGGCTCCGCTGAATTGGATTGGTCTCGATGAGCTCTTGAGCTCGCAGCGGTTCTGCTCGTTGGTGAAATTGGATGTTAGGCTGCGCTGTCTGTCGGCGGCAAGTGATATGAGAAGAGGGTGGTTAACCTGCGAGAATGTTAGTAGGAGTATGTCTTCCTTGGGCGCCAGGGGTATCTTGAACGTCGAGTTGATTTCTCAGGAAGTACACTTAAATTAGATACTGGTATTCATCAATGGTTTAAAGACATTTCATACGTATACACTTTGAGATACATTTATTCGACAATATTGCTATCAGGAAACGTGAGATGATACAGGAATCTGGGTCTGCTTGGAAAGTATCAAGAATACAGAAATACAGAAACACGTGAAAATCATTGCCAGTAGCGATTAGGCCGAATTCCCCAAGCATTCTTTCCATAAATACCAAGGTGTGTATAGGCATCCATTTTGAAACCAATCTTCCATGTAACGCCAATCCTCCGCAGGCCGTCACGTAAAGCATTTACATCTTCTAAGTCTGTGTAATCATCGGCGTAGATGCAGATGACATAGCGGTCGTGACCCTTGTTCGGGGATACCTTGGCGCACCCCTTACGACGGAACAAACAGACCAACCGCACAACGTCCTCCCAAAACTCGCCTAACCCTCTCGAATCGGAAAATATGAGCCACTTCCCGGATACGACGTTGCTCTCGCACGCAATTTGATCAAGGGAGTCAACAGTGATAAATTTGTTTCCCCGTGCCAACAGGGCTTGGAACGAGGATTTGAGCGCATCAACTTGGTTCTCCTGAGCGGCTTTAGGGACGGTGTCGCGATTAACTGAGATCCAGTTACAGTACGTCACGGGCGTCCGATGAGGTGGCCAACGAGAACAGTATTGGTGAATATTTTCATCAGTGGAGGTCTCTTCATTGAAGTCCTTCACGATGTGCCCGTTATACCCATCGGACGGCGTTGGCGCCGCCACCCAACCTGACAAAGGCGCACTAAAGTTTGGCGCAGTATACGAGAATATATTTGGGCCCTGAATGAATGGAGCTCCCGTTAGAAACTTGGTCCGCTACGCGCCTAATATACACACATTGATATTACTGGAATCGCCGACTGTGTCCGGGTCCATAATATGCATATTGTTCTGGATTCAAATTGAGTGTTTTATGATTCGAGAGCCGGAGAGCCACCGCTTACAATGGCTTGGACGAGCTCCAACGTGGGATCATATAGGCCTTCCATCTGCTACAGTAACAATACCAGACGTGCTAGCGCGTTTGGAGGTATATAGAGAGAAGGAAAGCAGAAAAGCTTCCGAAAATTGTTCTGATCGCATCAAGTCCAACTTCACGTGCAACGTCGATTCCGGTGTTCACGATGAATACCGCTCTTTACCTCTTACTATCTTCTTCGCTTGAGATTTCTTGCAGGGATTGTTTAACAGCCTTGGGAACCTTTCGAAAAAAGTTTTCTTTCTTGTCTGGTAATAAGTTTCAGGCATATCTATCATCAGCAAAATTTCGCATGGTCTATACATGTATGGACTCCGTCGGCATGGCCGTCGGCGTCATTGTGTCTCTTTGACGAAAAATTTCAAGTTACTCTTCACGATAAACCCGACCTGAGTTTCATTGTTGAGTGACGGACATGCCGATATCACTCGGACGTTTGAAGGGGCGCTCCTAGTCAGTCTTGATGATACGTTGATCTTTCCTTCTTGGTTACAATTGATGCGGCTGCTCCTCGGGAGTCGGATTTGGTTGGACCTGAGCGTGCCGCTGGCATACTAGGAAATCTACCTCAGTTTCTACTACGGTTTCTACGTATACCCTAAAAATCTCTTTTGGGCTGTGTCTAGTCTTGATCGCGTACCTCCGCCCAATTAATCTGCTCTGAAGACCTTTCAAGGGTACTAAATTTGACTGTAAGCCTTCTACAGGAATCGGAGTTTTGTCCGCACCGTGGTACTATCATCGTGCCTCGCTTTTCTGCGCGTGGCTGCCACATGGATTCTTTCCAGGTTCTGAACAATTGATATGTACCTCGACCGCAAATCTTTGATACCAGCGGATGATGCCGGATCGCCCTTGTGGCTTGAAACGTCATCTCGGCCTAGTATTTTTGGTGATTCTATGGCTGCGATTCTTGTACTGTAGCTATGCATGAATTGTTAAGAAACTCATATCTCTGCCAGTGTTTCAATGCCTTTTGGGACACTCTAAGCAACTTTGCATCCCGCCCGTACAGCCATCAGTGGCGATTTGATACATTTCTGCAAGTACAGAGCCGCCTATAAATTCGAAGGGAGTCACGATATTGAACTCAACAAGCAGCCCAACCAGTGTATCCTTCTCGGGTTTCTCTCTGACACACTCTCCCTCTTTCTCCCTCTCGCTCGCTCGCTCTCGTCATGCATACCAACAACCCCTACGCTCAAGGAGGATGGTTTAATCCCGACAAAGTAGATTCCATTAATAACACCCCTTGGTCACCCGCCAACCCGCCACAGGCCTCTCTCTATGGAGCTCTCCCATTCTCCTCGACCTCTACTCAACAATCCACCTACAAATTTACATTCTCGTATAGATCTACAATTCTCAACAGTACAATCACGGGACCTAATGACCGGCCATACTTTCGTATCACCAACGATTCGCCTTCGAAGGGCAAAACTTTGTTTCAAAATCACGAAGGGCACAACTTCGCGATCATAGAATGGCAAAGCCGTCCTGTCGTAGAGATACGTGAGCTTCTGGAGCGGCAGGCCGTCGCATCCTGGCTGCCGCTCAGCGCAGACAAAACGTGAGTCATTCAAGCCGACAGTACCGGCCATCACTTTGCTGATAAATACCTCAGTCAGCGCGCCATGCTTGCCCGAGGCAAATGGTATTCGTGGGTACCGTATGAAAATATCATCTGCGTGAGTAACTGCTATGTGCCTTCTCTCTATGGAGACTGATTCTCGGACTTAGCTCTTCAAGGCGACTTACGGTTCCACGCCTCCGACACCGATTGCAAAAATCTTGCGAGGCGATAAGGCCGTGTCTCTCGAGATAACCGCCGAAGCCATTCAAGTCGGGCTGCTTGAAATTTGTATAGTAGCAACAGTATTGTTGCAGTCTGGACGCACCATCGACTGATGGTTCTCTCTTTCGCTTGCTTTCGAATATGATACAACCTGCGCACTAATCGTAGATCCTTAGACTTATATTACTTAAAATCTATTCTCAAGTTTTCTGTAGATTAATATCTTTGTTTAACACCTTTTCTTAGAATAATGACACCGCGTCCTCTCCCGTTCACAGCGGCTTAGACTTCGCTAGCGTCCTAGAGAGATTATACGCTGCGGATATCAGAGTAACGTGGCTACCAGTCAAAAAGAGTTAGTTCTAGAGTTCCAGGGCGATACATGTAACGAAACCTAACTCACGTAAATCCTTGAACAGCATTACCCAGCCTGGAAAAGTTAATCCATAATTTCCATGACAATGCAGCGCTAAGACTCACCCTTCCCCTGCCTCAGATACCTCCTCAGTGCATAGACCAACATGGTTAAGATATTGAAGGAAATCCTAACCAAGATTAGCGTTTCATGGAATATTCAGGAAAAAGCCGAGTCCATACCTCAAACATCGTAACAGCCTTGGGAAGCATAGTCCTATCGTATTGCCCGGCACGGGTGAGTGCTTCAACACCCCTGCGTGCACGTCACCTACATCTCTCGAAAGTGTTTTGGAGAACATACCAGAGCGTACACAAGCAAAAAGTTCCTTCCTCCCCGCCGACACCATCATCGGATTTATGTACGTCATAACGGAAGATAAGATTCTATCAATGGGAGACGGATCAGGCCCACGCGTTGTGTCGGAATCAACCCCAAGGACCTACATTTGATGTCAAACCCCCCCTCTCTCGCGTTTTCAATATCTGTTTCAAGGTACTGACAAATCTGGGGTCCGACTGTATTACGCGCTACTTTAGCGCCTCCGCACCTGATGATCCTCGGACATAGACTCACCCCTTGCATGAAGAACACGAGCGGCATAATGAGTAGTGCAGAGTCTAGGACGTGAGTCTCCTCGTAGCTTTGTCCAAAGTGCTGTTTCTCCGGGTTCCAAGCCTTTTGCATGATTTCTTCGTACAAAAAGTCCCGAGCTTCTAGCCATTTGTAGCGCTGAGGACACGGAAGCGAGCGCTTATCGGCCAGCCGCAAACCTGACAAAGATGAATTAGTGAGTTCTCCTTCTGTACGTGACCAGGGAACTAGAACGCATATGTAGGCATATGGTTTCATTGTCCCCCGAAGGTATGGAAAATGAAAGGGGAGCGAGGCGTACCTCGATCGATGGCCACCCTAGATGAGTAGATAAATGGAAAGAGTCATTTGGTGCTTAGTCGGCGCATTGCTGAAACTCACCACAGCATCATCTGAAATTAACGAAGTAGAGCGTTTGCTGGTTCACTAACGAGGAACAGGGCGCACCTTGGAATACTATCATTATACCGGCTAAGTTTCAGAAATGAACGTAACGCTATAAGGACACTCACTGTGAAGTGGCGCTTCTTATTTCTTACTTCCCTAAATGATCGGGGGATATTAGAAGAATGGACGTTTAAAGATGGCGCGAACCATATAGACCTAGCAGAGCAGAAGTATAAGTACTAGGACCTATGGTAGTAAAATAAGAAAGGCTCAGACAAATCAGGGTTCTTCAAGTTTGCGACGACGTCTGTTAAAAGGTCAGACTGGGTGACGCGAACGGCTCAATCGCTGGTCTTACAATCGACTCTGCACCAGGCAAGTGAGGGTCAGGTGTACTATGAAAGGAATACTTGACGCACAGTTCACGAACAAGGACCCTAAGACCAACATAATAAGAGTCAAAAATACCTAAAAACGCAGGATGTATTCACCAGTCGTCGTAGCCCTATATGAGAAGTTCTCGTCAAACTGAAAGAACGTCAGATTAGCCACGTACCAAAGGCCGGCCAAACTTTGCGACGACAAATAAGGTGAGAACAATGATATCGACTAGAAAACCCAAATACCTTCTGACCAAGATAAATACAATCCATGCTGGTACGCTAGTAATTAAACAGTGTTTGATTCTCGCCGACGAGGGGGAACTTACAGTTCGCCGTAGATGTCCTGGATTCGGTTAAAGTACCTGACAATAAGTGAAGGCAATCGTCTCACCAATTGTAGATGATCTGCAGCACCATTTCCAATTCGAACAGGCTTAGAACCTTTGTGTCCATCAAGATGGTTAAGCTCGATTTCTTCGAGATCCTTGCCGCCTTTGTCGGGCGTCAGTGATTACATCAAATAGCGCACAATTCGACTGACCGTGGATCGTGTACATTATCTGCAAGCTTCCATCGTCGTTCTTGTGTCGTAGACGTTCGAAAATGAATTCCATGTAAGCTGAGTGTGTCATCAGATTCGACACATATACGTCAAGACACACAAAACCACCGTACCGTTTGCTTCATGAGTGAATCCCAGTCGTATGAGGGCATACAGAGTAAACGATGAGTCCCGAATCCACGAAGCACTATGTCATCGATCATGTAGCTGTCAACCTACGGAATAAAGAGAAAACATACCGATAATCCCTACGGCCCGGTCAAATGAGTGCGTTCCTATATCGCAATGACTATTTACCAGTTCCTGGTGCCTCCGATATACTCCGGTAGACTGAAAGTAGGGCTAGCCACAACAGCGCCTATACAGAGGGTATGTTGATCAAGGAACCGAAAGTAATGCTAGCATAAATACCAGTTGGCTCAAAAATGAGAAGCTTCAAAGCTAAGGCGCTTCTGTGAACTGCTTCTTTCCATGAACCACTGTAAGATGAGTGCCTAATCCAATCAACCCAGTATTTGATTGTGGTCTTGAGAAGTTTATTAGTGTAAGCTTGGCTTCATTTATACGACTTACAAGGAGCAAACCATGCATAAGCTCCTGCAAAAGACTGTATGTTAACAACGAATTCCAGTATATACTTTATGTCTTACTTTGGTCAAGGGTGGATCACCAGCTGCTGTAGTAGGCAGAAAGTTCGTTCCAAGACCCTCATTTCTCGTAGACGTTAAGACTGGTGGGATGCGTAAAATGAACCATACGCATTGACCCTCCTCTAGAGATAGGTCTGCATGTACTCCAAGACCTTTATGCCCCTTAGCCGACAAATCAAGGAAGCACAGTTCGACTGATGGGCAGGCAACATTATCCTAGGTACCGGTAGGCATAAAGTTGGAGCAATAGTTGTGTATACATACCATAGTACTATCGACGACATATCTCAAGTCTAAAGCGCAATCCTTCGACACGAACGTCGCCTTCATCTGAGGGACAGAGCTAGAGGGGTCATCCTGGATGGTCGTAGTATGTTCCGCGCGAGCATAATCAAATGCCGGGGCACATTCCATAGCTCAAGGGATCGTTCCTCGTACTACCTAAACTTGCCTTCAGAAAATTGCTCCGAAGAATACCGAGAATATCCGCACCTCGACGCGTCTGATGAGCCAGTGAAGTAAAGGCTGTGTTGCAGTCGCTGGAAAGCCTTCAGATGTTTTCTGACGAGGCAGAAAATCTGGAAAGCACGTCAAGGATGAATAGATGTTAGATACGATAGCCAAACCTGTGACGCTAACAACGCCTTGCTCATTCATGAACTTGGTTTGAAGGACCTAGTCGAGAGTCAGCTGAAAGGAACGAAGGGAATGTCCACTAATTCCTTACATTGGAACTCGGAAGATAATTCTGTTTGGTGGTAAACGGAACCTTAGGCGTGATCGAGAAATGACCCCCTTTATCTTGGTCCAGAATCCGTGCGAAGACAGACGGGGAATCAAAGTTTGGCACACAGTAGCTCTCAACTGCACAACGCCCATTAGAAATCTATTCATAAGGCTCTATTTAGGGTATACCTGAACCGTCGATGCTAACCAACGCCGCAGTATGCAAATTTCCAATCCTAGGTTCAACATTTCGTCACAGACTCGTGCTAAAGAGAAACAATGAAACCCACAGGCCGTGGTCTGAAATGGGGATGTAGTCACGGTCGGTTTTCGGCTGGCAGATATTCATGATGGTAAAAGGCAAGAGAGACACGGTTCGGTAAGCAGGGTAATTTGTTCAATTTTAGATTGGCCCGTGATGCGTGACGTCATCAGGTCAGAGGCGGCAGAACGAAGAGAGGTCATTCCGTTCAATTTCGAAGTAATTTGAACAGGAAATTTCTTCAGAAACATTTGTTGAAGAGTCAATTTATTGTCCATGCCAGCTGCGCGTTGAACCTTAGTGCGCACTGCGAACTTTGCTATCCTGGCAAGCCGCTTTATTAGATACTCGCGGAACTCAGAACTTTGCCGAGCAAGCGCGCTGAGCACGTCATTATTGCCGAACGAGACCGATCATCACCGTCGTACCCCGAACCCTAACCCAAATGGTTAGAAACCTGAGCTTTCAAATTCGTCGAACTTGGTTCGGCCTGGTCCGTCGAAGAAAGAGGTGAAGTTCTAACTGTCAACCGGTAGCTTCATCCACGACACTATTCAAGATGTGGACGTACACTCCCAGAATCAAACATCCTATGGTTAACCACCTTTATTGTTGACAAAGTTGAGGGTTCGCCAAACAATCACTAGTTCGCGTCGAAATTTGCTTCGAATCGTTTTTGGACGAATCTTTACAAGTGAACTAACCCTCTGGGTTTGAAGTCAAAGTGCTTCTCACGACGCGTTCTGGATGCGGTGGTAGTGAACTGTCCAAGGTGCCGCACAATTTTCCCCCGGGACGTCCATTTGTTTTTCTACGATTCTTATCGTTGAGCTACCTTAGATAGCCGTGTACCGGCGACTCACGGAATGAACATCAGGTTCTGATACAGTGTCAGGTGTTCTCTGAAGATCAAAAGATTTGTTATCGATGTGAGGCCGCCACTCGGAGATCCCTTATCACTTTTCTCTGAAGTACGCTGATTCCTGGTAGGTGCTTCCATCGAAGTCATATCGAAAATCTTGCTGATATCATTCCAGTTCTTCGCATTCATGGTGCGGCTGACCCTCCAAGATTTCCTACAATTAGGCGAGGAGCAAAAATACTCGTGTCGATATCTCTATGATTACATCTTGCACTCTCCATCGATCTGCCATGCTCTTGATATTCCTGCAAACGCACCTTGCCCGACCACCGATGAATCCGTCCAAGAGCTGGATATCAACGATGATAGCTCATTAATCTTGGGATATGACCAATGCTTCATTCCGCTCCTTGAGCTACTCAAAGACGAACAAGTTCCAATAAATGCCATGGAGCTCACAGGCCTAGACTGGTTCAACGTTGCAAATCGCGCATCATTCCGTTCCGCACTTTCATCATTCCCCCATATCAACATTTTAGGCTTGACATCAATCAAGTGCACCAAATACGACATCAAAAGCCTCGTATCCTCCATGCCCACGCTCACACGACTCGTTTTTGAAGATAACCAAGTTGAGGAGTACGACGTTGAGGTGATCCACGTTCCTCGTGGAACATCCGATTTATCTGTCGAGGAGCTTCAAAGTAACCTTCAAGGCCCGGAGCTGTCGTGCTTCTCTGTGACTTTCAATGAGGGCGAATTCACCATTCTGGACCTGTTTGCTGGTTGTGATTCCCCTGCCTCTTTGCGTGCACTAGACAGGCTCGAGATCTGCGGGGGAAAGACAGGCGTTGTGTGCGATGACGCGATGGTTCGTCGGATTCGTGCTTTCTTGAGCCTTTTAGAGTTCCCACTCGACGACTTCAGTTGTGGACATTTTAAGATAGGTAAGCTTCTGATACTGTGTGAATAAGTCGGCCGCACTTACACGACGTTTCTAGAATCGCCTTGTGCATTGAACCTCGGCAATGTGAAATCCGTTAACATCACTCTTCGCTTGTCCAACGATTCCGCAGAGACAGATGCTGCTGTCGCATGGTGGACGACCAATCTTAATGTCATCCCGACCGTCAACCGGCTCATTGCGGTCCTGATTGAACTCGAAATCGACATGGACTCTTTGTACAGTGGTTCGGTGCCCGACTGGAATCGGGATATTTGGGCTGCATTCGATCAGGCTTTGTGCCGTCGTGATATACACTTGCATCGGCTCGTCTTCAGGGTGAGGCCACTCTGGGAACTTCCTTCGGAGGGATATAATTATGGGCCAATTATGTACTGGCTATGCGTGCATTGTCTTCCTAAAAGTCGGGCTTTGTACAGGTCCGTCTTCAAACTTTTGGATGACTCGGACAAGAAGGTCACAATGCCATGGATGCTCAGCGGGTAACACATCACGAATCTTTGAAATAGGACAGTTGTTAGAACGGAAATAACATACCCGTGGTACTATACACGCGTCAACCTACCACTGCATCATATGAATGAATACTTACTGTGTTAGCAAGCGTCGTATCCGACGCCGCTTCCTAAGAACATAACATAATACGCAAAAGTTGATTCCAATTCGTTATAGGATAAGCGGCAGTGTGGCCGCTATGATCTATTGGAGCTTAGAACTTAAAGATCGTGGTATCAAATCGCTGCCGACGGGCGTAAGAATCGCAAACACCGCGATGACCATGGGCCCACATCCAAGCCAGGGCTTTAGGACCACTATCCTTCTCCGGATCAGAAAAATCAGCTTTCAAAGTAAAATTTTCCAGGTTAAGGTTCGGACCGCACAAAGCAGTCAAGGGCATTCCAGTCATTCGTCATTTTCTCTCCAATGGAGAGTCCAGCACCTGCCCAAGAACCCGAGAGCGTGATCTTCAGCCTTCGCAGTGCGTTCGTAGCAGGCAGGGTTCCGAACACTTCGGTCCACCACTGGACGGCAAAGATATAGCTATAGTCGAAAGCCAAGGCAATCGTCAAGTTGAGCTCGTTAAGGCCAGAGATCTAGAGAATAGGGATTGGGCTATCTGAGAGAATTTGAGCTAGCGAACGAGGAACGAAATTTTTCAGAGTGGCATACCAACGCTGATGTGTCCGATTGTTAGACCTGATGTGGCCTGTGAAAGGGCGCCGATGCGATGCATAATGTCCGTCGTCCCTGGAATTTTGGCCGTCCCTAGAATGTTGCTCGACCCTTTAATTTCAAGATACCGCAGTTGACGGAAGCGGAGGGGAGACGGGGGCAAGAAAAGGTCCAGAACCGAGACCGAATTTGCGTCGAGCTGAGTGATAGTTAGCCGATCAATGTTTGAGTATTGCTCTCGGCTATCAGGTTGAGTCGGCTCTGCTTCAACTTGGTAGTCGAAAGCGACGCGTTCCAGGTCCAGGGAAGTGAGATGGGGGAACGAAAGGATGAGAGACTCCAACTCGTCTACACTGCATCGGATATTTGAAATACAGAGGTCGTTGATATCTGGGAACGACCTGAGGGCGGCATGACAATTGAAATGGTCTATGAGACGCGACCAGTCGAGGGCAACGATTGTCATGCTCTTGACGAGGTTCCGTCCATTGACACGCTCACTGGAGAGAAGACGCAGTAGAGGAGAGAAGTATTGGTCATATTCGGCGCTTCCTGTTCCGTCGATGTATATAGCATCGCTTGAGGGATTAGTATTTAATGTTCTGTTGCGCGATAGCTGCCTGAGCGAAGGCTCGCGCCCTAGAAAAGGTCCAAAGTGGGTGTAGATATTGTGTGACATGCTTCTGAAAGCAATAAGCATTGGTAATAACGAGGAACTTATGATTTGCCTGAGAGGTAGTTGGCAGAGTGTTCCTTGTAGTGGTCGAAGATGTCAGATAGCGTGAGCCCAAGGTCGCTTCGAACCTTTCTTTATATGCGCGGAGAAGAGTCACCATGGAGGACAATGAGAATACAAACAATGCAGTTCCACAGTGGCGAAGATAGTGGAACAAGGTGACCAAGGCTCTTGTTGCGCTGTGTAATGTGGATGTCGAAATAGCACTAGGGTTTGCACAAGAAGATGCGCCCCCTACTTGGGCAACGACCTGGAAACTGGAATTCGGAAGCGCTTGTGGCTTCCCTGAGGCACCACCGTGGAAACGAACCTTTGTATGACTCTCAATAGCGCAATGGTCGCGAAGTGTCAAGAACTTGTACGCGAATGACGTCTCGGTAGGACGGGGGTGCGTCCAAATGATGATAATTGTACGATTTAACAGTCGTAGATGCTTTCATACTGAATTAGTCAATGCTCAATATTCAATATTCATGCAAAGGGAAATCAAGAAAAGCGTACGTTCAGCGGTATGTAAATGCATAGTGAATGAATTTGTCGCTCGCCTGTAGCCTTGGCCGTTCAACGCGGCCATTGAAAAGGGAAACAAGGCTTGAAGGAAAGGGAAAAAAAGACAAGAGATGATAAGAAGAAGGCCGACTATCCAGTGTCATTTTGGAGGAATGGAATGGAGTCCAACGTTGACCTATTTCAGGGAGAAAATCCATTCCAACATTGGTGGCCTGTCAGAGTTTCAAAGAGTTTAGAAAACCGGTATGCGGTCCCAAAGAGAAACGCTGCGGAGAGATCGGTCCGGTGATCCGGCTCCTTCCTCTTTACCACCACCACCTCCAACACCAACACTGTGGACGACGAAACAGCAGAAATCGAGCTGGCGCATCCTTTGCGACCGCTACACTTGTAAATTGTACCTCAACTCTTGTAGCTGGAGCACAACCTCAATAAAGTGAGGCAAACAGTCAACCAAGCAGCAAGTCTCAATAGTTTTGATGCTCGCCGAGGAGGACGCATCTGCCCTACCGCTGTATATATCACGCAAATCCTCAACCGACATGCAAGCAGTACGTCTCGAGGAGGAACAGACGATTGATGCCTAGCAGACATTGAGTAAGGCATCACTCAAGATCGACAAGCTGGTGAGCAGCAAGGAGGGTGTCTAAGTCGAGGAAATGTTGGCTCTCTGTGGGTACGTGCACTGTTTCCTTCCCAATGTGCCATGCTTACCACCGCCAGACCACAGCCGAACCAGCTCGACGCATATAGAGATGTATTGGAGCGTCTCGATGCAGCCGTTGCCTTCAAAGGGACGAAGATGACTCACTGCAAATGGTGCGTTATAGTATCTATCCTGTTTATTCTCCTGACATCGTAGCTAGACTCTGTTGGTCGAAACTGGAGCAAAGAAGTTGACGCAAAGCTGCACAAAACTTGTCGCGGAAGGTTCTATGCCACCGCCAGGCTCTGATTTTCCCATCAACCCATTTCCTGGAGACTCTTGTTCCCTTGGTTGCTTTCTTATGCATGTTGCCGTTGCCCTCAACTCATCTAACACATCCTGCTTCGCCCTTTACACCGTCGACACCCAAAGACACACAGAAGGGATGCGTTGACATCCGTGGAGCATGGTGTCGCAAATGTCTAGAAGGGAAAGGCAGGCGAGTACTGGATCGTGCCGATGCTGTCAATCCTATCACAGCTCTCAAAACCTGGTGAAGGTGATGAGCGTGTCATCCTGAAGCACTATGTCTGTGAGTATAGCCGTCCTCTTCGGTGTCAAGTCGTATTTAAGCATTCCTTATGGTAGATGACGTGGTTAATCCGACAATTAATGGCGTCAAAGTATTGTCGCGCACATAGAAGCAGGCTTTGCTTTTCTCCTTCTTTCTCCTCAATTGCATCGCCTTCCTTCGGGGAAACATCCTTTTGGATCCCAAACATGATGCGTTGATCGACATGCTCTCCCAAAACGCCATAGATTCCAACTTTCGTCTGGACAAAGCGGAGTATTTCGATCGTAATTTTTCTTCGCTTATGCAGGCGTTAAGCAGTGATACGGGGGGAAGCGGCTACGAAGGAGAAGTTTTCGAGGTTCTATGACCTGTTTGGTGACGTTATCGAGCGACATCGGGATGTGGTATCCATTTTGGAGGATAATGAAGAAGGGAGAGCTGAGATCGGAGAAGAGGTGGTCAAGTTGATGGTACTGTCGTTAGAAAGGTTTGTAGCCAAGCATAGAGAGAAGGAATTCAGTAAAAGTAGGTCCAGTTTCGTTTGTTCGGGTAACACCACTGACCCTCTATTTGCATAGATCCCCAGAAGTGTATGTTCCTTTGTCCGGTTTCCATGACACTTGTTTGCTGATAGTTCTTCACAGATATATGACTTCCAGTAGAAGATGTAGAAGCACAATTGCGATGTGTATATCGATGACTTCCGAATTGAGACATTTTCTTCGGTGTCCTGCATATTTCGAGGGAGTTGGTTGCCAAGCAGCCCTTTAGCATGACCAAAACGATTGGTATGTCCTGTCCTGCCCTGTCCTGCCCGCCCTGCCCATGTCCGCTCTCATCGGTGCGCGTGTGACGGTCTAGGCGTCGGATCCATGTTCAAGGATCCGGACGGTCTTGCGATTGATAACCATCTAGATGGCCGTTATGAGCTACACTTTCTCAAAATCGTTTACTCACGCCGGTGTCGTGCAGGCTCCACAACATTCGGCCATTTTATTCGAAGAACTAAGACTTGACTAGGAGTGCGACATATTGAAATCACTGACGGGATGCTCGAGTTCAGCTATGCTTGGGAACTGATACCCCATCGAAGCGATTTCGGTTTCGGAACCTCTTCTATAAGTAGGCTTCTATCAACAAGTTACATGGTGTCGCCGGTCAAAAATCGAAGTCTCATGCCTTGTAACTTATGCCAGTTGAGTCTACTCTGTCCGCGTTCATGATTGTAACTAAACAATCTGTTTAGAAAAACTCGCATGCGATGTACAATCCCCATGCCTTGGATCTTATCCAATCAAAAAATCTTCCCGTCAAATTTGTTCTGTTTTATACTTGTCCAACGTATCCGCTCAACCCGAAGTCCCCTTTTAGTACATCATATCCGCAGACCCAAGGTCAACAACATAGAGATGACGATACCTGACGTCGAATGACTTTGTGCCGGTACCCACACTACATTGATACACCGAATCAGACGGGATATGAAACAACTAGATTTCTATGTAAGGCGTCGTTGTCTCGTTCTGCAATGTCAGCCTGTGACCTATCCCTAGGTCCACTGTGAGAGATTGGTTATATGTGATTCTTTCATTCCTTCCATTCGTCTGTCCGTCACTTGGAAACTGAAGAGTAAGTGATGACTGCCATATGCGAAAACGCACTAATGCTCCGCATAGTGTCGATGGATACTCACACCATCCGGGCTGTTGTGGCCGTCTTCAACTGTCTCCAACTTTTGGGTTTGACTCTTTTACTGGTCGTCCTAATGCCTGCCTTGTTCTCCGCTCGTGTGCGCAGGATGAGAACTTGGCATACGATGATTATTTCCGGCATTGTATATGACCTCTGTTACATGCTCCTGATGATTCCTGGCCAGCAATTTGGACCACCACCCTCCTTTGCTCTTTGCCTCTTCCAATCCTGTTTGATCTATGGCGCCCCTGTTTTGTACGTATCCTTCTGTAAAGGTCTTTCTATTGTGAACGTCTTTCCAGGCTTGTATCTTTCTGTCTAGCATTTTTGGTTGAGGTACGCTTGTCGTTCCGTAAATCTTACCACTTAGTACATGCGCTGACTTCACGGTGGTACAAGGTCTTTCTTGCTTTGTCCTACGCAATCTATGGGAGGTCATTGGCATTATCAGCTCGAACACAGACATTGGTTAGTCGCTCTCGTTCGATTCGATTCTTATACTTATATAGCATTCATCTAGCTGCTGCTGGCAGTTCCTTCGTTTATCTATATGGTGGTTTTCTTCACGACTCTCTTGGTAACAAGAGCTGCTCCTTGCACTTGGAAGATGCCCTGACGCGTGTCCTAGATCGGTCTTCAACAACGGGAGAGCATCGAACTCGATCAATGGAGATTATATTGTCATTCAACAGCCACTTCGCCGTGAGTCTGCAACCGACGCCTCGCTCAGTAAGTAATATGATTTCGTAGGACTCTTATTACAGCCACCATTGTCCTGGTCGAGACATCAATTATGATTATTTTAGAAGGTAAGATAAGGCACGCCATTGTGTTTTCTAAAGACTTATAAATTTCCAAGTGTTCATGGCAGTCATCTTGTGGAAAACTAGAAGAAGACTGGGGTCAACCGGCACCGATGACAATCTCTCTTCGATCTTCCCTCCAAGCCTCTTCTTCCGTTTCTTAGCCTTTGCCATATACGTCATTTGTACTATTGTGTTAGTGCTTATGATTTATTTGTCGAAAGAAGATGATGACCACCAATTGCTATTAGAATTAGTGCTTCTATCCTTCCTTATCCAACCGGAAACTCGCCCTTTTGGAAGATGTCTTTGACCACGCGTAAGTATTCATGCACTCCCACCGAGTTTATGTTGACCCATATCACATTAGCTCCAATTGGAATGGCATTGTCGTTCGGGATACAAAAGGTAAGATATTCACCTTCCACAAGAGCCTCGATCTTACTACGAAATGAATAGGACATAATAGCGTTTTATTGGCACCGTCAAAGTGATCGTGTCGAAGGAGACAGGTTAATCTGACATTTTTATCCGGGGCGTCAAGAAAGCTCCGTCATAGTGGTTCTGCAGGTTGGGACACCTACCAACACTGATTCTGATTTGGGTATTCGTTTGTCTTTAGAGTAACATGCTGGACATGTCGATTTCACAGTCGCATTATCATTTTCTATCTCAATTCCGCATTTAATATCTCGGTCTCGTAACACTACCCCTTGCACGTATCTACCAGGCTGCGCCAGAATATACCGCATTGAACCTGCAACAAAGATGATACCAAGTCCGGACATTGCGATAACAATGTGGCACCGGAAGCAAAGTCGGGCTGGCCAAGTACATAATGATATTGCACATCGACGTATCAGAGCTATTGCTCAGCCCCTGCCAAGCGTTCATCGCTTTTGACTCGTCGGAGAGCTGTACATGTTGAACTTGGTCCGACTTGCTGAAATCTCCCACTACTCAGTATACTGTCTGGGTATGTCCATGAACTCGTTCGAATGTTAATGAGACAATGAACATACATGTTCAGCTGCCACGTTGATCTGAAGTGGTCACCGTTGTTCGATTACTTTGTCCGGATGGCAACAAGTGAGATGACGGATACAAGACAATCACGCCGTTAGTCATAGTCATGCTGAGAACAAGAGCTTGTACGCGTGGCTCTCATAGAAGTCCGACCATATCGTCCGTCAAAAGAGGGATACATCCTTGAGCGACGTGAAACAGACAACATACCCGTGGATCAACTTCGGATGCGAGATGCAGCAGCTGATATTACGCCGTCGAAGTTCGATATCATCCAACTTTTGCAAATGAATACTCCGCGGAAGCAAATGGAGACTGGATGTCTACATTGATGGAATCCGGTGGAGACTGCAGAAGACCGGCAGCCTCGATGACTCGATGACAGCAGAGCGTATGCTCAAATACGCGAGGGAGGTAGTGAGTGGCAGAAAAAGACGTCGCTGATAGAATCTTGAGAACTGGATATCAGAAAAGAAGGAAGAGACGATCAGCATCAGCTTGCTCTGGTCAAGTGATCGCGCTTCGTTTAAGCGCCCTCGAAGCATCGCGCAATGGATTCCACAGATAGAGGCGATGTTACAGTGCGAAGAACGAGACTCGGAGTCGACCCAGCAGCCACAGATCATAGATTTTTTGTGAGAAAATCAATTGTTAAAGCTCTGTCTGCAGTCGGCGTAATGCCGGCATCTAAGGGTAGATTCCGCACATTCAGTGTCGGTACTAAGAAGTATTCATCGTTACCCCATCTTTCACCTTCACTGGGATGAATTTTGGTGCCGACGGCTCTCATTGACGAACTTGCCTGTTAAAACGTTCAAGAACCGTTCAGATCCATTCGATAAGGAGAATCATAGTCTTAAAGTTCTAGCCAGTGATTTATGAATGACTTGGGTTATTGAAGCAGGACAGCTACTACTCACGAGAAGAGGTACAATTTTGGCGCTTGTTGGTGCATCAGGTTGATGCTTGCATCACATGCTGCAGGCTGAGTCCATCAGCAAATCGGGGGAAGAACTTACCGGTACGACGACGGCAGTAATGCCGGTACAGTTATTTACCGGTCATTGCAACACCATGGTTCAATGAAACACTTAGCCTCTTGCTCTCCCTCCCTTCATCCTTCATCATTAATTTGTATTGCATTGCTGATGTGTATTGTATCTTCATGTTCTACAGTAATTCTTCATATGTGACATGGATAATATTCCGAGAAATTGAGGCTTCTGTTCTAAAAATATCTATTTTCTCATGAACTCAAAATCTGACCCAGAAATGTGTGTCCTCCATCTGAATGTAATCACCCACAAAGGCCTCAATAATGTTAATGACCTTCTGAAGAACCTGTATGACAAGTTTGAGACCAGGCGCCCATTATCTGAGGAGTCTAGGGCATAGATAAAAGTGTGGTTCTGCCAAGCTATTGCCTTTGATGGACAGTCTGACAGTCCAATGCGCCTATTATTGCCCCATTGCCTCCGAATTTTATTTCTCCTCTTGCTCAATTTTTTACTATGCCTGGACATGCTAAATCAAACTTGAAAAAGTGCCAGATTACTCGCAAATGCCATGACCAGCTAATGGAAAAGGCAGTCATTGCACACAAGAATGAGCTTGCCAAACTACAGTTATTTACCGGTCAATGAAACAGCAAAATTGGATATTTACTGTAGGTTCCAATTGGTTGGGAATTTTGACTAGGTTTGAATGTAAGAATGTGTAATACTATGCAACAATAAGATACAGTAAAAAAAAGATGCTCAAAGGTGCGGGTACAAGTCCGCTTTCACAGCATTATTGTGGCGTGGGTATTCTGGGCTATTTTGAGTCATTGAAACAGTCCGGCCCATGTACCCAAACCTCATTAGTCAGCAACTTGGAATCACTCGAGTGCTATAAGAAAGCGAGATCTCCTTTCCAGTCTCCCTCTGATATACAGCCTCGAAATCTTTGCAGATTTTTCTTGCATCTTTCTGAGGAGCACCGGGTAGTTTGGCAAGCTCATTCTTGTGTGCAATGACTGCCTTTTCCATTAGCTGGTCATGGCATTTGCGAGTAATCTGGCACTTTTTCAAGTTTGATTTAGCATGTCCAGGCATAGTAAAAAATTGAGCAAGAGGAGAAATAAAATTCGGAGGCAATGGGGCAATAATAGGCGCATTGGACTGTCAGACTGTCCATCAAAGGCAATAGCTTGGCAGAACCACACTTTTATCTATGCCCTAGACTCCTCAGATAATGGGCACCTGGTCTCAAACTTGTCATACAGGTTCTTCAGAAGGTCATTAACATTATTGAGGCCTTTGTGGGTGATTACATTCAGATGGAGGACACACATTTCTGGGTCAGATTTTGAGTTCATGAGAAAATAGATATTTTTAGAACAGAAGCCTCAATTTCTCGGAATATTATCCATGTCACATATGAAGAATTACTGTAGAACATGAAGATACAATACACATCAGCAATGCAATACAAATTAATGATGAAGGATGAAGGGAGGGAGAGCAAGAGGCTAAGTGTTTCATTGAACCATGGTGTTGCAATGACCGGTAAATAACTGTACCTGGTGCTCCTCAGAAAGATGCAAGAAAAATCTGCAAAGATTTCGAGGCTGTATATCAGAGGGAGACTGGAAAGGAGATCTCGCTTTCTTATAGCACTCGAGTGATTCCAAGTTGCTGACTAATGAGGTTTGGGTACATGGGCCGGACTGTTTCAATGACTCAAAATAGCCCAGAATACCCACGCCACAATAATGCTGTGAAAGCGGACTTGTACCCGCACCTTTGAGCATCTTTTTTTTACTGTATCTTATTGTTGCATAGTATTACACATTCTTACATTCAAACCTAGTCAAAATTCCCAACCAATTGGAACCTACAGTAAATATCCAATTTTGCTGTTTCATTGACCGGTAAATAACTGTACACGTTTTCGTTCGGATTTTGCCGCACCCGTCATTCCACGTGGCACCCCGGCACTGCCAACTTGCCGCGGCTTTACTCCATTTCAACATTTTTCGGTTCAACTCATGCCGGTCAAACATACAGCGTCTTTGAGTTAGGACGACATGAATCCTGGCCTCAACTCTATACCATATCGCTTGCAAATAGCTTATTTTCTGGTTGAGAGCTGCGTGTTCCTTGCTGGGAGGATTCCCACTCTGAGTCCTTCGCTCAGTTAACCGGCCTGGAGGAAATTGATTCCAGCCAATGCAAGGAGGGTGCCATGGTACGGTGCCGAATTAACTGAAGATTTTGTGCTCTACACCTACCTGTGCGTATCCATTTACCGTCACCGGGACTAGGACCATGCTATACTTTAGGCCTGACGCTCGAGATGCCTTGGATGGCGCCTCAGCTTCTCTTTGAAGTTTTGGTCAGTTTGACAAACGTGCTCGCGGATTATACAACAAGTTATGCATGACATTTTCTGTACGCAAACCTGTCCTACTTCACAAGAATATTTGAACCCCAGGATAATTGCGCGTCTCTAGTGAGTTGTCACATCGTCATTTTGAATTTACTGATGGTCCTTCCATTATCATATCGATACGTGCTAGTTTCTTTTGTGCTTCTGTGAAAGGAAAAACATCCTTCGGTATACCGCTAGTTGCGAGTATCACGCGTTTCGTGAAACTTCCAGTAACCCTCATTCCACATTTTGTCAGGTATAGACAGAATGAATGATATTAGTATCATTCACATTGCCTGGCTCCAAAGTTCACTTCATTGACATCATATTTTGATAGAATCACCTATGATTCTTCTCGTTTTGTTCCGTGCTTACATGAAAGCCATCACGCTTCATCCTTCTCTACCTCTGATCCATCCCTTCGTGACCATGTAGCACTTCTTCGAGGACAATTTGTGCGTGACACCTCCCCTGCTACTCTGTTCTAGAGATCCCAATATTTCACGTTCAGAATGATAAACTCAGACGATTTTTTGGCTGATGCTCTGAGTACGAGATGATCTGTGGCGCACTTCTCTTCACTATCCGTGGTACGAAGGTGATTAGCTTGGAACATGTAAGTGTAGATGTGCTTCCACACGGCTTGAGGATGAATGCTGATTATTCATGCTTCTAGCTTGGAACATGATTCTGCGGAAAAATCATCGCCCTTTGAAAATCTGCGAGACTCGTATACTAACATGACACGATTAATCGAAGAAAATCTGTCTTCCTGGCCATTGATTTTTTTCATTTCGACTGTCAAACAGTGATGAAGTAGGCTCAGTCTCTGACTTGTTTCTGGACTCGTCGTATCGGTATAAAAGGCTTCGACTTTCTTTCGACCAAACCATCGAACTCAGTTCTACGATGTTCCCCAAGGGTTGGTATTCACTCACTTGTATCTCAGAGTAAGCAAGCTGACCCATAGGACCTAGTTGTGTTCCTCTTGCCTGCATATCTATCCGTCGCCGCTGGAAGTATTCTGCCACCCGTCGCAGGTCGGACATTGTTTTGCGGTTACACCATTTACTTGTCTGATTGCGTCGTAGATGCCTCTGTAGGCATTGCCGCCGGCGTGTCTGTAAGTGCTGCTGCCGACGTGTCTGCCGACGTGGTACTTCTACGATCAGTTGGCCTGCAGGCTGCAACGCCCGCAGTCGACCTTGATGTTCTTGCAGACGTTTCTGCTGAAATCAGTGCCGACGTGTCTGCAGACGTCGATGCAGGTGTCTCTCTCGATGCCTTATTGCGGCGCTCACTGGATGCCCGTGCTGTTGCACCCACGCTTGACTTTTCTGGCTCTACTTGGATTTGGACAGGCGAGCAGATTGGGACCAATGATAATGCGCCTGTAGGTGTGCGTCCGTTCCGCAAAGCCATCCCCTCATCCAATACAAAATGTCCGGTATGCGCCACTATCATCATCTCTTCGTAAGTTTTCCTGTGCTCAGATGCTTGAGCGCGTACTGACACTCTTGTAGCGATGATCTTTACTCCATTGTTGTTAACGGAAATGAGATAGGAGCAGGCAACGGTTACAAAAGGTCCGCCGTTTACACTGCCGGCCTCGAACCTGAAGGCCATAACGTCTTTGCTATTGCCGTGAACAATACCGGAGGAGCCGCCGGTCTTATCGCTACGATCCTTGTCGACTACAGTGATGGTACCACCCAAACTATCGTCACTGACACGACCTGGAAGACGATCAAAGCTACGCCTCCCGGAGGCTGGACAAGCCCGAGCTTCGACGATTCAGCTTGGATCGCTGCAGCCTCGGAAGGACCTACGGCAAGTACACCTTGGGGGTTGCCTGCGCTCCCCCCTGCCATGAATATGACCGGAGTCAGTTGGATCAGGACAAACGAGACTTCGGCAGCTGGAGTAGACCCTCTTGGTCACCGACCATTCCGCAAGACTATTGCATCGCCGTATGGAAAAGCTGCTGTTTGCGGAAAGGTCGTCATCACCGCGTATGTCTTCCTTCATGACCTCAATTACGATTCCTCTGATCACGATTTGCAGCGATGATGCGTACACGTTGTATGTCAATGGAAATAACATTGGCAATGGTAGCAACTGGCTAGCCATGCAGGCGTATTCTATTCCAATTCTAGATGCAGATGAAAACCTTATCGCGGTGGATAGCGTGAATACGCAACCCACTGTTGCTGGGCTCATCGCGGGTGTTTTGGTGGCGTACAATGATGGTACATCAGAGACATATTACACGGATGATTCATGGAAAACCATGGATGCGGCCTCTCCGGCTGGCTTCGAAGCAACAGATTTGGACGACAGTGCTTGGATTAGTGCGAAGGAGTGGGTGCATGGCAGTTCTGCGTTGGTGACCGTTCCGCCTGCATAAATTGTTTGTGCGACGAACCCATGTAGTTTTGTTGTTCTTTTGAAGTCAGTCGTGGAACGTACCATGTGTATACCCTTTACTCCTCAGTAATATAAAGTTGATTTTATGCTCAATTCATGTCTTTTTCCTTTCGATACGGAGCCGATCGTGGGTGTGGCGGTTTGTCGTCTTCAAGGTTTGTTAGAATTTATGCAGGCTAGTAAAAGGAGAATCTTGAACCAAGTTAAGGTGCCCAAGGATGCAACATTTCACGTAGTTTCAGCGCTGCGCCACACGAACAAGAAGCCCGACAGGATTGTGGCTGCAAATTACGTGACTGGCACGCTGAACATCTTCAGGACGTTCGTGATCATCAAAGCATATGATAGCAATATACCACGAAGAGCAGTCATAGATTGAATATGGAGGACATGTAGGGGGGCCTTAGCGGGTGAGTGGCCTCAATGATGAGTCAATAAATTTCCGCAACCACGCAATCTTTCCACGTTACAAAATTGAAGCGTGTAGATAAAGTTTGATGGAATCTATCAACAGTGTCTAGAAGCTGACTGGACTCCATGGCTCCCAGTTGAACTCCGACAGACAAGCAGTCAGATGGCTGCAGAACCCACGACACCAAATTCCGGGTAGATACACTGGCAAAATAGTTCCTGATTTCGGAACATAGCCATCCATTGATAACAGGTGATGGTGACCGGCAAAAATGGTGGTGACTGAGAGTAGATTCTGACTCCTAGCTATGAAGATTGAAGTCCCGATGGGTTGTGGCATGGCTGTTACCACACCCTGAGCATATAATGAAAACATCTAAGGGATAGAAATTGGTGAAAATAATTCTGTTACTTGTTTTACATCCGCCAGGAAACGCGCTTCATAATCCACCTAATTTGTTGGACAATGGGAAAGATCATACTTAGGGGTCAGTCGTCAAATCCAGTGAACATGCGATCACGTGTGACGGTTGATACGATCGATCAAACTCCGCACGCCCAATTTGGTTCCTTCTTGTCCAGGTACCATGACGGTAACTGGTTGTCTTCACTCGCATCACCCCCATTTCGAGCCCTGCCTTTGTTCCTCAGGACCTGTATGTGGCGCTGCAACCCAGCGTTGATACGCCTGGTATCAGGCTACCCATAGATTTTGCAATTTTACATCAGTTTATGCAATCTACAAGCGGTACAGAGAGCTACAGTGGAGGCTTCATGCTGGTAGCTAAATACTACATAAAGAATGAAAGCACAGCAGTACAGAACGGACTTAGAAACGACATCTCGAAGAGTCAATTCTACCAGCTGTCAACACGCCAAGCTAAGCCCTACCTAAACAAGACTATTACAGTCAAATCTCGGGGACTCGTCTGTATGGAGTATAAAAACCAAGAAGTTGAAGAATGGAATGAACTAGATGCCTCGTCGCCTCGACGAGTAGAAAGAACCTGTCAAGAAAAATTGCTAAGTTGAGAAACAGATCAGCTTTCGAGATCAACTCAGGCTAGGAAAGGAATAACCTTGGAAGAATGAATAGCTGTGTTGGGTACCGAGATGACTGACCTTGATCGCGCAGTGATCAACAGAATATAATCTCGGACCTGCAGTCGATCGCGATCGGTGGTTACATCCTCGAGATCCTGTGCATACTGCAGTATTCCATACATATGGCATGTGGCAAGCCTTGCAGATGGAAGAAGGAGCACCCACGGACTAGTAGGGCACTCCTCGGCAACAGAATAACCTGGTGCAGTCACATCGAACTGAATAGAAACTATGGAATGGCATGATACTTGTAGGATAGTGACTCACTGTTTGTATTAATTCCAAAGCTCGTACCATAATTACTGTAGATATGGGCTCCTATACCTAGAACACGAATCATATAAATTAGCAGCGACTAGACGCATAACGGCAGGAAAGCATTCCCCTGCATTTGTGCTAGTAGCCTGTATAGCTACCTAATCAATCACTGGTTTTATTGCATATCCTCGACTGAAGTGAATTAAGTTACCAAAGTCAACCCATAAGGGTGACTACAGTAATCTAGAAGAGTTAAGTAGGAAGTAGAGCTGTCCCCACATTTGCGCCTTGCTAGTTAATTGAACTGCTCCATGGACAAAGGCCTCATGCCCTCTCTCTCTGAGATTAGCAATCTAGACGTGCTGAGTTGACTTTAAGTCAAAAGACCTCATCTAGTTGAAGTAAAATAAGCCCTAGAACACTTTAAGTTCGAACAATCATCAAGTTCAAGGAACTCCAGAGTCTGTGTACTCTTTGCAAGTCTTGTACTTGAAGTCAGAACCTGAGTGTTCTTTGTAGAGTGATTTTGCACTCTTTGTAGACCTCGGAGTCTTTGGTTGTTTGATTATTTGAAGTGTCCGCTAGAAGCTCTTCTAGACGACGTCAAAATGAGTATAACTTGCTCGACTATACCTTACAAAACAAGTTCATAAAACCCCCCTATCGCAGACTAGTGTACTTTGTGTAAAACACATCGAAAGAAGAATTGAAGTTGTTTTCAGACAAAACCCCACTAGATTATCTAAATCTAAGTACATCACGAGTGCTTCTATTGTACTCACCCTTGAACTTATATACATTGGTGATAGTGTGTGTGTGTGTGATTTAGTATCTAGATTGACGATCTAGACACTAGTTTCATTTGCACGCTGCCCGTTACTGAGCACATCAGCATGCCTATGGAAAGGGCCAGTTTAATATCCAACAAGCCTTATCTTTTCCATCAGGCCACTGCTGTAAAGGATCTGGAATGATGAAGACATGTTTCCTTGTCTGAAGATGGAAAAACAGTGATAGGTGCTGGCTGACTGATCCTTGTGGATATGACCCACAAACATGAGGCAAACAAGCCACAACTGGTCCGCAGGGTATAAATGCTTCCCTTTCTCCCTCTGAGTTGCCATCCTCTCTTCCTTCCAATGATGATCTACTATACTACGCGCTGCTCTTGAGATGACAACGCCTCGACCTCTTTCTTAGAGGCCAGGCTATGTTGATTCTCAGTCGTAGTCATCTGTCTCACCTCCTCCCAGAAGACAGGTAGGTCAGCACCATCGCAGCCTGTTACCTGCTACTGTGCTCACTAACTCTGAGTGCAGGAATTTATCCTCTTTGCATCTCAGCTGGGAGGAGGTCATCAACATCGAAAACTTGAGTGGCTCATTGCGCCACATTTATTATGTTCGCTGCAAATAACAGCCAATGCATACGTTTTCCCCTATCATGTCTTCACTTCGACTACTGACGCTCTCTAGGTCAATGTCTCTCTAGGCCCTGGGGGATACGTGCAGTCGCTCTGTGACTATCTGGGTCACAGTCGGTCATGTCACTCCCGCCACTGGATGGATCACAGTGCTCTTTCGATTTGAGCGAACCCACTGTCTGGTGAATGGGAGTGACTTGAGGACCCCCAATTATCCTTATAGAGGTTGATCAGAAAGTTCGGACAGATTTGGCCTTCCTGCTCGCTGAGGTTGGCACAAAGTTTGGACAAATTGACCTGTCTGACTTTGTAGGTCGGATTTTTTGTTCAGACAATAGAGGACAGACCCACAATGTCGGAACAGTAGTTTGGACACGTTACATGCTGGGTGCAACCCTGTGCTACCTAGCATTTAGAACTGTGCATTGTCTGTCTTAATAAATCGGATACATGGTAGTTTCTGGTGTTTTGTTGTGGATAATCTACAAAGTTTCTGGTGTGTGAGCAAAGTTACTTTGTCTCTGATGTAGAAAGCATCGGAGCGATTTCCTATCAGGTTGCGCAAACCTACGGGCACCTAAATTGAAGGACTTCCCAGCGAGTGCACTGCAGCTTGTCTCGAATTGCACATCTGCCATCTAATTCCTTGTTCCTAGCAATTCCATAAAGATTTCAGGTGATTGTGTCAATATCTCAGATGAATATTTTTGAGGACTTGATTGCAGAGAAGGCTGGGATTGTAAATACTCTAATCAGTGAATACGGTGTGGAGGAAGGGACAGGCACATTACAATGTGCTAGCAATGGAGGAGATCAATGACATCGACCGTTAGCTGATGTATTTAGACATCTGTATGGTTTTGGCGATTTTTAGTGATTTTTGGCGATTTTTCGGAGGTCAGAACGAAAGTTTGGACAAAATTTTTCGGATGAACCCTTTCAGCGAAAGTTCGGACGAATTTTGGACGTTGGCTGCGACAAAAAGTTCGGACAAATTTTTGAAACTGGCAAATTTGGCGTACCGACCTCTATAGGGATAATTGGGGGTCCTGTGACTTGTGACCAATGCCATTCCCAATGGAATTGGCCTGGCCATGGATTGGCATGCAGTGTTGGGTACCAATACCCATCCATCTTTCCAATGAGGTCTTGACCGACTCGAACTGTGACCAAGGTCTAAGCATCATGGTAGATGCATGCAGTTATTTCCGATGACTATCTTGGACCATATGACCATTGCCTTTTCGTGTCCCCATGGAATGTGATGACCCCTCCTTGGACAGGCCAGGCATCTTCCACACAATTGATAATAAGGCTGATGGTGGCCTGGGATCAGCACCCTGCTTTCCAGTGATGCAGTACTGAGGGTCACCATTCGAGCAAAGCAACTGAACCAGTGAGGAGTTTGTAATCGGATCTCATTGAGGCACTGGCTGCTCCTTTCTTTTAGTGCCAATGGCATTAATGGAATCTCCGCGTGAGTTCTCACTTTCTATCATGACTACCTTTGCCTAACAATGCACTTTTTTGTAGACTTTGGTTTGCTTTACTGCCAAAAATAACATGGTATGTTGTCGTTCTTCTTGAAACATGCTTCCTTCATTGATATTTTCTTCCCAGAACAACACGAAGTCCTAAGACTCGTTCACATTCTTCAAGACAGGGTGGGGTATTGACCATGGGATGGCAGGTGGTCTTTAATACACCCACCCCAGGACAAACAGTGGTGCGTTGGTCGAATCTACTACCTCAGATTCTTATTTACATCTTTGCTGTTCCAGTGATACTCACATGCAAAAAAATGCATGTACGTTGGTCCCGGTCATCATTTATCTCAGTTTGCTTATGCAACTTTATTGTTCTAGAAAACCTGCTTGTCGAAGCAGGTAGCACAAAACCCATGAGCTATCAAGATACAGGCATCGCAAGAATGTAAACAAATGCCAATGTGTGCGGGGCAAACAGAGGAGTGTGTATTCATTGTTGTCATCTTGTGCCATCTGACATTCTTTGGCAGCAATTAGAGATTACAATTGGTCCATCCATTCTTTCCGACCCCATATTCCTTTCCTATAAATACTTCGCGAGGAGAAAAACTCCTCATCCTTGAAGGTGCATTTCAAACATTTCCTGGGGGATAGGACAGAGGCAGATGTGCGCTGCCTCCATCTGGGTGCTCCCTTGTCATGGGCCCTGGGCTTTCCACCAAACACATCTATTCCAGTGCACCTGGTTTGTTAACTCATTCCGGTTTGAAGTTGTCCATACACAGAGCAGTTCTTTCAAGGACTGCTCGCTGTACCAACCTTGCTTCTTTTCCTCCTCGCGATCGCAATGATCTGTCGAGTTCTGCATGGAAGTTGTCTGTACATAGAGAAGTTCTTTTGGGGCTTTTTGCCGTACCGACCTTGTTACTTCCTTGTCTCCTACTGACTGATTTACCAGGTGAGTACCAGGCATCTCTATGCTCTGTATTACAACTGACGACAGCATTCTAGGCAACTCATCAAAGCTGTACTGTTGCAACCACAACTCATGGAACACAGCTCTGTCATCGGACAACCGCATATGAGCTATATTCTGCCACCATCAAGACATCAATGTCAACATTCTGAGTATCCTAAGCAAGTGACTGCTTCTAACAAAGCGCCAACATTGAAACACCAGATTCTCAATGCTTAGTATGCCTACTTATGGTCTCGATAATCTCAGTATGTCATCTTTCTTTTTCTTTTCATTTGTATCTCATCCCTGACTATTAGATGTTGCTCTTCAAAGCATCAATGAAGCATGATATGGTACATGTCCCTGTGAGCAAGTGATTACCTCCTAGTGAGGTGCCAATATGCTGACAATACAAGGTATTGTCCCCTGGGGGATAGGATGGAGACTGGCTCACGCCTCTCCATCTGGGTGCTCCGTTGATGTGGGTCCCAGGCCTACAGACGTTTCAAGTGCCTTCGGGTCTGTCTCATCTTACCAAATGCACCTAAGTAACATCAGGGCATTAGCTAGCTCATACAAATTATCTTCGGTAGTAAGACCAAAATTTCATATCCTTTCTGTAATGATTATGCAAGTTATAAAATGAAGGAAAGTGAGGTAAGTCATATGCAATGCAACAAGTTATGATGCACCCCTATCACTGTCACCAGATAAAACGACCTAATCCCCTGTAGCGATAAAATTTGCTATGGGGGCGATTCATCACTGCTCTTGCATAATCTTGACGAAATTGTAAAGTGGCCAAGGAGATTTCAAAGCTCATAGCTGGTGTAGTAAGTCGGATTTATCACACAAAGCCTGGTCCAGGACACTAGCCAGAAGGGAACGTCCTCTGGAGTATGAAAGAATTCATTCTCTATTTGGATATACATAGTGAGCTTGCGAAGTTTAGCACCATGGCAGCCTATAGCATCGCCATACCACCCAACTGTTTTTTGCCCTTCCAATCGCAGTTTATAGGATTGTCAGTTCATAACAGAGGAATCTTTACTAAAGAAAGCATTCAAGGACTTTGACGCTGGCCATAGAAATCTTACTTGTCTTGACAATGACTTGCTATTAGTCAGCACAGAGTTTCGGCAGGAGTACATGGAATGCTGACTTTCAGCACCATTGTGAGGCTGCACAGACCAAACTTCGTGTCTTTGGAGGTCGATGTGTCAATTTAAGGCATTGGAAGCTTGTTGGAAGCAGTAGGTAGTGCCGATATATGCTGGATCCTGCCGCTGGAGCTGGATGCCAGCCTATGCCGCATCTCAGCTCTTTCTTCAACTTGTCCCTCTTGCATCCATTCATGAACTTCACATCTCTGAGCTGCAAGCTTCCATCATCATTTAATCACTGGTCATTGAAATCTTCTTTGTGTAGGAGCGATGACGGTGTATGGTCCCTTTAGCAAGCATCTTCACTTCGTAATATGGCAGTAAGTAGCAATAGGCTGTAGTGGTGGCTAACTTGCATGTTGGATTCCATTGTGTTCGAAGCTTCTTTCTCTCCAGTGGGCGGCTGTGTACATTTTGAATGCTTCTTGCTGGGAGATCACTATCCGAGAGCTAGGTCCAAGTAAGACGTCCTGATGATAGTCTGCTATTGGTTACATGAATCTGCTGTAGAGCTCTAAAGTGCATCATGCATCTTCTCAATTGAATAATACCACGAAGCTGGCCTGCACTGGGTACTTGAAAAATAAATTTTAGCTGTTCTTTGATGGTGAAGTTCCAGAGCATCAAGCGTGGTGAGAGGAAACGGGTATGTTTTGTTCCTGATGTGACCATCGAACCTTCGGTTCAATAATATCAACAGGACGAAGGCAGGTAATAGACGCCTACTCTCTTTCTGGTCATGATGCCATGGTATTCTTCCGATTTGCTCTTTTATTGTGAGGATTACCTAGGGTGCTTCATTGGTTCTACCACGCTCATTATTTTTACTTACCGATGAAATTTTTGAAAACGGTAACATCGACTTGTAAGGATTATATATTCATAAGCCTTTTCAAGCTTAATAATACCTCTTGCTCTAGGAGGGACGCGTTATTAATAACCTCGTCAACCTTTGGATAAGACCCATTATTTTTGAGGGATAAAGATCAGAATTTGTATGTCTCTGTTCCATTTAGGAAGATGATAAGAAGTTGAAGTCCACAGTAATTATTTACCCAGAGCTGCTGTTCTGTGCATTTGAACTGTCAGCCCCACAGTATCCTTTGATATTTGAACTATACTTATCCTATACGAGCTGTATAAAACGACCCATCCGCTCTTGAGATAGTTCCCAACTCAGAGTTCTGTTCCAAGATGCACTATAAGGGTGAGAGATAGCGAGTACCCTTAACATAGAGCTCACCACAAATTATAGTCACACTTCTCTTGTCATCATTTGTGTTGCCTGCTGTTACCGGAAGCCTGTTACTGCTCATCACAGGTGAGATTCTTGGTATATCATAATTCTTTCATGTATTCTTATGATCAAGCAGATACCAGTGCGGATGCTGCCGTCAACTTAACTTTGAACATATTATTGTCGAGGCATGCTATTGCGCCGACTATCAACTTTGAAGACTCGAATTGGATCTGGACAGGAGAGCAAGCCATCGGTGTTCATCCATTCCATAAAACAATCTCCTCTTCAAACGGGACTTCCCCAGTTTGTTCCACTATCATAATTTCTAGGCGAGTTTTCCCTCATGAAGTGAATACTTGATGTATTCATCAGTACATCCAGTGAAGACCCGTACTCCATCGTTGTGAATGGAGCCAAGATTGGGAGTGGGAGCGGTTCCAACAGCTCAGCCGTCTACATAGCTGGTTTGAACTCTGGCGCTACCAACGTTTTTGCCATCACCGTGAATAGCACCGGAGGAGATTCCAGCTTCATTGCCACCATTCTCATTGACTACACAGATGGTATGATGGAGACTTTCATTACCGACTCTACCTGGAAGACACTTCAAGCTGTGCCACTGGGTGGATAGACGAGCTCTAGCTTCAATGATTCAGCATGGATTGAAGCAGTCTCCGAAGCTACTCCTTGGGACATCCCACCACTCCCTCCTGCTCTGAATATGATGGGAGTCAGCTGGATCCAGACGAACGAGACTGATGGATCCGGGGTTGATCCTATTGGCCACAGGCCCTTCCGAAAGACTGTGGCTCTGCTGTATGGGAAAGCTGCTGTGTGTGGTAAGGTTGTGATTACTGCGTGAGTCTTCTTTTGTCTTTGAGCTTGCTATCTGTTCCGTCTTCTGATCTTGTGTAGGGACGATGCATATACCATGTATATTAATGGCGATAACATCAGCAGCAGTGACATCGGTTGGCGGTACATGCAGGCCTATTCTGTCTCCATGCTAAATGAAACCGTGGATCTGGTTGTTATTGCTATTGATAGCAACAACATTGAGCCTAGTTTTGTGGGGCTCATCACAGGCGTACTGCTGGCATACAACGATGGGATGTCAGAGACTCTGTATATGGATGATTCGTGGAAGACTTTGACTGAACCTACCCCAGATGGTTTTGAGGTAATAGGTTTAGATGATAGCACTTGGATTAATGCCACAGAATTCATCCATTCTGATGTGGAGACTGTTGTTGTGCCGTTGGCTTAGGCTGTTTCATTGACCTCCCCTTCTTCTTTCTGAAGCTTGCGATTGAGTACGCTACAAATATATACCCTTATCTGTTATGTTGTTTTGATTGTCATTGTGGTTGCCATTGTCTGTTGTACACTGATCTATAAAATCACCAATTTACAATGATCCGTCATTTTATGCCAGAGTCAGGATTGACCATGGCCACCTCACGGCATAATTTTACTACTCAGGTGCTCACAATATAGATGCCATGACATAGTGTTAGCCGGTTTGATAACAATTAGCAAATGTGAACTAGATCGTGACCGCAATCTACCCTTAATCAGATGAACCTTTGGGATTTGCCGTTTTCCCTTCTTACCGCAATCACCATGACCAGCTGCATGCCAACTTCTATCTCGACCTCCGCCTGGCTCTCGTATAGGAATGGCATATAGCTGCATCTAGACTAGTGGCAGTCTCCCTGCCAGTGACCGTTATCCTTACATGCAAGACAGGATCAGAATTCACCAGTCATATGGACCATGTATTCTGCTACATAGACTTTGACTTCGACCAGGAATGGCACTCAAGAAAAGCGATATCGCCACCACTAGTACATGGAAACGATACCGCACAAACCATGAGGTGTTGATGAAGAGGCTGAAGTGGACAACTAGACGATGGAGGAGAGTATTGGTGCACTGGCCTTGAATTGTCTGCCTGGTATAAGGTGCTTTTCTCTTTCGTTCATTCCTCTTTCGTTGTACTGATGCATTCATCTTATCCAAGCAAGATGCTGTACATCCTTTCAAGTTTCGAGAACCGTTCGTATGCATCATTTATCACATGCTCTGACTTGGCTAATGCTAACACTAGGATTGTTGCATATAATGAAGCCTAGGGCTGCTACTTTACTTTCAATATCTCCTTATCCAGTAGCTTGTTTGGACTAGATGTTGCTCTCCTTCCCTTCAAGTTGCTCAGCTGATACACTGGCATAACCATCTTGAACATTTGAACACTGACTCCAAAAAATGACAGCACATGAATAGAAACAATTGACTCAGAATCCAACCTTGAATTGTCTGTTCGATGTGTGTTCCAACCTGGCGGTGCTAATGGCTTGGATGCGATTACCTCACATCTAGTGTCTTATGCGCCATAACGTGAAACAGGATCAATCAAAGAGCAGACAATTCTTTGGCCTTCTGGTGGTCTCGTCAATCCGTGCTTGGAAGCTCGATGGTATGCATTTATCATTGTGGCTAGGAGATTTATGGAATTCATCTTTAGTATAAAGGGATTCACAACCCTGCTGGGAGTCATCATCGAGCAAAGTTCTACTGCAGTTCTATCGAAGATGTTCTCTAAGGGTGAGAGGTCTTTTTGTGCTCATAGACCTGACTACATGCTCTATTAGTTTTGCTCCTCTTACCCACTCTGTTTGGCATCGTAAATGCAGGACCCAGGGGCAACACTGGTGAAAAGCATTGTATGGCTTGCTGCTCATTGGCTCAATCATTAATATCTAGACGTTTCCTTGGAGCAATTGTTAGATGCCCACGCCGTCATGCCCGTACTCGACTTTACCTGTTCCACGTGGATCTGGATGGGAGAGCAAATCGGACCATTAGACATCATGCCTGCAGGCATGTGACCATTCCATAAAGCAATCCCTTCCTCGAGCATGAAATGTCTGGTATGTGCAACAGTTCTCATCACTTGGTGAGTTTATCCACCAATTGTTTTGATGCACCTGTACTCAATTATACCTAGCGATAATAACTTTTCACTCTTCGTCAATGGAAGAGAAGTTGGATCGGGGGCTTGCCTTCATTTCAATGCCTCTAACACCACATCATCCTACCCCTATGATGTAATATCCTATGTTTTCACTGTTGGCTTGGATCCAGAAGGCCATAATGATGTCGCGATTGCTGTAAATAACATCGGTGGACCAGCTGGACTTATCGCTACCATCCTTGTGGACTATTCAGATGGTACGACCGAAACCATCGTTACCGATACCACATGGAAGACCTTGAAAGCTGTTCCTCCTGGTGGGTGGACTAGCCCAAGCTACTGTGATTCGGCATGGACTGCTGCAGTATCAGAAGGACCTACGGCAAGCACACCTTTTGGGTCGCCTATCCTTCCTCCCGCTTTGAACATGACCAGGGCTCACTGGATTCGGACGAACAAGAGCATTTCTAGCGGGAATGCTCATCTCAGTCATAGGCCCTTCCGCAAGACCATCACGTTGCCCTATGGGAAAGCCACTGTCTGTGGGAAGGTCGTTCTCTCTGCATATGTCTACTCATGCTTTCCTTTGTTCCATCTCATCGTTCTTTCTAGGGACCAATCGTACACCCTATACGTGAATGATGACAACATCAGCAGTGGGACTGGCTGGATGACCATGCAAGCATATTCAATCCCGAAGTTGGATCCAGATGTGAACCTCATCGCTATCAATGGGGCAAACCCTAGACCCAATTATAAGATCTATGTCAGTGTGGGTGTGCTGATTGCATACAACGACGGGACGTCAGAGATGTATCCCACAGATGGATTGTGGAAGACTTTGAATAGGCTTCCTCCTGCTGGTTTTGAGCACTGGATGTGGATGATAGCATGCAGTGAAGAGGCTGGCTGTGGGCACCTGTGGAATAGTGAGCGGGCTAAAAGGCAAACCTCAAAAACCCACACACACACTCACACAACTACACAAACTACAATCACCCTCGTAAGTTCTAGGGGGAGCAATTATTTCTAATGTGATCCAACTATACTTCAATATCTTGAAGGGTTTCTCTTACTCTCCGCGCTCTTAGCGAAGCTAAGCTTTCTCTAATGAATTCCTAAGTCTGGGAACTTTTTACAGGAAGGTCGTTCACTGGCGCGACGCAACCTTCAAGGCAGATTTGAGTTATAATACACAAGGGACACTGATCCCAACAGAAACAGAGGCAATACACGCCGAAACTTTAGTGAGCTCACTAAAAGAACACCACAGGCAAGCACTGACTTAGCCCGCTCACTACACAACTGTATGTAGGGGTTCTCCAACTAACTCCAGCAGGTTATCTCGACTCAAGAACACTTCAGAAGTGCTCAGAAAACAGATTCAGAAACGGAACTTCGAACAGAACTGACACGGAACAGACTGAAACAGAACAGAACAGAACAGAACAGAACTCAGATTTCCACTTCAACACATTCTCCAAACAGACTTATCACACTTAACAGAACAGAAACAGCATCACTGATTCGTATTCACTCTGACTAAGTTCTCAAAAGTCTTATCAAAAGGGTATCTCGTATTTCTCTGAGTGAGCTCGCTAATTCTATGCACAGCTCAAAGTCACAAACTGATCCTTTGTTACAGTACCACCTTCAACGCGTGCACGGGAACTCGGGGGCTCGAAACTTGGCCTCTACCTACTGTAACCAGTCTACTTATACTACAGGGGAATTAGAATTACAAACATCACCCAGTACGCAGACTCCTACATGCATAGCACATTGCCACCACCGCCTTACTAAGCATCCAAGTTGGACTTCCCAGTTTTAGTCTCATTTCTATAGTGAGCTCGCTAAATGCGTGCCAAGAGGTGCTCTCCCAACACCCGCAGGCTTGTTCTCTAGCGACCGACAGGTCTAGGCGCATGGAACTATCAGTTCTGGCATATGTCGTTCAAGACTTCTTTCTTGGATTCACAGAGGCTTCTCGTAGACACAGCAACAAGTGAGTCTTCGAACAATGGGACTCAGAACAATGGAACACGGGCTCGCGGACTTCGGCCGAAGCCCATTGCCCAAGCTTGTGCCAGTGATATCTGTCATCTCGCTTAAGGATTTCCCCGGATTTTCAGGTATGACGTGTCACAGTTAGCGAGCACGCTAAGTACTCTCAGTGTCACTGCAATCGTCAAGGTTTTATCTGGCTCCCGCAAGCATGCTTGTAAGTTAGAGCCTAAGGCATTGGGTATAGGGTTTGGCCTTCTCATCACGCATGCCCATCAGGTACAGTGCTGTGACTAAGTCCTGTTTAGAATCCCATTGCTTCTTATGCCATAAGTTATATTCCATATCATTGCACCATGTAGCATTAGTGTCGATGTGTAGTTTTAGTCCGCTCGCTCACTATCTCTCAGTATGCATGTAAAACACTCTAGATTGCAAAATTACACGCGTAAATAGGCTGCAGTCGCAACACCGTGGCCGGAAGTGTGCCACCTACATCAGGTCAGATACACCATATTCTACTTTCTCTTCCCTATCTTACAGTGATGTAGAAATCTCTGCAGATGCTGCCAGCAATCTCTCTTCCGACGCCTTACTACCCCAGCTGTTGGATGCGCATGCCGTCATGCCCATACTCGACTTCAGCAAGTCTAGTTACATCTGGACAGGAGAACAAACAGGGACAGCCCATACTGCACCTGCAGGCATGTGGCCATTCCATGTGGAGATTCCCTCCTCAGCCACAAAGTGCCCCACTTGTGCGACAATTATCGTAGCTTGGTAGGTTCACTCCATCACCTCCTCACTTATACTCACACAAGTATGCCTAGCGACGACCAGTGTCCTGTCTATGTCAATGGCCAACAGATCAGTATGGGGAGAGCTCCCCAGCAGGGAGCCGTCATCTACACTGCCGGTCTGAACCCGGACAGCAAGAACATCTTCACCATCGGTGTGAGCAACACCGCCGAAGGCTCCGCTGGCCTCATCACTACAATCCTTGTCGACTACATGGACAGCACAACCGAGACTATCATCAGCGACTCTACGTGGAAGACGCTTAAAGGTGTGGCACCCGGTGGATGGACGAGCCTGAGCTTTGACGATTCTGCATGGACTGCTGCAGATGTGGAGGGTCCTTCGACAGCTTCGCCGTGGGGTGCTCTGGCGCTCCTGTAATGAGCATGCCGATGGAAACCTGACTTCCACTCAACCCAACAAGCCACAGCCCGGAAGCCTACAGATTCCGATTCCCAGTTTCTATTTCATATTCCTTTTCATATTCCTTTTTATATTTCACTTCTCCATATTAATTTATCAATAGCCCGACATTGGTAGCGAACATGTCATCAGACCCCATCGGCTACTGACCGGTAGAATACATCCTCCGACAACCCTAGAATGTAGACCACTCTGAGTAGGAACTAGATCGGACTCCTAACTAGTATATAAGCCTTAGAATTACACTGTAGATACTCAGTTCGAATATCAACTTGGTTCAGCCCAATCTCTCTCTCTCTGACTCTAAGTCTAACTCTCGTTCTCCAGTCCACGGAACTCCGATCCATTGGACTTATCTCTTACCTTGTCTCTGCCACTCCGTGGACTTCCGTCCGTATCCATCTTAGGGCTTCGGCTCAGGGGTGACATTGCTAATAGCTTCGCCTACACCCGACGCATCCCGCGGCATTCTGCTACGTGCACTTACTGCCGCAATCCTATTGGCATGATCCTAACAGCTCCTGCCTGCTATCAATATGATGACTGCGGGGGTGGCTGCAGATGAAGGAGAGTATTTCTAGCGGGAGTGCTCCTCATGGTCATAGGCCCTTCTGCAAAGACATTCACTTCGCGACGTTAGTGTTTTTTGAGCCACAAGTGCGGCTGGTCCTTGTCAGGGTCAACATGACAAACGGATATTCAATTCCACTTGAACTTCTGAGTCTGAGCGTGTTCGGGCACAGTCAAATGTGTAGCATTCAGACAGTTCAAAGTCACCCATATACAGCTCTTCTGCAGGTCGACGTGTCCCTTTCTGCCTGAGAATGAGTAGCATGATGCGGCTGCTCAGGATGGAATGGAGGATGTGCTGAAAATAACTGAGGAAGGGTGTGATGGCATCAGTCCACATGGGAACAAGGATATTGGTGAGAGAAATGAGGAAGAGGCACACATAAAAGAACATTCCAGAGGCATAAAGCTCTGTGACAAAAGGATGCGACGAACGGTGGAGGTGCTGTATGCCCTTGAAGAGTGTGAGCGAAGCAATGATCGTCTCTGAAATGAGCACTGGGACGTAGAACAACTCTGGCAAGGATGGAAAGAAAATGAAGCAGCCAGGAATGTTGGATGACTGTGCAGCTGGAAGGTATTGAACTCTGCTAGTTTAAAAGTGCAGATGACAAGTAGCTCACATTGGACCACCTTGAGTTCTATAACAAGGCTGACTACCTCTGGTGTCAAACAACAGACCCCAGTCCCAATAAAACACCAGAATACCACTCGGTGTCTATCCCATATTACATATGTGCAGATCATGAGGATAATCTGCGATGTGAAAAACCCAAAGGCTATGAGTGGGCCTGTAATGAAGGAATACATGCCACACTGGATCGCGCTGGTCCTGTGCAGGAGCCAGTTGATGTTGAACGCCATATCCACCAAGGGTAAGTAATGGTTCAATGCGAACAGCAGCAGAAGTGGGTGTACAGGCCAGGGAAGCCACATATAATCAATTTCAGTAGGGAGGAGGAGAATCAGGTCATAGAGGAGCACAGTCATGCATGCAGTGAAAGAGTAAGGTGTGATAAAATTTGAGGATGCCTGTATGGGGCGAAGTTAAAAATAAGCAACTGAGTACAGCAGATGAGGGAAATAGGACGAAGCATGACTCACTAATGACATCCTCAGATCGAACTAGTTGGGAACAAAATTCCGCTGGTCACCACCTATTCTTAATTCTACTTTAATGTGCATAGAGGAGAGAGAGGGACTATTAAAGAGAGACTGCGAAAAGTGTGCGGTCTCATACCGGTCCTTTTAGTGCTTGTGGCCCTGAGATGGTTCACGGTCTGGTGCTCTAGCCTCACCGATAGTAGTTCTTAAGTACCGGGTGGTAACATTTACATCAAGAAAGATAGAATTGAAACCGTTCGGAGACAAACGTGTTTTATGGCCACCATATTTCCTATACCGGGAATGCTGAAGCCACTGGAACAGGTCAGAACACGAGACTGAAATTCTTGCTCACCCCAAAGTAGTCACCACATTCTCACTGTATCTCTATATCTGTTTGCAAGATTTCAGTGAGCAGTAAGCATTAGTTAAAGTGGCTCACTGAGACTTATAACAGAGATAATAATACGTGACAATCGCCGTCAAATTTCTGGAAATTAGTAAGGGGGGTGATGAGTGGGAACCGTTGCTGTCTGGATAGGATTCGCAGTGTTAGTATGTGTGGATCAACCAAACAAGAGGACTTAAAGCAAAAAGGAACATCCCACCACCACCACCACCACCACCACCAGAGCAGACACAGAGACAAGAAGCTAACAAAGTAATGATACTTGCCAGATTTCTGGTACCTTCCCAGTGCCTGCAGCAATGCACATTTGTCACAGGGATATTCTCTCCATGATCTGACCATGGAACAATGGACCACATGCTTCACAAATATACCAGGGCTGTGTAGTGTAAACCCACCAATGAGCAAGAAGATCACCCATCGCACCATGTCAACATTGCAACAAGCCTCGCCCTTCGACGGAAATTTGTGAGTCAAAGCCTCAAAGGTGGTCGAAAGAAAAGTAATGCCGAGGAGCCTCAAGGGACTTTGTTCGTTCAGCAAAATGTCATCAAAACACAACATGATCTGTCTTTTCCCTCCAACTTGCCTCTTGCACAGGTCACAGCATCGCTATAATGATCATGGAGATAATATATATAGAGGGAATTTCCTTCACTTCGGCATCCTTGTCCAATGGCTCACCTCAACCCTCGCCTAAATCCTGAATCAGATTGGTTGGGCTTGTCACATCACCTGTATCTCCATTTGAACCTTCGATCTTGGAGATGGTACTCTTTGGAGGTTGGTTTTTGCCGTGTCTATTGGTCTCCTCAGGGTGGGCAGGCAACAGCTTCCTCTTCTTAGACAGCTTTGGAGGACCGCTTCTCCCAGTCAGAAACTATCTGAAGGCAAAAATCTTCAGTAGTATCGTCCATGCGGCATCTTGTCAACAGAGGTCACGGCATAAGATTATAGATGGTAGGTAAGCCTTATGGTTTCAGATGCATTGGGCATGAAGTAAAGCTTCAAAGCGTTGTCCAAGTTGACTCTCTTGTATCCGTCCATTACGTTGCATGCAATCATTAATTTGGGACATCTGTATTGTAATTATAGCTGTACATAAGAGCATCCGTGCGAGGGTTAACCAATGCATATAGAGTGCCATATCATTCATTCCGGCTACACAGAAGTGGCATGAGATTAATTGCCTGATTTGAGGGAAAGTATCACCTTCGTGTCTAGTACGTCCCATGTTGAACCATTTGCCTTGGGAAGAAGCATGATGGTCTTCTTGCTTTCGCCTCCTTTGGGACCCCCAGAAGATTCCGCATTTGTGCTGGTCTGTGTTTCTCGAAGCTCGACATTCAATCCACCATGTAACAAATCGAAAGACTCATATGAGTGAAGAGTTGCATCTTCCCTCCCTCCACGAATCTGCATTGTCATATGACTGTTGCAAACAGCAAGGATGGTATTTGAATAAACCTTTACCAAGCAGATTGCCGGAACAGTGTGGTAGTTGTTATTAGGATATGCGAGAAAGAGCGTGATATCAATGACAGCGAGTGTAGCTGCAAAGGCAACAAATAAGCCAATTGATCCAGATTCGTGGTATATGATTGACCTGTTGCTGTCCTGGTTTCGATGGTTAGTCGTATCAGCCTGGAAATAAGTACCTGAGTAGATTTGAGACCGGTGTGAGCTTGACTTAACTATAGGCAACAATGATCAGTCGAGACCTAAATGCTATTCCCATACTTCACTTACAAGATAAGTCATGCATAAAGCAATGGCAGCATCACATAAAGTGCTCCCACCCAACCATATCTGCGAATCGTCAATGGTCAAAGGGGGGGGGGAGCACAATGATGACCCTGCTCACCATTGTAGCCACTTTGATTGTCAAGTTTGTCTGAAGGTCTGAGTAGCGGTCATGACTCTGTGCTGTAATGCCACAACCAATAGCACCCGCAAATTGAATAAAAGCAAACTTTGATGAGGATCGAGATTTGGTTCATTAGAAAGCGGCCACCATGCATTTACGAACAAAGCTTACCATTGACAGAGTAAGACTTATCCATCGCATCTTCTTGCTGAATTTATACATTTGCCAGGCATAGAATAATTGACAGACACAGCCAACTACAACTATTTCAGTAACTCAAAGCATAATTAGGCATAAAGGAAAGTGCACACCAAATCCAGAGAGAATGGGAACATTGAACCATGTGAGATGTACATTGTCAAGTTCGGAAAGGTTCCCAAAGTCGTAACAGAAGATGTCGAACATATCAGAAATATTGATAACAGTCTGAACAGTCTCGACGAGCCAGAGAACATATACGATGCTCTTTGTCACCAGATGGTCTTTCAGAAAGGAGATATAGTATATGTCTAAAAGAACAGTCAAGAACATGCATACGATGATAGGGATATGTCCACTAACAGGCTTGATCACACAGAACACCATATAATGCGAGATTTAGAAAGGTGCCGATTAACTGCATGAAAGATGAGCATTGATGAGCAACCACCGCTTTTCCTATATCAAGGATTGAATGCGTACCAAAGGTGTTAGCGACTGATAACACAAACAAGATCAAACAACTGAGCGTGACTCGCACTTCAGTCAGGTGCTCTATGTTGTCCACAGGTTTGCATGTAGGGAGCTATCGCTTAGCGATTCGAGAGTGAGTTCAGACTAAGTTATCAGGTGAATAAACTTTAGTTCGAGACTGAGGTTTAAGACCTGCAGTCGAGCTACTTAAATACAGTTTGAGTTGTTCTAAGTATAGTACAAGAGTCTGTAACGGTGTGTGGAACATGCGGTTCCCGTCTGGTGTAGTGCAATCAGAGTCGGAAAATTAGCATAACAGGATTACGAGGAAGCTGATGAGATAAGATAAGGTGTGAAATTGTAATATTACCCCCCTGTTAAGGCAGTCATCCCGACTGCGATGTAGTTTGGTCTTGGTAGGTAAGCTCCTACTAGAGTGTCGGGATTTGGTTTTACCAAATATTCTTGTATGGCCTGGACTAGTGGGTGGTCGACTTCTGATTCTGTTACTGACTCTGTTTCTGACCATGAGTCAGTTGCGTCGTTATCCTCCCACCAGTCTGCCGGGGGTTTTGTGATAAAGGATACTTGTTCGAAGTCCTCAATGGCTTCACGAGCATTGTCGAGTTCCTGTTCATCAACCCAGGAGTTTTCCTCTCGAGGATAACCCTTCCACTTGATAAGGTATTCGGTCTTTGTATGCCGCTTGCATCCTCGCCCTACTGTGTGTTCCCGTCGATCTACTATTTCTTCCACCTCGTATTGTTCTTGTCCATCTATCAGATCCGGTGGTGAAGCCATGGGCTGTATCTGGATTGGGAACTCGGGTGGTTGGTACGGGGTGAGTAGGTTTTCATTGAAACGGTTGTGGATTTTCCAGCCGGGGGGTAGTTTTAACTCGTACATGGAAAGGCCCTTTTTGGAGATTACCTCAAAAGGTCCTACGCGTTTATCTCCCAGTTTCTTCATTGGGCGGGGAAGATGAAGGTTGGTTGAGTCTAACCAGACCTTATCACCCGGTTGGTATTCTATTGCTGGTCGCTGATGTTTGTCGTACTGTCGCTTCATTGTTTCCGCTGCTTTTTCCAATGCCATGGCTGTTTGTTTGTGTATTTTCTGGATTTCTGTGATGAAGTCCCTGGCCGCCGGATTGGTTCCTTCTTTGATTGTGAGTGGAGCAAGGTGGGGTTTTTAGCCATGGTTTATTTCGAAGGGAGAGTATCCCATGGCGGAGTGTTTACAATTGTTGTGTTGGAATGCTGCGAGGGGTAACCATTCGCTCCAATCATTCTGTCTGTGGTTGATGAAGATGCGGAGGTATTTCTCAATCTCCTGATTTGCTCTGTCTGTCTGTCCGTCTGTCTGGGGATGATATGCAGTGGATGGGTTCCCTTGTATGTGCAGCATTTCGTACAGTTCCTTCATGAATTTTGATACAAACTGTGGGCCCCGATTGGAGATTATCTTTTGAGGCATCCCGTGTTTGGCCCATACATGGTCCCTAAGTATGCGTGCCCACCCGGCGGATGTTAGTTCCGTGGAACAGGGTACCGGTATGACTTCTTTAGAAAATCGGTCAACGATCATGAGGATGGCGTTATACCCATTTGAGTCGGGTAGTTCTCCTATCATGTCCACTGTGATGTGTTCCCAGGGTCTAGAGGGTACCGCGTGGGGGTGTAAAGGTGCTCTTCTTCTCTGCGTGCTGGTCTTGGTGCGCTGACAGGCTTCACAGCCTTTTGCGTATCTTTCCACGTCCTGTTTAAGCTTCAGCCACCAATATTCCCTTTGTATGAGTTCTTTGGTTTTCTCGATTCCTGGGTGTCCGGCCATGATATGGTCATGGTGGATGGCAATCAGTTCTCCTCGCAAGTTCGCGTCTCTAGGCACGTATAGTCGTTCGTCGTAGTACATTAACCCGTCCTTCTGGGTTATGCCACGGGGGTGGTGGAGGGATGCTTTGATCCCTTTGTCCCATCTGGTTACGTCTCGTATCGCCGTCCTGATTCGCTTGTGTATCTCTTCTTCTCCCGGCATTATTAGGGCCTGGAAATGTTCCGGTTTGAGTACCACTACTCCTTGGTTATCGTCCCCTCCTTGTTCATGGTCTGCCCTGTGAGACAAGAGATCCGCCTTTTTATTGGCTGTGCCCGGTTTGTGATGCAAAGTGAAGTGGTACTCAGCTAGCTCTGTTACCCATCGCGCTTGTCAGCGATTGAGTTTCTGGGGCTTGCGGAAGTATTGCAAGTTTTGATGATCGGTCCAGATCTCAAAATCCTGTGGGGCACCCATTAGGTAGTGTCTCCAGTCCTCGAGGGCCAACATGATGGCTAGTAGCTCCTTGTTGTATATTTCGTAGTTGCGTTCTGTCACCATTAACGCTTTGGACAGGAAGGCTACGGGCCTCCATTTTTCCTCTTGTTGCTAGGATAATACCGCCCCTATCACCCCCTCACTCGCATCCGCTTCTACTCTGTACTTCCTGGTTTGGTTTGGTATTGCTAGTACCACTTCTTCTGCTAACTTGCGTTTTATTTCTCGGAACGCTGCATCCTGTGCCGATCCCCATTTCCATTCTGTTTTGCCTGTGAGTTGGGTCAAGGGTCGCACATGTTTGCTGTAGTCCCAGATGAACTGGCAATAGAAGTTGGTGAATCCCAGAAACGATTGTAGTTCTCGTTTCTTGCTTGGCTGTGGCCATTCCGTGATTCCTTTTACTTTCACGGGGTCCATGCGGATCGACCCTTGGCTGATGATCACGCCAAGGTATTCGGTTTCCAATACTTCGAATTCGCATTTCTCCGCTTTTAGGAAAAGGTTGTTGGCTCGCAAGATAGCGAGTACTTCCCGTACTACTGCTTGATGTTGTTTTTTGTCTTTGGTGGCAATGAGGATGTCGTCCAGGTAGATGGTGACGTCTCCCCTGGCAATTTGTTCTTTGAACAGGTCATTCATCATCCATTGAAACGTGGCAGGAGAATTGGTAAGTCCGAAGAACATTACCAGGGGCTCGAACAACCCTTGGTTAGTTCTGAAGGCCGCCTTCCATTCATCTCCCTGTTTGATTCGCACATTGTTGTACCCCCACCTTACATCCAGCTTGGTGAAGTATTTGGCGTCTTTGAGCTGATCCATTAATTCACCGATGAGCGGGAGGAGGTATCGGTTTTTAATGGTCATCTCGTTTAGCTTTCGGTAGTCTTGTACCGGTCTAAGCCTTCCGTCTTTCTTTTTGACGAAGAAGAACAGGGATGCCACCGGGGATTTGGAAGGTTGAATCCTTCCTGATTCTAGGTTTTCGTCGAGGAACTTGTCTAGTTCTTCTTGTTCTGCGGGATTAAGGGGATAGACTTTACAGTCTAGGCTAGCATTGGCGTTAGGGACCAGTTCGATGGCGTGGTCCTAAGGTTTTCGGGGTGGCAGTTCGTCAAAGTTTTTCTTTGCAAATACGTCCTTGTAATCTCGGTATGCTTCCGGTATGATTTCTTCGAAAGTCTTTGCCTCCTTTGCTTGGTTTGCCTTGGCCACCAGTTCATTGGCCTTGCTCCCCATGGCCCGCACCTGAAAGGCTTCTTGGAAGTCGATAACAAGTATCGTGTCTCCTTCTTCGACTTCATTTCCCCATTCTTGATCCGGGTCCTCGTCTGGTAACATGAAGGGTATCTTTCGGCAGGAACACCGTACTAGGGATACCGCTCCCATTTTCCAGTCTATGATTGGGTTATGCCTTTTGAGCCAATCATGCCCGAGGAAAAGAGGTATGCTTCCGAGGTCGACGACTGCGAGATCAATTTTTTCGTGATGATCTCTGATCGTCATACAGAGTTCTACTACTTCTGTGATGTCACCACCTTTGTTGCGGCTTCCATCTGCATTGTATACTGCTTGAGCCTTTGGCAGCTTTACCATATTGAGTTGGTGTTCCCGTACGAAGGATTGGTTTATGCAGCTTCCGGTGCATCCACTGTCTACCAATGCGTCTACGGCTCGTACTTCGCCGGTGTCGAGGGTTTCGATTTGTACTCGTACGTTTACACTCCTCCCCTTTCCTCCTCTGATGTACTGTGGCGGAACATGGAGTTCTTGCATATTTTGTAGGCACTGCTCCCGTTGTTGATATGTTTCCTGCGGGGAGCCTATGAGGTCTAGGACTAAGTCCTCGTCCACCTCGATTAGGCGTCTAGGGTGTACCCACATGCGTAATGTGGCTAGTCTGCCATCCATGGTCTTTTCTTGATGCATCTTCCTTCATACCCATTCAGCACTATGCGGCTTCATCCATCCTTGATCCCATTTGTCGTGGTAATACTCCGGTTCCAACTCCACTACTTCATAGTCTTCTGGGTACTCTGCGGCATGTTCCACTGGGTCTTTCCCTTTTGGTTGGTTTTTCAGGCTTTGTTGGTAGCTGTAGTCATCTTCTTCATCTGGTATCTCTTCCAGCGAAACGATATTTTTATTGACAGGTAACGAAGCACATAATGGTCCCACCGACCCGCCCACCGAGGAACACGAGCCCTCGGTGCCATTATGTGTTAGCGAGGTAGGAGGTAAATGCACCGTGTATTCTGCTGAGGAGGAGGAGGGGTCCCCATTTGTCTGGACTGTTCTTTGCGGGGCAGCGGTTTTGTTGTTGGGGATTCGCATTCCCTCTTGCGGCTCCGTTCCATGCTGAGGGCAGTCGGTCACTCGTGGCTGGCACGTACATGCTGCCCCCGAGTGGGGTTCTTCACTGCTCGCCTTGGGCTCGGCCGCTCTTCCTCTGTTCCCCACGCCGTCACCTGCCCTCGACGGAGTGAGGTTGATCCCAAGTTTCCCGCCACCTTGCACCGTGTTAACGGTTTGCACTGTGTTACCAGCACCGGTGGCCAAGGATCTTGAGTGGGGTTCTTCTTCTGGCACGGTGGAAATCCCCTGTACACCGTTCTTTTTATGCGACTTGTTAATTTCAATTTGTGAATGCGTGAAAACTGTGATATTGCTCGGAGATACTACAAGCGATTTATTAGTCTGACCCGTGGGGTTCAAAGACGCACCACCAAATGAAATTAAGTCCTTAGCCGATGCGCATTTGTCGCTTATGCCGCTGGCTTGTCTTTTACCTCCTCGATCTTTGACGTTGATGCTTCCGCTTCTTTGTCCCTTAGCACCTGTTGATACATGGCTCAGACTTCCGTGCGAGAGAATTTGGGTTGATGCTTGACAAGCCAAGTGCTTTCGTCTTTTGGGCACTTGTTGTCCTGCTTCCTATGTCTCTTGTGACCGCAGCAGAAGCAGCGTCCTTCCTTTCGAAGGCGATCTATCTCCATTGGTTGTCCCTGGCCCCCATACGTTGTTCCTGTGCCTGTCTTCTTGTCTCCCTGGGAATTTCCGGGACTCCCAGTTTTTCCCTTGCTCTGTGACCCTGGGCTGTTCAGGGTTTTTCCCGCATCTTCCGCTAGTCTGACCCGGTAGTTATAGTCCATTTGTTCGACTCGGAACTTCCACTCTGCGTACGTTCAGGGTAGTGCAGTGCCCGTGGTGTGTATGGCGGTTTTCACGTTTTTCCGGATCGCGGGTTTGAGGATTTCGATCATGTATTCCTCATTGTGCCGCTTCCTGGACTCCTTTGCTAGTCGTTCGAAGTCTCAGAAAAAGTCCTTTGCCAATTTGTAGGTGTTTTGGCATAGGTGTTTGAACTCTTGTAACTTTAGTTCTACCTCTGCATCGGTTCGGAACTGATCTTCGACGATTTGTTTGAATACGTGATATGCCAGATATCGCAGATGGTCGCACATTGGATCGTAGTACTCGTCTCTGGCGTGATTCCACCAGTGTAAGGCTTTTTCCGCGAATCGGAACGTGCAGAATATGATCCTGTTTGGGCTTTGTCCATGGGCATTCATTGTGAACTGCTGTGGGAACACCGCGAAGTAGTCTTCACATTGATTGAAGAATCTGTCCACGTCGTTCGAGGCCCCTTTGAACTTTTCTGGGGGTTCGGCTAATTGCGGTTTCACCTGCCCCCATGGGTTCGTATTTGCTGTTCCGACTAGGAATGGGGGTGGCGTGGTCAGTGGTTGTACTGGATCAGCAGGAATAGGGATTGCTGCGGGTCATGGGAGTGACCTTAGGGCTGGGTTATGGTGCGGAGATAATGGCCTTGTGGGGACTGTGGGCGCAGGTGCCGTGGGTACAGGGGCTGCTGCCGCTCCTTGTGATCCTGGTGTCCCTGTGGCTGCGAAGAGCCTGCTCGGGTCCACGTATCCAGTTCTCTTGAGAATACTCAGGTGGCTAAGATCCACCGTTTCTCTGCTGTCCGTTTCTGATGGTTCTGGTACTTGGTACCATTCCCCGGGTTCGGTGTAATCTTCGGGATGTACTTGGTTCCATAGAAGGTTGGTATGGAAGATTGTTTCTCTGTAGAGCACATGGGCCCCGATGGACGAGTTCTTTTCCTTCTGGAAGTACCTTCCTTGTGGCAACCCGTTCCACGAGATTTCTCTCGGTAACTTCCTTTCTGTCCAATGCAGCATTTCAAGATATGTCATTGTTACTAGCTCGGCCTCAGTAGGCTCCCGAGCTAGATCCTTCCACGAATTCTGGTATGACGTCTTTGTCGCCATACTCCCCTGCCCAGTGTAATCGCTCCGTATCGACGGCAGCCCGGTTCCACAGTTCTCGTAAATTTCTCCTTCTTCTAAGTCCGATTGGTCAGACTTGCTCGAAAGGCTCCATGCTTCCGGTAACGATTCTGTTCCAATTTCTAATGATTTGGGCCCACTCATTGACCCTGAGGACGACCTGATCAAAGTCGGGTCTTCGGGGTCGATCCCATACCCAGGGTGTGATGTAGGGGACAGGGGCTGCCAAGGGGTGTTCTGGTGCAAGTGGGTAGATGGCATAGGGGACGACGGAGGAAGGGGGTTCGATTCCCTCGTACATGAGCCAGGCGTCCGCATAGTCCTGTATTTGTCTGCATACGTCGCAGCTGGCGTCGGCGTCGTATGTGGGCTCGCATTGGTCGAGCTCGGTAGTGGCTTCCCCGGCCCTATCGTTGAGGATGATCGGGGTGTTTGGACGCGTGATGAGGTTGAGGTAGTCTCCCCTGTCGTCTGAGGAGTCCTCTCTTGCATAGTGGTATCCCCATGTTTCTCCCCTGGAGTCCAGCCTTGGAGGGGACCAGTCGTTTTGTGGCCCTGGGAGCTCATCGCTGCTACTGTCCTCCTCTGTATCGCTGCTTTCTGCATCTGAATCGCCTCCAATTCCATCTTCAGTTGCTCTTCCTTCTCCCAGACAGTATCTAAGCCCTCTCTGATAGAGGTGCTGTCCGTCTGAATCATATCCAGGGTTGGCGGCCGAGTTTTCTGTTGAGGTGGGGGAAGGGGCGTTCCAGGGGTCACTCCTCGAGCTTTCCCCTTCACTTTCTTCCTCGGTAATGGGAGAGAGAACATGCTGGTCCACCCCTTGTTCGTAGAGTCCTGGCTCTTCTTCGTTTTCAACGACTGGGCCTCTTTGTGTGGGCCATCCTTCCATGTCGGAGTCTGAGTCGGACTCGTCGGCGATGTAGATGAAGTGGACAAAGGTAAGGTCTCCCCTGTCTCTGTTGTCAACGTATTCAGGAGGGGGTGTGTCCGGTCGTCTAGCCTCCTCATTGGGGGCTTCGACGGGGATAGTTTCTTCGGAGACTGGCTCCTGGTTTCGTCTGTATTCATATCCATATAGGAATGCGAGGTAGGTTAAGGCTATGAGGCCTTGGAATCCGATGAAGTCGGTGATGGTTTGTTCAATGGGGTTCATTCGTTACTGTTCATCAACGTAGTTGTTGATGAAGAGTAAGAAAGTCTCGAACTAATTGTTAGCGACTGATAACACAAACAAGATCAAACAACTGAGCGTGACTTGCACTTTGGTCAGGTGCTCTATGTTGTCCGCAGGTTTGCGTGTAGGGAGCTATCGCTTAGCGATTCGAGAGTGAGTTCAGACTAAGTTATCAGGTGAATAAACTTTAGTTCGAGACTGAGGTTTAAGACCTGCAGTCGAGCTACTTAAATACAGTTTGAGTTGTTCTAAGTATAGTACAAGAGTCTGTAACGGTGTGTGGAACATGCGGTTCCCGTCTGGTGTAGTGCAATCAGAGTCGGAAAATTAGCATAACGGGATTACGAGGAAGCCGATGAGATAAGATAAGGTGTGAAATCGTAATAAAAGGACCTGTTCTGAGGTATTGGAGTCAGGACAGACTAGCCTGCAAACGCAAAAGCATTACCGACATCTTATATAAATCTGGGGGTGTTATACCAGTCCTGTTCGCCAGAGTACTAGGTAATGCACTGGCAAGCATTGGGGAGTACAGAAGTGGGAAATTCCTGCCGTTCTATGTTTAAGTAGTTCCAAAGTGTCAACGCTCGAAATGCGGTGGACGTTGAGTGGGAGCATGTGGGCTTAGACTAGGAAAATTCTGCCCAGATTCCACTTCCATGATGACCCTAGATCATTCAGATAAGTGAGCTATCACACAGCATTGAACACTCTAGACAGTGAGCCTCCTCTGGGTATTATTTGAGTACGGTCATTAATAAATCACAGAAGTAAATCAGTACACTCGCCTTTGACAGACATGGACTCAGAGGAGAATCGATGAGGGTGGTTGACATCAGATGATCGCCATGGTGATGTAAGCTCCCAAAAAGGCAATCATTGGACCTGGACTTCAGCTGCAGATGCATTGCATAAGTAGGCCGGATAGGAACGAAGTCACAGGTGTTTCTATTAGTTTCCATGCTTTTTGTATCCTCTAGCACACAGTGTGCTAGTCCAAAGGTGTCGCTCCATCTGTGTTTCTTTCATTTAATATATTGAGCCCTGATAGGTTCATGCATTGCACAGCATTTATATTCCTTCTCCTAGATATAAGCCACAATACTCATCATGTATACAATTGTAGTCAGCAGCCCATGTGTTGGAAGCAGTGATTACAATCTTCTGAAAAGGCCCTTAGGGGATTTGAGTGAGGTACCTTATCACGTCTGTCCAGGCTAGTTTTCTGATCATCCATTTCTGAACTCATTTGATGTACTGCGACCACTAACATAAGAAATCTACACTGGCAATGGTCACCTAGGGCAATACACCTGTCAACGGTGACCTTCTGCATTCAATTGTGGTATTCCTGCACCTGAATCGGCTTCTATTCAGGTGCAAAACGTTTCCATGGTCGGCTGTGTTCTTCCACAGTTCGAAATGCTGTTCCCTATACTGGCATATTCTTCAAGTCGTTTCTAGGACCATCAGGGGCAAACATCTCATTAGACTGAGCTGGTATCTTCTGATGATTTTTAGCTGACAGTTCAATATCACCTGTGTACGGCTCTTCATCCAGATAGCATTGATGTATTCGTCGCTGCTTGACAATGAGCAGCATGATGCGGCTGCTCAGGATGGAATGAAGGATAAGCTGAACATAATCAAGGAAGGGTGTGTTGGCCCACGTGGGGGCAAGGATATTTGCAAGAGTAATGAGGAAGAGGCATGCATAAAAGAACATCCCAGAGATGTAAAACTCGATGAGAAAAGGATGAGAAGAATGGCGGAGGTGCTGTATGCCCTTAAAAAGCGTGAGTGAAGCAATGACCATCTCTGAAATGAGTACAGGGACAAAGAACACCTCGGCTGTGGTTGGAGAAATGCTCAAGCAGCCAGGGAGATCAAATGGCAGTTCAATGACTATAAATTGGATTGTATTGAGTGCTTCAAAAGCATGGATGATAAACAATGTACATTGCACCGTCTTGAGTTCTATAGCAAGGCAAACTACCCCTGGTATAAAGCAGAAGACACCAAGCCCAATAAAACACCAGAATACCGCTCTGTGTCGATCCCATATTGCATACGTGCAAATCATGAGGACCACCTGCGATGTGAAAACCCCAAGGGCCATGAGCGGGCTCACGACAAAGGCAAATTGATGGCACTGGGCACAAGTGGGCTTATGCAGAAGCCAGTTGATGGTCATCACCACATAGACCAAGGGCAGGTAGCGGTTCAATGCAAACAGCAGTAAAAGGGGATGTACAGGCCGGGGAAGCCAGACATTATCAATTTCAGTAGGAAGGTAGAGGAACACATCATAGAGGATCACAGTTGTGCATGCGGTGAAGGAGTAGGACGAAAAGGATGCCTGTAAGGAGGGGAGTCAGAAAAAGTGACTAGATACAGCAGATGAAGAAAATAGGGCGAAAGATGACTCACCATTGAAGACATCCTGCTGAGAAGCACTTGAAATCCCGCTGGTCACTGCCAATTCTCAATTCTGATTCAACGTGTACAAATGAGACAAGAGCATGAAGGGAAGAGAAAGTGTGACAGGTGGTCTCAAGTTTCAAGCGGAGTACCAGTTCTTTTAGCACCTGTGGCCCTGAGATAGTTTATAGATGATGGCCTCAACCTCAGCATTTCTTATCTATCGCATGGTGATCAAGTAAAATAGAATCAGAAAAGTTTGGCAGACAAATGTGTTTATGATTGCAGCTGAAGTTTTCATGATTTCCTACACTGGAAACATCGAGGCATTTTTATTGTAGTCAAAATGCAAGACTAAAAATTTCGCTCACCGTGAAGTTCCCTGCCAGTGCTTGGTGCTAGCACTCCCAAATGAGGAACATTCATTTTCTGTATTCGTTCATAATGTTTTGGTCCTGAGCAGTGAGCAGCAAACATTAGTCCCCGTCAGCTCACATATACATAAAACGGAGATACTAACATGCAACAAGCCAGAGAACATCTGATATTCTGTCTGGGGCCTTGGTTTGTTTATTATTAATAAGGAAGAACGAGAAAGAAAAAAAACACGTACTTACACCAACACGCCTTCGTACCATCGACCAATCTGCTCCTCAGTTCGCAAATGCTTGCACTGCCAGACAAAGCTGATATGGTTCCTCAGAGTCATGCAAATCATTCCCAGAGATATTTGGGCCATATCTGAGAGCACGACATCCACCAAGGCTTTACCCATCTTCCGCCATCTGAGCCCAGGTATGGATGAATGCAAGAGGTTCGTAATCGCCGCATCCGTTTTAGGGTCGAGAAAGTCCTTCTGGAGAGACCAAATGCCAGGAATGGGGTTCATTGGAAGGAGGTCAACAGCAACAATGGCACCACGACCTTTGCTTTCACTACGAGCAATCTCCTCTTCCATTCTGTCAATATGGAGGGATCATAGTCACTACCAGGACGCGACGATTCTATGGGTCTTCGTTTGGATCGTACCTGGGGAAGGGTAGACGGTAATGGCTCACTGTCCTCCTCGGACCCATACCCCAAACGCCCACCATGATATGACCTGGCTCCACCCTCCAGGCACCACACTGAGGTCGATGACGACATTCACATCCTCATGGTCAAGGAAATTGAGCTGGATGTCGAGTTCGAGGAGTTTGAATGCAAGATGGGATGCTGAAAATGCTCGTTGTTTGATGTAGCAATCACGACGCTGGTGAGCTGTCCATTGTGTAGATGATTTTTTGGAGAGGGCGGTGAGGGAAGGAGGGAAGGACATGCAAGACGGCCAGAGTTGAAGGGCCTTTTGTTTGTGCAATAAACAACACGTGCTTATAGTTTGTTTTGGCTTGGACACATACCACCAAGTGACCGATTCTGAACAGGTGACGACTACTCAAAAGAAGAGATATTCGTTATGCCAGACCCAGGATACTTGAAGTAATATGTTTTGTTTTACTGATGAAATGTCTACTGAACGTCGCGCCAGTTCGTGTCGCTACCTTCACGATACACGCCATTCTGATGAGATCTGAACTGGCAGGTGAGAACCTCGGTCTCTTCATCGGCGATGGGGTTTTGTTTGGAAAGGGCTATATGCTGATTAGACCTTGATACTGGACTGGTGGTTCAAATTCATAGGCTGTCACTGCACATTACTGATTAGCTACATCTCTCCCACAGCAGGCCAAACAATCTATTCCACGGAGGTACGTACTTCCTCTCTCGTCTCCTGCATCTCATTAAGTCTTTCAACTAGCCCTTCAACCTCACGTGGGTCTCTGGGAGATACTTCGAAGAAGAATCCCTTAACATCACGGTCCTCCTCGTGCATAGCCCATTTACCAGTACCCTCAATGGTATAACGCTGGTTGAGGGCCTCGTCTCTCCCAACGCGGGTGTCAAGACGTATTCCACTGAGCTGACACCGAGTTACTTCTATGGGGACAACGAAACAGGAACGTTTGATGTGGTGATCCTTGAGACCTACTTGGCGTATGCAGTGAGCACGAGTGTTTCTTTTTTGCGGATGTGTTTGAGACTAATGTATTTTGTTAAGCATTTTAACGACGCAACTGATGTGTGGATCCAAACAGTCAACATTGTTTGATGACTATCCTTTTTTTATCCCCTCATCTTTAAAACAATCCAATGAAAGAAAAACAATTTACTTAAACTAAATCCAACTCCGTGTAATTATCACTTTGAAATAAAATAATATAAGCCTGAAGGAATTTTTTCACTTGTTTTTCACCGAGGTACTCACCTAATAGATCTGCAATGTGGCTCTCTAATCTGATCATCAGCCACTTGCACGAAGATATGTACGTAGGTCTGCAAAGTAAATACTCTCATGTTTCCAAAGTATGTTTTGAACATGCCGATAAAATGAGGAAGCGGGTTCAGATATTAAGGTACTTAGTCTCCAATGGGAAGAGTTTGTACAAGGAATATGTTGTGAGAACCTTGGAATTTGGTCGTGCTAGGATTGGTACGATTTACTCCAAAAAGTTGGTGAACAAAGGTTTTTACAGCCTGATTCAAGTCTGGTTGTGCCGAGTTGCCGCGGCTCGTGCTTGCGTTTTGCCGGCGGTAACGGTCCTGTCGTCCGTTCCCGCCTTTTCCTTCTCCAAACGACACAAGCAGTCGCGACCTTTCCATTGACGGCAACTCTACCTTCAATTTCTCATCCGAATGAGCTTTATCTATCTCTCCATTGTTATACAGACACGCCCATACTGCTCTGCTCCGACCCAGGTTTCAGCTCTGTAATGAGCGAAAGAGCGTCGATACTGTATAGAAATCAACGCTGGTGTCGATCATTGGGCGGGATTTGGACTGCGAAGGCTGGGCGGGCGTTGATTGAGAGCACCTACAAGCCGTATGTCCTCAGTCGGCATTTCTCCTTGCTCCTTCAGCTCACCGTGTTCAGGATGGGACTGGCCCACCAGCATTTAAGTCGTAGTGGTCGACCCAACAATGGCTACTCCTGCAGGTCTTGAACTTGAGGAGTGATAATGCTCGCCTCGACATCATTGAGCAAGCGAGCCCAAGTCTGACAGCCAAAACGTGCCGAAAAAAACTGGCTCTAGCACATGTATGCCGTCGTTTGTATTGTTTTCTATATCACAAGGTCCCGAAAGGACTAACGCTACCACCTCTACAGCTCTACCGCGTCGAACAAAATTGTAGGCTCCAGCGGACTCATCGCCAAGATCCTTGTCGCGATAAGTACAATCTATTTGAGCAGACGGTGCCTGCTATCCTCAAACGGAGGCGAACGAGGGAGAAGAGAACTTTTTCGGGAAGGTGTCGCTGATGTTGAAGAATCCCTATTGACTGGACTGGCGTTGATTAATGATTATCTATAAACAGTTCTCGATTCAACGTGGTCGATTTGGATGAGATACCAATGAACATCCAGTCAAATATTGCGAGAGGAGATGGTCGAAACCTTGATAAACATATCTTGTACGTCAACGATGAATCCATTCCTTCATTAGCACCAAATCTGAAATATGTTATTCAGAATCGTGAACGTTGTTTGACCATCAGCATGGCGTGGACCACTTCAATGAAAGCTGCCCGTCGTAATTCGCTGACTGTCATCCTTCTCTTCACCTGCGCCTCGCGTCACTACCACATTATCATGCTTTCCACTACGTCATTCAACTGTTATAGCATAGGCTGCGTCTTGTTCAAAGCGTCGAGTCTCTTTTCTAAGCAGGCAGCTTGATTGAAATTTCGCTTCACCTGTGTTTATTCACCTAGAACTGTCAGGTTGACAGTCAGAGGTTATTTCGACAGTACATGAAGGGAGGCTATCCCGCTTCTTTCTCGCGCCCTCTTACCTGGCGGCATGAATGGCTTAGATGTCCTTACAGAACCTTCTGTAACATGAGACAGAATCAATCGAAGACCGCTGACAGTAGTCTCTACAGAGCTGTTGGGCATGCCAATCCTACCTGGCAGTTCAATGTTTGCTTTCATCTTTGAGGCTAGGACGTTCATGGGATTCGTCGTCTTATAAAGGGTTGTATGATTTCAGGAAGAAATCATCATCAAGCTTACCTGCAAAGATGTTTTCTAAATGTGCGATACCCTCCGCCCTCTGTTTTGTGCTCATAGAACTAACCCGTCCTGTAGTTGTGTATCTCATACCTGCTTTCTTATCCGTCGTAACCGGAACTCTGTTGCCGCGTAGTGCAGGTGAGAACTTTCCCGTCGTGCCGTTTACTACGCTCATAATATTTTAGACGCCCCTGCTGGCCTATCATCCGTTCGGTCATTGGATGCACGTGCTGTCGCGCCTACGCTCGACTTTCACAACTCTACCTGGATTTGGACGGGAGAGAAACCAATGCCTCTCGGAGTACGACCCTTCCGCAAGACAATCCCGGCTTCAAAGACCAAGTGCCCCGTATGCGCGACTATCCTCATATCTAGGTCGGACCCTCTCTTCCCGCGCAAACGTGTACTCACACACTCATAGTGATGACACTTATTCCATCGTTGTCAATGGCGCAGAGATTGGATCAGGGAATGGTTGGGGTCAGCCAGCTGTCTATACTGCTGCTCTACAGCCTGAAAACGAAAATGTCTTTGCCATCGCTATGAACAACCTATATGTAAACGCCGCGTCGCTTATAGTCACAATCCATGTTGATTACAAAGATGGCACCTCGGAGACCATCGTCACTGACAATACCTGGAAGACACTCAAAACGGTACCACCTTCGGGCTGGGCGAATCCAAATTTCAATGATTCTGCATGGGGTAACGCGGTATCGATTCTGGCAGGGACAAGTACACCTTGGGGCCAGCCGTTTGTACTACCGCCGGTGATGAACATGACGGGTAGGAGGGAGATCTGGACCAACGAAAGTAACGCACAGGGGACTGCGCCTGTTGGACATAGGCCCTTCCGCAAGACTATCACTTCGCCCTACGGGAAAGCTGCTGTCTGTGGAAAGGTGGTTATCACTGCGTATGCGTTCTGTTTCTTCTCTTCTGTCCTCCTATTCATCTAACCGTGATTATCTAGGGACAACGCATATACTTTGTATGTCAACGGTGATAACATTGGCAGCGGGCGAGCTTGGAGATCCATGCAAGCATATTCGATCCCACGGTTGGATTCGGACGTAAATGACGTTGTTGTCGATGGCGAGAATGTTACGCCCAATTCCAGAGCTTGGGTTGCTGCCGGGATATTGATTGCATACAACGACGGGTCGTCGGAGAGGTATTATACGGATGCCTCGTGGAAAACGTTGAACTCTGCGCCTTCTGCCGGTTTTGAGCAAGCAGGTACTGACGATAGCTCTTGGATGAGTGCGACTGATTTGGGGCCTTTCTCTGAGTCAGGAGAGACGGTTCCGCGGGCTTAGGCTGAAATAGTTTCAATTTCGAGATTGATCTGTACGTTTCTATGTTACGGCTTTTTCTCAGGCTTATATCTACAGTGTCCTTGATCCTTTATCGTTTCCGTAAATTTCTCCAGAATTTCCCTTATTTCTGTTCAGCGAGCTCGCAATTTTTCTCCTTTCTGATAGTCACAATCTAGTATTGCTTTGTTCGGGCTGTTAACGTACAAGGTTGTTTGATTTCACAACCGATTGCTTATTTCTTTTAACACTCTTGAGAGTTGTGCACATCTAGCCTTAGGATTGTACTTCAACACCGTTCGTATTTGGCAAGATCCAAGAAGTTTTAGCGACGATTAGTACTGAAAACCGTCCCTACGACAATGTTATATCAAACCATCCATCAACTTGATATTGACATTTGGAAGAGCATTGAGGGCGTCCAGTCGCGACTTGGAAATCTTTTTCATCTCGACATTCATAGGCTCTACAGTGACACTTTTCAATGCTCCGCCAGCAATCCTAGACTCAACCACGTCAAGAATCAATTCCGCATAGCAGTTACTTTCGACGCCGGTTCGAAATTGATCGATACTTAGGTTCAGTTCCTGCAGCTTTGGCAGGAAAGACGAGTCGGACTTCATCTTCACAAGTAATCCAGACAGTTCTTCCCCGAAGAAGACTGAGACGGAGAAAGAATGAAGTGATTGGATATTAGATAGGATATCGATGAGGTCAATGTTTGTGCAGAAGGTCAAGTCCAGCGCAACGAGGGAGCATCTCGAACGATGAAGGAAGTCAGGGACCGAGGTATTGGGTAGTGCTTGTGGATATGCGCTTCCCGTTAACCTCAGTGTACTGATGTTCGGTGCAGTTATGACATTGAGCATATCTACACCGCCAACTTCAAGGTCCTGTAGAAATGGCATATGGATTACAGTGCTTTCAGAAATGCTGCTGCTGCGTTTTAAGGAGTGGATGCTCAGTTTCTTGACATTGGTGCAAGTGCGGAGAATGGGGATGGAGGAGAATCCTCCCTCACAGAAAGCATCTATATCGCGTAGGAGTGGGCAGTGAGAAGGAGACACCTCACTGAAACTCTCCCATATGACATCAGGCGCCGCCAAAACAAACGATCGCCAACGTGACGATTCTACCAAGAGCAGAGTGAAAAGACGGCTCCAAGTAGGGGAAGTTGGATTTACTGCAGAGGGAATTGGGAATGATAGGAAAATGTCCAGGGGGAGATCTCCAGAGCGATGGAGGATTTCAGCGAGAACCTGGTTCGCCGCATGGCTTGACACAGCACGAACCTCTGGATTCGGGCACGCATCGGACAATGGTGCTAAGTTCATCAAAACCATTATATCATCCGCGATGATACCAGGTTTTTTAGAGGAAGGATGTTTAATCGTGATTTCTATGGTGGACCACAACGATTTTGACGACAAGGATGCACTTCTCCAAGCGCTGCTGACTTGGCCAAGGACCCACAGCCCATCGGAAAAATCAAAAGACTGCACGGGGTATTTGCGGTCTTTGAGATAATGGCCAAATATCTTCTGGACAAGTTCGAGCGGAAGGGTGGAAGAAGGGTCTGGCATTATATCTGTCGTGCGCGTGAATATATACAAAAACCGATAAAATGAGATTACTTTTGGTAAAGAAATCCGGAGCAGTGCAAATGATGGCTAGGCGATTGTCGCAGCACTGTTGATAGAAGGTTGAGACTGTTGTCGTTTATGCTGATTGCCGCGGCTGGAGCTGCCTTCGGCAGCAATGCCGCGGGAATGCCGGTCGTCTGCCGCACTCTCAGTGCAACCACCACGACGAACTGCACGTCCGCTTCTATCTCAACCTCCCCCACAGCCTGACTTCGCGAATAAGAGTGGATTGCTACTTCATCTAGACTAAGTCTCCCGACCAGCACCTTGACGTTGCAGGATTGTTGCCAAACGATCGCTTGGCATTTGCGAACTTGCGTAGTATGCTGCTGGATCCATGTCTCTCTATCTTGGCCTAGGGATGACCTCGAGGAACTGTATTTTCCTCAAGAAGACTTTTCCGTGAATTACAGGATGCTCAAATCATGAGAAGTCGATGAAAAGGGTAAAATGGACAATCAGTCGATGGGAGAGGAGAGAAGATCAATACGTCGGCCTTCAATATGTGTTTGCCTGGTACAATGTGTCTCACGGCAAGAACGCCAGCAGTTGGCTGCCTCGGTGCCTATGCATGTTAAAGTCCAGGGTGGATATTCATCCCACTATCGGCTCCTTGCCAATTTATTGAATGGCGGAGTGCTAGAAATGCATCACTTGCGTAGGAGTTTGCTGACTAGTCTCGAGACGGCAGATCCGGATGTTTGCATATGGATGAGCGTGACAGAGGTCCCGTATTCTCTCTCTGGAGTAGTCAATGCGCCACTGCCGTAGGCTATTCATTGACATCACCAGTAAGTTCTTCTCTTTTTAGCTGTCTTTAATTGTTTATTCTGTTAGAACAGATGAAACCATCCTTTATAATTGGCTCGGCACTCCGTCATGTAGCTGCCCGTCAGACCAGTGCTTCGTAAACACCAGACTCGTACTACCTTGGACTGCCAAGAGGCATTAACCTGCAAAGGTCCGTGCTTCGTCATTAAGTGTGTTCGGTGCCATATTGAATGTCTATATTACACCAATAGAACACGACTTGTCCGGAATTTGTACTCGAGATCACTTCCTACGGGAAAACATTGTCTCCATCTTCTTGCAATTGCAGCGTCTCGACCATTGTTGGCTTAAAGGGCTAGTCCGGGCAACGTACCGCACAAATTGGCGCCAGCTAGCTCCAGAGAATCATTCCTACATATCATTCCTTTCATCTATCATAACTACGGAAGAAACGTAGAGCCGAATGCTCAACGATGAACAACGCATCCTTGGATATCTGTGAAATGCTCCACCGCTAGTTCTTGTAAAGCGGTTGCTGCCAAATGGCCATATCCTATCTTTCACTACCCTGTATGGGACTTATGGGAAGGAAAACGGGACAGCAAAGAAGAAAACGGTACGTGCTTCTCCTTATTCCGGTGGGGTTCACGGAAATATTCGTTCATTGATACTATCAGGACCGGTTGCGCGCTTAAACGAAGCTCTCGATGCACATGCAACCAGTCGCTTCACAATGATATGGCAAAAAAATCTGTATGATCTCTGTTACCTTCTTCTACCATCCTAACATCTGACACGCAGAACGGTTACACACTGGTAATACATGTCGCTGACTGGTCTCCGTGACACGAATTTCTTTGTCGATTCCTGCATAGACTAGCTCCTCCGAGGGGATATACGCATGCACCGCGCGATTGCATCACTCAAAATGCTGCATGTGTCTAATCAAGAAACCTCCTTAGAACACGATGCAATCTTCCGCCTTGCATCATGCGACTTGTTCACAAGACAGTGGAAATTGAAGACTGGCACGAAAGATTTTTTGAAGCCCTTCTCCTCTCCATGTACACTGTCAGGAATACAGCGTTTTCATTGTGCCGACTACCCGTTTGTCGAAATCCTTCAGTATATAAGGCTTCGACATTTGCTCGCAGAAACATCGACCTCGCTCTTACGATTTTATGCAAGGGTGGGCACTCATTCACCAACATCCTGCTTTGCCAGACTGACTTGTCTCGTCTAGTTGTTCTCTTGCTACCCGTATTCTTGTCCGTTGTGGGCGGAATTATATTGTACCCAATTGCAGGTTAGATACCTTACATACCGCTCTTTCTTCGTCGCCTGATAATCCTGTAGATGTCTCTGTGGACGTCACCGCAGACGTGTCTGCAGACATCGCTGCCGATGTCTCTGTGGGCACGGTAGCGCTACGATCGTTAGATGCGCGTGCCGTCGCCCCGACACTCGATTTTGACGAGTCTAACTGGATTTGGACGGGAGAGAGGCCGATGCCTCTCGGAGTACGACCCTTCCGCAAGGCAATCCCGGCTTCAAGGACCAAGTGCCCGGTATGCGCGACTATTATCATTTCGAGGTCGGTCTCCTCCTTTCCATGCAAGCGCCTGATACTCACACGATCATAGTGATGATCTTTATTCCATCACTGTAAACGGTGTGGAGATCGGATCAGGAAACGGTTGGACTCATCCCGCCGCATACACTGCAGGCCTGCAGCCCGAAAATGACAATGTCTTTGCTATCGCTGTGAACAACACAGTTGGAGATGCCGCATCGCTTATAGCCACGATCCTTGTTGACTATAAAGATGGCACCACCGAGACTATCATCACCGATAGTACCTGGAAGACACTGCGAACTGTACCACCGTCCGGTTGGACGAACCCTAGCTTCGACGACGCTTCATGGGGTAATGCGGTCTCGATTATGGCAGGGACAAGCACGCCTTGGGGTCAGCCGTTTGTACTCCCGCCAGCGGTCAACGTGATGGGTACGAGGCGGATCTGGACCAACGAAACTGACGCACAACAGGCTGCACCTGTTGGGCATAGGCCCTTCCGCAAGACTATCACTTCGCCCTACGGGAAAGCTGCTGTCTGTGGAAAGGTCGTTATCACCACGTATGTGTACTGCCCCCCTCTTTTCTACCGCTTTCTGACCGTAGCTCTTCAGGGATAATGCGTATACGCTGTATGTCAATGGTGGTAACATCGGTAACGGAAGTGACTGAAGATGTATGCAAGCATATTCGATCCCCCAGTTGGATCCGGACGTAAATGTCGTTGCTGTTGATGGAGAGAATCAGCCGCCCGTTTCTGGAGCTTGGGTTGGTGCCGGGATATTGATTGCATACAACGACGGGTCGTCGGAGAGGTATTATACGGATGCTTCGTGGAAGACATTGATCTTTGCGCCTCCTGCCGGGTTTGAGGAAGCAGGTACTGACGATAGCTCTTAGATGAGTGCGACTGATTTGGGGCCTTTCAATGAGTCAGGAGAGACGGTTCCGCGAGCGTAGCTCGAATCAAATCCCTATGCCTCTTTTTTCTCTTGAGTTCATGCCTCTGAAATTCTTTTCTCTATCTTTCTGAAATTACTTATAACCCACCGTCTTTTTTTTTCCTTATCCGGCGCGGCGGCGCCCAGTTGGCACTGACTTTTTTTCTCCCTTCCAAACTAATCAAAAACTAGCAGTACTACTTTGTTCGGGCTACTAACACATAGATATGCATGCTTGTTTTATCTTACAGTTGAGAACTTGACGTATTTTGCTGTCATTAGGGACAGAACTTCAGCAACAATGAATCGAGGCCCGAAGATAGATAGATAACCGGTCTAGGTCCCAAAAAGAAACGCCGGGGCTCTGCTGACACGGAACGTGTCACAGACCACAATCCCTCATGCCGCTGTGATATCCTTAGTCACCAGCCAAGAACGTCTCACGGATTTGAAGGGATTGCAGGGACAAATCATGCATAATATGTACCAGAAGGAAAGACATTGCAGTGTAAGGACCCCGATGTGGTGACACCACGGCATTTGTATAAAGCGTCGCCAGTGTAGCGTCATGAACGACGTGGGGAGCAACAATAAGGACAGTATACTAGGGTGTGAAATGCAGGGATGTGCGATGCCTTCTTTCTGTGTACAGTGAAAAGGCTCAGCAGCCTTCAATGAGCAAAGAGGAAGAGATAGCGTCAAAGAGCAAAGACGGAATCATTATACGAAACCCGTCGACAAAGCATACGAACAACGAATGAAGAAATAGCGTCCGAAGACGACATCTAGCAGACGGAGTAATTGATTGCGAGCGCAGCGAGTAGAAAGAAAGACTAGTAATCGACCAAATTTCCGTTCATCCCGCTCAACGGGGTGAGATGAGATTGAAAGTGTGCACCTATGAATATAGGGGGGAACAAGGGAAGGTGCTGGGACCAGGAGGCTTTGTGACGGCACTCCATGGCAGCAATAGCCTTTCCAGGGACACGCTACAGCACAGAGGCTATGGAGAACCATCGTGCGTTGATGCTTGGAGCAAAGAAAAGCACAGCCCCTAATTTCACTAGGACATCGCCCACATAGTTCGCGCAATATGCGGCGCAACGCCCATCGGATTAAGGTCTCTGTGAAGAATGTGCGGCATTGCCAGCACACAGTGACAGGGTCATTGTACGAACCCCCGCTCAAAGACACAAGAAAGAGAAAGAGGAGACCAGAGATGGTCAAGAGGATAGAAGATCATGGTGGGAGACCTAGTAAGGAGGTGCCAGTTGAGTGGTCTTTAGATGGCAGGGATTCACCCCGCCGAGCGAAGTGAAACATTGTAGCCACTAAAACAGGTTGGTTATACCCGGGCCGATAGACGAAACACGCTATCCTTTTCGAAAAGAAGGGGATCAAGAGCGAAAGTTGGCGGGACGATGTTGAGCAGTAGAGCCGGCGCCTTGTTTCTGAATGATGGATATGAAGACGCTGTTGCATCCCGAAACAGATAGCACAACCAGGAAGGAGGTGCGAGTTGAGTGATCTTTGGATGTTGGAGCTTCACCCCGCTCGGCGGAGTGAAAACCGAAGAAAGGCAAATAACCCTAACCCTAGAATACAGTTATTTACCGGTCATTGCAACACCATGGTTCAATGAAACACTTAGCCTCTTGCTCTCCCTCCCTTCATCCTTCATCATTAATTTGTATTGCATTGCTGATGTGTATTGTATCTTCATGTTCTACAGTAATTCTTCATATGTGACATGGATAATATTCCGAGAAATTGAGGCTTCTGTTCTAAAAATATCTATTTTCTCATGAACTCAAAATCTGACCCAGAAATGTGTGTCCTCCATCTGAATGTAATCACCCACAAAGGCCTCAATAATGTTAATGACCTTCTGAAGAACCTGTATGACAAGTTTGAGACCAGGCGCCCATTATCTGAGGAGTCTAGGGCATAGATAAAAGTGTGGTTCTGCCAAGCTATTGCCTTTGATGGACAGTCTGACAGTCCAATGCGCCTATTATTGCCCCATTGCCTCCGAATTTTATTTCTCCTCTTGCTCAATTTTTTACTATGCCTGGACATGCTAAATCAAACTTGAAAAAGTGCCAGATTACTCGCAAATGCCATGACCAGCTAATGGAAAAGGCAGTCATTGCACACAAGAATGAGCTTGCCAAACTACCCGGTGCTCCTCAGAAAGATGCAAGAAAAATCTGCAAAGATTTCGAGGCTGTATATCAGAGGGAGACTGGAAAGGAGATCTCGCTTTCTTATAGCACTCGAGTGATTCCAAGTTGCTGACTAATGAGGTTTGGGTACATGGGCCGGACTGTTTCAATGACTCAAAATAGCCCAGAATACCCACGCCACAATAATGCTGTGAAAGCGGACTTGTACCCGCACCTTTGAGCATCTTTTTTTTACTGTATCTTATTGTTGCATAGTATTACACATTCTTACATTCAAACCTAGTCAAAATTCCCAACCAATTGGAACCTACAGTAAATATCCAATTTTGCTGTTTCATTGACCGGTAAATAACTGTAGTAACCTCTTATCCTCACGATCATCGTGAACTTTTCGAGCGCCCATTGAATCGGTCTGTACTTCACCTGGAGAACCACTCAGATTTACATGTTTTGTTTCGATTATCTAGGTTCACACTGAAAGAATCAAACCGAATCTTGCAGAAGGTCAAGCTCAAACTTCGTCGAGGTTGGCCTCAACTTTAAGGCAACACTGTCGATTCGCCGTTTACAGCACCGTTCATATCAATGGCCTTGCCTAGGTAATATGAATATCTTTAAAACAGCTATATATCGGCTTTTTTGTCGTATCTTTTCTACTGCGGCGATGACGCCTGGACGCGGACGACTTGATCCTCACTAGCAGGTTTCAAATTCCTGGTCATGTAGACGTCGCAAGGTAAGTGCCAGCATATCCTTCCATTCGTGGCCGAGTACTGTTTAAGACAACAAGGGGGCGATCGCTATTGGTCAAAGCCTACAATAAAGGGCCGTATTTACATTTCCAAAAAGCAAGGCCAACATTGTTAGCTTTTTCAACGTTTTTGTCTTTGTCTTCAAATGTGGCACTGCAGATCGTCATATAAAACGCCGTTCATGGTCGGATCATTTGTCTGTCAACCCGGATTCTCCCCTCTGCTTTACCCTCCGACTGTCCGATATACATGGCAAAGCCACGGACGAAGTAAGTTGCCAATCTTCTGACTTGCTTACAAGATTCTAATCATTTCTCAGCTTCCTACAAAGGCCCAGTGACAATCCCTACCTCACCCTCAGTACGAACTTCGGCCTCCCGTACACTTGTCAAGATCTCTGCACCCGCATCTTCGAAGCACCCTCCCTCAAACACCTCCTTAAACCTGGCTACGACGGATTCCTCATCAAAAGTCTAGGCCGACCCGGTAGCCCCAGTGACCCATACCTCCCCTCACTTTTATGGGAACTCTCTCGACACGAAGATATCTGTACAATCTTCCTTGAACAGGTGAACTGGTCCTTTTTCAATCCCTCGCGACATGTGTGGCATGCCTCCATTACCGCCTTCCGCAACGTCACGTATCTCGGCTTGATCGAAGTCTCACTGCTTGGCGAGGAACTATGCTCCCTTATCCGTTCATTCCCACTACAAGGGCTAGAGCTCCATAAGTGTTCCATCACTAATGCCCTGCCATTACAACCTCTTGCCATAGATCCAGAAACGATTATGCTTAACCAGCAAGGTCCCGAGATCGAAAATCTGATTATTACTGTGGGCGAAGATTCTAGTCTTCTGGAGTTTTTCACCCAACTCTGGTCCCCGTTGTCGTTCCGCGAGCTCGGGGGACTCTCAATCTCAGGAAAGGGCGGTAGGGATAGTGCACAAGAGATTGTCAGATTGGTCGAAATCTCAGATCCTTTTGACTTGAGTATAAATTGCGACAATCTATATCTTGGTCGGTACTACCTTCTTCATTATAGATTGTGTACTAATTACCGCGCCTCTTCTAGGAAACGCACCGCCTATCCTCACCCTATGCGATGTAAGAAAACTCAGCATCTTTATTCCGTTCGATGGAGCGAAGGACTTCCAGCGCACCAGTGACTGCCTCTGGTGGTGGATAGCCTCTCTTAAAGAGGTTCCACAAGATAATGACTTCGCCGAAATATCCATCAAGTTCTTTGTGAATCGATACTCGATCACTTACCTTCCTACGGGAAGGAGTATGATTCCGTGGATCCATTTCGACGAAGCACTGTCTGACTGGAAATTCAAGTTGTATGGCAGGTTTAGTGCCATTTCTTTGAGGGCTGACGAAATGGACATGCCACCCTTCGATCCCCAGCTTTATGACGAGTGGATCCGATCTTATGCTCTGGTGAGATCTTTCACCAGTCACCTCGGTAATAGTTTTCGACGACGTGCTTAACATTTTACTCGTGATGACGACAACAATGATCCCTATGGATAGTAGCCGATGTAACAATTTCTACAACTTGTCATAGATAGTTTTCAGCAGTAGAATGTAGCCGGCAAGGACTCAGTATGTTATGACAATTATATCGCTAACACCAGCATGGCGGATCCAGTGCGAACCGATGCGGTCTGCGCGACATGGATAACATTGACCATGATGAATGTACCAAATTCATCTTCCATGGAGACTCGTAGAACATGACCACTAGACTGTCGCTATTGAATAAGATGGAGTAGCTAGGACTAAACTAGAGAGTGAAAGACCTCGGAGAGGAAGACAACAATCAGATTCAAGCACTTATATTGTCAGAATTAGCCAGACCCTGGCGCTCGGTGTGAAAGCGACTGATCGTCTCGTGGATTTGTACCACTTGTTACCCAACATCGCAAGCCGATCTCGGTTCGCGCTCAAATGTAGTACTGCTATGTTGATATTACCACTACTTCAATTATTCGCGCTACTCCTTCTTCTAACAAGACTCCATCTTCGCTCGTTATTAAGTAGTCGCCGCTTGTGAGGCCCCGTCTATAGTTCTGAGGTGTCCCGACCAGTTCCAGTAACTACGTTTGAGTCTCGTAACTTGAACCCTCCCGACCAAAGCGTCCCAAAAACGTTGCCAGGATCGTACTGCTTCTGGACATCCAACATGCGAGAGAGACTTTCTGCGCTGATAGACCTCATGAGAGCGTCCTGCTCGCCCGAAGCGTAGTTCATATAAACAAAATCTTCTAGCAGCTCCTTCTTAATAGCCTCCTGCTCAGACCACCCTGCCAGCTGTCGAATCGCAGCACGCATTCCTTCTCCATCGACAGGATCCGTCCACGAGGACATGAATATCAAAACTACGTGATCTTCCATCAATATAGTCCGAGATCTTAAGAAGGTCAGACGAACCGAATAAGTCTTCATCAAAGGACAACGAGGACGGACTACCACCGTTCCTTTCCGCGTTCGCTCGAATCATTCGTCGCGAAAGTGGCTGGACACCTAAACCCCAATGGCATCCAGCTCGTTCGATTATGGGTCTAAACAACTCTTGGCCCTTCGAAAAGATATCTAGCGGGAGTTGACTATCTACCTTGATAGTCAGGGAGAGCCACTGGTTGTACCCGCGAGTTGCAGACTCCTCGCCAGACCACTCTGCAAAGATGTTGCTCAGTTTGGTTTTCCTGAGAGTATTGAGCAGTGGCGAAGCGGATACCAGTGGCGGCGGTACACTCGAGGTGTCCATCTGGATGCGTGGGACCCAAACGACGTATTGCTGCGTAGCAGCAGACCATGTGAGAAGCACTGCGAGTGATTGATCGGGATTTTCATTCAAGGAGCCCAACGATTGGACTAGGGAGAACACCAGTGATGAAGATTCTTCTATCGCGAAGACCTGGGCGCCACCAAAGACGCTGTCTATGGGGAACACAGACATGGTGAATTGCGTGACGATCCCAAAGTTGGTACTGCCAAGTTTGAGAGCCCAGTAAAGGGTGGGGTGGCTCGTTGAGTTGGCGTTGACGATTTCTCCCGATGAAAGGACAACTTCGTAGTTGATAACGTTCGAACTGGCGAACCCGTGCCGAAACGAGAGGAACGAGATGCCTCCTGAGGATATCATCAGCATTTTTTATCTTTGTTAGCGGACGAAGTTCACGGACCACCAACGATAAATCCTCCGACTCCAACACTCGGCACCCGACCGCCAACCGTAGTGAGATTGAGAGGCTCAAGATAGTCGTATACATCTTTCCAGCGTAACCCGGAGCCTAGAGTGACACTACCGCCATTGTCGGAGATGGCAATCGTGTTGATGTTTGCGAGATCAACGGCAAATCCTTCGGTACCGATGTTAGATGCACCAACCCAGGCCATATGACCTCCACTTGTGACTGCAAACTGACACCCATGGCGTGCAGCTACAGATACGGCCGTAGATACTTGGGAGGCATTCGAGGGAAAGACCACGCAAGCCGGTTGCATGCCCCCCTGGTCAAGCGAGAAGTAGGTGCTCGAATGAGAGTCATAGTGCTGTGAACCAGGAATGGCGACATCGAGAGTCAAGGAAAGTTCCTTGCACTGATCTCGGTCAGAGGGCAGCCTCACAGGATGAAAGTGAAGCTTACGCAGCGTTCGATGTTTTCATGGGCGAATACAACAATCGAAACCCATCTGATGATGAGGAGCCAAATGAGTCCCTGCACTGAGAGAGGTCGCATCGTAATTGACAGGGTCGTGATTGACCACGCTGCGAGCGTGAACCATTCTTATATCTCACAACTATCATTCCGAAAACATCGCCGTTGATTGCATCTGATGAGAATGAGATTGAACGGCCTCAATGCGGATTCCGGGCTCCGAGGCTCTAAGACACGACTACTTAGATCAGGGCCCTGCCAGGAGGGAAAAAGATAAGACGCACCATGGTACTAATCTAATATGTTCTTTTCCAGAAAAGGTGGCCAACGAGTCGCGTCTAATAAAGTTTAATGTAATTACGGAGAAGCAAGCATCTTTAACCGAAGACAACGACGTCACATTGTTGGTGATTGAAGATGCCTGGCTGTAAGTGAGAGAACGAGTCTTGTCCCTTGACGACATGATTCAGAACATATCAAAGACACTACAAGGTCTTGCACGCCTCATCCTGTTGACAGCAGAAATGCCAACGTGGCCGCCACGAGCATGAGCAAATGTCAATATTTTCTTGGCGGTCAGATTGAGCTGACATGGCTGACATCGGGGTGTGCCAATGGCAGTACGCCTCGCTGATAAGGGCCTAAAGTTGGCAACGCCATCTTATAGAGCAAAAGTAGAGAAGGATCGAGTTCAATAACTCGCTAGAACCATTGCCGCATATTCTCCATCCTTCACTGCTCCATTCTGCGTGCTCATCATGGTTCAGTACAGTCGCTACATCCTGCAAAGAATTAATATTACTGGAGCGCGAAAACAATTTGAATACGAACCTGTCGGAGTGGGGAGAGAAAAAGAATTTATGAGTTTTATTTAACGATCTTACTTGCAAGAGCTGACAGACGAATTCGCGGTAGGACGGGCTAACAAGGTCATCGTAGTGACGGTATAAGACAGAAAAGGCCCGCCAAGTTCATGCAACCTCGAAGCCGCCGGCATTTCCAACGGCCCGATAACCCGAGCCTAGATTCTTTTGGGCCTGCCGATGCCTGCCGAAGACTCGGAAGAGCACTTGGCCGCGAACAAGCCGCGAAGGACAGAAATTTGATAGAAATCATCACGAAGGTTCGTGTCTCCGCCAGAGTTCTTACTGTCTCAATGATATTTTTTCTCTAGTAATTATCCTGACGGAAATACCAGTAAACTCGTCCCGGGGTCGTGTGAGACTCAAAGAGTCACCGTAAGTATACAATGAGTTGTTTGAAGCCACAGTATAAGCAAGAAGTTGAAGAATATCTTCTCCTTGCGTTACTTAGCTGCCTCTGCAAGGCTGATCGCTGTCGCTGCGGGACGACTGAAGATTTCCTTGCCTGCCTGCCTGGACTTTCCATTAACTCAGGCGTAAACTTCAATGCTACCCACCGCAGTACTTACACCCCTGCAAGAACTCGCATCACCATTACCACGACACAGATTTGGTAGTACCATATTTGCTTCCATCTCGTATCATCTGTCAGCAACTAATCTCCCCGTGGTCACTACGCTCGTTGATAAGCTCCTCTATATATGTCTTTGTTAGCTACCGGGCCGCTCTCGGTAGAGATATACTTTGAACACTACTCTGCCCACGCTAATACTCGATCATGTCTACTCCAGGATTCCCTAGCCCAAATCCTTGTCTTTCATTCTGGTTGCAGGGGGTCCGTTCGTCGCCTCTCATCGGACATCGTACCACTGAAACATTGCCTGCCACGGCAGATGTCGTGATTATCGGTTCAGGTATCACGGGCGCGTCGACGGCGTACTTTCTCCTCACGGGAGAGAACCCTCCGAAAAGTGTGGTCGTGCTGGAGGCGAGGGAGATGTGTGATGGTGCTACCGGGAGAAATGGCGGTCATTGCAGGCCAGACTGTTATCGAGGTGCGTTGTTATTGTTCAATTGGTTGTATAAAGGGTATTCATGGTAGTAATACAGGGTACAGTGGGTATAAAGCCAGATTCGGTAAGGAACAGGCTTTGAAGGTGATTCAGAATGAGATGGTGAGCATCCCTTAACATTGCATCGGAGTTGTTCTGACGAACAACAGGACAACCTCAACTTGGTGGCCGAACTCATTGAGAAGGAAAATATTGACTGCGATTGGTGGAGAGGAAAATCGCTTGACGTCGCCATGGACCAGGAGTGCGCCGACCAGTTTACCAGCTCGTACAAAGAATTTCAAGCAGACGGTGGTCCTATTGATGGCATCGTCGACTGGTATCCTGATCCAGCAGAAGCGAAACGTGTAAGTCTCAATCAATACCCCTACTTATTCTTGTCCTTATCCACTCTTAGCTCTCTAGAATCCCCGAAGCCGTTTTAGTAGCCGCGTTCCCGTCCGCTTCGCTCTACCCCTACAAACTGGTCGCACATCTTTTCACTCAGTGTATCGAGAAATACGGTCTCAACCTTCAGACATCTACCCCGGCCACGGCGGTGAACCCAGCTCCGAACGGGAGGTGGATCATCGAGACCCCGCGAGGAATTATCGCAGCAAACAAGGTGGTATACGCGACCAACGCGTTTACGGCTACGCTACTACCAGAGTTCATTGGGGGCATCATCCCCATCCGCGGGCAATGCTCAGCCATTATCCCTACCAAGGCGTACTCAGGCAAGAATATGCTCATACATACGTGTGCGTATCAGTGGGGACATGTACGTCTCATTCCATTTGGATTGGAGAAACTTTCTAACCTGAACTCAGGGTGGATACGACTATATGATCCAGCGTCCCAAGGATGGTATTATCATCATCGGTGGCGGCAGGTTCAAAGTACCCGACTCGGTTATTGTGGGGCAGACGGACGACAGCGTCAAGGTTCCGGAGATTACTGAGCATCTGAAGACTGCCATGCCGACGTACTTTGAAAACTGGGGAACGGAAGCGGTGGGTGAGGGTCTCTTACATGACTGGACAGGTGGGTAGTATATTATCTATTTCAGTCGCTCTTTAATCGTCATGGCAGGGACTATGGGTTACACTCCGAAAAGTGAGTGTACTTATTTGAGAAAAAATCTCGAAACTTACGAACTATCTGTAAACACGTAGTGGTCCCATTCGTCGGCGAACTACACGACAAACCTGGCGCGTTCATCTGTGCGGGTCATGCAGGCCATGGTACAGGTCTATTCCTTCAAACAAAGATCGTCTATGCTGACACATAAAACAAGGAATGGCGCGTATACCTGCATGTGCCAAAGGTCTCGCGGCTCTGATACAAGGAGAACCTTGGGAGAAGACCAAAATTCCCGAATGTTTCCAACCCACCCCAGAACGATTAGCCAGATTTCAGGCGTGACGACCGGAGAAGAATAATCATTACTCAGTATAAATGTATAACTAAGCTTGATAAGTGTATGAATAATAAAGCGTATCTATAATACGAAAGCATGTTTCTATCTGATTAGCCCGCCGCCGGCAATTCGTCTAAGTCCTTATCATAATAAAGACAGCCTCCCAATCAAACGTCCATATGGCTACGATGATCCCTTTTCTCCTCCTTCCCCTCCTCGCACAGGCTCAATCCCAGCTCCCGCTCAAGCTAGACGAACCCTGGTCCTTGAAGTATGGCGCCCAAAAAGACATGGGATTCTCTGGAATCACCAGCTACGCCCACCTGCCCTACTACAAATGCCTCGAAGATGCATCGCACTCCTTCGATATCGCTATCCTTGGTATGCCATTCGATACCACGACGTCGTACCGTCCTGGTGCGCGTTTCGGGCCATATGCAATCCGGAGTGGGAGCAGGAGACAGTTGATCGGGGACTACTCATGGGATCTGTCTTGGGAGACTAATCCAGGAAGACTGGGCTCAGAGATAATCGATTGTGGAGATGTACGTCGGTCCGAGGTTGTCTTGAATTTTGATATATTTCTGAATAGGTCCCGGTGACGCCAGTGGATAACGCAAAAGCTATCGACCAAATGGAAGTCGCGTACACGACCTTACTGAACAGGCATGGAGTCGGGGCTACTAGGACATCGGGGCTGGCGAAAGACGGCTTGGAACATCCACGTATCGTAACGCTAGGCGGCGACCATACGATTGTAAGCCGGTTGAACACGCGATTATCGTTTTCCATGTAACGGTTTGCAGGTCCTTCCCATCTTACGCGCTCTGTACAAAATATACGGCCCCATCTCCGTCATCCACTTCGACTCCCACATGGACACTGGTACCGTCGAAGGGCGGACTGACCAAGAGCGTATCACCCACGGATCGTACTTCACCATCGCTTATGAAGAGCATCTGATGACCAACACGAGTATACATGGAGGTATCAGAAGCAAGATGCGCGTGCGTATACTCGACACTGCTATTGCGACGTGAATGCTGAGAGAGACGGAAAGGGCCCAACACAAGTCACCCATGATGAGAGTGTGGGCTTCCAGGTAATCAGCGCGGAAGATATCGATGATTATGGGATCAAGAACGTAATTAAGGCGATCCGAAAGCGCGTTGGTGATGGTCCAGTATACTTGAGGTGAGGACCGTCCCCATCTCGAAGATAACACGCGTCGACTTTTATTTCGCCAGTCTCGACATCGACGTTATAGGTGGGCATCCCTTTGATGAAAATAACTGCTTCTGATCCTCGCCCTCCAGATCCCGGATTGGCTCCAGCCAGTGAGCACCAAAAATCCCCGTTATCATCACCTCTAACAGCATCGCAGCCGGAACACCGGAAGCCGGCGGATGGACCACACGCGAGATGAAGCGGATTATCCGCGGCTTGGCAGGGCTCAACTTTGTGTACGTCCTTTTCCTGTCAGAACCCATACTCTGCTGACTTCTCAACAGTGGCGCTGACATCGTCGAAGTTGCGCCAGCTTACGACCACGGTGAGCTTTAGGATTTCGACCATTTCATATTACAGTATAACCTGACAACAACTAGCGGATATCACTGGTATCGCAGCCGCCGATCTAGTGCATGATTTTCTGGTGGCCATGCAGATTGATGAACCACCAAAAGCTGGACATAAGGGGTCTCCATGGGCGGTCGAGGATCTTCTGCATTAGACAAAGGTCGCGGCTATGATTGAGCACGAACCCAGCCATTGTTTGTTCGGGTCCAAGTTGCGCCATCTACAAAGATAATTAATTGAACACAGCATGTACTTGTGAGCGTCAGAGGCGTACATAGTTTTAATAGACTTAATGTCGGAGACAGTCCATGGAAAAGTTTGTCGTTGATGCGATCAATCGCTTTCCGCAAAACATCGTCGTCCTTGTCAGTTGTGATGTGTGTAAACTTTTTGAGATGTTTAAGCTTGGACAATTCATCGAAGGAGGCCTGGAGATAAGCTTATGAGTACTTGACCTATGCAGAAAAAGACGAGCACCTACAAAACGAGGTAGAGGACCAGACCTAATAGTGACGTTTTCGATTTTCGGTAAAAGAGCCGATATATAGTCCATCAAAGGATTATATGAGGCTTGGGTGGTGCAAACAAGGGTCTTGCAGCTATCCCTCGCAGCCGAATCAGCCAGTGTTGCAAAGGTCCTCTCGATTTCCGGTATGCCGTATACGCTAAAATCGATTGAGGCAGAAGTCAAGTTCCTAGCATTCGGTACGGCGGCAATGAAGTAGTCGAAAGGAGCTGAAATGTGCTCCAGCAATTCTATGTGACGAAATACCGGCGGAGCATCATTGCTGGAGAAGGTGTCGCATTGGAGTGAGACTTTGCGAAGCGTGGGATGCTTGTCTATGAAGGTTGATATGGCAGGCGGAACAGTGAGATTTCTGAAGGCGAGAGTGACGGTGTGCATTTTAGGGAAAGAGGCCATTTCGAGCAATTCGACAAAAGCTGCTTCGTGGAATTCGCAAGTCATCCGAAAGACTTCTACGTTTTCCAGCTGAAGAATGGCAGGGACGACAGTAGTAAAGGTGTTAATATCCTGCAAGATAGAGTTGACGGCTTTGACACTGAAATGGTCTGAATTCGAATTTCGACACCCTTTCATCAATAATATGCACCTTGCCAAGTCCAAAGCTAGTATCCGAATACTTTTGATCATGCGCGCCCTCGCCGGGTCCTGGTCAATAGATGCCCTGAAGGAAAGGGCCGACACTGATTTTCCATGGCTGATGTTGAGGTGAACATCGCGGTATAACAAAGGGAACCCAATTTCGTTAAATAACTTGGCGACTCGTAGCAAGATGGCGAGCTCTCTGGGACCACTTAGCCGAACAATTTCAGAAAGGACTTCATTGGGAAGCCATCTGATGATTGACCAGGAGGACTTGTCCATTGTAGGCAGTCGGGGAGGTAGTGTTGGTTGGAGTAAAAGAGGAGACGGCAATTGCCGAAGGACTGCTCGAAATGGATCAGCCACGGTCAGTGATATCTAGGCTCGTTTACCAGCCGGCGTTTCGCCCACGTGTCACAAGCTCACCTCTCTACGTCAAAACATGTCAAACTACACCAAATAACCAAACAACCGTATAAGGAATTTGCATTACGAGGTGTAAGCTTGTGAACGTTGACTGGCTAGCGAGTCTAAGTGATATCGCGATCGGGGGCAAGAAAAACCGAGAAATTTGAAAGAAAGGATCCTTCCAGGAAGAGATAATTATTTTTAAAAAATGGAGAATAAAGGAATTTACGTGCATTAGGAAACAGTCAGAGATATCCAGATAAATCCTTAGTTGAGGCTAAGTGAGCCGGCGGCGAAACCGCCGAGAACTGGCACAACACGAACCCAAGCCAGGTGATGCTTTAGCCTAAATATTGGCACCATTCACATAAACTATATAAGCTCGAGGGATCAGGATAGAGAAGGGGGAAGGGAAAAGGATAGAAGAGTGTGGTGCTGATAGTCACACAAAGTTTAAAAAAACTTTGTACTACAGTTGCACCAGTTTCTCAGTATCAAGACAAGAACCATCTATTACGAGTTCAATATATTGTTAAACTGATTTATAACCTAAATAATTACAAGGATCGTTGTACTCGTCGCCAGCAGATTTTAACCACGTTGTCGATAGCAAACACCTGTGTGTCGTTCAAAAGACTTTGGTAGAGCATTAGATTCAAGCCAGCGTTCATAAACCTCGCCGTCGAATGGCCTGGAAGTGCACCACGTCCCCATGGCAACAGAGAATGCACCATTCAGCTTGAATTTCCCATCAGACAGAGCCTCGTCGAAGGCGATCCATGGAATCATACTCATCCCCGAGGGAAGGTAAGTAATAGACTCCAGCTCGGCCTCAACATGAATGACTATATCGACAATCTTGTTGTTCCGTGGAACTAGCTTGAGGGAGGACGTCCACCACTGGAGGCAGTCACTAGTGCGTTGGAAGTCGTTTGCGCCATCAAGGGGCAGAACGATCTCGAGCTGCCTTACTTCGGTCCACCCGATAGAAATAGACGGTGCGTCGGCTACAACGGTACCAGCATTAGTATACAAAACGCAAGTAAGTAATCACCAAAGGGACTGACCAAAACAGTAAAAGTTGGCGCAATTTACATCCAGCTTACTAGGAACCGAGATATCGACCAATCTTGCGATCTCTTTGGCGATGTCCTTACCACCTGCCATACCCTTTCCCGAGATTTTGAGATCTCCGAAGTAGAGAAATGACAACGGGGACCAGGGCTGGTTGAAGAAGTCCACAATGGTATCGCAGTCTTCACCAACAGTGATGTCCAGACTTAGGATCTGGGGACCTTGCTGGTTAGCCATGACTGTACGGGCAGGGATGGCACTGAGCGTTTGCGATGGGAAGTCATTGGTGATGGTACACATATGAATTTCTAGGTTTTGCAGTAGTGGGGCTGAACGAATGAAGGAGCATAACTCTTCGGCAAGGAGTGAGATGGAAGTCAAGATCAAATAAGTGACGTTGGGGAAGGCGGTGATGGAGGCATGCCACGCCTGGCGGGATGGAAAGGAACGCCAGTTCACGTCAGTGAGGAAGATCGTCTCGACCCCTTTGTGTCCAGAGAGTGCCGTTAGAAGTATGGGGACATACGGGTCAATAGGGCTATCCTCTGGGCCCTCCTTCTGGAGGGAAAATCCATCATAGTGGGATCCGAGGACATGTTCGAGAGAGGCCGCATTGATGATGCGGTTGTAGAGGTCCCGGCAGTTGTATGAGAGGCCATAATTTGTGCTGAGTGTGTGGTAGGGCATGTCCCTAGGAGGCCCTTGCGAGAAACTGGGAATGAGGTTAGGGTGTTGTAGGCGATATCAAAAACCAGCAACGTACGTTAACAGTGGGTTCGCCATGCCTATAGACGTTGAATCGGAGAGAAGAAGTGCTGAAGAGATGACTTCAACACGGGTGACATTTTATATGGCAGTCTGCATAGCTGTGCCACCTTTTGGAAGGCAAAATAAGACAAGAATAACATTGCAAAGAGCCAGCATTGTTAGATTTTCAATGTTTTCTTTGAATGAGAAGGCGTGATTCCGGTTGTGCCGATTCCAAGGCGAAACAAAAATTCATAGACGATCTTCATTGTTCAGCAGTGAAATGAAGCATAGTAAGGTGGCACTTGCCTTGACTCGGAGGGAATCTGAGACTTTAAAATACGATCTAAGTAGACAATAAGTACTCAAGTAGCTGCTCTGTAAGTATTCAGGTTCTCCGAAAAAACCTGCAGGGTAAGGCTATTAATATGAACGGTGTTGGAAATGGTGAATCGACGATGTCGTGTAGACAAACCTTGACAACGGTGGGGAAACGATTTGATGTAAAGTTCCTCGGCTTATCGCGCGAAGGACAATCAGTTTCGCCAGTCGCTTGAGAAGTTGGCGACTTGATTGAAACTTCACGCTGCGCAGTGGTCGTTTGAGACAAAGCCTTATGGTTCTATGGTCAGGGTTGCGATCCTTGCCTTCAAGTTCCTCTCACGCCGTTCCAGTCCACAGTTCATCACGACTGCTCGTAACTGACTGTCAGGTCGGCTTGCAATAGACGTAGGCGCATAACTCGTAAAATCTTGTAAGAAGTAAAGTCATCAACTGTGAAATCAAATAACTACGCACATTTTACAGCCCGAATAGAAGTAACTTAGAAGGGAGAAAATATGTGAACTTGCTGAACAAAAGAAAGAATGAGGATATAGTTATCAAAAGATAGAGATCAAGGCCTTTGTAGAAGATAACTCGAATAAAAAGTGGATGAAAGCTATTCAAGCTAAGCCGGCGGAACGCTCACCACCGACTGCAAAGCCCCAAAATCGGGTGGACTGATCCAAGAGCGATCATCAGTAGCGGCCTGCTCAAACCCAACGGGAGGCGAAGATTTTAAAGTCTTCCACGAGGCATTTGTATAATACCTCTCCGATGGCCCGTCACTCTACGCAATCAAGATACTGGCGACAACCCAAGCCTTAGAAAGGGGAGGTTGGTTCTCTCCATCGACAGCAACGACATTGACATATGGCGTATACGCATTATCCCTAGAGCCAATGGTCAGATGGCGGCAGGAGAAAAAGCAAAGATAGGACACATACGCAGTGACAACAACCTTTCCACAGACAGCAGCCTTCCCGTAGAGCGAAGTGATGGTCTTGCGCAATGGTCTGTGCTCAATAGGCTCATACCCATTTGCATCAGTTTTGTTGGTCCAGATCTGTCTCGTACCCGTCATGCTCATCACTGGCGGGAGTACAAACGGCTGACCCCAAGGCGTGCTTGTTCCTGCCAGAATCGAGACTGTGTTACCCCATGGAGCGTCGTCGAAGCTGGGATTCGTCCAGCCCGAAGGTAGTACAGTTCGCAGTGTCTTCCACGTACTATCGGTGTAGTTTCAGTGGTGCCATCTTTATAATCAACAAGGATCGTGGCACGGCATCTCTGTATGTGCTGTTCCCAGCGATGGCAAGGACGTTGTCGTTTTCGGGCTGCAGGCCTACAGTGTAGACAGCGGGATGAGTCCAACCGTTTCCTGATCCGATCTCCACACCGTTTACAGTAATGGAATAAAGATCATCGCTATGATCGTGTGAGTATCAGGCGCTTGTATGGAAAGGAGGAGACTGACCTCGAAACGATGATAGTCGCGCATACTGGACACTTGGTCCTTGAAGCCGGGATTGTCTTGCGGAAGGGTCGTACTCCGAGAGGCATTGGCTGCTCTCCCGTCAAAAGCGAGTGTCGGAGCGACGACACGCACATCTAACGATCGTAGCGCTACCGTGCCTGCAGATACGTCTGGGGTGACGTCCACAGAGACATCTACAGGATTATCAGGCGACGAAGAAAAAGCGGTATGTAAAGTATCTAACCTTGAAATGCACGATGTGCACGCACGGTTCTCGAAAGGACATGTAGTATGGTGTCTTGCGTGGAATCAGATAGGCGTTCGTCCGAGTAACAAGGGTGCAAAAAAAAGAGAAAGTGCCATTCCACGTATATAAGTTGGTACAGAGTGCCTAGACTCTATGACCAGAGAAGAAAAATTCGAGGATGCAACGCTGGCTATATGAACTTTAGTACGACAACAAATATGTGGAGGAAAGAGATAAACACATATTGGAGGCTGACGCATTGATCTTCCCCCCCTTCGACTGATTGTCCATTTCACCCCTTTCACGATTAATTCTTCTCGAGAAAAATATGGCTTCTTGAGGCAATCCCAAGGCCAAAACACAGAGGCATGAATCTAGACGACGAATCACGATCCTGTCTTAGCAACATCAAGAGTACTGGCCGGGGGACTCAGTCTAGATGAAGTCAATCCACTCTTGTTCGCAAAGTCAGGCTGTGGGGGAGGTCGAGATAGAGCGGACGAGCAGTTCGTCGTAGTGGTTGCACTGGGAAGTGCGTAAGCGCATTGCTATTCGGCAGCTCCAGCCGCGGCAAATCTTCCTAAACGGGGACCCTTAGATAATAAAGCTTCTTGGAGAATTCGTTACGTCACATTCACAACGTTCATGCATCATGACTTGGCCAGAGAAAGTCCTTCGCCAATTTGCAGTCATTTATCCCAATCCTCCGATCGAAAACGAATACCACGGTGCTTACAATAAGCTTCTGAACACCCTCTTCCCACCAGACACCGATTTCACTGTTGTGCCGCAGTATTTAGAGCTCAACTCACCAAAAGGGGCTGATTTCATCTTCATGTTCGAAATACTCTTTTACAACAAACCAGTCTTTGTAGTGGAATTGAAGCAGCCAACCCACCTCTTGTACGATTCAACGCGTCAAGCAGCTGATGATCAGGTTCGACGGCGCATCACAGATATTAGAGATGAGTAAGGTATATTCTCAGAACGACGCAGACCTTAACTTGAAGTTGAAAACTAGGACAGTGCCCTATTCCGACGTTGCATGGCGTTAGTGCGATGGGGACTAGACTCTGCTTTTATAGTTTGGATCTCACTCAAGCTGATCCCAAAATTCTGCCACCCATCATTCCGCGTGACCCTTCCTTTTTCAATGATACCGCGCCAGCAGGGCGTTGGGATTGTAGTGTTTTGGAAGTCGAGGGAGAGACAAAGCTCCGTGCTGTGGTGGACGAGATCAAGCAGGCATGTGCGCTGGTTGAAACTTGACGCATGAGGCCTTCATGTCCGTCGTCCGACTCCTTGACAACACCACGATCCGCACTGGCTAACTTTGTTGTCACCCTTGGTTCCCCACGAAATGCTGGTAAAATAACGGTGAAAGAAGTCAACAAGTGATTGAACCGGCACCGGTGAAAATTAACCGCGGCAAAATACCGAGGTTCCCTTCCGAGGTCGACGCGACGCGACATTTTCCAGTTCGGACAGTTGTGTTTATCACACGTGAAATTGTCCTCTCGTTGCGTGATTTGTAGTACGTACAATGCTCTTGGCTCACCAATTTGGAGTAAATCGTCTTAATCCTAGCAAGACCAAATTCCAAGGTGCTCACAATATGTTCCTGTACAAACTCTTCCCTTTGGAGACCAAGTACCTTGATATCTGAACCCGCTTCCTCATTTTATTATCACTGGCACTGCCTCCAAAATTGGAAATCACCGCCAAAGGTGTTGAAGAGCTATATGGCTGCTTTACGGCGACTGATGCGCCAAAGATTAAAGTGATATTATATAGAGATGTGTACGCACTATATAAGTGATCGAAAAATAAATGAGAGGAAGAAGGATAATCCAAAAAAGTACAACAAAGAACAGACATGGCGTAGCCAGTCGATACCGCGTGACGGGGTGAGAGGGGAGGGCAGAGTGCACGTCCTCGAAACACGGTGTCGGTGATTCGATGAACGGTGGTCATGAATGACAGGTGGGGAGTGTGTCATGGCTGATCCACACCGAGCTCGTCGTCTCTCCCGCTGCCTGCTTGAACCTCTCTCGCAACTGCTCCGCTTGCTGGAAAGTGATATACAGTGTCGGGCCTGTATGGAACCCAGACGAACGCCGTGAGAGGTCGTTGGACTAGCTGAACAGGACGAGAGGTGGTGGGCGATGTCGGTGACAGAAGCACAAAGATGCGGAAAGAGTTTTTTCTCTACCATACAACATGATGGTAGCACCGTTCTCATTTCGCATTTTCTCTACTACACCTTGAACTCCCCTGTTAACCGCATCACTCCCTCCAGATCCACCGTCTCCCTCACAGCCTGCATCCTCCGCACACCTTCCTCACCAAATATATCCGCCAATGGCGTATCATTTCGGGTATCCCCGCTGGCCGTTCTCTGCCCCGAGCTTCCTCACTGCATGCGAAACACGCTGTCCTCCTCTTCCTCCATCCACTCCAAGTAGAAAAGACGATGTGGACGCGCGAGCTTGGGTATGCGAAGGATCCTGCAGGAGCATGTGTGACGAGGCTGGGGGGAAAGGTTCGAGGGCATAGCTGGTTAGGAAGGGTTGGACTCCAGGACTAGGAGTGGGGTTAGAGAGGACCGGGGAGGGAAGGAAGGGAGGCTTACAGTGAGATCATCGACGAGTGTGGGTTTATCATTATATAGAGTCCTAGTCAGGTTCATGAGTCGGCAATAATCCCGCAAGTTGATGAACGCACCAGTATTGATGGAAGCAAACGTCTGTTGAAGTCGGTGAAGGAACGAGTTGTATACTGCGTATGCTGAGGAATTTATCGAAGATGCTATTTGGAGGGACGGGGCATTGTAGAATATTTGAGTGAAGATGAAAGACTTATTTCAATGAGAACTCGATAGTGGGAGAAGATATGGATGGCATACCTGAGTGCTGGTGTATACGAATATGATGAGTATTGCAGGTCTGGGATTGGCGACTTCTGACCAGAACTTGACGTAGATGGATCCCTGCAGAAGCTAGTCAGTCGTCTCTACTGATACTCCAAAGGCGGGCATACCCAAATGGTACCCTGTGGGAACGTCCTTAGGGTAAACCGAGGGATGATACAATAGTTGTCGCCGCCGCCCTGTTAAAATAATTAAAAACGGGATATCTAAGAGATGGGCACATACCTGAAAAATCCCCTTTGCCCTTCCCCTAAGTATGTTCACACCCTAAGTATCCAGCACCGCATGGATATCGTCCCAAAATTTACCAGCCCGGACCATCGCCGTCTGTGTCATAGAGTCGTACGTGACCTCGTCGAAGCATGTCATAGCGATCTTGACACCGGTCGCTGAGGAAAATCCTTGATTCGTGGCGTGTCGACACGTACACCAAACGGCGTCTTTGTCTTGCCTAGGATGCCCGGACGTCAAGCATGAACAAACAAGCAAAGGCGATACTCATGATGATGCTGACATCTTCAACAGACCTAGGTTCGAGGGTGCATTTGGAGGGTTGCGAGCTTGATGAGTAGTGCTTGTTGTCCGCAATGTATGATGGGGATCCGGGATAGTAGACATCTGTTGCAGACGAGCTTCCGACCATTTTACAGCAGGCCAGACAGCTCCGCCTCGAGATTAGTAGCGACCAACGATCTTTGGTTGATGTGACCGTCCTTCCAAATAGACTGGAAAGACGAAATATGTAGTGGTCGGAAAATGCGCGAAATCTTCTCCGGATATCCCGTCGGAAGCTCCTGTCATTATTTTGAGTCCCGAAGGGCACCCCTTGAGTTCGCAGATGGAAACAAGTTGGGTTCGGCTAATCCCGACACCCGTACCACTTGCACTGATCGCGCATTACTCAGGGACAGCGCATTCAGGCTCATTCACTATGAATTACCGCGAGGATCTGTACAGCTAGCATGAAGAAAGGGTAAGCCTTTCATGAACGGTGGTTATTGTCGATTTAATCAGCTTATACAGGTCGTCTACACTTCATCTTCAACGTTGGGACCTTCTCAATCATTGTATGGCAGACACACGGCAAAATACGTCTGAATCAGGCAACGATGGAGAATAAGGTATGTCCTAGATTTTGGGTACGCTCTCTGCAGTTCGTATACTCATGAACATGTAGGAATAACATCGCACCTTATGCCTTCGGACTGTCCTACAAACTCAAGGCTCGTCATCTCTTCCTGCACCCTACCTCCCTCACACAATCACCCAGCCAAACCGTCGACTTTTCCTCCGCCTCTCTGTGTGTGTACAAGAGTCAACTGCAGCAGCCAAATCCGAATCTGCGCGTTTTTCAAGTTGCTGCCTTCGATCCTGAGCGGTCAGAACGCAACGTTGCTAGAGGGGATGATCCCGAGGTCCTCGAATCTATCTATTTTGCCCTCCTGGGACTGATTTTGTCCCCATTCGATTGTTAAACATTAACGTCAGGTATCTGTCCAAAGAAAGTTCTTATGACGCCCTACTCCTAAAAACGTCTCCCCAATTCTGAAGTTTCTAGCCGAGGAGATATTCAGAATTGATAAAATCTACCAGAAACAACATTTGCTACAACGATGACTTGATCCCTATTTTTCGATGCCAATTTCCTTTGGCTCATGCATTATCTTCCGACGAGCCTCGATGTCCTCGTCAATGATTATAATGTCGTACTTTTTGAAGCGTTGTGCAAAGCATAAAGATTCAAAGGGAATTAGAGATTACGGAGTTTTCAAGACTCTATAGTTGTTCGAAAAATAAAGCAGAGAGCACGATAATCAAAAAGGGTAGCAGGCAAAAATGACAGTCTAAATTAAATCCGAAGTCTCAACCCGACTTTCAGACCCTCGCCATGAGCTCTATTGTGTCCTTTCAACAACTACCACGAGCTCATCCGACCGCTCCCGTTGAGCTTCAATGTCCGTTTCAGGGATTGCGCTCTGCATGGTGGATTCCTGAATGCTTGCCATGGAAGGTTGTGAAGGTTGAGAAGATCACGAAGACATCTGGAAACGAATGGCAGACACCACTGAAGTTTCGTCGTGTTCTTCGGTTGGGCGTGTGTGTCCTGCCGCTGCTCTGCCAACAAGAAGAGTGGGTGCAACTCCCTACACAAGGTGCTTAATAAATGACTTGGAGGCTAAGATCATGGACGCACTTTCGCAATACCAGCTATGACTTCAAAGTAATATGTTCCAAAATCATCACGAATGAAGAAAGCCAGATATAGGATCAGAAATATCGAATAAAGAGCAGAGGATTCCACTAGCACTTCAATAAAACGGCGATAAACTCTCAGTCGGCTGCCTGCTCCACATCTAACCCCAGTAACAGTCAAAATGCGAAAAATTATGAGCAGTGTGCACCATAATGTTGTTGCTAGACTGAAGGATGTGTAGAGTGTCAGGAATACTGAGTTCAATCCACTGAAGTACTCATGATATACATTAATGATTTTTGACACTAGACACAAAGTTGGATATGTGAAAAGAGTAGATGAGATTGGACACTTTACCAGTTGCAGAAATTAGGGAAAGGATTGGAAGCAGGACAATAAGCCAGTGCTGTCCCCAAATCATCCAGCAGCACCAGATCTAAAGTTGAAACAATGGTAAGCTGATGTGGATAATCACCAGCAAAGGAGTACGCACAATATATGAGTCTGCAAGAATAGTACTCATAGAGGCTGGAATGCCTGACTCCAAATAGACTGCTTGGTTCACAGCGCTAAGCTTCAAGTATACAGCCCAAAAACTTTGCCCGTTATCAATGAATGCAGAGTGTATAAATGACCAATCGATGGCAAAAGAGACAGTAATCAGAGCATGGAGGAGAATGATAACAACAACCAAGGCTCGTCGGATCAGCCAAGATTTGTTGATGACTGTACCACTCACATCAGCTTGGATGTCCATAGTGTAGAAGCTCCTCACTCACATATATTCCACAATGTAACGGCAAGAATGCCAGTGTATATGCCTGTCATTATTCAACATCTGCATGTCAAACACCAAATGTCATTGCCCACCATGCAACAATGCGAGAAGAATTACGGAATTCAGGTTAGCATCCAGAAATTGAAATATAGAAGCTTTGACATTGTCGGTAAGATCTGGTGGAATATCTGCCTGAGCTGCCATGAGGGAAAGTCGGAGCAACGTGGTAATAAGTTACGAGAGCAACACGTAGCAACCCTCTCATTTATAACAGTACAGCCCATGGCACGCTCATTGGCTGCTGCAAAGATGGTCATCGGTACTAAGCCGGAACAGGATCCTTACGTACCGACTGTATTCTGCAATTTAATGAGCCATCGTGTACCTTGATAGTTTCAACAAAACTCAGAATAGGACAAGGAAACCATCCCGGTGAGATTTCAGTGCAGCTGTCAGATTGAGTTTGTTCCACCATAGCGTGAAATTTAGCTGTAAGATGGACAGAAGATAGGTGCGTAAGTTTCGATGTCATGTACGATTGTAACGCTGACGGGTCCTGAATCCTGGGAAGGGGGTTGCCAAGGGTATCGACGTCTGCAAATTATACCCCGACACGGCCGTACACCATAGGTGAAAGTTTACCCTGGAAATGATTCATCTATCATAAAAGTGGTGCGAGATAATACAATACGTAACCATGGTGGACTCGATGAACCTGATCTCTTCCCGAGGCGGTTTCCCTTTTCAGTACTCAGTACGTCTCCAGAGGTAGGGGGTTGCTATCCGATTCTGAGTTAACCCATCTTTGTTTCCATCGTCAAGACAGAACCTCACAGACGGACTTATTATTCCAACACCCGTAAGCTGTGAAAGGCAGTACATGTACTACCACCAATCTCGGAGGTGACACTGCAACTCACGACACCTTTGTCACTTCAGGTGATACTAATAATACTAGATAACACATTAAAATGGCGATTATGGTCCAAGCCAATAGTATTTGACAAGACTCACCTATTATTTGTACTTCTTGGGTGCTTTGTAACTTCTAAAATGTCAGTTTCGTCGTCGTGTGATCATTGACACTAAAGTTCGACTTGTTGTCATGCGGATCGTTGAGTCTGGTTTACAAAGTTCCGTAGCCGCGTCTCACTTCTTCGATGACATCTCTCCACTTCCAGAATTTCCTAGCGATGATCAATTCAGTTTCATTGAGGATGCATAGGTAGAAACACGGATGTCGGTACTGTCAAACGACCAAGTCAAGAGCGGTTCCGGCGTGATGGCAGCTCTGTCGTGGTTTGTCATTAGCTTCTGTCTGGGCGTTTTGGCGCTGTCGTGCCATGTTGTTTCCTCGGCGGGAAATTCGCACCAACCAACACAATGTGCATGTGAAGGCTATCTTCGGTAGGATATCACCAGCCACCTGCTCCCCATGTATCAGAGGAGATGAGACTGAAGACGCACAATACCAACATCATGACTTTGTGTCTTAGAGCTGGTGCGTATCATGATTCTGACCAGGATGTAGGGGATTAAAGACTGAAATTGTCAGTGAATTGACTGAATAGCTTTATGAGTTATGAGTGAATGATCCAATGTCGTCCCAGTCCACCTCTGCGACGTTCTTCTTCTGCGGTCTCCTTTCGGAGGATTTGTGCACACGCAGACCAGCGTCAGGCCGGATGGCCATTTCTGCATTAGACACCAACTCCTGCACAGCAATTTGGACCGCGAGGGAGGTCAAGGCTGCCCACACAGGCCTGATGGTAAGATACGATGCTCTCTGTATGCTGGAGAACATTTCAGGCAAATGCTTGTGGCCGACCGTAGGGATGACGTATCCAAAGGTCAAACATACTCGAGATCGTGTATTTGGTTCGCCCCTGCAAGAAGTGAGCTACTGTCGCCTCCCACGAAATAAATTTCTCGCGACTCTGAGCTTGCCAACGTTTCTTCTCCCATGTTGTAGGTAGACGAGACATCTCGTAATGCACCTCAGCCCATGAAAGACCAACAGCGGTGCATGCCTCGAGATCATAGGGTCGTATTCCGTGATTTCTTGCTTGCCGTCGTTGTTGTGGCCTGGTCTGGAGTAGAAGGATGTTCCCCCCGCTTCCAGGACGGGTGGGACGGCTGTACAGAGTGTAATCCACAGTGATGGTATGTTTCCATCATAAGGCACTAGAGATACGCTTGCCGTTCTTCTGACTCGTCTCGAAAATGGTGCTTTGGGAGTATATGTCTCTGGTGGGGAAATTGCCATGATTGTGACGGAGTTTGGAGGAGTCCCGTGGGGTTTCGTTCAGAGAGATTGCGAACTAACAAGGTTCTGGGGGTTGGCGTAGTAGGCGGGTGGATATCGTTGTTACCAGACTGGAAGGATGGCATGCAAAGTGTACCCAGGTCGGAAAATGGGTGTTTTCAGGAGCGTAGTTACGTGAATTGGTGAGAGACTAGTCGCAGGTGATGGCTCGACATAATCTGGGAGGGGTACTGAGCCCATAAATAAGATAAACGGATGTACAGACGATCAACGAAGTGGTATTCAACCAACCCGGACCGTAACGCGTGTCACATGATGGGGAGCATTTTCGTCACTGACAAAAATTTCGGCTTTTCTCCTCCTTTCACTTACGCGTCCCTTTCGTGTTTGGCTCATCCTTGCTTAAGTATGGTAATACAGTGCGTTAGACCTTTTTTTTCGCGTAGCGTTTTCTGATGCATTATTTAGACGGCACTGCTACTAGTGGAGGCTTTGCTAGGGCGATATTCTGATAATTAGAGAACGGGTATCTATTATCCGACATGCATTGTTATCTATTGACTAGTATGCTATATTCGTCTTTAACAAGGACTTGTCGTTGTACCACAATCGATTCCAGTACTAGAACGTTCCCCTGTTGCTCATTTCTTTCATTTCCAACTGCGAGCCTCCAATTCGAACTGAGGTGCGTTTGGACGAAATCAAATCCTCACATACATGAGATCCACAACGACATCTTCCTTCTTACCGAGACCTTCATCCCGACAGCAGGTGGCGACACACGACTCGAACTCAACAACGTACCTCCCTGCCACTTATTGCTGATGTTCGCTGCTAATCCTTTGTTCATCCTTACCGTCCTCACGCCGCCCACGCCTGACTGTGCAATCAATGCCATACGGAAAGAATACTGCAGGAACAAACGCTCCTTCCGAGGAATGGATCAACCAATATCTGCTTTGGATATGAGTCGGTTGTGCCATCGGGGCGGATCATCGTTTCGTCAAAACCATACGAAAGGTGGTTCCTTCTTTGCTTAACAACTATCCCCATGCACAGAGAGAGCCTAAGGAGGTTTCTTCCTTGTAGCCAGGACAATCCCTTTCCAGGAATCACATGGGCACACACAGCCCGTTAAGATGCATTCGAAAATGAGGGTTAGGGCAACAGCCTAGAGCGGAAGTTCCGTTAGGATGGGGTAATGGGAAGATGGACCGAAACGTACTCCTATAGTCTCGGCCACTAGCTCGAGGTAGTAGTGCATCCACTCGGTGCGAACGACGAGCACAACAAAGAGGATCACACCGACAGTAGAGAATGACGGATTCAACGAACAGCTCGACAGTGCGATGGTATAACGACAGCCCGTCTTCCAAACCATCTTTCTCTCGAGGGGACACGATAAGACTGTTGAGAACGGTGCAACAAAGGGCTGTGGCAATGGCGAAGGATACGTAGATCGTGAGCTAAGGCTTGTGGGCAAGCTTGTCGTGTAATCATTTGGGTTTCCGTGATTTTTAATACTGTTTAAAAGTTAGGTTCAGATGTGAACTTGAGATGGCTTGGACGTACCGATGGTGCAGACCAGAAACTACGCTGGGTGGCACGACCGTTGCCCAGTGTCCGTGGATTGAAATGTTCCATACCGTACTGCTCCCATCACACTCTCCAACTACACATAGCCTTCATTCTGCCAAGCCCTTGCTCTGCCGCATATTCTTCTGCAGATTGTTAGGCCAAGTGGATGGGAATACGAGCGTCCTGTGTGGTTTGGAGTTAACATGTTGACCAATAGAAGAACTTCCTGGAGCTGACCGGTGTGGTAGTACGAGTTGCCGCGCTCGTAGACTGGACGTCTCGGGCCGGCTGACTCATACTTCCATTTTCGGTTCGCTACGTGTCTTTCCTTCTCTTCCACCATCATCTCTATTTCTTTCACGGCTTTTCTCTTTCACAGCTCCATATTCTTCTCAACACGACACTGCATAGCTCTAGGACCAATGAGCATGCTTTCCGACGCCTTTACCTTTTGGGCATCAATGCTCAAGACCAAGACACCAACGTTGAGGTAGCTCGCCTCACCAACAAAAGAGCTGTTTCGAACGCTGGCGGAAGGATTGGTACTGGTTGTATGAACGTTGTATAGATATATTGGTTCGTTTTGTCTTCATATTCCGTTTCTAATTTCCTTTCTTTGAGTTTCATCATCAATCCCCTCCCTACCCCATCCGACGCGAAGACCAACGCCAACGGCAGACGACATCACCTCGGAGCGCGCTGGGAATCGAGAAACGACGGCATGGGCCACCGTTCGTACGCTGAGCGGGGCAGCACCTCTTCCTATGCCGTAGTTGCGCGTATCCCGGGTGGTTTAGTCTTGCTTGCGGCCGAGGTAACTGAGCTAGGTATTCGCTTTCTTCTGACACATTTTGTTATAGAATATATCTACATACACGAGGCTATCAATTACGGGCTCTGGCGACGCGAAAGAACGTGTGCGGCTACCCCCTCTTTCACGTTTGTATCCGGTTGACATGAAAATTTGATTTTTACCTTTCTTTGCCTTATACCACGAGCACCGAGCCATTGAGCGAGCCCCGAGCGTTCTCCTTCGAGCCCTGTAAGTGGTCTTTCCATTGTGTGTACTGATTATATCTCTAGATATATTACATCCTCTACGAACTCAATCCCGTTTCACACCCGGCCGAACAGCAAGCGACTCACGACCTCGCATAACGTCTACGTCCGCTTTGACGTATACTGCGACACCGGCCTGATGAATCCGAAAACCGCGTGCCAACAAAATTGGAAATCACCGCCAAAGGCAAGATACGAGCTACTTTGGATGACCAGCGTGACAAAGGCGAAAGGGGTATTATATAGAGGTGTGTGCTTGCTCGCCAGGACATCGATATGTCATATCGAAACGAAACGAAACTGGCGGCGTGAAATTGAGCTGCAGGGACTTGGCGCAGCTAATAGTCGATACCGCGCGATGGGGTGGGAGGGGAGGGTAGAATGCATGCCCTCAAGACACTTCGGTGATGTCGATGAGGGTTGGTCGTGAATGACAGGTGGGGAGTGCGTGCCATGGCTGATCCACGCCAAGCCCGTTGTCGCTCCCATTGCCTGCGTGAACCTCTCTCGCAACTGCTCCGCTTGCTGGAAGCTGATATACAGTGGTCGGGCCTGTATAGAACCTAGACGAACGCCGTGAGAGGTCATTGGACCTATGTGGATGCAGCTGAGCAGGGCAGGAGTTGATGCATATGAGGGTGGGCGATGTGGGTAAGATGCGGAAAGAATTTTTTCTCTTCCCTACAAGCCAACCTTTGCCTCTCCTCTCCTCGCACGCGACCCTGTGTTCTTCATCCCTCTTTCACTCAAACGTGTTCGCTGACGTGTAGCATAACTTGTCGTCACAAGTCATGTTTGGTGGAGAAATCTGTGAATCCAAGAGGTTGTGGCAACGTTACAAGAAATGTCGAATCAGTGGATCGTGTGCAGAGTTCCCTGAGACGGGAGAGAGAATCAGAGCATTACGGGGCACAGAGTCAGTGTGCTATGAAACAGAGATAGATGCTCAGCGCTCAGCACACGAAAAGATTGAGATTGGAAGAACTGACATTACACTCCAACGTCAAGATCCAAACATAACGCAAGACACTGCTCAGAAATCAAAGCAAAGATGAGTGAAATCGAAAGTGAAGATCTTAAAAAACTTACTAACCGACGAAATATGCTAACGTAGCATCCAATAAACGACAGTCTGCGACAAGGTGCAGCACCAGGATTTTTTTAGTAGTAGTAGTAGTAGTCGTCGCACTAATTTAGAGTGAGATAACGAATGGAGGCACGTGGACTTATCCGCGGGAGCACGGCCCTTTGATTCCGTACAATGCGTGCGGGCATTAGGACTGCGCAAAAAACTCCATCCGGACTTTCCTGCAGATAAATTACGTCGGCACTCCGGCGAAGAGTTTTTTGCATCAGGCTGTAAAATATCCCAGCCACCTTTGTTCACCAACTTTTTGGAATAAATCGCACCAATCCTAGCATGACCAAATTTCAAGGTGCCCACAACATGTTCCTGTACAAACTCTTGGGCCCATTGGAGACCAAATGCCTTGATATCTGAACCCGCTTCCTCATTTTATCGGCATGTTCAAAGTATACTTTAGAAACATGAGAGTATTTACTTTGCAGACCTACGTACATTTCTTCGTGCAAGTGGCTGATGATCAGATTAGAGAGCCACATTGCAGATCTATCAGGCGAGTGCCTCGATGAAAAAATTCCCTCAGGTTTATATTAGTATTTTATTTCGAAGTGATGATTACACGGAGTTGGATTTAGTTTAAGTAAATTGATTTTTCGTCGAATCGTTTTAAAGATGAGGAGATAAAAAAGCATGGTCATCGAACAATGTTGACTGTTTGGATCCACACATCAATTGCGTCGTTAAAATGCTTAATAACATACATTAGTCTCAAACACATCCGCAAAAAAAAAACACTCGTGCTCACTGCATATGCTAAGTAGGTCTCAAAGATCACCACATCAAACGCTCCTGTTTCGTTGTCCCCATAGAAGTAACCCGGTGTTAGCTCAGCGGGATGCGTCTTAATACCCGCGTCGGGAGAGACGAGGCCCTGGACCAGTGTTATACCACTGAGGGTACTGGTAAACGGGCTATGCGCGAGGAGGACGGTGATGTTGAGGGATTCTTCTTCGAAGTACTTCCCAGAGACCCATGTGAGGTTGAAGGGGTAAGTATGACAGAGAAGTCAGATGGGGAAGACAAACGAGAAATGGGAGAATTTTACCTGTGGAGATTGTTTGTCCTGGAGTGGGAGAGATGAAGACTCCAGCAGAGACTAAGGTGGAGAGCGCGCGCGCGGGGAGATGTAGAGAGAGGAGAACTTCATGACGGAATCTGGGGAGTAGGTAGAGGCTAACAGACAGGGCTTTATGTATGCATACAACGCTCCGCACCACGGGCTGTTAAGACCGTAGGATAAAACGCAAAGCTACAGATGTGACTGAGGCTCCGGCCGTGGTATCCGGAGATCGTGAAATACGACTGTATGAGAGGCAGAGAAAAAGACTAAAATCCGGGCCTCAGCGTCCCCCATTTCCTTGACGCGCAAGGCATTGTTAGGGCACGCAGGCCTTCGAAGAATGATTACACCCCACGTGAGGAAGGAGATGATCCAACTCAAGTTCGTTTTATGGCTGAGCGCTGAGCGCTGAACGTCAACATAACTTTGATGACGGCCCGGAGGGAATGAACTAAACACCTGGAACAAGATCGAATGCATCCTTTGAGCGTCGAGATGTGGTGCTTGCGTCTTCGTCGGTTACATGTTACGCCTTAAGCTGAAGGAGTCATAGTATACTTACTATCTGAGCAAAGCTGCAGAGAGATAACCCAGATGGAGATGGCTGCCCTGACTGTGTCCTGTTCAGTGTCGGTTGGTGGAGCAAAAGAAAAGAGATGTTACTTGCACACGGCACTGCACCCGAATCAGAAGCTTTGGTCTGCAAAGAATCGCTCAGAACAGTCAGAATATCAACGTACACTCAGAAATGAAGAGAAGTGCGCATAGGAGCAGAACTCGAACAGAAAATTAGCCGAAGCATAACCGCTGGCACCACTGAGAATTAACCGCGGCAATACGTCTTTAAGATACCAGGTGAAGCGCAACTCATAAACAATGAAAACACACATCTGAGAACGAGGAAGCTATTTACATAGCCAAAAAAACAAACGGTAGCGCCAAAAGGGAAGGGAAACAGACGAGGCAAAAAATCAAGTGCAAGGAAACGATTATGAGGATAGGAAGGCATCAGCCTAAGCATTGGGAACAGTAGCTCCATTACCAACAGGGCCGCCCGCCCATAACGTCGCACCAACCCACTCGCTATCATCCGCATCGGGCTGCTCAAACCCAGCAGGAGGAAGCGCATTCAGAGTCTTCCAAGTCCCATCCGTATAATACGTCTCCGACGACCCATCATTATACGCAATCAACACCCCCGCAGCGAGATAGACTCTACTATTCGCTCGGACATTCGCACCATTGATAGCAACGACGTTCACGTCCGGATCCAACTGTGGGATGGAATACGCCTGCATGACTTTCCAGCCTGATCCCGTTCCAATGGTTTTACCATTGACATAGAGTGTGTATGAGTCCTCCCTGGAAGGCAAATTAGTACGGGAAAGGAAGATGACGCGGGACGTACACGGAGAGAACGACCTTACCGCAGACAGCGGCTTTCCCATAAGGCGAAGTGAACGTCTTGCGGAAGGGCCTATGACCACGAGGAGCGCTCCCACTGGAAACACTCTCAGCCGTCTGCAACCACCCTGCAGTCGTCATATTGATAGCAGGCGGGAGCGCCGGAGTACCCCAGGGCGAAGCCGTCGAAGGTCCCTCCACATCCGCAGCAGTCCATGCGGAATCATCAAAGCTCGGGCTCGTCCATCCACCAGGGGCCACACCTTTAAGCGTCTTCCACGTAGAGTCGCTGACGATAGTCTCGGTTGTGCCGTCTGTGTAGTCGACGAGGATCGTGGCGATGAGTCCGGCGGAGCCTTCGGCGGTGTTGCTCACGCCGATGGCGAAGACGTTCTTGCTGTCCGGGTTCAGGCCGGCAGTGTAGACGACGGCTCCCTGCTGGGGAGCTCTCCCCGTACCGATCTGTTGGCCATTGACATAGACGGGACACTGGTCGTCGCTAGGCATACTTGTGTGAGTATAAGTGAGGAGGTGATGGAGCAAACCTACCAAGCTACGATAATCGTCGCGCAAGTCGGGCATTTGGTGGCTGAAGAGGGAATCTCCACACGGAATGGCCACATGCCTGCAGGTGCGGTATGGGCCGTCCCTGTTTGTTCTCCTGTTCAGATGTAACTAGACCTGCTGAAGTCGAGGACCGGCGCGACAGCGCGTGCATCCAACAACCGGGGTAGTAAGGCGCCGGAAGAGAGACCGCTGGCAGCATCTGCAGAGATTTCTACATCGATGTGAGATAGGGAAGAGAAAGCAGTATATGGTGTATCAGACCTGATGTAGGTAGCGCACTTCCGGCCACGGTAGACAAGAAGGCGGGTAAGAGGAGTAAGACTAGATAATAATGAGTTAGTTATCACATACTCTGCGATGTCAATGGATAAGATCTCACCCTTGAAGAACATCGTAGAAATGAACTCGATGGTTTCTCCAAGAGATGCTTGAATCCTTTTATACCACAAGAACAGCCAAGAAAACCGAGGACGAGCTGACAGGAACCATGGAAATGTGTAGTTCCGACGAACGAGACGAATCGCAAAATCCAACTTGCACCATGGTTCTCCAGCAGCTGCTCTTGGGGATGAGAACTGTGATAGAGATGGTGAATGGTAAGAGCAACGTACGAAGCTCTCTCAGAGCGTGTGACTTGTTCAGGTACCTGTGCTCATACGAGCAGAGAATCTCGCAAATGCGATGATCACAATTCAGTTATACAGTCACTCCGACGAACGAGACGAGTCGCAAAATCCAAAGGGGCGAGCGAAACTTGCACCATGGTTCTTCAGTAGGCTGCTCTTGGCGATTAGAATTGTGATAGAGACGGTGCATGGGAAGAGCAGCGTATGAAGTACCTTCTGACCTGCTCAGGTGCCTGTGCTCATACAAACAGAGAATCTCGCAAATGACGATCACAATTGAGTTACACAGTCAATCGGAGAGTCCTTAGCCGAGCATCGTTCTGCATGCCATAGTGTTAGTGCGATAAGAAGAGTAGTTGAAGCAATACGCACGGGTTCTTCTCTTTATTTGGCAGCCTTACACTCGCAAGAGGATAATACAACCTTGAACTATAGATTCAAGCTAGAGAAGGGCGTCTTGCACCCCACGCCACATCAACGACTGATGAGTTCGACGAATGTTGATAGTGATGTACCCATTCATTATGAATTTCTCCTTGCAAACGTGCAGCATGCAGACTGACTACACTTTGGACAATGAGTATCGTGATACGAAGTCAAGAAGTATGGCTAAGGCTTACCCCATCGCAAAGCTAAGCTAACGAAGCCAACGCTGACAGCCGAAACGCTGTAGTCGCAGCTAATCCTACGTTCGCGAATCGTGCAAATTCACATTTTTAGTTTATTTGACCATTTGCTTGCCCCGGAGCAGCTTGAATTGCATAAGTTAGTAGATGCTTCGGCGCTTGTTGAGACGAGCATTGAATCATCCTTGGAGATCGGGATTGTTCACTAGTATTGAATGACTTCAGCGAGAAAGACGGAGCATGAGTAAATTCTCACGCATGCGTTGCCATTCAGGACAGTAATTCGTGTCTGTCCGGTTCTTTTATAGTAGGAGCGCCTCCCGACTACCAGTATGGTGCTGTTTCAAGTCTAAAGAAGACCTCGAGGAAAATACTTCGAAGAAATTGTCGTTATGTAGGCGTCATCGCGGTCCATGGTTGACTATTGGACATAAAAAACGGCGTCTTGACTCTTTGTCGGGATAAGTGAATGCGGCCTTGACTTGATCCATGTAGACCTGCATATCGAGTCGCGATGAACGCATGACAGCATATACTAAGAGAGTCCTGTAGAGGTAACCTAATGAATAATCGCACTCTATAGACATTGGTGGAGCTCATACCTGCCTGTAAATCCTAGTAGGGGTATAACTGGAAAAGTCGGCACGACGTTGTGTAGGACTGTCCCACCGGAAACATGCATTGCGCAATGTCCCGAAAGACCACTTTCAGAGATATTGAAATATTGAGCGTTGAACGTCGACGAGTAAATAGTGACTAGTGACCTTTCAGTGTCGGCGCCATTGCAAATGAAAATATCAACGAGAAACTGCGGCAACAACGCGTTGGTGGTGGTGGTGGTGTTACCGGCGTCAGGTCCCAATAAGGAACGGCCGGGTCCGCAGCCCTGACATGGCGAACCATGCGCTGTGGCTGCGAAGGCTCATACCGTTGTAATCACACTATTGAGTGCGTCTCGCGGAGTAGAGACTCTTCGCAGGGTACACAATTGAATGAAAACAGTTATCATTGACGTGTACCTCGAAAATCCGGCCGAGGGGTACGACTCATGAGACATGTGCGTCAGTAATGACGATGAAAGAACATGTGAACAAATGAGAAATACGTAACGGGAAAGTGAGACATGGTACACGGACCATGGGGTGTATGGAAAGTTACAGGTCAGTAGCAATAAGATATCGAGCACAATGGGAGCGTACGAATCATCCACCAAGAAACAAAGCACCACAGACTGTAGGAACGAAACGCAAGCATCAGGTGAGCACAACAAACGAGGACCGCTATTTCGCAAAACAGCGTGCTTGCAGCGATGCTCGAGCCTTAGCCCATGAAAACGATGAAACGGGAACCAAGAACAACGAAACAGGCAAGCTCCTTCAAAAAAGAGACTGCCTGCGAACGAAACACCGAGTACCACCAGACTGGTGAGATCCTTCGTAAGGGAGACTACCAGCGGACGTAACAACCGAGTACCACCAAATTGGTGAGCTCCTTCACAATGAAAAGAAACACGATCGCGATTGACAGGGATCACATGCGATGCAAAGCGGAGTTCAAAAGCAGGAAATTTTTCGGAAATTTGCGTCAGATTTTCTAAGTACGTTTTTATGAAGGTCGTAAGTACATGCGTCAAACGAAATAGCAAAAATCGAAAGAGAAGACAAAGGATATATATTGTCCATTTTCTACTCAAAGAAGAAAGGATGCGTCCAAGACAATAATAAAAGTCGAATGATACAAAGGCACCATGTGTATCATCAAGCGACGTTGACCGTCTGGATCCACACATCAGTAGCGTCGTTAGCACCCTAACAACACACATTAGTTTCAAACACATTCGCAAAAAAAGACACTCGTGCTCACCCCATATGCTGCGTAAGACTCAATGATCACGACATCAAATGCTCCTGTTTCGTTGTCTCCATAGAAATATCTCGGTGCAAGCTCGGCAGAGTACGTCTTAATGCCCGCGTCGGAAGAGACGAGGCCCTCGACTAGCGTTATACCGCTGAGTGTGCTAGTGAATGTGCTTCGCGCGAGGAGGACAGTGATATTGAGGGAGTTTTCTTTGAAGTACTTCCCGGAAGTCCATGTGAGGTTGAAAGCCTAAGTAGGATAGAAAAGTAAGACGAGGAAGACAAATGAGAAATGGGAGAATGTTTACCTCAGTGGAAGAGATTGTTTGGCCTGGAGTGGGAGAGATGAAGACTCCAGCAGAGACCAAGGTGGAGAGGGCGAGTGCAGGAAGGATGTAGAGAGAGGAAAACTTCATGACGGAATCAGGGAGAGTAGGGCTAACACGCAGGGCTTTATATATGCAAACGAAGCTCCACACCACGGGTTATTGAGACCGCTGGGATAAAACGCGAGTCTACCTCAGGCTAGGGTGAATTGGATATCAGATGACTGAGGCTTCCGACCGTCCGACGGTGCCGTCGGGAGATCATGCGGTACCGCAGGGTGAAAGGCAGAGAATCATCCAAAATCCAGGCCCAAGCGTCGCGGATTTTCCTTGACGCATAGGGCATTGTTTGGGTATGCAGGTGCCATCAAAGTCTGATTGCCTCTACTTTAGGTTCGAGGATTGTCCCATTCAGTTTCACTGGATGGCCGAACGTCGGACGTAACCTTGATGACGGAAGGTCAAAAAATGGACCAACGCCTCGAACGAGATCGAGTACGTTCATCGAGCGTCGAGGTAACGGCTCCGTCTTCATCGGTTTACACCTCAGACTGTGGCACTGAGTCAAGCATTTGCTTTCTGCGCTGAGCTGCACGGAGCTAACACAGATAAAAATAGCTGCCTCGACCGTGTTCTACAAGTCAAAGTGGGCGCCGGCGGAGCGAACGAAGGCTGTGCATCAGGACAGCTCTTGAAGAAAACCACCGATAAAGGGATTGGGTAGAGAGATGTCTTGTTTTCGAGGGAATAGGGAGGCATTCGCGGGCGCACAGTCGAAAAGTTGTGTTTGACAAATATCCTCTCCTTCAACCGTCAACGCCATTATTTGACAAGCCTCTCAGCGAACTTGAAGAACGACGACAACGTACATCGATTGGCTTGGCGAGTAAAACCTGCATCTCATGAGTCCTGAGTCTCGAGGCCTGAATGCGTAGTCGTAAGCTAAGGGTGAAGTGACATGATAGAAGTAAAACGTACGTGAAGTGGTGCTTGGACAAAGGTCTCTATATAAGGCTTTCCATTTGAAGTCAGCCTGCAGAAATCCATCAATGCGTTGTTCATTCCATATAGTCAGAGATGGCATACTTCTGCAGTTTGGGCTATTTAGTGTGTAGATTTATGGTTGTAGCTCCGTTGAAACTTGATTCTTAGATGATTTGCAGTCGTAGCAAGAGTCCTGCATTTTGGTTGAGCTGCGAAGGTAAGTAGGGGGAACGGAGCGCACGGTTGCAACCACGACGAGCCTAGTATTGGCGAGATCCTCTCATATTGGCGCGCCGTAATAGACGTCGCTGCCAGCCAAAGAATAGGGAATCGAAATTGCAAGAATCATCATCCTAGCTACAAGGAAGAAAAGTGAACGTCAGTTCCTACGACTTTGAGCTGGACGTAGTACGACGTACCAAGTTCCAAGCTTGGACTTCATCCTTCCCGTGTCTCCCTCACGACAGAGGAGCATATGCTTCTCTATAGATCCTAGCAACTGCTCACCATTTGTAAAGGAGTCATAGAGCACAACTGCGATAGAAAATAGTAAGGAACGAGACTCTGCGTACTTAGTTGGAGATGAAGAGCGAGGACGGCTGAGGCCGGCCGCGGATGAGCCGAATCTGAAAACTATGATGGCCGCCGTGCCGCGGCAGCCGTCGAGCCACATCCGCATCACTATACACGAATATTATTTTCCTGCCTAAGGTATTTACAGCACTGCCATAATAAAAACCCGAATGGAAAAAATAGCATTATCGTCAAACAACATTGACTGTTTGAATATTATGCAGATCAGTGGCGTATTGTGGACCCTGAAAGACATACGGAATCGGCAACAAGCACCGTCCGGAACGGAACACTGGCACCCACCGCATACGCACTATAAGACTCAATGATCACCACATCAAACGCACCCGTCCTATTATCCATGTAGAAAAAACCGGGTGTCAGCTCAGCGGAATAGGTCTTGATACCATAATGCGGTGAGACCAGGCCCTCAACGAGAGTGGCGCCACCAAGAGCGCTACTGAACGGGCTCCGTGAGAAGAGGACGGTGATGTTGTATGATGTTTGTTTAAAGTATTTGTCAGAGGTCCAGGTTAGGTTGAATGGCTGAGAAGGGAAGAACTTATTAAGTGGAAAGGAGAAGTATGATGGAGCGGGATACGTACCTGGGTGGAGCTGATGGTCTGTCCTGGAGTGGGAGACAAAAACGTTCCGGCATAGACCCCCGTAAACGAAGCAAGTGTAGAAATCAAGAGGAGTGGGAAAGAAAACTTCATGGTGTGATCCTGAGATAGGCAGAAGACGAATCGTTTCCGACTTAATATACGCACCTTGGGTTCCTTGGCACGGATAGTTGAGTCCGGTAAGTAACAGCAGTATCGAAATGCAAACCTACCTAGAATGAACTGGATATCAGATGATCATGGGTGGATTCCGCTGACAGTGGCAAGATACATACCAGTGAGTCTAGAGTCCGAGAGCCGTAATTGCGTGGAGAGGTAGAGAACATCAAGCTCAAGATGTACCGTGGATACTTACATTAACAGGTACCCTGGCCTGACGATTTCCAGGGTGGCGCTCTTCAAGTTCGTTTGATCCCCTGGCCAGTGCACATAAGACGGAGATAAAAGATAGAACACCATCCGGAGTGGGGCCCAGGCATATTCTTCGAACATCGAGGAGTAGGATTGCCAGTGTGACTGAGAGCAGGACACCCGGAAAAGAAACTCTCCAAGAGATCACGACAGGTGTCCCGTACACATCGGCAGAGGCCTATGTGATGTGGAGCTCCAACGAATACTATAGATAACAGCGGAGTCATACTGGTAGCACCACTACTAGGTATTATGCAATACTTAGTTTGGAGAATGACCATCCACTGCCAGGATCAAGTTCCAGAGTTTTAGCGTGGAAATCGAAGCATCTGGTCTTATACATGAGTCCCAAAGTGTAAAGCTCTAACACTGAAAACATACCATCTCGTTGACAACTTGCACGGCGGGTAAATTGGCAAAAGTTTTCTTGCGACATCTTCAGGTGACTCCACACGAGAACTGTAGCCGACGCTCAGTCCGTTAAAGTTAAAATTAGATGACACAAATCTTCCTCTCTTGCGACGCCCGTTATTGCATGTGTTGGATCTCTATATGTTGATTGCCCGTGCTGATTTGATGCTGGCGTTGACGCGTACCAGACGAACCAGCTTTGCCTTGTATGTCAAAGGTAGTAGCGTCAGTAAAGCCGAAATGTAGATTGACACGCACCAAATGATCCTTTAGTGACCATCAGGGTCTAAAATAACTGGAGGTAGACGTGTCGAATGATGGTAATTATAATTGAATAGATTCATTCGGAATATTCCTAGATGCATAAGTATTCAGCACTAGCACAAAATATAATATGCGAAACATAGTACACGAACCAGGATACCATTATCACTGTCAAGCAGGAGAAAAGCTAGAATCGCAATTCAATACCGTCTGATGCTTATTTTATTGGAAGACCCTTCCAAGAAATCAGAAAGGGGAAAAAACGCGCCTTGACAAGCCTCATGGTTTTGTCTATCTCATGTACATGTTCCATACTTTCCATCAGCATATCAATTGAACACTGAGGGCTGCCATGCTATTTTCTCCAGTCTCTACGTGGAAGACGAGGAGAAAGGCTTCCACGTGGAAATACGTTTTGCCGAAGTGTGCCGATTCTGTCCTTTCTCGACTTTCATCAAATTAGCGCTAAGTAAAAAACAGATTGGTGCATGCCGCATTACATGTATTTCTTGTGCTCTGTCTTTTATTCATCCGGCTCAAATCACCCTCTATCGCGCAGAATAATTATCGGAGAAGAACTTCCTGATTGCAAGCGCCAAGTTCGAGTTCTCCCGGCAACAGCTCTCTGTAATGTCGGTTTGCATGAGCGCCAGGGATAGAATCGGGAAATTCTTCTTCCTAGGCTATGAATGATCATCACATATCTGCGACATTGAATGGAATGAGCTCCTGGAAGGGTCTACCGTCGAAACTCGCGCTTCTTTGCATGCTGCGACCCATTACACAGAGTTTATCGAAGACCTGAACGGTTCTTGCTCCTCCAGACAAGCGTTCCATTCAATTTCAACTGTCAGCTTTGTCAAATATTTTCCTGTTGAAGCTGGCTCTGGAAATTTTGTTCTAGTATAAAAGGGCTTTGGTTCACAATGAACATACTCATCGTGCTCAGCTCTGCGATGTTTGCCCAGGGTGAGTACCCTTGCATTTATCTTAGAGTGTAAAACATAGCTCACCCCGACGTTCTTAGTTGCGCTCCTCCTACCCGTCTTTTTATCTGTTGTGGCCGGAAGTGTGCTGCCGTCTACTGCAGGTCTGACACTATTCCTCTACCATAATTTCCATCTCTGACGGTATCCTACATATTTTTGTAGATGCTTCCGCTGATATATCTGCAGACGTAAGCGCTGATGCGGCGTTATTGCATCGGTCTCTGGATGCACGCGCTGTCGCACCAACGCTTGACTTTAACGACTCGACCTGGATCTGGACGGGGGAGCCAACGGCTCATCTCGGAGTGCGACCCTTCCGCAAGAGAATTCCCTCTTCGAACAGAAAGTGCCCGACCTGCGCGACTATTCTCCTATCTAGGTTGGGTTTCCTGTATCAATACAAACATGTCAAACTCACACGTCCGTAGTGATGACCTCTACACCATCAACGTCAATGGTGCAGAGATTGGGTCCGGGGAAGGATGGCGCACCAGCGTTGTCTATACAGTCGGTCTGAACCCTGAAGGTGATAACGTCTTTGCCATCGCGGTGAACAACACAATAGGACTCGCCGGGCCCCTCATCGCCACGATCCTTGTTGACTACACGGATGGTACTACCGAAACCATCGTGACTGATACGACCTGGAAGACGCTCCAAACTGTCCCGCCCTCTGGCTGGACGAGTCCCAGCTTTGATGACTCAAGGTGGACTGCGGCTGTCGCGAAGTTACCCGGAACTCAGACACCTTGGGGTACCCCATTCGTGCTCCCATCTGCTATCAACATGACCGACGCCCATTGGATCTGGACCAACGAAACCGATAGCAACGGTCATGACCCTGTAGGTCATAGGGCATTCCGGGACACCATAACCTCTCCGTATGGAAAGGCTGCTGTTTGTGGCAAGGTAGTTATTGGCGCGTACGTCTCTGTCCCTCTTTCTCCGACTACAAGTTTCTCTGACTCGGCTTTGATTTCTGTAGGGATAACAACTATACTTTGTTCGTCAATGGTAATAACATCGGCCACGGAGGTAATTGGCACTCCATGGAGGCCTATTCTATCCCTAATTTGGATCCGGATGTGAACGTGTTCGCTGTTGATGGAGAGAATGCCCCGCCTGTGAGCCCTGCTGGGGTTATCGCTGGGATCCTCATTGCGTACAACGATGGGAGTTCGGAGACGTTCTATACAGACAAGACTTGGAAGACGGTCACTGGGCTACCGGATGGGTTTGAGGAAGTAGGTTTAGATGACAGCGCGTGGAGCGACGCGTCGGAATACGGCACGTTCTTGAATGCGCACTGGAAGAATGTCACGGTCCCGTTGGCTTAGGGGAACAGACTCTGCCCTTTCGATCTTCATACCCCTACTCTTCCTTATCCCGTTATTACCCTGTAGTTTTTTGCCTTCACTTTCATCCCCCACCCCCTAGTCATATGCTGTTCTTTTTTTCAACTCCAGGTGTTCTCTATCAACATTTGAGGAAATTTGTGTTTCTGCCTGATTCTGGATTAGTATCATCGATCATCGATAAAATATATTCCTCGGGTGTTTATATATTTTATATGCATTGCACCAGTAGCGTGTGTGTGGGTAAGAGCCACATTGGACCACAACATTCCACAATCTTTAAGGTACATTTTTGTACCCTCCTTGAAATTATCTGCCTATCCTGTTACAACGGTGATGATCAAGCGTCTGAAGACGTTGACTTGGAGTACTGGCACACCGGCGGAATGGGAGCGATTTGTGGAGTCACTGGCTCCATTCTGCAACTTGGGATGAAAAATACAAATATTTCGCAATGTGACGCAGAAATGCATTTGTTCCTGGCATATGGCCGACGATGGCCCCAGTGAGGATCTTAAAGTCAAGATTCTCAGGCTAACTGTCCGGCTTTTCGGCCCGGCTTCTCTGCTCGTTGATTTTGCCTTGATCCACACATACCCAACGGTACAAGCTATATTCCGACAGATCCGTATAAATTTTACTTTTTGGTAGGCGTCATTCTTCTAAGGCTTCATTGCAGAGATAGAAACAGCGTTAGGCGTTCAACCGTTAGAGCTAGGAATACAGTTCTACGGACTACAAGTCTACAACGGCAACGATGACAGTGTGGCAATGTTGCTGTTGCCTTCGGTTCCATATTCATCATCGAAGTCTGGCCCATTCCCTTTGAATAAAGGGAATCTGTACAGCATCACCCACGGACCTTCCTTCATGCGAAGTACTACTGCTGTTAAAACGCCGTCAACGTCCGCTGACTCTCGTCTTTTGGTCTTGTCTGCTAGTCAGAGGACGCCCTCAGAATCACTCGTCACAATATGAAAGACGGTGATTTTACCGACAAATTCCCCTCCCGACTTATATCCGTGTTCAAAAGGTCATGAACGGAGAACGTGGCAGACCAAAGATGATGACCTTTCGTCTCGTTCATATCATACTCTCTGCCCTAGGAGCATCAGCTACCATTCTCTACGATGGTCGCATCCCACTGGGTATGAGTAGCTCTATTCTTGATGTATCCTCAGGCCCTTTTTCAACGTGCGTACTGCCATCAAGGTCATGGTATTGCTGATGCCATTATTTGTGACGAATAGTGTGGTCAGGGGTCCTGAAAGCGCATCTTCTGTACTGCTCCTACTTTACTATGTCTTCATCAGGAACTCATGTGCAATATCTAGTACACCAGCTTCGTACCTTATTCTTCAACGGAGCAAGCCATCTCCGTAACGATTGACTGGACATCAATTTTCACGCCGGGAAGCTCCTCGCCACAGTATGGTTTTTGCAGGACAGAGCTCATTGCGCAAAAGAGCGGGAACACCACTGCTCTGAATGAGGGAACGGATACTGGCGTGTCGGTGTTCCACTTCTCCATCAAGGCTGATGAGACCCGTCCGTTGAATTATACCCACGAATATCAGATAGTTTTTATCGAGCCAACTGATGGATCGCATGTGTTCGGACTTCAGCTTGGTAAGTTATTTGGTCTATATACAATGGATAGTCAGACTGACAGTGTTGAAGGTTCGCCATTCACCAACCCTACCGGCGTAGTCCCAGCATCAAATTCATCCTCGTTTAAAGTGCTGGATCACGACTTGGACGTTCTGTTCACCACGCCTTTCACCAACGAGACATGGCATAACTTCGCTATTCAAGTCGATTGGGTCAATCTCACCCTTCAAGTATTCTACTCCATGAACGAAGATTCCCTTGAGGCTGTCACTGACGTGATGCCAAATACTTCTGCAGGCCAAGGTATCGTTGGAGATTTTCATTTTGGGATCCTGAAGGTACGGTTTGTGCAATTCTGGGAAGAGAAGGCTGTTCCTAATCTTACAAAACAGCTGCCTCTTGTTAACCCACTGGATACGGCCACTCAGCAGGCAGATGTGGTACACTACGGTCTCCAGGAGGGAAGTCTCGAAGGATTGTTCTATTCTGGCGTCTTTGTGGAGACAGGCCCACTGTAAGCGAACAGAAGCATCTGTCGACGAAGAAGCTACTCTAAGGAAACTAAAGGTACCGGTGTATATATGCATTTGATTAGCGCTACTACGACCATGACTTTCACGTCGCTTGAAAACTTATTCATGGGATCTGTTTCCTCTTCATGTACAGTGCTCCTTGTGTTCCCTCCAATCACGTCTTTGACATTCCACAGAGCAATAGAATACCCTCTTGCATTTGCTGCACTGGGATCTAGCGGGGAGATTGGAAGCCCCGCAATCAGCGCATACGTTCGATCCAAATTTGTCGTACCGCACAAGGCGCTTTTTTTCTACGACGAAAATCCATCAGCCTCAGACTGAGGAGAAAGCTGACTTCTAGACGCACCATCCGCCACAATTCTCTCGAGAATCTTTTCCTGTTTTCCTGTTCGTTTGCCAAGGCCGAATAAGTACATAGTACATATCGCGTACTGATAAACATACGTCGTTTTTTCTCCTCCGTCACTAATTCGTAACCTCCCGAATCCTTCAACAGCTTTAAACAGGGATCTGTAGGGTCCTCATTTGCGAGATGGACTACGAACACGTCAACCAAATCATGTGAAACACAACGGTCAGAGAAAGACTCACAATCGAGGGATTCGTGATGAATTCTTGCATTCGGTGCCCACATATCTGAGTTATACCAACCCCGGATTATTTTCTCCGCAGTTTCCTGAACGGCAATAGAGATATCGAGGTAACTCATTGACTGGGGCTCTTTGTCCTGCTGTTGCATCTTTACGATAACAACGTCGCCTTTCCACATTGGCCGTGAGCTGGGTCGTTTGGGGTCCACACCAATGATTCTGGCCATCGAGTAGTTGACAGGGAGACGGGGACTGACGTTGTAGTATAAGTGGTACTGTCCGTCGATTTGCTCGCCATGGTCTTGGATACTCAAGTTGAGTAGTCGCGTATATCCAGCTGTATATTTTCCATACAACCCTCTCAGGTCGACTGCAGTGTTGTAGAAACCGCGCGGATGGGATTTCGCCCCTGCTGCGCTGAAGATCATATCGACGACACAGGGCTGGTCGCCGTTGGCTGGGAAGAGGAGGACCTTGGAAGTTGTCGCTTTCGGGAAAATGAGTATTTTGACGCGTCAACAGGGGGGTGTTTACCTTTGATTTCGTGGCCAAGTTGAAGTTGTAATTGAGAGTCGTTTAGCATTGCGATATGGAGGGCAATAAGTGAGGGAGGGGCGCCGTATTGGCCCCACGCATTCTCACTCAGCCAGTCATGTGGAAAAGAAATGAGAAGGAATCCAAATTCACTTGCACAAAAATAGCGATAATATGTCCGGACGAACCGAGCTGAGATGGACTCCCTACAAATGATCAAAGATGTGGGAAAGCTTACGAAAGTAATGGCACTAGTGTGCTTCTTCTAATTCCCTTGCTTTGCGACTGAATGAGATGTATTCGGGTCAAACGCCTCAGAAACGCGTATATCACTAAGGTTTATAGCAGAGCGTATTGAGTAACACCTTCGAACCTTGAAATAGTCTTTGCCTAATAAAGAGTCAAAGAACGATCTAGGCCTTGTTCGAGCGAATCCAGTTTGAACGTTCATTGTCGGGACACAGAAAGATTCCATCTGGGCAAGACCCGTCTGAATCGCATGAGAGGGAACCGTAAAAGGTCCGGTTGCATTACATCGATTTTTGTCTTCGTCATCGAAATTGAATGAAGGGACAGGCGAGCTTCATCGCCTGCTCATTGAAGATGTGGATGGGATCGCATAGGCAATCTACGTGGGTCTTTTCCAACGTACCAAAATAGGACTGACCGCGAACGACTTGAATATCTCCCAGCATGCCAATTATATCCTCCATGAGCGACGTTCATCTGCCTCTCGGGGCCACGGTAGGTGATATTCACCGACATGGTCCAACAAGTGATACCTGGTGTAGATACAAGATAGTCTCTCGCGCTGACCTTTGACGGGAAAAATCGACCAGGCCATAAGAGTTGTCACAACCTCCGTTATACAGTGGCCGAAGTGTTTCCAAGGCATCATGGAATGAATAGTATCGCATATAGAAGGTGTTTAGAGTACTTTTGGGTTCACAACTTACTTTTTCGTCCTAGAATGATTCGTGGACATTGAAGGGAAACAGAACTTAAAACTATATGTCGCCTGTAGATGAAACTTCTGATAAGGGGCAGTTTGAAAAGTATGCGATCCAAGGCTGAGAATGTAACTTGGTAAAGGCTGTTGTTCGTAAACATCCACAGCGATACTTCTGTTGCAGACGTTACTTACGAGGTGGAAGGTAGGTGGGAACTTGTGAGGCAGGTCGAAAATTCATAAGCGCTAGCACCTGTCAAAGCAGTCCAATACAAAATCGTTCCTACCATCACTGTTCAATATTTAGAAAATATAATGACGAATGAGGAGAAAAGACTATCCATCCATATTGCTACAATTTTGAAAGTATTCCCGAGCCGCCCTTCGAACGGTCAGGGTTAGACTGTCGGAGAGGCAGAAGAGCGTTTCAGGACGCGGACCATATGCATTACCTAGACGATGAAATTCAATAACGCCAACTATACAGCAGATGAAAACCAGTGTCATGAAAAGTTTTGGAGTCACTCAGAAAGAAGGTGTCTGCAAAGTGCCTACTTAATCAGAACCGAGTTACCCACAATCTTACTTGGCAGCTGTGATGATCAACCACGACCCTTTCCCTTTCTTCATGTCGATGTTCTAGTTGGAAGGCAGAACAGGGTCAGAAAAGATAGTACGACCGAATCGGCTCCCGCGATAATACTAAAAGTGTCTTGCGGCTTCTTTCGCTGAAAATTAATGCCGAGTCCCGGTGTTATGCAGACAGATATGGGTCAGTCGTGATAAACCAACTGCCGAGCTCTCGGTACATACCCTCTTTCACACATTATCTAGCCACACACAACGGATGAAAGTGTTTGTGTTATAAGTGTCTCCCCCACTCAAGATAAGGTGGTACAAATACTCTCGCCTCCTGATCTACGTAGAGGGCTTAGGTCGGGGTTTCTGCATGGGTCGTTTGAGGCTTCCACCGCCTGTAACGGGGACGCCAATGGGTCCTCTGAATCCCCTACATTTATCCGAGTCAAACCAAGCGTAAGGTGTTGCTCAAAAAAACGTACATGCGCGACATGTCCCATTCCTCCTCCTCTGATTCTGAATCGGAATCTGCCACAAGCTGCTGTCCAGCAGATAGGAGCAGTACCGGGAGCAGCAGCCCCATTCGCAGGCCCCGATCCTGTGCTAGACTGAGCCTTCTCCTCTGATGCTTTGTTCGTTGGTACTGCAGCTTTCGCGATCGGTATCTCCGATTTGTTTTCATCTTGGGAACCGGGGGCCGCTGATTCTCTAGAAAGACCAGGGTCAGACTGTATACAATGCAGCGAAACGAGCAGACCTTTCTGACGAAGCCATGCGATCTGTGGTAGATTGATAGCAAGGACAAACACATCGATTAGCTGGTTCCAAATACGACTGGCACATGCCGGAGCATGCCATAAGCATCATCTCAGAGCTTCGCCCTTTAAGCTTCACGGGCTTAAGTGGGCGAACTTTCCTTTTGGTGCTTTGAACAAATGACGTTGAAAAAGTGTCTCTCAGACTCATATGATCCTCCCTGATCCTCCTCTCCACTTTCAAATGAAATGTATAATATTTAAGCGCCTTATAAGCGCCCAGGGTCGAATCCAGGATCAACCTTCTACCGCAATCAGAACAAGGGTATAATGCAGCTCAGGCGATAGGAACCTACCTGACCATCCCATTGCTCCCAACGTACAATCGGACGCTCCTACAAGGATTTACTATCCCTCCGCATTATTGGCCTGGTTTAGGTTTAGGTCTAGTTGGAGGTCTTATTGGGGGTTTCGGTCGAGAAGTACCCCCCGCGATGGGACCACTAGGAACGTCCTGCCAACCGCACGCCACTATTTAGGAAGATAAAAATCCAAGCCTCCGTAACTGCAAGCCACTCACATTGGTGATGTGGCTATCGTTCTTACCGCGTGTCCGACCTGTCGGGTACTGAGGATTTGGATCACCATCGATATCATTCGTAGAAGGGCAATGGCAGTGGAGGTTGTTTGTGACGTATGCAGGGATGCATAAGCGCCCATTCCCACAAGGGTTATTCAATTTCTTGTTGTCAATCAGAACTTCTTAAGCTCGCGGCGTTAAGAGTTTGGCGATTCTAGGAAGGTCTGTAAGGCTCAGCCGCTCATTGGCTGTCTGACGTTGAATTATCAGATGGACTCCAATATACAATCAAGAATAGCGCATCGGCGCTCTTTAACAACAACATTGACTGCTTCAGCCAGAATACTTTCCAGAGCGGTAGCATCACTACCAGCTACCTGCTTACCCCAAGCCCAACCACCTGATGCAGCTACAGCGATCTGCGAAAAGTCTGGGCTTGCCGGGCCGAAGCCTACAGAGAGTCGCTCGCCAATAGCTCGACTGCCTAGACCTGAAGGGTATACACCCATCATAGAGAGCTTGGGAGACTAAAGAACAGAGCGTTAGGTGTAGAAATGAGTAGCAGGTTTCGATGCTACGTACCTTCCAACCACCGTTGTTCAAGACAATAGTCAGAAAAGGCTACATTTTATGAATAACCAATTTATGAGCAGCTAGCAAAAGTGAGGCTTACTGTGTCATACTTTCGAGCCATCCAGTAGGCAGAACTAGGAACACCAAACATGAACGATCCGTCTCCTACAATTGCCACGACAAGCTCGTACGGCTGAGCCCCGTGGACCTGAGAACTTTTCACCTTGCCTCCCATGTAAGCGCCAACAGACGCGCCCAAAGCCCAACCCAAGGACGAGCCACCAGAGGTCAGCACGCTTCCTGGGACCGCCGGACGTAGATGCTCCCATACGGCTACATAATTGCTTATGGCCTCATTTAGGACCAACGTTTCCATCCCACGAGTTGGTGTGTGCAATTCGATGGCTCTTTTCAGTCCCCCAATGACGTTCGGAACAGTCAAATGATCTCCTGAGAAATCCCGCTCTCGAACGACCAAGTCGTCCAGCCATGCAGCATGTGCATCTTTGAGCAGTTGCCCTCTCTCCTGCACAATCCTGCTCCCAAGAATTTGTTCCCCGATACTTCCTCTCTGCTCATCAAGCTCTCTGACACGTTCCACGATCTGTGTAAGGGCTACCTGGGCGTCCGCTTGGCAAATCATTTCTGCTGCGACGTGCCATGAGCCGATGGACGATGCTTTGAGTGGGTCTGCACCCGAAACAACGAAGACCCGGGATTCATTGCTGGGTGTGGCCAGGATAGGAATCCATGGTAAATCGCAGTCGATAATAAGTATGGCGTCAGCATTCTCAAGATGCTTATTAGAAGTATCCTGGCTGAGGTACGAGATGCCGGCGAGGAAGGGATGAGAGAAAGGGACGCTGACAACCGAAGGGCAAGCGACAAAGATAGGAATTGCGAGAAGGGTCGAGAGAACAAGCAACGGCTCCACGGCATCTGCATTTCGGCCGAGAGAAGAAGTGATGATAAGAGGACTCGTGGCGGTCATGAGGGTTGTAGCAATGGCGGCTAGCGCTTTGGGGGATAATGCAGTCGCCTCGACGGACGGCCACTGGCGGAGATCTTTTCCTGTGGCTTCCAGAACAGAGGCATCGACTTCGGCCTCCATAACTTCTCTGCGGCCCCACAAGTAAACAGGCCCTTTCGGATGGCTGGTCGCACTAGATACAATGACGAAAACGTCACTGTAAGTTCACCGCAAACAATAATGTACATACATTTGCAAGGATCGCTTGACAACCTCAGCGACGTTGTGACTGCTATTGATTTGCGCGGTATAACGCATATACTGGCGTACTATTGCTGCCTGGTCCGGGATGTCTGCTCTATTTCAGAGGCCGCGTATCGCTAAGATAAGAAATGTACATACCTTGGATCCACATTATCCATTCGTTCCTTGATCCTTTCAATTCTCCGTTGCTAGTGAATGCTGAAGCACCCGCATATATGAGGACGGGCGTCTGCCCACGGTCAACATTGTGAATAGCACCGGCTAAAGCCTGATATATTCAATATAATGGCAGGGACGAATAGCGAAAGATGACTCACCTGGGTGCCCACATCGACATGCACAATAACCGCCGCTGGCTTCCCAGTTACTTGGGCATATCCTTGTGCCGAGCTCAGTGCGACCATTTCATTCGGACACGTCACGATAAGTGGAGAAGTCTTCCCATCCTCGATTCGCTGTCTTTCCAATTCTTCGAGCAACGCTGGATGATCAGAACCCCAGTTCACGAATGCATGGGTTACCCCGCATTCTGCAAGAGTTCGCAAAAACACTGACGACGTAGTTAGCATCGATGAGGACGATGGGAAAAGTATTTACCATTTCATTGCTTCCAGGCCTCCTTCATCATGAGTGCGAACAGGTGATCAGTTTGTCATCGCTGAATACAATATCGGCCGAAGCAAACATGAACATGAAGGATGTGGTGGCAAGAAGCAAAGACTGACGGATTCAAATTTGTGCAAGAATAATTTTCACCATATTTTTCGTCAAAATTTTGGCGTAAATTTATCCCAATTACCCGAACCTACTCAGACTGCCCCAACATCTCACGGCCCAAAATATCATGGTCTTCATAATTATTCATTTAAAATGTCTAGGTATGTAGTTGTAGATGTCGACTGAATGTTACGATACATAAATTGGAACTAAATTACTTCTAATGAGTCTTAGAGCGTCCACGGCCACGAATCATTTCCAGTACGCTCCGAGTACGGATTCTGAACCAGAAAGTGAATGCGAAAATTGCTACAATCTATAAGAATAGGTTAGCCTCTAAACAATCACTTAAAAATTAAGCTTACATTAAAGATAATGAAAGCGGCCATTAGGCCAACATTCCGCCAGTGATGCGAGTAGAAGACGTTGAAGTTGTTGGACAAGAATTCATCAGTGGTGCGGGTAGAGCAAAAGCCGCAGGATGAAGAAGCGTCGGGGTTGGTGAGGTATCCGCCTGATCTCGAAATGTAGTTTTGCATGTACTGACCGCACGTTTGTCCGGCCGGGGGGTTGAGAGTGACTACTTCAACTGACGAGCACGTAATCTCCCGATGGCCGACGGCTTGGCCGAGCATACCTTCGATGAGATAAGTGTACGGGGAGAGACGGTACCTGCGTCGTTGTGAGATACATACGCGTGAGAGCATAACATAAACTTACATCCACTTCCACCATCCGAGCTCTCGATAAGGCTGAACTACGCCATTGCTATCCGATATGTCAGCGGATAATATTAGAAAAATAAAAGAGGAACACCACATACAAAGTAAGCACGAACGAGAAAAGGAAACTGAAGAGAATAGCAGCGATCTCCGCGTTAGGACTCATAGCAGCGATGCTCTGCCCAATCGTGGTGTAGTACAACGGGAAAATCACGCCAATCATAAGATAACTGTATCCCGCACGATCGCTGGTAAATCCAGACGTCCAATACCAGCAGAAGAAATACAACGAAGACCCGATGATATTCCAGGGTATCTCGACGAGGATTTGGGAGGTCACAAGGGCGGTCCAATTGTACATGCGGCTTGGACGCTCACGAATCTCGTAGATGGAGCGCATATTGAGGAACGGGATCTGAAGCTGGTTCGCCAGGGGAACACTGATAATAGTGGACATAAAGATAGACTGGGGCCAAGGCCTTAGCTGTGAGAATGACCGGAACGAGAAACAGACGCACAAATAGTTTGTTTTGGGTGCCCTGTTGTGTATCCTTTGACTTGAAGAATGAAAATCCGAGGAAAAGTCCGGAGACGATATTCAGCGCCATCTTAGCCATCATGTAGCTGGGATCCCGGAAATGGTCAGCAGCGTCACGTTTGACAAGCTGTACTACTTGATGGAACCAAGATGTAGCATATTCCGAATGCAATGTAGTTCCCATTGCAGGTTGTGAACGGCCTTTCGCATGGATTTCCTGGATCTGTCCCTGGACCTTTGTGAATTCGTCGGAGTTACACCAGATCTCATGCCAATCTTCCCTCGTGGTCGCAGATGCACCTGCGCCGATGACGTCAAGCATGAACTCAGCACTTGTGATACGCTGTTAGTTTTAAATTGTATCACGATCGTATATGAAAGCAAGACATACGGGTTCTCTTCTGGTTCACATCGACGCGATCCATGAGTCTGGAAGTAGTCGATGAGTGTCGTAGCATTGTGCCCTAAATCGCCAAAGTACACCGTCTCACCCCCTTTCCGGAGGAGCAACAAACGGTCAAACATCTGGAAGAGTTCTGCGGACGGTTGATGAATGCTGAATAAGCGGTCGCGTCAGCTAAGAATGTCCACCTTCACACTAGAACGCCGAGGACTTACGTGCACAGAATGGCCTGTCCATTGTCTGCAAGATCACGGAGGAAAAGCATGACGGCCCAAGCACTTTGGGAATCCAAACCGGAGGTCGGTTCATCAAGAAACAGTAGTAGTTTGGGCTATAGACATAGTGTTACTCCCAAGTATATCTAAGAATGTGCTGAGCTTACCTTCGCGGCCAGCTCGACAGCCGATGGTCGTCCGTTTGCGATTTTCGATGCTCAAAGAGCCGACAGTCGCATCTCTGAATGGCTCCAAACCGCAAAGCTGGATGCACTTCTCCACACTGAGAACTGAGGCATGAGAACATCATCAATCGGATAAAGACTCTACGTACTACTCCACTTTTTCACTCAGAGGTACGGATGAGGGTTGACGCAATTGTGCGGAGAATAAAAGTGCCTCGCGAACCGTTGCTGACCCAACATGGGTGTCTTGCTGTTGGCAGTATCCACTGTGACACAGGTTAATCGGCGTGAGGCGAAGGCCGACAAGGAGTTAGACATACGTTTGAGATTGGAAATCCTTCGGGAGGGCATGTCCATTGACGAATCGATCGCCAGTAATAATACCAACATTGGCACGCTCTGCCAAGACATTAAGAAGAGTCGTCTAAGAACAGAATAATCAGCCGGAAGTTCGAATTCGCCGCATATGAATAGAACAGAACGCACTTTACCAGCACCAGACTCCCCCATCAGTGCAGTGAGCTTGCCCGGGGCCACAAAACCAGAAACACCGTTCAAAAGTCTACGTTTCCCGTCCGCGACTGGAACGGTGTAAGTCAAGTGCTGCCAGGAAAATACATCTGTCACAGAAGGCGTTGCCTTAAGCGCCTTGTCGTAGTCTCCAGTCTTTTCCTCGTCACTCAGACCACCACCTCGTGTTGTAGTTTGAGAAGCCTTCTCAGCATCATCACTGTCGGAGCTTTTCTTCGGAACTGCATCAGTTTTTGCCCCACGCTTGAACAGAACGACGGAGTTGGCCGAAGTCAGCTTTGTATTGACTTCAGTGAAAACGAGCAGTGCTGTGGTATACGCAACTAGGAATGCGATGATGATGCCGAAATTCTGTAGCAAGTTGATAAGGATCGGCGATGGAAACCAAGACAAACACATACCCGCCAAGTGTGACTGAAGCGGTAATCAAATGAAAGGTACGCGAAAGCGTTTCCATCAACGAAAGGCTGGCCGGATTGTGCTCCGACGACGGGACACACTTGATTGTCCAGGGTAATGTTCTCGTACCCAGCGCCGCGGGGAACCAAGGAACCGCAACTGCCATTAATAGAGCGGAATTCGTTAGTCATGACTGACTCGAAACCCCATCTCAAAGGCTACAAACTGTCAGTCCATGACATATGAAGTACGTGATTAAGACGTACATTGAGATACGAGATCCATTTAAGAGCACCGATCATCGACGGTAAAGGCAATGAATATCCAGTATAGACAGCATAGGCCAATACGGAAATACCAGCAAACGTTTGGGCAAGCGCTAGTTCTAAATGAGCACAACGAATGGAAGCAAACCGGTCGATCCGTCCTACCTTCTGCCGCAAAAGCGGACGCTACGGCACGGAACCAACTCTTCATCGTAATCGAGACAACGAACATGAACAAAAAGAATATGCTGAAAATAGACAGATGAACGGTAATCTTCCCACAGATGAAATGTACTCACAAGAACTGTCCCGCTGACTGCTGTAATTGTGCCATCTCATAGATTAAGACCGAAAAGATCACGGACGATGCAAAGGCCATGGGGATATCGACTAAAACCAGAGCTACTTGATCGATAAAGGGATGGTATAGAGCCCACGAGTGTTGTCGCAGTATGATGGGCCGTTGAGCATAGAGTGCGGGAATTTCCGCCATCGAGATTAGAGCAGAGAAGAACAGCGCACTAGATAAGCGTTAAACGTTACTTAAAAAAGGATATTGACGCCGCGTACAAGAACAAAACACCCCCGCGAGAAAAGTACGCGTTCGTGGAGGTAGACATTTTCAAATACACGGAACCAATAATGATACCTTGAAATAGGAATGAACTGGATAGCTCTCATGAGTAACTGATTCCGAGATTTTATCACGGTGACGTCGCTTACAAGAGATTCAAAATCGTAGCCAGCATATTCCCTCTTAGGATCTGTATTCGCCGTACCATGACCGCTCTGGCCTGCATCGGAAGTGAGGTCAAGTGAGCAGAGCCCAATCGCGTATGCTTCGAATGGTCCTCCCGTGCGCTCTCCTTGTAGGACTGAACCATATCGGCTTTGCCTACACGTTCCGCCTTGAAACGCTGGATCTCAGCCTTGTTCATCTTGGAAATTCCCGAAGCTTGGAAGTGCGTCGTAAATTCCGCCGCAGTCCGGGGGAGGTGTAAAGCATCGGAGCGTGGTATCCGACCATTAGGATCGGTGACGGCAACAAGAAAATCTGCAGTAGTTTGACGATTGGCAGGTTCATAACCCATATCGATGAAATAGGAACGCGCTTCATTAGTGGGGCCATAGTATGCCATCTTGCCGTCGTAGACTACACAGACCTGGGATCCATTAACATCGCACGCCAGCAGCATCAACGAGAACTGTTTACCTTGTCGAATAGTTTGTACAGGGACTCTCCGGCCTGATACAGGGAAACGACGGTAGTCATTTTTGCAATATCGGTGGCAATACGGAGCGCACGGACAAATTCCAGGGCAGTGGACGCATCAAGACCGCGGGTAGAGCTAGAAATAAATCAGCTTCTGTTTTTTTTTTTCAACTCGGTGTAAACCCACTTACTTATCCCAAGAAGCCACACATGCCCGAGTTGCAAGGACCTCTGCAATTGATACGCGTTTTTTCTCCCCGCCAGACACACCACGAATGGCAGCGTCGCCGACAAGAGTTTTTCTCGCGTGTTTTAGACCAAACACGGTGGTCAATAGTTCAGTAATGTGTTCGGCGTAATCCTCTCGAGAATATCCCAGGCGAAGGTGAGGCGCGCGCAATTTAGCGGCAAATTTGATTGTCTGTTCGACAGTGAGGGTAGGGAAATGCACGTCATCTTCGGGACAGTAGATGACGTCGCCGCGATAATTCTTGAAAATGTCACGATGACTAAGAGAGTCGAAGTGGACGTCGCCCTCGAAAGCGTGATATTCACCCCGTTGATTGGCCAGTGTCTTGAGCAGGGTCGTGCAACCTGATCCGGGGCGCCCCAAAACCACTAAGAACGGAGACATAAGCAAGCCCGCCCAGAACAAAAACACATTGCGTACACAGCATTTCACCCGGATTCACAACTCCTTCGAAACCCGATAGAATGTCGCGCGTGTGAGGATGTCGCGCGGCCTGGATTCCTTCCACTATTCCCAAAGGATTTAAAGTCGAACCCAAAGTTGGCTGATATGAGGCGGTGGCACCGAGACCGATGACTCGCAAGTTTTCGAACATGACCCCCAATTCTCGTGACTTGAGGTTCGCTTTTTCACGCCTAAGAAAAAATGGGTGAACATGACTGTCTACCCAAGGAAAGATTGACATACTGTTCAGCTACTTGTTCCAGTACTTTTCGTAGATCAAAGGCGTTAAGCGTTTCCGAAGATCCCGTTTGTTCGATATCCTGCGTTGCCGCCGACATGCGACTAATGGTTCTACGCAGTCCTTCATCACCGTCGGGATTGAAATAGTTGACATCAACATGAGACATAGCGGCCTCCCCAGAGGAAGGTGACTGAGTCGCGGCCCCGGACATGGTGGGGGGAAAGAGATGATGCGGCTAAATTACATAGCGAGGGCGCCATAAATATATATTGTAACCAAGATGTCATACGCGTCTCCCCCACAGGCGTGTCATCGAATTTTCCCGGAATCTCCATTTTCCAAGGCTTACTAGCTGGATAACCGGATAAATTGATGAAATCCGTTTACGTGGGCGCCGTGGGTGCCGCCCCTATTTAAGCACGTTCCGAAGCGTCCCGCCAATTGCAAGGGCCTTTGCTGACAGTCTGACATAGCAAGACCATAAAGAGAGTGAAACGTCTGGGTAAATGTCAGATTTATCAGAATTTGTCCACGGCATCGTACGCGTACCTCCCGCACAATTCAGTAGCAGAATCAAGGCACTGATTGAGCGCAAGTTCGAAATTTGAACTGTAACGAAACATGTTCACAAAGGGCGCTGACAGGTATTTTCTGGCCGTCCTTTGAAATCCTTGGGGTAGATGGATTCAATACCTATAGTATGCAGGAGCCTTTGTGAGCGCGTAGTGGTAAGCGCGGGGAGTGCTAGCTAGTGGATCAAGAAACTTTATTTGCCGAGAGATCCGGGAATTGGATGCTGCTGTAATACATAGGCAAATAATAATGACGTGATGGTTCCCGCGGCCACAGCACGTAAGCATCCGGAAAAGCACTTCCGTATATAGCACTGAACGCTCGCCAGTGGTCAGCAGTTTTGATACAGCACGATGGTGACTACTTTGTGTGAGTCAAAATCAAATCAAATCCGGGTCGTAGGATTTTGCGTCGAAATCTTTCAAGCATTTCCTTATTAGGTCGGCCCAGATTTTGATTCTATCTTGACTCACTCAAAATAGTCGTCATCGTGCTGTTTGCGTGCTATGTGACTCATATTACAGTCTTTCATCGTCACGGTCTCGGCCCATCTAATCCCGTCATAATGCGAGTATTCTACTCTCAGTATAGTCGATAGTGATTCCATGGACGAGTCGTCAGGGACATTTGTACCCCCTGCTTTCCACGCCGTGGAGCATAGCTCCACCGTTAGAGACTCTCAGTGACGATATGAAGTTGACTCCCCGTTGTTTTTAGCTCTAGTTCGGCTATCTATGTATATATGTGCTGTAAATTCTGATGCTCTTATTGTCAAGATCATTGATACTCTGGCCCCCCTTCTCAGAGACAACATATGTCATCGCAATATTGTAACATCCGAACGCGACAAAACTGTTTAGAGCTTATCCAATAAATTCCGAACTAAGTAGATGATGCCTCACAGCATTTCTAATTGGCCCATCACGCGCTCATTACGTCCCCTTCCACGTTATCGTAGTTCTAAACAGTACATCTCTGCTCCTCGAGACAAGCTTCGCTGAGAGGAGTTGACTGATGACGTACCAAGCCAAAGCATCCCTGACTTGTGTGCTTCTCATGATGGCGTCACTCCAATATTCGGTTACAGCAAGTCGAATCCTTAGTAGCTTCGGGTGTCGTTCCGCCGTTATCTCTTGGGTCCGTGAGATGTGTCATTTGACACAGATTATTTCGTTCAACGTTTGGGAGTCGCAACGATTGCTTCGCACTCTAGACTCCAGAGAAACCACCGGACAAGGTCCCAAGAAGCTACCAACCGGTCGGTGCAATCTGTGAGCTTAGGTTTATGAGCACAAGTAGAGACTCCGTAAGATAATGTCCCGTTTCAATACCTTAATTTTTCATGTCCCCTGCCCTCGAATGGGTGTCATGAGCCTTCGTTTGCGACCAGTGTTAAGAAAGTTGCTGGAAGTTGGCGTTGGTTCTCGCAATCTCAATTGCGAGAAACTTGTTGGAGGACCGTGGAAGCGATCAGGCACAGTGGCTGGCTCGACGTCAATGTCGGCACTCTCAACCTGACGATCCTCTACGATCCTAGAGCTAGAACGTAATCAGAACGACGATTCGGCCCTGGCGTACCCTTAAAAGGCAATTCTTACTTCGTCCAGGGCACTAAAAATAACACCTACATCTGGGCACATGATACTTCATGGAAAATGGAATGTATTATGGTACTGACATTGCTGAACCTGCTGACAATCGATTGAAGTTGTCGGGTGTGGGATTTCTGATAACTTATGATGCTAGATTCCTCAACCTAACCCTGATCCATGGAGTTCGTGTCGGATTCCAAGTCTTCGTTTACACTAATGTCCTGTGTGATATATTTGCGCAAGAATTTGAGAGATTTTTTCATTTTAAATACTGTTACATCTTCTAACCAACAAACAAATAATGCAACTAGCCGCACATGGAACAAGGGTTCAGGGTTGGATTGCACCCAGGACCAGGTCGTGTGTACGTGAAGACCATCGAAGCAATGACTCCCACTAACTATTTTGGCTATGAACAGAGCCCGCTCGTCCCCGGCAGAAAAGAAGCCAGGAGACCTCGAAACGGTCTTTGTTTCATAGAAAATAGTTAAATGGGAGTGATGAACGAACGGTCACTCAGCATCCACGAGACGGCATCGCAGACAGGTACGAAAGACATGGGTAAGAGGTCGTTCGAGGGTGCTTCAGCCGCTAACTGCGGGTACAAGCTGGTACCCTCGAGAGAAGGGGACGGTGAAGAGAGGACAATAGCTACGTGGATGGTAGGGAAGAGGAAGGGAGAAAGAGGCATTGGATGACAAGAATCGCAGATGTGGATCTCCTTTATACCAACAGGTTTGTTATTCCATATTTTGATTGTTACTAGTAATGAGTAGTTCAGAACACACGGATCTTCATAGACCTCTCCGAACCGAGTCAGGATCCCCGAAAGGCCACCGAACCTCCCAATCAAGTGTACAATGTAAAATCAGCGGACATAAAAAATGCTATCGATCCGCTGCTGGTACCACCGGGGGTCGGCCGATAGCAACCACACGGATTGAAATATCAACAGCCTACGAGGTGAAATTAATGACCGGGATTATAGGTAGACGCCATTCCATTTTTGTCCCTTCAAGGTCATACATGACGATCGTGGTATATAGGATTAGTGAGCATGAAGGAAGTCCTAGACGCGCGAATTCTCTAGAACTCTAAGTGGAGCACGTGAAGGCTTGTAATTGACCGACTACGGTATTTGTCTGATTGCACCAAGTGGTTCGCACCGTATTGATCCTTCCGTACCGGTTTGGATCAAGACAAACTGTGCCATATCATTCACAGCTGATAGGGCCAGAGCAGGTATTATTTACTGACGCCGGCCTGTCACAGTGATAAGACTCAGACAGGTACTGAAAAACAAAGAACGGACCGAATTCGCCCTTAAGGTCATGACGTAGAAGCACGAAGATCCCGAATTCCGAGATGAAGACAATACGAACAACCTTCGATGGAAAAATAAAAACGGGATACAATATTCATAAATTTGAGAGAAAATACGGAACCATGCGGCTCAGCTTCGAGAAGACAATGCAAGACAAGGATATATTTCACAAGGATCCACGCGGTTACAAGGATTAAACAGTTGGTTTCCGAGAAACCATGGCAAAAGAAAATAGCCGCACTTTGGTTAACCGTTTCATATCAGAAAAAAGGTCCCCAAAGATCACATCGGTATCAGACTCACCTTCGTGCCTCACGGTGAAGGCGTCAACGGTTCGAGATCAATTCTCATGCGAACATACTCCACAGCTCCCTTGAAAAATGAATTCCCAAATGCAGTCATTGACCGCTTCCTATACCAGGTGGATGCGGACACCCTCGCGTCACACCATACCACTCTCGCATGCAGATTTAAGCGTGCAAAGTGAAACACGTATGTCAGCAGTTTTGTTCCGATTCCGCGTCCTTGAAACAAAGGATCGCAAGCAAATTTTCGGAATCGTGTGGCCATGCCTTCCGCAGGGTCATCGGTAGCAAGCCGATCCAGAGTACTATCGATGGGACTCATGGGAACCGATTCAGAGAAAAGGGATATGACGGCAATGGGTTCGACCCGAGACGGTACAAAGGCACCAAAATGCCAACCTAGTTCGTCTTCCGGGAGTACGACTTTGGCGACATCTTCGTCAGGCCAAAGCACGGAATGGCGTAACGGTATCGTTTGCTGGCTTGTTATTGGCTTGCATATGATATCAGAGGGAACTTGGGCGAACGATACTGAGCCGCGGGGTCAAGGATGAAGCTGGAGAACGACATACGGAACTTGAAGGTTTCGGAGTTTGAGACTGCCATCTCACCTGTACCGACGCAGCAGAGATGGCACGACGTCGAGACCTAGTACGCTCGAGAGAAGGTTCGCCAGCCACGTGGCCGCTCCACAGCAGACTCCGTAGGCCCTTTCGACTGAAATCGCCAATGAGAGCCCAGAAAATTTTCTAAAGCCAGCCCCCTCGTTCTCGAACTACATAAAGCAAACATGTGGGTGTCATCATCATCATCATCATCTAGTGTATAATTATTCACCCACGGTGAAAACATGCCTTAGTGATAATTGCGGTAGTAATAGATTAAGCACTGGGGGAAAGTCGAAGATGAAATTCCATCTGGTTGTCAGCGATGCCGTTAAAATTTCAGTCCACAACCGGTATGAAGGCTCTTTGAAATACCTTTCGGGTAAGATAGCGTCTACCCTGAAGAATATAACAAAAGAAGGAGTTAATTTGAACTCCCGAAAACACCAGGAAGCAGAGGAGTACGAACCACACAATCACGCTGTCGCACCGTGATACCTTGAGATAGTGTCAATGTGCGCGAATACGAGCGTGTATTGCGACTGTTCAGCATGTACCTTCTACGACGAGCTCATAAGGCTTCGCAAAAATTGGCGACTCTCGAAGTACGGCTCCAGACATATGGCCGGACCTCGCCATCGTTACCAAGGTAGTACACGCCCAATGGTACCACACGGCTCCCGGAAAATGCCTCGACATGTCTGAAAGCAAAATGTTCATTGTTGTCCAGGAAATAGGCTCAGCGGAGATGCTGACGTTGAACGGAAAACACGTTGGCTTTGACAGCAACCAGAACAATGGCGATTGCACTCTGCGTACATTACGCCCGCATATTCTGGTCGGTTCTCCTGTAGATTCGCTCGGCAGTCTGTAAGGGCCAATCAGAGGACTGACGGCTTCATGCAGGACGGAATTCGAATTTTCCTCAACACGAGGCCATGGCTCGCACTGACATAGACGCCAAGACCCGAGCAGCAGCTGCAGGAGGTAGACGACGGAGGAGGTTGATTATGCACCCGAGATCCGCTCCTCGCATGTCAAAGAGGTAGACTTATCGAACACGGCATGATCATTTAGATGCCGACCAGGTCCAGGAGACATATATTTTTACTGACGCTGACATTTCCATCCTATGAGTACTGTAAATGCGTAATAAGACCATCCGAAAGGAAAATACGATGAACGTAACCACAACCCCGTTCAGCCTCTCTCAGACATTTGAGCTAGGTAATCAGACAGCTGGGAAAACAAGCATCAGATATGGTAGAACACTCGGAATACGAGGTTCTGTACCTTCAAAGCGCCCGTTCGGATGCTCTCACCAACATTTTGCACGTCAGGATTTGCTAGAACGCGGCTGAGGGCGTCCCGTGCAGCGACCTCCAGGCCTGCCAGGCTACCGTCTCCGAGTAGCCCATCATCGCCCCTTCGACCCATGCCCATATCCTCTTCTTCTTCACGGCCAAAGTACTGATTCGACGATATCGACGTCGCACCTTGGAAAGATTGCAACCGTGTCTGTGCTTCGCTGACGGCCGCGGGATCATACGCGTTCCGCCCGAAAAACATATCAGAAGAAATTGCTTTTTGATTCCCAAATTTATCACGAGCAGTGGTAGGAGAATCATCAGAAAGCGAAGCGGTACTGGTTCGTGAGGAGTCAGTAGCAGCGGCGAGACTCGCAGCGCCTGTACCAGGCACAGCACCAAAACCAAGTCTTGGGAAAGCTGCAGCCTTCTGCGCTTCTGCCATAGGGTTGGGCTTCTTCGCTGTAGCGGTGGTGGAGCTAGTCCCCTTCTTGGGACCTATCTCCAAGGCACTTTTGGCAGCGGCAGCTTCTTTCCTGGCCTTTTCTTCTTCCTCTTCTCGCTGTCGGTCATAACCAAGTTGCTTGATTCTTTCCGCCTCTTCGAGGGCCTTCCGCTCGGCTTCAGCAAAGTCGACCGGCTTCGCCTTGGAAGCTCCAAGTCCAAGTTTCGATTTCTTCGCAGCAGATGATGTAGAGGACGTGGACGACGCAGAGTTGAGTCGAGAACTACCTAATTTGTTGGTGCGACTGGCAGCAGATGACGTGATGGTTCGGGGAGCAGATGAACTAGCCGTTGATGTTGGTTGTGCAGGGGAAGGCGTACGGCCGATTATAGGTGGCGTGGACACTCTGGGTGTAGTCGGCGCGGATGGCTTGGGCGTTGAAGGCTTCGACCACGATTCGAAAAAATCGTCCTCTGTCTGCTCTTTCGGCGTGGAAGTGGAAGCATTTTCGACACCATCAACGACGATTCCATTCGGAAATCTGGTCCTGAGTGATCAGAAATTACCGAGAAAATTGAAAGGCCTCGAACCTAGCAACATCGTCCTTGACCCGTTTTGCCAGCTCCTCTTTATACAGCTCTGCGACGCGACTCGAGTACTTTTTCTTACTATCAGCGTCGTTCAAGAGGGACGCGCCGCCATGCTTTGTAAAGAATTCTGTCGCGAAGGCATTCCCTCCTACTTTCATGTTCCTAAGCTGGCGCTAGCTGCCACGAATCGAGGTTCGTCGACCTAGACCGGCCATCAGCGGTCGCTTACGCCTCCTGATATGAAAGGAACCGCACCGAACGAACGAAATATGTACGCCCATATTTCTGTGGTTGCTGGAGCAATCTAAACAGATATATACGGCAAAGGTAACGCTGGACCATGTCGGGTTACGCGCATTGCAGTCAAAGCAAGTCTATTTCCCAGTCAGCTTCTGGCGTCATATCTGGCAATACTAACGGACCTTGTTGCCTTTCTGCGCTCTAAGAACCTTGAATATTTGCTCTGTTTCCTGTTTCGTTGGCTCTGCCATACTTTCGGCAATTTGTCCTGGTGGTCGGAAGCGAAGCGTGTGTCGTGGCTGGTGTTACTCGAGTTCCCGTTTAGGTAGCAATGGCACAGCCACTGCATCGCTTTTCCTGTATCAATCCGAATTGGGTTCTTCAACTTCATGTTGAACTGAACCGTTCCATCAAGATGCAGCAATGAGGCCTGAAAAAGTACTTCACGAAACGGTGGCCTCCCTCTTACTTCATGGCCAGAATGATACAATAAAGGATGGAAGATATCCCACGTTTTTCGGGGCCCTTTCAGTGCAGAATCTGATCATCAAGGTCAGTAGTCATGCTGTGCGAGAAAAACAGGTAATAACCACCTCATTAATATTCCAGATTAATCGAACAGCAGGTGCACATCTTGAATCATCGGCGAGGTTTCTTGTCCTATGCCTGCCAGTAGAAAGCCCTGTGATTCGGTGACTGATCACAAGGTACCCGCGAAGCACTGCAGTCTCAAAGCACCCTGATTCCATGCTTCAAGTAGACAGGCAGCAGGTTTCTCCTGTCTTTGCCGCTTTATCGGCGATGCACCGTTCTCTCTTCCTTGTCTTGCTGCAATGAGCCAAGACGGACCAACCAGCCAAAGGGAAGTCGTTCGGCGCTCAGTCAACGCCTTCACGCGGCCTTTCGTGGCATTTCACTCTAGCCACATGCTCAAAGACCAGTTGATCCTCACCAGAGCCTGTGGCGGCTTTTCGGGAATTACGACAGATGTCCTTGGTATCATGTGTTATAGTAGCAAGGAGACCATTTATCAGCCTTGTCAATTGTCTCGCTATTGCGCTTTCTGTGTCCAACAATGCTGAGCCTGAAGCACATCTTAACCCTCTCCTTTCTCTCCTTGGTCGCTGGTAATGTTGCCGTATTCTCTGCACTGCCTTCCCCCCGAACTTCATCTCTCGCACTAGCTGAGCCTTACAACACCTTCGACGGACCCGGGTTTCCCGCTTGCAATGCTGTTTCGCAGATCTACCGGCCTTCGACGGTTGACGAGATGATCAACATTATCAAGAATGCCAGTGCTAACGGCATTCCGGTACGAGCCAGCGGCGTAAGTACCTCACTCTGATAACCTAGAACTCACTACTCACTAGTCTCATAGAACGGACATATGTGGTGTGCGTTCCACTTACCGGTGTCACCACTAGGTCTTTCTTTTGAGTATTCATTTTCCTAGATGACACGATGTGCTCAGACGACCCTAATACAATCATAATTAAGACCGACGCTGTTAACGGCATCTCTAATCTCCAGCTGACAGATGGTATCGGAAGTGTAGTTGTTGAGGCCGGCGTCACATTTCCACAGTTGTGAGTCTAGCACTGAACCACATCCTTCCTTCTTACCATAGCTTTTTGGTAGGGCAGAATGGTTACATGAACGTGGTGCAGCACTGGGATACACTCTTGGTAGTCCTGTAAACCCATCCTATGGCCCCGGTGGTTTTTTATCTACATCCTCCGTAGTTAATTGGAACATTACCATAGGTGGGAGTTCATAACTGTCTGGACATATCCCGGTGGCGTTCTTATGTTTTAATAGCCGGCGCCGTTGCTATGGGGGCCCACCGGTCCTCCTTACGTGAAGACTCGCAGGTGTCTAGTGCCGCGGGTGGGCCCTGGATATCATCAATGGACAGGGTTCTTATTTAAAGTTGATCCAGTAGGTAACGGTGCTGACCATACTACTGTTGAATAGGCGATCTTGTTCACCTTGAGAGGGACCAAACCAACGACACCTGGCTAGCCGCCACCACATCGCTCGGGCTGCTCGGAGTCATCGCTCGAGTGGAAATTGCGGTCGTCTCAGATTACAAGGTGTACGCGAATCAGACCATCTTAGATGAGGACGACGTCTTGAATGGAGATATATATGCACAAATTTCACCGTATGTGACTGCAAACTATTGGGGTTGTGTCGTTTGCCTTATGAAACGGAATTAATGCTGATACACGTGTTTAGTGGTGGCCAGTATTGTCATGTCTTCACATGAATATTACTGCCTGCGGCACCAACACCTTTTGGTACTGATAGGGCCTGAAAAAAGTTTCATCTTCGAACGTACGGGTGGGTTGATATCGATCAGCCTGGAGACCGCTTTCCAGGTTAGTCGTCTCGGCCAGGCGTAACCCGAATAGCTCATTTCATTTTCAGTCCACATTTTCTCTGACTGATATCGAAGCAAGCTCGCGCTTATCTTACTCAATGCCGGTCAAAAACCTCAGCCTTCCCAACTTTTTCAGCGAGAGTGTGTTGTACCGCCATCTGGACAGCTCCGAACTTCCATGGTGGGTGGTCATCGTCGCTAGAATAGTTACAGCCGCTGATTTGTTGTTAGAGAAAACATATGACGTACCTCTCTTCAGCTGGCCTGTTTATGGAAACAGCTTACGATGTTCTCATTGGAGGCCTGTATCCAAAATCAGAAGACAGAGTGGGACTACGGACTGCATGGTCTTACTTTGGAATTCGCGGTCCCTGTGACCCCAAGCCAATCAGCTCCTAAAGCGCGTTCGTGAACTGTTCGATCAGTCGGCGGCTGACGGCAAGGCGGTAACATCGACGTATCGAAGGTAAGTATCCCACCGTGTTCCGCGTTGGTAGGACTTAACCAAATCTTTGCATCCAGTGGTATCAATATCAAAGTAAATTTTTATGATTATTTGGCTGCCGCATGGGTCTCAATATCGTTGGTTACAGTTTGGGAAACCATTCGATAGCTTTTTAGGTCAGACGACTGAACGTGTCGGCGAAGTTCCCGGTGACTGGTCTAAGGTGAGTGTTAAGCCGGAATTCCGGGTTTCATGGCTGAAGAGTACACAGGGCGCTATCATGTTTGATTTCCCAACCTTCCGGCCAACCTTGGGCGACCACCATCGCTATAACGAAGAATGGTGGACGAATTCCTCCCGTCCCATTGTTCTTAATCTAATGCGTTGACAGGTACGCGACGCTGGCTACTACGCTTATTAATGAAGTACGTTGGCCTCGGCCCTGTCGTAGATAGTACTCATGCTTCTCCAGTTCCCAGTCCGTCCGCACTGGACCAAGAATACTCGTTCGATATTCGAACAGTCTTTGAAGAATCTTGATCAGGATGTAAGCTCTGCAGAATATAATTTACGATGCTGCTGACGCACAGACAGAGCTTGTCCCGATTTGCAGCGGTCAGGAAGCAGTTTGACCCCAATGGCACTTTCAAGAGTGTCGTTGGAGAGATTATTGGCGTCATGTGAACAGCCTGAAGCCGTATTTCTTTTTATTCATGGTAAATATTGATACCTAAATCTCGTATTTCAATTACCGTGTTAGTAGGAACATGAACCCACAAATTTGCAGAAATGAACCCTGATCATTAATTAATCATTTGACCATCAGATGGGCCTGGGTCGATAAAAGAATTTAATGATTACTTGTAATCCTTCTTTCCCCGGTTCCGTTTCCTTCGTGTCTTGAGATTTCAGGTATTCGTGTTCTTTTCCGGATAACATGTAGAAGACTGCAGGCCTTCGTCTGAGGAATATTGCTGCAATATCGGAAGTAATAGTCCTCTCAAAATTCAGTTGTCACAAACAGTAAAAGTAACTGCCAGCTTTGGTTAGCGATGTCGACGTTGTTGAAAATTCCACGTGTACTATAGAAGTCGCAGGTGAAAATAAAGTTCCAATGATGGCACGCTTGAGAATCGAACATGCCCCCTGATGGCGAGTCGTTTCACAGAGGCTATGAATAATAAGAAGACATCAAGGAGGTAGCAGTGTCTCGGAGATAAGGCCATGAACACGAGATTGGAATGGCTGGGTCATCTCTAGAAAGAACACTTCTTTTAGGGTGTGATAGCAAAGATGCATAACAGCCTGGTGTTATTGGTGATCTCCGTATGGATTGAATCGTATATTTGTTTGGAACAGTCGTGCCTGATAAGATCTGGGGTTTGCGAGTGACCAGGGGAGGGAGAATGGGAAGGGATGTGAATGTTTTCAAAACGTTTCACTTTACCGTAAGAACGGGATTCACAGCCCATGAAGTTGCTGACGTATGATGTATTTCTAACACAGAGATATCAGCTCGGAAATTTGGACCCGGAGAAGGCTGTAATACCAGGGGTCGCATTTAGTGCAAATTTATCATCAGGCTGCGAGGTAATTTTCCTCCAGTAACGACGGCATCTTTCTTCCAGCAGATAATTTGGTAATGCGTGAGACATTCTGATTTCTGGCACTTTCAATCGACTGGAACTCAGCTATGATGTCAAGAATGCATTACTCGTGCCCATCCTTAGCTTGAAGGGTCAATTCTTGGTCAATGATTCCTCGAACGTTGCAGATACTCGGTAGATATGACTGCTCCACGTTTAGAGTAAAAACTTATAACAGCGTTGAACTGAATGGAAGGAGAGCTTGTAGAAAGGCTACACCATGAACAGAAGATCCGCCCAAGGCATTTTTTGATGTCAATAAGGTTGTTATGGGGGTTTTCTCTCAAGGGGGAGGCGGGAGGAGGAGGAGGAGGGGTTTTTATTCTGATTCAAAAAAAGACACATACCAGCGTATAATTTCACGTTTAGGCTAAACTTCGCCCCTCCCCCGTCCCCCTAGTAATGATATATCCATTTTTGGGAGATAAATCTACAGCTATCAACGCCGTCTCCGAGAAACTCGAAATCCAGCACTCTTTGGCAATCATCATTGCAGAACCACTCACTAACAGGTTTTTCTATGAGGAAGCCCTTTCACAATTGACATATGCATGGTTCGTCCAGCCCTGTACTGAACTCAAAGTTTCCCCTCCCTCCTTTCTGTGAAGTACGCAAGGTGCATAGCCTTGAACCCACTTCATGGGGTCAAGGTTCATGTGATGAACAAAATTGTTCAAGTTGTGTTCCTGCCAAGTTCCTGGCCCTCGCCGGATACAAATCTGTCTCCCATTGCCTGACCACGGAAATGAAGGGAAGAGTTCCAGGCTAGCTGTAGAATAACTGGTGTCGATATGTTTTTTAAGGGCCCTACACCTTCCCCCTACTACTGTGTGCCCGATTTTAGCCGCGCCTCCCCCTAGACTGCCTGTATCTCCGTGATAGTAGTGCAGGTAGAAAAAATCTTGATATTCATCCAGGTAGAGTCAGAATAGAGCCTAGGTCCCAGAAACAAGGATTTTGGGCCAAACGGGTGGAATAACTGGATATTATTGGACGAAACAGCTCGATATTTGGTTGAGCTTTACATATCCGTACGTTAAGCAGCGGAAAGAGCCGACTGTGGCTATGCGTAAGATTCGATTCAGAACCGGAGCGAATAATCCGCTTGCCGTCTCACCACCATGATCAGGTTCATTCTTGTACAGGTATGCATGCTTTTGCAAAGCGTTTCTTGCGCTCATCACATCCAGAATCGTCAAGGAAAGACTCGTTTGTCGAAGTGGTATGTCCCATATGACGACGACGAAAAGGTCCGTTCGTCACCTTTGAATGGATTTGCGTGCTCCCCCCCTACATGAATGTTTAGGTTAGATTACGCGGCGACGTCCACAGGCTCGTGGCACCTCGAGACCAGAAGTACCAATCGAACTTCGTAGAGGTAAGGCTTTTGGTGCTACCCTTGGTGTTGAGCTGCACTAAGACGCCCTCTGATAGTTCCGGAATTACAAGATTGTCTATCGCCGTTATGCCGGACTATTCTTCTGTGTCTGTGTAGACGCCAATGATAATGAGCTCGCGTATCTGGAGGCAATACACCTCTTTGTCGAAGTTCTTGGTACGTGGCTCGCAGCATGGCCTCACTCAACGATACTGAAAGTACTCTGTAGATTCGTTTTTTGATAATGTGTGCGAACTCGACCTCGTGTTCAATTTCTACAAGGTGTGTATCCGCCCGTAACTCACTCACGTCCAATTCCTAAGTATCCACAGGTGTACGCCATCCTTGACGAGATATTCCTAGCTGGAGAGATCGAAGAGACTAGCAAAGACGTCGTGCTGTCGAGGCTGGAGGAGTTGGAAAAACTAGAATAGTGTATCAGTAAGTAACAATTCTAATGTCATCGTTGGTGTAAGGATCTCACACGGTGGTGCTTAGTATGCCTGTATCTCCCCGTATATTAATAAGATACCATGGGCCTGGACTTTGCAATCTCAGGTATGCAGTTATGTTTTAGTCTTCGACGGCATCTAACCCAGAGTTGATAATAAGAGAACTCGGTGTACTTCAATTCAGTTACTTCACCTGATGATGACATTTGTCGAAGTGGTTCCGAACCTTTGCCGCATGAATATAGTCCAAGCTCTCTCTCGGTTTCTATTCCTGACCGAAGCAACCCAAACGTCTGTTGCCAATCTGAACATGGAAGTTGTTGTCTATTGTCAATCTGCTTTATCTCTCGTGCGCGCTCTTTCCTCGTTGAATTGAGGCTGTACGACATCATGTCAATTTATCGTACGTAGCCTCTCTCTCATCGAGCTTGTCGACATTATGACGATAATAGATGAAGATGTTGGCTGGCCGTACTCTCGCACACATCTGGGAACTTATAGCGCTTTTTAAGCACGCAAATTGAGACCGGGAGATTGTGTACGAGAAGTGGCGCTTCTGACAATGGTCCCGCCTGCCCCTGCCTTTTTGTGCACCGGTTTTTGCGCCTGTAGCCGCCAGTTCTCCCGGGATTGTGAAGTTCTGACTCCATAGTTTTGGTCACGCTGGGGAACGTACGTATCCCAATGTCCTGCTTAGGTTGCGTACGGACATGACTACTGTTCACGTCCACTCCGGATGCCTGCGGATCATGAGTAACCGTACGCTTTTCAGGAAGCATCTTCCCACTTCCACTGCCCAGCCCTCTACGTTTGCCTCTCTATAAGCGCCGGCATCCTCTCCGATACCTTTGGAAAGCTGATACAATGGCGACATGCTTGTTCGTCGTCGTCGTCGCTAAGGAACCCAGACCGAGGATGCCGATTTTGGTCGCACATGGCATTCGCGTGGTCGAGTAACTAGTACCTGATGGTCTTCTATTTTCATCAGCAGGGGATACATATCCCATGAGCCTTAGCCTCTGCTCATTAAAACACAGATAGAGATGTGAATTTTACGGAACCAAAAACGCGTACCCGGAGATCTCCCCCTAGGTTCCGAAATGCCTCCGCTTTGTTTTCCACGGTGATAGACCCTATAAATGAAGGGTCTATCATAGCCGTGAGGTGATTATATTTCCGATTACAACACAGTCCCACAACGCGGAGACTAATCACCTACGTTCTTTATCTCCTCATAACAATTTCATTACAGCTCATTCCGGGTGAGTTCTTGCCATGTGCTTCGTTGTTCCATTGATGGCCGACTCAGCCAGGCAGCTCCAGTCCTTGAGTCTGTCGCGTTTTTGTTTCTCTACACTGCGCAGAAATTTACTCGACTCTCGTTCACTCCAAAGTCCACTCCCGCACCGGGAGGCCGTGAGTTGCACGCGTTTTTTCAGTACCTGATGATAAATTGTACTTTGATAGGTTATGCTCGTCAGTGCATGTGCTTGTCATTGGAGGCTTATCGCAACATAGTTAAAAATGTTGGAAGTCGTGCTGATGTAGCGGCTTTATGCAGGGTCTCGAAAGGTTTTCAGTACGCGGCGGAACGTGCACTTTATAACACGCTATACATGCAGGATGTCGGGACGACGATGCTCCTCTGTGCCACTCTTTCGGAACAACCGCGCGTCGCGGCATATGTGGATGCTCTCACTTTACATGCAGGATCGTCCTCAGAAAATGGAAGTCAGGAAGAGGGGGAAGAGGAAGAGGAAGTCCCACATGAAGAAGCGCTTCCACCAGAGTATTGGACGACCATCTCTCTCGCATTCCGAAAGCTTTCACGGCTACGGTACCTCAATATTCATATCGGTCATGGTGTTCCATCATCAAACACCTGGATTCTTGACAACTGTCCATTTCATCTCCGAAGCTTCCATTGTGATCTCGACTGGGACGCACACCTCGTCAAATTTTTAGAGACCCAAGGGGATCTCGACGATCTGTACATCATAGACTATAATGATTCTCTCGTGGACGAGCCCGTTGCCCAACCATCCACCACCTCTCCTCTCTCCGACAACTCGCTCCCGAAATTAGCCACTCTAGAATGCACTTTCACCGAGGCTGCTGCGGCCCTGGCGCCTCGACGCCCTCTTATACGTCTCAAAACGTGTTTCTCACGCTCAGACCCCGACGCGAAAAGAATCGAAATGACGAATTTGTTTACTAAAATCCAATTGTCTACAGCACAACTCCGCTCATTGGATATAGCGGATTCGACATATGCCGAGTCGTTCTCTGTGGAGCTTCTCAGCACCATCGTGAGCACGTCCATGACAGCGCATCGTCTTCAATACTTGGGCACTCTAGCTTTGCCCATAGCTGGCCGAGAGGTCAGGCCGTCTTTAGCCCTTTATCTTTCGTTTTTTGACGGTTACGTTTGTGTTCGATGAAGAGGTTACGATTTTATGGGATGCTCATGAGGCTTCCGAAGCTTGGCTGTATCGAGGTGGAGGTGTCTGGGTGGCGACCAGTTCCGTCGACCCTGGCCGCGTTTAGGGCGCTTGCGAGCGAGCTGCGCTTGTACTGCCCGACGGTAGTCATGGTGGTTTTTGTGCATGAATTTGAGAGGACGGTGATCACGTACATGGACGGGATATACAGAATAGATGAGGAAATCGGTCCCGAGTTGTTGTGGAGGTCGGAACTATAGGTCAGGGCTTTGCGATATATCGTATTATATGAGTCCTCATTGTTCTGGGATATGCTAGGGATGCACGTTGCACTATCGAATGGTCAGACACGACTCTTGTATCACGTTTATATTCAGCTATATACCACTAATTGCTGTAGCTTCCACGAAATGTACATATGTAATTCGTCCTCGACTTGGGATGACACCGCTATACCACATTGCCCATTCGCTCTCTTTTCACTACATATTTCTTTATCTACTTTCATTGCCACGCGTCTGTATTTTTATCTTCCCTTCTCATAGAGTTCAACCTCTGGTATTTCTCGGCTGTAGACTACCCTAATATAGTACAAGTCTTGCTGCACCCACTATGAAACCGAGAGATATGACTACCAGGGACTGAATGCTTCAAGAAGTTGATGACACCCCTTTTCCTTCCCGTCTTCGGCCTTGATCGGGATCCCGGAAAATGGACTGATGAAGCGGTCTACTCATGTCAATAGCGAGGAAAGCGACGAAGTCGAAGACAAAAAGAGAAGCAGCGGCATCATGGGGTGTGCTTGACCCACTCGTCCTCCTTTCCACGAATATAACAGGCCATGCAGTCTCGCGTGGGAATAGCTGTAGGAAAGTCCGAATCAATAAGGAGCCGAGTTTTCTATTCTAAAGAAACATCCAACATTCCATCTTTAAACGCAAAACATACCGAAGAGAAAAGGTCTACCAGGCCTGGAGGTTCCTTGAACCGGGGGATATAACACATGCCATAATTCTTTACTGAAGTTCCTAGCATCAAGCGGGGCATGAACGGGTGAGCATTCGTCCGTTTTGATTGATATTCCATATTGAATCAATTGTCCGGCGTGTTGATGAGAAAGAAGGAAACTCAGTATAGATATCTTCGCAGAGACAGAGGCAACAGAATCCGATTCAATCGATATCCTCACGCAATTGTCACACCCATAATCGTCAAGGACGAAGGACGATCGGCCAGCTCCGAACCACTATGCGAGTGACCTATTTTTAGTTCTCAGACGAAATGACGTTGGGGCTACATCATATATGTCTAAATTAAGCGTGCGCTCCAGGGGATCGAGCGCAGATCATATTTTGACCAGGATACGGACCAAACTCTCCAGGGTATATAAGGAGGGCGAGTTCGCGTTTATAGTTCCTCACTTCTCTTTCTCCCACTTCCACAACCATCCTCTTCACTCAATTTAAACTCGCTCTTCACCATGTCCAGCTCCATCTCCAACATGATGTCCGGTGACTCCAGGTACGTCGTCGTCGCCGTCGAGCGCGTCCGACGCGTCGCTTACCCGTCATTGTCGTTGCAGCAAGGCCAACGGCCAGTACCAGTCTACCAAGGGCACCGTGAAGGAGACGGTATGTCGGGCCGACGCGTTTTCTCCAACGCTTGCCCGAGCAGCTTGCTTACGTTGGTCTTAGATCGGTAACGCCGTTGGATCCGACTCCATGTCTCGCGATGGCAAGAAGGAGCACGCCGAGGGCGAAGCAGAGACCACCGCCGCCAAAGTCCAAGGCTACGCCAAGGCCACCGCCGACCGCGTGATGGGATACGGTCAGTCCGTTATGGGCTCGGTGACCGGCAACTCCAGCGACGAGATGGCTGGTACGTGTAATCTTATAAATTTCGTTCGTCCCTCTGACCATTCGTCGCAGGTAACGTCAAGAACGAGAAGGCCAAGGCGGAGCAGGAGATGAACAAGTAATCGTGTTGTTTTGAAGTTTGTCGGATACTACACTTGTGTTAATATCCTTTCGTATGTCTGTAATATTATAAATAATAATTTATACGGAAATCGCGCGCGATGTAAGCCATTGTGTAACTACACCTTGTTTATTATTGCCGGTGAACTAGTCGTCGTAGGTTAATCTGCAATCTGATGCATCTTTCCGGGATACATGCAAAAATACTGTTTACTATACATATACGCATGGTACCATGGTCGTACAGGTTATTTCATTGATAGCAATATCGCCATCTTTGTCTAACCTTCGTATCTACGTCGAAGACAAAGACTCGTTGTTCATGATCTGCGAGAACATCTGGAAAGCAGCTTGACCATAGGCAAGTGTTCCATGCTGCTTCGCGTCAGAATAGTACCAATAAGCGGATAGAGCGGACGTACAGTATAAGCAGGTACTTCATGTCCTGCACCATATATTCGAACAAAGGAAAACGTTCCAGCATTCTTGTGTAGACCAGCCGCTTGTCCGTCGACAGTGTAATCTTGCAGTTCTTCTTCCTTCAGGATGTCGCTGAATTTGGTGTCAAGTGCGCCCACCTAGGATGCAAGGATTAACAAGGTCTTGATTGCTAAGTTCTGTCCATACCATAGCCTCTATCCCATTGAAGTTCAAGATATAGTCCTAGATATTGATGTAGATCAAGGTATCATGTCGAGAGCTAGTGTACCTACAGCGTCGCCGACATAGATGATTGTTCGAACCTAAGGAGATACCCTATTAGAGGAAAGGACACTCGCTGGTCACAAAGAAAACGTACCCCGGCGTTGATAACGGTCTCTAGGTCTGGTCTGGAATTCCTCATCCAATCGCCTATCCAACAGTCAAACAGAGTTCATGAAGGCCAGAGCACGTCGGCTCACCCGTGGCTGCAAAGTTAGAGTAAACGTCACTGTTCGACATACTCCAGGTAGTCTCCGCGCCAATTTTGCTGGCAACAGAGTTGATATAGTCCGTGAAATCAGGCGGGTACGGGTCTGGGTCCTGTGATAGGATGAAATAGACCTGCGGGGAGTCGGGGACGGCGTGAGATTGTAATAGTGGGCTATACTGAGAACGTACATCGTAGTTTCCTGCTAATGGACCTAGTATATTGTTGTTGCAAAAGCTTTGCGCTCGAGAGCAAACAGAGTTAGAGCCGCCATTGTTACAGGATGTGATCTATCAAAATGATGAGGATGGAGGATGTCATATAGACGCAGTCGATGCACCTGCGCTTTGCATCCAGTAGATGATAACCATGACGAGTTAGCTCGTGAGATGGTCGACGAGGACACTAGAGCATGGTAAGGATTAGAAGCTGCATATGTGATATAGCCTGGGTATTGGTTTAGAGGATCCTTTGGAGCCGTTGTCAGGTGAGAGAAATTGTAAATAATGCCGACTCACTGTTAACCCGTCTCCGACACCGAGCACTTTGAGATTCAATGTCAGGCCTGAGATAGTCCCGGCAGCTATAGCTTCATTTTGAGAAAGGAAGTATCTGAATGGCGTGATCAGGCATGCGTCAAATGAGAACATGAATAGTTACGCTGCGAATGTGGGACCATAATGCCCTCCATAACTAAATGATGTGCTCAGTGGAATGGCACACACGTGGAGCGGGACAAGACCTACGATTCGGTCCAAATAGCGAGGTCACGCTGCAGCAAATTCGAAAACCTCGAGTCTGAGAAGAAGATCTGGAGGAAAGTCCAGACATCGTCTGCCGCTTCTTGGGACGTTCCCACATTTAATTTTCCGTGGGAGAAGCCTACGCCCACAGGTTGATCGATGAACAAAAGATTCGCGTTTGTGTTCCAAGAGTAGGGATTGAGAACTACGTTCGAACTGTCGTTGGTTATGCGGCAGGGACCGAGCTCTTGGAAAAGACCGATCATACTCGAGCTTCCCGGCTGGACGGAAGTTAGGGTTGAGAGGAGTTGACTAAGATGACTCGTACCCCTCCGTTGAACCAGAGTGCCAGAGGCGCCGTGTCGGGATTGTTTCGAGCCGCAAAGTACCAGAACCTTCCTAAGTGAGCAGATGCGACGCGAACGGCAGAAGGCAGCATACCAGATACTCTCATCTTCGGCGATATCTCCGTATCCGGAGGCTGAATAGACGCCCTCGGTCGTCTCTGAAGCGTCCGATGAGAATGGGTGGACAGTTGAGGAAAGGTCCCAGGAGGGCTTACCACAAACGCCTGAATTTTCCGTGACGCGAAGTTGTCCGACAGTTGTGGAAACATTCCCCGCCGCTATCTTTACCTTGCTGACGGTGGCAGTAGTCGTGTTGGGAACGCCTCCGATGACGCCATCAACGATGGGAATTTGTCTTGGAGACGCAAAGGCGCTTGCCGATAGACAAGCAAGGAGAACGAGGGGAAGTAACGACATTGTTCTGCCAGGTAGGCATTGAGAGGACTGCAGTAGTCTTATGCTCATACGACGCGTTATTTTTACTTCAGACAACGAGGAGACCATACGGGAGATCGATTTCAGCATACGACAGAACCCGGTTACGGAGTAACGGCAGGGTGGATTGAAATATGGACCATGTGCTATACCACACGTTTGGCAGCATTCTCTCAGGTATAACTGTATGGAGACGGTCAGGAAGGCTGGTTTTTGTTGGTTATTACCGGTCCAAAATTATATTGAAGGATCCAAAAAGCCTGAGGATCACAAAGGGAGCATGCGTTGGGGATTACAAACAGGAAAAGAGAGGACAGGGTTAATGAGCAAGCAGGGTCAGGAGGAAGTCAGAAGCATGGATTCTCTCTTATCGATAAGCGCACAGAACCTCGCATTGTGTAAGGTTGCGGGCGTATGACCGTGACCGTCACCGAAAACGCCAGCAATGTTTGTCCGAGAGCCCAACACCGTTAGCGCCAAGCAATGAGCACAGCTTTTTCGCTTTCGACTCTCATCCACCATCATGCCTCACAAGCGAGCGAAGAAATCAGCGAGGGACCAGCAGAGGTTGCAGATGTCAGGACCACTTGTCACTTTTGCAAAATGAAAAGCTAAATTATCCCAGAGGTTCGGACTTGGCGCCAGGAAAGCAAGCCTTGGAAAACGAAGCTATACCGAAATCCGTTGCTCGCGTCTTGAATGCTATTCATGTCCGTGAGCAGTGGAAATCAAGGAAGAGGATGCCAGAGGATGATCCGGATGCGATGAAGCCAGGAAAAAGAAGAAAGACAGATAAGGGCGACCGTGGCGAGAAGAAGGCCAAGACGCCTGGAATTTTACCTGGAGAGTCGCTCCAGCACTTCAACAAGTACGTCGGACCGATATTATTTGCTTTGATCCACTAATTTGCTTATCTGTAGGCGTGTAGAAAATGATATGCGCCCCCTTGTCAAAAATGCGGTCCAGTCCTCCCTAGCCAATGCTCGAAAGGTGCGAACCACGGAAATGAACGCCAAAAAGAAGGGCAAGTCAAAACGCGTCGAGGAAGAAGAACGGACACCTTCGCCGCCTCCGATACCCTCAAAACACGCAGATAGACCGAAAGAGTTCCAGACGATATCTTCTTCCGCTCCTCGCCGGCTAAACGACATTGCCCAGGCCCCACCAGAGCTTACGAAACTTCCGAGGGGTGCCGTACGGCCCGACGACGCTCGGAATACGGGGAAGAAACGCGATGGTGTGCTATCGATGGCGCAGAAGGCCATGATGGAGGATGAAAGAAATAAGGCCATCGCGCGGTATAGAGAAATGAAGGCGAAGCGAAGAAGTGATGGAGTTGATGAGTCGTGATGACTCACCAACTAGCGTCTTGTGGTGCACAATGTCAATTCTCTTCTTTTTTCTCTTGCCCTAACGCGAATCCCTCTCAGGCCCCTCGTGTCGAGCCTCCGGCATTGTAAAAATTCCTGTCGCTAGCGCAATATATTCGACCAGGTGCCTTCCCGAAGTCGTACGCAACCTTGAGAAGCACCGGCAAAGTAGAGGTCGAAGATTTGACAGCGCTTCTCCGGCGAAAGGCTAATTTTCTCTTGATCTCCAAGGACTCTCACCACGACCGAGACCCCGAGATGTGTGAAGTAACAACGACTGCTCACTGTCGGTTAGATTAGGTATGTTTATTCGCGTGGCAGAGTTACCTTCTTCTAAAGGACTTCTTAAAGGTATTTGGGTTTCCATAAGTGCTGCATGATTGTATATAGTGTATGTGGTTTCATCTTTACTTTTCTAGTCAGATCTCTGGAGCTGATCGACTTTTGTATAGCCTAAATGAACACAATGTTTTGAGCGCGCTACGTTCCGAGATGATATGGAGAATATATTGCCTGTCGTTGCCTTGGCTAATAGCTTGGGTAGTAAGACATTCGATCAGGTCTGTTTCGTCTCTTAATTGTAGCTGTCTCCATCTGAAGGACATCTCAGGTGTTTGGGTTTCCAAGTGTTTTGCCTGATGCCTGCTACCCAATCTCACAAACATGAGGTAACCCAAGGTCGTAGTAATGATGACAATTGTCCTCAAGTGTGCTTACTGTTGACACCGTGTTACAAGATTCATATGTAATCATTGAATCATTTTCGACCTAGCGATTACATTTTCAAGGTCCTCGGCAGGCAGGTTGATCCAATGTATGCGGGTCTGTATCTCGCTTATCTTCATCTTGTTCCTTAGGCTGATTTCCACTTAGGTACCTGTATCGCCTATTTGAAGTTGGTGCCCTTGTTAGACGACTCAAGTCCGCGGTAGCAAGTACGCCACTGGACCGTCGTACAGAAGAAGCATTGCCTGCCCTCATCATAGCTAATAGTAACAATTATTACGATAAACCGACGCAGCCATACGAAATTCCTGCAACCGCACCTTATGTCTGAAGATCCTGCTTCGGGTATCTTGATTACCCCTCTGGTTGTCTGTGGACTGATGGGTATCACAGATACATCATCTGATCGCCAGTAATAATTGCATAGGATCAGATCCACAAGAACTGGAAACAGGGCGCTTATCTCGAAATTGCAGCCTAACAAACATGCGGTTCACACAGCAGCAGTTTATTACTCAAGTAAGCCCATTCGGAATATCGATTCAATATGTATGGTTAAAGCGCTGTTTAAAGGCGCCTGTCGTATTGCATCAGCGAGCTTGAATGAGTTGCCGTAGGACGAAACCATAATACCTCGGGATTCTATAAAATGCAGTCAAGAGAGCTATAAGCTCGGTGTTGAGGTATTTTATTGCCGCGGCGGCGTATTATGGTCCATCCTGTCATTGGTAACCTTGGAGCTAGGTGTGGATGGATGGCATGGCCCATGGAGGAGGATCTGTTCGTCTGTAAAGTTTTGACATCGTTTATTCAAGCTATGACAGACGGTAGGCCGCCGTGGTCCAGGCATATGCAGCACAGCGCGACGAACGGCAGCTATGTCGTGCGACATGTCCGTATCAGCCAAGATCCCTGATGACGTGTTTCCGAGAAATGGAAAACACAGCCGCAGGATTGTTGAGTTCTGCTGGTTGTTGTTAATATTATGGCTATCCAGATCTCTATCGCCAGGCATTCGGTCCAAGTGACGTCTACCGAACCTCGAGTCATTGACGGATCCCCACATCCTCGTGCTCCCACGGGACGGTCCGGTTGATGAAGGTGCGTAAAAGGCCCTGTTTGGATGTATCGAAGTGAGCTGAATTGAAGCCGGTGTTAACGGATGCGGCGCTCTCAGAGCGGATATTAGGATTCTACTCTTTCGAACCACCCGTGTCAAAGTCAAATCCCGATGGCCTATATATCAATCGCCCTGGAACTATATGTATTCGTTCCCTGACCTTCACCTCAGCTTCCTACTTGTCCTGTTCCCTTCCCTCTATGACTGACGTCGAAAAGATCCACGCCGACGTCCGTAGCGATGTCGAGATTGTCGATCGTAGCTCCCACGGCCATGATAGCTTTCCCTCGCACGACGCAAAATCTACTCACTCAGAAGTGTCCTCCGAGGAAAGCATGCAGTCTTTTGCCTCTCATGAATATCCCGACGGTGGTCTAAAAGCATGCCTAACTATGTTTGGCGCGTCTCTCGCGCTGTTCAGCACTTTTGGGCAAATGAACGCGTTTGGGACGTTCCAAGCATGGTACGCAGCTCATCAGCTACAGCATCTGCCGGCGTCGACCATTTCTTGGATTGGCTCTCTGCAGCTATGGGTCTTCTTCTTTTCCGTAGGTTCCGTAACGCTTCGCCATTGTTTGCGGACTAAATCTTCCGTTTTGAGGGAGGCCCCATTGGCTTTATGTTTGACTTGTATGGGCCTCGGGTCTTGATGGCGGCGGGCTCATTGCTGTATATCCTGAGCCTAATCTTGACGAGTATATCGACACAGTTTTACCAGTACATCCTGGCGCAAGGCATATTATTCGGTTTAGGTGTCGGTTTATTGTAAGTCATGTTGCCGTCGATGAACATATCTCCGGGAGTAACCGATGCACGCTGCAGGTTCTACCCGTCACTCGCAAGTGTTTCGACGTACTTCTGCAAATACCGCGCTTCTGCACTAGGCATCGCCGCAGCCGGGTCCAGTCTTGGTATGCGAATTATCAGAGTCGAGGATTTGTTCGCCGTTGACTAAGTCGTTACCAGGTGGCGTCATGTACCCCATAATGTTACAGCACCTTTTCGAACGCGTCGGATTTGGCTGGGGAGTCCGCGTATCTGCTCTCGTTAGCGGGTTCGGCTGTGGAGTTGCGCTGCTGACACTAACGGCTCTTACACCGGGGCAGAAGCGCGGAAGCTGCACGTTTGAGCTTTGCTCGACATTCAAAGATGGTCGTTTCAACCTTCTCATGGTTGGAAGCAGTCTAGTTGCTCTAGGTAGATCTCACCTATTTAACTTTGTCTGACGTCCGCTAACTTCATTAAACATAGGCCTTTTCATACCGCTCTTCTACATAGTGGACTACGCTCACGACCTTTCCATATCTCGTGACACTTCATATCTGGTGCTTGCTCTTATGAACTTGGGCGGTGTCTTTGGTCGCATAGCCCCCGCCGTTCTGTCCGACACCATCGGGCGCTTCAACATCCTTGCGCCTTCCGCATTCTTGTCAGGTGTTCTCTGCCTGACACTTTGGATCTTAGCACGTTCGCTTTCGTCAGTGATCGCCTTCTCCATTTTATACGGGTTCTTCTCGGGGTCTTTCATATCTGTGATAACGCCGTGCGTGGCGCAGATATCGGACGTTCGGGAGATCGGGAAGAGGATCGGGGTACTATACAGTGTTATTTCTTTTCCGTGAGTATCTGAACGCCTCTAGAATTTTTGCGCTGTAGCTGACATCGGTTTTCTTTTCCTCCGTTCAGGTCTTTGATAGGCGGCCCCACGGCAGGCGCTTTATTAGCGCTAGAAAGGGGATCATACACCGGCATGATTATCTTCTCCGGCGCAACGACGATCGCTGGTTCCTGCTTCATACTCGCTGCAAAACTCATGATTGATTCACGGATACTGGCCCGAGTGTAACCAACTATGGACTGAATTGGACACAAATAATTTATCTCACCATACTTATCGCTTATGTATTTCTACGACCTTTACGATACTTCTCACGCGCATATTACTGTTCCGCCTGGCGCGGATCCCAGAAGGATTTACACGCTAACATACCACACTAGTCACCGAATAACTGATGTACATACGAAGGGCTTCTGATTGTCGGAAATTGTCAACTGAAATAAATGAACCTTCCACTTCCATTCCGACAGCTTTGAGCCGGACCGTTGTAACCGTGGGCTTGCTGATGACGCTTTGGATCACTTCATCACTGTGTGAAGCTGCAACTGATGATTCAGGGAGGAAAAGACGAACTTGACATCGAGTAACACAGGATACTTACAGTATGCAAAGATGGCCAGTCCCGTGGTTTCCGTCGCATCGCCCTGTCGAGTATGAAGGGGAATAATACGACAGCCGCGAATTTGATAGATATCCGCATTAAATGAATCTGAATAAAAAGTAAATGGGTGAACCGTTCTGCGAGTTGATGGTAATGGAATCATGAACTAAGGGCGTACGTATAACTGTGATGCTGTAAACACGATTGTCTGATGGTGGCGCCGCGTTTTTTCGATGAGGCGTAAAAAAAGTACAGCAATCAACCAAGGATAGGCGATGCAATGACAGTGATATTAGCTTTATGATAGTGGGGGTTTGTTCGTTGCCATTGTGCCATTGAAACCTTCTTGGATTTGGAGTTTGTCTAGGGAAGACTAACCGAAACCTGAAACCGAGTCTAAATTTGTTTGAGCAAAATCTGACAAGGAGCACGTACACACGATGGCCAGGATCGATATGGTTTTCTCTGAATACAACTTTGTTGCTTGTCTCACTCTCCCCGAAGCTCTTACCCCATATCTAGCGGAGGCCGAACAGATCGCACTCCAGGGCCTTTGAACGCACAAACACTGTACAGAGATCCGTATTTTAGGTAGCCTTCTTTTCGAAAGGTTCGCCATGGCTGTCGAAGTCACAATTGGTGGCCAGCAAGAAGGAGACTGCACGGCAGTGTTATGGAGGCAAACATTGTCGCAGTGATGACATAAATTTCATTGAGCCACTTTCGTAACCAGGGTCGGAGAACAAAGTTGAAAGCAGTGAGAGCAGGCGGGAATGACAGCAAGATACCAGAGGCCGGCTTCGCACAATTACACTTCTGGTAGGAGCTTCTGGGCGCTTTGTGTCTGATGGTAATTTCATAGTTCTAAAGCAAGCCATACTAGAAGATATAACAGAAAGAATATTCGATAGACTGAGCCTGGGAAGCACACGAGCCGCCGTATAGTTTTACCCAACCGAAAAGAGGGAACAAGACCAGGCACAGGCGCGAAGGCGAGTGTTGGGAAAAAAACCTTCAGAAATGATGGTATAAAATACTTGAAGCCAGAAAGTATAATAGAGCGAATCTGATTTCTGCAGTTAACACCCATACTGGAAGACGGGGACTAACGACATAAGGAGAGCGACTTCAGGACAAAATTAGCAATCAATTCACAAAGTTACATAATCATGATTTGGTTCGAATTGCCTGAATCGGTACCGACGGTACCTTTCACCCTTTCTTTACCAATCTTCAGTTGATTGTCTTTCATTCCCTTCGACGACGACGATGAACGCGTCCAGAACAGATCTACTGGCATGGCTGAATGACCTGCTCCAGCTGAACTACACAAAGGTGGAGCAATGCGGGACTGGAGCCGCGTACTGTCAGATCATTGACTCCATTTACGGTGCGTATCTTGCCCAGCGATTCTCTATCGACAGCCAATCTGACTGAAATCTTGGCTTTATTCTCTCTATACGCCACATATTTAGGCGATGTACCCATGCAACGAGTTAAAATGACCGCCAAGCACGAATATGAATTCATCGCCAACTTCAAAATCATGCAGACGGTGTTCAAGGCGAAGAAGATCGATAAGGTGTGTTGGGATGTAATATCTGCGGCCGCTGCAAGGAATCTCATGTTCGGTTGAAGCCGATACCGGTGGAAAAATTGGTCAAGTGCAAGATGCAGTACGTGAATTCTATCATCAGCGGTATCGTGATATTAGATCTTTCCCTCCAGGGATAACCTTGAGTTTCTTCAGTGGATCAAGAGATTCTGGGATTCGAACTATGGTGGTCAGGGTTACGATCCGGTGGCTCGACGCAGGGGTGCACCGGCTGATCCTCCCGCGACGATGGCACCTCTCGCAGCCGGTAACAGCCGTGGTCTAACCGGTGCACGAGCGGGAGGAAGAACACCGATAGGTGGACATCGAGCAGGATCCACTCAGCCCAATGAAGCCGTACAGCTTCTTCAAAATCAAGTCAAGGATCTCAGTTCACATTTGGAGGGACTAGAGAAGGAGAGAGATTTCTACTTTGAGAAGGTGCGTTGTCGATCCCTTGTTGCATTTGTCGGGGATTCGCATACTCAGGTGTTCTATAGCTCCGGGAGATCGAAATCCTTGTCCAAACACAGGTGGAAGTCCTTGAGGCATCAGGAAAAGATGATGCTACCTTGAGGGATATCCAGAAGATTCTGTATTCGACTGAGGTCAGTTCCTTTTTTTCTGCCCACCGGCTTTTTCTGACGTCGTGACAGGACGGCTTTGAGGTCCCCGAAGGTGGTCAGGCGGACGATGAGGAGACCTTCTAAGAACCCAATTTACCATCCGTATCACCCAAGATCGACCGCTCGTATTTCTAATTATCCATACCACTACTACCCTACTCGATGTAGATTCAGAACATTTCTTTAGTATGTTTCTTCTTGTTCATACGCTTCTGATTTTCGTCCCTTCTCCTGTAGTGCATCATCTGACAATCACAATGCAGCTCTCATCAATGTATATGTATCATTTCGTGAGATTTGTGCATCTTAGAATCGGTGAAGTCTCCCATGTTTCGCAAGATTATAAAGAACGTCGTTTTTCTGTGAATCTATAATATTCATTTAACAGAGTCGGCATGAAGAGGAGGCACAAATATTTTGATGTTTTCTCAGTCCTGTGAGTCGCAATCTTTACACTATTCGTCGAGTATAACCGTCGTCGTTATGTAGGTGTGATGATTATAACACTGTGCTTTGATGCCATCAAGACAGTTGAAAGTAGCGAAGGACATTGTTGCCTTATGATCAAAGAAAGCATCACGACGTGAAGCATGAATATTGAATCCCGATCTCTCTGGTCATCAAGAGATTTACGCGGTCCAGCGGTCCGTCGACCGCGGGTGCCTTCATTGGTGCGTTCCTAGGCTTCTCTTTTGGCGGTACTATCACGGTGCTACGAACACCGAAACGGACCAGTTTGTCCTTACTTTCCTGGCAATGGGATGTCCTCTGACAGCTACGGCAGTGCGCATTGGACCCGTGTAGGTCTGGGGTCATGCATGATGCTGCGCCACATCTGCTTTATAAGGTCCAGTTTCATGCATTTTTGTCATACTCACTGCCGCCTTCCAGGGACAACACTCATATCTGACCATCAAGAGCCCAGATTAAGATGCTAATGAACCCGTGAGTTTCAAGAATATCACTGTTCAGCTGCCTCTGTTTAAGGTTTGGTGTTCTATCAGCTTTTCTTTGATATGAATCGCTCAGGTGGATAGCGATTGCGCAAAGTACAGCTCCTGTGGGTTCAGCAAGACAAATTTATCAATTTCAACGGCAATCGCTTACCGTGGTCTGTCTCTGTCTTCGAAGAAGGTCCTTAGCGTGAGTATAGCTATACTCTGAGAACCTTGTTGGCTGATGACAACAGTCAGACGTGACCTGAATGCGTATGGAATCATCCGCTCTCACGGAAGTGAATTCATGTAGGCGGTATGATACCAGCGTTAACGAGCTCTGGTATCGCATATGCTTCATGTAACCAGTACTTGCGGGTGTCTCGCTCTTGAACGTTCTACATGTTGCCGGGGCTTTTTGTACAGGGCTGCCTTGACATACTGTTTGTTACACTAGATCACTATATGACACCGTATCGGTGTTTGCATGTTCTCTCTGGGCTCTTCGTTAACGACGTATCACTGTTGTCCTTTGCCGTAGGCCTCAATGAAATAAATCAATTGTCATCATGCCGATTTTGCCGAGGGGTCTGGCCCCCTCTCTCCCAAAGGGGAAAGTTCCTCCATTACTCAATTGACTGACGCTGGAGTGGCTGTTGTTTCTTGTCTACGACGACGCGTATTTTCTTTCCTTTTCGCCGTTACTCAAAGGCGAAAGATATTCTTATTCCGGAAAGCATTGTGAGCTAAACCTAGTCCCTTTGCTACTCCAATGCTCTAAAAAAGTATCAAAGTCTTAGATATTCCTTAACACTAAAGGTGCACCCCACTCTACTACGATTTGACTTATCTGACCTTATTATAAGGAAAAATGAGTATGGAAGAGATCCTTTCATCCTCAGAAATATGCCAGGAAATTATTAGATATATCAATAGCCGACGGCGAGGCTATCCAAAAGATCTTTTGGCACTATGTCAAACAAATAAAGCGTGGCAACGCGAATCCGAAAAGGCGCTGTACCACAGCGTTCGCGTCGACTCCCTCTCTCGGCTGAAACAATTCTGCACGACAATCATCTCCCAGCCCCGTATTGCAGAATTGGTTATCGCCTTCAGCTTCGCGTCGCAGCTCACCCGATACACTCCGCCTAGTACAGCGTATCTAGCCGAAATCTGGAAAGGTTTCCATGAAACACTCCAGAAGCTTCCCAACCTTCTATCTCTCTCCATCGCCGAACAATACGCGGTACCAAGCTGGGTGTTCAGCTCCGAAGACCAGGAAGAATGTATATTCCCGTTCAACCTCAATTCTTTGACGATGTATGGCGTGCCGTATAATTCCCAGACGGCAGAATTCATCTGTTCTCAGTCGGACCTCCAGCGCCTACAATACTATGCTGATCCCACGGATGAGGACGTAAAACACGCGCACGAGCCGGGAACACCGTCTCTATATGACGGCATCGTTCTCGAGGAGTTACGTGAGCTGTCGGGAAACGTCACCGTTGTACATGATATACTTTGCGCGCCGTGTCAGCCGCCAATTACTCGGCTAGTCATGGGTACAGACGAAGAATGGCCGAGTCTTTTACAGGTCTTGCCAAAGTTATCGCAAGTACGCAAGACCCTGCGGAATCTCGCTGTGACGCGTATACCACAAGAAGTGACAGTAGTCAACCAGCTTTTGCAGATGATTGCTGCTACGTGTCCAGATATCCGGACGCTGGGTGTGATACCACTGCCTTGGCTTGATGTGAGAGTCTGTTCCCTGCATGCATTTCTTCGCTGATTTACCATCATCATCGTTTTTCTAGAGATCGGTCTTTCACCGTGCGCTAATGCAGATGCGGAAGTTGACAAGTATAGAACTAGTAATTCATGGCGGGCAGAAAGGATGGAATCCGATTCCGCAGTCCATGATCACGAAGTCGTTCGCATCAGAGCTCAAGATGTATTGTCCTTCATTGATGTTAGTCAGCTGAATCTGTTCCTTCTGTTCATCGCTGATTCTTCTACAGCGAATGTCATTTCCGTACTCCCTTCGATCGGGCGTCCTGGTTTCATAACGGACTGGATTGGCAATACCATATACCATCATGATTATTGACGGTCAACGTCGAGTTATGTCTCTGCAACCTCAAGAATCAATCGGTATCATTGTGAGTGTGATATGTAGACATCGCTTTTTACTCACTCGTAGCTATTCAAGGAAAGCTGTGTAAGTGAACCGGTAGAGGTTGGAACAAGCGTATTCGGTGTATTTCTGATGCAATGCTATTTGATTGCTAACAATGGCGGCTAGCTCGCAAGTATGATTATTGAATAAAATCTGTGCAAGGACAGACACTAAGTGTAATACGTCTGCACAAGACGTGCTCTTGCTGGGAACATCATAGCTCGGTCGATAGTGATCTACGCCGTCGAAAATCTGAGCTCATCTTTTCGGTATTGCTATATTCTTATTTTTCGGACGATGCGCCCCAAATGCTGGTATGGACACCAGAAGATAGCTCACGGTAGATAAATTAGTGGTATAGATGCAAGTGCCAGTTCGGTGGCAATATTTGCGCAATCCCAGGGCCAACATACTAATCCTGTTTGGGACACAAGCACGGTCGATAACATATTGTCTTTGTATACTTTGCGGCTTTTGAAAGAGGACTAGAATAATACCAAGAATATTTAATTGTTGAAATTCCTAAAAGGGGGCTATATAAATAGCTCGATCGCGACTTGACACTGACCACTCTTAGTACTACCTCTTCCTCGTTCCATCACCATGCTCGTCGCGCCACTATTTTCCGAGACTCAAGGCCACTTTCTCGCTTTCTGTTTCACTGTTACTTACGTCGGTTCGCTCTACTTGTCTAAGAATGCGCGTCTTTCCTTCGTTGCTTGGTCGACACACGTACATGAGGGAACTACGCGTCAGAGACAGCTGAATGAGCGCTGGAGGGACGATGCCGACGTGATTAGAGCGCGACTGCTCGCAGTGTCGCTGGCGACAATAGCGTCGTGCTTCTGGATTTTCCAAACATTGTGGCCGTTATATGGAGTGAGTGGCATGTTCCTAATGTTGGAGCCTCGTATTGACTACCTAGTATCAGTTCTATGCAGGAGTCCATGTCACATTCTTTAGACTTGGGTTTATATTCTCTCACCCCATAAAAGCGCATCTCGTTACACCTCTGCTTTTCATCGGCCCCTTCTATTCTCGCTACCTGTATCAAATCCTTCCATTCCAACGATACTGGAATACAGAGTCGACTATCAACAAAGTCGTTTCTCTCTCTGGTCTCCGCAACTATCTTGTGGTCAGTACCAAGCTAGAGCTCAAGTTCAATAGCTCATATTTCCTACCTCCAGGCTCCATATACAGAAGAGGTTGTTTTCCGTGCATGCATTCTATGCATTTATCATCTCTCAGGTATATCTCGACTGCGTATGATTATCCTGGCTCCACTGTGGTTCAGTTTGGGTAAGTGGTCGACGTCCCAGAAGAGCACCAGTACTTATTAATATTTGACACCCCTCTAGCTCACTTTCACCACGCTTGGGACCTTTACAATCGCTGCGGCCGTACGTGGGTTGCAGTAAAGCACGCTGCCATGGCTATTTGTACGTTGATATTTTGCTTGGCAGCTCGTGTTTTTACTAAAGTTCCCTTAGCATTCCAGTTGGTCTACACCAGCTTCTTTGGGTCCCATTGCGCATATCTCTTCCTCCGTACCGGATCCATATTTCCGGCCATCACCTCCCATATTTTCTGCAATTTTATGGGCGTACCCCATCTCCCACTAGAGCTGGTCGTCTTTCCTGAGCAAAGAAAAGGTACGCGACCTACTGCTAGCGTTGGACTGGTTCTCATCCTCCACTTTTAGCAATCTTTGGGACGTATGCGTTGGGCCTATTAGCATACATCTTTGCCATGATTCAGTGGACTAGCTCCTCCGACAGTTTGTATTGGCGCCCTCCCAGGAGTTTGCTTTAATCTAAATGTAATCCTTCCGCGGTTTTTAGGACAGCGCATGTAAAAGGTATTGGATTGTAATCGTATTACTGTTGTCTCGTAATAAATGCTGCTTATATGCGCCGTAAGGTCGCGTAGCCTTCCTCAGAGAAGAAGAACGGTGATCGAGTCGAGGTGAGGCCAGGCATCTATACGCCAGGTTCCGTTCAGATTCCGTCGACAGACCACCTGTTAATCGAAGCTTGCATGTCGTACACTTAGTCCGGCCTTCTCGCCTCTTTTGGTACTAATGCCCAGAGGCCCACCATCAGGCTTAAAAACCCTATGAGCCTAAAAAGTCTCAGTGCATAATAGCGTTGCATAGTGGAGGAGAATACTCACATGGGTTGTAGACTCTCAATTCCCGCCTTGTTTGCGACGGCCCCAGTCATGAATGGGAAAAGCGCGCTGCCTGCTTGACCTAAGCCTGCGATCCAGCCGATAGAACCAGATAGCAACCATCGAGGGAGGACGCGTCCAGTATGGCTCATCAGGATGGGGTACATCGGTCCGAGGACGAACCCTACGAGAGAGACTGCAACGGCACCTCCTATGAGAGAGGGAACGAACCATACGATGAGTTCCAGGCTGAATCAGGCTATGATAAGTGAGTTGTTAGAATAAGATTCAGTGTTTTCGCGTACCCGATGGCAATGAACGAATACAGGTATAGCGAAATGCGATCGCCCAGCTGAGAAAAATCATTGTCAAGATTTTTCGGCAATTCTGCCGATAGAATTTCAAGGCACACCGTTCGATTCACCCACAGAAGGGCGAGACGCCCAACCATCAACCCTATTATTGGGATTGAGCAGTCGAAGTTCGAAGTACGGTTTTCGACTACTTACCACCAAAGAAACCGGACGAGATGTAACCAGATGAGGCGCCTCCGCCGCGTACTTGCTCAATGAAAGTGACGATCCAGCCTAGGGCAAGAATAAGTACTTGAAGGGTTAGGATGTGGGTAAGTGCAGCACCTCCAATCGTCACTTCAGTACCGACATACACGAGAGAAAAGGCGGCCAGCATGTGCACAGTTCCCATCCCGAGGAACTGGCGCATCTTATTGTGACCACTTCTTCCTGTATCACGATGGTGTTCTTCAGGTAGCTGACCGATTTGCGCAAAACAGGCTATCAAGGAAGCAGGTGAGATCAGCTCAAAACATGATGTCTTCTCACCTTCGAGCGGCTTCAGTTGGAACACGCTCCACAGAACAATGACGTTAGTCACGGCGATCCCCAGGGATGTGAGGTAGAAAAAGTTCCAGTGAGTCATTTGTGAAAACTGTGTGGCGACTAGAGGGGCGGAAAACGCGCCTGCACCTATAAGGGAGGAAATGAGATCAGCTTCGGAAAGTGGATGGGTTTCTTGATAATCACCGTATCCGGCTTGAAGTAACATCATCTTGATATCGGGGTGGTCCTTGAGACTCGCAACGTAACTTGTGACTTGGGCGTCCTCCAGAGCGATACCGATACCGTTGATTGTAAATGTCATTACGAATGCGGGGAAGGGAAGTGCCGCGGATTGTAGGGTGTAAACGACCACTTGGCATAGCGCGCCTGGGAAGTAAAGTGTGAGTCTTGACATTTTGTTCTCAGGATTCCCGTACTCACCGATAACAAGGACTTTACCAAACCCGATCCTGTCCAATAATGGGACATTTATAAGAGCTCCGACTACGAATCCCTGTGAGATAAAAATTTTAGCACATGTCATTTATTTACGACTGACTCATACCACGCAAGCCATGATGAATATGAGAGAAACTATGACGAAGTTGACCTAAGATAGCTTAGAATGCATATTGGTAGAGCTGACAGAAAACTGCACGCACATGATACACCGCCTGTATTCTGGGCAATAGGGCCCCAGAACTGCCATCGTTCCATCCGTTGAGAAATTTAGTCCACCAAACCGCAGCAAACTGGACATGTCCGCGCAAGTTCGCACTTTTACGCGTCTTATCGGGAGAATCGTGATGACTGTCTTCAGGGGTGGCAATCACGATAGTGGCCTCGTCATTCTCAATGGGAGATTTGGTTCGTGGGAGGGTTTCGAGTTCCATGATAGGAGTGGTTGAAAAGGGAGGGAGTGGGGTATCATGTTGATCTGAAGAAAATGTTTCTCTTCGGAAACTCTGCGGCGAAACATTCATGAAGTTTTGTGATATCACGGATATCGGTCCGAAATCTTATCTGGCATGGTTTTCACAGAAGTACAGCCTGTTTGCAAGCGTTCAGGTAGGTTTGGACACGAGAAGATGCGGTTATTCATAGCTGGCCTCTCAGAACAGAGCAAAGGACGTTCCATCAAACCTAACCTGAAAAACACCCGCTCAGTGCACTAGTGTATGGGGGTAAGATGGATACATAATGACTGACATGAACGGTAAGTTTAAAGGTTCCATGGCTGAACCCATTACGGCAGAGAAAAGACCGTTTTCTGATTGAACTAATGGAATCGTGAAAGAAAAACCGACGAAAGTTAAAGTAACAGTACCTCCGGAGCCTGGAGTCGCTCTCTGGGGCGCTGCGGAGCAGCATGTAACGATGACTGACAAGGTGTCATACCGTGCGACCAGGACATCGGGTGACCACTAGGACTAAGTAAAGACACCCAATGAATAAGGTTTTGAAGTGAGCTAGCTCGTTGAGATAGGTCAATCCTGATGTTTCCGCCGATGCAAGAAAAGCGGAGCACTAACCGAATGTCGGCTCGAGTTTTGAAATTCGAGGTCAAGTTCGGACGAACGCCTTGAAGTGGAACGAGACCGCACATGTGACAAGACGCGTCTTGAGGGCAGTCAACGCGTCTTCGCCCGGTGTACGGGCATGTTCGATAAGCACGAACTGTCGGAGCGTCTGCCGTGACGTCGCTGTCGCGTCAGTCCTGGTTTCATGGGTACATAAGTAACCGGATGCATGTGGACCGCTTAGACCAATGCATATCCCTGGTTGAAGGTCAGCGCAATGTGCAAGATCAGCCTGTTGACTGGAGAATATTATGTGTCAGCGCTGAAAACTACAAAAAAAAAAGGACTGTTGACGTACTTGGCTCGGTGGTTCGGTGAGCAGAGAACTTGAAATTACGACACGACTGTCAAAAGTCAAGTTACCCTGAATAAGTCAGGCATTTCGGGCTTCTGAGGTTGCCCATCAACAAACACTGTTTAGACGAGATGCCAGTGCCATTGGGGTTGAACCGTGTCTTTCAAGTTGGCGAGGAGCGTCCCTTTCGTTTGAGCAAGTAACCAAGACTTTTCTTTCTTGTCGGCCAAGAGTTAGCTAAGACATAATAAAGAGAATTAATTAGAAGATCCTTACCGTATGATAGACATCACGTCGTCTGGCAGAGGATATTAATTTTTTGGGATGCTTCCGCTACACTACCGAAAAAGGCAATGAACTCTCTACCCGCCGAGTAAGACCTTGGCTTGACCACCGACCACCACGACCACCTTTCCTTTTCACTTTTCTTCTCTTCGTTCCCTTGTTGCCCGTTCATCATCACCGCAGCTATAGGAACTCAGCATTGCCTTTTGCTGCGATCCTACAGCGCTGACATAAAGCAGTGCTTCGGCGGCTCCTAACATTGCCCCCACGTTTCCATTCAAGTGTGGCCGACTTGGAGTCCTACTGTTCATCACTTTTCGTTGATTCATCGTCGCAACATGTCGCAATACCCAGAAGTACGTAGAGCGCCTTTCTTCGTATCTATTTGATATTGACATCACTGGTGGACCAGGCCGATGAGGCCCAGCACAGGCATTACAATGATGGGTACCTTCCATACTCTCAAACTACGACCCCAGCTCCTTACACATCGCCATTCGACCAACATTACGACCAGCAACCGTATACAGACTCGTACTATGGTCAACAGACTCACCCGAATCCCTATTCCTCGCCGCCTCCTTTACCACCACTTGGAGGATATCCGACATCGCCGCCCCCTCAGCACCTGGATCCTTATGGTGCTCCTGCAGCTCCCATATCCTCACCTCCACCCCACGAGTATCTCAGTACGCCATATCAACAATCACTATCACCCCAACCAGGAGTAATAGCAGGCGGCTCAATCCCTTCGCTTTACAACAGGCCATCTTACGAGTTGCGCGACGAACCCACAGTTGAAGGAGATGACCAAGGTAGCATTCCGTTGCTGCAGAGGCACTCTCCCGCACCACCACCGATTGATATGCCAGTTCCTGGTGGCAACGGCAACTATGGAGGGTTTAACGATGATGACGATGACGGGAACTTCATCCGTTATGGAAGGATTCCGCAGCGCGTGCCAAGGCGGTACAAAACTACGCGTCGGGTAGCTTTGCGGGAAGGTCATTACGTTGTAGAGAATGAGGTGCCAGAAAAGCTCCTCGAGCTGTGCCAGAACCGCACCGACCGCGAGTTCACTCACATGCGGTATACGGCCGCCACCTGTGATCCAAATGACTTCCAGTCTGAGGGCTTCGGTCTCCGGCAGCTGGAGTATACTCCCGGGCGGCGAACCGAGCTCTTCATTGTCATGACCATGTACAACGAAGACGAGGAGCTGTTCTGTCGGACGATGCATGGTGTCATGAAGAATGTCGCGCATTTATGCTCAAGGACAAGGAGTCAGACGTGGGGAAAAGATGGATGGAAGAAAGTCGTTGTGTGTATTGTCAGTGACGGTCGAAAGAAAATCAACTCGAGAACGCTCAGTGTCATCGCTGCTATGGGTGTCTACCAGGAGGGTATCGCCAAGGTACGTGGTTGCCTTATTTGCTCCTTCGTATCGCATTCATCTTTGATTCAGAACATCATCGACGACAAACCCGTTACCGCCCACATCTTCGAATACACTACACAAGGTGCGATCTTCCTCATCTTAGTTTGAACACGATCCTAATAGCCTCCTCATTAAAGTCTCTGTGACACCATCTCTAAAGATCGAGGGCGCGGAGAAGAAGCACGTTCCCGTTCAGATCATCTTTTGCTTGAAAGAGCAAAACCAAAAGAAAATCAACTCACATCGGTGGTTCTTCAATGCGTTCGGTCCTATTCTCAATCCCAACGTCTGTGTTCTTCTTGATGTTGGGACTATGCCGGGTGTCACCAGTATCTACCACTTGTGGAAGGCGAGTTCCGAATACCGTTTGTGATTGTTTAAAGCTTATTGGGCATTCAGGCCTTTGATATTAACTCGAACGTTGGAGGTGCATGTGGCGAGATCGTTGCGCTGAAGGGCAAGTGGGGCCGGAACCTCATCAATCCTCTGGGTGAGTACTATAGTAAAGGGTGCGCACGGAATTCTGACCTTGGTTGTAGTCGCTGCTCAGAACTTTGAGTATAAAATGTCCAACATTCTTGACAAGCCCTTGTCAGTGCCCATCTTCTTGATCGGCTTTCTGGTTTTCATTAACGTGATGGTGTAGGGAGTCTGTCTTTGGTTATATCACTGTCTTGCCCGGAGCATTCAGTGCATACCGGTACATCGCTTTACAGAATGATGCCAAAGGCGAAGGACCACTGCAAAAGTACTTCCTCGGTGAGAAGATGGTAAGAACGCTCATTAGCGGATCTTCGGCTGCTAATACTACTCTGTAGCATGGTGCGGGAGCCGATATTTTTACGGCGAATATGTATCTCGCTGAAGATCGTGTATGTTTCATTCCTGCATTGACGCTCGACTTCAGCCTGATGACACCTACGTAGATTCTATGTTGGGAGCTGGTATCGAAACGAGGTGGATCCTGGATTCTTCACTATGTCAAGTCAGCCTACGCTGTAACCGATGTACCCGATACTGTAGGCATACCGTTCTTCAAGCTCCTATAATATACTCACACCATTGACAGGTTCCAGAATTGATATCTCAACGTCGACGATGGCTCAACGGTTCCTTCTTCGCTGCTGTGTTCAGTACCCTGCACTTCTACTATATCTATCGGAGCTCTCACACGCTCTTGCGCAAATTCTGGATACATGTTGAGATGCTTTATCAATGCTTCAACCTGATTTTCAGTTGGTTCGCTCTGGTGTGTGCATATACGTTTATCGACGAGTGCTAGACTTCTAACCTTTATGGTTCTTTCCAGGCAAATTATTATATCGCATTCGTCATCCTCTCTGATGCCATGGAAGATACTAGCTTTGGTCTCAAGGGCATCCACGTCTTTAACGTCATTATCAATTATGCCTACCTTGGTCTTCTGATAATGTGTTTCCTCCTTGCGCTGGGAAATCGACCTCAAGGAAGTAAATGGGGTTATACTACAGCTTTCCTTGGTTTCGGGGTGATCACGGTCTACATGACGGTACGTTCTTCGGTTCTGACATATTCATGTTTCCTTATACCTGTGGTCATCAGTTCGCAGCCTTCTTCCTTGCGTTCAAAGGCATTGAAGCATTAGCAAAATCCGAAGGACCCTTGAGCCTGAACGACTTGTTTACGAATTCTATTTTCAGAAACATTGTGCTTTCGCTGTTGGCTACGCTTGGGTTGTACTTGATCTCGAGTTTGATCTTTGTAAGTTGTTGGGTTTCTTATATTGGCCTTTGTCTGAAGTGTATCTTCTGCGCAGTTTGAACCTTGGCATATGATCACCTCGTTCATCCAGTACCTTCTCATGGCGCCGTCTTACATTTCCGTCTTGAACGTTTACGCTGTGGGTGCCCCTCCATTCTCTCTTTTCGTTCACTAGTTAACTTATGTCTCGTCAGTTTGCTAACGTCCATGACGTTTCGTGGGGAACTAAGGGTGATAACAAAGTCAGTACGGATCTCGGTGTGGTCAAGAAGGACTCGGATACGAATGAGGTATCGGTGGCTGCACCGACGACGCCAGAAGAGCGTAATGCGGCGTATGACGATGCGTTGCATGTGTTGAAGACGAAGCCGCCCAAGGTGGAGAGCAAGCCGGATGCGTCGACACATCAGGAGGATTATTACCGGACGTTCAGGACCAATGTCCTTCTTGCTTGGACACTGTCGAATGCGCTTTTGGGAGCTGCTATTGTGTATGTTGGTTGGTTGTTGACGTGCTGGAGTGTTCTGAGTTTTTTTTTTTGCAGGACTGCGAATAGTAAAGCGTCTGATACGGGTGCAGCTGCTAGTGTGAAAGGCTATATGGCGTTCTTGTTGTTTTCCGTTGCTGCGCTTGCGTGTACGTCCCTTCTCTTACCTTCTACTTATGTGTTCCGTCCGGTCTGACGTTTTTGTTTTTTAGTTGTGAGGTTTGTGGGAGCGACGACGTATTTGATCATTCGTCTGTTTGCTGGAGAGTAGACGAGTTTTCGTTGTTTTTTCATTGTTCATTGTGCGATATTATTTAACGATTTGTATCTGATTGACTGACGACCTATTTATGTCTTAATGTACGTGTTCCTGGTCATGAAAAGAGTGTTCTGGTAGCGAGACTGGGTGAGGGCGTACCACGGCGATCGATGGGGCGTGGATATTCTTCAGGGCGTGAGTATGCTTCGCCTTGAAACTCGAGGTCGACCTGCCAGTATATTTTTCCACTGGGGCCGAGGGAGATAGTTCCACGGGCGTAACTCCAGGATAAGCCTCGACACAGTCCGACCACGCAAAGAAGAGGCAATTTCACGTGTGATGAACACGTCTGTCCGAATTGGGAAATGTCGCGTCGCGTCGCGTCAGCAGTGCGCGTGTAATACATTGCATTATCACACGAGATGACGTCGACTGGGGCCGGGATCGGCGGGGGTATAAAAGGGCGCGAGGAATTCACAATCCCCATCACAAGTTTTCCGTCTACCACGAGCATCTCTAGCTTCTCAACCACACACTCGTTATCATCACTATCACCATCACCATCACTATGCTCTTCCGCGCCAACTTCGCTGCCGTCGTCATGCTCGCCCTCACGCTGTCCGCGTACGCGGCACCATCCATCCCCCCCGAAGACGAAAAGGCCGCCGAGGCTGCCCTCGGGGCTGGCCAAAACATCGCCAGCGGCGCCGAAGGAACCGTCTCTGGTCAACTAGACAAATCTCATGCTGGGAGGGATGTCACCGCCCGTGCTGGCATTATTCCCTCCAAGCCTAACACCAAAGTCCCTCCTCCCGCCGGTGGCCTCCCCGACGTCAACGACGCCGAGGCTCATATCTCCCAGCGTGTCCAGGTAGCCGAAGACTGTATCGCTGACTCCATCCAATCCTGCATTGCTAGGACTGACGGATCCGCCAGAGACTGCCTCGCGGGCTCTTCTAAAGACTGCTTTGCCACGCTCGTCTCTTCTATCACAGGCCGCGCCATCCAGCACATTTATAATCGTCTGGAAGCTATCAACCCCAACCCCACCGCGAATTAGAAGCGCACCACCAACGATGACGATAACGACGCGTCGCATCCTGACGTCTATCGTACTGTTGTTCACCGTATGTAGGGATTAGGGTGTTCTGGCGTCATAGCTGGTGAGGTAGGGGTTTAGTTGCGGGTTCGGGTAGCGCGTAGACCTTGGATTAGATTGTTGAGCGAGTTTTCTTTTTTGATGAGCATTGTTTGTGTTGGTGGTTGTGCAATTCTTGTCCAGTGCAGTAAGCTCGTCGTGTCTGGGTTTGGTACTGCCGTGAGCATTAACACTTGCTGCTTCTATTCCCGGGGGTCAGAGAGTGACTACTTAAAAATTTTAATATCCATGTGCTCGCAACATGGGTCCGACGACACGCAATTCTCAGTGTTTCTGTGAGCAAATGTGAACCTGAGATCGTGACCGTGATCAGTCCTTAATCGGACAACTCCTCGGTATTTGCCGCTTTCCCTTCTTACCGCAACCACTATGGCCGGCTGCACGCCAGCTTCTATCTCGACCTCGACCTCAGCCTTGCCTCTGTATATGAATTGCTTATTACCGTAACTATACTAGTGGCAATCTCCCTGACAGCAACTTTTTGACCTTCCACGCAAGCCAGTGTCAAAGGTCCTGGTATTCGCATGCCATCTGAACCATGTATTCTGTTACATACACTTCGGATTCGAGCCAGGATTAACACCCAAGAAGCGATACCGTTACAGCCAGTCCGTGGAAGCGATATCGCATCTCAGACTACGCAACCATGAAGAGCTGGTGTGGACAACTGGATGATGGAGAAGAATATTGGCGCCTTTCCCTTGAACACATGTCTTCCTGGTACAAGGTGCTCTTCTCTCCACTCCTCTTTTATCGTGCTGAAGTCCTTGTATTCCTAGCTACTATCTGGCACTGCGCAATACTAGGTGCTCTCTGTTGAATATATGCACTAATAGTCATCCGAAATTTCATCATCTCATGTCAATTATGGCTGCAGTTGCTCAAACACTAATCCAAGCACGACGTCGTACACCCTTTCGAGAACCGGTCATGTGCATCATTTATTACATGACTTAGCTAAGTTGAGCACTTATACTAGGATCTTTGCATCGAGCACAGTTCTATTTAACTCCTGTCTTGTGGCCTGACTGCATGCCCTATTAGTTTTGCTCCTCTTACCCGGCCGTTTGGTATCATAAACGCAGGGCTCACCAGAAACACGGGTGAGATGCACTGTATAGCACTCACTAGCTTAATCGTTTATATCTAGATATTTCCTTGGGGCGGTCGCTGGATGCCCGCGGGGTCGCACCTGTCGTTCCGCAAGGAAATGTCCGGTATGCGCGACAATTCTCAATGCTTGGTGAGTCTATCTAGCAATTGTTTTTATGACCCTGTGCCCAGTTATACCTGGTGATGATGGCTATTCACTCTTCGTCAATGGAAGAGATGTCGGGTCCTCGCCCCATCCGCAAGACTATCACTTCGTCCTATAGGAAAGCTGCTGCGTGGGCAAGGTCGTTGTCTCTGTGTACGCCTTCTCAGGTTCTCCTTTAATTCCGTATCCCAACCGTTGCTTTCTAGCGAGGACTCTTACACCCAACTGCGAAACCATTGGGAGCGGATCAAGCTGGATGACCATGCAAACCTGTTTTGGATCAGAATATGAATGTCGTTGCTGTCAATGGGACGAACGTTAGAGCCGCTACGTCGCTGCGGGCGTGTTCGTCGCGTACAAGGACGGGACATCGGACGGGCCGTGGAAGACTTTGAAGGTGCTTCCTCCTGCTGGTTTTGAGTAGCCGGATGCGGATGACAATGACTGGGATGGTGCACTGCTATGATATGGACGGTTGGTTCTGTCGATGGAGGTGTTACTATTCCAGATGCTTAGGCAAACTACTCACAAGTCCAAACAGCGAGTTTACCTTCATTTATTGTGTCCCTTCTCCTAGATCCAAGATCCTCGTCGATGGAAATAACTGGCCGTCCTCGGAAGGTGACTACAGAAAAGTTAGCAGCCATACTTGTCCGGCGATAACAAGCTAAAGGAAAGCTATTTTGTTTCTCAAGTTTCGAAGAGACCGAATCCATGAAGTTCAATCCACTGAACGTCGCTACTGTATTTCAAGTGCGCACAGAACATACAATATAGTATATACAAAGTCCTGAGTGTTCGTATAACCATGATATATCATCGCATATGCAGGTATAAACGACGCTTAGTAGTAGTAGGCGTTCCAGCAGGAGCTGTCGTAGTACTTCTTGCCATCATGTTTGTAATCATCATCACAGTCATCCTCCCAGGTCAAGATATCGACGATCTCTTCGAAGAGCTCGCAGATGAACTCCTCCGCGGCTTCCTCAAGGGAGTAGACTGGTAAAAGAAACAGTTAGATCAAGGAAGAACCGGAACCAAAGCGATCCATCAGACGTACCCTGGCAAGACTTGCACTTGTCGTGCTCCTTGCAACGTTCCTTGCAATCTAAGGAGAAGGTATAAGCGAAAAGTAGTAGGGGCGCAGAGGAGCTTGAACCGCTTACCGATCTCAAAGGATTCCTTCTTGACGTAGCCGGTATTGTAAGGGGTGTACTTGCCCTTCTTCCAGCCATTCCAGTCGTTCTTGTGCTCGAAGACTGGCTCCCAAGTGCACTCCTTGTCCTTGTGGTCGTAGTCCTCGATCTTGCCGTAGTCCTTATGATCATAGTCCTTGTTACCGTAGTAGTAGTCGTCCCTCGCCTGAATGCCGGCACCTGCATTGATGGCGCCGGAGAGGGCGGGAACCGCGAGAACCGCGAGGGGGATGAAAGTGGCGAGTGAGAAACGCATAGTGGCGAATAAGCTGTCAATTGATGGTTGGCAAGTGGATAGACAAGTACTGGGAGTTTGTCTGGAGTAAGTTGACAATTTTTTGAGCCCTTTTATATCTCTTCGAATGCTAGGCATCCAATTCGATGTTCCTGCGCGCTGGGTGAGCTTGAATTGAGAATTAGACAGTGTTCGTCACGAGTCCAAAGAAGTCTGCGGCCAAAAAATACCATTTACTTCAAGACGCGCCAAGGTTGAGGTCACGGTATGAGTGTTGGTACTTGGCAGCAGGAAGGTTGGTATCGGAGGAAGCAATAGAACGGGTGGCCGAAGGAAAAGACATTTCAGTCCCGCCAAGGATGGTAAATGAATGAAGAAGTGGCGAAGGTGCTCGGGTACAAACTGATTTCATGACGTTTGCTACAGGCCAGTGAACTTCAAAGTGAAACGCCGATCTTTCTAGCAGCAGACACTTGGCAACTACAGGCCAAGCAGACGTGGTAAATGAAGTCATGGTGCCGGAAGTCTGCCAGTCCGACACTTACGCTAGCGCTAGCATCGGTCTATCACTGAGCAGTGCATAAATACCTGAGGCCGAGTGACTACTTCCCTGGGAAAATGTTAAACAAGTTGATGTCCAATAAATACAGGCAGTACGTGGTACTCACTAGAAACTTTGTCGAGTAGAACTAACGCAACAAACCAGGAAGGCCACCTCACGGCTTTTGCCGACTTCTTCTTGGCGCATTTAGGGCCGGCCTTCATTCCGCTCTCACTGACTTTCTACGTACTAAGTAATAGGTTTGCTCGGTGCGTCGATATTCCATCTTTTGAAACATAAAATTTCTCCACTCCCTCTAGTGAATTGGTCCCCGATATACCTGCGCAAATTTCTGAGACTTTCTAGGCATGCCAGGGTGGCTCTCCATCTACCTTGCTCTCCCTGAGACCGCCATCGTCGTCTGTTCCTTACTTGGCTACTCCCAGTCCATTTTTAGGCTTGTCCCGAAGTAAATCTATGTTCTGACATGTTTCACCGCAGTATGACCTATGGCAGCCAACAATTGTCTCTAATTTCGGAGAACAGGTCATCAACGGTTTCATTTACCTCTGCCATGTTTGGCCCAACACCTTGTATTATATTCTCCAGGCACAAAGATCATTTGACACCGACAAAGACGGATGTGGGAGAACTGGTTCTGGTGGTGGTTCCTTGGAAAACCATTGTTAAGGCTGGTGGATCTGCGCCAACCGAATGGAGTATTCACTTTGATGTATTGCTAGCATTCCGGCAGCGCGTACATCTCGACCTACCTGTTCTCTCTTTGCCGGCGCGCAATATCAGTGACTGGCTGGTGAGATCTACACACCCTCATTCCGGCGAATGGGAATCAATCACGAAGCTGGACGGCGAGAATGCTGGTAATATGACCCTCTTTCAATTCACATCCCTTCTAATCTTAAAAGAACGGAATCATCCAGAGCTGGAGACAGCTTCCATGGTTCGTTCGCATATTCTTTTGGACATGTGAGTACAGGCACCCAGATCGAAAGATTTTTCGAAATTGACGCCTTGGCTTCCGTGATTCATTTGTATATGCATTGGCGCCTCGTTGAATGCTACCAGTAACTTCTACGACATCCATCCCTTTCAGCAAGGACCTCCCCCGGTCGTGTTTTCTATAATTCATCCAGAATTCAGTTGTTTCGTTCAAGTAGGCTGACATTAGAATCGCATAGGATTTATCTCGACAAGATGTACCAGTCTTCGATCTTGGATCTACCCGGTACTTTTGATGCATGATAAACACGCGTTTTTTAATTACGGAAATCATGATCCTGTGGTAACTACGTTCCATGTGACTGTGTGTTCGATCTGAATTACGCGCGTACTACTTTCCTTCGCACTCTCTGACACTAGATTCATGACGCACAGAATGAATGTCGGTTTGTGATTCAGATTGCTATTCCCGTGATACAATCTATCGACTATGATATTAAACTTCATTCTCTGTTTGCGAGACCATGGATCCTTGGGCTTCCGCTGGAGTACTCTGCAATAAAGATGTAGGCTACATCCTTTTCTATCGTCGTCATTCTAATTACCGAAGGTGTCGGTCGATTTTTCATCACAAGTTGACAGACATGATGGAAGTATCGCTTCTCCGTATTTTGCGAGTCTAGACAGCTAATCATGCTCAGGTCCTTTTCTTCTTGGTGCGCGTTACTCCTCCATCCCATGCCTCCTGTCAACAGAACTCTTCATTTTGGAATTCGCACCGCCTCTTATAGTATAAAGAGGTGCCAATATCATTCAAAGAGACCGTCGAACTCGAGTCTGCAATGTTCGTCGATGGTGAGCAGCTACTCGCCAGTCATTCAGAGTGTGGATGACTGACCCATAGTCTCTAGTTATGCTCGTCTTACCTGTCTTCTTGTCTGTTGTGGCCGGTGCAGCCATTGATCTCTCGCCAGGCGCATCCCTGATGCAGTCTATCGATGCACGCGACGTCGCGCCTACCCTTGATTTTACCAATTCCGCCTGGATTTGGACGGGAGAACAGACCGGGGACTCTGACATTGCGCCCGTCGGAGTGCGCCCATTCCGCAGAAAAATACCATCGTCGGCCACGAAATGTCCTGTATGCGCTACGATCATCCTTTCTTGGTCAGTTTATCCCTTATTTTTTTTTTCATTCTTGGACTCAGACGGTCTTAGTGACGACTCCCACACTCTCTATGTCAACGGAATAGAGATTGGGTCTGGAGCTTGTTATACCTCCTCCGGCATGCACTCCGCGTTGTATACTGTCGGCATGAATCCTGAAGGCGATAACGTCGTCGCGATTGCTGTCAACAATGATGGAGGTCCTGCTGGGCTAATAGCTGCTATTATCGTCGACTACACAGACGGCACCACTGAAAATATTGTCACCGACGCGGCCTGGAAGACAATTCAAACTACTTCACCCGGTGGTTGGACCGGGCCGAGCTTCGATGACTCTACGTGGGTTGCTGCAGTCTCTGAGGGACCTACAGCCAGCACCCCTTGGGGAACCCCTCCTCTCCCGCCTGCCATGGACATGACGGGAGTGAGTTGGATCTGGACCAACGAGACTAACGCCAGTGGGAATGACCCTCTTGGTCACAGACCGTTCCGCAACACAATCACTTCGCCGTATGGGAAGGCTGCTGTTTGTGGTAAGGTCGTCATAACCGCGTACGCTATCCTTCCACCGCTGTTGTTCTGTGGCTGATGCGTTCTCCAGTGATGATGCATACAGTCTGTATGTCAACGGGGACTTCATTGGCAACGGTAGCTCCTGGCGCTCCATGCAAGCGTATTCCATCCCTCAGTTGGATCCAAATGTGAATATCATTGCTGTCGATGGTGAAAATAGGGCATCCTTTAACCCTCAGGTTGGCGGAGTCATTGCCGGTTTCCTCATTGCGTACAACGATGGGACTTCCCACGCGTATTACACTGATAATACATGGAAGACTCTTACTTCTGTACCGCCGGCTGGTTTCGAGCAGACTGACATGGATGACAGTGCGTGGATCACCCCCAAGGTGTACATCCATTCCGATTCGGCTACTGTCACTGTCCCGCCTGCTTAGGCTGTGGCCTAGGATGTAATGTCTGTTAATACCAATGATAACCCTCTCATTATGACAGTTTCCCACTCTTTGATTTTTAGGATATCATTTGAAGCAAAATTCTACGTGCCCGGCGTTTAAACCGTAAGGAGAATTCATTTACATCGACCCGTAGGTTGAAAATAATAAATCGTTAGGAAACTTAGCCGCCCCCCCCCCCTGTCTCTTGCTCTGTCTATACATCGAATGAGAGAAATCACGCCCAGAGCGCGCTACTGAAGGGACTTACGGTATGTCTGTTCCAATAATAGCGGTTCCGGCGACGCAATATAAATAAATTAAGCAAGGCACCGGCGTAACGCGTTATCGATACCAAGAACGATCGTTCACGTCGATGCATCGATAAGTAACAGCCCATCCATCGATTAGCACATCGACACGTTGTAGGCAATTGTTCATCCAGTATTTTTACAGTTGGGGCTAAAACACAGTATAATAGTCGCACAAACGGGACATTGGCTGCCCGCATCCATATAAAGTACAACATGGTCTTCAGTTAATCTTCAAGAGCTCGACTTCAAATCGGAGAGTAGCATTTGGTGGGATGATGGGGTGGAATCCACGGGATCCGTAGGCCTGGAAGAAAGGGTGAGCTGGTGTTAATATTGTTAGACTTTCACTGGGTGAACGTACATAATCGGCTGTCGCGGTCAAGATAGCCTTCTGTCCAAGCGACAATTGGGGGACACCTGTATCAATAAAAATCAGTTTTTTCTAGTAGCATACTAGGCCTGACGTACCCTCATCCCATCCCTTGATAACCTTTCCAACTCCAATGTCAGTCACGAACGCCTCGCCACTGCAATTGACGAAATGATCAGCCCCGATATTATCCACACCAACGAGCAACCCACCGATCCCGACTCGAATCAAACTTGGTCCCATCGGTAAGAGTTCCAACGTAGTGTATTGTCACCTTATCTATCAGCAGATCGTATCGGATTTCTCGAGCAACGCGCAAAGTGAGACCACTGACCGCCTTTCTGGGGAAAGTTCTTACCGTCGCCGGGGGTAATAGTCTCGATAGTAACACCCTAGAGTTTGGTTAATACGAGATATCGAATGCAGTTACGGAACTGGACGCACCATGATTTACGATGTGGGAGATGCGATGATGGTAGAGGAAAGGAGGGTCTAATTGATGCATTTATACCGGGAGTACGGATCTTGATCCGATCGGATGGGATAACAGGGGCTTTGTGGTTGGTTCCTCCGAGTCCGACCACCATGGCGTTCGAAGGCGAGAAGGACCTTCCAACTCAGCGGCATTCAAGCCTGGACAATAGTTACTGCCGTTCAGAAAGATACCGCTGATACCGACCCTCTGCGGTATCTTTGAAAGGAAAATCTTTCAATAACACAGACCGAGAACAATCCGAAGTATTGCAACATCCTGCTATATGAAGAGGTAATGAGATGCTACATTTTTCTCATTCTTCGAAGTGAATGAAATATCCACGAAGAAGGAGCCATCCCTCTAATCTGACACGCTGGTATCTCTTGTAGCACTTTCCCTCTTCGTCGTGATCCACGAAGGACTGGGCACATTGAAGAAGAATGGGAAAGTTCAAACAAGTTCCGAACCTTGACAACGAGCACGGTACTCGAACCGGCAAGTAGGCACTTGGATTGAACAAGCTAAAGTGACATGCCAACATGATAATCCCACCATAGCCGGAGAAGCCGTATGGCATGCAGACCCTGAACCGAATTTTCCTAGTCAAATGTATCATAAGAACCACATGAAACGAACTAGGTATGCAGGATCGAACTCTTTGGTACTTATTGCGTCCTTGTAGAGCAAGAAACCGCAAGGAGCTTCCAAGTCAGAATCCTCGTGATAATAAGCCGTCGGCCACTGCTATGGAACCGTCAGTTTAAGGAACAGCCTTTTGCACGTACTAACTAATTTTAGAATAGAACCTGAAGCTTATTTGCCCGTAATACCACTAGATTCGTTTTCATAATGCAAAGCGAACGTCGGGTGTCCGAGACGCCTCCTAAGTAAAAGCTTCTGCTCATGCCTGTGTATATTGGTCGAACAACCCTGACTCACAATCGAGAAATTTATGAATTCAAGACTCGCCGCAAGTAATACATTAAAAATTGACATATAGATCCCACGCAGCAGGCAAATCAATTCACTGGGCTTATTGATCAACGTTGAATCGAATCTACGTATTTCAGGGCTTTGCCAGCTCCTCTGCGGACCAACTCAAGATGTCGCTTCTGTGCGGCAAACAGCAACCTCGTAGAGGATCGATCACTTGAATATTACTCTCGTACCGCCGAATGGTCTTCAAGTCGATCTGACAAGCAGCGAGTGCGAAGTCGATGAATACCGGTGTTCCAGAAGAGTCGGGGGTGAAAATGATACTTGACGGACACACATCACGGTGTGCAACACCTAGTCTGTTGATAGAATAGATTCCCGTTAACACCTTCCTGAACTTGACACTGATAAACATGCTACTGCTAACTGTTGGTGGAAAGACCAACCATTACCTTGGTCTCTGCCACGTATTGAGCGTCGACTTCTCCCAAATCTTCAGGCTGTGTGTGCTTGGGCCATTTTGAGAGCCAAGCCTCAAGTGTCGTCCCTTCAATGTGCTCCATGATTAGTACGACGCTACCTTTTTATTCTAAAACCAAGCTCTGCGCGCTCCGGCTAATGTACGACGAGAGCTGAAAATTAGACCCGACTCGGCCAGGGCGTCGGTGAAGAAATGTGATATGAGAACACGTCTGTTCTACGTATAACGACTCATAGTCAAAAGACGTCGCTTCATTAAATGTATTTGCCAAAAAACTTTGAGCGAGGTATACATCCTCCTCGACTGAATTGAAATCACCATTCGACGAATGAACTGAGTTGGTAGATTGTCTTCAACTAAGGCTCTTATGTACTGACCCCACAGCAGGTGTACTGTCTATCGATTACAGCAGTGACGCGATCGGGGGTCAATGTCATAGAGGCTCTTCTTCGAGCATGCAAAAGCGTACCTGCGACGATGACCTAGAAGGAAAACAAAAAAAAAGCTAGTTTTTATCGCATGTGCGTGTTATGGCCTATTCTTTTAAAGTGACAGTGGCATTCCGGTAAACCATTCGTCGTGGAAAATGTTGTGACTGTTCATTGATGATCCTGGATCCCTCAGCGGCTCAACATCATCTAATCCACATCGTACAATGAGCCCTTCGTCGCATAAGACCTGCCATCTCTGAGCAAGGTGCTCATCATTGAAGCAATATGGCCTGCTAATCCTGAATTCTGTCAAGTAAGACCATAACTTTCCAGGAGACTCCGAGAGTCCTCCATTCGGCCGTCGTGACTCCATCAAGGCAACCTAATAACTCTGACCTAGTGTTTGAGTGCCACCGGGAAAGACGAAGGTCGAGGATGGAGAGAAAAGGTGCTATCACGTTCTCGTTGCCACGAAGAACAAGGACCGACAGTAGGCTTCCATTAAGGCCGATGACACGCAGTACAAGATGTCGGAGTGTGGGTATGGCAGAAAGGAACCCTACAAAACTGGCATGATCGGCGGTGAGATGGCCTACCACCTCGAGAGTAGTTAAGTGGCAAGGAAGTGCGGACGGAAAACTCCAGGGGCGAAGATCCGTGTGTACTATTACCAATTTCTTTAGCGCTGGCGTGCTGAGCGTATTGAAGCACTCAGAGATACGAGCTGCTGATGGTTGTCCTTGCATGCGTTGGTCCACCAGAGTCAGAGTTTCCAGGTTGCCGAGCCTGACCGGTGTCTCAGACAACGCGTCTTTTCCACAGTAGACGCGTAAACTCTTAAGATTGGACATTTTCTTCAACACATCGACGCAGTGCATGTTGACGCCCCAAGTGCTATACACAGTGATCTGCGACCAAGGGACATGCTGAAGATTGAAATCTGGTCCCGAAGATAGGAAGGAAAGGTTGGGCGCGAACTCGAATGCATCTAGCGTGTCTGGATTGGAAGGATCGCCATGGAATCGAAGACGAAGATACCGGAGGGAATATAGCAGCCCTCTGCACACAGACAACCCACGAAACGAATTGGCAGGCATGTCAATATCGACATTTTTCCATCTGCGGACACAAGTGAGGAGTACCGCAAGGGCAGGATGGTCTACAATGTCCCATTGCGAGCGTATCCTGATCGTGAGGTCCCTGCTCCTCGATCTCTCTACGTTCAAGCCGAGTTTAAATGCCACTGTCATCCTCTGAACTCGGATCAACAAATTAAAATCGAGGTCGATGCAGGACCAGAGATTGGACGTCGTCAGAGCCACATATCTCCATCTCCTACAGGTCTGCGATAGCGTCCAGCGCGGATTTCTGGCACCCAGGCAGGGAGGCGCACCGGTATCAAGATTGTAGAGGTAATCCTTTTGTGGGGGTACACATGAAGAGAAAATAGTGCGTAGGATGTCTTCAGGAAGCCGGCGAATGGGATGGAGGATGACTGTGGCGTCTCGGATATTAGCAGTTGCTTGCGCTCGATCACGAAGTAAAGCATCGAGGACTGCACGAACATCTGAGATTGTAGCATCGAGATCTGATAGTACTGAGGATCCTTTGAAAACTGTTGCTCGCAGTGCCGCTTGTTCGCCCTCGAGGGGAGGTTCATTGATGGAAAGAAGGTGTTGGATACGAGGTGACCGAGGGGGCTGGACCTCATTGTAACGAAGAGACGCAGCACCACAGGAGGCACACAGTCCTTGGGGCATCTAAAAGCAGTCAGCTCAACGGTATGGCTCCGTACTCAGAAGTAAAGGAAATTTACATCTATAGTTGCTTGAATCGGGTCAAGATCTGCCTGATCTAAGTCAATTTGGAGAGAGAATCTGAGCTGTAGAAAGATAAAGGAAGCTCTCAATCGCCTTTAGGATATGGACGCAACGGAAATTTTTGTTGAGTGAGCGAACTTGAAGGAAGTTCAGCCCTGAGGTAGGCAGAAATTTCAAACTGTGATCACATGATGGAGAACGGAAGCCGGCCCGATTGACCTGTACGGACCGCACTCAACCCAATCTTAACCTCTCACTGAAGTTTGCTGAGCAATTGTTGAGTGGGTGTACTTCACGGTCTTCAATTTTTTTCGTCATTATCTTTATTAATTAGATGAATTGGCCCTTCTTTTTACAAAAAACTGTTCTTCATTGCCGAGCCCGCACCAAGGAAATGTTCAACCATAGACTGACTCGAGGTGCAAGTCAGTCAGTAAAGATATGGTTCGACAACACAGAAACCCAAACACGACGCGGGGGGGGGGGGCAAGTCTTGAGACAGTAAGCAGCTCTATAATGCACGCTCTATTCTAATCTGCCCTCCTAGGACCCTTCGGTACCAAAGCCCACATCCCAACCGACAGACCCAAAAATCCCACAAGCCTAGCAAAACCCAATATCAGCCAAACTCGAACCCCCAAGAGCCCACTTAGTACTTACAAAGGCGGCATAGTTTCGATCCCAGCTTTATTTGCCACAGCGCCCGTCATAAAAGGGAACAACGCACTCCCAGCCTGGCCCAAGCCCGCGATCCACCCAACTGCGCCGGAAAGAAGCCATTGTGGGAGAACCCGCCCGGCGTGGCTCATCAGTAGGGGGTATGTCGGTCCCAGAACCAGTCCGACGAACGCGACGGCTATGCCGTCTGCGACAAGGGAGGGTACGAACCATATGACGAGTTCTAGTCTGTAGACACTTCGTCAGTTATGCTCTGCATGGGCTGATAAGGCGTACCCAATGGCAATTACAGAGTATAGATAAAATGCAGGGTGGTTGCCTAACTGATAAAGGATTCAGTGGGGACTCTGTGGAGGTAGATGTATCATACCTTCTCTGTGACCCAGAGCAGAACGAGAGGCCCGATGGTGAGACCTGCAAGTAATCAATGAGAAACTATGTCTGAACCAAATGGCAACACGAGCACCTGCGAAAAATCCGGACGAGATGTAACCAGAAGAAGGTCCACCTTCTCGGACCCGTTGTATGAACGTTACGATCCATCCTAAGCCAGATTAGACACTGGGATTATTTTTTTAACAATAGGCAACAAACCCCCAATAGTAACCTCTGTCCCAACATAAACAAGGGAGAATAATCCGAGCAGATGCACAGTCCGCGTACGGAGCAACTGGCGGAATTTACTGTCATCATTTCTGCACGCGTTCTCTTGTCGAGGCTCGCCGATCTCTGCGAAACAGACTGCCACGATACAACTTTAGAACTCCAAGGAGGAGAAGGGGATAGCTTACCATCTAATGAATTGAACCGGAATATACTGGACAGGACCGTTATGTTGGAAATGGCGATCCCGAGGGACAATAAATAGAAGAATGACCAATGCTCCTTCTGCGCGAACTGCGTCGCGACGAGCGGGGCAGTCAACGCGCCACTGCCTTCAAATAGTTCAGCTTGAGAGTACAAATCAACGGGTATGTCATTCACCGTAACCGACTTGGAGAATCATCATCTTGAGTTGGGAGTTCTTCCTCAAGCTGGCGACATAGCTCGTCACCTGTGCGTCCTGCCAACCTCAAAGTTCAGAAGAGCGCCCGGCCTGGATACTATGATAACAGCTAACCTGCAAAGCCATTCCCATTCCGTTGATCGCAAACGTCGTGACAAACACCGGGAAAGGCAGCGCGGCAGACTGTAGAGCGTACATAGCCGCTTGACAGAGCGCACCTTGTAAGCAGGCCGTCAGTGAGCTTCTCATGAATAGGGCTGCTTACGAACCAACGACGAGGACTTTCCCAAACCCGATCCTGTCCATCAACGGCACATTTATCAGTGCACCGATAACGAATCCCTGCCATACCGACGTCAAAGGGTCACTTTGCGTATGATCGGGCCGGAGACGTACCACACAAGCCATGATAAAGATAAGAGATACAACAGCGTAGTTAACCTAAATGATTATTATACATTGGTCAGAGATCCTGTTAGCTTGAACAGAAACTTGGTTGCATACGCTATACACGGTCTGCATCCTCGGGATCAACGCTCCAGAACTACCGTCATTCCATCCCTTTAGAAACTTGTTCCACCAGAGTGCGGTGAACTGGATATGTGCGCGACGGGGCCGGCACTGAATAGGGGTCGTGGTTTCGACGACTGAAGTCTGTATCGGTACTTCGTCGACACCAGGCTTGATGGATGCCCCGGGGATGCGCTCGAGCTCCATAGCAGATGAGGAGGCGATAGGGTCTGTCATATCGACGGAAGAAACGGTGAACCAAGGGTTCAATGGCTCTAAAAGTTCGCCGGATAGTACGGTCCGGCGGAATATCGAAAAAGATAACTAAGTCGCAAGTTTCAGGGTAGAAGCACCGATTCGGCGACCGTGGCAGTTACCTCTTTGGCTGGACGTTTCCGTGGAGATAGACCATATCAGATAACAAGATAAATATCAGGGATGGAGGGTAGGGGTCGCAGAGGTTACAAGGAGATTTGAAAGCATGAACAACCGCATGTCTTTGCGTCATGATCAATGGTTCCAGTTTCAAGTCTCTCACATACAGCGCGCCGTCGGCTCGAGGATTCGATTACCATTGTCTGTACTGCATCATCAACACTGGGCCTCACTAGGCTGCTCTGAGGATGTTTTCGAGTTCCATCGCAGACGATAAGGCGGTAGGTTCTGTCATATCGATGGGAGAAACCATTGACGAAGGGTTCCAACTTTGCCGAATATGGTCCGGCGGAAACATAATAATTTCCAATATGCGTTAGTATGTTGATTCTATATGTCGAAGTCGAAGTTTCAACTCAGCGACCATAGTGCTATTTATAGTCGCATCTTGACTGGGCATTTCGATGGTGACGAAAGCATATCAGATAACAAGACGAGAAACGATTTGAGGAGTAGTAGACGCTTGGAAAGAGGGACCAATGGTTCGAAGAAGGCAGTGTGCGTCAGCTGGCATTGCAGGGTAATTTAGAGGGATGGATGACGAATACATTTCCTTGAGCTATCAACGGTTCCAGTTACGAGTGCCATACGGCCCATAACATACGATTTTTGGCAGACGAAAATCGCCTTGGGTAATGATAAGACTCGGTGAAAGACCATGGTGTCGTGAGGATAAGACCTAGAGTTAAAAAAAGATGAGAAACTGATGGAAACGACAGGGGATAAAAATAGCCACCGGCACGCTAAAAACATCCTCCCCTTCCCAAGTTCCATTTTTCTCGATGCTTCGTGAGCCAATACTCCACGCAGTCCGTCCAATCGGATATTCTCATCAAAGTCTTGCTGAGTAAAATAAAAAATATGTGCGGTCAGCTGAATGCCATAATGACTTGCAGTAACACTCACTAGTACGAAAAGGTGCATGGTTCTCCACTAATCCACGTATCCCCTTCCCTTTTTTGACTGGGAGTAGCACACGTGAAAATGTATGGACACCCTGTTCAATTGTGTAGGTCCATCGCATGGGGCTAATTATAGTACCTGTATCACCTGCCAACCTTGGCTCTGATAAATCCGTAGCTTGCTGCTGCTCGTACGTACTTCTTCCCATGCAGACGCACCCGAATTAAGCCTGAGGCGTATATCATATGATCCATCAGCATGATAAGCCACATAAAATAAGTACCGTGCTTACACCTGGCAGTCGTCTGCATCCTATCATGAATCCTGCACCCAAAGCACGACAACTCTTCGACTCTGAAAACGCCTATGTCACTTCCCCGCTCTTCTCTGCACGGATCCTAGCATGTTTACGGTTACTATGGGGTTTCTACACCCTGTTCACGTTGTTGTTCACGCTTATATGGATAGCACTGCGCGTCCCCGGAGGCGCTAGTACGTGAGTTTCCTCCCCTTCTGCTCCAGCTCGCCCAACTCGCACAAATCTAAAACAGGTACTTCTCATACCTCACGAGACTACACTACACCGGCATGTGCGCGTGGTTCTTCGCTTCGGGGGTCCAGACAGCCTGCTACGCCTTCTCAGACGGGAAGAGGTACCCACTTCGACGGTGGGGACGCATCTTGCAGGTACTGCAGGACTGGTTGTTCTCGACAGTGGTAACGATGCGTACGTCCTCTCTTCAATTACTTTCTCGCGAAACGGCTGAACGTGAACACCGAATTAGCATTCACCATAACACTAACGTTCTTCATCCTCCTGCGCGTTGACCTAGACGCGTCCGTCCCCATTAACCTATACTCCAACATCTCCATGCACGTGTTCAACTCCGTTTTTGCCTTGTTCGAGATCCTCCTTACGAACGATCCGCCGCCGGCATGGAAGTGGCTCCCCGTCGATGTTCTCATTTGGGGAGCATACTTTGGTGTAGCGTATATAACGCATGAAGACGTGGGATTGTATCGTGAGTGTATTCATCACTTCTAGGTAGTTATGAATGGCTGACAGTCGGTTACCAGCATATTACATCCTCGATCGCACAAAAGTCGGAGGGAGGGGAGTGGTAGCAGCGTATATTCTGGGAATTATCGGAGTGTACGGAGTTACCTACATCGTCGTGCATGGTGTCGTCATTGCAAGACAGAGGTTGATCAACCGACTGGTAACAACGAAGGGAGATGATGACAAAGGGGAGGAAGAGAAGTGCAGTATGGAGACGTCAGAGATCGAGGCTGCTTGAACGACAGTGCGAACCATGTGTCGATATGGCGTATGCTGTTCGGTGGTAATGTCGGAATGTGATCTCACGAGATGATTAGGAAGATTTTGCCCTGTTCCGGCAGGCTTGCTCTCTTTCACCGGATCAGTTGATTATCAGATGAAAAGATAGTTGTATTTAGAAAAAACACTTTGGCTTGTAATTTGAAGAAAGGACAGCGGCAGTGTAGTGGATCATTCGTCGCGGTTCCTTGTCCAAGAGACCCTTCAGAGGTTCGGTATCATGCGGCGTCGATTGGCCTTGGAATCCTGAACTCCATGATGTCTGTCCAAGAAACTCCGCCAGCCCACGGGACTCTGAGGCGACCATGAATGTAACCGGGGTCATTGGCAAAGGCGGACTTCAGGTGTAGGATGGACAGAAGAGCAGCGAGTGCGAAATCGATGAAGACCGATATTCCAGAAGAGCTGAGGGTAAGAACGATGTTTAACGGACACGCATTATGGCGGATGTGGATGTGGATGTCGGATGGTAACAACCCGAAACAGCCTCTTTCAAAGCCCTTGGAGCTCCGGCTGTTGTACAACGAGGTGAAAATCAGGTCCCGGTCTGGCTAGCGCGTCAGTGATGGAATTATGAGAGCAAGTGTCCGTTCCACGTACAATGTCCCAGCATGTCCTCGTCAAGAAACGCCGTCAAGTCCATCCAAACCCGTTCGCCAAAAACGTCGGGTGACGTATATTTCATCCTGTCGCGTCCTTTTGCGCGTCCTGTTCCTATTCCGGCCCTGACCTGCTTACTACCTGCTTACTATTAGCTCGACACGTAGTGGCTGAATGTTGAGCACCTGCCTTACAATCCGAAATGAAAGCCTCCATACCGCACGTCCGAGCCTTCCTGCAATACTTCTTCGGCGCTTTGAAGGCCTGACTAGGGATCACCATCCGACGAATGAGCTGGATTGGCAAATCATGTTAGACCGAGGCCTTTAACTACTGATATAACAGCAGACGTGCTGTCTATCGAGCGCAGCAGCGCGCGCTGTCCGAGAACCATCGAGATCAATGCCCTGGAAGCTGCTTGTTGAGCAAGGAAGTGGGTCCTAGCGGGAAGGAGAGCAAAAAAATGCTTGCTAGGCAGCAGTTTGATGCTCTCTGTACGTTGATGGCATGGGAGCTTTGAGGAAAAGGCAGTTTTTTGAAGCTCTTGGAGTACCGTCACGTATCCATAGAAGTAGCTTGCCAATATGTATGTCGTCGTGGTGGAGTGAAAGCAAGACGCGTTTCAAACTCCGAACCCGACGTGTTTCCACTTCTATCACAATGTCCGAGACGCATTGTAACGAATCTGATACTAATACTCTGTCGACTCTTTCCGAGAGCTTCAATAATTCGATTCTTGAAAAAATACGGAGCAGCACAGCGACGTGCACGTTCGTAGTTCAAGCAGAGCAAGACGTTTCAAGTCTCCGCGAAGCGTTTACCTCTGGAAGAATAGATCGCAATATGCATAGGCCCTCCACCGTCGATAAAGATATCTGCCCAGATGCTGTCTTAGAAGCAATGCTCGCTCACGCCATAGGAGGCAACGACGACAACGAACACACACCACGTCGCTATGTCGCATGTGCAATAGCTACCGCTGGCCAAGATAATAACTTTGAGCAGCTAATAGACCTAGCCAATACTTGGGTCCGATACCTCTTCTGGCCTTGTAGGTGGCCAGTCATCTTTCTAATGTTCAATATTGACAGCGAATTATTATAGTCAAAGCAAATACGGCTTATCCTAGAAATCTGCACTCGGAGATGACGGAGGTCGCTACACCGACTCTTAGGGAAACCCTTGATTCAATCGAAGGTGCGCGTCCCGTCGTTCGAAGATGCAGTGCGTATCACATATTGGCATCAAAATTCGAATGCATTGTGCTCATCTACATGCTCGCAGGTGAAAGGACGTGATGGTTATCGCTGCATTGTAACAAGATTTATCGATAGGAACAAAGCTCCCCCGGATTCGGATGAAGTAAGAACCACGGTTGAAGCCGCTCATATTTTCAAGAGAGCGGTGGCAGCCGGAAAGCGTACTGAAGTGAGTCCTGCCGCCCGTTCAGCGGTAGATTTCCAACTGAGTATACACACGATCCAGAAATCTTTGGCAGAGTATGCCACCTGGGACATTTTGCGCCACCTCATTGGTTTGTCCGAGGAACAAGTCGCTGAACTAGATACTAATATTGACTATGTCTACAACGGAATAACGCTAGATCAGACTCTTCATTCAGCATTTGATGGATTCGAGTGGTCATTGCGTCCGGATGTAAGTTCTCATCTTATCATTCTCATGAGGATACTGATAGGATATAATACCAGCCTGATCATCTGAACCGATACTACTTCGATTATTTTACTAGAAAGCCTCCGTCTGCCGCATACGGACGTAATATCGAAGTCATCTCCTTTGAAGGATGCCCCGCTGAAGTTCGGCCAAGCCGGAAGCTCATACAGTTCCATTACTCCCTTGCCAAGGTTTTACATGCCAGCGGTGCAGGAAGGGTTATTGAATCGATGTTGAAGCGGTTCTTCGAAGGGGGTAGGAAATGGGTGACTCACGAATGCATGAGCGCTGACGATCTGGAGCTATACTTGAGCACAGAGAGAATGTCTCTTATGTCTTTATGATAGATTCAGGTCAACTGTATTCGACCTCTTCAAATTTACCAACGCGACTTGTTCTCGTCTCAAGTAGCAGATTGGCGCTGAACGATAGCATGTGGCCGCTGCTCTAACTTGTGGTTTGTTGTTTTTCTTTGCTAAACAGCTCATGCTCATGGCCATCAAGATTTATTCGTCCTAGATGCAATGTACACAAAGCATTCGTTGTCAAGGAAATAGGTATCGTTTAGGTATTATACTGTCTACGTTGTAGTAGTAAGTGTACAGAGGTGTCAAGAAAAAAGCAGAGAAGATCAAGGGTATCTAGGGGCCGCCTCAGATAGGTAGTATTTAACGACACGGCAGCATCAAAAGATAGCTAACAAAAAGAGAAAGATATCAGGGAAACCCATATTGCTGCTGCTACATAATAGTAGCAGCCTTCTTACACATAGTGAAAATTAGCCGCTGTTCCTAGCAACGACGCGCATTTGAAACAGCAAGCCCTTCTTGCGCGAACACAAAGGCATCATCCTCCTAACACAGGCCCACTCCTCTTCCATCCTGTCAACCGACCAATCCGACGGTGCATTCAACGCGATAATCAGCTTCTTCAACGCAGGTGCCGAGTGACACAGCAAAATGTCAATCGAACCTAGATCCAGGACGTCAATACACTGGTCAGTCTCGATGATAATCTTCAGCTTGAAGACGCTCAAGCTCGATGCTCGCCAATAATGGGCTGGAGCAAGGAGCGTCTCCAAGCACCGACGTATATACAGATGATATTTGAATAGGATTCCCTGCCCCAAGACCGTGGCTTATCGTTAGCACACGTAAAGAGGAATTGGATGTTAAATCCAACGATGGGAGGAGGCTTAAGTCTTGAGATATACGGTATCAGAGAACAGCGTGTCAACCGAACATGACAAGTACTCACCGCAAGAAAGTAGAGGGATGCTCAACACATGCAAAGCCCCACCAGCCTTTCGCAAGACTTCTCTGAGCTGGAGCATTGTTTGCTGAGTGATGTCGGAGACGACGAGCACCTTGAGGTTGTCGAGACGGACGTGCTCGTCTAGCATGATATAAAAGAGGTGAACTTGTCCTCCTCTTCCAATAAAAACCTTTTTTTGATCCCATTGAACGTCAGAAGCAAATATTTCCCCCTCCATGGGAGCAAGAATAGTGAGATCTCGGACTCTGACTGTTCTTGCCGATGAACAACGCGTTAAAAGTGTTGCGACGTCTGTGATAGTGCGGAAGACGAGACAGCCGAGGTTGATAGACGTGGCTCCGGAGCGTCCTGGTGCACTATCCACAAGTTGGAGGAACTGCTCGTATGCATCGTCGTCAAGAAGGGAAAGATCCAGGTTGTGAACGTGGAGATGCCCTGTCATACCTTCCGTGAAGTGGTCAAGGATTACCGCAAGGGACAGTTGCAGGCCCTGGGGACTTGTATCCATCGTCTCCCAGAATGGCGGGCCATGCAATCCCGATAGCGTAAGGTTCTTGAGACGGCGGGGAGTGAGGACGTCCACGACGAGCTCTGCAGCGAACGATTGCGACTCCTCATGGATGGTGACCGAGGCCATGACTGCTGGTACCAAAAGTAAGAAACGAAAATTAGCACAGCGGAAGAACGACGCGCCTAGGTCCTTCAAGTGCGCAAGGGCTTTGGGGGGATGGAGTCGGGTGGAGGAACAAGAACAAAAAGACCGATTAAATAGAGGAGGAGGAGCCGATGTCCGGTGTGCTTCCGAACTCAGAAATTTTTAGAGATGCAAGTTACGGTCCGCTCACCGTTGTACAAGCCTCTGGAAGGAGCGGATCACACATGGGAGATTCTTCTGGATTATTTTATCGTGAAAGAGCAGCACGAATGTCGGAGCATGTTTTCATCTACAAACGTGAGAGAAATATGCTCATAAAATACTCAGAAACCTGCTTGAAGTGGTCACCGAGGTACCAGTGAACCAAGTTAAGCTGTCGATCATGATCCCAAATTTGTTCGCCGACCGTCACGAAGAAGGTGGCGGAGATACGTAACGATACTTTCCATCAGGGCTGCAGTTCCTTATTTGGACCTTTAAGCTTTCTCCGATATCAACATGAACAGCCATCAGGTCGAACGCATTCTCTGTCTCTAGAGAGCCTGCCAAACTTACGGAATTCCCTTCAAAAATATTCGTAGTACTGTATCCCGCTTCGAGGAGTTGCCGAGAGATCGAAATATCTCCGTGGAGGCAATCCCTCCGAGTCGAGGTTGAGGCGCTTCGAGGTTCCCGGTTTCAGGCAAGGTCGAGACTCGATGCAGGGTCAGAATTCAAATTGATTCTCCAAGTTCAAGCTCCTCGTTTCTTCTTCCATCCCTGACTCTCAGGGTTGTGGACTCGCTGCTCCTTATGGGGACTTTATGCCTGTACCGCCAAGATAGCTTCGCCGTCGGCCGAGTTGCACTCTGAGCATAAAAGTATCTACCTCGTCTTGCGTGAGGCAGTAGTGTACAATGTCATTTTCAGCCTAGTGCCTATAATGTTGTCATAGGTAGAAAAACTTTGATCTAGTTCCCAAAAGTGTAATATTAGTTACTATCATGGAAACTAGCCGATGAAAGCTGCGTCTGAGTTTGCAGCGACAAACCAATCATAATAATACTAGTTTACCAATTTTTCCACAATCAAAACGACTTCCAAGGTACCTATAAGTGAATAGGGTACGTAATCATAATGAAAGCCAAGTAATTTTAAAGTCATTTATTAAATCTACACTTGCATAATGAAACTGTAGCACAGCCAGGGTAGACATTTAATCTCGCTTACAGGAAATTCACCGTGGAGTGTGGCAGAGTCCAACATTACAACGAAAGAAGGCCCGATGACGTGCCGTGTCAAGGAAATGAAAAGAAGCTTGAGTCTGTCAATCCTAATACCTGGACTCCATGGAGATTTTGTGAGTAGGGCCAACAAAATTCCGCAGGTATAAAGTGATGATTGTACCTGAATGCGATACTTGACCGCTTGAAATTGTTATGTCGGTCAATTTCCCCTTGCTTCCGACGGCGATCATGTACAACTCGATTTGGTTCCGCACGTGTGGTCAGAGAACCCTAGACTAGTCAAGACAGTCTCCATTTCGGTTGATGGCAGTCGAACAATTGCAGTTAGAGCTGCCGGAGAGACTGGAACATGATGCATCCTAATGATCACCGAACTACTCGCATCAAAATGGCATTTCCCACGACTTTTTCAATCTCCCACTATATGCAGCTACACATCCTATCTTCTTTTCCTTTTGAAAACTAAGTGAGAGATAGTGATACTTAATAGAACCCAATGATATTTTTACTATTTATCGAAATGGTCCAGAGGATTTTTAATTCTGAGGTTACTCCGACTGCAGCAGAATGCCATGGCGATGCGGTATACGGCCCGAAAAGATGTCTATTAATAGGGAACGAATTCACGAATTCATTTATTCCAGGTGTTACATTGAAGCTGTCGAAAAAATAGCAACTTGAGATCCATTCTGGATACTCCCAATTCTAGGTGCTCACATTCAAAATCAGCGAGCTAAAGTTTCGAGGTTCAAAAAGATTGTGGGATACCTCCATATAACCTGGAGTCGTTTACGTTTACTAGCCGGTGTTTCGCCCACATGGCTGCGCTATCTTCCCATGTCATTGTCAAGGCTGTAATCCAGCCGTTCCTGATTAGAACCTTGCACGTATTCATCCCCTAGACAACCCGCACACCAAGTATAGTCGACTTTCAAGCAATATGTGGGGTCTTCGACGTCGTTAACTCCATTAATTATGGACATTTTGTGGGATTCTCATAATTCCCTGTGGCAATCGAACCCATAACCACACGACCGACTATCTTGAAGGTACAAGAGCTCATCGAAAGTCTAGGTGACAGTGAGAGGTGCATGGTTCACTGTCTTTGGTGGGAGGGTCGTCTCCACCATGTTTGCTATACTCGATTGTGCTACATGCCCCCGATCACCCTTGGCATAGCTCACATCGCGTCCGTGCTGTCGCTTGTATGGTTAAAAATAAATCTCAAATGCATGACATTGAAATGACGGTATTCAAGTTGTTAAACCGTGATGCTCCAATCTAGCCGTTTGAGAAACCGAGTCGGCAGAACTTCCTTCGCACCCAAATATCATCGGTCTTTCGCAATAGTGTTGTCATAGTGCTTGACGTTGCTCCTGTCCTGGTAAGTACTTCCAAGCCAAGAATTTGAACGGTGAGGTTTCATCATTCTTCAAGCGAGACATTGATAAATTCGGCACCATTTTTGGAGACGCTGCTGAAATTGGTTGACCTTCTCCACAATAGCATGCTTTGTGTTGGTACTACGCTGCCCCACAGGTGTTGATGTGAGGCACGAATGGCTCAAAACTTGTGATTGGCCAAGTTAAGAGGAGATAAGAACACGTCTTCCGTGAAGAAGTAGTGTACAATGTCATCTTCATCTAGTGCCTGTAATGTTGTCATAGGTAGAAGAAAAACTTTGATATATTTCCCAAATTGAATGCAATATTAGTTACTATCATGGAAAGGTAGCCGATGAAAGGTGCTGTCGAGTTTGCAGTGACAAACCCAACGATAATGATGCCGGTTTCCCAAAATTCAGATGACCGTGACTTCCAAGGTGCGTGTAAGTGACTAGGATACGAAAGCCAAATATTTTTAGAGTCACTTATTAAATCTACACCTGCATAATGAAATTGTATCACAGCCAGGGCAGACATTTAATAATCTTGCTTACAGGAAATTCACCGTGGAGTGTGGACCTGGCAGAGTCCAACATTACGACGAAAGAAGACCCGATGACGTGCCGTGTCGAGGAGACGAAAAGAAGCTCGAACCTGTCAATCCTGACTCCGTGGGCATTTTGTGAGTGGGCCAACAAAATCCCACAGGTAGTACGAAGTGATGATTGTACCTGAATGCGATACTTGTCCACTTGAAATTATTATTTCGGTTGTCGATCTTCGATTCCGCATGTGTGTTCAAAGAACCCCCATATAAGTATAACTTGGACTCGTTTACTAGCCGACGCTTCGCCCACATGGCTGCGCTATCTGTGAATCCGGCCGTTCCCAGCCTGGTTCTGAACCTTGCACATACCCATCCCCCAGACAACCTATAATCGATTTTTCAGGAACAGGTTCTCCCAAAGTCATCGAAAACTTCCCGAGGCCATGACACCGAATTCGTCGATGCCTTCTTCCTGAAGTATCCAATTTCTCGGCTCAGAAGGACGCTGACGAAGCGCCATGACAGCAGTTGTGAAAGACAGATGATACTTGGGTGAGAAGGAACTTGTTCCTCCTACTCGGTTTCTCTAGCCGCCAGATTGGACTCGAGTACCAGTTTAGCACCATCGTCATTTCAAAGCAGCTGAGATACATTCTTAAGGTACAAGTGAGGGGGGCAGATGGTGTAGTGGTTACCTCTGCTTGCTCGATTGTACCTCGTTCCACACAGAAAATATTTATTTTCGCACTCGCGAGTTTGAGCCCCCCACCCCCCAGAAAGTAACACTCTAGACACTTTCCGGGTTCTACCACTTCCGATATCCGAATCACATGAAACGCAGCCTCCCTTTCTAAACATGATCAAGTCACGCACATTACCCCCTCTAAAATCACACGACAAATCTTATCTCTCCTTGCCATTCTGGGCATCGGTTCGAGGCCCTTCCCGTGATCTTTCGAATAAGACAGGGAAACGGAGTCGCGTGCCGCAAGGCTGCCGCCTGGTTGGGACCCAGGTGTAACAAAATGGAGTGGTGATCCAAGCACACCCCGGCCCGGCATGGCATCGCCCCCGCATCAATTGATCACACTGTGTTGGTGATCTTGGCCGAGTAAGGCAGGTCTGGGAAAGAGAGACCGGAGAAGGACTGGGATTGATGGAGTTTGGTGGGAAGTAGGACTAGGCCATGAGAAGGGTCTGGTGAAGAAACGACGGTGACGGATAGATTGCGGCCATTTCTCGGCAGAGGTCAGGATTTCCCAAAGTGGGAAAAGGTGGCAGTGCCCGAGTCGCACCAAGTTATCGAGGGCGAGGGATAATTTCGTGCCATAACATAAGTGCACAGCTTGTTAAGCTGACTTAATCGATGACATCATACACACAGTAACACAAGTAGCTAAATTGGACCATACGCATGCGTAACCAATATACTTAGGATTTTTAAAAAAAAAAAAAAAGGTACAAGTGATAGCACGGACGTGGCGGGAAGTATACGAACCACGCCAAGGCTATTTGACTGGCGATCACACCCGGACATCGCCATTCTTCTCTTTTCTGAACGCTCCTCGGATTAGAACAGACACCCCTGTCCTCTCCTCGTCTAAACGTGCACTATCCTCTGCACTGCTCGATCTCGTTCGCAGGAAATATGCCACATCTGTTCTCTCTTCCTCGCCCCATGTTCAATTTTGGGGAAAGACTCACTCTTGTTCCCTAAGGACGAGGGCTCGCCGCGGAGAGGGGATGACCCGGGTGCCGCCCATTTCCTTTGTCACTGTAGTCGTCGCAAGCAGTAATACGGGCTAAATCTGAGTTCAATAGTAATAATACCCTCTTTGCAGATGTGGTAGACAAAAGCGCCACACGAGCTCCTACTGATGAGTATTACTCTCCTCAAGACAAGCCAGTTCTGAGAACAAAGCGTGATTCGAAAACTGCAGATGAAAATACATAGCTTAGGTGTATGCCAAAACAATACTCTAACAACACAACCCTATTCCGGGACAGGGAATCGAACCCTTAGCCGTGACACCAGGGTGGGCCGCTATACCACATCCGCTGATGTGTATACTGGTCATGGTTTGGCGTGATCCACTCGAATTCGTCCGCCTTGTTTATGTATGACTTCTTGGTCGCGTTTGGGGAGCGAACGCGGGTAGTCCATCCTCTGATGCGTGCATTGGTCATCCACAAGATAAAAGGTTCCGTGACGCGTGAGTTGCATCCTTGTAGTTGAGAGTAAGATGACGCTGGGGGGGATGCGCGCACATGTAACAGAGTGAGTGCGTCGGGGGTGACGCGGACGATGCAAGTAGGGGACATCTCTCCTACCCGGTCCACTGGCTCTTCTCTTGCATAAACAGGGACCCCTGTTGTTGGCGGGGGTTCCGTGATTAGAGAAGAGGGCAGCAGAGAGATGATATGAAGGAAAGGGAAAGTACCAAAGGCCTCACAATTGGTTTGGGCATGGGGTTTGGTGCATAACCCGTATGTGGCTGGGTCACGCTTTTTTTACCCTAGCATGCGTCACCGTAGTCCACCAGCATGGGTATGTCTCCTCTGTGTGCCATGACGCCGAAGTGAAAAGGAGGGAGGCATTTCTCCACGTGGATGGGTAGGTGTATCGACTTTTAGACGCTGGGGAGGGGACGCGCATGCCTCGTCTGAATTATATGATGGGTATAACACTAGGCGACGAATTTGGAAAGGAGTGAGGGACGGTGCAGGCGAAATCGGGGGTTTAGGTGACCGGTTCTCCCTTCTGCGCCTATCCACCCGGAGCTGAGGAGTTGTGGTGGTCTTTTCCAGGGAGAGTTATGATTACACTAGGACGCAGGACATGCATCTGGCGGGGAGGGTGCCTTGGTGTGTAGTTGCTCTGTACATCGAATGAGCCGGTGTAGAACGAACGAGGAGACGCAATCATCGCACCTTTACATCTGTTCCGCGCTTACGTATCTCTCCAAATACAAGGCGCAGTGGCGAGTCTCTTCACACAGATTCTGAGGCAATGGGGCCAGCAATTTTCTGGAGAGGGAGAGGAAGGTGGCGAACTGAAGGGGATGACGCGTCACGGTGCGGCGACGGAAAGTGTGGGTGAACGCCTTGCGAGAGTGATGAGGCGACGCTAAGAAGGGAAAGGTAGACGGCAACTGCATCTTCCCCGTGTTGACAGGTGTCCGTATTCGATGGAGCCTGTTTACCGAACACAGTGCCAGAGAGAATCCTTCATGGGGAACTTGAGGGTACGAAGCGCAGAATGAAAATCGGGAAGACTCGACACGATGTCGTTTTGGCATGATGCACGTGCAGGATGAGTGCAGGACGCGAAAACATATTCAGGGCCGGCGTCGGAGAAAGATCGGCCCTATCTTGGTGGCAGTGGGCACTTGTGGGGCCCCGCTTACTTCTCTCCTTCATGGCTTCTCTCTTCCGCGCGTACAAGTCCGTCGTCCTCAGGCTCCATCTCTCTACAACTACCCGAAGGAAGTGAAGATGACTTTGGTACGCAGGATGAACTATGTGTTTCGCATCTCATTCGCAGCACGTCAGCAAAATATTGTACCTACGCTCGATACCCGGCCGCCAAATACGTTGGAGACACGATGACAGGCCCTGCGGTAGTCTCCACTCTGAACCAGAATCGGTCTCTCGTTTGCGTGGAGGAAGCTGAACTCACTGCAACGAGGAGAACTTGAGACTCCCAACATCATTCGGATCTCTTTTTCGTTCTCATATACGTGACAAATCATATCCTACTTGGTGGCAAATTTTACCGCTTCTCTGTTTCCTTCAGCCATTGTAGTGAAGACCTCAGGGTAGGGTCCATTCATGCATTGTTGTTAAAATCATTATTTAATATTAAGATAAGAAACTCGAGCGTTTGGACCTGGACGACCCCCAATCTATCCGAGCTCAGAAAGCAAATGTACTTTGAAGATTCTCATTCATAATCATATTACACGACGGCGTACAATCAACTTTTTTGAATCCGAAACTGGCTCATCGTCACACGGTACCTTCAGGCACCACAGAGATCAGGGACATCCGTACCCCTGCAGATCATGTTTTAATAGTGCCTGGGGTAAACCTTTCGTCCCGATATCGCGTTTCCTGGTAGCAGGAGGGACAACACCCTCTGATGTTGGGGGCTATCATAAGTATTAGCGTGAAAAGAACGGGAATCGCAAGGCATACTATACTGCTCCGGATATCGAAGGCTGGAATAAGTAGGAGGATGGTTATTCACGTGCACGGCCTGAGTAGTATGCAAAGTTGACGTACTATTGCCAGCAAGTACGCCGACAAACTGGGGGTTTGCAATTCGCAGGATGGAATAGACTAAACTTGCATTTAGACTCTTCGCATCGGATCTAGTAAGAAAGGGTTGAGCCCGACTCGAGATGAGTGAGTTATTCAAGTCTTACGATTTTGTCAGGCTGAGTTGACAGAAGGGGGTTTTTAGTAGTCGGTATACTTATTGGAATACGGGTCTTACGAGGTTGATGATATGACCACATTGAAGGTAAACGTTCCGTACTCTGTACCTAAGCATAGGAGATAGTACGATAGCGAGGATCTGCTCACTGGCGGCGGCGACACATGGGGGTGATTGGGAGGGATGCAACACGAGGTGAGAAAATGGAAGACGTACTCACTTTATAAACTCGGGCTGACTTATGGGCGCCAAGCTGACTGGGACTTGCACAGTCAGTATCGGTTGGGAGGGCACTGCCTCGTCCATCGGTCAAAGGCCGAGGACCTTATTCTATGGCGAGTAAGAACTTTGGCGGGAAGAGCATCAGGGAATCTGCCGCCTCGAGGACTGCCGTGGTAACAGACCAGATACAACAAACAACGGGGTACTATACGTGCAAGTCAGAAAAAGATGCTATTAATCAGTATTGGCACCCGATATTTGCGATTGGAGCTGGCTGCAGGATTGAATTTGAAGGACCACCTAACAGAGAAGGGAACTCCGGACCTCCACAGCAAACCAATTCACTGATCTATCTTGCGCTTGCGGTTCTTATGGTCCAGAATATAGTCGGCAGAAGTGTTGGACAGAAGACGCGAGATGCTGGTAGTTCAATTGACTAAGCTCAGGCTGAGTAAGTCATTTCAACGTCGTCAATGGGATCGCATAAACGCTGTGTAAGTGGAGAACCACTCGAACTCACGAGGTGAGTACTGGTATAGAAATTCATTGAACGCGAAGTTATTTTGGAAGCCAGCGTGAGAGGAAGCATTCTAATTGGCGTTGGAGGCCGAGGGGTCCACCCTGAACCAGCGGGGGTCATGGCCGAGGTCAAGACATGACTCGGATCCGAGAGTAAACAATATCACGCATTTCAAAGGAGCTTTAGACTTGGATGCTCGATATTTCGCCCAAATGGCGTGTGCGGACGCTTCTGACACGGGCCAATTGCGAGCTGAATGTCCCAGCTGGACGATACACCTAGGTGAGCATAGATGGAACTTTTGAACATGTCTATTTATTACCTCGATAATGAAGCGCTGTGCATTTCCAGACCGAGAAGCAAAAGCAATTTGGCTTGTTGCATAACTTCGACCAGGAGAAAGGTATTGGGCTGAGGCTCGTTGGATATCAATTGTGTTAAGGGAAGTTCGGCTCACTGAACTTGGCGTTCAACTTGGAGGACATCGAAGTTTTGCTGAGTTGGAACTTGGAGGGCCACCAAGAGTAAGATATTGTCTGGAAATCATCTGGCAGTGATATGGCCCAGATGTTGGGATAGCGAAGGTCAAGACGAGGAAAGATCGAGAGTGCGTCGACGTTGAACCAAGCATGTTGATGATGTCACATCTGTACGCTTTGACCTTCAAGTTGATTTTTCACGTTGGTCTAACCAGGACAAAAGATTTGTTAAATTGACATTACTACAACGAAGATACGCTCTCTACTCTTGGGCTCCTGTTATCATTTTTCTCTAACATCGCTATTGGATCGGCGGTGTACATTCATGCCATTATGTGCTTCTTCACCAACAAAGATTGCTCTTAAAAAAGAATATCACCGTACGCAGGTAAATTCAAAGCTGTTACCAGCGAATAACGAAGGTTAAGCATGTCCAAGACTCCCTGAAGGTCAATTATATCCGTCGGGCACATCCATGTAGGGAGACATTTAAGAATCCTATCAATGACCTTCCCCGCACCACTTTGTTGGAGCACATCTGTCACATATGCATGTAGATGGAGGTATCCTGGGTCGGGCGGTGCATCCCCCTCGAAGACGATAGGGCTTTTTATGGGCACGAGCCATGTATGTACCCCATACATCTCGGCATGGTATTCATTGGCATTCTATTAGAATGAGCAATCATTGATAGATGTAGGAAAGGACACCGCGCTCACCGTCATTGGCTTGAGTGAGAACAAGAAACTGTTGAAGAATACACTCATGTCAGTGCTGCAGGGCGATGGCATTAGGGGCCCCATCCACCAGAGTAGTCCAGGTTCACCACCGGGTTGATATAATTCTTGATTATCTCCCGTGTCATTGTCCCGAAGAAATCAGTCTATGTTAAGACGTCAAGACCCCAACCTAGGCGGATGATCATATGTAAATCGAACATCACCTTCTCAGAGCCTATAATTGGGGTATGGAGAATACGACTGATTCTCAAACCACACCAAGGTGGTTTCTCGTGTCCGATTTTCGCAAGACCTGATATGGCACACCGGTGATTTTGTCGAAGTAGCACCTAGTGACCGGGGAAGAATCAGGTAAGTATGCCGGGAAGGAAAGCGATGAAGCGGACAACCTGCTCCCGAAGAGCATCACACGACTGGGCTTCACGATCTTCATACCAGTTGAGAGCCTTGACTGTTAAATGGCATAAAATCAGCTAGAATTTAACGTGCAAACCCAGGGTTACCCACAGGGCCACAAGAAATGTGCAAACCACACTAAGCTCAATTGCATGATGCGGTTAAACATTCTGTCGGACTTGCAAGCGCAGATAGCGGAGCTAACATATCGCAGGCCACGATCACTAGGCGCACAATCCAGCATGGCAGATAATACGGAAACGAGACTGCCATCCAAGACAGAAAGCCATGTCGGGACAGCATGACCACAGTTCTGGAAATCTTTGATGAGACCCCGAGCGTCAGCGACAAGATAGTCGGTGGAGTAATTTGGGTTCTCCATGATTTGAGCAATGTCCTCCATGGATGGGGCTTGCTGCCTATCAATTCGTTGATTCTTCTCTTCAGTCGCAAAATTTGCCTCTACTGGGACGTCACTGCCCGAAGTGTAGTGAAAGTAATAGTAAGTGTTGGCCCCTTTAACAGAAGACACAGACATGGTCGTAAGATGGATAGAAGTTTACGCCTTAGGCTTATAAGTCCTATTTATATAAATTTATATAAATAATAAAACAAATTAATATATATGAACACTTATGCCGGAATCCCAACCATCCTTTGCTTTAACCATCACCGTCGCCTTTCATTTTTGGTTTTGAGCTCTAGGTCTGTGGTCTTCTGAACTATAGCGATACCTCTTTTTTCGAATGCCTACTTGCCTTTCCTCTGACTCTGAGGCTGGACCCTCGCGGCTATCACCAGACGAACTATCACCGGACGAAACTTATCGCATAGCACAGCGTTCGCTGCAAGGCGATTTATCATCTCTATCAGGATATGACTCTTCTTCGGACTCTGACTCTTCAACCGTCTCCTCGGGATCGTTTTACCTAGAACTAGGCAAAACCGCAAGCATTGAGGATGCTCGACGCCTCATAGAAAACCACAACTATTCGACCGAAAAACTCGTAAATCAGGCTAGGCGATTGGTCGAGACCTTCGAAACCTCGGAACCTGAACTCCGGACGGTGCCTACCTGGTTTTTACGATTCAACGGCCGTCTAGAGGCCCTTTTTCGAGCCATGCTCGATACGGCGGATGAATGCGGAGGTCCAGCGGGACTGCGATACGTTGTAAGTGCGATATGCGCTTGCCAAGTCGGGTCGAAGAGCAGCGATATACAAGCTACTATCCGAGGGATGACCGCCCTAGGGCTAACGTGGTTTGCACATTTGCTTTGGCCTTGTACGTTCCCTTTCTGCGGTTAGCCTGCACATTCCTCATTTCGACGTCACGGTACCAGTCAAAATTTCGAGCTCATACTCCTTACTGCCACCTGATGCCCCCGACAACGTCGCCCCCCAAGCAATTCCGACGAGAGGGGTACTGATATCCATCTGTCTGAAGCCCCCCCTGTTAATACTCCAGAAAGTATGCGGAAACAGGTTGAAATTTTCAAACTCGTTATAAATTAGTGTCTAATTTGCATTTAGGTGTTGCTACGGCAAAACTACCGTTGCGCCCTAACTGGCACCCCCAAAATTGATAGCGGGACCCCTGGCTGCAGGCTTGAGATCGCCCACGTTCTCAAGCGGTCAGTATGCCAATTCCAAACCAGCAAGACCGATTTAACCGTACGTGGAACACAATATCCTCATCTCAGATGTGCTGACCCTTGTTTTCAAGCCCCATTACTCCGGGAGAGTCACATGGGACATACTATGAAACTATATGGCAGCGCCTCCTGAGGAGCTGTAGAACTTGGCGGTTTTTGTTGACGATCCTTCAAATGGTGTCGGGTTTCGTAAAGAAGTGCATGGGTTTTTCGATGAGTTCCAAATTTCATTAAAGGAAACCAAGGTCTGAGGTTTTTTTCAGAAGATGATATTAGACTGATAGAACCAGAACCAATACAGGATCAAACCCTACTCTTAATCACTGAATGATATATGGACTCGCCTCCTGCACTAGTTGTCTTCTGTGACTATTCCTTGGATAACGATTCGACAGCTCAGCCTGCCATCGGGGTATTGCCCTACCCAACGCAAGATACCTCCGCCTCCATTCATGCATTGCGGACGTCCTACACATGAGCGGTGCCGGAGAGGTCATCGACAAAATCCTAGATTCCGACGAGCAGCCTGTCCCCTCCTTCGATTTTCTCAGCCTCCGCGAGACCCTCACCAGCGTGCTAGTCGTTCATCCTCAATGATATTGTAACATTGCCCGCCTCTTTCTTGCGTTCTCTGGAATTCTCGTCGTCACCCTCATAATCTGTTACCATCGCATCTCGGAAAATCATACCCCATCGCCTTTCTCAAGCTCCGTGGATTTGTATATCACACTGTTGAAATGGGCATCACTGGATCCCATACTACATTGAACCCACAGTATAATACAGCAAACGAATGGTATACATCCCGGCACGCCTCGACATGGTAGCCTTGGGTTTTAATATCTTTTAGGAAACTCGTCTAATATGCTTATTGGATGAGTCTGGTGCGCGCTGAGGAGTTACCATAGAATGGTGACTCTCGGAGGTAAAGGCTCTGGACCATACATCAAGATTGTCGCCAAGTATTTTACCTCCCTAGTCACCGTCATTGCACGTACACAATTCCTAGGCATTTCCAACAGTCGTTTTGCGAATGTCAACACGATACTTTTCCAACATGAGAACTGTATCATATCAATTTCTGGAATACGGTGCGAATCCTGAATGGGTTTAGACGAGAACGTACTTGACTTCAGGGCTGTAAAAATGTATTGCCTCCCTCTCTCAACTCAGCTAGGAACGGGCGTACAGGACTTGGCTCCAATATCCAGTGGCATGATCGTTGTGTTCGATGAGAGGGAATGGAGGCGGAGATGGGGATGGGTAGTTTATGCAAAGGGCCGGGCTGTTTCTTTGCTTCATGGCCCCCAAAATCGGTCGTGAGCCAGATGTAGCCGAAGGAGTGTAGAGGATAGCGATTTAGAAGGCAAGGTGAGGAGCGTCCATGCTTTTGAGCTCTTTCCCGTTCCAGGACAGGAGATCGAACCCTTCTTTACACCGGGGTGAGCCGCTATACCACATCCGATGGTGTATACTGGTCAGGGCGTTGGTAACAAGCGGCCTGAGTATGGCAGAACCCAAAAAAAGTCACGGCCCGCGTTTGAAGGAACGCGCGTAGGGTAAATCTATTCTCTGATGTGCTCATTGGTCATTGGTAAGTCGGTGCTTCCCTCTCTTCCCAGGCTCCATGACGCGTGAGTTATTGCATTGATCCACGCGGATGGGTAGATGGATGTCGGGAGCCGCTGTTTCGCAGGAGAACGTGGAATGGCGAGATGATGCTGGTAAGGGAAAGAGGGAAAGAGGGAATGCGCGCGCGCCTGTGAGTTCAGTCTTTCCAAATGGCCAGTTCTGCGGACGGATGGGAGTCACATGATGGAGGAGGTAACAGCCGAGTGAACGGTTCGAGTCTGGGGTGACGATGCAGGGAACGCTGAAGGATATGCCTCTGTGCTTCTACCCGGTCTACCGCCTCTTCTCTTGCATAAACCAGGAGTCTCCCTTGTTTGTCTCTTCTCTGGGCATGAGTCGCATCAAGTGAAAAGGATGGAGGTGTTTCTCCACGGGGATGGGTAGGTGTGTCGACTTTGAGGTCGACTTTTGACTGTCGCACGACGATAAATTCACGCACAACGGATCTCAATCTGAGCTGAACTCGATTGTGTGGTGTATCTCTGTCTCCCAGGAGGTACTAAATTGATGATCGGCTACAGCCATCTGGTGATATGGCCGACGACGGCCGTTCCTTATTGGGACCTTGTGCCGCTAACAACAGCAACCCTCTTCTTCACGTCAACGTGCGCCTTCTCTACAGCCTGAGGCAAGCACGAGCACTAGTATCATGCTCACCCGCCGTCGAGGTCCCGAGCCAGAATCAGAGACGAAGGAACGAATGTCAAAACGCCGGCGCTCTGTGGGGAGCTCTTCAGAGAGCGACAGGAAGAAAAACTCTATGCCTCCGCCCCCAATGCAGAAGAAGAAGCGCACGCGCATGCACATTCTTACGACGCCTCACCAGTCAGCAGTTTTGCATGCTCTCCTTGCCCAGGTGAGTGGCTACTGGTTGAGTTGGAACTAGTGCTGAGATGGCTTGTAGTCATGATTCCCTACGACAGCGATGAGGGAGGAAGTGGGGAGGAGTATTGGATTGAGCACGAGGAAGGTTCAAGTGAGTGACAATACCCTTTATTTTCTTCAACTTAGACTAATCTACGCTCAGATATGGTTTCAAGTAGGCACTACCAGTCTCCTCCATGGAACCTACATCTAACCTTGCCTTAGAACCAACGCCAAAGACAGCGGCGCCCACGCGAGCCAAGCGAGATTCAGTTGACGCGTCCAACTCAGTACGGGCCGTTTCCATCTGCCTCTCATCCGCTCCCGCCTCACGACGGCTATCCTCCTGCTCCCGCCCCGCCTCTGCATTTTGAACCATACTCGTTGCTCATCGGACCAGGCATGAGGTCCGACTTCCCGCCACAACAACCTCCCCCTCCCCCTCTTCCATCTCTCCGCCTCCGTATCGACCATCTGTTGAATGCGCCCTCTGATAGACCGAGACCCACGCACAAACGGGCTAAACCTGCTGATGACCAAGGGGACGAAGTAGGTCTACACCTACTCCACCAGAGTTTGCGCGTCTAAATCTTTGGCAGGCTATTTTAGACTTGCTTTTGCACAGACAAAGATCAGGGCCGGTGCATGATGTGAATATCAGTATAAACAACGTAGTGAAGCAAGTCACAGAGGTGCTTTCCACACCGAACATATCCGATCAACTACTCGGTTTACCTGTCGAGGAAGTACAGTGCACTTTGGACTTCTTTCAGGATGTATGCTGGAAGTCATATCTTTTGAGCTTTTTATGGATAATCCAAATTTCGCAGCTTCTAGATGTATCAAGTCCACCAATGATATCCAAGCGTCTTCTTCTCAAAACCTCTCTCAAGTTGACGCGTATCCATGATTGTGTACCTCAGTGTCTCATGCTTATGGGCTTCAAAAAGATGGGAGAAAGTTATCCGTTTGCTCGAGGACATTTTGGTGAGCTCTGGAGAGGAGAAGTCGATGGAATACAGGTGGCTGTCAAACAGGCGAGGATATTCACAAGTGACAGTAATATTAAGAAAATTCTTCAGGTAAGTTGTTATTGATTTTCTGCCACGGCTCAAATTGGCATAACGTTTTTCCTTTATAGCAAGTAAGGCGAGAGGCCATCATTTGGAGGCAGTGTGATCATCCCAATGTCCTACCTTTCTACGGCATTTATCGCGATTCTGCTCCTTCTACCTACTGTCTTGTGTCGCCATTCATGGTCAATGGATCTCTTCGTCAATATATGAACCAAACTGATGATCCTGATCGACACAACCTTGTAAGAACTGACCGATTTCCCTTTTTATATTAAAAATTCTGATAAATAAGTACCAGGCTCTAGACATTACACGGGGTATGGACTACCTGCACACACTGTCCATCGTTCATGGCGACCTCAAAGGAGTGCGTTCCAGATATTTTGTAGATGATCATATCTTGCTAAACCAAAACAAGGATAACATATTGATCACTGATGACCATAGAGCGGTTATCGCGGATTTCGGTATATCATTTGTGATGGGTGCCACAACCCTTGCAACATCGTCATCATCATCGTCGTCGCGCTTGAAGGGTGGCACTGCAAAATGGCAGGCACCAGAAGTCCTCCATGGTGGTCGGAACAGCTTTCCAGGTGATGTTTATTCACTTGCATGTGTGTATTTTGAGGTACATGTTTCTCAGTCAGACCGCTCTTAATAAACTCTGACCATGCCATATAAGGTGTTCGATGGGAAAATACCCTGGAGTGACCTCAAGACTAATGCCGCCGTTATCATGAAGGTCTGTATCGACAAGGATCATACATTGTAAAGGGTCGATTTTAGTTTGCTTGAAGGCCTTGTGCAAGCAAGCGAGGAAAGTAGACTTGGTTAGCAGTCTTAATTTTCTTTTGTGGGTGTAACTGAACAGTGGTTGTGTAAGAGACACCAAACAAAGAAAATAAGTGCGCGTATACGTGTATCTATTAGGTATTGGCTTCCCCGATGCCCCATATTATGCACTGGCAGCGCTTAGTTAGTTAGTCTTCTTCTTGTAACACTTACCGTAGTTGGTCAATATACATTGGTCAAAACTATGTTGTTGCCAGAAGAGCACCAGGACTCGGAAACTGAGGAGAAGGAGACCATAGCACATTTTCTCGATAACGGCGAGGATAGGGCAGCGCTCTCTCTCATGGCCTCTCTGTTTCGCGCGTACAAGTCTGTCGTTCTCCGTCTCTCCGCTACTATCCACTAAACCAACGACATCCCCTCATCGACCATTCGTCGTCTTGTTTGGCACGGGCGACATTATCGCGTAACAGGACATCGAGAAGAGAGCATGACATGCGTGTTCTTTTGCTCTCCTTTTTCCCTCCCTTCTAACTTATACCTGACCACAGCAGTGGAGGAACAACCATGGACCCAAGTCAGTAAAAAGTAGTACATCGTCCGACAGGGTCATGTAACGATGAGCAATATTAAATAATACATTCATGTCATTACATGCTTTTTCACCAACAAAGCTTGCTCTTAAAAAAGAACTTCACCGTCCACAGGTAATTTCAAAGCTGCTACTAGCAAATAACGAAGGCTAAGCATGGGGGTCATGGCTGATGACCGGATATCCGCGCCTAAACAACAGCTTGGTCGTATCTCACAAACGGCAGATGAACTGGGGAGTGAGGAACCTTTCTCGATAGGGGCTGGGGTTTCTCTGAGTGAGGTTTCCAAGTTACTTGTCTGAAGCGCGGGATTGATAGGTGCGCGCTTCACTGTGGGTGGTACTGGAGCGAGTGAGACATGTCCGTAAGGGATGACGCGTGGGGGTGGGTGAACGCGTGCAGGGTGGGCGTCGGAGTATAGACGGGTAGGTGTATTCCTTGCGAGGGTGATGCTGGCGTGTCTTGGGGGTATATGAGACGACCTTAAGCGAACGAGAAGGGTGAGGTTACGCTAAGGAGGGAAAGACCAGATCGCTTACGTTGAACGTTGAGTACGTGAAGGAGGGTAGATCGATAACAACGCGAGGTGACCCTGCCCGGGAGTGAGCCGAGGGGTTGTGGTGGTCATACCAAGGCCTTTTCCTTGGAGAGGTATGAGTCCTAGGACGACACGTAGTTGGCGAGAAAGGTGTCTTGGTGTGGCAATTGTGCTATACATCGAATGAGCCGGTGTAGAATGAGGAGACGCGATCATCGCAGGTACCTTTTATATCTGCTCCGCGCTGACGTATCCCTCAAAATACAGAGCACGGTAGGTGAATCTCTTCACACGGATCCTCTGAGGCGATGGGGGTCGGCATTTCTCTACACTTTGGTTCCTCGGAGGTCGATAAGGAAGGGGAAGGAAGGTGGTGCCGCCCTCTGAACTGCAACCCATTGTGGGCCAGAGCAGGCGGACGGAACGGACGTGTCAAGTGTGAGTGAACGTCTTGCGAAGGTGTTACTAGCGCATCTTGGAGGAGGATGAGGGTAGGATGAGGTCGAGCGACTCTCTTGATGGAAAATGATATCGGCTCGAAGACAGCTTCCGTGCATGACCGCGAAAACAAGTTCAGGGCCGGCGTCGGAATAATACCGGCCCTATCCTGATGGCGCTTGTGGGGCCCCCGCTTGCTTCTCTCCTTCATGGCATCTCTCTTCCGCGCGTACAGTCTGTCGTCCTCCGTCTCTCTACAACTACCCACTAAGTCAATGACAGCGCGCTCCTCATCCGTCGGCCGATGCTCGCCCAGTGCGGAACTGCAGCCATCCTCTTCGGCACCGGCGACATTATCGCACAACAGGCCATCGAGAAGAGAGGCTTCAGGCAACACGACGTACGCTCCCATCCTCCCTCCTCCCTCTTCCTAACTCACATCCGCACAGTTCATCCGCACAGCCCGACTCACATTCTACGGCGGCGCCCTCTTCGGTCCAGTAATGACATGGTGGTACCAGTTTCTCAACCGTATCCAGTTCGCCTCTCCCACCCGCGCCATCGTCTACCGCGTATGGCTCGACCAAGCCATCCTCAACCCCATTCGCTGTCGGCGCGTTCTTCGCATCCATGTCCGTCTTGGAGGGCGTCCCACACGAAGCGTACCCGCGTATCCAGGCTGCATACGTTCCGACCATCCTTCGCAATTGGGGTGTCTTTATACCCACCCAGATTATTAACTTTGCTCTGGTTCCGCACCATATGCGTTTCGTGGTGGTTAGTGTTGTTAGTTTGTTCTGGAGTGAGTGGTATCTTTTATTCGTGGTTCGTGGCTGACACGTCAGTAGATACGTACCTCAGTGCGGTGAATGCTCGTCAGGCAAAGTTGGAGCAGGAGGAGAAGGAACATGAAAAGTTGCCTATGAAGGAGGTATAGAGGGGTACGTCGTTTTTACTGTTGTCGTCGACGTGCACTCATTTCTCACAGGGAATGGACTTTGCTCGGTTGACTCGTTGGTACTAATCTATAGAGCTCCCTAGATATATCTATATATCCGCTATTTCTTGCACAAAATGCATACCGTTTTACAGACGGCCTTTTCGAGACTGACAAAGGCTTCGCTAAAACAAAACCCTTTAAGGTTTCGTTTTTTAAGATCTAAAATGAACCGCTTCTGCTGTGATTGTTCAGTAGCCGGAGTGGTGTGGCATGATCGAAGTATGCACCAGAAGACGTTGCCAAATAGGGCAAAAATGTCTACTTACCGGCAAGCGAAGAGGGTTTTCTACTAACGATCGATGACGACCATGTCTGGGATAGAGCTTGGGACGACTTCACTCACCTAAATGCGAGCTTTATTAGCGCACATCGCCGCTGTCGTCGAGTGGAGAAGGACCTCATGATCCAGTTCTCCCTCAATCCCTCCGATATGGTTTTGCGGAAACAACTCGTTAATATTCGAATCATGGGTCATCTCCTGAAAGTCGGTCCTACAGATAAAGCAAAGTCCCATATTTCTACGACCATCAATAGCGAAGCTACCGACGAAGCTCTCATTGCTCGAGGTGCATTCTATGATAAGTTCTTCATCCGGACATGTTGGTTGCATCCTCGTTACTAGGTCATGTGACGCTGACACTCGTCTCTCTAGTTCGCAAGGCGAAGGGTCCTACCCCCCCAGGCGTCCACTCATCACTCGCGCCCTTCGTTCCGACAGACTCTGGCAGAAGTGCATCAACAGCTTCGGCGTTATCCATCCAACCATCAAGAAGCGAAGAAAAGCGTACGTATTACTTTGGTCTGAGCTTAACAAGGATATGTGGTTAATCAGATATAACCTCCTCAGGCCTTGGCTCGTGACAATTATCGATGTATCTTGTCCGGCACCATGGACAAGAAGTCATTCTTCGAGTACGACGAACTCCAAGCACGGTTACCGGAAGGGATGGCACCACGAACCACCCAGTGTGCGCACATCTTCTCTGAGTCCACGAACGTCGGTATCGATGATCCAATCAAGGTATTTTCATCCTGTTCTGTTATTTCATCTAACTTACTCTGTCTCAAGAAGACTACGCTGCGAACGCATGGACTATCATCGAACACTTTGGATTCCCGAAAATCCTCCAGGAGCTTGAAGGCGAAAAAATCCACCGATTGGAAAACGTTTTGACCCTCGAATACGATCTTCATGATCATTTTGACGATCTCACTCTTTGGTTGGAGCCCACAGTGCGTTTTTCCATTTCCTCCTTTCCCAGCTAACAATTTCCAGGATATTGAAAATCGCTACAAAGTCTGCACAACGAAGGAGCGCTACATTTTTGAGTTGTTGAAAGTGCCTCGATTTGTTGATTTCACGTCTACGCGAAGTGACTTCCCACTACCGTCGAGCGAGAGTACTTGCGCATACATGCCGCGTGCTGCCGTGTGGCGCATATGTCTGGTGCCGCAGAGTATCTCAACCTTGTAGAGGATGATGATCCTTTCAAGTCCAAGGTACGGAGCTACGATCCCGTAGGTTCAGATTTTGGGGATGTCTTGGCAGCGCGGTTGTATGATGTGAGCGAGATTCGTTTGGCGGCGACTGTTGGTGCCTGAAGGTTTTATGGTTCATTTTCTGATATATTCTAATTGTACTATTGTTCTTCTATACCCAACTGGGGCCGGTATGTTCAACTGGTAGTACCACTAGTAGAATTTGTGGCATGGAAATGAATTGTTGTTTCTCGCTTATTGAATTTATCCTCGAGTTTGAACTTGAAGTTGGCACCACTGTCAGTGGCACTGCTGATTTTTACACGCCGACTTGGATTCTGATGGCGTGGCCACACGTCTAGGAAGTTAAGTGTGCTAGATAACCCTAGATAGAGTACTGAGAATTATAATAGCTCGTTGACGCTACAAATGGCTACCATAGATGTTACGATTATAGGGGACTCTGGTAGACACCGGTAACGCCCGGTAACCCGGCATTGTTTACTATGGTTAAACGGTTTTTCTGATATATACCTTGCGCTTAGTAGGAGCTCATGCTTGTGTTTTCAGTCGTGCCAGGTCGTGCCTGTGCATATGCAGGAAAAAGGGGTACGTCGTCTTTGCTGTCGTCGTCGACGCGTACTGATTTTTTACAGGGAACAGACTTTGCTTGTTTGACTCGTTAGTACTAATTTATAGAACTCCTTAGATATATCTATATATCGGCTATTTCTTGCACCTCAATTCCCGGTAATCCTGCACGAAATGTGAGGGATACTCAACCCCGTCCTTGAAGAAACCTCTGCGAATGTTGCGTTTTTATCCTCCTTCTATGCGTACCCTCTTTTTTTCTCGAGGGATACATCACGCATTCCTTTTTCAATCCAGAGCCGCAACAAATCTTCACCACTCGCCCTGGTTCGTAAGGTCAGCCGGGTTTATATCTATCCTCCATATGTCAGCACGTCAAGAGGACATGTCCCTTCGAGTGCATGGATAACTCTATTTCACATTCCTCCAAGGGACGTGCGTGTCAGAGCCTCCTTACCCATCCAACAAGAAGCGCACCCAAGGGTAGCGTGGAATAAGAACACAGGCGAATGAGGAGCCACGCGCACGCGCACTACTCGCCTAGCAAGCCTCGGCCTCCTCCAAAAACCCGAAACTCTCCCACATCGTCCTCTAAGCGGGTCCCGGTCACCTATCAACTACCTAGATACCTTCCCGCCCCTCATCGACATCCTCCTTCTCCTCCCAAACCCGTTCTCTGCAGCAACTACCCCGCGGAGAATACCTGTCCCCCTCTTTGCTTTCGTCTGTCCGCGTATGAATGGAGTTGTCACGCGTTTATCCCTCCCTACTGCTGCGTCTGCCTCACGACCAATCTGTCAGCTTCTAATAACACATCTCCGCGCTTGATAACGTGTCCAACTTGCCCTCATATCATGTCTCTCTTGATCTTAGACAAGCGATACGTCGTCTCCCCAGAATGCAGTTGTGGACGGAGGAGGTTCGCAATATCGACGCGTCCCTAACGCTTTTCATCTCACAGAACCCCAGGTGGAGTGTCTAAACTCCCTTTAACCTCAGGGTTGAGGCCTACAGTTGAAGCTAAACGACCACTCCCGGACTGGGGTATCACAATACCAGGGAACAACTTTCCTCTCGTAATAAATACATTGACGAGCTTACCTTCTCTCCTGTGTTATGCATAATCTGATCGTCGGGAGGCCTGAGGTCCCTTCCTGTACAGTACCACCCCGCAAACACGCGTACCCGTCCGTCTCCGAGTCTTCTCTGCGGCATGCCATATAAGGATGCACCACGGAACCTGGCGGATTGTGCTTGCCTGGAATGCGGAGAGACGTGATATAGGGGTCGAGCAGTGGCACGTTGGACACGTGAAGGAGGGCCGAGTTTGTACTAAGTTCGGGTGTCACAGGGTTCCATCAATCCTCCACCATGCCAGTATGCAATCTGCCTTTCAGTGGATAACTTTACTTGGCATTTCTCCCAAGGATATGCAGCATCAGTTCCCTTACCCTCTATGCCACCTAGCCCCCCTAGTGAGAAGAACACAGGCGAAGAAGCAGTCGCGCGTGCCCGTACTACCCGCCCAGCACCCCTCGACGTCCCCAAACCTGAAACTCAACGCGTCCCACATCGTCTTCTGAGCTGATCACCGGTCACCTACTTACCTAGGTGCCACCTCCCCTCCGCGCCTGCCTCATGAATACCTCCACGTTTCTCGTCATGACAACTTGCCACTCCTTACGTCTCTCTGAATCCTAGGCAAGCTAGATAGGTCGTCTCCCCGGAATACAGTTTGCCACTTCTATGGATAGAGGAAGGTTACAAGTTCTACACGTCAGGAGGTGTAGGGGTACCCCACCTTTACCGACGTGTACTCGTTTCTCACTGACGAACTTTTTTGACCACAGCAAAGTCGGTCGGCTTTACCCCTAAACGGAATACCGACTGCTTCTGCAGTGGCCAAAAAATTTTAATCTGATATCCACCCATTTTTGCCGATTTTTGTTCGACCCGAAATAGGGGGTAGGTCCAAGTGACTGATCGCGCCTCGTCTATCCTGTATCACCGACTTGTGTGCACCAAACCTTGGAATGATGGCGTCCCTTTCTCTTGTATATTCATCGGCTTTTTCGTGTCCGGTCAGTTTAGCAGACGGAGCGCACAGATGTTCACGTTCCTCCGAGGACATATATCTCGGAAGTTGGGGAATATGGCTTTACTTTGCATATTGTAACTTATATGTGCGCTAGTATCTGTCGTAGCTATGTCGTATCAAGTACGTGACCTTCATACATGATCTTTAATCTTATTCTCAACCTTTTGTCCATCGAGTTCTTTCAAGTATCCCCTTTTTACTACAAGTTCAACTTCTGCGCTGTGCTCCACAAGTTTGGCCAAGCCTTTGGTAGCGCCAATAAAATCATCGATGGCCTTCTTGGCGTTCTCGCCGGCTTCGGTGACGGTCTTGATAGCTTCGTTCAAATCGGCGATAATTTTGGTATTATTGTCGGTGATAACTATGTTCAACTCGCTGATATTTTTCTTCACGTCCTCGATAGCTTTGTTTGAATAGGTGGTAGCAGGACCCGCTTATGCCCAGCTGTCAGTAATCGCAGGACTTTAGCCGATGAACAACACTCACGAGCGTGGTCTTCTGTGACCTGGACAGGAACAAGCGTGTATGTTGCATCGTTCCTACGTTCATTCCCTATGCACCACGCTGTGTTAGTAACTTGGGCCAAGACGCTTAACACTGATGCTTACGGTTGCGATGCTGGTTACTGGCGGATGCGCCTTGGGAGCGATCAGGTTGAGTTGAGATGCTGCTCATCTTGTGGGGCGATGATTTGAGACTGGATGGATAGTTGGGGAGCTGGGGGGGGCTGGGGAGCGAGGTTTAAGTACAGGAGAGACGCTACTGAAGTACAAAGCGAACCAAACCAAGGGCATGGAGTAACGAGACTGCCGCAAGGCAATAAAGTAGCCCAGACGCGAGGTCGCTAGCAATGGCTGCTAAATGGTTGATCGTATCGTAACTTACCATTGAAATGATGTAAAAGAATTGCCACACTGCCCTCATGTTACAGTACTCGCCTTAACCGCTTGGGCCTGTGCCAGCAGCCGTTGAATTGTAATTTTATTACTTCACTCGTACTTAACATACATTTCGACATATACACCCTCAGGATGACCTTACAGTACTACCGAAACTCAGAGCCATTGCGGTAAATGATTCATGATCTCGTACTTGAAGATTCTCGGCCACACCATCTGCATGTAGAAAATCCATTGGAGACGCCTCACATTCAAACTCAGGGACCACTACTGACGAAGATGTCTATAAAAAATTGTGGCGATGATTACCGATCACCACGAAGTGTTATCTTAATATATCTAATCAATCCAAGGCTAGGTCTTTGACCAAGTTCAAATCAAAACTTTCTTACATACCGCCGAGCCCAAAGACAACCAGGTGTACGCTCTATAATCACCAATCCCGATATTGAGGGCTAAATGGTTCCAGGAGAAAAGAAAAGATGTGAGTCTAACCTGAAAATCTCCGGAGAACCTGAATCTCCGGTTAGAACATCCACTGATGAAGATCACGCCGGGATTTTAGTTCCTGCGTAACTTGTACTACTGTACTACAAGACTCGGTGCTGGCTGGCAATTAATTCAAAGCCTGAGAGGCACCCTGGGATATCCTTCCGGCTCAACATAATTTGCCGACTGGAAAATATAGTGTACCTCCGCAAGGGCCTCCAAGTTGTTGATAACCGCTCACCAGATACATTAAGCACTACCGCTGATCCACTGAGTTAAGTGATTTATTGGATAAACCTGATGAGACAGAGCCCTTACCGTGATTGAACGTCACTTGTGCATGTCTGAGATACAAGGCAAAGTCAAAATTCAACCCGCTGCCTTTTTTCTGACGGTGACTTCAGGAATCAAGAACTTGAAACTTGATAACCAACTTGTAGCCACTGATCGGCGGAATAACGCTGATGTCTGGTATAATCACAGCGGCAATAGTATAGTATACCTTGCGCTTAGTAGTAGTACATACTCGTGTTTTCAGTCGTGCCTGTGAAAACCATATCCACCGTGTAGTAAACCATACTTGCTGTCGTACTAAGTACTAAATGTAACATCGACCTGCGCCACTGAGTCGCAAGCGCCCGGGCTGCCGCGTGTTCATTGTAAAGAGATGACGGAGGCTTTACATCGACCAATAGGTGAAAGATGCGTTGCAACGAGTTACGACAAGATGTATTGAAGTTGAAGCGATTGGTGGCAAATTAGAAGCCTCAGCCACCAGTTCTAGTGTCCATGCTTCGTAGGCTTGGACGACGAGACCTCGAGTTTAGCTGCAAAGTGCAAGGTGCTGTCTATAGACCGGCTGGTGTGTGTGAGCAGGACGAGTCGACTCTCGAATGACATGCAAGAAGAGGAGAACGAGACGGGACCAAGACCATTTTCTCCTAGGCTCTTCCCTCGCACGAACTCCTCTCAGATAAAGGATTCGACATAGTCTAGGATGTGCTACTTTTAGCGTGCGTAGTTATTTCTTCTCCGTCAAAAGATATATGGATAGAAAACCAGCTGGACTTTCAGCCAAGCACCACATGCCCTGGATGTCAGCGGGTAAGTTGTGAGCGCGTGTAAGTATCTCGACGCTTGTCGATAGATGTCGACTCGTATGAGGTACGGAAGTATGATTCTGGCTCCAACTGGCACGATGACCTGTCGCCCAGGATGAATGCTTTCGGTGTCTGCATACACATATTTTGAAGAGCCTCGTCCACCTTCCCTTCATTCACGCGTCTAGAGTGGTACAGCCTACTTCCTGCAGAACCATACGTAATTCAGCAGGCGCGGTGGTGGAGGTCAAACCAACGCTCGACGATGGCAGGCAGGTCCAAGAATGGTTGTGTCGCGTCGGCTGTGGAATTTCTGCAAAAGTGGCCCCACACGAGGTCATCGCAGCTTTTTTATGATGTCCTCTCCCTCTCCCTTCTTTTCGTAGGACCGGCGAATAGTCTCTTTGGGATGACTTCCATCTCGGAGTTCTGCCTCTTCCAATACGGAAGGGGTCAGGATCTATACATAGGCAACTCTCTTCTCCTTCCGGTTAGGGTAAGACGAGAGCTGGAAAGACAGGACCCAGTCTGGCTAGCACCTCGGTGAAGGAATAAGACGAGTAAGCGCCTGTTCTTCGTACAATGTCCCAGCATGCCCTCGCCGTCAAGTCCGTTCGCCGAAAACTTTGGGCGGGATATATCCCCCCTCTGTCGCATCCTGATCTTATTATTAGCCTGACACAGTGGCTGGATGATGTGCACTTTAGAGCGCCGCCATGCTTCAGGTCCAAGTCTTCCTTCAGTAATTCCTCTTCAGCGCTGACTAGATAGTAGAGACATCCGACGAACGCGTTGGTAGCCTTCGACCGAGGTATGCATTGCTCGCGATTTCAACCAAGCAGAGACTACGGCGTATGGCGAAGGATAATTACAATCCGGTACATAGGCATTGCATAGGCGGAAGATATTCAATTGTGAAGGGATATGTATGTCGTTGTAGCGGGCCGTCGTGGAGTGAAAGCAGGACGCGTTTCAAACTCCGAACGCTCGTGTTTCCACTTCTATCACAATGTCCGATGCACATTGTAACGAATCTGATGCCAATACTCTTTCTGAGAGCTTCAAGAATTTGATTCTTGAAAAAATATGGAGCCGCACAGCGACGTGCACGTTCGTAGTTCAAGCAGAACAAGACATTTCAAGTCTCCGCAAAGCGTTTACCTCTGGAAAAATAGATCGCAAGGTGGATAGGCCCTCAGCCGTCGATAAAGATATCTGCCTAGATGCTGTGTTGGAAGCAATGCTCGCTCATGCCGCTGGAGACAACAACGACAACGAACACACACCACGTCGATATGTCGCATGTGCGATAGCTACCGCCGGCCAGGATGAGAATAAATTTGAGCAGCTGATAAACCTAGCCAATACTTGGGTCCGGTACCTCTTCTGGCCTTGTAAGTGGCCAGTCATCTTTCTGATGTTCAATATTGACAAGCCAGTTATTAATTATAGTCAAAGCCAATAAAACTGATCTGCATTCTGCCTCTACACCGACTCTCGATTCTGAGGATGAGCGCCCGCGTCCTCTGGCGTTCAAAGAGGCGGTGCGTAATCATATACTTATTGACATCACGAATACATTGTGCTCATGCTCGCAGGTAAAAGAACGTGATGGTTATCGCTGCGTTGTAACAAAAATCATCGATTTTGACAAGGCTCCCCCGGATTCGGATGAAGAAAGAACGCCGGTTGAAACCGTTCATATCTTCAAGAGGGCGGTGGCCGCCGGAAAGCGTACTGAAGTGAGCCCTGCCACTCGCTCAGCGGTAGATTCCAACTGACGATACAGAAATCTTCGGCAGAGTACGCCACCTGGGACATTTTGCGCCATTTTACTGCTTTGTCTGAGGAACAAGTGGCTGAACTCGATACGAACATCGACTATGTCTACAACGGACTCACGATGACTCTAGAACTTGTTTCAACATTTGACACTTTCCAGTGGTCATTGCGTCCAGATGTAAGTTGTCCGAGTCATCTTATCACTCTTGTGTTGCGTACTGACAGGAGATGATAATACTAAGCCTGATCATCCGAACCGATACCACTTTGAATATTTTGCTCGAGGCCCTCTACCTGTCATGCGTGGACGCGATATTGGGGTCATCTCCTTTGAAGGATGTCCAAATGAGCTTCAACCAAGCCGGAAGCTCATACAGTTCCATTACTTCCTTGCGAAGGTTTTACATGCTAGTGGTGCAGGGGTGGTTATTGAATCGATGTTGGAGCGGTTCCTCGAAGGGGGTAGCAAACAAGTGACTATGAGTGCTGACGATCTGGAGCTACACTTGAGCACAGAGAGGATGTCTCTTATGTCGGTATGATAGCATATTGTATTATATCGTGCATTATCAATCATTGTTTCTTCAGTAGGAAACATAAAGAAATGAATACATACTCTGCTCAGCCTCACGTCCCTTCCTTCTTTCTAAATAGACACCAACCTCCAGCAGATCAACGTCTGAAATGTATACGCAGCTGGCGAGAAGGGTGTTTCGGTGTGTAGTAGACGTTGTACGTCGAATGAGCAGGCGTAGAACAAGGAGACACGATCTTCGCACCTTTGCATCTATGATCTGCCTACCGTAAATACAAGGCACGGCAGGGGAACTGGTAGCGGGTCTCTTCATGGGTTCTCTCTCTTCTGAGGCAATGGGGGCCGACAATTCTCAGGCAGAGGAAGGTGGTGCCGCCTTCCGAACTGCAGCCCATTTGGGGGCGTTGAACGGGAGTGAGACACGCCAGGAAAGCAAAGGGGATGACGCGTTACGGAGCGACAGTAGCTCGTCTTGGAGGAGGAAAAGACCACAATGTCATTCCATCCCGGTCCACCGACTCTTCACACCAGGAAACTTGGTACGGAGGGTCGAATGACGATTGGGCAGGCTTGACACGAGTTCATCGATGTAGATGTATGTATGTCATTGTTGCAAGACTTGCTATGATTTCTGGTTTTTCATTTGAGAGCATCCGTGCAGAAAAGCAGAGAGATGCGAACGTGTCTAATAAGGCGGCATGAAGACAGCTTCCGGCTTGCAGGGACGCGAAAAGATATTCAGGGCCGGCATCGGAACAAACCGGCCCTATCTTGGTTTCTCCTGCTTCGCTCTGTCATGGCTTCTCTGATCCACACGTACCAGTTTGACTTTCTCCATCTCTACACAACTACCCATCATGCAAGTCGATGATAGCGCGCTTCTCATCCGTCGGCAGCCATCCTCTTCGGCACGTCATCGCGAAACGAGAAGTCGCCTCTCCTGGTACCCGCCCCATCGTCTACCACGTATGGCTCAACCAGACAGTCCTAACCCCTTTCGTTGTCAGCGCGTTGTTCACGTGTATGTCCGGAGGGCATCCCTCACCAAACGTATCCTCGTATCTAGGCTGCATACGCGTGAATAAACACGTACCTCGGTGGAGGGAGGGAAGGAACACGAAAAGCTGGCCACGAAGAAGGTGTAAAGGGTATGTCCCCTTTGCTGTTGTTGTCGACGTGTACTCATTTCTTACAGGGATTGGACTTTGTTCGATTGACTTGTCGGTACTAATCTGGGTCTCCTGGATACATCTATATATTCGCTATGTATTCCACCTCAATTGCCGGTAATCCTACAGGGAATGCTCGACCGCATTCTTGAAGAAACCTCTGCAACTGCTGCGTTTGTGCCTTTTCATCTTCCTTTCTTGCTCATCATCTTTTTATTAATGGAACCGTCGTAGTTTTTTTCTTTCAATCCAGAGCCGCGACCGATCTTCTCCACTCAAGCTCAGCTGGCTATCTATCATTAGTCACTCATTTTTCCCCCTAATCCAGAGCTACAACGAACCTCCTTCACCCACCCTGATGCGCAGTTCCTCAAAAATGGCGCGGTTTTTCTGTTCCGCTCGTTGACGGAAGGTGTGGTGGGTAGGGCCAGCTGCCTCTTCCTCTTTTCTTGGTGCTCAGAAGGAAGGGCTCCATGAACGTCACCTTTACCAACGTTGTTGACATGTGCTCATTTCTCTCACAGCAAAGTCCGTCGGCTTTATCCCTAAAGGAATACTGACGGCTTCTGCGGTGGCCAAAAGATCTTATCAGAAACTTCATCTGATATCTACCCATTTTTGCCGGTTCTTGTTCGACCCGAAATAGGGAGTAGGTCCAAGTGACCGATCGCCGACCTATGTGCACAAAACCTTAGAATGATGTCGTCCCTTTCTCTTGTATATTCGTCAGCTTTTTCGCGTCCGGTCAGTTCGGCGGACGGAGCGCACAGATGTTCACGTTCCTCTGAGGACATATATCTCGGAAGCTGGGGAAATATAGGTTTACTTTGCATATTGTAACTTATATGTGCGCTAGTATTCAGTATTCGGAACCGCTGTTGTAGCTATGTCGTATCAAGTACGTGACCTTCATGCATCACCTTTAACCAACCCGTCCACCTCATTCTTTATAGTATCCCAATCTTCCCCTTTTACTACAATTTGAAATTCTACGCCGGGCTCCTCAGGTTTGGCGAAGTCTTCTGCAGCGCCGATAAGATCATTAATGGCCTCGGTGACCTTATTGGCATTCTCGCTAGCTTCGGTGATGGTGTTAATACCTGTGCTCAAATCGGCGATAATTTTGGTATTATTGTCGGCGATAGCTTTGCTCAAATTGGTGATAGTTTTCTTTAGGTCCTCGATAGCTTTGTTCAAATCGGTGCCGATGGTAGTAGGAGAGCGAGTTGCAGGACTCGCTTATGTCAAGCTGTCAGTAATCGCGGGACTTACGCCGATGAACAACACTCGCAAGCGTTCCCTACTGTGAACGCCCGCATCCCTGCTGTGAGAACAACCGCATCATTACGTTCGTTCTCTATGCACCATGCTGTGTTAGTAACTTGGGTCAAGACGCTTAACACTGATGCTTACGGGGCTGGTTACTCCCGCCAGTGGCGGATTCGCCTTGGGAGCGATCACGTTGAGTCGAGATGCTGCTCATCTTGTGGGGCGATGATTTGAGACTGCCAGATGGATAGTTGGGGGAGTTTAAGTACACGAGAGACGCTGCTGAAGTACAAAGCGAACCAAACCAAGAGCATGGAGTAACGAGACTGCCGGGAGGCAATAAAGTAGCCGAGATATGAGGTCGCTACCAATGGCTGCTAAATGGTTGATCGTATCGTACCGAATTCAATGTGCTTACGGGCGCTTCAGCTTCAGCTTCAATAGCCCCCGTCATAATTTTCGCTGCCTGAGTACGTCCTTCACCTATTGGTCAATGTAACTTAATCCCCATCATGTTAAGAAGGCTCGTGATGGGCTCTTCGAGTGGACACGGGGTAGGACGCTTGCTATTACCCATGCTACATTCAATAGAAAAGGCCCAGATGGCGTTATATTTGTATGCTACGTCCATGATTTTCCTACGTATGCATCGACACGATTCTTCTATTTTCTTCGTCGTGAATCTCCGAAGAAATATCATTACAGTCAACATGAACATGCGCATTGCGGGATAAGAATGTATCTTCAATGTGGTTGTCGGTTATCAGTCGCTGGATGGTTCTGCATAACCGGCTGTGAATCAGTTCAAGTATATCATTAGGGCTCAGTGAGACCCGGGCCTTGGACGAGAAGAACTTGAAGCAAAATGCCTCGACCTTCTTCCAAGTCCCGCGAAGGGTGGATTCAAGAACGAGAACTCCCCTGGCTGAGATTGCTGATTTGCCTCTAATCGCTTCAGCTTCAATACATCTGCCATCCATCCTTCACCTATTGGTCAATCTAAAATCTCTGTCATGTCAAGAAGGCTTGTGGTGGGATTTTTACATGAACACGCGGCGGCCCGGGCGCTTGCGACTCAGAGTATTGAATAGAAGGAATCCACTGGCGCTGGTCGATGTTACATTTGGTACTTGAATTACGATAGTAGATACGGTTTTCCTGCATACGCGCAGGCACGATTGAAAAGATAGACCTGTGACCGGGCCCCACAATGAGCAAGCGTCGACGTGAGTATTGTGGAGACTGGTCACAGGTCAATTGAAAACACGAACACGAGTTAAACATGGGGCGGTATACTATACTATCTAAAATTGCCTGCCAACTATGAAAGGCAGAAGGTTACCCTTTCCCTGTATCCCACAACGCTCTTGTGGAGGTACGCTATATTTATTATTTCCCACTCGGCAAATTCTGTTGCCCCAAAAGAACTCTGAATATCCCTGGGCGCTTCTTCGAATCATATGCCCGAGATGAAAGTATGGCTAAGAAATTTGGTATGTTATCAGACAATTGTTTTGGGTCCAGAGTGCTCAAGGACGGACGGGAGTTTAGCAGTACTGACGAGTCAATCAAGCAAAGTCCGTTCCCGAGTACACGTCAACGATGACGGTAAAGGTGACGTACCCCTCCCTACACCTCCTGATGTGTAGAACTTGTAACCTTCCTCCATCCATAGAAGTGGCAAACTGTATTCCGGGGAGACGGCCTATCTGGCCTGCCTAGGACCCAGAGCGACGTAAGGAGTGGCAAGTTGTCATGACGAGAAGCGTGGAAGTATGTTGCTTATGCAACTGTGACTCATGAGGCAGGCACGGCGGTAGGGAGGATGATGCATGGTGCGTGATGCTTCCAAAGCAAAAAGGGCGGAGGCATTCCTCTACGCGGGCGACGGATGAAAGCAAAGAGGAGATCAAGTATTCTTTGCGGAGCATGTTACCGGCGCCAGGGTGGTACTTCAGTTTGTGAAGAGAACAAGGAGGATGAGGGGGAGGGGAGGTGACATCTAGGTAGGTGACCGGTGACCAGCTCGGAAGACGATGTGGGACGCGTTGAGTTTCAGGTTTGGGGGACGTCGAAGGGTAGTACGGACACGCGCAACTGCTTCCTCGCCTGTGTTCTTCTCACCAGGGGGGCTAGGTGGCGTAGAGGGCAAGGGTAAGAGAACTCTGATGCTGCATGTTCTTGGGAGAAATACCAAGGAAAGTTATCCACTGAAAGGCGGATCGCATACTGGCATTGTGGAGGACTGATGGAACCCTGTGACACCCGAACTTAGTACGAACTCGGCCCTCCTTCACGCTTCTTGCCGATGATAACGCGTCCAACATGCCACTGCCGGCCACTGCTCGACCCTTATATCACGTCTCTCCGCATTCTAGGCAAGCACGATGCGCTATCTCACCACAATGCAATTTGGATAGAGGAGAATCGCAACATCGTGTTCTCGGCGCTTTTCACTTCAGCATGCCGAACCAGATTTCACGGAGCCCTTCCTTCTGAGCACCAAGAAAAGGGGGAGAGGCGGTCGGCCTTATCCACCACACTTTCCGTCAACGAGCGGAACAGAAAAACCGTGCCATTTTTGAGGAACTGCGCATCAGGGTGGGTGAAGGAGGTTCGTTGTAGCTCAGGGTTGGGGGAAAAAATGAGCGACTAGTGATAGATGAAAGCCAGCTGAGCTCGAGTGGAGAAGATCGGTCGCGGCTCTGGATTGAAAGAAAAAAACTACGACGGTTCTCTTGATAAAAAGACGATGAGCAAGAAAGAAAGATCCAACAATTGCAGAGGTTTCTTCAGGAACGACATCGAGCATTCCCCATATCTTGTGCAGGATTACTAGCAATTGAGGTGCAATACATAGTGAATATATAAATGTATCCAGGAGGCCCCATAGATTAGTACCGACAAGTCAATCGAGCAAAGTCCAATTCCTGTAAGAAATGAGTACACGTCGACAACAACGGCAAAGGGGACATACCTTCTTCGTGGGCAGCTTTTCGTGTTCCTTCCCTCCCTCCGCCGAGGTACGTGTCTATTCACGCGTCCTGGATACGAGGGTACCCTTCGTGAGGGATGCCCTCCGGACATACACATGAACAACGTGCCGACAACGAAAGGGATGAGGCCTGCCTGATTGAACCATACGCGGTAGACGATAGCGCGGTTGGGGAGTTGGTACCATTAATGGACCGAAAAAGGCGCTGCCATAGAATGTCAGTCGGGCGGTGGAAGGACGTCACGCCGCCTGAGACCTGGCTAGGATGATGTCGCCTGTGCCGAAGCAGACCGCTACCGACGGATGAGGAGCGCGTTGTCATCGACTTAAGTAATGGACGTCACAGTTGTAGAGAGATGGAGTAGGAGGACAGACTTGTACGAGCGGAAGAGAGATGCCATGAGAGAGAGAAGCAGGGTAGGGCCACCGTCAAGACAGGGCCGGTATATCTCCGACGCCGGCCCTGAATATCTTTTCGCGTTCCTGCACGGAAGCTGGAGTCTTCCGAGTCAGGCCGCCTTATTAGACGCGTTCGCATCTGTTCGCGTCTCTCTGCTTTTTGCAGACCTCTCAAATGAAAAACAAGACATCCTAGCAAATCCTGCAACAACAACATACATCGTTGAACTCATGTCGAGTCTTGCCATTTTTCATTTGACCCTCCGTACCAAGTTTCCTGGCCTGAAGAGTCGGTGGACCGGGATAGAAGGGAGAGCAGGATGTAGCTGTGGTCTTTTCCGCCTCCAAGACGCGTAACACGCTGTAGCCTCGATCTGGTGGTTTACGACGAGACACCCTTCGTGGGCAAAGTCATCTACCCTTGACACATGGGTGTGTGCGCTTGGTAACGAACAACAGATTTTTTGGACTAAGTTGCAACGAGGTAATTTCTCCTCGGCCCTTAGGCGTTGCGTGTGAATAAGGGACTTCACATATTACTCATGCTCTCCAGCCTGTCTTCCAGCAGTGCTTGACGGATTCCTTGGGGGTGCGTGGACGTATTAACTCAACATCCTCGTTGCTAAATTTACGTTTTTATTAGCAACAAACGTGATCGAGTGCTGTCCCCCCCTCGACAATTGTATTTTGGCTCAATACTCAGCGAGAGCTATCGCAGTCGATTCAATTTGCGTGCAGCAAGCGTAGAAACTTTGTTAAAGTTAAGCTTTCTGTCCAAGGTGTCCGGTGCATTTTCTTCTCTAATGATTCCAAAACAAAATCAGATTCAACGCTCGGCCTGCTGGTCTTGATGATATTTACTTTTGAGTTCTGCTAAGGCCTTTCTCCTCGCTGTTTGTAATGACAATATCGCTTATCGTCTTATTTTCACAGGTAAACCTTTCTACTACGTACACAACATCTTCGCCTGTGCGACCAACACGCCATTTTGTTGCTATACTAGTTCGGTGCTCAGCCCTTGATACCGACAAGATTTGTTTCCTTTATTCCTGCTGCTTGTCAAAATCGAGGGTGGTGGGGGAAATGCTGGTACCTAGTATGGTCGTGATGGTCACGGTCAGAGACGTGTCGCTGCGAATTGATCGGCGACCTGCTTGATTTGGTACTTCCATCATCAACGTCAGCTGCAGCAGCAACCGTCCATTTCTTGCGACGTTATCAAGGGCCTTTTAAAGCTGGCACTGCAATTAGGTATCTATTCTCTTCTTGAAGATGATAAACGTTCATCGTTGCGGCTGGCGTTTGACATTTCGAAACAATGGTGCAAAGCATCGGGCTATAGAGAAAGAATACCCCCAAGAGTGATATGAGCGAGCTCCCAGAATGGATTCCCTTTCATGGATCTAGGATTGTGCATTGACAATGTCCAAGATTTTCTTAGACTTAAGGGTGGCAAGCATGCTGCGAGCCACTGTTGCGCCATTTTCTCGGCATTTGCTCTCAGACTTTATTCTGCAGTCGGCTTCCTACTTGTGAAACGCTCGTAAATTCCCTATCTGCGGACTTTCGGATGCCGCCTGGTATAGCATGCATTAAGCATGTATGAAGGCGAAGAAAATACCACGCGAGTGGATATGCTAGCTTGTGTACGTGCTCACCGTGTCTCCAATGCCCGCTTCTAACGGCTGTTTCAGAAACTAGAATGACGTCCTTCTATCTGCTTATGATGATATTGCAATCGATAAACATCAGTTCTATTCAAGGTTACTCATCCCGGATTAAGTATCGATAACTTACAGAGACACGGGATAAACGCTGTCATGGGTGCGGTATAACCGGAGACCTTTGTACGTCCTTTTTGAACGGCTCAAACGCGACAACTAATTCTTCTCCTTGCCAGCCAGCCAGAGTCCCACCTCATTGCGAGAGAAGAAAAGCTATCGACATCACGTATCTGACCGCCACAGCTTAGGTCAATGCATGTATGACGACGAGTGACAATTGGCCTGTTTCTCACATGCCATACATCCTCGGAGTGAACATCTGTCTGTAGATACCCGACTCATATATACACCCTTCGATTCAGAATCCGAGGAATCTGTCTAGAATCGTCGAGATGTCATTAATAACTGTGATGGGTGTCTATGGATGGTTATCAGCACATAGTGTGGGCTGGAACTGAAGGTATACTCAACTACATGAGAAAGGTACGCTTTCGGGATTATTCTGCTTGTCGCTGTTTGACCAATCCGAGGCCTGTCCAGTCGGAGGCTTTTTCAGCACCTAACGGCCAATATTCCGCAAAGGGCGTGCAATCCGGATACGGCGGACTTGTTCACAAATGACATGCCTTGATGAGATATGTACGGCAGACCTCGGCAAGGTGGTTTTGTTAACAAATCGTCAATGTTTTAAGCATCCATTATTTCCCCAATTCAAAGGTGGTGCTTAAAGCCAACGTGGTCTCGATCACTCCTTTCGTGAGTAACCAAGTTTGACCCCGTCCCATCATTTCACTAAATAATACATGTAGACTGACTTCAATTGGGACGACGGTGATCACCGTCCTTCATCTGTTCAGGGACACCCTAGCCCTGTCGAAAGTGTACGATCTAGTTGGCTCACCCTTGCTGAGTATCAGTACAATTTGACAGTGCACATGGGACATCGGTCTGTAATCGCCATGATAGGCTCCTAAGATCAATCGGGACAACATCGGGAACATTCCCTTGACTGCATTTGGTGTTGAGTTTGCTCATGCAAACCGAGAGTCCACCGAATATGCTACCACTGCTAACAAAGAGGAAATTATTGCATGCGGTTCCATCCAGGCATGTTCAGTGTCTTGGTTATTCAATGATTCTTCTGTACTGGCTTTTCATTTCAGTTTCCTGTGCTACTTCGTATTTTTAGAGTCAACGGCTCCGATGTCCTAGGACATCGATTTCAAGATGGCCGGCAAAATTTCCAGGAGCAGGTACTTGCCATCATTACGTTAATGTTACCTAGGCACGCCTTATTTATTATTCTTAGACCATCGCTTGGCACTAACAGTAATTTCGACTATGGAGGTCGTGGACCTTCAGATGCGCTTGATCAACCAGAACAGTAAGTTCTCATATGGCATCCGTATGTTAATTAACATTATACATCAGCACCCACCGTTCTTTTCTTCGGCAGTGGTTTCCTAGAGTAAGCTTGGCTATTTAATTCGTGTCATTGATTCTAACGTTTTTTTCAAAGTGCTTGGTATCGATCAGCGGTAACTGTACCCATTTAGCAGAAGAACCGCCCAAATCTTGGTTAGCAAAACTGTCTAACTATATCCGGATTCTTTCACTCTTCTGTTCAACGGACCCATTAAGCCGGCAATCAAAGCGAACTGTTTCCCCGTTGAGTGGGACCTCGATTGATGTCCAGATCGCCCGCTCCCGGCTGCCTCGCACTATTTTCTACTAGTCCTTCACTTAGGTCAGCGGTGTTTTGAGGCCGGAAGCGACTTAGTTGTTCATGACGAATTGTATAGTGACCTCTAGACCGGCAAGTCTATCCCGGGGAACTCAGTTCCTGACAATGGCGACTGCGGCAGTGAAAAGCATTGGAGATCATGGATGCCCAATGGTGTCGCGACCGTGTTGCATTCAATTGGGATTTCATATGATGAAACGTAGTCTAGGTGGTGCGCTGAATGTTTCTTTTAACTTACACTATTTGATCCCCTTACATGTGTTGTCGACTCTCGGCTCAAGGCTTACGATACCTCTAACTTTCGCATCGTCGACGCCTCAGTTGTGTCTTTACACATTAACGCTCATTTTGCGGTAGTGCTGTATGATTTTGCCAACAAAAAGGCAGATGTAATCAATGCCTCGGATTCGATGCTCTGCACAAAATTAACATACAATCAATAATGGTTGTAGTACATGAAGTTGTGTCCTGGATGCCCCTTGGAGGTGTCGGGCTCGTATGACCCTCGAACACGAAAGACCTCTCAGGTGTTCGGAATGTTCAATTGTCCAGACAACTCCACCACGCACTCGATACTTAATTCAAGTCACGAGTACCGTGACTGCTACTCGAGAACTTCATCACGTATGTGCTCGCTTGGCATAGATGAAGTGGCGCAGAGTTAATATTTAGCTCTATTCTCAACCACGTCGGTCTCGTCTTTCCGTAGTGTCCGGAACAATCTTGTGGATTGGGGGTGTCTGGAATTCCGGATCCAACTATATAAACCATGGTAAAGGGATTGAAGTTTTCTCATCGAACGAACTCTCCCTCTCTTTCGATATATCAAACACCATGTACTTCTCTCTTGCTTTTATCCTTTCTGTTTTCGCGCTCATCAGCCCTGTCTTGTCCGGTATGCGTTCTATATTGATATAACCATTGTGCTAACACTACTGTAGAAGAAGTTTGCCCTGGGCAGGTCACCCTCAGCGAGTCTTATATTGGCGTGGACAAGAACGTCAAGATCGAGACTGTATCATGCCCTGAAGGGACTCTCACTAGGCGTGGCGACGTGGTTTCCCGCCAAGCTCCTGTTACGAATGTCTGTGGAGCGCAGTGTAAGTCTATCTGCATATTCTGTATGTGGAAGTTTTGGTTGATGTAGACGACTAGGCAACACACTCTGTTTCACTCCCAGTGGTGGTGGACCGAATGCTAACGAGTGCCATGTAATTGCTGATGCACTACTATTACGATTTCACGCCTTATCTTATCTTATCGGCTCCATCGTAATCCTGCTATGCTAATTCTCCGGACTTGATCGCATTCACCATGTGGGTATCGTGTGTTTAACGCACCGTTGCAGACACTTGTAGTATATTTAGCACGACCCAAACTGTATTTAAGTAGCTCGACTGCAGGTCTTAAACCTCAGTCTCGAACTAAAGTTTATTCACCCGATAACTTAGTCTGAACTCACTCTCGCTCCACTAAGCGATAGCTCCCTTAGAGCAAACCTGTGGACAACATAAAGCGCCTGACCGAAGTGCGAGTCACGCTTAGTTGTTTGATCTTGTTTGTGAAATCGGTCGCTAACAATTAGTTCGAGACTTTTTTACTCTTCATCAACAACCACGTTGGCGAACAGTAACGAATGAACCCCATTGAACAATACCTTACCGACCTCTTTGGACTACAAGGCTTTGTAGCCATAGCCTACCTCGCATTCCTGTATGGATACGAGTACCGACGAAATGAGGAGCCAGTCTCCGAAGAAACTATCCCCGTCGAAGCCCCCAACCCGGAGGATAGACGACCGAACACACCCCCTCCCGACTACGTCGACGATAGACCTACCATCCACTTCATCTTCATCACAGACGACGAGTGGATCACAGAAGACCCCGACACAAGCGAGTCCAGTGAGTCCAACCCCGAGATGGAAGGATGGCCCGCACAAAGAGGCCCAGTCGTTGAAGAAGAAGAAGAGCGAGGAATCTACGAACAAGGGCTGGACCAGCGTGTTCTCTCTCCCATTACCGAGGAAGAAGACGAAGGGGAAGATGAAGGAGATGATCCCTGGAACGCCCCTTCCCCCACCTCAACCGAAAACTCAGCCGCCAACCCTGGATATGATTCATACGGACAACGCCTCTATCAAAGAGGGCTTAGACATCATCTGGGAGAAAGAGGAGAGGCTGAAGATGGAACTGGAAGCAGTTCAGATGAGGAGAGCAGCAATACAGAAGAAGACAGTGACAGCGACGAGCTCCCAGGGCCGCGCAACAACTGGTCCCCTCCCCGCCTTGACTCACGAGGAGAAACGTGGGGCTACCACTACACCCGCAGTGACTCCTCAGACGATGAAGGAAGCTACCTTCAGCTCGTCACGCGTCCCAACACCCCAATCATCATCAACGATAGGGCCGGGGAGGCCACTACCGAGCTCGACCAATGCGAGCCCACATACGACGCCGACGCCAGCTGCGATGTATGCAGACAAGTACAGGACTACGCCGACGCATGGAGGATGTACGAGGGAATCGAACCCCCCGCCTCCGTCGTCCCATATGCCATCTACCCACTCGCGGCCGAACACCCCCTTGCAGCCCCCGTTCCCTTCATCGCACCCTGGGTATGGGATCGACCCCGAAGACCCGACTTCGATCAAGTCATCCTCAGGGTCAATGAGTGGGCCCGAATCATCAGAAACTGGAACCGTATCGTCACAGGAAGCACGGAGCCTTTCGAGCGAGTCCGACCCATCGGACTTAGAAGAAGGCGAAATTTACGAGAACCCTGGAATAGGGCGGACTTCGATTTACAGCAGCAGCACAGGAGCGGAGAGTATGGAGAGGAGGATATTATCCCCGAATTCGTGGAAGGATCTAGCTCGGGAACCTACTGAGGCCGAGCTAGAAAATATGACTTATTTGGAAATGCTGCGATGGATTGAAGAAAAGTTGCCACGAGAACTGTCGTGGAATAGCTCCCCGCAGGGAAGGTACTTCCAGAAGGAGAAAGATTCGCAGATTGGGGCACAAGTAATCTACCGGGAAACCGTGTACCACACCAACGTACTGTGGAGCCAAGTACACCCGGATGACTACACGGACCCCGGGGAGCGATACCCAGTGCCAACACCATCGGAAACGAGCGAAAGCACGGTGGACTTAAGCCACTTATCGATTCTCAGAAGGACAGGGTACGTGGACCCTAGCCGACTATTCGCCGCGGCAGGGACACCAGGAAGCGCGGGGGCAAACGCTGCGGCCGCAGCAGCCGCACAGGCAGTACCCGCACCCGCACCTCAAGGACCCCTTTCCCCACATCACAACCCTGCATTACGATCGCTACCACGACCGGCGGCAATCCCCATCCCCGCCGATCCAGTACAACCACTGAACACGCCTCCACCCTTTATCGTAGGAGTAGCCAACACGAACCCATGGGGACAAGTAAAGCCGCAACTCGCGGATCCCCCCGAAAAGTTTAAAGGGGAATCCAGCGACGTAGACCGATTCCTCAACCAATGCGAGGACTACTTCAACGTATTCCCGCAACAATTCACGATGAACGCACAGGGGCAAAGCCCTAATAGGGTAGTGTTCTGCACGTTCTGCCTCGCCGACAAAGCACTGCACTGGTGGAATCACGCCAGGGACGAGTACTATGATGAAACATGCGGATACCTGAGATATCCCGCGTGGCATGTTTTCAAACAAATCATAGAAGATCAGTTCAGAACAGATGCGGAAGTAGAACTCAAGCTACAGGAGTTCAAACGCCTTCGACAAAATACGTACAAATCAGCGAAAGAGTTCTTCCGTGACTTCGAACGATTGGCCAAAGAATCCGGAAAACGCCACAATGAGGAATACATGATCGAAATCCTCAAACCGGCTATCCGGAAAAATGTAAAGACCGCAATACACGCCACCGGGACTGCGTTACCACGAACCTATGTGGAATGGAAGTTCCGCGTAGAACAAATGGACTACAACTACCGAGTGGGACTAGCGGAAGATGCCGGCAGGAATCAAGGGACTCAGGGACAGCAGAACAAGGGAACGGGAAAAGCCGGAAACTCCGGGACTTCCCAAGGTGATAAGAAGACGGGAACGGGTACCACGTACGGGGGTCAAGGGCAACCGATGGAAATAGACCGACTGCGGAAGGAAGGACGATGCTTCCGCTGCGGTCACAAAGGCCATCGAAAGCAAGACAACAAGTGCCCTAAGGATGAAAGTACCTGGCTCGTCAAGCATCAGCCCAAGTTTTCGCGCGCCCAAATCCGCGCAATGTATCAGCAAGTATTGAAGGAAGAAGAAGGGGAAGCCTCCACGTCAAAGGTCGAGGAGGTAAAAGACGAGCCGGCGGCGTAAGCGACAAACGCGCGTCGGCAAAGGACACAATTTCATTTAGTGGTGCGTCACAGAATCCCGCAGGTCGGACTAACGTACCGCATGTAGTATCTCGAGGCAATGACACATCTTTCACGCTATCACAAAATGAAATTACAAAGTCGCATAAAAGGGAGAACGGTGTACAGGGGATTTCCACCGTGCTCGAAGAAGAACCCCACTCAAGCTCCTCGGCCACCGGTGCGAAAGCACAAGCAGCGTATGCTGCGCAAGGCGGCGGGACACTCGGGATCAAGGTCAACATCGCCCCGTGGAGGGTAGGTAACGGCGCAGAAAACGGAGGAAGAGCGGCCGAGCCAGTAGTGGGCGAAGGCACCTCCAGGCGGGAGAGGAACGATGCAGGGCCTCGCCCGAAGGCGGAACGTACGCACCTGCCCTATGTGGCCAACTACCCCGACCAAACGGAGCCGCAAAAGGGAACGCGAATCCCCAGCCAGAAACCCGCTGCCCCGCAAATAACAGTCCAGACGCCCGGGGACATCATTTATCCTCCACCACTCACGGTACGTCTTCCCCCTTCGTCACTAACACATAATGGCACCGGGGGCTCGTGTTCCCCGGTGGGCGGGTCGGTGGGACCATTATGTGATTCTCCTATTTGCAATAAAAAAAATGTTTCTATCGAAGAAGTACCCGATGAGGAAGACGACTACAGTTACCAACAAAGCCTAAAGACAAAAGGGGAAGACCCGGTGATCCACACCGAGGAGTACCCAGAAGACTATGAAGTAACCGAGTTAGAGGAAGAATACTACGACGATAAATGGGACAAGGGGTGGCTCAAACCCCACAGCGCGGAGTGGGTGAGAAGAAAAATGAGGCAAGAAAAGACCATGGACGGGAGGCTAGCTACCCTTCGCATGTGGGTGCACCCCAGGCGATTGATCGAAGTGGATGAGGATCTTGTACTAGACCTCATCGGCTCCTCCAAGGAAAGCTACCGTCAACGGGAGCAGTGCTTACAGAACATGGAGGACTTGCGCACTCCCCCCCAATACATACGAGGAGGAAGAGGAAGGAGCACAAACATCCGCGTACAGCTTGAAACCCTAGACACAGGGCAAGTACGAGCAGTTGATGCTCTAGTAGACAGCGGATGCACCGGAAGCTGCATAAACAGAACGTTCGTACAGGAGAACGGGATGAACACTCTAAAATTGTCCAAAGCACAGGCCGTATACAATGCGGATGGTAGCCGAAATAAGGGAGGAGACATCACCGAGGTCGTCGAACTTCGAATGACGATTGGAGACCACCATGAAAAGATTGACCTTGCCGTCGTGGACTTAGGAAACGTACCCCTATTCCTTGGACACGACTGGCTCAAGCGTCATAATCCAATCATTGACTGGAAAACCGGAGCCGTAACGCTAGCCCGATGTTCCTGCCGCAAAATACCATTCCTATTACCTGACGAAGACCCAGAGCAAAGCTGGGGAACAGAAGTGGAGGAAGGAGACACTATCCTCATAGTGGACTTTGAAGAAGCCTTCCAAGTGCGGGCCATGGGGAGCAAGGCCAATGAATTAGCCGCCAAAGCGAACCAAAGAAAGGAAACGAAAACGTTTGAGGAAATAGTCCCCGAAGCATACCGGGACTTCAAAGACGTCTTCGACAAAGAAAACTTTGACGAACTACCCCCTCGAAAACCATGGGACCATGCTATAGAACTTGTTCCCAACGCACAAGCCAGTCTAGACTGCAAGGTATATCCCCTGAACCCCACGGAACAGGAAGAGCTAGACAAATTCCTAGACGAAAATCTAGAGTCAGGAAGGATTCGACCCTCCAAATCTCCCATGGCGTCACCATTCTTCTTTGTCAAAAAGAAGGATGGAAAGCTTCGACCGGTACAGGATTACCGAAAGCTGAACGAGCTAACCATAAAAAACCGATACCCTCTCCCCTTGATCGGGGAATTAATGGACCAGCTCAAGGACGCTAAATACTTCACCAAGTTGGACGTGAGATGGGGGTACAACAATGTACGCATCAAGGATGGGGATGAGTGGAAGGCAGCCTTCCGAACCAATCGAGGACTGTTCGAACCCATGGTAATGTTTTTCGGGCTCACAAATTCCCCGGCAACATTCCAATGGATGATGAACGACTTGTTCAAGGAGCAAATCGCCCGAGGGGACGTTACCGTATACCTGGACGACATCTTAATCTGCACGAAAGACAAAGACAGACACCAGGCCGTTGTGCGAGAAGTCCTAAACATCCTCCGTACCAATAACCTATTCCTGAAGGCGGAGAAATGCGAATTTGAGGTACTAGAGACCGAGTACCTTGGGGTGATCATTAGTCAAGGATCAATTCGCATGGACCCCGTAAAGGTAAAAGGAATCACGGAGTGGCCGCAACCTACCAAGAAGCGAGAATTACAATCCTTCTTAGGGTTCACCAACTTCTATCAACGGTTCATCCAAGATTACAGCAAGCACGTGAGACTGTTAACCCAGCTCACCGGGAAGACAGAATGGACATGGGGAACTGCACAAGAAAGAGCTTTTCAGGAGATAAAAAGGAAACTGGCCGAAGAAGTAGTATTGGCGATACCAAACCGTACCGGAAAGTATCGCGTAGAGGCAGATGCGAGCGAAGGAGCTATAGGAGCGGTACTATCCCAGGAACAAGAAGGAAAATGGAGGCCAGTAGCATTCCTGTCCAAAGCCCTGACGGTAACGGAACGCAACTACGAAATCTACGACAAAGAACTTTTGGCCATCATGTTGGCCCTTGAAGACTGGAGACACTACCTAATGGGCGCCTACCAAGAGTTTGAGATCTGGACGGATCACCAAAACCTGCAATATTTCCGTAAACCCCAAAAGCTCAATAGAAGACAAGCGCGATGGGTGACGGAACTAGCGGAATATCACTTCACGCTACATCACAAACCAGGAACGGCAAACAAAAAGGCAGACCTATTATCCAGAAGAGCAGATCACAACCAAGGGGGAGAGGACAACCGGGAAGTAGTGATGCTGAAACCGGAGATGTTCCGAGCATTGGTCATGCCAGGAGAAGAGGAGATCCATAAACGCCTTCGAACGGCGTTAAGAGACATAACAAGGTGGGATAAAGGGATTGAAGCGTCACTTCACCACCCCAGGGGAGTAACGCAGAAAGACGGGCTGATGTACTATGATGGGCGATTATATGTGCCTCGGGACGCCAAACTATGAGGAGAATTGATCGCCATCCATCATGACCATATCACCGCCGGACACCCTGGGATCGAGAAAACCAAGGAGTTGGTACAACGGGAATATTGGTGGCCGAAGCTCAAAAACGACGTAGAAAAATATGTAAAAGGTTGCGAGGCTTGCCAGCGCACCAAAACCAGCACGCAGCGAAAGAAAGCCCCCCTCCATCCTCATGCAGTACCGTCTCGACCATGGGAGCACATCACAGTCGACATGATAGGCGAACTACCAGACTCCAACGGATACAACGCCATTCTCATGATCGTAGATCGCTTCTCGAAGGAAGTAATCCCAGTACCATGCTCTACTGAGCTAACCTCAAAAGGATGGGCCAAGATCCTTAGAGACCATGTATGGGCAAAGCATGGAATGCCGCAGAAGGTGATTTCCGACAGAGGACCACAATTCGTATCAAAATTCATGAAGGAATTATACGAAATGCTCCACATCCAAGGAAACCCTTCTACGGCATATCATCCCCAGACGGACGGACAAACCGAACGAGCAAACCAAGAAATCGAAAAGTATCTCCGCATTTTTATCAATCATCGACAAAATGACTGGAGTGAATGGTTACCACTCGCCGCGTTCCAGCACAATAATCGGAAACACTCGGCAACTGGTTATTCCCCGTTTGAAGTGAACCACGGACAAAAACCCCACCTTGCTCCGCTCACGATTAAAGAAGGAACCAACCCGGCGGCCAGAGAATTCGTAATGGATATACAAAAGGTACATGAGCAGACGGCAAAGGCATTAGAAAAAGCCGCCGAAAGCATGAAGAGGCAATACGACAAGCACCAACAAGCGGCGATAGAATACCAGCCAGGAGACAAAGTATGGCTGGACTCTACACACCTATCCCTTCCTCGACCAATGAAGAAGCTGGGCGACAAGCGCGTTGGACCTTTTGAGGTGATCTCCAAGCATGGGGCGTCAGCATACAAACTGCGACTACCCACCTCTTGGAAGATCCATGATCGCTTCAACGAAGTCCTTTTGACCCCGTACCACCCGCCGGAATTCCCAATCCAAATACAACCCCTACCACCGCCGCCAGATCTCATAGATGGACAAGAACAGTATGAAGTGGAGGAAATCGTAGACCGAAGAGAAAGAGGTGGAGGAAAAAGAAGGAGGAGACGCGGAACCGGAATCGAATACCTTGTAAAGTGGAAAGGATATCCACGAGAAGAAAACTCCTGGGTAGATGAACAGGACCTGGACAATGCCAGAGACGCAATCGAAGACTTCGAGCAAGTCTCCTTCATCACCAGACCCCCAGCAGAGTGGTGGAAAGACGAAGACGAATCTGATTCCTGGTCCGAGCACGAATCAGTAACGGAGTCAGAAACCAATCACCCATTGGTACAGGCCATTCAAGAATACATGGTAAAACCCAATGCACCATCTCTCGTAGGAGCCTATCTTCCGAAACCAAGCTATGTTGCAGTCGGGACGACTGCCTTAACAGGGGGGTAATATTACGATTTCACGCCTTATCTTATCTTATCGGCTCCATCGTAATCCTGCTATGCTAATTCTCCGGACTTGATCGCATTCACCATGTGGGTATCGTGTGTTTAACGCACCGTTGCAGACACTTGTAGTATATTTAGCACGACCCAAACTGTATTTAAGTAGCTCGACTGCAGGTCTTAAACCTCAGTCTCGAACTAAAGTTTATTCACCCGATAACTTAGTCTGAACTCACTCTCGCTCCACTAAGCGATAGCTCCCTTAGAGCAAACCTGCGGACAACATAAAGCGCCTGACCGAAGTGCGAGTCACGCTTAGTTGTTTGATCTTGTTTGTGAAATCGGTCGCTAACAACTACGCTATGAAGGTCAAAACATTGGTGCGTTTCTCCTTGATTTAAAGAATTTCTCCGAGTTCACAATCAAATAGGGAACCTCTTCAATATAAACAACGGCGTACGCTCTGATTCAATTCTAGATCATTGCTGTCCAGAACCTGAACATATTTCCAGACTACTGGCAACATTGTCGTCATGAGCTATAACAGTTGCCTATCCTTCTTTGCCAATAAAATCAACGGAGTTATGCAGTACTGTCGTAATGATTGGGTATGATGGCAGATCTTTGTTTGATGTTGTCCGTTAACTCACTGCTTTCTTTCTCTGCCATAGGCATCTGTCATTGACTGGGTTGCTCCGAACTGCCAGTCTACCCAGAATGCGCATGGTGGAGACTGCCTCGCTAGCGATGGAAGGTGGTTTATCCAGTGAGTTGTTCCATGGCTACTATAGCAGACGTGTTCTTTAATCGAGTGTGAATTTCACTTCAGGGTCCAGCATTCTTAAAACAGTCGGCCATCTGACCGTTTAGGATGAAAGTAGCAATACAAGGACAACCAGTTTCATTTATTAAATGAAAGAATTGCAGGTACTTGGACATATGTAGTACCACTTCGTCTCTCCCGTTACCAATTAGCAACCAATGTGTTTAAACTACATTTCTTATCCTTGCTTTCCCCCAGAACTATCAGGCTGTCAGCAGCAATGTCTCGCACTCTTTGACGAGCTTGACTAACTAATTTGGGTGGGTGGGTGGGTAGGTAGGGGACTGCGCCGATTAAACCTACCGGGCATCAGCGTCGCCCTAGAAGAGATAAGTTATAACACCCAGACCCTATCCTAACCTGCCACATGTTTAGAGAGAGGTTAGCGCGGGAGATGAGTCAAAGACAAAGAAGAGGACTTCCTCAAAGCGCATTAGGTGGGATAGAAGCACATGCAACCAGAGCTTTACTATCTGCAAACACGTCAACGATGTATAAGTCGGATGGAAACAGGGATACGAGAAAAGGCGGATTCAGAAAGTCTCAGTGCTAGGCAGCCCAGAGTAAAAGGAGACATTGTACTGCCTGTTGCTTTGAAGTCATTTCATACGACATCCCTTCCGACTATTCTTGTTTTCTTTCTGGCTTGCTAGCTGGCTAAAATGCAAAACATTACCAGCGGTGTCCTTGTTCTCTTGGTGAGGGCCATTTTTCATCGCAGTTATTGGAGAGATGAGAATACGAATGTATGAGGAAGGCGCCGCCACTTACTTGTCTTCCACTTCAGGCCAGAGACTTGGCTCTCCACGGCTTCTTCCTCGTGCGCTGATATTTCGGCTTTTGTTCCTCGTTTTGGTACAGGTTCGGGAAGGCATAATGAAGGGCGAGGATCAGCTGTAGGATAGAGATCGCTGTCAAATGGCGAGTAGTCATATAGTTTGCGCACTGTGATGGTAGTGGTAAGTAAAGGAAAGGCAGCTGACTGCCTTGTTGAATTTGGAAGTACCAATGCCGTTTGACAACACGTCAGCTCCTCTCCAATGAGCCCGCCTTGTTGATGCTGTGATCTGGAAATTGAATTGAGACTGGATTCTTTTCCAAACAGTCGAACGCACTGGGATTTCATCGACCAAGACATCCACGATTCCGTACCCTGATAGCGAATAAATGCTGTATACTTGGTTACTTGACAGGATTTTGAACACATAGAAATGGCGATTTCGATGTCTAGGAGCCCTGGGGATGGCGCTGAGCAACGTCGCACACAACGATAGAGCCAAAGACCGTACCTGAGAAACCAGAGCGTCTTTCACGGCAACGAGCATTGTTGAAATTTCCCACAAAGTTTCTTCAGCGCTATTTGTACTTCTCTTGCGAGCTACCCGCGCGAGTAACGTCGGTGCAAAGGGAGCAGATCCTGGGTATGCGACAATGAGCGACGGGTCGTGCAACCATGAAATCCAAAACGTACCTGCGCCTCATAGTTTTCTCCTCAGGATCTCGGGCCATATATTTTCCACCATTCTGCGGTCATCCAGTATCATTGTCGCGTGAGTCTGCCATCATCGTGGTTATCGTCGGCGGGTTCGTGACCGGCTAAGTCCTAGAAGTTGCATATATGCCAAGTCTCTCCCCGCAGGACCTTTGGCCGTTTAGAATGCACGGCCCTGCAGGTGATGCGGCAAGCTCGATGAAATACGAACGTGTTGGCGTTGGCGGAGCTGATAGTAGTACGAAGCAGAAAAGGAAATCGGCTGAATTTCAAAATCGCACCTGCCTCCTCTCATGTCTGTTTGTCGCTTCCTAGACCAACACAAAAGTGATTGGGTAATATACGTACAACTACTGAAAAATACTTGAAGTCCTGAGTACGTGTCGTTATCCTTTGTTGAGCAAGCCGTCACGCCTTTTCTTACCTAGGATCTTCACTGTATTATCCCAGAAAAATATCACTGCTTTCCAATGAACATCAAGCGAGAACTTAAGGGTTTCCTTCAGAACTCTGCGCCATTATCTATCGCCAGCACGGGTAAAAATTTCGTTGACGCCCTAGAAGGCTTACCCGATCTTACTTTGCCTCAGATCGACCCAGCCAGTGGGCCAAAAATCAAAACTATTAGATCGAGGTCATAATATACAAGCATAAGTACGTGTTCGGACCTCCAAGCGTGCCTCACAGTGTACTTCGTTCTCCTTCGGAACACGGCGGGTTCCCTCCTTTGAGGAAGGCACCAGTTCCCATGCACGGCCGTGATGCGCCGACGCTGGCCGTCGATTAGCTAGCTGTAGCCTCGACCTGGTGATTTACGATGAGACACCCTTCGTGGGCAAAGTCATCTACCCTTGACGCATGGGTGTGTGCGCTTGGTAACGAACAAAGGATTTTTTTGGACTAAGATACAGTGAGGTAATTTCTTTTCAGCATCGATGCTTCTTGTCGTCGTAGCTGTTACCCATTAGCCTTCGTGGAGGTGTGTGGACGTTTCAACTCACTCTTATTACTTATCTTATGTTTTTGATTCGAAACAAGCGCCTTCGTGTGTCGTCATACCCTCGGACAATACCCACAATTGTGTTTGGGATTAGATATCCCTAAAGCACGCGTCAATGCATTGTTAGGATCAAACTTTCTGTCCATGGTGCACACCGACTGCATTTTCTTTTCCAATGACTCCGAAACAAAATCTGATTCAAAAAACCGGGCTCTCTGGGCTTTATGATATTTCGTTCTCAATTCTTTGTGAGACTTTCTCTTCGCTGCTTGTAATTATAGCATCGCTTATCGTGTTTCACAGGTGAACGCATCTACCATGTACGCAACGTCTTCGCCTGTGCGACCAACACGCCATTCTGTTCGAATCAATTGACTGATGAACCGCAACGCATTTTATTACTGCACAGTAGGCGCTATACGAAGCCTCATTGTTGATACCTTTAGGAAAGAAAAATAAGCGCCTCGCATCGTGATCGTCATGCTGGCCATAAGAACCCTCGAGCATGCCTCAGTTTGCTCCCTCCAACCACCACTACGAGATGTCGCTTTTTTCGAGTCCTACGCATCGAGGCACGACCGACGGGACTAGCGATGTGAATGGCAGCACAAACACTCTTGCGGGCACTCCACCAACAGACTCCCCGCCACCAGCCAGAGCCAGCACTGCTGTCCCCATCAACCAGACAGAATACGCTAGGAGATGTCGGGAGGTTATGGAGTTGTATCGCGCTCTTCAAGCCCTAGGGTTCGTATTCGTTACCTCCTTTCGACCTATGCTCACATACGCATCTGCCGCGATGCAGTGCGGATAGGCTGTTCCCGACATTGCCAAAGATCATAGTTATTGGTGGCCAATCTAGCACGTTGTTCCTTGTTTATCAATACGAAAGCCACAGCTGGAAAGAGCTCGTTGGTAGAAGCCGTCTCCGGAGTACGCACACGTCTTTCACTCGTCTGCCACGTTTTCTCATCATCATCTAGATCAATGTTCCCCCAGACAGTGGGACCTGTACCAGGTAAATAAATACCAACCAAGCTTTTCTTGCGTGATCTCACTCCTTTGCAAGGTGTCCCATGGAATGCACGATGCTCAGTTCATCCCCGGTGTTTCTCACTCACTCCCGTTCCCCCACAATGGCCTGTAGTTCGAAAGGCTGCACCACCTTACTCCGCCTGAGAAACATCGGCCACCATTGCCTCAGAAGAGAGAGGATCTGTGAAGAGACCCGCAACCAGTTCCCTTACCGCGCCTTGTATTTTCATTTTAAAAGTATGTGTTCATTTCTGTATGTTCCCTACTGAAGAAACAATGATTGATAGTGCACGATATAATACAATATACTATCATACCGACATAAGAGACATCCTCTCTGTGCTCAAGTATAGCTCCAGATCGTCAGCACTCATAGTCACCTGTTTACTACCCCCTTCGAGGAACCGCTCCAACATCGATTCAATAACCTTTCCAGCACCACTAACATGTAAAACCTTGGCAAGGGAGTAATGGAATTGTATGAGCTTCCGGCTTGGTCGAAGGTCATCTGGACATCCTTCAAAGTCGATGACTTCAATATTGCGTTCGCGCATGATAGGTAGAGGGCTTCTGACAAAAGATTCAAAGTGGTATCGGTTGGGATGTCCTGTCTGATCAGTATGCACACGAGAATGATCATAAGATGACTCGCACGACTTACATCCGGACGCAACGAACCCCCGAATTCATCAAATTCTGTACGAAGAGTCCCATCCAGCGTGAGTCCATTGTAGACATAGTCAATATCCGTATCAAGTTCAGCGACTTGTTCCTCAGATAAAGCAATAAAATGGCGCAAAATGTCCCAGGTGACGTACTCTGCCGAAGATTTCTACGGTAAGTAATCATCAGTTAAAAATCTACTGCCGAACGAGCGGTGGCAAGTCTCACTTCAGTACGCTTTCCAGCGGCCACTACCCTCTTAAAGATATGACCGACTTCAATCGGGGTGCGTTCTTCCTCCGAATCCCGGGGAACTTTCTTCCTATCGATGATTTTTGTTACAACGCAGCGATAACCATCACGTTCTTTCACCTGCGAGCATGTATGTATATGAGCACGACATCGAGCGATGTCAATATGTGATACGCACCGCATCTTTGAACGACGGAGGCCGTGGCTCGAAATCGAGAGTCGGTGTAGCGAGATCAGCTGTATTCGCTTTGACTATCACTAATTAGCTTGTCAATAATGAACATTAGAAAGACGAGTGGCCACATACAAGGCCAGAAGAGGTACCGGACCCAAGTATTCACCAGTTCTATCAATCGTTCAAATTTATTCTCATCCTGCCCGGCGGTAACTATTGCACATGCGACATATCGACGTGGAGTGTGTTCGTCGTTGTCCCCAGCAGCATGAGCGAGCATTGCTTCCAACACGGCATCTGGCGGATATCTTTATCGACGGCGGAAGGCCTATCCATATTACGATCTATTCTTCCAGAGGTAAACGCTTCGCGGAGACTTGAGATATCTTGCTCTGCCTGAACTACGAACGTGCACGTCGCTGTTCTGCTGTATATTTTTTCAAGTATCGAATTGTTGAAGCTCTCAGAAAGAGTGTTGGCATCATCAGACATTGTGAAAGTAGTAGACCAAGAAGTGCTGCCAGAAAACTCGGTTCAGAGTCCGAAACGCGTCTTGCTTTCGCTCCACGGCGGCCCGCTACATGTCTAAATCCAGTTTTTCCAGTTTTCACATTGAATATCTTCCATCTACGAAATACTCATGTACCGGGCCAGTGAAGAGGACGGGACGTGCGGTCATATACCACACGCGCGCGGGTAAGAAATACATAAATGGTAGCAAGCTACTTACACATTATGCTTTCGGCTAGGAGTAGTATTGGAGAAAGCGAACCCTTCCATAGTAGTACGCCTGAATCAAAAGAGATCAGCACTGTCTAAGAAGAAAAATGCTAGATGTCTTCATGAGCGCGGCACCCTTGACGAGGCCTGAGGGAGAGAAAGAGAAAGAGAGATCATGCTTGCAGCTGGAACCTGAGGGGGCTTCGAGAAAAGTCCATTAAGTAAGGCTCGCACGACGCAAGCCTGCAACTTTGGGGACAAACGAAGGGAGGACTATGGCAGAATAATGATAAAAAAGGATGAGAGCTCGGCAGGACACTGCTCATTCCCTCCTCATGCCCAAGTTCAAACGACCGCCCCTCCCTCTTTTCTTGTCAAGATAGGACTTTTGTTTTCCTTCCTCCTCTCCCTCTTGCCAGGTTCCGTGGCGCACGTATCCTTATATGGAGGCATTTTTCCGCGCCAAACGCGTATTTTGCGGGGGGGGGGGGGACGATGAGGTGACGAGGGAGGATGCATATGGTTGGCGCTTTGGGGTTTTGAAGAGAAGGCCGACGTGTGCTCGGTCAGTACTAGTTTCTGCCACCTGCCCCAGAATTCATAGTCCCATCGATCGTTGATAGAATGCAGGAAAAGGAAAAGGAGAGAGGGTAGGAAGGTCACACTCGTGTGAGCCCCTCTCCTGTCTGTTGGGCGGGGGAACAGGGAGGAAGGCGCCGGTGACGTTGCCAAAGAATCTCCTTCCTGGCCTCAACCCTAAGGCTAAAGGGAGTTTAGACGCCCCACCTGGGGTTCCGTGAGATGAAAAGCGGCGGGGAGGCGTCGATATTGCGAACCTCCTCCATCCACAACTGCATTCCGGGGAGACGACGTATCGCTTGTCTAGGATCCAGAAAGACGCGATATGAGGAAAGGATAAGACGCATTATCATCGACGAGGAGTGCGGAGGTGTGTTGCTGGAAGCTGACAAATTGGTGGTGAGGCAGAACGGTAGGAAGGCTTCCATTCATACGCGGACGAACGAAAGCAAGGAGGGGGATATGTACTCTGCAGGGCGGGGGCCGCAGAGAAGAAGCATTGGTTTGGGAGGAGAAGGAGGAGGAGGGGCGGGAAGGCATCTAGGCAGTTGGTAGGCGACCGGGACCGGCTTAGAAGACGAAGTGGGAAGCATCTTCGCTCAGTGTGAGTTTCGGGTTTGGAAGAGGAGGCGAGAAGACTGAGGGGTGCGCAACTCCTCCTTCATCTGTGTTCTGATTCCGCGCTACGCTTGAATGGGGCGCCTCTTGGTGGGAGGGTAAGCTGTAAGAGCGAGGGAGCTCTGATGCCCATGTCCTCCAGAGGTGTGGCAAGTAGAGTTATCCTGCGCACTCGAAGGGTTGACGTGTTGACATGGCAAAGGATAGATGTACCGGTGAAGACTGGTTGTGGCTCTAGATTGAAAAAGGGAATGCACGATGTTTCTAGAGAAAAAGAGATCGTAAGCATAAAAAGGGATGCAAATGCAACAGTTGCAGAGGCTTCTTCAAGGACGAGGACGAACATTCCTCATATTTTGTGCAGAATTACCGGTGAAGTGCAAGAAATAGCGGATATATAATTGTATATATGAAGCTCTATAAATTAGTACCAACGAGACAATCGGGCAAAGTCCATTCCCTGTGGGAAATGAGTACACGTCGACGACAACAGCAAAGGTGACGTACCTCTACACCTCCTTCATAGGCAACTTTTCATGTTCCTTCTCCTCCTGCTCCAACTTTGCCTGACGAGCATTCACCGCACTGAGGTACGTATCTACTGACGTGTCAGCCACGAACCACGAATAAAAGATACCACTCACTCCAGAACAAACTAACAACACTGACCACCACGAAACGCATATGGTGCGGAACCAGAGCAAAGTTAATAATCTGGGTGGGTATAAAGACACCCCAATTGCGAAGGATGGTGGGGACGTATGCAGCCTGGATACGCGGGTACGCTTCGTGTGGGACGCCCTCCAAGACGGACATGCACGTGAAGAACGCACCCACGGCGAATGGGGTGAGGACTGCCTGGTCGAGCCATACGCGGTAGACGATGGCGCGGGTGGGAGAGGCGAACTGGATACGGTTGAGGAACTGGTACCACCATGTCATCACTGGACCGAAGAGGGCGCCGCCGTAGAATGTTAGTCGGGCTGTGCGGATGAACTATGTGGGTGTGAGTTGGGAAGAGGGAGGAGTGAAGAGACACGCACGTCATGTCGCCTGAGGCCTCTCTTCTCGATGGCCTGTTGTGCGATAATGTCGCCCGTGCCAAACAGGATGGCTGCAGTGCCGCACTGGGCAAGCATTGGCCGACGGATGAGGAGCGCGCTGTCATTGGCTTAGTGGGTAGTTGTAGAGAGATGGAAGACGACAGACTTGTACGCGCGGAAGAGAGATGCCATGAAGGAGAGAAGCAAGCGGGGCCCCACAGGCGCCACCAAGATAGGGCCGGTATTTCTCCGACGCCAGCCCTGAATATCTTTTCGCGTCTTGTACGGGAGCAGTCTTCGAACCGGCTTACGCAAGAGCTACGAGACGCGTCTGCGTCTCTCTCCTTTCCACACTGACAATGAAAAGGTCCTGGAATCTCACGCAGACCGAACATCAATGCATCATGACATACATCGATTAAGTCGCGTCAAGCCTCCTCATTTTCCACTCTGCTCTTCGTACCTTGCCCATGAAAGGATCCTCCCTGGTCACACCTCGCTACAAGTCCCCCACCGCACCTTGTATTTTGAGGGATACGTCAGCGCGGAGCAGATGTAAAGGTGTGATGATCGCGTCTCCTCATTCTGCATTTGAAACTACACACCAAGACATCCTTCTCGCCAGATGCGTAGACCACCACAACCCCTTGGCTCCGGGTGGGTAGGGGGTAGGAAGGACAACCGGTCACCTAAACCCGCGTCGCGTCGTTATCGATCTACCCTCTCTCTTCCCTGCACCGTCACTCACCCCTTTCCAGGAGCGGGCTCCGGCGAATATAGAACCCACCAACAAAGGAGGTACCTGTTTACGCCAGAGATTTGCCCTTCCCTCCTCAGCAGCTGCAGGTGTTGGTGTTGGTGTTGGCAGGCAATTCGAATTTCGCGCATGCGTCACCCCTTTACGGCCATGTCGACACACTCTCCAGTACACCTGCTCTGGCTCCCTGTTGAAGATCGCTCCCCACAATGGAGCGTGCACCTATCAAATCCCGCGCTTCAGACGAGTAACTTGAAGTCCTCCTCCAGAGAAACCCCGGCCCCCTGTCGAGAAAGGGATCCTCACTCCCAGTTCATTGGTTTTGGGAGATATGACCAAGTTGTTATTGAAATGCGAGATGTTGTTTACTTGCGAGTAGGCGTTGACGGGTCGACTCGGCCATGAATATCATGACCCCCCGACCCCCACTGGTTGGGGGCATGATTCAATGGACCCCCTCGGCCTTTAACGCTTTCTTACACCAATCAGAACGCTGCATCTCACACTAGCTTCCAAAATAACTTTGCGTTCAATGGATTTCTATACCAGTACTTGCCTCGTGGCTCTCCACTTACATAGCATGTTGGGGACTTTCCGTGCTCGCTATAGAGTCAAGTCCTCGGCCTTAACGACACTTTCTCGATGGACTCGATACATGGCTGTGCAAGTCCCAGTCAGCTCGGCGCTCATATAAAGTCAGCCCGAGTTTATAAAGTGAGTAAGTACTATCTCTGGTGTCTTCCATCTTCTGACCTCGTGTTGCATCCCTTCCAATCGCCCCTACACAATGTGTCGCCGTCGCCAGTGAGCAAGTCCTCTCCGCCGCACCGACATCTACTCTCACAGGTATAGAGTACGGAATGTCTACCTCCAATGTGGTCATATCGTCAACCTCGTATGACATTACTATTCCAATATACGGACTAATCACTGTTAACTTAGCCTGATAAAATCGTATGACAAATTCTCCCTCATCTCATACTTGTTTTTCACATCCTTTCTTACTAGATCCGCCGCGAAGAGTCCAACTGCAAGTTTAGTCCATTCCACCCTGCGAACTGCAAACCCCCAGTTTGTCTGCGTACCTGCTGGCAATAGTACGTACTTTATATACTACTCAGCCTGAGGCCTTGAATCACCATCCTCCTACTTATTCCAGCCTCCGATATCCGGAACAGTATTGTATGCCTCGCAATTTCCCGTTCTTTCATGCTTTGAATGTTCATGATAGCCCCCCCACATCAGAGGGTATTGCCCCTCCTGCTACCGATACCAGGACGTTAATAAACGATGGCCCCGGGTCGGGCGTTATTAAAACATGATCTGCAGGGGTGCGGACGATTATTGATGTCCCTGATCTCTGGTGTGCACCGTACCGTGTGATGATGAACATTCAAAAAAGTCTCTACGTCGTGTAATATGATGATGAATGAGAACCCTCAAAGTACTAAAGTTTCTCAGCCCCAATGAATTGGAGGTCTAAACGCTCGAGTTTCTTGTCTTAATATTAACAATTTTAACAGCGGACCCGAACAGGTCTTCACTACAATGGCTGAAGGAAACAGAAGCGGTAAATCCGCCACTACGATATAATTTGTCGCGTATTTGAGAATGAAAAAAAAAGAGATCCGAACGTTGGGGGGAGTCCCAAGTTTCTCCTCACACCAGTTGCTTCAACTTTTTCCACGCAGGCGAGATACCGAGCTGAGTCTGTCGCGGATAAACTGGATTTGCTGGGGTACCGACTTTGATACGATATCGTGAGAGATGCGAAACATGTACGTCTCGCGTCCTCAGATCTCAGAGTCGAATCCTTGAACAACACCGACATAGTAAGGTACCTCTACTTTTCGATACCGGCAACATCACAAAGACTACCGCTTCCTCTTCTTCTTCTTACCCTCCCCAGGAGCAGACCTAATAGCCTCCATAATCCGATCATCCAACACACCCGCATGCTTTTCTCGCTTCACCTTGTCTCCCTCCAAAGCGCCCTTCTTCCTCACCTTCTTGAACACCATCTCTATCTCATCTACTTCCTCCTCCTTCACTCGTTTTCGTTTCTGCTTCGTCTCCTCTTCTACCTTGACCTCTTTCACAGCAGGTTCCTTCTCCTCCTCCTCCTCTACCCCGACCTCCTCCTCCGTCTCCTTCTTCTCCTTCCTTGCCTTCCCAACCAAATCCCTCCACTCCCCCGGCCTCTTCTTCAAAGTATACAAATTCAACGCCCTAACAAAAAACCTCCCATAAAACGACACAGCCAGACTCTGCTCGTAATCCATCACGCTCCGCGCGATCTTTTCCTGCCAGCCACCACCACAAAATCAAACCCACATCCCAGACCAAAAACACGCTCAACGCACCTTCATATACGTATCACTCCACCCCCAACACCTCTCCCCCACCCGACTCCCGATCCTGCCATCTACCAGTTCATGGAAATGCCCTAGGAACCCCAGGACGAGCCGGCGCTTGGCTTTATGTGGGACGGTGGGAGAGTCGAGGAATACGTCGAGGACGCGGGAGGAGATGGGGTGTTGGGCGAGGGGTACGAGTGATGTTATGGGGAGGGATAGGATGCTGAAAAAGAAAAGTTTGGCAAGTCAAACAAGCAGGAGGGCGCTGCTAACTAACCTCTCTATGATACCGGCGTTGTACGGATCCTTGAGACGCAGCATGGACTGCAATAACAGTGCTCCTTGGACGTTTGGCTCCGGAGGCGTACTTGCAGACTTGTAATCCTAGGAATTCCACTCCACACATCAGCATGGTCCAATCCAACCAGCCAGGAACAAACAAACAAACCTCAATCGTCTTCAGACTCATCACAGCCCTAACCAACACCTCCGCTTCATCCATCTCCTCCTCCCCGCACCCAAATGCACCCTTCAACGCCTCCCAAAAAACGTCCTCCCCACGTCCTCCAACCTCCACCATAGCTTTAACAACCCCCATCCTACCCAGCTTCACCGCCCTCCACCACCACCCCGTCCCCAAACCACCAAGCTGCTCGGCATTCGCCCTACTCACGGCTCGAGCAAGCACGTAATTCGACACCACGTGCGTCGCGAGCCGCTCGACGCCGCCGTTCTCCGGGCACAGGTACGTACCCCAGAGAACGTCAAATACCGGTTGAGGAGCTTGGGTGACGATGGTTTCGAGTAGGTGGGACGAGGTGGCGTCTCGTAGGAGAGTGTGGATGTAGTCTGACTCGGTGGTGGGCGTCGAAGAGTTCACTATCACGGTGATTATATGAGCATGCCCCCAGATGCGTATGTAATAATAGCTACTTACGCGTTTGACCGACCATACCAACCAATACGCGGTCCATCAGGCTGCCGCTTTCGTTTGACATACCATGCTTGGCTTCAACTTGGATGAGAACCTATCATGAACATCAATATATGCCGGGAAACATGACCATCAAGACCCACATCAAGACCAGGACACGCAACTTTACTCCCCGCACACGCCCTTACCTCATTATCACTCATACCCTCTCTGAACGCCCCTACGATTTTCCTCGCCGCCCCATCGAAGCTCCTTGGCCTCTCCCTCTTCCCGTCCTCCCTTTTTTCCGACTTGAAGAGACTATGCATCTCGCCTTGCTTGCCTTTCCAGCTTTTACTGCGCTTGGAGGTCTGGGTTTGAGTTTGGGTGTTTGATGTGGGAGAGAGCAGGAGAGCGAGTGCGCGAACTATGTGTGAGCCAAAAGGGTCGTGGAGGAGCAGAGGCAGGACGGGGAGAAGTTCCTGTTCGCACGGCTATAAGTAAGATTGGTCGGTCTGGACGTGATGAGAAACGTACATCGCATAAATCCAGTACGAGTTCGGTCATCGTTGGGAGATGTCCCATTTTAGAGTCACCTTGTGGTGTTTCCGGTAGTATACCTTTAGTCTGCATAGAATCATTCAGCCATTATTTTCGGCAAAAGACTCGATGAACCTCACCTCCCTCGAAACAGTCTCCCCAGAAACCTCGAGAAGGGTCTGACAGACATGCGATGCGAACCGATGACGAGCGAGTATTTCATACCTTCACAACCAATCCAGCCTCATCAGCGAAACTAAACAGAAAACCAAATCACTCACGACCCCGTCAAACTATCCAAAAACACCCTCCTAGCAAAATCATCCATCGAATGCACCATCCTCTCCAGTACCACCGAACACTCCGGGTCAGTCGCGAGTTGTTTTTCTTTCCCTGTCATCTCCGTGAGGGCAGCGAGGAAGAACGTGTGTTTTTCTCATATAAAAAATCAGCCTTTATTTTCTCCTTCCTTTCCTTACTGCACACTCACCACCATCATCCACCTCCACCTCCCTATCCTGCCACTGCCGCATCTGCACGTCCACAGTCCGGAAATACGCCTTGACGTCCGCGTCGAGGTACCCAAAAGGTACTTCCGAGTCCTCTTGTTGGGGATTCGCAGCGGGGACGATCCATGACGGTCCTGCTTCGGGCTCTGGTTCGACTTGGTCTGTGGTATGTTGTTTCTCGTCGAATTCCGGGTCCTGGATAGGCTTTTTATGCTTCTTGCCTCTTTTTCTGTTTTCGTGGGGCATGGCCGGAAAAAGGTATGAAAGTGCGTGCGTGGCTGTGCAACTCACGCCTTGATTTCCACAGAATACGAATGATTCCTTCTTATCACTTCTACCTGCCATAACGGAATACCAACGCGGCCTCGTCCGGAAAAAGTCGCGCAAGACCTTCTATTTCCAAGAGACTGACTTTCTCCTCCCAACGAAAGGCGCCGAACCCCCTCCCTCCCTCCCTCAACTCAAGCTGGATTCCCACGAAGGATCTCCTCCTGCCTCATCCGGAACAGACAGTAACCGCCGAGCGGAACGTAATCACCATCTTCTGAGGCTTCTTCCAACCCAGCCATTATACAAGTTACGCCTCCGAGTCCTGATGATGGTCCCCAAGAGCGAAGGGTAGATTCCGTGCAGCTGTTAGTAGGACATCTGTAAACCAACACGAAATATGAAGTGCAACTAAATGCTGTTCATGATCGCAGCGGTATGGGATCCGAGTCGGTGTCACTGGATCAACCTTGGCTTCAATGATCGAAACTAATACGGCCCGGAGCTGTCTTCATGCTAAAAAGCCCGCCTGCTTGGGTGGTGAGCCTACGCAACTGCTGGGAGGGGAGATTCGAACCCCTTGTGGCAGGACCCGGGATTTCTCCGACGCCGGCCCTGAATATGTTTTCGCGCCATACACGGGAGCAGTCTGAGCCTTCGAGCCGGCGTCATTTTCCCCCCCGGCGTGTTTCTTAGTAGACGCGTTCGCGTCTTCCTCCTTTTCGCAGTGATGACTCTCAAATGCATCGATGAGGTCATGTCAAGCCTTCCCATTTTTCATATTCTACCCTTCGTACCTCCCCGTCAATGGATTCTCTCTGGTCCCCCGTATTTGAGAATTTTGCTTTCATCGGATCACGGAGCCCACAACAATGGGTGTGCCTGTTTATGCAGTGGAATGGGATAGGAGGGAGAACAGGATGCAGTTGTGGTCTTTTCCTACTCCAAGACGCGCTAGTATCACCCTCATAAGAGCACCGTGACGCGTCATCCTGTTTGCGGACTCGCTCCCGTCCGCCTGCTCTGCGCCGCAGTTTGGCGCCATTGCCTCGGAGGAGAGAGAATCCGTGAAGAGCCTGCCACCAGTTGTCCTACCGCGCCTTGTATATACGTCAGTGCGGAGCATATGTAAAGGTGCAATGATCACGTCTCCTCATTCTACACTGGCTTATTCGATGTACAGCGCAACTACACATCAAGACACCCCTCTCGCCGAGTGCGTGTCCTGCATAGTTGTCGGCCTAGTACAAAGGAGAGCCGGTCACCTAAGCCCTTGCATACCACACTTGGCGCGTTGCGTTATCCATACACCTTCTCTCACCCCACCGACAAGGGAGGGAGACTTGTCTTTCCCTCCTCAGCATAAACTCGTCGACATCCTTCTGGTTCTCTCAACTTCGTCTTATGTACCCACAAGACACGCCAGTATTACTCTCGCAAGGAATACACCTACCTGACGCCCTGCGAGTATCGCCCTGCATGCGTTCACCCACCCCGCACGCGTCATCCCTTTACGGGCATGTCTCACTCGTTCCAGTACACCTTCTCTAGCCCGCGGTTGAAAAACGCTCCCCAGAATGGAGCGTGCACCTATCAAGCTTACGGTTCGTGCTGCAGACGACTGACTCAAGAGGTGTGGAGCCCCTTTTATCCAGGGAAGCGGAAGTCATCGAAGGAGAGGGGACCCATAAAGAGACTCAGCACCAGTTCATCTACAGTGCCTGGTTTTGGCGGTTACGAACAAGTTGTCTGCGCAGAGCAGATGTAAAGGTGCGACGCTCGTGTCTCCTCACTCTGCACTGATTGATTCGATGTACAGTGTCTACAGCCCAACTATACACGATGGACTGCCAGCTACAACCCAGCAACAGGTGTTTCGAACCCGATAGACTCATGTCACCGTTAAGCCTCTTCTCGTTCTCTCTATGGATCGACTCTCGAATCCTCCAAACCCTGCATTCCACAAACAAAGGAAGCGCCGGATGGTCACCTAAACCCTCGCATAACATGCCTTCGAGACCACACAGGCGCATGCCATTCGACGCGCCGCTATCAAATTCAGATCCTTCCTCTTCCGCCGCTCCAGACCACTCACTCGTTGCCCAATGGTATTCGACTCTCATCGGACCTCTCCCCCATAGCTCACCCTCGCATCCCTTTTGACATGATGCGACGCGTCATGCGATCCAGAAAGAAGGGAAGCACCAACTTATTGCGACGATGCTTTGAGGCGACACAGCACAGAGGCCGACGAAGACACGCCTCCGGGTTCAAATTTCCCTCTCCCATCTAAGCGATCCCTTTCGTTTTCTTTCTTCCACTCCCATTCTTTATGGTTCACCATGTACTAATCCCTGCTTTTGCAGAACGCGCTCTTCCTAGATTGTGGGAGTTGATGCAGAATTAGATCTCCATCGGATATGGTGTAACGGCTAACATTGCCGCCTCTCATAATGCTGATGTACGCGGCAGCTCGGGGTTCGATTCCCCGTATCCGAATTTGGGTCTGGAGGCGGAGGCATTTATTTTAGCTGGTCCAGCCCTCAGCAGGGCTATGAAGAACTTTTTAGTGTCGGAGCGTGTTAATGAATCATGCCAGACTCGATTTGGGTTTCGTAGGTTGGATCGCTGCAGCCTGCTTTCTCCAAGGAAAGTGGGAGTGAGGGGATGCACTAGTACTTCACCTCCTGTTGACTGTGTTCAGATTCCAGGTGCTACAGTCGGTTCATGGTATTGTCTGACGGGAGTCAACTGCATTCACATGCTTCGGCTTTTTTCTGTTGATGTAGGTCGCATTACCAATAGCAGGATATCATTTCCTTCCAAGTGTATGGCCGAAAGCTGTTAAATCCGTAACATCCACCAGCTATGCGCTCGCATAGAATAAGTACTAAACGATGGTTCCATCATCAAGCTCGGGTAATCGCAAGGCTGTGACTAGCGAGTAGTACCTCAGTCCAAGACACCCTGGAGATCTACTATACTGTATCCGGGGCAGACATTCGAGGATCCTGTCAATGACGTTTCCTGTGCCGCTTTGTTGGAGTACGTCTGCCACGCATGGAGGTATCGCGGGTCGGGCAGTGTACCCTCCTTGAAGGTGATGAATTCATTTATTGGGCCATACACGTACTCCGTACATCTCGACGGCATATTCGTTGGGGTTCTATGCACAGTGTAGATAAGTAATTGTGAGACAATGGTTCACTCACTGCCGTTGCCTTGAGCGACATCAAGAAATGGCTGAGGTTTGTGTACATGTTGAGTTCAAGGACGATAGTATTCCTGGGTTCGTCATATGGAACTCTGTCCCAGTCCAACTTGGGATTGATATAGTTCTGTATCATTTCTCGAGTGGTGGATCCGAAGAAATCGATCTGTGTGTTGGGTTGGGAGGTGTTGCCTTCTAGGACGGGTCTGTGGAGGATGTGAAAGACCGCAAGCAGGCTCGTCATCTCCGAGGAGAGCTTAGGGTACCCAGATTCTATCATGCCTGTTATAGGGCAATGATAGTTCTGTTGGCGTAACACCTAGGAAAGGATAGTAGTCAGTCCCTTACTACGAGTGACGAGCTTAAAGCGAACCTGCTGTCGTAAGTCATATAGATGCGATGGAAGTTCGTCCTTAGTTTCTCGAGCCACCTGGTAGGAGTACCAGTTCAGCGCCTTGACTATCAGTTGGGAGTTATGTAAGGTACAAGCGAAGGAGCAGAGGAAATAGGCAAGGCAGGTTGGCTGATGTTTTTGCAGGAGAGGCGACATAGCGCACAATCGAGACAGGATGGAGACAGCGCTTCTGCCAAAGGTAGAGAACCACTTCGGACTAGCGTTTCCATGCTCGGGTGACAGTCATGTGTCGTTGGTTGTTGATGGGATCTCAAACGGCTGATCCTCCTCCCCTTCATTCCAGCTATTGGAACGTCGCTATCTGGAGTATAGTGGAAGTAGTAGATTTCGGCCCCTCCTTTCCTAGAAAATAGAGTCATGGTCGTTGCAAGGATCATCTGGATATGGAAACTGTGAAACGCAAGTGTCTGAGATTCGGTAAGCATCCCTCCAGTGGGCGATTATGAGGTACGAAAAGAGGCCATTTTTCTTGTGCTGGAAAGACTGTTTTGCGAGCAATTGTAGATTTGCGGCCTTTTGCGCCTGCAATGAAAGACAATGTCCTCCATGTGTTTTTTTTCCCTCTCTCTCTGGAATAAGGCTGGTGTTCTTTGTGGTCAATGATCAAGACGAGAAACCCATTGCCGGAAGAGACCTGTCCTACATTTCCAGCCTTCTGACGTCACTAACAGCAGCTGGCCTAGATACTCAGCTGACCTCGACAAGACTAACGCACAAGAAGCCACCAGCCCGCAACAAGCATGCTACCTCCAGAGTCCGAATCTATTCCGATCCTCATCTCGATTCGAGCATACATGACTCGACGGCCTTGCTCGTTCATCGACACCGGCTCAGCACATAGTCGGCGCCAGCTACCCTTCAAATTGGCAGTAATATGTGTCGGGAAAGCGCTCACTAGCACTCATTAGTGTTCTATTCAGACTGTCGAGTCAAAAACACGTACCTTGTGATGAAAACACTGTCCTGCGATCGGGGTCCTGTTCCGTTAACCAAATTCATATAGAAGGACGACGCAGTCTCTGGTGAAAGCAGCTGCTATGGACGATACCGATAGCCAGTCCACATAAGCGGTGCTTCCAGGATAGTAGGGATAAGAGAAAGTGAGGGAGTGACTAGTGAAGCTAAGGATCATGTTGAGGCGGAGGAAGAAGGCGAGTTCCCAAAATGGCAGTCACGTCGCGTCTCTTTCACCCGCATGTCACTCAACCACCCGGCTGTTTATTGGCAACTTTTCGCGGCAATGGACCTGAGGCGCGAGCATTGTATTCATGTTCGTCTGTACTATAAGAGTTTTGTTGGATCCTCGCCATCGAGGAGAGGTCGTGTGCGTGACTTGCAGGATTTGTTAGTGGGCGAATTGGTGGCGCCGCCACACCGTGACCGGCGAATTCTCGTCCGTCGAGTATCGTTATCGACCCCGGTAGAAATATTTGCCAAAGAAGGAAGAATCTATGCTTGAGTAATGTCATGTTCTGTTTTGCTGCATGAATTGTGGTCAACATGTGCGGAAAATTGTGTTAATGAGTTGTGGATGAATCAAGAGGAAAGCTCGGTAATCATGAGGAATCCCGAGTAATCGTGAGTAATGATCGGGAATCAGCGGGAATTCCCGATAAGCGTTTTCGATAAAGCAGGCTCCTTCGGTGTGAATACCTATCGCTTACTTGTCAAAATAGAAAGTATCAAGCCGTATCACAACAAATTTGCTTGTAGAAGTCATCGTATGACCAGAAATTAAGTAAAATACGAACAGAACTTGAACTCGATCGGGAAGCAATGCCATTTTTGTCCACTGATGATCGACATGTTTGAAACTCAGCTAGAGGTTCGCGTTGGATTCTAGTCAAAAATTTCGTATTTGTTGCTCATATAGTGAGGTTTTCTTCATTAGTTATAAACTTTTAGACCTCTTTCGCTGACTTACAGCATATTTCACGGTATTACACGGCTTTACACGGTAGAACATGCCTGTACATCCGTTTTCATGCGTGATCACGCGTGATCATGCAAGTTTCTGAATGGTTTTCAGTGTACTGGACACGAATGGTTTTTTCTTGGATTTCTGGACGTGAGAAACGATGGAAATGCCACGTAGGCCTTTACAAATGGCTGAGTTTGAAGTCAGTCTCTGTGCTATAAAAGCTACGGGCTCTGACTTTTTCGCCCTTTCTTTCCTTCCCTCACCCCCCGAACAGCACAGCCACAGGTTTCGTATCCATTGTTTGTTTGTCCTTGAGCGGATTTTTGCCAGCCACGACCTCTGTTACCACTCATAGACAGGCAATCTATATATTCAATCCGAGCTCATTGCTATGGAGGACCTCAGCAGTGATCGACACGACACTGGAAGCACGTCTGAGGATGAACGAAATCCCATCTACCAGGACGGTTCCCTCCATGTCACACACCATAACCACGAACACCTCGCAGCATTCCTCACATCCGGTACACAAACTCCTCGTCGCCTCGAGGACCTCACGATCTCGGGATCATATGGCCCGCCGTCCTGGGATTTGACGACTCGTCGTCTCCAGGGACCACATCTCTCTCTTCCAGTGATCTCCCGACACTTCACGGAAGGTATGACAGGACATCTCCACATTCACAACCTGGATCTTTCCCTTCTTGACGACGATGCATACGAGCAGTTCCTCCAACTTGTGGGTAGCGCACCAGGACGCTCTGGAGCCACGTCTATCAACCTCAGCTGTCTCGTCTTCCACACTATCACCGACGCCGCACAGCTTTTAACTCGATGCACCTTGGCCGTAACGGTCAAAGCCAGGGAGCTTTCTGTCATGGGTCCCGTGTTGCGAGAAACATTCACTTCGGATGTTCAGTGGGCCCAAAAAAAGGTGTTTATTGGAAGAGGAGGGCAGATTCACCTCTTTTCTATCATGCTAGATGAGCACGTCCGTCTCGACAATCTCGAGGTGCTTGTCGTCTCCGACATCACTCAGCAAGCGATGGTCCAGCTCAGAGAGGTCTTGCGAAAGGCTGGTCGGGCTTTGCATGTGTTGAGTATCCCTCTACTTTCTTGCGGTGAGTACTTGTCATCTTCGACTGACACGCTGTTCTCTGATAACTGTATATCGAGACTTGAGCCTCCTCCCACCATTGGATTTAACATCCAATGCCTCTCTACGTGTGCTAACAATAAGCCACGGCCTTGGGGTAGGGAATCCTATCCATATATCGTTGTATATACGTCGGAGCTTGGAGACGCTCCTTGCTCCAGCCCATTATTGGCGAAGATCAAGCTTGAGAGTGTTCAAGCTTAAGATTCTGATCGAGTCTGACCAGGGCGTTGACGTGTTGGACCTAGGTCCGATTGACATTTTGCTGTGTCACTCAGCACCTGCTCTGAAGAAGATGATTGTCGTGTTGTACGTACCTGATTGGTCCGTTGACAGGATGGAGGAGGAGTGTACCATAATCGGGAGGATGATGCCCTTGTGCTCGCGCAAGAAGGACATGCTTTTTCAAGTGCGTGTTATTGCTAGAAACAGCTACTAATTTTCGCGATGTGTAAGAGACTGCTAAGACTGTAACTACTGTGTAGTGGCACCAATACGGTTTTCCTTGATGTTTTTCTTTTCTTGATAGCTATCTTTCCCCTAATCTTTGCTCTTTTCTTGACACCACTGTATACTTACTACGACGTAGACAGTACGATACCTATTGCTCTGAAAATGCTTTGTATACATTGAATTTAGGACGGATAAACGTAGATGACAATGGACATGAGATATTTGGCAAAGAAAGATGACAAGCGCAAGTTACAACGGCGGCCACATGCTATCATTGAATGACAGGCTGCAGCTAGAGACGAGAACACGTCCCATTGGTAAATATATAGAGGTGGACACAGTTGACCTTCTGCAATAAGAACGAGGAAACACGCTCAGATGAATAAACAGAAAGACCACAATATCCAATATCCATAAGCACCAGAGGAGAGGATATCTATAAACAGGAATTCTGTCAGACAACCACAATCGCTAGATTCGGTACACGTTCCTCCCTACGACTTGCCACAGGATTAAAAGACAATGTCGTCATGAAGGGGGCCTGGCCTCATGGCAATTTCAACGCCGTGATCAGCGAATAACGAAGAGCAAGAGTGTCTAACATTCCCTGGAGATCAATTATATCCGCTATACGGACAGCACCTGTCCGTTCATATAGGCAGAAAAGGATCTTATTCATGACTTTCCCCGCACCACTTTGGTGGAGCACATCTGCCACGCATGCATGCAACCGAAGGTATCGCGGGTCGGGCGGTGTATCCACTTCGAAGACGATAACATCTTTGAAGGGAAAAAACCATTCACGTTCTCCGTATGTCTCTACCGCGTATTCACCGGCATTCTATCAGAGTTAGCAATTGATAACCTGGGAAATGACCCACTCACTGACGTCGCCTTGAGTGAGAACATAAAATAGTTGAAGTAAACACTCGTATCATACTGAAAAGTGATGAAATTATGGAGTCCATCCGCATCCAGGTCCACCGTCGGATCTACGTAATTCTTGACCATCTCCCGTGCGATGGTCCCGAGGAAATCGGTCTAGGCTTCAATGTCAGGACTACAACCAGGGCGAGTGATTATCATTCTTACCTTCTCGGAACCCATAATTGATCGCTGGAGAATACGAGTGATTTGCAGATTGCATAAAGGTCTTCCTTTAGTGTGGCCAAGTTGCGTGAAGCCTGTTAAAGCACAACGGTAATCTTGTCGAAGGAGCACCTAGTGGGCCAATGTGAGTTAGGTATACCAGCAGGTCGAAATTAGTAAATCAAACCTGCTGACGAAGATCGCAATGTTGGCTCCATTTGGTTTTACTATCTAAGAGGACCGAGTACCGGTTTAAAACCTTGACTGTTGAGCATTAAAAACAGCTGAGACTCGTAAGAAACAGGCACCCACAGGGCCACAGGAAATGCGCAAACCACACCAAGGCCAGTTGATTGAGAGACTTGGAGGCACATATGGATGAGCTGATATATCGCAGGCCACGCTCACTAGGCGCACAGTCCAGCATTGCAGATAATATGGAAACGACGCTGGAACCCAAGCCGGAAAGCCATATTGGGCCATCATCACAACCCTTGATGAGCTCTCGTGCTTCAGTGACGAGGTAGTCGGTTGTGTGGTCTGGGTTATCCATGAATCGAGCAATGTCCTCCGCGGAAGGCATTTGTTCCTGGTCAATCTTCTCTTCACTCCAGCAGATCGCCTCGATTGGGATCTCACTGTCCGAAGTATAGTGGATGCAGTAGCCTTCAGTCCATTCAGAAGAATACGAGCGCATGGTCGTACCGAGAGGAGTGCAAAGACTCCTATCCACGAGCAGCTAAAACAAACGTCTCCACCTCGACGGATTCACCATCCCTATCCTCCTCTCCAACTCCGCGAGATACGGATCTTCATCCTTGGATAAAGGGAAAGACTCCTGGGATTCCGTAAATGCAACGGCGATTAACAATTGATTCTGGCAACATGGCGTTGTATGGGTTTCTTCACGTTGTAGACTTTGGTGCGAAGCTTCAAGTCTTTTCGGAACAGGCGTAGCAGATGGCTATCATGGTCTTGACGCGCTGTTCACTTTCCTTGTCCGCTCCCCAGCCTTTCTTGGCGCCATAGTGAAGAATCTGCAAACTTTGTCCGTCATGGTCGTGAAAAGGAGGAAATGCGTGTTTGTTTCATGACTTGGTCCTCAACCCAGTACTTTGCGACACGTTAGTCTGACGAGCTAGACATTTCTGTGGTCAAGGCGGGAACAGCTGACTGAATGGGAGCACTCATGAGCTGTACTGTCTGTAGTTCCCACGCCACAAACACACCTAGCAGTCCATATCGCATAATCAGGCGTATCCACCGGCGAGTTCATGGTGCGGTTTCGGGCCTATATTGATAGCAGTAAGCTACGATGCTGCCGGGCTGCTGGATAGAGGAGGAGATCCACCAAGTATGTGAGCTCAAGCACCTCATCGTACTTCTTGGATCGACTGGCATGGTTAACGACATGGCATGAGAATGTTATTGTTGACCTGCCGGTGTTCGTATTGGATTTCTGGCTTGAAAGAGATCTGCTGCGATCCATGACCCCAACGCAATTGCTGCAGGACTTTATATGGGCACGAAAGAATTACAGACAAGACCTTCCGAGGGAGAACATCGATAAGACCTAGTCATTAGAACACTCCGCAGCGCGACCACTGTCGAATGTTGAAAGGCGAATTGTGGGAACCATCTTCTATGAAACGATAGGTCCTCGATGCATAGAGTCAGCCCTAGTCGCAGTGTTGTGTTCTTGAGACAACATGGCAGTTTCCCCGTCGTCCTCAGCTAGAGATAGGCATGTCAGCAAAAGTCAAGGACCATCGTCCAAGGAAAACCTTCTTCTCAATAGTTTAGAGATATAACGTCACTTCCGCGAACACTCCGCATCCCATCTCCTCGACAAGCTTTTGACTCCAAGTTCAATGCGACAGGGTTATCAGAGAGTAAACGTCCCATCACTGAGGTTCTGTACAATCGTATTGCTCATTCATTTGCGTATAGTCTAGTACTGGAAATAGTGACTAGCTTCCATCGTATTGGGCGGTAATGGTAGTACGACTGTCGATATCATTAAAATCCTAGTTTTCATGAGACACCTGGCGTGGAAAGACCAGGACAAGGGACATACCGATGATCCTCTAGCATCTTTCTGATATCCTCGGTATACATGACCTTGGATTGAAGCTTAGTTCGACCTAGATGCTCGGCAAACAGGTCCTGTATCCTGTACTCGGATCTGGTTGAACAGTGGATTGAAACGCTCAAATTAGCATACAATCAGTTGCAGCTATCCACTAAGCATGTCAACAAGAAATTTGAGAAACACAGATGATTTCGAACAAATGCATGCTGACCATCATGGTTTTTCACGTCCTTCACGACTACCTCAGGCTCAATATTTCAGCCAACGTTATCATATGCGCCGCTAGATAGCGAGATAAACATTCTCCAAGGTCCCAGGTACGGATTCGAACGTGTTGTGTAATGACAAGCAGTGATGACCGTTGTTGACAGAAGAGGCGCACCAAAACTCCGACGTCGAGGTTCCTTCTTGAACCTTGCCATCATGATCTTGTCTACTTTTCTGGGAGCGCCCCTTGCCATGATTCGTTTCAAGCGTCGACACCTCCAATATTACTGTATAATAGCGCTGCAGGCTGGTTGACATTCGTGTCCGTTTATGCCAGTTGCCTCTCAGGATCAAGTTTTATTCGAAGAATACGCAGCCATGAACACTCAATCGATCACTGGCATGGGCAAAGGATATGACGTCGAGGACCAGGGATTGGCCTTGAAAAGCATTTCAGAAATATCTGTGCGTTTGCTTCTATCCGCTATTATTCGCGTCGTTGACATGTAGACGGTTAGCCCGCTGTAGAGGCCTATATCCACCCCGTCTTATCGTTCGCAATGCAGATTCAGGGTCCTTTCATGAGGTAAGACCTCGGGTCAGTGCCGAGCGATTGCTCAAATATGCAGATTCCGGCGCTTGGACGAGCAAGAAGTGCATTTTTCGAGTGCTTCCATCTATAATCTTCTGTCCTGTGAGGGTATTTGCACCGACGCAATAGCTCTGTTACTAACGTGAAATACTTAAAGCGTGGCGGACCAACAACGCGTACACATTCGTCGTAGTGCCAGCTTCCTACCCGACTCCTGGATCCATGAAGCCGTCAGAGCAAGAAATGACACTTCTCAACGCCCAGACAGCTCAAATTAAAACCAAACAAAGTCCTCTCACTCAGTATACAGCAATGTGTCGCTCAGTACTTGTTCCAATTCGTCGTGTACCGCGTCATATGCTCCGGGAGATATTTTCTTGACATGTCGTCTTGGGGTGGACCAGGAATGGTATGCGCATGGTTGTTGGGCCAGGTATGCGACTCGTGGCGAAATATCATGATGACTTCCGCCTTCTTATCGTCTACCATAGCCACCCCCTCCTTGGTGTTCATCCATCCCTCTTTTCCGAAGCTCTCCGGCGCTCGGGGAGCCATCCACAGAGTATGGTGTTGACGTTTAAACGCTCTCTCACAAAGGACAACCTGCTGGATATCATCATCCAGCACTGCACCTGATGGAGGGTTATGAAGGTCGACGCGTCCGGGTTGCCAAGTCGTGCTATCGACGTGCTTTGCATTAAGTACCTGTCGTCTCCGGGAAGCTTCCCTTATTGGAGGATGTATGCATTGATGTGGGTTCCAGGGGCCTTCTGCGCTTCACCACACGTTCGCGGTAGCTCGCTCTCTTCGGAGAGTAGACCTCCGTCGTTTCGTACTCTTTGAACACCGATAGACCAGCGGCGCCTCACGCATCTTTCGGTGACCATAACTCATACCCCAAACGTCGAGCACATCATGTCTTTTCCTTCGTTAAAATGCCATCGTTCCATGTACAAACCTATATTCCAGTCGTCCTCTTCAATCTGTGTCTCGCACGAGCAAATCATACGGTTCTCCACCAACAGCACCCAAATCCTGGATAACCCCGCTCTTCCGACACTGTAGTAGTTGGGGATTGCAACATGCATGGCCGAGCCCAGCGTGTTGAGCCCTTTTCCATCAGTTCATGTGCCCTAGAATTCTCCCTGGGCCGTGCGAGCCAACGATAAACGTTCCATCGAACTTTGTGACGTATGTGAAGACGCCGATAGATGTCCAGAAGAAGCGCGCGGAAGATAAACAGCGTCGTTGAGGCTGTTATGTGCAGACCATGACAATCGGATCATAAAACAGTTGAAACAGTGCTGGTTAGATTTGCTGGAGAGTGAAGGGCCTCGTGTTGATGTTGATTATGGTTCTTCAGACTGTTACCTGGATTCTCCTTGGCTTTGAAGTTGGTACGACGGTTGGTACGCTGTGTCGTTGCCACGGTCTCAGCTGTAAATGCGATGTACTTTTTTGGTCTATTGGCGATAACGAAATGGAAGGGAATAAGATGGGTGGTACATGTGTGCGCCTGTTGGAGATCTCGAGAATACCTTCGACGTATACACTAAAAATCAAACTAGTAAGTTCCCTCAGGGATACTATGGAAACTTGCTGTTACGTTCTCTCTTGTATCAACTGTAGCTGCTGCTGTTGGTACACGACCCTAACCCCAATCTTACTTTTCGAACTCTCAGAACTCCATGTGGCGGACAGCTAAGCTTCCTTTCGCGTAATCTTTGTGGTCCAAGTCAACTTCCTTGGGGATTACTGGGTTTCTACCATTCTGTGCTCGCCCCTCTTTCTACAGAGCTTGCTATTCTCCCGCCCATGTTATCGCCAAGTCCTTTTGACACTGTCTTGCCTCAAAAAACTGATTTCCGTCCCTCTCTCTTCCTTCGTTCACACGGCTCTGGTCTCTTGCTAAACCGACTGACATAGGTAATGCCAGCTGGGTTGCCGATCTCACCATTGTTCTTGCACGGCTACCAATCCCTGTCCGCCTGCCCCTCCTGTGACATCTCTTTCGAGGCATAGAGTCGATGACTGCATCCTGTCCGTCAAAGCGGCGTCTGCCAGACTGGATCCGCAACGACAGATTGATGCTTCAGCTATATTCTACCTCTTTCATCATCGCCTCGAGCCCGGAGGGTGCCGCATCTGCGCGTATCGTGCAATATTCTTCAGTCGTTACCTACACGTTGAAGTGACAAAACACAGAATGGCACTAACACGCTTCACTCTGTTGTTCCACTTCCTGGAAGTGGAACAGCTACGCCACCACAGGAAATTCGCTTTTTTGCCTGGAGGCAGTTGAAACACCGGAGCATGCGCTGCTTTGTGTAAGGAAGCTCTGATGTTGTCACGGCATCGATCATTGTTCTGAAGTTGATCTTCATGGGACTAATAGCTCGAAGTTCGTTTACGAAATTCTCCAAATCTGTGGATCTACTTCGATTTACATTCCAGACGTCAACAGTTCTGTCGCTGACTTGGCGAAGCCGTAGTGGCATTCCTACGATGCTTAGCTCGTGTTCCCTCTCACACTGCTTGCGATCTACAGCCTGAAACACGGCGAGCTCGTCGCCTGCGGGTGTGCTGGGTAGCACAGTGCATATATTTCCTAGCTAGTTATTTATACCTTGCGCCACGGTCGTCTCTACAACGGGCCATGTCGTGTAATATGATGAGCCAGGATTCCCCCTCTAGCTCGATCCCGATCGTTAAATGTACATATTAGGCCGTGATGATGCGACGGGTAGGATTACTGACATCAGTGAGTCAAGAGTGCGGCATGAATGCCCTCAGGCTCAGGGCATTTGTATCCAGCAAATTAAACACAGTATCCGCAGAATTCATGTACTAGTAGTTCATAAACATATCCTTTCCAGAACTTAGAAGGTGGGTTTGATTATGTCTTTTTCAACATTGTTATTTAGATTCTAGTTTTGCCTGTCAATATTAAACACACTCTCCCCGAGACTTCAATATTGCAGACGATAACTTTGATAGCCCGAGGACGTACGGGGCTAGCTCTCCATCTATTCCCTATTGCCAAGAGCCATTCTACGACAACGGCACAAAACACGTACCACAATCTTGGGAAGGCCTGCACCATGAAAACGCGAGTTTTGATCTGAAGAGCTGGGTTCAGGGTCTAAGTGACAGTCGGAAGACTCAGCCGCTGTCGAGGAAGTGCCAGCCTTGCGCACACGAGACTGTTTCCTGATCATCCCGGGAATCGAGATTCTGAATTCTGAACTTCGGCAGCACTACGCTGAACGACTCCAGCTTAAACATGTTGAATGCAAGGCTGAAGCTTCTGATAGTCGAACTCAAAAATAACATAAAGTAACGAAATCCCACATCCCGCGAAGCGAGGAAATGAGGACTGTAGAAGTTGTTGGCCTCGGTTGCTAATGTCGTAACTTGCTGCAACTCGTCAAATCCTTGAATGCCATGTAATAATGAAGATGAAGGTCTAGATTAGTGACCGACTCGGAGTGAGCTGCAAAACGTCTCGCCATGGCTCTCGACTCAGGGAATGAAGGGAAGAGGGGGCAACTCAGAAGAAGCCCAAGGGAAGAGGTGGATCTCACATCAAGAAGCCGAGCCTTTACTATGCTGGACACATGGTACAGCGCTTGCTATGGCGCTTGCAGCTTGACAGTATTTAATAGACAATACAGTTGATGTTATATTTAGTACTATTTATGATACAGATGTATAAAACCTCCTTACTTCCTTCCTATCCCTACACATGTACACGTTGGAAATAAAAGCCTTACGCATCACCGTTGCGATAAGCAGCAATATTCCTCGTACCGGTACCCAGGTTAGACAAGGATCAGATAATTCGACAGATTTTAAGCAGAGCGAGGTCGCCGGTGTTGCTCTAGTGATATACATTGAGGTGACTGGCCTCCGTTCGACTACTATCTTCACTTTCATGCAAAACAATGGCTGTTTACCTCACCAGGAGGCGCGTTTTTGGCGACCTTTGATTGTCCATAAGCATAGCTCAGTTCAATTCAAACCTCGATCTCACCGGTGCGGACATCGCCTTGTTTCAATCAGCCATTCTTTCCATTTCTATCTCCTCATTGCACCCAGTAAGCCAATCGCCAATTATTCGAACAGAATATCCATACTCTACTGGATCGGCTCCTTAATTTTGCGACCGAGAAGGTATCCTAAAAATGTCGTGTTCTTTGATCTCTTACTCCTATAGTTCTTCACGTATTTTCTCTTGTACCTTTGGATGGTTTCTCGCAGTGTGTTCACCACGTTCACCGTGTCGCATGTTGCTATCGAAGATTGTTATGTTAGCCTCTAGCATACTTAAACTGATTCTGTTCACCTTCACCACTACAGCATGTCTTTCCATTTCGAAAGTTGCAACAACCACAACCTCCATCTCACTGTGCCCACAGTGCGGAGCATCCCCAAAATGACTCTGCAGATTGAGGCGGACACTAGCGTGACCTTGCAAATCGAACAAACCGGCCATGCAATCCACCTGTCATTTAGTAAGTATCAGCATCAGATATCCTGTACAAGTCACTCACGTCATCCTGCGCCCAGTAAATGGTTTGGGTGTGGTCGCAACAAGCCAAGCTGCTGGTCCTGAAGCCACTGACATCGTAACCTCCACTGCCAATGTTGCAGCCGCCATCACCACCACCGATGTCGTAACATCCACCGCCAACTCTACCTGCAGAGATGATGAAGACACCACTGCCAGCTATGCTACTATCGATGTCGTAGCTTCCGCTGCTAATACTGCCACCACCGACGTCTTAACTGCCGCTTCCACGACCACTAGTACTGAAGTCGCCAGAACTGATGTCGTAACATCTGCCGCCAATACTGTCGCCTGCACCAATGGTGAAGTCGGCACTACCATTAGCGCCGCCACAACTTTTGCCGTTAATACTGCTACCACCGACATCGTGACCGCCGCTTCCACCGCTACCACCACTAGCACTGAAGTCGCCGCTACTGAGGTTGTAACTGCCGCTTCCACGACTACCAGCAGCGCTGAAGTCACCGCCACCAACACTGTAACGTCCGCCGTCAATGCTGCAGCCTGCACCAATACTGAAGCCGCTGCTACCAATGGTGCCACCATCGAGGTCCTAAGCTCCGCTGCTAATACGGCCACCAGCAGTGCTCAAGTCACCTCCACCAATATCACAGCCTGCACCAATGCTGAAGCCACCGCTACCAAAGGCGCCACTACCAACGTCGCAACCGCCGCTTCTATGACCACCGCTGAAGTCGCCACCACCGACGTTGTAACATCTGCCGCCAATGCTGCAGCCTACACCGACACGGAAGCCAGCACTATCACTGATACCACTACTGCCTCTACTGCCAATATTGCCACCACCGGCATTGTAACTGCCGCTTCCGCAAATGCTAGCAGCGCTGGAATCGCTGCCACCAACACTGTAATATCCGCCATCGATGCTGCAACCTGCACTGATACTGAAGCCGCTGCTACTGATGTCGCCACCATCGAGGTCCTAAGCTCCGCTGCTAATACGGCCACCAGCAGCACTCAAGTTACCTCCACCAATATTACAGCCTGCACCAATGCTGAAGCCACCGCTACCGAAGGCACCACTACCAATGTCGTAACCACCGCTTCTACGACCACAACCACCGCTGAAGTCCTCACCACCGACATTGCGACATCTGCTGCCAATGCCGCGGCCTACATCAACACGGAAACCGACACTATCACTGATGCCACTGAAACCTCTGCCGCTTCTGCCACCACCGACATTGTAACTGCTGCTTCCACGACTGCCAGCAGCACTGAAGTCGCCGCCACCAACATTGTAACATCGGCCATCAGCGCTGCAGCCAGCACCAATACTGAAGCCGTCGCTACCAACGGTGCCATCATCGATGGCAAAACCTCCGCTGCGAATGTTGCCATCATTAACGTCGCAACTGCCCCTTCCGCGACCGCCAGCAGTGCTGAAGTCGCCACCGCCGACGTTGTAACATCTACCGCCAATACTACAACAGCCTACACCAATGCTGAAGCGGTGACCTTCACTGCCAATAGCACCACCACCAGTGCTGAAGTCGCTACCACCGACATTGTAGCATCTGCCGCCAATGCTGAAGTCGTTGTCGTCAATGGTACCACTACCGACGTCGTAACCACCACTTCCACCATCGCTGAAGCCGCCACCACCAACGTGATAACATCCACTGTGAATGCTGCAGCTAGCACCATTGCTGAAGCCGTCATTACCAATGGTGTCACCACCGACGTCTTAACCACTGCTTCTGCGAGCAGCAGTAGCGCTGCCACCACTGATATTGTAGCATCTACTGCCGATGTTGAAACTGTCACTATCAACAGCGCCACCATTGATGTCGTATCATCCGCCGCCAACGCTAATCCCGGGGGGTTTTGGCAAGTCTACTTGAATCGCTCTGTAAACATATGATAGAAGCAAACGCAGAACAGGTAAAGCAGATGCGAGGATTGATCGTAGTAGCCGATAGCATCGAAAGAAGGTTCTAGCTCCCGAAAGGTGGCATAGTTATGGTAGCATCCTTATATCTTTGCTCCGGTAGCGCAATGTATGTCAATCTGCAAAATAGTGTATGTTATTATTGGGATGTTCTCAGAGGGAGGTGAAGACCAATCGAGATCATCGCTATATGTTCAGCCAAATGGAAACAAGAAACTCATCGAATGCACCAACAAGGGTCGCCTGGAAATTCCAAGTTCTATGATAGGACACACACCAGTGCTGTCCTCACAGTCCATATAGCATAACGGATGGGAAAGGCCTTGCCTTGCAGGCGTCCAAGGTTAGTTGCATGAAAAGTAGCTTCGTTCTGCAAATTCTCTATAACATGGTGCGGCCAGCTACCCTTGCTAGACTCGATGTGAACTGCCATTTTGATTACGAAAGGGGGAATAACGGCATCTCGGAGTAGCGGCACAGAGCATCCAGCGTCATTGGCCTGTGCATGAAGCGAGGGTGGTCGGTTTCGTAAAATTCCTTCCAGGGCAATTTGAAGACGCAGTCGGATATGGAAGAAAGAATGATACGATTCTCCTTTCGAATGAGTTCTGTGTATTTTGCGAAACGTGACTCTGACAAACTAGACACTAAACATTTTCGTGGTCAATGTGGAAGTGGTTGACTGAGCAGGAGCTCACGAACATTGTGCCGTCGGCTGTCCCCACGCCACAGACGTAGTGAGGAGAGGAATTAGCAGAGGACTCAGACCCCCTCTACCAACTCATAATGATCAGGCGGCTGGTCCATGGTTCAGTCTCAGAACACTCCCTCTACACGTGTTGCAGGACCTCAGGAAGAGCACGAAGGCAGAACGAGACCTCCCGAGGGAATACGTCGATAAGACCACCCAGTCATTAAAACACTCCGCAGCGTGTGATTCACGACCGCTGTTGAACGTTAAACGGCGAATTGTGGGGACTAGCCCCATCTTCTATGAAAGCAATGCATAGTCGTGTTCGTGAGACATAAAATGGCGGCCTCCAGGTCGTCCTCGACTAGAAACAGACATGTCAGTGAGAGACAAGGAGCATGTCCGAGGAACATACCCTGCTGATTTCTCAATGGCTTATGATTTGACGCCGTCTCCGCCAGAGCATCCCATGTCCTCGTCAAGGTTTGACCCCAGATTGAATGCGGTAGTGTTATCCTGGAGTAAACGTCCCATCATTGAGCTTCTGTACAATCGGATAGCTCAGCCATTTGCGCAGACAGTCTAGTACTGGCGATGGTGACTAGGGCCTGTTGGGCGGTAATGGTAGTACAATTGTCAACGTTATAAAATCCTAGTTTTCATGAGACACCTGGTGTGGAAAGACCTTGACAAGGGGCATACCGATGATCCTCTAGCATCCTTCCGATATCCTCGGTATACATGATCTTGGATTGAAGCTTATTTCGACCTAGATGCTTGGCAAACAGGTCCAGTTTTCTGTACTCGGATCTGGTTGAATGGTAGGTTGAAACGTTGAAATTAGGATACATTGACTGCAGCTATCCACTGAGTATATCAACGAGAAATTTGAGAAACACAGGTGAATTAGAAGAAATGGAAGCTGACCGTTCGGAGCATCCGATCATGGTTTTCCAGGCCCTTCATGACTAGCTCAATATTCCATCCAAAGATATCATATGCGCTGTTATATAGCGAGAAAGACGTCCTCCAAGGTCCCAGGTTGGGATTCGAGCGCGTTGTGTAATGACAAGCAGTGATGACCGTTGTCGACAAAAGAGGCGCACCAAAACTCCGACGTCGAGGTTCCTTCTAACCATCATGGTATCGATCTCATCTACTTTTCTGGGAACGCCTTTTGCCATTGATTCGTTGCAAGCGTCGACACCTCCAATATTACTGTATAATAGCGCTGCGGGCTGGTTGACATTCGGTACGACTGACCGTTTATGCCCGCTCCCTATCAGGAATCGGGATCAATGTTCATCCAAAGAACTCGCAGCCATGAACAGTCCATTGACCATTGGTGTGAGGAAAAGATGCCACGTCGAAAGGCTAGGGATTGGCATTGTGAAATCATTCAGCTAGAACGGTGCGTTAGCTTGTATCTGCTATTATTCGCGTTCTTGACAATCCTAGTATGTAGAGTCTAGACCGTCAGCCCGCTGCAAAGACCTATATCCCTCCGCCTTACCCTCGTCCTCCATGCAGACCCAAGGCATTGTCATGAGATAGGATCTCGGGCCAATGCAAAGCAGGCGCTTAAATCTGCGAGCCTTGGCGTTTGGAAGAGCAAGAAACATGTTCTTGCAGCCTGAGGTTCTTGACTTCGTCTGACGCTTGCCGAGGCGCAGCTATCCAACTCTCAGTGTCGTATATGAACGATCAACGTCCGTGGGATTGGCCGCAATAGGATGCATCAGCATTCTTCTGGGCAAAGTGCGTTCATGGCTATATGTACCTCTGTCTGTGTTCTTATGTGTTCGACTAGCTCCTTGCACCGTGTTATATACCTCAAACAGCCACCACCTTCGACATCTGCTGCGCCAGGTATTCAGCAATCTCCTGTGCTGCAGAACTTCCGTGGAATGTTCCTACGGGACTGCGGTTGTTAATTCGACCTGGCTACTCCTGGCTATATGCACAAGATTCCATGCTAGATAGACCTATACTCCACCGAAATCTTCAGCGCAAGTCATCTAGCAAACTGGAGATGTATTCTAGGGGATTACTATTATCTTTCTTTCTAGAGACTTGAAAGACCCATTTCTCAGAAGCGTTCGTCATCTGCCCATTTTCCTCCTCCAGCGACTATCAGCTGTTTCCGCCCTTACTCAGACAACTATCCCGTTCGACAAAGTCAACGCTCCAAAAGATGCGCATAGCACTTGTTCTCTGACCCGTCCCCTATGTTCCAATGCGATTTCGAGCTGTCCCTGGTAACCGACTAGCCCTACTTCATGCGGAGGAAGACGACACTGAACGCTCTGTCACTTTGACAAGGAAGATCATACCTATGATCGTTCAGCTTACTTCGTTTCCTGATCCCATGACGGTGACCCTCAGGGACGACTCTCTTTGCGATGAGGGCGGCGGCGGCGGCGAGCAAAGTTTTTCGTCTGTGTTGTAGAGAATTTGCAAGTCACTTTCTATGCCACAACTCTACAGCGTCTCTAATATTTAGATTTAGTACGGGCTCCAAGAATGGGTGGGAGGCACTGTCGTTTATCCTATCCCTGTATCATGGAATATTCTGTGACGTATCGGTGGGCCATACAAAACATCTGACAATAGGTGAGTGCTCCCAGCGTGTTATACTTTGACGTTTACTGAACGAACAACAGGAAGACGTTTGGCGTCCCACCATACAGAACATACAAGTCTCAGGAATTCGCTGGCAACTCGCAACTAGAAGATCATCTTCTGTAGACCTGCAACCGATATATCAACCTCAATTCAAGTTCTCGAAGTCTTTCCTATACAGCAGCAAACCTCCTCGCCTTGCGTCAGCTGCCTTCTTTCCGGTTTCCCAGGAATCGCCCACTCCCACGTAATCGCATTGTGTGTCGATGATGTCAGGCGACGACAGGTGAACCTACCTTTGTCATCTTTCGACTAAAAGAGAAAAGGAGTAAACTTTCGTAGTACATTTATCGGCAACCCAGCATCTTGTGCATACGGAATCGACGCTTTGGGTTAAACGGCCATGAATACCGAAGGTAGTCTGTCCTCTTTTTCAAAAGTCTGTGTCTATCTGACATCTTTTTCAGCGTCTTCAGAACAACTATTTATCAGTTTGGCGCGCGCGCCCTGTTCGATAGCTACGACAGTATCAGCGAAGGTCACAGAATACGCCAACTTTGGAGATCCTTTGCCCTTCTTATCGACTTGATAAGAGTAACGATTTATCATGCTGCTGCCAAGCTTCATTTCGTGCTTCGTGAAATGGCTGTGACATACCACAGCGTCACTAATCAGGAGTACGTAGTACACGGCCCCTTCACCGAATTCCAATTGACTGGCATACTATCATCTTCAGCTGCGACACTGCTGTGTACTTTGCCTTTCACCCAACCTCGTTTTGGAATCTGCAGACTCTGAGCGAGGTTCGATTGCTTCCAGTAGCAGTCATTCACCGTGTCCATGTCTTCATTCTCCGCAAGTCCTGCTTGTAGCTAGGAAAGCTTGTCATTATATTCTCTAGCTTCTGTAACATTACCGCATATCCAGTGTGAAAGAGTTTTGCGCTGTCACACAGGTTCGACCTTCTAAAGCAACTGTAGGCTCGAGTTTAAACATGGTCCAGCAGCTGTACTTCGACACTATCGAAGCTTCTCCCACCACATTGTGCGGGTATAACGAGGCGCGACGTCGTCCTTTGGAGAAGTTGGGAAGGCGTCACTCGAAATGAACTTCTCCTAGCAGAATTTACAACCCGTTGATGCGTATGCATTCTAGTCAAAATTTCGATAGTTTATCGCCCCATTGGTCGTCCTGGTTTCCATCTTGACTGAACCATCACAGTTTAAACTCCTCCTCCCTTACCTTCACCTGTGCGGCATTCGAATGGGACGGCGTTTCCATTCATTTTCTGATGTCCATAACACGGACCATCGTACCATCTGATACATCTGACCGGAGTGTGAGGATATTCATTCCCATTTACAACAGACACCTCTTTTGTCTCTCTGCTCCCGCTCAGAAGCATCGCGATCATGATCCGGATTCCGTCCAGACAGAATCAATTGACAGAGGCTTCCTCGGTCTGTGCTACGAGCAGGACAGACAGATGCCGCGTTTTTGAGCTTGTATCGGAACCGCATGGACGTCAAGGTCTTCTCGAAGTAACACTATGTGCATCACGCGCCAGGGACAACCATCATTAAACAATTCCTGAGATGTGCGATAGGACTGTCGTCATGAAAGGTTCTCCACCCTGTAGATGGACGAGTAATTCTCCCATGCTCCAGCGGCCTTCACGGCGCTGCTGGCGATGAAAACGGCAAAAGAAACTTGGGAACGATAGTCGGGAAGCAGGATAAATTAAAAATACTCAATGTCGAACTCCACGTGCACAGCTCCTGATCAATGATCTTCTATATCAAGATTGCGTGCGGTTCCCTTCTTTCTTTTTCTCTTTCTTTCTTTCCCCCCTCTTTGGCGCCAAACAGAACTTTCTGCTTCACCGCCAACTGTCATCGACCAAGGGGTCGGATTGCTTGACGACGCGCTGCGCACAATCGCAAGCATCCCACAGATTGCAGGATCAGGTTCAAATTCGACATTGAGAACCGGATAACACGACGAACAGACCACATTTCGAGCCTGCAATCTTCCCTTTGCACCGATGAGGACGCGCTGGCACCCCCTCGAATTCCTTTCCTCGCCTTTTGATCCCAGTCTCGCCTATGTCTCGTCGTCTGTCCCTATTCTCCGTCGTCCAATCGTTCTCGCCTCAGTTCGGTTATTGCTTGCGTTCTATGCCCTTGTTACCCTCCTGGTATCTCTTGTATGGGCCGGCGTAGTTTCACACGACATAAACGGGTGCGCGCATTTCTCTTCACAATTTCTCCCTCAGCTGACGTGAATAAAGTTACTTCTCCTATTTCACACATCTCACATACATCGGACTCTGCTCGTACTACTTTGCATCCGGCGTGCAGACGCTGGTGTATGCACGGACCAACACATACCTCCTCAGGACTTGGCCCTTCTCAAAGACGCTGCAATTCCTACATGTATGGCTTCATTCGACCGTTGTGACGTTCCGTGAGTCAATTCTATCAATTCACGGCCCGTACTGATGCTTTGTTAGCATTCGTGGTCACCATCACGTTTTGGGTTCTGCTGTCATCTCTAAGCACGTTCTCTTCCACTTTCAACGCCTGGAACAACATTTCGGTGCATGCCCTCAACTCTCTGTACGCTCTCTTCGAGATAATCTTCACCAATACTCCACCGCCTCCGCTGGTTTTCTTGCTGGCCAATATCGTCCTGTTGGGAGCTTATCTGGGTGTGGCGTACATTACTAACGCCACGCAAGGGTTCTACAGTACGTGTTTGGCTATTTGCCTTTCCGAGACTCGTCATTGCGTGCGAGAAAAACGACAACCCTATCGAACTTGGGTCCAGTCGTACAAAATACTCATCTGACTTGATGTTTCGGGCAAGGTTTCCACACGTCATGCTAACCCTTTACTACAGCGTACAACTTCCTTGATCCCCAGAAACAAGGGTCCTTTCTTGCGGCGTATATCGCTGGTATCGCAGTGGGATATATTGTTGTTTTTGGCATCATATCTGGAATCATGGTGATGAGGCCACGGATTGCAAATAAGGTCAAGTACAACAAGGTCGAGGGTGAGAAGGAGATGAGCGTCCGTCAGGCTGAGAGTTATAGCATCAGCGGGAGCACAGCATGTCAGGAACACGATGTTGAGACGCCAAAGGATGGTAATCGCTGGTAGAGGTGTTTTTCTTTTTCCGCTTTGCGTAATGCGGGCTTTCGTTCCTTTTTTAGGATGGAATAGCGGCTTTTCGGTCGCATAGCAGTTCGCACTGATTGCAACATTACGATACCATAACTTTTGACAACTCAATGAATCATTGTACTTTTTTAGCTTGCTAGACCCAAAGAGAATAGAACCTCAGAACTCCAGAAGCTTCAAGGTGGAAAGATTTCTGCACCTATGAACAACCTTACAAACAGACATTAACGATTTATGGTAGACAAGAAAAAGCCGAACACGTACGTACAAGCACAAGATTCGGAGTCGGCCGAGCACATCCTTCCCTTTCAACAGTTACTTTATGCCCCTCCTCAGCGGCTCGGATACCTAAGCTGTAATACTTTCCGATAATATGTGGAGGATGTAACAGCTGCAGTATTCTCGATACTGACGGTGCCGTATGAGTACGCTAAGCGCCAGAACCAAGCACCGATGATTGATGTGCATCGTTTGCGCTGCCACACACATCTTATGTCAGGCGACCTCAATGGTACGAACAAGTTATCGTCGATCTCTATGTGAGGCCAGTACTGTCTAGATAGCAACAAATACTCGTCACAATGCAGAATATTCTGCAAATTCATATAGCGAATAGGAGCTGTTCCAAAATGATAGTCAGTCGTTCAGGCGGACAATTTCGTGTTCCAGAGCGCCGGCGATGGCATTCTGGCTTCATCTGTCGGATCGAGGAACAGCCTTGCATGGAGGATTGATATTGATTGATGGAAGGGCGCATAAATTCTCATCGTGTGTCCGGTAGCGCACTGTCAGATGCCCCGACAGACTATCCATTAATATAGGGAAGGACCTTGCGAACCGACTTCCGCCACGCAGAGGCACCCGATTCGGATCGCCTATCGTGCAAATGAGGCAAACATGCGAACCACTGGTGCATGGAGAAAAGGAGTGAACTCCGTTTCCCAAGTTTACCCGAGAAATGCCGAGTTCGACCGTCGCCGGCGGGAGACTATATGTGGAAGAGGCCCGCCACCAGCGGTACTTTGGAAACATCTTGTCAGTTCGACGCACCTGCTTAAAGACAGATATAAGATCTCCTTTGGGTTTGGCCATTGAAGTACTGGCATCCAAATAGATTTGCTTGACTAAAAGCTTTTGAACTTCCAGACCACCTTTACTCTTTCTAGAGTCGTAATGCCGCGCACATTGGGTCTTCGAACGCCCGAACCTTGATCCGTAAGAGCACATATAAATAAACCAGGTCCATAGTTAAGAGGGTCAAAATTCACCGACAAATTCCGATTTCCTTTGGCTGCCGTATATTTATTGAAATGACGTCGGGATCGACATGTTCCGCCCGCTGAGGCAGTGCAGCGGAAGAAAGCAACGGCGCGCGCAACGTAGTCATAGCGCCTTACAGCCCTCTGTCTTCATCGGGTGAGTATGTACGACATCTATTCGGAAAGGACACGTACCTTCCAAGAACAAATAAGCCAGATTGAAGCCTCGCTAACTTGACTGGGAGTTCACCCTTAGCTTTAGATAGCGTAGATGGTTCTTTAATTGTAACATTGTAACTATTGGATGAACACCTCAGTCGTCGTGGGTCAGAGGAAGCACCGCGAGGATACTTCCTACTGAGGACCACAATTCTGAAAGCAAGATTACAAGTACAACGAAGAAACGAGTAGATATGATAGCCACGGGTTCGACTGTGAAGAGGAGCAGTTTCCTTGAAGCGCCTTAGTTGGAGCATGCAAACGAATGAAAGGTCGACGAAGGATTCTGAGACCTATGCAGATGGTCGGACCATGAAGTGAGAACAAGTCCATCACATGTCGCCGTCAACATGGAGAGTATTCATTCTCCTTCAATTAACCATCATCATCATAGATATTGAGGCGAAGACGCCTACAGCGTTGGCATCCTTCTAACAGCCAACTTTCAGGGGGAATACTCCAGGTGCAAGTGTGGTTCCGCTTGACCTCTGTTCCGAAGAACCAATCAGTTGCTCGAAAAAAGATACGCCTCTCCGCATCCGGCGTAAGCAAAGCCAAGAGGAGAATCGATAAGGTAGTACAGCATCAGACTCAGACGGTCATCGGCTGGTGTAGGCTCCCTGAGCCACTAGTACTGCGGTTGAACACGGCTTGATCAAGGGTATCTACGAGTATCGGCAACAATGTTCTTGGCTATTCTAGCTTGGTACGGTCGATAAGGAAGGTTGAACATCGACATGACAGAAGTTCAGATAGAACACGATACCCGTCGAATTAGGTAACTCGTGGTACGAAGGGAGGTGAGTCCGAATCGGGATTTGAAATTTCTTCATTCAAACCACGCGTGCGTCTGCGTGGTTGGCGTAGACCACCAATAGTGTACAGCTTGGTTTTTTCCCTAATCTAGAACACGGGTCGATCTTAGCTGTTATGTACGTTTGAAGGCCGAGCTCTGTACTGACGGTCTTGACCTCGAACTCGAATCGGCGCGCCCATATGTATCAACGCGCCCTCAGGCCTACCTTGGAAACCGGCTCGACGACTTGGACGACTGTTATTCTCCTTACTTGGTCTGCATACTTTTCTATGCTGATGAATTCAGCTGGAATTCTTGAGTCCTTTATCTGCGCGCAATGGCACTTTACCTATGATGCATCATCTACGATACGTTTTATCCATCATAGCTCTACACCAAGGTACCCGACAGGAACAACAGTCAGCCGCTCTAGTATCATCCATGAGCCCTCGCCGTACCAAGCCTATCTTGGCGGTGTGCTTTTTCTTGATGGTTCCGGTGTAACGAGCGTCCAAGAGTGCGCGGCGTCTGTACAACTGTGCAACCTTTGGACACGTCCGTGATCGTTACTATCGGAGAAGCCACTTATCCAGGAACAGGATCGCGGTACCCATTGAATTCTTCGACGTGCTTACGTCTTTGTCTGACCCACACTGCGTAGCGCGTCTCGACTGGACAGTTTTCTCGCTGATTTTCGGAAAATCATTTGCCACCAGGGCTATTCGGGATAGAACGGGACTGCTACTAGGTCTTGGCTATGAACATCTACCCTGGTGCCAGACTTGTCTTTGCTACCGCTCCTCCGCCACCTCTCCGTGAAGCCTTGGGCATCTCCTGCAGAATAGAAGGAATTCTGGATTTTCTCAATTTAGCGAGCTCTTACTCTCCGCATCTAAGCTGTCCCTGAACTGACTGACGGTTTTTTACGTTCCAGCTTAACATGGTTTTGGTTCGTGGCGCTCGTCCCTTTATCGAGTCTTCCTTCTCGTTGTATTTGACACCTCAAACCTTGATAACGGCTGTCGGAGTTAAGGTAGTCGATGATTTTTCAGTTCCTCTCAGGATTTCGCTTACCTTCCTCATCACAAAAACCTTTGTCGCTCAGCGAATCTCTTGAGACTTTCATTTTCGGTAAACTCAGCTCGGCCTCATTTGCGGTTCTCATATCCTGTAGTGCAGCCAATAGAACAACCCTCTGCCATCCATTATGCTGTGGTAAGTCCCTCGTCCTGTTCAGATGTCGTGGTGTAAGCTTGGCAACTTTCTCGAAACGAGTCCCGCACACGGACACTCGGGGCAGGCGGAATACTCACTCCCGTGCGGAATCCATCCAACAAACGTTCGTTTCTGTTGTGAAAGAGTCTTATCTATCCATTCATGTTCTTCGTCTTGTTTTAGATCATCCTATCAGATTCTGAATGATTCAAACTAAATGTCTACCCTCTACCCTTGAAGTACCATATGGGCGCTGTTGCTTTTTTTCCCGAGTCGCTCGTGATGTACAGCTTTCACGATGTTGTCGGAAATTAAACCTGTACTGTTGACTCGTTTCAATGAGTTGTAAATGTCAGGTACGGTGGGAGCGATGTTTCATGGGGATGTATTGAGACTGTAATACTGAACACTATTTTCGACAGTACTAAATGCGTGCCATTGTGTAGACGATGGCCTTTGCTGGAGGACTTGATAGACATCTTACATACACATTTAGAAAAACACACGGAAGAAGGCTGCTCGTACCTGCGTCGCGGTAGAAAAACCCTAATTGCGCAACGATGCTTCTTGATGATCATTGATTGTGATGTAACGGTATGTTGCTGAAATGTTGATCTTGGATCACCGGCTCAAAGTTGACTCGTTAATTTTCCGTCCGGCAAGTAATCCATGAAGATAATGGACACTGCGGCGTTACTTCAACCGCTCAATGCGCCAAAAAATGATAAATGCCGTGATGATGTTGCAGTCTACTGCCTTGTTCTAGCCTGCCAAGGTACAGCGCTTAGGTCTCTGAAAGATTTTCTTTGTATGAAAGGTTGATGAAAGAGAATGGCGAACAAAAATCAGCCGTAATGTCTCGGGAAAAACAGGCACCCGACAATTTCACAGTTGATTTTCAAGATAAGAGCTGATAAGAATGAAAGATAATCGCGTGAAAGAACGCCGACGCTTCCATATTGACGCTCCACCAATGGGAAATCCCGGGAGAAGCCGACAGGCGCCAAGGCGATGATTCGGATGAATGCCGAACGTCGTTCCACGTGACGAAAATTACTATCTGCAGTCGTGCCGTTCAGTGGTTTGGCCCGCAACCGTGTTCAATTCTTTTCCAGTAATGTCGGCACCCACGCCCATATCCCGCCATCGGCAGGTGCGGCTACTTTGGAAAAGCTATATAAAAGAGTTTCCATGTCTGTAACTCGGTACTGATTTCTTTTTCATTTCTTCGCCATTCCTTCTATCATGGCGCCTGAACACATCCATTACCCTCCCAGTGAAGAGACAAATATTGCATCGCGTATGCTCTTGGCTCTATTCTTCCCCTCAATGTCGAATGTCTTACCCTTGTATTTTTAGATGATGTCTCGCAAACGTCAACTATCGCGCCTGACATCCTCGACCTTCAGCTTATTCGAAGTCGGAGTCACGACTCTACTCGGCCAGATCTGAGTCGTCCCTATCGCGCAATAACACAAGAAGGCCGTGATGTATCACACAAGGGATATGTCAAGTTTGAGTCTGCACTACAGCCTGTACATGAAGGTCTCCCCGACCTGTTGAAGGACCCGGAGAAAGCGAGAACCATCAAAGACCTATACCTCGTTACATGGCTGGAGAACGACCCGGAAGATCCTCGTAATTGGTCGCCTGTATGGCGGTGGTGTGAGTCACATTCCTTTGTCCAGTCTGGTTTTATTATTCATGCTCTTCCGTAGATCTAACACTGGTCTCTGCGCTTGCTGTTATCTCGGTCGCATTCGCTAGCGCTGTCATAACTGGTGACTTCGGGGGCATCGAAAAAGACTTCCAAGTCGGCGAGGTCGTGACGGCACTCAGTGTCTCACTCATGGTTTGTGGCTTTGGGTATGTACGAACCGTCGTCTACATACGCTCATACTGATTTAATCCTGCAGTCTCGGCCCTCTAATCATTTCTCCTCTATCCGAACTTTATGGCCGTCGACCACTATGGGTTATACCAACATTCCTATACCTGAGTACGTTCATCTCTTCCTCACCCCTCTCGTCTTTGTTGACCTCTTTGCGGCTTCAGTCTTCAACATACCATGTGCCGTAGCCAAGAACATCCAAACACTCCTCATATGTCGATTCTTCTGCGGCATATTCGCTTCCGGACCGCTTACACTGGCTGGCAGTACCATCAGTGACATATGGGACAACAACGAGCGTGGCTTTGCCATTGCCCTCTTTGCGGCAGCGCCCTACGGCGGTGCGGCCTTGGGTCCCCTGGTCGGCGTAAGTCTTACTCTGCTCTATCTCTGCAACATAGACGCTGACCTTGTCCCATTAGGGCTTCATTGGAGTCACCGTTGGCTGGCGCTGGATTATCTGGGTACGTCATTTATCCCGGTCGTTGGAGCCTCGCCTAACCAATGCTGTAGGTCAACATGATATTCGCCGGTGTCGTTTTCCTGTTCTGTCTGACCATTCCGGAGACATTTGCGCCTGTTCTGCTGCAAAAGCGTGCTGCGAAGCTCCGCTCAAAGACAGGCCGTGATGACATCGTCACCGAGCAGGAAATATTCAGGACATCCTTTGCGGATCTTATCACTGACACTCTCATTCGACCATTCGGTATGCTTGTGACGGAGCCTATTCTTCTGCTCATGTCATTGTTCATTGCTTTGATCTACGGTCTGTTGGTGCGTCCCCCTGTTGTCATTGACAGATGTTCCCTTCGTTAACCGCTCAAACAGTACGCCTTCTTCTTCTCCTTCCCCGTCGTATTCGGAGAAGACTACGGTTACAACGATGGCATAACCGGCATCATGTTCTGCTCTGTGTTCATTGGCCTGGGCATCGCATTGTGTATCACACCGCTACTGGAAAAGAGCTATCTCAAGCAGGCAGAGAAGAAGGGTGGACGAGCGGACCCAGAAGACCGTCTTTTGGGTTCGATGATTGGTGCACCTTTCGTCCCCATCGCCTTGTTTATCTTCGGATGGACAAGTCCCCCTACTGTGATGCCTGGCGGTGGTAACTGGGTCGGACCGGCCAGTGCAGGTTAGTGTTTTAAACCTTACAGTGACTCGGTGCCGCGGTGTCTGATCTTCTCTGTACCTAGGTATTCCGTTCGGGTTCGGAATGGTCGTCATCTACTTCTCTGCCAACGCTTACTTGATTGACGCGTTCCCTAATTACGTTGCTTCGGCTCTGGCCGCTAAAACGGTATGTACCGCGGTTTGTTGTTGCAGTCCGGTGCTGATCGTATTTTTTTACAGGTGGTGAGGTCAGGTGCAGGTGCTGCTATGCCTCTATTCATGGTACAGATGTTCCATGGTCTTGGTAACGGCTGGGCTGCGTCATTGTTGGGTTTCGTTTCCGTAGCTATGGTATGTGTATGTTCTCTGACATTGAGGCATGAGCTCACTTGGAATACAGATCCCGATACCTTTCCTCTTTTACCGATATGGCAGGGCCATCCGTGCTCGCTCAAAGCGTGCTACGTTGATATAATCCCGAATCATCATAACTTTATTCATTTTTCTTTTTCGGGTGTCACAATAGTCTCTTTATACCCCTCTTAGAGCGTAGAATACAAATTCACTAGACTTTCTAATACAAACCTTCGTAGAACTAGAATTTAGAACAGGTGTAGGTTATAATTTTGTTGGTATCAGTTACCGTATAGAGGCCCTTATGACCAGCAATGACTATTATGACCTTCTCTGACTGATCAGCAGATAGTTAGGTTCACTAGAAGCCTCGGTCCTTTTTTCTTAGAAGCCGACAGGCTCAAGAAACGACAATACTCGGGAAAGAATAGATGCATCGACTTTGTGTTGGACTGCTGCTAGGTTCACCAACCAGGATGTCGTTGAACAGCATTGAGGTACCGTGTGCCGTTCTAAGAAATGTAGCATTGAATTTCCGAAAATGCGACTGCCTTGGAACATATGGTTGGGTGAAAGGCATCGAAGGATGGACATCGGTAAAAGCTTCATTCACTACACACTGCTCTATTGAAAACTTCTCCAACGAATAACGCGATTTGGCATTTAGTGAGCGTGGTTCTTGTGGTGCTCTACGACCTCCCCATGAATATGAAGAATAAGAATAACGAGACATTAGAGACGTACTCAAGTGCACTAGCAAATCCTGTCAGTAAAAAAACAGATGAATCCGAACGACCACTCACTTTGGTAGTCAAGAGTGTACCCGATGCCAAACAACCCAAGAATCAAGGCTAGGTAGGGCCCACCAGACACGTTGTTCCCAAGGAAGTAGCGCGCTTTGATTCCACCAGTCCGCGGGGTAGCAGAGCCCTTTGGAAGCTTCGAGTAAAAGCTGACGAGGGGTGCGAGTCCTTCGCCTGACCCTCCAGACTGTAATTGTATGAATATAGAGCGTAATTCAGTGATGACCGACACATACAACGAGCTTGGGAGTAGCAATTTTTGGAGGGACGAGCCCGCCGAGCTGGCGACGAATGAGAGAGGCGTGCATGGTTGATGAGGTGGATGTCCGTCGGATCGACACGGAAGATGGCGGGGCTGTTTGTCCTTGCTTGGTCATAGCGTTACTATGTTACTTGTCACACTCCCAGTTTGGACCCTTCGCTTCAGCATTGGACGTTCCAAGTTCACAAGGTGCAATGACGCGAGTTAGCAGGCCTGATATCGCTGTGAGTAAGTATGCTTTAAAGTTCTTGCGTATCTGAACTCTCATCCTTGTAAGGCGGTCGTATTGGGATCAGCTGAGTTGCCGTCGGCTGTGTCGAGCTACCTTTCCAACTTACACATCTGTTTTCGGAAAATTTCTATCTTGCATGTCACAAGCTACTGCGCGAACATAGTACTCGGTGTTGTTGCCGACAGCGAGCCGTCTTCTCGCGGCTGTCGATTCGTGTACTGAATGGATGTTGTGTAACGTGAACACTGCCCGGGGCCTAAGGCCTCACTCCTTGTGTCCCCGTTACTTCTTGGCGCTATTGTTTCATTCGTTAACATTCTACAGCAACGCGGTTTCCGTGTTCCCGGATGCCGTAGTATCATCAGATTGTTGGCCTAGACACACGAGTCTCTACTAAGTAAGTCCTCTTTGCGCTAAAGTATAAATATTCTGCTCCAGGGACACACTCTCCTGGAGCTTCGAAGCAATCATGTTGATTCTACGGAACTAACATGGCGCTCGGATGAATCAAAAGTGCTAAGTAGGTGTACTCCACTTCACATCCACTCCAATAATATTTCGTGGGGGCCTAACACAGATGCAATTATAGATCTTTCAATCACGTTCAACATCTGATCCCCTCGGCCACAAGACTGTCTGATCATGATCTTACGACTTACGGCGAGATGAAATTCTCCGACGTCATATTTTCCTTCAGGCGTGTAGGAACAGACGTCGTCGAAACACCTCGGGCATAATAACGGATGCGGGCAGCCGCTACATATCTATAGTAACCATATCACAGCCAAATACGAATTAACATCACAGGTATTTACGATGAAGAAGCGGCAGCAGCGTCGCGCGCAGCGCGAGCTTGGGCTGCTCGGCATGCAAAGCAGTACTCGTCAACTTTATCAATATCTCTCTGAATCTCTTCGCCAAAGTTCTAGTTTGTTTCCGGTGAGTAGATCAGTCCCCGTTTGAAATTGAAAAAGACCCTGACCTGTAAACAGGTCGGCTGGCGACACTCCCGTGGATGCCTTAGGCTCCGTGTACAGCGTCGGGAGTTGCAATCCACGATGGCAGTGATCATGTGGCGTTGAAAATGCTAATAAGACATGGTTACGTTGGTCGCTGCAGAGCCTCATCGTCACGAACCATGCACTTCAACCAACGCGTTCCATCACTGCGAAAAAGGAGATGAGCCTTCTTTGCCTCGACGAACAAAACAGACGCGCTGAGACACGTACGCCATTCGTTGACACATGATGCAAAGGATAGGGTATCAGAGAGGACGGGAGGAGTAGGGGCTCTAGATGAACAACAGTCGAGGAAGTTATGAGTCAAGAGATGTGTATTGTGAGTCACAGGTCAACTCGCTAGGAGGGGGAGTTTGGTTGATCAATCCCGTTCCTTGCCCTGTTTACTTATGCAAATCCTGGATCCCAACTGACATGGAACATGCCGTAATTCACAGGGTGTATCAAATAATTCATCATCGATTTAAGCAATGTGTCTGTATGCGAGATCCATTGCCATTACACATCTGTACCCATTCGACAAGTTCTACTGTTTCCTCAGACGCTCTACTTCAGCTGACCCCTCGCCGATTTATCAGAGTCGAAGCGGTCCTTATTTCCGGCCCTAATTCCGTTCGGCCGTAGTCCCCCTACTAAGTAGCGCCCCAGATGCAAAGCCAGTTGGGCATGTTCTCGCTAGGTCTTCTCCAGATGTGCAACGAACAAAAGCGGACTTTCAAGTTTCGGCAACAGTGTCCTTTATCGATTCCCTTTCAGGGTCCGTTTTATCATCGAGTTTAGGCCAGGGAAAGATAAGTAGGACCCAGCTAACGGAAGGATCCTGATCCGAGTATTTTGGCTGAATAAGTCCAAAGCGTGGTTCGAGGATTTCGGTAACCGTGAGTTGACCTCACTAGAGTTACCATCAGAAAGTTCTACATATGTCGTCTGGTTCTATTATATGTGGTTCATATCGATTCCTCAAAGTGAAACGGATCAGACGATGTGCGAAGCGTCTAATTCGGTATATAAATGGTCACAATAAACGTGCGTCTCATGAACAAGACATGTTGCTGCGGTGCTGTTTTGTCCTTGGTACCGACCCATGTGGGTCTAGGACCCATGAACATCTAGCGTGAGCGTCTTTAGTAGGGGCATGGCTAGCCATCATGCACCGGGTACCTGAGCTCGAGAACTCGGGGAAATTACTTGCAAGTACAAGTCTTATGCTTAAAGTTAATGTGAAAATTCTTTAATAAAAACAGTCCTAGAAAGACACCGCCGCGGCGGACTACTATCTAAGCTTCCAATGAGCCTTCGTACCGCAAGGCCCGGCGCTCCTTTACCTGCCTGCCAGCTGTCAGAACGCCGAGATAACTATGGACCTATACAAACAACTCCCTTGTATCGATGACAGGCCCTGACAAGAAAATTTGTGATTTGTCAATCCCGGGTTGTTCGGCATGGTCAAACAAAGAAATCAATCTAGCCTGCATCTGGTGTGACTTATCAGAAGAGCAATCAGGGCACAATGACGTCGTATCGTCTTCGGAACGAGGCGCATTATGAGCGGACCATGGTCAATCATGTTTCGATTTTGATGCTCCCTGCTGAGAACCTAGATGTACAACAACAAATTTCCGCGTCAGAAGGTTGAATATGCTACCAAATATGAAAGCAATAAGAGAGCAACTGAATATTATGACGTTGTAAGGCATGCTGAAATCTGGGGTTGCGAGATCGACCAATAGCGGCGGGGTATATATGCGACCTGCGAATTCGTGTTCGATGATGGAAGCGTTCGAGCCCGGAAGCGGTAGAATGATGGCTGGGGGTAGGTCCCAACCGCGCTGAGCGTCAGGGGGGTGTTCTGTGTATCGTAGAAAGGCCTTGGTTACGTCAATAGTTAGATAAACAGTGCCGTCCGCTGGTAAGTTTATGACAGCTTGGAATGTTGCGGGTCTTGAATGAGGTACCGGGGGTACATATGATATGTTGGATATGAGATTGTCTCCTAAACGCGCGTCAGTTAGAACAACGTACATGATAGGCGCGCTTACGGCTAGCATCACTGGATACACGCATGGTATGTAGATAAAACTGAACAATCCAGGGCATTGTCTCCAGATAGAGGACTTGCAAGGCAGATGGAGCGTTATTCTTGATGACCAAAGACAGTTGTCCTCGATCCTGACTAGCTCCTCGAAGTGTACGGCGGACGGAGATAGGCATGGAGGGAATCTTAGGAGGATCCAAAGCTGTATCACAATCAGTGCCTGCCGGTACACACGGTGAAAACTTCACTGACCGTATGTAAAATCTGATGCCCATTTTAATTTCACGTCGAGAGCTTCTGACACTGTTTACCACGGTCACCAAATGAGCGGGCAGATAAGGTGTGAACTCACAGTTACTTAGGTCATAGAACGCCACGTTCTGGTCAATGCGTGGCGGTTCGGGGGTAATACTGTATAGTGCTCCCCTGGGTAGAGCCACATCCACTATACTCGACTGGGCTACAGGACAGGTTCGTTCGATAGTACGGTCGAACAAGGTACTAAAAGACCAGTCTAATGGCACAATCATTAGTACAAACAAATGCCCCAAACACCAAAGTTAAAAACCTTGTTTTTTTCCAGCTGATATGCGCAGTGGATCGGAAACCGACTGAAACGTTAAGCGCACTTCTACGCCCGCATCGGGGTTCCAAAGAACGTGAAGGCCCATCCCATGCCAATTGGCATCGAACAAGCGGTGCGGGTTCAATAAAGACGCGATACCAGATAACGATTTGCACGGCAATAGTTTCAAAAATGGCGTCAAATTTTCGGTACAAACGTGTTCAGAAGCCAAAGAAGCATGTCTGAGTTCATGCTCAACTCCCCAGTCAGGAAGACTGCCTTCGGGTGCAAATGAAAGGACAGGCGAGGTCGTACGCTGTTCATCCAACGATCCTATGGATGCACAGAAGAGACCTGCAAGGGCATTTCGAAGGCCTTGCCACCGGTAATCTATCCTGTTTCAAGTCAGGCCACGGATCAATGGCCTGTAAAGTAGAATCACGTACGTTGTTGGACCACCGCCAGCCATCCACGCCCACAACTCCGCACCAGTACCAACATCCCGTTCTTTTGGGTATCCCCATGAGTCATAGTTCCACTTGCCTGCGTTCAAGGTAAGATGCAGTTCGGTGACCGCGTATTCTCGCAATATTTGGCCTAAAGCAAGAGGAAACAGGCTGTAATGCTGGGCTAAGGGCAGGTGAGATCAACGAAAGATGGAACAATATTGCAGCATACACTCGTCATCGAAGAATAGGGTCCGGGGTTCTCTTGGCGTCCCGTCCTTTAGCAGGATATTGAATGAAAATGTCGACGCGACTCGGCCGTCCTGCAGCGTCTGGAGGGAGACTTGCTCACGAAATTCCTCGTTTTCCAAGTGCCGGCTTGATACGAGTGTACAAAGAACGGCAATAAGAGCTAGATAGCGTTTCCAGAGCATCTCCAAGGACCGAGCGCCCTGTCGTGGTGGTTCGTTGTCACGCGCGTCACACAACCCAGTATGACGGAGTTTAGATTATGCACCGTCGGAGCTTGTAACTGTCCTTGATTTTTTCTCCATCAACAGCATTTCTCCAAAGATTATTAGAAGGTAAAGCATAAATTTTTATTTTATTTTCGTATGGCCAATAAATTGTGCTCCTTTCGTCTCGCAGCGTGGATTTTTGTCGTTTGATCTAGTCCACTCGTTGGCACAAACTTTATCGGCGATCAGAACCCACCTATCCTGAACGCGTCGCGCCCACGCGTAAGTATTACTTAGATCCGAAAGCTTCACAACGCGAAGAAAAATTTCTTCGACACTAAGGCTTCTCTACAAGGAAATCCCACCCCAGAGAAATATGTCCTCTATTGCTTCCAAAACTTTCAGGATTGAACTGTCGGATACTCAGGACTACGCGTATCATGCCGCTCGGCGCGTTATCTTGCATCCTGAGGTTCTGAAAGCTGTCAAACTGTGTACCGGGGATGTTGTTGCCCTATCAAGCGGAGATACTCTGGACATCGTCAAGGTCAGTCCCAGACCTGGGCCCAAACACTGTATTGGACAGTCACTTGATATCACCTTTACCAATAGGATTTTGCGGTGGGTATTGTATGGCCCTGCACCGACGTGTCACAGGAATGTGAGCCCCATATGTTCTCCGTACCGTATTCAATGACCTGAGCCGACTAGCACTCGTCGTGTCGGCTTCCCTTCTGCTAACGGCCCGTCTAGAGGCTGGTCAGCGGGCTCGCATAGTTCCTTTGGCTGGAATAGCACCATCAAAGTTACCACCTGGTGTACCATCACTAAGACAAGTACAAGACGCCTCTACCATCCGGGTACACGAACTTCTAACCGAAAACAATCAATCGGCATCAAGTTCCGCGTCCCAGTCGCATGGTAACAAGGAGAAGGATTGGCTCGCCCTGCTTGTTCGTGAAGTTTTTAGTAGGTGTTCGTTCCGTGACCCGAACGAACCTCGCTCACCTGCCGTGGTTTATCCAGCTGACCTCAAGTACATAACGTCGAAGCAGATCATAGAGATTATTTACGAGGCGAGAAAAAGACGATTCGCCATTTCTTCCATCTCTAGCTACGGTGATTTGACGCAAGACCTTTCAAATCTTTCGCTGGATGACGCGACGAGGCTATGGACGGCTACTTGGGAAACCTCCGTTGATATCGTGCAAAAGGAACCACCTGCACCACCTCGTGTAAATGCCACAGTGAGAACGATATCAAAATATCTCCGTATCGCAGTTCTCATGACAAGCTCGTGCGTAGGTCGAGCACTTGTCACACCTTGAATCCGCATACGCCTCCGTGGGTGGCCTCAACCAGCAAATCTCCCAAATACGCGACCTTTTGGAAATTCCACTGACCCGTCCGGAGCTATTTCGTCACCTTAGCATGTATTCTATTTCACTTAAGCCGAATTTTTCCCTTGACCATCGGTACAGGTCTGAAACCACCTCGCGGCATTCTCCTTCATGGTCCCCCAGGAACAGGGAAGACTCATCTCGCGCGTGCAATAGCTGCGTCGACAAAATCGTCCGTGCTTGTGATTAACGGCCCAGAGCTTTCTTCTGCATACCATGGGGAGACGGAATCAAAATTACGAGATGTATTCACAGAAGCAAAGGAGAAAAGTCCCTGCATCGTCATTCTCGATGAAGTCGACGCCCTCGTTCCTCGACGAGAGGATTCTGCCGGCGGGGAGGTCGAGAAGCGTGTTGTCGCAACGCTGCTCACTATCCTCGATGGCATGGACGACTCCGCCGACGTGGGAAGAGTAATCGTCATCGGAACGACCAACCGCCCCAACGCAATTGACCCAGCGCTCCGTCGCCCTGGACGGTTCGACAGAGAAATTGAGATCGGTAATTCCCAGCCATGTGTTCGGCGTCCTCCTGGCTGATTCGAATTCATGTTCCAGGCGTACCAGATGCCCAAGGTCGCCTCTCGATCCTCGAAGTACTTCTGTCGAAAGCCCCGCATTCTATCCCTAAGGAAGACCTCCAAATCCTTGCTTCGAGGACACACGGGTATGTCGGGGCCGACCTAAGTGCTGTCATTCGTGAAGCTGGTACCCTTGCTATCAAACGATGGCTTGCCTCTGAGACGTCAAATGACCCGGGCCCGGACGACTTGGCCATAACCTTTCCCGACCTTCTCAGCTCCCTCCCGGCGATCCGTCCGTCCGCTATGCGATCCCTCTTCGTCGAAGCGCCGCCTGTGCGCTACGCAGACATCGGCGGCCAGGCATTCGTTATAAAAAAACTACAGGAGTCGGTTGAGTGGCCCTTGAAACACCCTGAGGCCTTCCAGAGACTTGGCGTGAAGCCGCCCAAGGGTGTGTTGCTTTATGGACCTCCTGGGTGCAGTAAGACGGTATTGGCCAGAGCATGCGCCAGCGAGAGCGGTGTCAACTTCGTTGCCGTGAAGGGTCCCGAGGTACGGACCATGTGCCAATTCAATGATCTTATCTCAAACTCCTTATCTTTGTAGTTACTCAACAAATTCGTCGGCGAATCCGAAAGAGCCGTGCGTGAGATATTCAGGAAGGCTCGAGCCGTGTCGCCTTCTATTATTTTCTTCGTACGTCAATACCCCATTCTTGGTAGGCGGTCTCATCCAAGCTGGTTGGCAGGATGAAATAGATGCACTGGCAACCTCTCGTACATCTTCGGAAAACAATGCGGGCTCTTCACATGAAGGGGTCCTTACAAGTCTTCTCAATGAAATGGACGGCGTTCAAGAATTGCTTGGTGTGACAATCATCGCTGCAACAAATCGTCCAGATGCTATCGATTCAGCGTTGATGCGTCCGGGCCGCCTCGACCGAATTCTATACGTGGGACCACCAGATTATGACGGCCGAAAAGAAATTCTTCGCATACGCATGAACAGTATGAGGGTGGAAAGTACTGTCGATCTAGATGAGATTGCCTCAATAGTACGTGTTTACGAACAATAATTTCGATCTTCGTACTGATCGATCGATGAACCAGACCGATGGTTGCTCGGGTGCAGAAATTACGGCCCTGTGTCAAGAAGCTGCCTTGTTGACTATGCAGGACAATATGGACGCACCTTGGGTATGTTGTTTGTCGTTTGCTTTTCGATAATTCTCTTCTAAAATTTTATCTGATCGCGAAGATTCCTAATGATGCCTTCATTACCGCCGCAAAAGCAATGAAACGCCAAATAACACCGTCCATGCTTGCCAAGTACGAAAAATGGAAGATAGACAATGGGTTGAGAAACTTGTAATTCCATGAATGTAACATGCGTGTTTGAGCGCCGTTAGTCGTTGCTTATCACTGGCCTCGTCTAGAATAATCTTCTAGTTGAAATCTCTAGTTTTGGCTGATGGAAAACATTTCACCAGGTCGTTACTCAGCGACAAAATAATCAAAACCGGGGTTCCGTTAAAGGAACAAATAGGCCTTCACGGTAAGCTATTTCAACAAGAGTATGAATGCTTAGTGCTTTCATGCGTTCGAGTCCTTGGTAATTGATGTTCCTGGCTTGATACCCGGGATCTAACAATACCCTGATAAGAGATAATTACGAAGACATGTCAGACCAAGCCAATCCGCCGGTTTTGATAAATAAATAGGATCCATTCGATTTTACGTATCTCTCTATGCAGACGGAGTCATTCCTCGGCAAAATACGATGATCTACAAGATAGCAGGATCGTTTCTGACTCTGATAAGTGGACACCTTTTCGGGACCAGAAATGCTGCGATGTATCCACGATATCAGGGTTACAGATGGGCGCCGTGAGTGTAGTGAGGTTGCAGCGAGGGGGCAGTGACAAGCCTCTCACCCTTTTTCGCTACTCAGATTGTAATGATGTAAAGATAACATTCTGGGGTGACGCGCTCTCGTTGACCGAGGCGTAGATAAGAACGGTCGCGTGCAAAAGGCCCTTAGCCCCAGTTTCTGTGACTCAACGAGGGTGGAGCGAATCAGAGTTCTGAACTGTAGCTCAGTCTAGGTTCTAAGATTGAACGCAACACTAGACTGATAAGACGAAGGCAACCCGAGGTATTTATGAAAGCTCAAGCCGACTTGGTTTAAAAGGATAAGAAAGGCTCTTGGTACTTCTCCGTAGCCGATACTTATTTCAGTTCAGACGCAATTGTATTATATAAATATATATTGATGCCCGTAGTAATTCTTGACCACTCGTGTATTTGAAGTTCGGGTATTGATGAGCTATAGGTTAAAATGGTCCAGATTTTGTGTATGTGTTCGTTGACCGGAACCTCAAAATTTCAATCAGAATGAAAACTACGTTCAACTGCTGGCCATGGTAGGCAACACCACACAGGCCTCCTTCAGCGCTTAAAAAATTTCTTCTACCCATCTTGGTACTGCACCATCTGTCAAGTTCATTGGTATCGGCCCTTCAAGGGCACTGCCAGTGATAGCGTAGTACCAGGTTAATCAACTGATTATTTGCTCACCTCTCAGCTATGCTGAAAATTGATTTGAACAAATATCATGCAAGCCCCCTGAAGAGAGGTTCTCTCTCATGTTCCAGGCTATACTGGCATTCGTAGTACAGTGATAGATGAAACAAGTACTTGAGTTGCGGTGAAGAGCAAGGGGCGGCCCGATCGGTCGACAATGGGCGTTGGATTTCGGCCCGAGGGTCTTGCCGAAATCCACGTGATAGGGTATTCTGGAAAATGCCATCGCGGCATTGACATCGCCCCTCATTAAGCGCTAAGCGCCTACGACCAAGCCTGAGAGCCTCTTGTATTCTGATCATCACCCTCGCCTTTTCTGTTCGTAACCCCCACCGAAGCTGTTATCATGGATGCCCGTCTGCGACGTGTGAACAAGGAAATTGCTGGTACGTTCTGCTGTTCCATGGCATCGATGAGAAGATCGACAAAGCGACCTAGATTGCAAGAACGATAAAACTTCTGGCATTAAAATTGAACTCATTGACGAATCGCCATTTCATCTGAAAGGCATCTTTCCAGGCCCAGAGGGTACGCCTTACGCAGGTGGCACGTTCCTAGTCGACATCATCATTCCCGAATCATATCCTTTTCAGCCGGTGAAGATGAAGTTCATAACGAAAGTTTACCACCCGAACGTTTCCTCTGCTTCAGGCGCCATATGTCTTGATATCTTGAAAGACGCGTGGTCGCCAGTTTTGACGCTCAAATCCACGCTGATTTCCTTGCAAAGCCTGCTTTGCAGTCCGGAGCCGAATGATCCGCAGGATGCGGAGGTGGCGAAACACTTCACGACCAGCAAGGGAAGCTTTGAGGACACCGCTACATACTGGACACAGATCTATGCTGGGGGACCCGGCAAGAAAGGCGCATCTACCGCGTCAGGCGGTGGGGACGGAAAGGATGAGGTGGCTATGGCCGGCTTAGAGAAAGCCCATGTAGACCAATTTGAGGCTCTGGGTTTCCAGCGGGGCAAAGTAGTACGTGTTTCAGCCTTCGTGCCATCGAATGATACTGATGTTGGTGTAGATTGACGTTTTGAGAAGACTAAATTATCGCGGCAAGAATGTTACGCAGATATCGGAGGATAGAGTAGTCGAGGAGCTATTGAAGTGAGCCCTCGATGACTGACACTTTTTGGCCTGTAATGTTCCGTTATGCTTTGCCTTAATCCAAAGACTTTTGATAATATCCGGCAGGATCTGATCGTATGTGAGATGGCAACGCCATAACCCTTTTTGGCGGCATGTAGCTGGCTCACTTTACTACGGTTGTACTGCATCTCAGGCTGTACTCTCAAACACATAGCGGTTAGTTTTGAAACTAGAACGCTTCTCATCCACTTGTCCAATGGTAGCACTAATGTAATTATCGGTATCCGACAATAAGGTTACCAGGCAACAAGTATACATTCAAGGTTGGGGCGTGCGCCCTCCTAATGAAAAATCTTTCCCGCATGTTTTAGGGAGACGCGTTGCCACTGGCTAAGTGAAACTGGTCTTGCTTTTTCCTGTGTAACTCGACTCATCGCGAGCAGGACAGAAACACTCAGTAAAACTCGTTGTTTATGCTCTGCGTCCATTGTCACGAGAAACTATGATCCCCTCTTGGTGGAACCCGACATGTGTGGGGATGTCGTCTTGCCAGTGAGTGCCCTGATTGGCGCCATCGCAAACATTATCTTTCTGGGATGAATGGGCAGGCGTGATTTGGTTTAATTGTTCTTAAATCAAGCAACGACGTCTTCTTGATACAGGTTCAGATGCAATGGCGGGGCCTATAATCAGTGCTTCCAGTACCCGTACCTGTCGCATCTTGCTGCGGTACGAGTTGTCGTTGAGTCATAAACTACAAAGGTCCGTCGCCGTTGTTCCGTTTTGATGTCCATAATGATAATGCTTAACTTACAGACGTGTTTGTTAAGCAGCCGAACGACGGTTATCTAACACTTGAACAAGAACCTCCGACATCTATGATGTTTGATGATACCGGCCACAAAGCATGGCCTACTCGCCGTTGCTGAGGGGCACATATCCAGCGAACATTTGTCGCATTTAGCAGTGCCAATGGCAAGACGTATCAACCTTGGTATCACCTAATGAACACCCAATACCAATTATCACTGACAATAATTTTTTGATTAATTTGGCTCGATTGTAAGAGAATGGAACTGTACTTGGTTTGATTCGCGTATTAGGATTTGCAAGGGGGTCGTCTATTCGCGGTTCATTGAGCACTGATCGCACAAACCTTCATAGCCTGTAACAGCGACTTCAGACATGTGTCTCGTTAATCTTCAGGACTTCACTGCCGATGAGCGTTCTCCTCAGCTCATCTCTACGCGCGCTCTGATGGATTGGTTTAGTATAATGTTTAGGGTGACTGTCGACCGTATAAATTGCTGGACAATCTGATCAATCACTACAATTCGACACCGACATGGCCCCTCAATCTGAAGAGAAGAAGCGTCGTTTGCCCCGTGCGTGCGATATGTGCAAGAGAAAGAAAAGTAGGAATTTCATGCCCTGGAAGTGTGGAATTTACTAACAAGCTTTTCGCATTTAGTTCGATGTAGGTCGAAGTTGCTTGCCTATTTGATCGTGCGCCTCATTATGATACACAGGCGACAGCGACCAAATGCCCGGCAAACGTTGCTCAAATTGTGTTGCTTTCAACCTCCAGTGTACTCATGTAGAAGCCATGAACGTGAGTGCCTTCTGTGCGATAGAGTCATTCTTCATGTCTCATTTTCCTCAGAGCTTGGGGAGTGCCAAAGGGTACCCGCCCGTCTATTTCAATCGTTTTTAAGCTGAGCTAAAAGAACCCTTCTAGATATGTGCAGACGCTGGAAGGACGACTTGACAAAATGGAAGACCTTTTCAAACGCGTTAGATCACTCCTCTTGCTCCTTAAATCTTTACTCACAGACATTATTTATTAGAAGGCCCCCGGCGTCGACTTGGACGCACAGCTCAAGGAAGAGACAGAAGAAGGCTCCTCTGCCTTGCAGGTCAGGAGAGGTGATCAGGATCAAGATATCGCTCGTCTTAGCGAGGGTGTCAGCAGGATGCTTTCCATTCATCCCGACAAGTCGTTTTTTGGAATGTCTTGGTGCGTAACTTTTTCGATCATAGCAGTTCCACGTCTCATTATACTTTTGCACAGTGTATGTTCGACAACTAACCCCTTAGTTTAACCATTAATTTTGTTCTAGGGTTTACACCTGCTGCCTTCTATCATACAGCGAAGACAGCAGTATTTCGGAAGGGAGACAATCACCTCAAACGAACTCCCCATTCGACGCAGAGAACAGTTCTGGAACCGCCAGTCTGTAAGTTGGGACGTGTTCTCTTATGCCCTCTGTAGGCCTTCATTAAATTAAACTTGTCAGAAATATCCCATGCGGGTAAACGACACTGTGCCGGTATATGTCTTCCCGGATCCTGATCTCATGCTGGCTCTTGTCACACTATATTTCACTCATTATAACTCCTACCTGCCGCTCCTACACCGCCCTACCTTTGAGAAGGCCATGGCGGATGGAGAGCATTGGACCGACCACCTTTATGCTGGAACTTTACTTCTCGTATGCGCCCTCGGTGCACGACACTCAAACGATCCAAGGATATTCTCTGCCCAACCAGGGGGAAGCGAAGCGGGCTGGAGATTTTTCGAGCAGCTGACATCGTTTCAGACAGCCTTGCAAGACCGCACCTCCGCCACTCTTTATGAGCTACAAATTCATTGTGTACGTTGTTTTTCGTTTAAAGTACGTGTCGATGAAGCCTAAATTCTTTTTGTAGCTCTCGGTGTTATATCTCGAGGCAGTTGGGCTCTGGGAAACCGTATCGACTCAAATTGGTCTAGCGATACGGATGGCTCAACAGGTTGGGGCACATGTTCACAAGAACCGACCTCCCAATGCTCATGACGAAGCATGGAAGCGCGTCTTCTGGTAATCCACAAGCATGCCCTTCTTGGCTTATCGAACTAACCGCGATACAGGGTATTGATATTTCTGGACGTGTCTCATGCCTGTCATTATGGCCGGCCTGTGGCGCTTCGCTATGAAGAGTCAGTTGCTAAGTGTTATTTGATTGCACCCATTGATGCCTTTTAGCTTTGATATTGGGTTTCCTCTGGAGTGTGATGACATCTATTGGAATCATCCGGATCCAGCGAGGCGATTTCGACAGCCGGCTGGTAGACCGTCTGCGTTGTCGGCCTTCGTCTGTCTTTTGAAGTTGGTCAATACCATCACCTACGTAAAGAGAAGTATTGTGAGTTTCTAATAGTAATGTCCTGAGGCACACAATAATGTTGCACCCCTTTTTCAGTACCATACCCGTAACCCGATGATTCTCATGGGAGGGCAGCGACGTCCCCCAGAGACCGAAATCCTGTCCAGTTTGGATTCCTTTTTGAATCAATGGTTGCAATCCGTACCGGAGCATCGTAATTTTATCTTCATTACATTGTTATCCATTACTGAATGACAATTTGAAGTGCGATGGAACCCGAACAACCAAGACGGTCTATTCTTCAACCAATCGGTATTTTTGCATATCACGTATCACTACACCAGAATATTGGTTCACAGACCATATCTCCCGGCCCCACAGTCGATTGCCACTTGCAGGGATGCCGCGTTGGCTACTCTTAATATTGTCGAGGCTCAGAGACGTAGGGGATACTTACAATTGATGCATCTAGTGGTATGTTATTCCTACACCTTAAAAAATTAGACGCTGAGGAGAGGTTCAGTCATGTGTCAATTCGACGGTGCTCACCATGTTGCTAATTCTGTGGAATGGTGCTGAGGACCCGTACAAGACCCGAGAAATGCAGTATATTGCCACTTGCATGAATATGTTGAAAGGGGTAGAAAATCGGTGAGACCTATTCCCTTCTGAAATGGCATGCTTGCTCACGCTCCTGTTTTCAGATTACCCATGGCAGGAGCATTCTGGTGAGCATTGTCACAATAGACGTGGCCTTTTTTGATTATCTACGAATTATAGGGATGTTATAGCCGATCTGGTCTCTCCAGATGCAGCGCAATCCTCCTCACGACGATCCAGGCAAGGCTCCAGAGATTCTGCAGGATCTTCGCACTCTCAGCCAGCGTATTTATATCCAAATGTACGGGTCAGCTCCGACCAGCAAGGATCGAGAGCTAGCCACCAGGCCTATGCTTCTCAGTCCACTGAGTGAGTGAGTGCTATTTTTACTTATCGTATGTACGCTAATGACGCTCCAATAGCAATCCCTTCTTCCATCAATAATCCTCAAGCGTCGGATACTTATGTTGATGACTCCTCGTGTTTCGCGTGTCAGCCATTATAGAAATAATTAGACTAGATCTTATAGAGAATAGAATATACGTCGCTTGAACTACTAATTGTTAGCATTCAAGGCTGGCAAATACTTTGATTTCTATCCAGGCAACGATTTCAGCAATTTTACTTACAGGTGGATCGGCCGACGGCAAATCCGAATCCAGCTTTCGGGTGAATTTACTTATCAGACAGTTGCTGTTCCTAACGAAATATGACCTGGCTAAAAGGCTCGCTCTTTGTCTTATCGCGAGTAGCCCATATTTTCAATGTTTCTGTTCCAGTCATCATTCGCTGTTCTTTCTGTCGAGTCATCAAAGGGAGTCATTTCGCATCAAGAATTCGCATCGGACTTGAATCGGACCCGGAACACCTGGCTGCCTTTGCCACCATCATTTCACATTATAAAGCCTCCTAGAAGACGTCTTTCGTTCCCATGGTTCATTCCTCTTCGTGACAATGAAGTCCGAACGCTCTGACGACAGTCCTGACGACGTACCTCGGTTTACTAAGGATTTCGGCTTCTTGCCTATTCCTCATCGTCTGCGATATGACCCGGAAAAGCCTTTTCACTTTGGGGTTTTGCTTAATATTTCCTTTGGCTTTGCCAGTACCTTTGGTGAGTGGTTCGATCTCAAGAAGTTTGCAGATAAGCTGACTGACTGCAGTCGTTGCGAACTTGTACTACTGCCAACCATTGCTAAGTTAGTCGCTATTCAAAAACTATTCTCAGACTCTGATCTCTGTTCATCTATCAGTCGAGATGTCCAAATCCTTCAATGTAACATATGATGAAGTCTCCACGTAAGAATTTGCCGTTCTGGTTGAGAGTCCGTATACTGACCCGGAGACTTATAGAATTCCAACTTTGGTACAAGCAGGGCATGTAGTGTTTTCCGGATGCTGTCTACGTACTAATGTGTGCTAATATTAACCACCTATCTAGTTATGCAACTGGCCTTCTTCTACTTTCACCTCTTGGTGACCTCGTCCGGAGACGCGGACTAATCTTGGTCCTCGTAACACTCTCCGCCTCTCTCAGCATCCCTCTCGCTATTACCCACAGCCTCGTCGTTTTCGAAGTCTTTTCGTTCTTTGTTGGCGTTGTCACAGTTACTCCACAAATTCTCCTTCCCCTCGCCGCTGATTTAGCGCCGCCGGAGCGTCGCGCCTCCGCTCTGTCAGTTGTTATGTCTGGGCTCCTTTTGGGAGTCCTTATCGCACGAGTTATATCTGGTGTGATAGCCCAATACACAAGCTGGAGAGTTGTATACTACATGTCAATTGGTGTTCAATTTTTTGTTCTCGGAGGGAGCTATCTTGTACTCCCTGATTATCCGGCAAAGAACAAGGACATGACCTACTGGAATATCTTATGGACGATGGCGAAATATGCATTCACAGAACCCATTCTCCTACAAGCGTGTTTGACCAACTTAGCCAGCAGCGCATCTTTCAGCAACTTTTGGGTCACTCTCACCTTTCTGCTTGGTAGTCCGCCTTATAACTATACAACGTTCGTCTCCTTCTGTTCTATCCATGACTTAGTATTGATGTTATCGGTAACAGCTTGGTGATCGGTTTATTCGGTCTTGTAGGGATGTTTGGTGTAGCCATGGGACCGATTATCGGTCGGACTATCGACAAACTCATTCCCTGGTATGCGTCGCTCATTGCGGTCATTGGCATGGCGCTATTCCAAGCAATACAAGTCGGGGCGGGGGGCATCAATATTGCTGCCGTGATCATCGCAACCTTTGGACTAGACGTATTCAGGCAAATGCTGCAGGTTTCATTGGCTACGTCGATATTCAGGTAAATTCACGTCTTTTGAGTTCCAATATCTCTCTGAGGCAATTATAACAGTATTGCTCCCGAAGCCAGAGCACGTCTCAACGCTGTATTCATTCTGTCTGTGAGTCTAGCTACATCAATCTCTTTATTGCTATGCTCATAGAGACAGCTCTTCATTGGGCAAGTCATGGGAACCTCTGTAGGGTCGGAAGTATTCATCAAATATGGATGGCGAGCTGGCGCAGCTTTATCATTGGGTTGGTCAGGATGGCAACTGTTCATGCTACTGATAAGAGGACCCCATTGCGAACGTCGTGTTTGGTTTGGATACCAGGGAGGTCTTGAGGCCCGGAAGAGCGTAGTCGAAGAACGAAGACGTCAAAAGGCCCAACAAAACAAAGATGGGGATAGGACGGCGAGGAATTCCAGAGAGCAAGAAAAGCAACCGCAAGATAACAATACTATGGTGTAAAACGAGCTCAAACATTGATAGATATAGATTAAGTATGATAGCAGTGACGCAAGCCTTCTTCTGGAGCTCCATAATACAGACATCATGGCGTACCACAATGGGAGATATAGATCTACCCTTTCAAGGTGACAGAAATTGGGTGTTTTCGGGGCGGAACGAAGCGGGATATTCGCGGAGTAAGAGGTCAAAGCATAAAATTTCCGCATATGCCATGGCAGTATTGATCTACGTCGCAATCATGACGGATTGAGACCAAGCTTGCAACCAAACAACTACGTGATAAGTGAGGGTTTGAAGATTTCCTCTCTTTGACATACGAGTCACCGTCTCCACAATACATATATGATATGGCCTTTCCCATGCGAACGAAGACTACGAGACAGTTCAAGTTTTACTTCACTATTTCAACCCAAAGTTCGCAAACTTGAAACATTCAGTCAAAAATCAATCACATCAAGAAGAAACTCCTGGGATAATCGTTCTTTTGGCCGCCGCCCGTCACTGAATATCCGGTTGGAATAGTACAGCATTGTTTTGATCTAGTCAGTGTCTATCGCAATGGAGAACTGGGATCCGTGAACCGAGAAGAAAAAAGGACATACTGGGATGGTACTAAGATTTGTGCAGAGGTCCATATCCAAGCCCCAGGCTCCGCATCACAAGGGTAGAATAGACATGGTACCACCTAGGCATTTGTGTTGAAGGTCATTCGAAAAGACCTTTGTCCAAAAAATACTTAGCAAGACTCAGTGGATGATGACAGTAACAGTTGAGTAACAGTGTGAGAAAAAGAGAGCAACGGCCCGGCAAATGCCGCCGGCTTATCCGATCGACTGAACCGCGATGAATTTGAGCCTTGAACCACTCAGTCGCCACTAAGAATGTAGACAAGATGGGACCAAACATGATGGCACCGCGCAAAGAGATTTCGCGAGTATTTTTCGCTGTCTTTATACACTCGTCAAAGGAACTGGCCCTCATCGCTTTACAGTTTTCTTTCCATTACTTTGTTTCGACCCCATCCTTCCTCAGTGATCTTTCATGGCTTCTATCTCGCTGGAGAAAGCTAATGTGGGAACCTTTGTTTTCACCTTAGCTCACCGCTGACTTGTTCTGCTTTAGTTTGTGGCCTTAGTGCTTGAGGCACTGCTATACGGTCTCTGCCTTTGATGCAACCTACTACTATTTTCTTCTGACATTGATATTAGGCGCCTTTACCGTTTTATTTCTCGCCGCTCTTTGGGTCATTTTCCAGAAACGATCAGGAATCAACGTGAAATTGTTGTCGACCGTGATCATCATTTGGATATTAGCGACCGTGGTTAGTTCACCATGATTTATTTTTTCCATTTTCTCATGATGCCATTTCTTTCTCAGCACCTAATATTGGACATAATCCGTGCCTCGGAGGCATTTGTTGGGCTCACAGGCCGCACCGCGCTAGATTATTATTCAGATCTTTCGAACCCATTGCAGGCAGCTAAAACAGCTATCTACGTGACTTTGACCCTTGTTGGGGACGGATTTGTCGCGAGTAGATTCATTTCACACCTTCTCTCGCGTTCATATCAGAATTTACCAGATCTATCGCTGTTATGTGGTATGGAATCGTACGTGGTATATCGTTCCCGGCCCTCTCTTACTGCTGTGCGGAACAGGCGGTGTGTATCCTCGATACTGAGGTCGTATGATCTGTTTGTATATCTTTGTTTCAGTAGCTGGATTTGGTGCTACCGTGGCGTTCTCTCACGCTGCACCCGGGGCGGAAGTGTTTAACTTTCTACCCGCCATCGTTCCTTGGATCACGGGTTTCATCTCGATGACTCTATGCACTAATGTCGTTTGCACTTGTAAGTTGAAACGTTTCGCTACCAATCTGAAAATTTCATGTTGTATTCGCAGCTCTCATCGCCTACCGAATCTTAAGCATTCAACGAGCCATCCATGGCCTAGCTCAGGTTAACACAGCTCGTTCTGCTCTTATGATGATCCTCGAATCGGCCGCTGTATACTCGGCCTCTGTGATCTCGTTAATGATTACCTATACCCTCAATTCTAATGCTCAATACACTGTCCTTGACCTGGTGAGCCCTCTCGTACTTGCATAGCAAAATCTCTGATCCAGATCCAGACGTCTCCATTAATCGGCATCACCTTCACGGCCATCATCCTTCGCGTCAGTCTGGGCATCAGCTCACGCGACCTGTCCGCTTTCTCGCAAACCACACCGAATCACCCTCAACGATTGTCTCTGAATCGCCGAAATCCGGTTGCAGTCAATGTTAGCCATCTCGTTGAGACGGACACCGGTGAATACCCCCTTCACAGGCAGGATGAGTGCTCGTCGGCAAAGCTCTCAGTTGTCTGATCAGACATCTTATTGCCAGTTATCCTTTATAAAGCTCAGAATAATTCATGCTCGGCGCATGGTTTTCACTTATCCCCTTCTATCATCTCACGGCTATCACTTAAGGACATTCTCTCTGCAGCACGCTGCTTGCGTAAGGCCATAAGTCGCACTCGCACACTTTTGCCGCCCTACACCGAGGTTATCCCTGCCCGGATGGAATCGAACCTGACCCAAAAATTTGGGCCAGCCACGCTGAGTTGAGGCACAGTTCGGACAAACTTCCGCCGCTCCGGACGCGAGAGCGGGTCGCGTCGGGAGGCGAGTCAGGGGCTGACGGTATCCCTGATGTAAGGATTTTGATCCTAACCTAGATGCGAACTCGGACAAAACGCCTAAATCTTCAGAGATCTTCAAGGTCTTGTTTTGCGCGACTCGGTACAGTATCACCCTATTCACCCGAGTACTGAGACCGCCGTCATCGCGTTCGACAAGACGACTTCATTTTTTCGGACGCGTCTGTGGCGTGGGAATGTTCTCGGGTCCACTTTTTATTCTGTCTCCTGACATGTGAAGCAGCCCCCTTTGACTACGACAAACAGAACGTCTACCACGACTGATTCAACATTTCGAAAGATACGAATAGAACTCGTTCGAAAAGAGAATCATTTCTTCCCTCTTCCCATATCCAACTGCACCTTTGGCCCTCTACCCGAAGGAATTTATGAAACCGACCACCCTCACTTCATGCGAAAGCCAATGACACTCGATGCTCTCTGCCGCTACGGAGAGAAGGATTACACCAACGATCGTCCCATTCACTTCGTCGCCCGCATCCATGGATATAAACGCCGTGATCCCAATGCACCTCGTTTCACAATCAAGATGGCAGTTCACGTCGAGTTCGGCAAGGGTAGCTGTCCGGATGACGTTAAGACGGATTTGATCAAAGAGGCCACTTTCCATGCGACTAACCTCAAGCACCTGCAAGAGAAGATCGTTCCTATCCATTATGGAATATGGACGGCGGAGACGACTTGGGGTGGTACGGTTGTCTGTTCTATCACAGAACACCGTGGTGTTCCGTGGCGTATTGGTGGACCATACGACACGCCTGAGAACAGGTGAGTGTTAATTAGCGTTCGCTTCGACGTCTTCTATAGCAACTGAATCGTCGATAGGATGGCATTGGTGAATATGATGCAGGATTTGCACTGTTCAGGATTCTACCATGGGCAATTAGGCGCTGGAATCAAACATCATCTTCTGTGGGACCCGCGTCGTAACCAACCTCTTATCATTGATTTCAAGGACGGGGAGCTTATTCCGTGCAACCACAAACTACCCTTAACCACCATGGAATCCAATGGATGATATGTTCTGAGCTCGTAGAGGTGGGAATGTATTTCAAGCTGTGGGGAAATAAGAAGTGTATGGATTCTTTCCAAGTACAACCTGACTTGCGCTGAGAGACTTATTGTTTTCGCAGTCAAAGATGATCTAAAAGCGCAACAGCTGCTACAGGATTATGAGTCTCACTTGTGCGCAGAAAGCGGTACACTGGCGTGTTCTTCTGCTTCCCTCAGACACAACGATGTGCATTCCAGCGAGTCGTTATGAAGTGTCGACGTAGACTAGCAATGTCTTCACGGGTGGATAGCAATTGCATTTCTACCTGGACGAGCTTTTTCAGCACGAGTATGAGACGACTTTCGTATATGAAAGCAGACTACAGACTTTATCACTGTACGGGACCAACGTCCATCGAGGACTGCGAATATGCTTTTGTAGACGTTGGATCATGCGCCCGAAGAACAGGCACAAGTGATAGTCCAGCCAGTCGGCACTTAGGAGACATATATCTGCAAGCTCGCTCTATCATGGACCAGGTTGGTGGGCTAAGGCGAGGTCCAAGAATCAAATCAAGAGCATATCGGGACTATCACACAGCTCAGGTGTTCATCACATGAAGTTCTAGGATTTCGAAAAGGTAGAATTGAGTCTGGGTTATGCACTGACAGCAGCAGCAGTTATTGTAGATGGTATAAGAGCGAAGATAACTGCAGGTTCCCGTAGTACTCCCCAGGATAGGTACCAGTTTGTATGTGTACTTTGAGGGGATTCTCGAGATCTTCAACAGGCGCGCGCGCCGTGACCACGCTGGGTACCATCCTTATTCCCTCCCATTGCGTTATTGCCAACAGATCAAAAAGCGTGTCACGTTTGCAGCCAAGACCATGGCAACAATATGCCATAACAACGTCAAAACCAAGGAGAACCCTGCCGACCGTCCGAGAATCCATACTCAACATCAACACGAACCCCTTCACTCTCCAATAAATCTAACCCGCATTGCTTCAACTGCTTTATGATCCCATTATCGCCGTGATCTGTACACAACAGCCTCAACGAAACCGCCTGCTTTTCCATGCGCTTCCTCAAGACATCCACTAGTGTCTTCGTATACATCACAAAGTTCGGCGGAACGGTTATCGCCAGCCCCTGTAGCTCAGGGAGGATTCTAGGACACAGGAGCTGATGGAAAAGAGAAAACACAAAGTTCTCCTGGTTGACGTGAACCGTTAGTTTCTCCACAGAGGATAAATCGCCTAGATGGATGCCAGATGACGTATCGGTAAAGAAACTCTGCAGGTTACACGCCAACCTAAGCAGAAACGTCGTCAACTCGCCGGAATCGGCCCCGCATCCTACGATCCTCAATTCCCGTGGTGTAGGAAGAGTGAGGGTGTCCCAATATTTGGGTGCTGTTGGTGGAGAACCGGATGATTCGCTCGTTCATGACACGGATTGGAGACGACGACTGGAATATAGGTCTGTACACGGAAAGATGGCATTCGACGAGGGAGGGGAAAGACATGATGTGCTCGACGTCTGAGATATGGGTTGTAGTCGCTCAAAGGTGCGTGAGCCGCCGCTCGTCTATTGGTGTTTGAAAGAGTATGAAAAGATGGAGGTCTACTCTCCGAAGAGAGCGAGTTACCGCGAACGTATCGGTGGAACGCATCAGGCTCTTGGTACTGGAATTGGGTAGGAAACCGGCACTACGAAGAATGTGTATGAGTCGTTGGTCCACCATGCTTTAAATACTGCCCATTAGTAACGGAACTATCGTTTCAGTAAAAAGATATTTACAGAACAGAAGAGTATCTCGATGATTTGCAGGATAGACGAGAGACAGGATTGAGAGAGAAAAGGTGGGATCAGTGAAAATACCCATATCAACGACCGGTTCTGCGAGGTCTTCAAGAAAGAGGCGCGCAGGAACCACAGGTTTTTTTGCCCTTGACTCGGGCGGGTGCTTCAGAGACCACAGTGACGAACACATGGTGCACAGAAAGAATATCATGGACGCCCAAAAGACAGAACTCCGGGCCTCGAACGCGTATGTGGCGTGAGCGCATTAACATTTTCCCGCTATTCTTGCTTTCGAGACGGGGCTGGGACTAGCATAGGCCCGTGATACGATGGTTTCTTGCCTATGAGTATGAGTGCGGTATGCCGGATGGGTGGCGATGGCGGATGGGATATCATGGAACGCAATAGGGAGAAAGTTTCATCAGGTGTAAAATCTACGCCTCTAGTTAGCAATTCACGTCTAGACAAAGGAGAAGATCCACCTGAATCATATACCTACCGATGAGGACCATAGCATCTGACAGAGACCATACCACTAGTTACGCGCCGGGACCCTACCACACAGTCATACCGAATGTCAGCCAACCGGCAGCGTTATTGTACTGCAATATCGGAGATGTCGACGCTTGAAACAAATCACAGCAAAAGGCGCTCCCGAAAAGAAAGATGAGATAATGGCAAGAAACAACCTCGGCGTCGGAGTTCTGGTGCGCTTTCTGTCAACAGCGGCCATCACCGCTTGCTATTACGCCTCAAATCCCGTCCCCACCTGGTTCCTTTGGAGGATGTATATCACGGCGCATATAGCATTGTTGGCTGGAATATCGAGCTTGAGGTAGTCATGAAGGGCTCGGGAAACTATGAGCGGATGCTTCTGCAGCGCAGTAAACGACGGTCAGCATCAATTTCTTCGAATTCGTTCGTGTTCTCAATTTTCTCGTGACATACTTAGTGGATAGCCGCAAGTTATTGTATGCTGATTTCAAGGCCCAACCAGATTCGAGTACAGGGTACCGCATTCGGGATCTGTTTGCTTTCGCAGTTGAGCATCTAGGTCGAGGCTCCAAGAGCTTCAAGCTCCAATCCAGGGACGCGCTGAAGACTTTCTCCACCAAATATATCAGATTGACGCTAGAGGAACATCTTACATCTCGGTATGTCCCTTGTCATAGTCCGTCCACGCCAGGTGTCTCATGAGAACTAGGACTTGCATCTTGACAACGTATTGCCAAATACGATGAGCGCTAGGCTCTAGCCTTATCACCACTTGGCTGCGTGGTACCAGATTGCCTATGCAAATGACTGACTGAGCAATCTGATTGTACAAAATCCGAATAATAGGGAGCTCGTGGAAATGGCGCTACATCTCAAGTTATCGGGGAGTAAGAAGGGTATTTTACTCGAACTTGGAAATACCTCTCCGAACCATTTACCATCGACAGTCAGACGCCATTCAAGGGTGCCATCGTCGTGGTTGATTACGTGTTCTACGTTAGGAGAGTCGCCACCAACCAATCACTTCTGCTATGGCAGGATCAAGACGTACGATATTCGCGCCGTCGATGGGAGCTTGAGACTTTAAATAACAGCGACATGATTACCCTGTTCCCTGCCGACGACACGCGACATGCTTCATCTCCGCTATTATAACTCAACGTTTCGTCATACGGTCCACGTCTTACATGCGGAGTGGAACAGCAGGCACTGATGGTATGCTATCTCACAGCCATGCTTTCGTCTAAGCTAATTGCTCGGCACAGAGTAACCTGAGCTTTCCCTACAAATAAAGTATACCATTCCCGACAACGTAGCAGTCGACTCGGCACCTCAGCCGGTACTCCTCCGGGTAGAAGACAATTTTTTCGCTGAGCTATGAACGTAGAGGACCAATGGAATGTATCAAAGTACTATCAATAGCGGTATTCCAAAGCGCTCTCCGTTCTTTTGTTAAGAAATCACAATACATTGATACAGCTACTGGCAGCGAAGCCCAGAAATTTCCGGGACAACCAGAGAGATTAACCGGCACCCTGGCACCCGACCGTCACTGCAAGCGTATGCGTGACCGACCCAGATTATCAACAGAATTTTACAACCAAGAGAGGTTCCAAGATAAAGAAGCAAATGTCAAGTCAATAACGTCGCGGAATCTGGCCGGTGCTACGGCCGAACAAATCTGAAAGCGCATTTCTTCTCTTCCATCATCAGTGCCTTCCCTGTTGCTTCCAACGCTGTTCTGCCAGAAGTAATCATCCAAACGCGGTTCAGAATATGACTTATCAAATGACCATTTGCCGTGCATGATAGTACGGGAATTCTCCTAGCTTTGATGGATCTGGATCTTCCTTACATGCATAGCCTTCAAAGCATTGTTGCTTTTGTTTACAAGACATCTCGTCTCATGCATTGGAGGTTTGGCTTAATGTACAGAAATCCGATTCACAAGATGACGAGACTGGGGTCGATAGAATTGTTCGGGTTAGTAGAAGACGTACATCATGGCGTGCCAACTTACAGATCTTCTTACATAGGAAAAGTATGTTTGGGTCGCGACGAAATGGAGTCAAGACAGAGATATGAAGTTACGGATATCACTGCGAAGCGTCAGGGTGAGATCTTTTTGAACACATCTAGCCATCGGCTCTTAGAAAGATCTCTACGTACGCTCAGGACGTTCACCTTAACGCCGTCAAAGCGTCTAACCTGCTCTTAGACGCCGAATGTTAGTATTCCATGAAGGCAAATGATGGTAAATCCTACCTAGCTTGCTGCCAGGTATTTTACTACTCTCAGTGGTAGCAACTCAGCCACTGCTTAAGTGATGAGACTTTTGGATGAGCAAGACCAAGGAGAGCAAGCTTTGTCTTGATAGAAGTGCTCATGGGGTTTTAGGTGTGCTATTCGCTTCCATGCGGTGTAAACCACGACTTACGGCTCAGAACCGAAGTGTTTTGAGATGCGGTAAAATGTATTATCAGAGGCAACGGCGGTAGATCTGGAGAAAGAGAAACTATATTCTCGCTACGGGTCAGTCACTAGACGGCTTTGTAAAATTTCCTTCTGCTAATTTTTTTTAGTCGCATCCAGAAGATGACATGCACAACAGGGCCCATTTTGCTTGACCTTCAAGACTTTGTCGTTTTGACCGGCTGAAACCACTACTTGAGAACATCGCTAGCAGAAGGGAGTTTGCACAAACCCCAGTCGTCGACTTCATGTGCAGGAGATGATAGTTACGCGGCGTCAAAATAAAGCTGGTATAATATCAAGCTCCCCCATGCAGGTCAGTCGTCGTCTTGGTTCATTTACGTTTATTGCATCAAGTTTATGGATACGGACAGATATTATCACAAGCACCGATTTGTACGTCCATTTGGCCTGTTTTACTGTGTCCCTCACCCGAATCTAAATGATCTTAGCATGTCAATCCGGACTACTGTAGCGGTTGTTTTGGTTTAGGCTATGACGATGGATAACAATCTTTTCGTAGCGCAAGGTAAACCATGACTTCTGGTCAATTGTGGTCCTGAGAGAACTCAGCGCTCCATATCCTTGATCTGGTGCTAAAATTATGTTCGATCTGGCGTTTCCCACTAAAAGCACAAACGATCTCGTGCAACCATGAAGCGTCAGATATCAGGAAGGTCGAACAGCAAAGGGTGGCGAACTTGATGGGAGAAGGGCGGCAGATAACGCGGCTTATTGTTTGATTAAAGTCGCTGTCAATTCGTTGTTTCTATTCTTCTCATAATAGATGCGACTGATTTGTTTACGATTCATTGGATCGTACTTCACAGCCAGAACTGGGCCAATGGTAGATACCTCTGGACACAACTTCTCGAGGGTCTGGCGCTCCATGATGTGATGAAAAGGTAGACGAGTACGCATGCCTTCATTGATCATTTGAAGCGGCGCATACTATCTTATTCACATATCATGTAGTCACGGAGGGATTAGTTGATTACCGAACAAGGAGTAACACGCACCTGGCTGGAATAGAATTCTTAGGCGTCTATCTTGCCGCAGATTTGCGAAAACAACGTGCGGCTGTGATGTGCTTCGATGACGCCGGTCCGACTGTTTTTGCTTCCTACCGCGAGGACAAGACGCACCAATCCTATAGGTGCAACCCCGGCGCAACTACAGCTTTGGTAAAACACCAAGTCGACTCTGTAGAGAACGTGCAATAGTGAATATGCATAGTTATATTCTTGTGATTTTTCATATCCTCATTCTGGTATGACCAGGAAAATTCAGAATGAATAGGGCTGAATGGGTCGAGCGCTATAGAGGTGATATATCTCTGCCAAATAGGGATGAGGTGAGTATATGAAATGGGGATGGAAAGGTAGTAAATAATGCACTGCAGACTCGGAGAAAGCAGGCACACCTCAAGTATGAGAGTCTCCCAGAGGTCACCCTCTCCGCCGTCACTACTACTAGCCAAGCAAAATCATCCATTCCTGTGCCAAAGCAGTGGTCCTACACCGGTAGAAAGCCGGTTATATCATCCTCTCTCGCCAACACTCCCTGCACCAGCCTCGGCGTTGCTGGACTTCTAGAGAAACTCAATTCCGCGCTCGGAACGTCATACACTTTGGAAACCCCTTCCTTATCCTCTCTTCTTGAAGCCTACAGCACCAAGGACTACGACTTTGGTACTGTCTATGCTCACCTACGCCCAGTTTGGTACGATGGATTGACCGATGCCAAAAACGAGCTACATGCCTACGAAATACAGGACCGGGAGATGCGACAAGATGTACTCATGAATAACAAGATCGTTGCCAGCTCAATGCCTCCTCGATGCACCTGGGATCTATACAGCAATCGTGTTGTGCCATGGGGGATATCCCATGCATGGATGGAAGAGAAAGATCGTGCGGATGTGCTGACACCCATCAACGGACATGAATGGCCTGTGCCCATTCCAAAGGATGCCGACCTTGGTCGCATCCGCATCGAGATGCTCAATCTGGGTGCGGAGTATGTGTGGTTAGACGTTCTCTGTTTGAGACAGAAAGGTGGGCGGAGAGAGGATCTGCGTGTGGAAGAGTGGAAGGTGGACGTGCCTACCATTGGATCACTGTATCGGGGTGTGACAGAGAAGGTGGTGTGCTACATCAGTGGGCTAGGACGGCCTTTGAGTTTGAAGGCAGGTGACTTTGAGAGTGATCGGTGTTGGTTCAGACGTGCATGGACGCTGCAGGAGATCAGCACAGATCCAATCATTGGTGGGGATACAGGTGATAACAGGGCCATGCAAGAGGAGATACAAGCAAGGTTTGAGAAGGATCTGTCATTATTGCGTCAGATGCAAGCACAGTTCAACGTGTTTGGCCGCCCGAGCGCACTATCAGAGATGCAGAAGCGGGTGTCAACAAATCCTGTGGATAAAGTTGCAGGGTTGGCATACCTTCTGAGATCAGATAGGATACCGGCGTACTACGAGGCCCAGTCTGAAGAGGATGCATGGACAGCGCTGGTGGATGTGATGCTTGATGAGTTTCGGGCGGAATTTCTCTTCCGATATCCTAAACCTGGGAATGGAAACAAAAGTTGGAGACCATCGTGGAGGCAGGTTATGACTGAGGTGCTTCCATCATACCATCTACCTATAGGGATTGGGCAGGTGGACCGGAAGGAGGAGGATACAGATACCGACTGGTATTGGGGACATTGTATTGAATCTGGTTATGTGCGAGGATTGGCCGAAGGACCGCAGGACGGGGAACTGCGACAGGGAGAGTTGCTCGTCGAAGATAACACTGGGACAAAGCACGTATTCAACATCGTTGCCGACCACCAATACCCAATACCAGACGGCTTATACACCCTGATAGGCAGTGAACCATTTATGTTTGGCGTTCCTTTCATCCGAGTGCAACATTGGGCAGTTGGGCGAAGATCTTCAATGCAGGAGTTTGACAAAGTTTCAGTGTTCACGATGCTCGACAGGGAAGAAGTGAAGAGGGTGCTGGATCTGGGTGTCTCCACGGAGATTGTGAACATTCTTGCTTAGGATTATAGTACAAGTTTGACGGCCACGTAGCATGTATCATCACCCAAAAGTTTGTGTTGACATAGTACAGGAGACTATTCTCTTCGAATTTGGCGCCCTGTTCAACATTCACCATGAAAGCACCTAGGATCTCCGCTCTCCCAAATCTCTCGTCGCAGTGAGATCGACCCTGATAGGTTTCGTGTCCGTGTACTGTATCCTTTTTTCTTCTACCAATCACCGTGGTCCAAGAGTTCCTCATTCTGCCAGATACACCGTCGACATCAAGAAAGAATTCGTAACAAGAAAAGTAATAGCCGCAGAGTGTACTTAGTTCCCATTGTAAAATGTAAAAGCTGTATGAGAAATGAATAAATCACAAGATAGAATGTTATCCCAATATGTCGCTGATAACAGAACATTAGCTTTAGAATGTAAAAAAAAACTGTACGTACTCCGGATTTGAGCTCAAAGTCGTCTTGAAGAGCCTTCGGCCTCAATCGAAGGCGAATGAAGCCATAAGAATGATATTAGGGACTGCGTACCTCTTCTGTATCCATTTTCTGCTATATGAGGGCAACGTGAGACGTACTCGGAGTCCGAGACTTGAGCGAAAGCCATTCCAAGGCACTTTCCCAGGGAGGAAGCCTAGAGATGCTTCGATTATGAGCTCATGGGCTCTAGTATCGACCAGAGGGGACAGAAGTAACGAGATTCAACCATTGATGAGATATTTGTGCCCGGTAAGCTCGAGATTCAAGGTAGGTTAGTCGCCTTTAATGAGGTCTAGAGACAATCTTCGAGTAATACGTGGAACTGAAGTTCGCAGAAATATTCTTAGAATTGTAAAAAATTGGCAATGGCCCTCATACCTGTTTCATCCGGTACTATACAGCTTGGCTGCAGCGAGGAAACCCTGAAAGCTCTCTGCCATTTCTCGCTCTTCTCGATAAAGCTGGCATTGTCTTCGTACACATTGACAGCTTTCCGATAAGGTATCGAAAATCAGATTGCAACAAAATATCCAGGAAAATGGCTTTTTGCGCATTGCAAGCCAGTAAATAGAGGATGCAGCAACATGGAAATCTCCCTCGTGTGTTGTGGAAATCAGGATGTAGTTCATAGCAAACAGAATAGTACGCACCATAATGGTCCGTGCGTGCTACTACTTGCACTGCGAATATGCTTTTGTAGACGTTGGATACTATGCTTGAAAAATGAGAACGAATGATAGTCCAACCAGTCGAAACTGTAGGAGACGTGTATCCGCGAGCTCGCTCTATCATGAACAAGGTTGGCAGGCTAGTGCGAGGTCCAGGAAGCTAATCAGGAGTTTATCAGAACTATCACACAGCTCAGGTATTCATCACATGAAGTTCTAGGATTTCAAAAAGGTAGGATTGAGTCTGGGTTGTGCACTGACAGCAGCAGCAGTTATTGTAGATGGTATAAGAGTGAAGATAATTGCATGTTTCCGCAGTACTCCCTAAGATAGGTACCAGTTTGTATGTGTACTTTGAGGGAATTCTGGAGATCTCCAACAGGCGCGCACGCCATGACCATGCTGGGTACCATTATTATTCCCTCCTATTGCGTTATTGCCAATAGATCAAAAAGCGTGTCGCATTGGCAGCCAAGACCATGGCAACAATACGCCGTAAAAACGTCAAAACCAAGGAGAATCCAGCTGACTATCCGAGAAGCTATACTCAACATCAACACGAACCCCTTCACTCTCCAATAAATCTAACCCACATTGCTTCAAGTGCTTTATGATCCGATTATCGTGATCTGCGCACAACAGCCTCAACGAAATCGCCTGCCTTTCCATGCGCTTCCTCAAGACATCCACTAGTGTCTTCACATACATCACAAAGTTCGGCAGAACGGTTATCGCTAGCTCCCGTAGCCCAGGGAGGATTCTAGGAGACAGGAGCTGATGAAAGAGGGAAAACACAATGTTCTCTCGGTTGACGTGAACCGTCGGTTTTTCCAGAGAGGATAAACCGTCTAGATGGATGCCAGATGACGTATCGGTAACGAAGCTCTGCAGGTTACACGCCGACCTAAGCAGAAACGCTGTCAACTCGCCGGAATCGGCCTTGCATCCTATGATCCTCAACTCCTGCAGTGTAGGAAGAGCAAGGGTGTCCAATATTTGGGTGCTGTTGGTGGAGAACCTGATGATTCGCTCGTTTGTGATACAGATTGGAGAGAATGATTGGAATATGGGTTTGTACATGGAAAGATGGCATTCGACGATGGAGGGAAAAGACATGATGTGCTCGACGTCTGAGATATGAGTTACAGTCGCTGAAAGATGCATGAGCCGCTGCCCGTCTATCGGCATTTGAAAGAGCATGAAATGATGGAGGTCTACTCTCCGAAGAGAGCTAGCTACCGCGAACGTGTCGGTGGAGCACAGAAGGCCCTTGGAACCCACATCAATGCATACCTCCTCTAGTAAGGGCAGCTTCCCGGAGATGACAGACAGTTGCTGCAAAAGCATGTCGATATCGCGACTTGGCAATCCGGATGCGTCGATCTTTATAGCCCTCCATCGGGCACAGTGTTGGATGAAGATGTCAAGTAGGTTGTCCTTTGTGAGAGCGCGTTTGAATGTCAACACCATGCTCAGTGGGTGGCCCCCGAGCGCTGGAGAGCTTCGGATAAGAGGGATGGATGAACATCGGGGAGCGGGGTGGCTATGGTAGACCACAAGAATGGGGAGGTCATCATGACATCGCGCCACGAACCGCATACCTGGCCCAACAACCATGGTGCACGCCATTCCCGATCCACTCCGAGATCGCATGCCCAAGAAAATATCTCCTGGAGCATATCGTGCGGTAGACGGCAGATTGGAGTAAGTGCTGAGCGACACATTGCTGCATGTTGAGTGAGTGCATCTCGTTTGGTTTCGAGTTGGGCGATCTGGGCGTTGAGAAGTGTTGTTTCTTGCTCTGCTGTCATGAGGGCTTCGTAGATCCATGGCCTGTCGCAATCAGGTAGGAAACCGGCGCAACGAAGAATGTGTATTAGTCGTTGGTCTGCGGCCATGCTTTGGAATATGGCTCGTTAGTGAAGGGACTATCGTGTCAGTGCAAAGCCACTCACAGAACAGAAGATTATCAATAGACTCGAAAATTTGCAAGATAGACGAGATGCGGAGTTGCGAGAGAGAGGGTGGAGTGGAGTGGGGGTAGTAAAATATCCATATCAACAGCCGGTTTTACGAGGTCTTCGGGCCTCGAACGCGTATGTGGCGTGAGCGTATTAACTTTTTTCCGCTATTCTTGCTTTCTAGGCGGGGCTGGGACCAGCATGGGCCCGTGATGTGAAGGTCTCTCGCCTGTGAGTGTGCGGTATGCCGGGTGGGTGGTGATGATGGGTGGGATATCGCGGAACGAGGGTCCAGACTGTTCATGGTTTGAGCCGATGGTGAACATCGTGGCCTCGCAGAATGCCATTAAAAAACTATGTCACTAGTTGGTCATCTACGTTTTCTCGACAACAGAAAGACATACCTCTATTCAATATCAGATAACGATGAAGTATAGAGTCGCTTCGGAGATGACCAGTTGGATCACAACACTAGCCTAGTTACACGCCGGCGTCGCTCCACATCTGCACAAAGGTTCATCAGCATCAAGAATTTTCACTGACGGTAGAAGAGAATCAGTATAACTAGGATTATGAAATAGGAACATCGCAGGCGATAGCCCAACTCTCCATTTTCGGTCGATGTGTATCATCCTCATAACAGAATAGACGGTTACATACCTGTGAAAGAGGTGCTCAGATCGATCCAGTTGAAGGCAAAGTTGGACTTGCAAGATTCTACCTTGCTGATGTGAAAATGCAGCTTTCAGATTCACTCGAAGGCGGCGACTTGAGCAATCGTTCTTCGCTTTGGGGCTTCTACCAGTTCATCGCTGGAAGTCTTGAGTCTCCGTTTTCGGTCGATATGTATGCCGAATAGAAGGTACGTCTACTCGTAGCTTTGCCCATGATAATCTAAACCGGTCTCTTCAGCTTCGCAAGGAAAAAAAAGGGGGGGATTTTTAGAACGTACCGACGCTACATGCTAATACTTTCCGGTACTTCTAGCAGCCTCCATACGATTAATATACATCGCTATCGTTGAGCTCGAGGGGTGGGGGGGTTCAAATGTGGTGGAAGAAGAGGAACTGGCAATTTTCGTACTCCGACCCCTCTGCGACGTCCTAATCACGCACTAGCTGCTTCTGCCGTAACAAAAAATCCGCGAAATGCTTCTTCAAGTCGACAGTTCCTCTCCTCCCAACTCGTCATCGTTCATAGGCAAGGGAAAACAAGATCGGGACTGAAGGAGTCACCGGTTCACCCCTTTTCTCTCTCTCACCAACATGTCGCATTCAGCCAGTGCAGGCTCTGACTCAAGCAATTCTTGTCAATCTGCACCTGGGGACCACCCCATCGCTGCCGAGCTTGACAAGTGGCGGGTGTGACCGATTTCATTGCTGACTGTTCCAGATTCTAATAAGTACTTCCCTACTAGGCGCTCTATTGCAAAGTTACACCTCGAATGACGGAGGACATGTTCGATTTCACTGCGAGATCCATCCGTAATGCACATAAAATAATCGCTAATTAGAGCCCTTCTTTAAGTAGATGATGCCACCAGAAAACAACGGCAGCAAGCTTTCTTAGATGCAGCCGAAGCTGCTTCGAAAGATGTCATTCGGGACTACATGAAATGGTGTGCGGATCATGAAGAAGAGCTGGGTGAGTCCCGAATGATGGGTCCATACTCGGCATTTATCCATACTCTCATTAGGGGCGTGGTCGCGTACCTGGGCGTTTCGCCAAGAGGACGTCGATCCTGCAGATTATCATTGAGGCATTATTCTTGCATTTTGTACTCTCTTGTCTTGTATGATCCTACTGTGCCCCAATCAAGTTTTCATGTCGCCGCAATTGCGTTCTGCAACTTGGTGTCCTCTCTGAGATAAGTCAGTAGCGAGGCACGAGCGAATGGCTTACGGGTTACCGGAGGACAAGACGGAGTAGACAAATGATGAAGCCCTGCAAACAAGCCCTTTGCTTTGAGACGTCTGACATCCTCTCTGCCCAGTATTAGGCCACGATTTTCGCTCTTTCATCCTACCCACCTACTCCCTACAATATCCGGTATACCAGATTCAGCTGCTTCTCGCCCTTCTGGTTCCTAGGCACTCGAGTGTTTATTCGTATTGACTGACTCACATTCTGAGTCAGTCTTATTCTCGTGTCCTTAGACGTCCTTTGGCTCGTATACACCCTTCTACGCAGATGCAGTATGGTACCAGTGTGTAACTAGTATCATAGTTCGACCTATCAACATCTAACAAGACGACTTCGCGCTACACCCCCCTCAGGGATACAATTGACCATCCACCCATCAAGACAATGCTACCCTACACCAACACCCTGCCTGAATTCGCGCCGTCATGTCTGAAACAAGCAGAAGGACGCGCCAGCGTCCCGCTTTCTGCGCACAAGTGAGATGTATAATCCTGTAGCAACTGATGAACCTTTGGATCATCTTTGACTGCGAAACAACATGACTATCAGCACAAGTCCAGTAGTACCCTGAAAGAATTCATACACTCCTTGTCCCCCCACAGCTGGAGATAAAATGCGACATCGATGAGTTCCGAGCAAAACATCCAACTAAGGGGCATCGATTCTAAGGTGGTTAACGGTAGTTTGTGGTCACACAGTATAAGCCTCGCGTTCTTGAAATCGATGATGAGAGGTTGGTTCCTACGTGGGTCCCACAGGAGATGGTTTATGATTCCGGCGCCTAATTGACCATGGTAGAATCCTGAACAGTGTAAATCTTGCATCATATTCGCCAATGCCATCCTATCGAGGGTTCAGTTGGTATAGAAGTAGAAGCGAACGCTAATTAGCACTCACCTGTTCTCAGGCGTATCGTATGGTCCACCGATACGCCATGGAACTCCACGGTGTTCCGTGATAGAGCAGACGACCGTACCACCCCAAGTCGTCTCTGCGGTCCATATCCCGTAATGGATAGGAACGATCTTCCCTTGCAGATGCTTGAGGTTAGTCGCATGGAAAGTGGCCTCTTTGATCAAATCCGTTTTAACGTCATCCGGACAGCTACCCTTGCCGAACTCGACGTGTACTGCCATCTTGATTGCGAAACGAAGAGCATTGGGATCACGGCGTTTATATCCATGGAGGCGGGCGACGAAGTGAATGGGACGATCGTTGGTGTAATCCTCCTCTCCGAAGCGGCAGAGAGCATCGAGCGACATTGGCCTTCGCATGAAGTGAGGGTGGTCGGTTTCATAGATTCCTTCTGGTAGAGGGTCAAAGGTGCAGTTGGATATGGGAAGAGGGAAGAAGTGATTCTCTTTTCGAACGAGTTCTATTCGTATCTTTCGAAACATTGAGTCGGTCGTAGTAGACATTCTGTTTATCGTGGTCAAAGGGGGTTGCTTCACATGTTATGAGGCAGAATAAAAGGTATTTCCAAATATATTCCCACGCCACAGACGCGACGTGACTAGGGACGACAACACCGGCTCGGACCTCGATCAATCTCCGTACACGGCTGAACGTTCGACTACGTTCGGACGCTGAAGGTGCACCGGCTCGGGAGGAACTGGGTCCTGTACCCCTTGTTCGAAGGAACCAGGTCGCCAGCACCGAGCTCAAATTGACAGAGATTATAGCCTCTACCCACGTTTGCAACCATGCCAATTCGAATAGCCTTACCTGTGACAATTGCTTTTCGTGGACCTTGCGGGGTCGAGACCTCAAGGACTATTGCATTTGCGTGGTATAAGACCCACAGTGGTCAGCCCACAGCTACAGAAGCGTCAATTCCACATGTACAGACAAGTCCTGTGGCGCCTCTTCAACAGCACCAGAAAACTTTTGGACCAACGACAACCAAACGTTTCAATGAATACGTGGTCGGTTGAGCTCAAACATAGAGAAAGAAAGACGATGATATAGTATTGTTGCAGGTACATGCATGCGGGGAGTATGAATGATGAGGAAATTTCATCTAAAGCAAACCTGTGCTCTCGGTTAGTAACTTAGTGTCGTGTCAACAGAAAAAGGGAAGACATACCTGAACATACACCTCCATATCTCTCCATATTCGACACCAAAGGAGGGTGCAGGATAGACTCGATTTGGAAAAGACGCCGACGGGTTGGACCATAACAGTAGTCGCGCGTCGTCGCTTTCAAATGTCATCTGAACAGACGTCCATTAGTGTCAAGAATTCAAATGGATGATGAAAGAGAATCAGTATAACTAGGATTATGAAAGAGGAACATCGCAGGCGACAGCCCAATTCTCCATTTTCGGTCGATATGTGTCATCCTCGTAACAGAATAGGAAGGTTTACATACCTGAGAAAGCTGGGCCTATGTCGATCCGTAACTTTGCTCTAGATTTTCTGGGCATGCATTTCAAGTCCTTGTAAAATTGCAAAATGTAAGCGGACGGGAGGTATCGAATACATGGACCATACCAGGTAAACCCAGCCCATGGAGCTATGGTATACGTTGATGCGATTCCGACCAAGCATAAAGGAAGGTATACGATACAGGACCAGTATTAGTATCGGAGAAAGCCATGGAAGTACACCTAAACTACAAGATATCAGCACCGTCGTTACTACTCCATGAAAAAAAAAAAAGGAAAAAAGATAGATGCTAAGCAAACGTACCAATCTTAAAGCTTCACGCTTCACGTGTCACGTCCCACGGCGAAGGATTTACTACGAGCTGCTGCATGAGTGTACACATACGGACGATATTCAGTGTATGTCGTGGTAGTCGACCGTCGTGGAGTAAGAGTAAGACGCGTTTCAAACTCCGAACCGAACCTTGTGTCACTTCTTTCACAATGTTCGATTACGAATCTGATGCCAACACTCTGTCCACTCTTTCCGAGAGTTTCAACAATTCGGTCCTTGAAAAAATACGCAGCAGAACACCGACAATCACTTTTATAATTCAAGCAGAGCAAGACATTTCAAGTCTCCGTAGCGCTTTTGCGTCTGGAAAATTAGGCCCCTGCCTCGAGAGGCTCTCTACTGTCGATAAAGATATCCACCCAGATGCCGTCTTACAGGCCATGCTCGCTCATGCCGCTGGAGCCAGTGACGACGACAAACAAACGCCACGTCGCTATGTCGCCTGCGCAATAGCTACCGCTGGCCAGGATAATAACTTTGAACAGCTGATAGAGCTAGCGAATACTTGGGTCCGATACCTCCTCTGGCCTTGTAAGTGGCTATTCGTTTTTTCTGATTTTCAACATTGACATGCAGTTATTGTAGTCAAAGCGAATAAAGGTGATCTTAGGGATCTGCATTCTGCCTCGGAGATTACACCGACTCTTACAGAGACCGAAACCCTCGATTTCGAGGATGGGCTCTCACGTCTTGAGTCGTTCAAAGATGCGGTGCGTACTAAATATTGGTGTCAAATTTCGAATGCATTGTGCTCATATACATACATGCTCGCAGGTGAAAGGACGTGATGGTTATCGCTGTATTGTAACAAGAAGTATCGATTGGGACGAAGTTCCCCTGGACTCAGATGAATGCTCCACTAAGGTTAAGGCAGCTCATATCTTCAAGAGAGCAGCTGCGGCCGGAAAGCGTACTACGGTGAGCCCTGCCGCTCGGTCAACCGTAGATTTCCAACTGAGTATACATATAATACAGAAATCTTTCGCAGAGTACGCTACTTGGGGTATTTTGCGCCACTTCATTGCTTTGTCAGAGGAAGAAGTTGCAGAACTCGATGCTAACATTGACTATGTCTACAACGGACTCACACTGGAAGAGATTCTTCATTCAGCATTTGGCGAATTCATGTGCTCGTTATGTCCGGATGTAAGTTGACGTCTTATCATTCTCATGCGCATACTGATGGGACATAATACCAGCCTGATCATCCCAATCGATACCACTTTGAGTATTTTACTAGAGGCCCTCTATCTTCCGTGTCTAGGTGTGATATCAAAGCCATCTCCTTTGAAGAATGTCCCGCCGAGGTTCGACCAAGTCGGAAGCTCATACAGTTCCACTACTCCCTTGCCAAGGTTTTACATGCCAGCGGTGTGGGAAGGGTTATCGAATCGATGTTAGAGCGGTTCCTCAAAGGGGGTAGCAAACAGGTGACTATGAGTGCTGACGATCTGGAGCTGTACTTGAGCACGGAGAGGATGTCCCTCATGTCTTTGTAACAGTGTATAGAATATTATAATATGTCTACTTGGGCGTCGATCAGCCTGTGACCATTAAATGAAAAAATTTGTTGAGGCTACAAATTGATATAACACAGCTGTGCTATATACTCCGCAAAGTCGCGAGACTCGAGAGAAGTCCTCCGTACTCAAGTGCAGATCATCAGCACTCAGGGTAAACCATTTGATACCCCCTTCGAAGAATCGCTTCGACATAGATTCAATGACCTCTCCTGCGAGCACTACTGTGATTCCAAGTACGACGCGTGTCGGAGATATTATGACTCATTGATGCCAAGAGTTGCCCAAGAGATGATTGCGTTGTAGTCTTTTGTAGGCGCATAGGTATCATCATGGAACCATCCTTCAGTCCTTCAGTACTATTGTCCGAGTTCTTTCGAAGTTCGTGCAATACCTATTGGACTGGCCTGAGTGGTGGTCTGGTTATAACTTGTGTGTGCTTGTCAGCCGCTCTGGAGATAAACCCCGCAAGTCCGGCGGAACCCTTTGGCACAGCCACCGGAGTTATTCCCTTCTCTCCGTCGACCATGTTAGGCCGCGACGAGGCCCAGAGGCTCCCCATTGTAATACCTCAAGATGCTATCGAGGAGGCTCCCGACGATTTCGTATGGTATGAAGGACCTCAAGGCGGTGGATTCATCGTCCCGCAACAGTTTAGAAAGTATTCAAATCGACCCGTGAATGAAACACCCATGGGGTATCTGTATTACATTGTCGACAAATGCAGCGCGTATACCAAGAATGTGCAATATTTCTTCATTGTTCTCACTTGTATTTGACTGAATCACGGTTCACAGATTTACAACGCCTTTTTTGCCGCCATCGACGTTTATTTTGAGGGTCTAATGGAGTATGCGAGAAACCACTATGCGGAGTTCATAGTACCTTTTGGAAAAAAGCATCGGGGAAAGCGACTCCAGCAGTGCCGCGATAATTGATGCAATGGACGACAACAGACCCGTCCTTGACCCAGAAGGTGTGTGCGTGTGTTTCCGGGGTGTTCTCTGTCTAAGTCGCAACCAGTATTCCGTCTACTTTACAGCCGTTCAGTACTTCCTTGCCGATATACGGCATTACAACGTGATTAGAGATGTTGGCGAATTGCTCAGCGCGTCTGAATATGAAGATGACCTGGATCTTGGAGACGAGGAGGATGACTATGATCTGAGCGACTCCTTTATAAACGACTCCAGCGATATCAAGGAGGAGCATGAAGAAGGAGAAAGCAGCGACACTGCTGATGAATCTGAAGCGAGCAGCAGTACAGAGGTACGTCCTACAGATTAGCTCATGCTCAGCTATGCCTTAGATATCGCAGGAAAGTGCCCATACAAGCGACACAGACGGCTCGCAATCTTATGTCAGTGACGACGTCGATCCAGAGTCCAATGTACAGACTCCACTCCGCAACATACGTTCAAATGATACTGCGAGCTTGGGCTCTACCTACAGACTCGGAAAACGCTACGACGGTCGCAGTCCAAGTACGCCATTTTCAAAGACACGTCAGTTTTATCTCTGACAAGGTCACCAGGTCCAACGCCGCCGTCACCTACGCTTCGCAAGCGCCGACAAGCGTCTCCAGACCCCGAGGCCTCCGACCTGGACCCTCCATTGGTACCCGGAACCTCAAAGGGTAAGTGCACTACGCTTGTTGTCCTCCCTTCATTGACGTTTTTTCTCTCCTGCAGCGAACTCTATCAGTAAGGGTACGTCAGATGCTATAATTCACTACCCAACCCAATCTAACCAGCATTCCCTATAGCGTCACCACGTAGGCACAGGTTTTCAAGTGCCGACTCCTCAGAGCACAGTGAGCATGTATGTTCTTATGCCATTGTATTATTGCTGACACGCGTTTCCGTCTTGTAGCGGAAGGTTCAGACGATGCAGAAGAGAACGAACCTAAAGCTAAGCAACGGAATGAAAGTCACAAGGGTTCTGAAACCAGGCGACGTCGGACCCAAAATGGTGGTAAACTTATGAATATATCGTGAGCTTGCTCCCATATATGGAAGACGACCGGTTACGGGTCTACACAGCTGCAAGCGAAAGCGAAAGCGGGTACGGCCTGCGTCAGATGTCAAGGACTTCATATCGTCCGGAGAAGAAGAGGAAGATGGGAGCGACTCGTATATTGAAAGCGCTACAGAGGTGTGTATGCGGACCTTTGTGATTTCCTCCTCTGAATCTTTCTGGCAGACTGACACGTTAACTGACACCGAGAACAGTATGAACGCCCTCTTGACCTTTTCCCTTTGGATAACCATACTTTTTGTAGGTATTGAACCTCGCCAACTGCGTCCTCGTAAACCTCCCGGCGATGGACCTTGCACATTAAAAGAAATACTATCTGCCGAATCCTCATTATCAAGCATTGCCACCGAGATAACACCAAATGTCATTGCTTTACTCTCTGATAATGAAGAAGGGTCCAACGTCATAATGATAAGTTCGGACTCCGAGTCTGACTCGGATGAGGACGGGTTTAGTACGTCCTTTTTCTCTCTGAAAAGGAGTCAGTTCTCAATTAATGGTTCATTCACAGAAGGACAGGGCTACCGTACACAACAGAAAAAAGGGCCGCCGGAATCGGACCCTGATGTGCAACGTATGTATAACCTCCTCTTTCTTGCTCCTAGGCTCAATTTTTCATTTCGTAGTCCCATGCCCTAAACGAAGACGCGCTTCCGCAATTCGTCGACATGTTTCCAGTTCAGAAGGTGGGTGTACTGCCTGTATGGGTTATCTATCTGCAGAGCGACTTACCGCAGTCACAGGTTCTTGTTCTCCTTCCCCGGAGAAGCCTCCCACCAAGTGTAAGCGCTGTCCATTGTCCACTTTGTTTGGATCGCTCATGAACCTCGTTAGTACGGCGGCTACGTCGGTGGACTGAGTCCTAGCTAATTGGGAAATCATTGGCGGATGCAGGTTTGTGCATCGTAGCCCTATAAACGTGTTGAATGTCTTTCCTTATCTTCTTCTGTCATCTTGTTGTATAATAGTTTCTTGTGATGTTTGTGCTGATCCATGTCTTGCTGTCTTGCTGTAACCGTCGTACATCCTGGTTATTTTTGGTCCTTGGCTTCTTATGTAAATGCCTAGCTGTGCTTATTGTTTGTTTACTAGTTGTAGAAAATCCATTCAGGTTACTTACCTGTGAGAGATATGTGTTCCCTTTCTTCCGTAATGCCTTATGGTCACGATCCATCCTGCAAAGCGTCATCGGATGAAGCTTTTCTAAGTCCGTCGTTCGAAAGAGACGCGTCTTTCTGGTTTGGTTTGAAGATGGAAGTATAATCCTCATCAGCAATCAGCGAACTGGATTTCGCGTTCATCTTAGGCATTCTGTCATTGAATGCAGAGCTTTTTCGCGATACACGCAGTATGTCTCGGTTGGTTAACGTTGCACCAGATGTAAAAGGAGACGCGACGTGATGTTTTCTGACGAGGAAAAACACTACAATCAGGTTTGGTAACCGTTACCTTCGTATTTTGGTCTCCTAAAGTGGGAGTTTAGCAAGAAAGAATACAAGCATTACAGCATTATAGATTACAACAACATAGCTATAGATCTTAGCGTCACAAGTACAACACAATAAGATACATCTCAGACCACAAATGATTACAACCGCTGGAAAATGTTTACGCCTTACGTTCAGACCATCTCCGCAATCGCCGGACTAAGGAGAATATATGAGATTCAATCGTAGTATATGCAATAAACAACTCACATTCAGCAGGCCTTTCGGGTGAAGTAGAAGGAGCTTCTATCAGTTGGCCTCTTCAGTAACCGCCATAAGAAAATAGAACAGAGATAGCGCGTACCGTCCTCCGGACTCGAAGCCACCCGATAGGCTAAGCGCCTTCGTCTCGACGGTGACGCTGTTTGATCTCATATCAGTACGTGTCCAGTTGACTTAGAAAGCCATGATATACGCTGAGCATCTGGGCTAGACCTTGCCTTTGGAGCGGATGCCGTGCCTTTAAGGGTAGCATCAGTGAGCAGCGAGGTCATCCAGCGAAAACCCACTTACTGAGCTTGCTGGGTTCGTCCGATCCAGAATCAACGGCGCTTGATATCTCGACATCGATAAACTTTTTTGATTCTCGGCCACGAGGCGATGGCACTTTTGAAGTGGCCTCTTTACTTGGCGTGCGCATATTGGGACCATACTTCCGACCAGAACGTAGTTGGCGAGGTTGAGCACCTGTCATGTCAGTAAGTATTGCCGGAACTTGTACACTATTTCTGGCTCGCACCGTCTGCCAGGTCACTCAGATTATCATTCTGAAAAAAGGGAGAGTAAGAAAAACGATTAGCTTGATGATATGTGACACACCTCAGTTACACTACCTGTGTAATCTTCACTGCCATCGCTTTCCTCGTTTGCTGAAATGAAATTTTCCATTTCTGAAGTAAGCGCTTTGTGCTTTCCTTTCCGGGCACGGCGGGCAGCCTTGCGAGGGCTCTTTTGGCGGCCTCGAGATCTTTGCCTGGCTTCAGGTTCGTCCTCATCTGCGCCATCTGAACCTATCGCTACAAGGTGCAAACGCATGTCAGCAACAGGATATGAAGGAATATTTATGCTCACGGTGATCCGAGGAGCCGACGCTTGACACCCTGCGCTTCCGTGGTGAAGCTACGAGGAGTGTTAGTGAGGTTGGTTAGCGAATCGTAACATCCGACGTACCCTTACTGACAGAGTTTACTGCTGGATGAGAACGTCAGTGAGGAGAGGACAGGGGAGCACTACAAGCATGATGCGAATACCCTTAGAGGCCCCGCGTACCACTGGGGAATCCAAGGAGGCTTCAAAATCAGGAGAATTTCGTCGGTGCTTGCGAAGCGTAGGTGATAGCGGTGTTGGACCTGAGGGCCTTATCAGAGATGAAAATACTGTATCTTGGAAACGGCGCACTTGCGCTGCGGCTATTGTAACGTTTTCCGAGTCTGTACGCGGAGCCCAAGCTCGCCGTGTTATTCAGAGATATCTTGCGGGATGGAGTCTGTGGTATATCGGGCTCTGGATCGGCGTCGTTACTAACATAAGATTGCGAGCCGTCTATGTCGCTTGTATGTGCGCTTTCCTGCGATATAGAAGATATAGCCGGGCACGAGCTAATCTGTAGGACGAACCTCTGTATTGTTGCTCGCTTCAGATTCATCAGCAGAGTCACTACTTTCTTCCTCTTCGCGCTCGTCTTCGATATCGCCGTCATCTATAAAGGAATCGTTTTCAGATTCGTCGTCGCCTTCCCTCTCCTGGACCTCTTTAAGATCTAGGTCATCTTCATATTCAGTTGCGCTGAGCAATTCGCCAATGTCTCTGGTCACATTGTAGTGTCGTTTGTCGGCAAGGAAATAGCGAACGGCTGTAAAGTAGATAGGATACTAGATGCGACTTAAACTGAGTGTACCACCCCAAAGACAGGTACACACCTTCTGGGTCAAGGACGGCTTTGTCGTCGTCCATTCCATCCAAGGTTTATCCCGGCACTGCTGGAGTCGCTTTCCCCGATGCTTCATACCAAAAGGTATTATGAACTCTGCATAGTGGACCTTCGCATATTCCATTAGACCTTCAAAATAAACGTCAATAGCTTCAAAAAAGGCGCTATGAATCTGTGAATCATTACTCAGTCAAAAACAAGAGAGAAATGCTCATGCAAAAATCTCGCACATTCTTTGTGCGCGCGCTGCACTTGTCGACAATAAAATACAAATATCCTATGGGTGTTTCATTCACCGGTCGATTTGGGTATTTTTTGAACTGAGGCGGGACGGTGAATCCACCACCTTGAGGTCCTTCATACCATACGAAATCGTTGGGAGCCTCTTCGATATCATCTTGGGGTATTACAACGGGGAGCCTTTGGGCCTCGTCGCGGTCCAACATGGTCCACGGAGGAAAGGGAATAACTCCGGTGGCTGTGTCAAAGGCTTCTGCCGGACTTTCGGGGTTTATTTCCAGACTGACCCACGAGCACCAGTAATGTGATATACCCCCTCGGAACTGGAGAACCGGGAAAAGCACAAACCTCTTACCATATAACAGCCAGCCTACGCGCCATCGTAATGAGCCGCGAACACGATGTCCCCATTATCCTTCCTGCAGCTTTTTACCATACTTCTACGCTACCCACATTAGAAACCTTAAGCCAGACGACCTCGCTATAATTCTCGCCGGCAGGGAAAAGATCATATACTTCGCGTACAATGTTGCGTAGGCGTGGCTTTTCCAGGCATATAGCAGTCCAAGGACGTGTTACAACGTTGTGCGATGCCATCAAACGCGCTTCAGCGTAATAAAGCGTATTGCCATGTTTCCGGAAATCGCACCTTTTCTGTTCCTAACTCCCATGCTACACGAAAGGGAGCAGGAGAGAGAAACAAATGACGATTAAATGTGTTTTTGCAAGCCGTGTTTTCAGGTCTGGTATTCTGACAAGGTCAGAAACATTAATCGGGTTTGGTAACGGTTACCTTCATATTTTTGGTATTCCCAAGCAGGAGGCATTGTTGAAACATTCTGAAAAATGCACTATACTTGAAGCATTAGTTACAATCAACGGCAAATAATTCATTCAGGTCGTTAAGTCATGATACAATTACATGATATGGGTATTACGGAGTAGAGTAGGGCATCCACAACTGTACAAAATACATTAACGATGAAAGCTGGGGTCATGAGTGAGAAAGGAGAGCAGAGAACATATCAGATTATGCGTGGGGTAACCAAATTGCAGGAAGAAAAAAGGAAAGTACAAGCACGGAAAGATACATACTCGAAATAAATACTTTTTTTTGTTTAACTAGGCCATGAGGCCGGATAGATGGATATCCCCTGCGCGATCATCGGTTACGATCCACAGTTGAATATGAGAAACACATCACCGAGATAACCACGTCGTCTCAGCGTCTTGGTCCCATACTTCTGCTCCGAACACCATTTGGTGTCGAACATGCGATAACTAGTGGAGGTGTTGCGTACAAGCCCGGTGAAGACTCGAACTTGGTGTGAATGACGTCAGCCCATTTGGTGGACGTCGGTGGCAAGCTTTCCGCTCTTTTGCTGGCATTGGATACAGGAGGCACATCTTTCAGGGTGCATGAGTGTAATTCCAAGGTATCCCATTCGTCAGCAGCATCAAGCTCGCTGGTGGGTGATAATAAGGGACCGCGTGTGGTGTCAGTATAGTGTTTGCGGCCACGAGATGGTTGTCGTTCCAGCTCGCTAATAGGCAGCATGGATGGCATATTGTAGTCAGAAGGGGTTGTCGGGAGGATACAAGGGCTATTGGATCGTGAAACAGATGTCACGAACGGGGATCTTTTTTGTAGGCCACGACCACGTTCAAGAGAATGAGGTGCCGATGACGGTGGGGAAGACGCTATTGAGGACGAAGATTGCAGACTTATAATGGAGGAATCAAGTGCAGGGACAGCATGCCTTGAGATACTCCGTTCCATGCTCCCCATATCCGTTAACACTGGTGCGCGAGATAACGAACGTCGGGCACGAGATGTAGACCGCCTAGCAGCTGTGCTCATGGACGGCCTCGTCGGCCCGTCCTCCTGTTCCCAGTCCGGAACGTCGACGCTTCGGGGCCGCGAATGGGTTTGAGGAGTAGTTGGAGAAGAACGGTGAGCTGAAACGTCATCGTCAATCTCAGGAGGTGCAATATCGTCACCTTCGCTTCCTCCTCCTACACCCCACGCGACCTCATCCACCATGGCAATTGTCCAACGTGATGAGACGTTTCGGTCCAGACATCCCCGAAGTACTCGTTCCGTACTACGACCAACATCAGATGGAAAGCTGATGTCACCTGTAAACGAGCAATCAGCCAAGCGAACATGTGGAATACTTCAAACTCACTATGCCGGATCTTGATTTGTAATCGTGGTTCAAAGGAGTCCACAAAGGGGAGCCTTCCCGTCAATAGCGCGAAGAGCATGACGCCGAGAGCCCATATGTCCTGTGAAGGATCGGGGAGGCAAGGGAGAGTTGATAATAGTTCAGGAGCGGCGTAGGGTAACGAGCCTGGCTGGAACGAGTGGACCTTCTCAGCGAACTGAGCCGAAGACGTAGTCGAATTGCGGTGTCTTGGCAAATGATGTGCAAGCAGTGCCGCTTTGAGGTGTCGCTTGGGTAGAGTCGACAAGGATACCGACACAGCCCGTTGAATGCCCGTGTTGGAGCCTTCGGGTTCGTCATCCGTCTCTACAGCATTCTCGCCCTCACCGATCCTCTTTGCCATGCCGAAATCTCCAATGCGACACGTACCCATGTCGTCGACCAAAACATTTTCGAGTTTCATGTCCCGATGAACGTACATGGCGACCTCATGCAAATATCTCAGTCCTCTGACCACTTGTCTGAACATCATACCTGCTTCATCCTGCGGCAGAGTCCCTTCTCGCTTGAGTATGTCGAAAAGAGAGCCGGCCGGGCAGAAGGGCATAAAGAAGTAATCAGCAGTGGGTGTATGGGCCGTGGAGAAGAGAGGTAAGATGTGCTCATGGCTAAGTGACGCCCACACTTCAGCTTCATGCTCGAGACGCTTCCGGGCCAGTGAAGCTTTGCCTTGACTAAGCAGATCTGAATGACGGACAATCTTGACAGCGACAGCACCACCTGATGGAGAGTAGGCCCTGCGTATCGTGGAGAATCCACCATAGCCAATAATCTTTCCTAGCGTGTAACCAGCCACGACTTCGTCACCACCAACAGAGGGCGAAGGACTAAAGGCGGATAGAAACATGGACGCAGGAGACGCTATGACCTCGCTGGGACATGATGCCGCCTGAGTGTGCTGGATTCGCGTTGAGCAGGTCATCTCTTCACTCTCGGCGTCCTCCGACAACAGCTCAGCCGATATCCTTTGTTCCACAGATAGCGTTGCATCTGAGTCGTCTGTTACAATCTTGGGCCGCTGCCGGCGACCTTCAAGATCCGATTCCTGCGTTTGTGCGCTTGAAAAAAATCTGTCAAGTAATGAATATGAGGTTGGAAAGGCTGCAGTTGACATTCAAAGAGGGAAAATACAAAGAATGGGTAGTGCAGGAAGAAGAGATGGTGGTAAGAGCGAAAGGATCACCTGGACCTTGGCTCTTCTTAATCGGGGTGTCACGAGTCACAGGAGGTCACGCGGTACCGCGGCCGTCCGTGAATCATATTGTTTGCATTTGATCCACATCTCGTCCGCGATCTGGACGTGTCGAACGAAACAGAAAAATAAGCGCGACGGTAAGTGTTCAACGTTTCGGTTACCGAATTTGAGCTATTACTGCTAGGCACCCTTACGTCCATCATCAGAGAAGCTCAGATGAACCTTCCAAAAATACATGCATGGAACTTCTTACGTTGCCTTTGTCGGTTATTTCGCGGCAATATGATTCGTGTGGCACTCTTGGTACACTACGTGGTCTCGCTCTGTGGCTTAGTTACCGAGGTTGAGGCTGCTGAAAGAATCTGGACTCAATCTGGGCTGAGGACCGACGGTATTTCACTCACCCCGTCTTGCAGAGGCGAGGCATATTACTTCTCAACCTCATTCCAGAGTGCCGTACAGTTCGTAGCCCTTGCGGTGGTTGACTCAAAGCGAAAATGTCATTGTACCTTAGGCCACTGTACAATCACTTCAGAGTAAGTAATACGGCTTGAACTGTGAAAACCTTCAAGGTAAAAGAAAGAAAGTGATTCCTCTCGTTTTGATTGCAACCTTTGCCAATTGGCTCTCGTAGTAGATGAGCTTCTATCTGCGCACAAAATCACGATCAAGGACTTTTTCTCTCCCAACCTTTCAAGCTCCTCACAAACTGCCTTGCCTTCGATCTCTTCATACTTTCAAGTGACATTAATTCACGAAGGTCTACATTCTAAGATAGCGCCCGCCCCCGGTATGAAGGCCTAAATTGTTGTCCTTTTGAGGTCTTTCTCACTTCAACGATTTCTGAGCATGGTTTTTGTCTTTCGCGGCCCCCTTCGACGTCTATCTCATTCTCATTCGGTAAAAAGCCATCTGGGTATTTTTCACTAGATGGATGCCGGCTTTTTGAAAGCACTACGGATCACCTTAGAGAGCATGAAGAAGAGCCATGTAACTGGTCTTTAAACCAAACATGTACTCGCTGAAAAGTCGTACCAACTCGGGGATCGCAAAATGTGCCTTTCGAGACGTCTCCCGAACTGTTCAATCATTCAAAATCATGCATGGCTTCCGATTAAAGTAGGTTGGTACGGTACGATTATTTTTATTTTTTTACTCTCATCATTGCCATCGTTAGCCTCGCAATTCACTGATTCTCAGAGTCGACCCACTAAGCGTAAGTAGTATATCTCCAGCTTCGGGAATAAGGTCTTCTACAAAATTTAGAGAGCTAGGATATCTTCCGCACCGATAGTGTCTCGAACCACCTGTACGTTGATACGTTCGCTCCTCCCATGACAATTTAGTTCCAGAAGTGCGAGTACGGCATGCACGTAGTTACCCCTTCCGACGCCAGAATCATTTCCAAATTCCAACAAAAAAGCTGATGCACACCCGTTGCTCAACAATTGAACAAGAACATTTAAAAGATGGCAGTTGACAGATCCAGGATATGCATCTCGAGCGGAGTTCGTGAATCTCCAGAGAATTGTATGACACACTAGTTGGTTGAGAAAATAGTGAAAAAGACGTCCTGATATCTTGTTCCCTGATCCCCTCTGTGCTCTCTTCTGTGATGTTATCTATTAGGATCCCCCTTCTTGCAGCTGGTCGAAGTGAACGTTTTGTACAGAATGATGACGAGTTCACGGCCACTGCGACCCTTTTCGAGCATTTCCGTTCCGGGGCCGACCATCGGCTAGGCACTTTCCAGTGACATCGGACACCTGGCTGCGGGCAGAATTGCTACCGCCCAGCATTTCGTTTTTATGTTGCTCTTCTCATCGAACCACGACGTTTTCGTAGTTCGAGTGTAGCAAACGACCAGCCGCAGCAAGGGTAGGGTAAGTCTTCTGTTCTGTCGCTAAGCGCCCTTGAACTTTTTTTCAGGGCATTTCTGACATAGCCTTGCACTTTGGAATCTAGAATTCGCCGACGACGTGGAGAACTTACCACCATGGTGTCCTGCAGCCTGCCTTCGACGTTTTCACCTTTCCTGAGGTTCCTCACGTCTATATCCTTATCCATTACAACCATCTGCTTGGCGTTCTCCGTGCTCAACGAATATGGCGCACAGTCCGACTATCTAACCTTTGTCGCCGTCGCTATGACCTACGCCTACCATGCCGCCATCATCACCATTGAGGTCAGGAATTCACGAAAATCTACTTTCCCCACCTACTCGCGCAAAGCAGCCATCATCTCTGGTTTCGTGCTTGCCGTTCTCTGGGTTGTCCCCCTGGGGGTGACAGCCATGCATACCATCGCGGAAGAGCTGACAGGGACAGTGTCCTCGTCTACGGAATTTTGGAAGGGTGTGGCAGAGGCGGTAGCTTGTTTTTGTGAAATGGTCGCAATGTTTGCAGTTGCTGGCCGGGCGACGCGGGAGAGGCTGGATATCTCCACCCAAAAGAAATGGGAGTACGTCGATATTGAAACCAGGCCAGATAGGCTGTCTTTCTCTTACAATTAGGTGCGCGCCCATTGGTGATCTTCCTTATACATGTAGTACTCATTAATATATTCAACAGAAATTTTGGGCTCTTCAAGGGACTATTATTTATCCATACGTATCCAACACTGTACAGTACCTGGACATATACAAGGCGTCATTAATTGCTCTGTATTTCATGTGGAGGTTCTAGTCCGTCGTACTGGATCCAGCATTTCAAACATTTCACTGCCACAGGTTCAACCGATTGTTACGCATCGGTTGTCGCAAACGTCTCGTGAGGCAGGAGGTCTTCTCTCATGCCAACCACAAGACAAGTAACGAACACATTCAGGTTTCCGTGCCTTTAAGGCATCGAGACCAATCGGTTCTGCGGTATTCTTCGCTTGTCCATAAGTTTCGCATTCTTGCTCCACGGGGACCGTGCGGCCTTCCTCGCCGATTGATCGTATGGTGCATGATCCACTTCAGGCCAATCCGTGCCCCGCAAAATTTCTTCCCAGGCGCCAAGGAGATCTTGATGTGTCTGCATCTCCTTAGGAAGCGGCGTCCCCTCGCCGTCAGCCGCATAGGAAATCCACCTCCATGCAAGGTCCATGGCTCGTACAAACCACCTATTGAGGGCACGGCACTTCGAGAACGCAAAGTCTGGCCCTAGGACCTCGACACCACTGGAAGCGAAGAGACGTCGCTTTCCGAAACCTCCTTGAGCCTCGCCATCGTGCGTCTGAACCGAATCGTATATTTCGTACAATATACCAGGCAGCCTGTCGACTTTGTTGTGGCGCACATAGCAGAGGCTGTGATACATGACAACATGTATGAAGGACTCCAAGTCGTCTTGCAATTCATTAATCTTGCTAGGATGGTTCAAAAGCCTTGTGGATGTATAGCGCCAAGTACCCTGAGGGCTAGGTCATTAATGAAGGTACCGGTGCGGATTGTTCTGAACACTCACTGTTCGCACTAGTTGACGTCGATCTATTTGACATTTGTCCATGTGGATGGCAAGATCCCAGTCGTTTAGCATCCCGTCGCCGTTGGGTAGTATTAGGATATTCCCACCGCTAACGTCCCGATGAAGTAGTCGGCATTTCTCAAAGGCTTCTCGGTGAGCTCATTTTTACTTCGTCAGCATGTAGATTCAATCAGAACACAAAAGAAAGACTCACCAACAAACGCATCAAGCGTCACCTGCAAGAGGTGTTTCCCGGACTGAAATGTTGTCAAGTTCTTTCCAATCTCTTTTGTGAGGTTCCTTTGCCTTCGTCGAATGCATATTGATGTATTGCCACAATTCCAAAGAGCTTCTGCATAAACGTGGTTCGTGGTAACATGCCTTGGGACATCCCCTCCGCACGTCAGTGTAGGAACATAGCGGACATGATTGTCGTTCAGGGTTCTTAGGAATTCAGATTCCTTGCCGTGCATAGATTCATCGCGCCAGCCATCCTTGAGGAACTCTACTTGATGCGTCACCAGATTATACGCAGGAAAGCCAGTTGTGCACCGGCCCACAACTGTGGCAGCCTCAGCGATCGGCGGGCCAACAATAACATCGCAACCGGGACCTAGTGTATCTGAGACATGCACTTTGAAGAATTGGCAAGGAAGGAGCGGGTCAAGATAGTCACCCAGAGCATCACGAGCCAAGATCTCCTCTTCCGCAGAAGCCAAGGTCACAGTATTGTCGTACCCCATCTCGGTAGGAGAGAGCTTGGCGAAGCGCAACAGGAACTCGATCAAGAGGTGCGGCTGCTGACGATAGGGAAACGAGCGTGAAACGAGGATAGCGCCGCGATCCCAGCGGAGGAACCGAGCATAGGTTCGGCCTATGAATATAGAATAGAGGTGCGATCTGCGTTGACCGACATATAAATCTTTAGCATGCTCGATCATCCGGCCGCGAGTGGATGTACCGGGAGGACTGTCGACAATCCATGGACGTTGTTGGCTGGTGTTACGGTCGCTGGTGATAGGTGGATCGTTGAACGGTTTCTCTTCAGCGAGTACAAAGTCCCAGTTTATGTACCGATTTTTGGACTGATCGATTAGACAGTCGGCAGGCGCAATAAGAAGGGAAGCCAGCCGACGAAACTGATAAAGTGTAAGTGAACGTCAATGCTCAGACACATGGCTCACAAATAGACTCTGCAGCTCCTGACTATCCGCAAAATCTTGAGGCAAAGAATCAAAAATTCCCAAGTATTCTTGACTGAATCGCGTGTCAGAAGGTAAGATCGAGATGAATTCTTCGGGTGGCATAGGTCCTATCCAGTGGTTCTTCATGGACTGATCCAAATCTTTGAGCGTCTGCTCGATACAGTCAAACAAGTTCTTGTCTGCGCGATCGCGAGGGTATGAGGGCGGCCCTGGGAAGTGTGATATACGATTCGCAGCTGGCATCTGGGAATATTTATGGGGCAGGGGAGTATTCAAGTATATGTCGCGTTATCGAGGAGGTGAAGGTCAAGTGAAAGAACAGTGAAACCGAATGACTTATAAGAGGGATTCATGAACTGTTGGGATAGCAATCCCGAGTTAGTGCTAGAATGCACTCGAAGCTTCGGCATGACTAAGCGGCATGAACGTTTAACCGCAAAAGTAGACACATATAGTAATCCGTAGTAAATTCTAGAAGTAGTACAACTTGTATTTAAGTACGATGCCTCTCCCTCGAGAGGCTAATTAATTAATTCTCTCTCTCACATACTCTCCTCTGTACTTCCAACAGGTTATGGGCCCCGGCCCTAACTGAACTACTTACCTCATTACCTACTTCGCACTTTTGTACATTACGTACACATACAGAACCACATGGAAAGCCAGTCCGTTTACAGAATTGACCCCCTTAAGGGCCCGGAAAATTACCCGACGTGGAAGATCAAGATGATCGATATCCTAACCGATTTAGGTCTAATTGATTATGCAGACGGAAGCACTCCGGCCCCGGCAGAAGCGGCACTGGTGGCAGATTGGAAGAAGAGCGATAGGAAGGCTCTTTCGACAATAAGGTTGCGGGTTTCGGATGGCCCGCTGGTGTATATTGCTGGTTCGAAGACTTTGGAAGAAGCATGGAATGCTCTAAAAGACATGTATGAGTCCAGGGGACCCATGGGAATTGTCCTTGTTAGAAGGAGATTCTTTAGAGCTCAGTGTGAAGAAGGGGGAAACATAGAGGAACATATTAGGACTATGAGGTCCTATCAAGAGGAGCTGGCATCCCTCAAGCAGAAAGTTGAGGAGGAGGACTTCTCTATTACACTGCTTACATCACTCCCGGAATCATGGAATTCATTCATTTCATCAGTGGACACTGCTGATTTGAAAGATTCCTACAAATTGATCTCCCGAATTCTCCAGGAAGACATCCGATTACGAGAAAAGACTTCTGATCCGACCACAACACTTGCAGCACATGGCAAGAAGTCTAACTCAAAAATCACATGTTACGGATGTGGAGAAGCCGGGCACATCAGGGCAAACTGCCCAAATGGAAAGAAGAATTCTGGAAAGTCATGGAAGGGGAAAGGGAAGGGCCAGACCCAGGCACATGTTGCCAAATTGGATTCAGATGAAGAAGATTACGCGTTTTGCACTACAGACACTGCACTTGTTACGCTTGCAGGGTCATCATGGCTGGGGGACTCAGGAACAACTAAACATATAGTCAAGAACAGATTGCATTTTTCTGACTATGTTGAGACCCCAGGACATGAAGTTATTGGTGTAGGAAAGTCAAAAGGCTTGGGAAGAGGAACAGTAAAGATTAAAATGGTTGAAGGGGACAAGACTACTTCAGTTACACTGAAGGATTGTATTCACTGTCCCGAGGCACCATTCAATCTTATTTCGCTAGGGCGCATCACGGATGCCGGGTTTGAACTCAAACTCAAAGGATCTCGGATGGATATTATCTCACCGCATGACAAGACAATTGGTCATGGAGATAAGATTTCGAAGCTGTATAGCCTTGACATCATTGCGCCAGAAATAACTCAAGCCCACGCAATTAAACCGGCCCGATCATGGCAGAAGTGGCACCGAGTGATGGGCCACTTAAATATAGGATCAGTAAAGAGATTATTCAGAAAGAAGATGGTCAAGGGTATGGATGTGGATGAGTCAGTTGAGCCCCAGAAGGATTGCAAAGCCTGCATAAAGGCCAAGCACCATGTTGAGCCATTTCCACAAGAAGCTCAAAGGGAATACACAAGAATAGGTGAAATGACATTTTCGGACCTATGGGGGCCAGCCCGAACTCATGGTATCCATGGAGAAAGATATTACATAAGCTTCACAGATGGCAAATCCCGGAAGACAATATTGTATTTTCTCAAGTCAAAAGAAGGTACGGAGATCCAAAAGAAAATCCAGCAGTACCAGAAATACATCAAAGTCCACAAAGGGGAGGACCTGAAGTTTATGAGAATTGATAATGGGAAGGAATACATTAATGAGGTGGTGAAGGAATACCTCCATGGCAATGGCATTCAGTTGGAACTGACTGCCACATATTCCCCACCCCAAAACGGAATTGCGGAGAGAGTCAATCGGACCCTTGTGGAGCATGCGCGTGCCATGCTAGAAGAACATCACTTGCTGAAATTCCTATGGCCCGAGGCCGTGGCATATGCCACTGTACCTGAAGAACCGATCACTGACTAAGGCCATCAAGAATGATCTAACCCCCGAAGAAGTGTTTTGGGGCATGAAACCGGACATTTCAACACTCCAGGAGTTCGGAACAAAGTGCTGGGTGTTGCAGCAAGATAACAAAAGGTCAAAACTCGACCCGAAATCAAGGGAATTCATTTTTACAGGTCTTACAGATGAATCTAGGGCCTGGAGATATTATAATTCTCAGACCAGACAGATTCAGACCTCAAGAAATGTTATATTCCTTGATGACAACACTAAAGAGCCTACAGACAATGACTATATTGTATCCCACCCTTCGTCGCTCGAGGGGGAGTTAGGGAACAATGTCGAGCAGACTCCAGGTGGAAATGATGACATTTCCGATGATTCCGCGGCTGCCGAAATTGCCGAATCAAAAGGGGAAATGCCCCTTGATGCCCCGGCAACCAAATCAAAGCTTCCCATTTGGCAGTGGGAAGATGATCGAGCCACATACCAAATCGGTCCAGATCGCATCAATCAATCAACCAAGTTACCGGTTGCTCAATAATCCAGCTGCAAGAGGCACGAAACTGCCGGAATTGCAGCGTGAAATGTCACAGGAACCTTCAGAAACTGCAAATATAGCAGCAGACTATGCATGTCTGGGGGAGACTGCAGATAACCTCAGTGATGAGCCATTAAGCCTTGAAGAAGCTAAAACAAGGCCAGATTGGCATCATTGGAAGAAAGCAATGGATGAAGAATATAATCTATTGACTTCTCTGGGTACATGGCAGTTAGAGGAATTACCCCAGGACAGATCACTTGTAAATTGCAAGTGGACTTATAGATTAAAAAGGGATGGTGATGGGAAAATCACCAGATACAAGGCCAGACTCGTTGCGAAAGGATTTTCGCAGGTTCCCGGCATTGATTTCTTCGAGACATATGCACCCGTTGTCAGGTTGGACACATTCCGCCTACTTATGGCCATTGCCGCACAAAGAAACTTGATTATACATGGAATGGATGTCGTCGGAGCTTACTTAAATGGAAAGCTCAATGAATCCATTTACATGGCTCAACCGCCAGAATATTCTGATGGAAGCGGCAAAGCAGCACACCTCAAATTGACATTGTATGGACTCAAGCAATCTGGCCGAGTTTGGAATGAAAAATTAAACGCTACATTTTTGGGACTTGTGTTAGCCACTAACTCTATCGACTTAGATCATACTAAGGTCGCTACTCGCACTTCGGTAGACGACGCTTTAGCAAGTCAAAGGCGACGAAGTCGATGGGACAGATAGTCACGAAGAATGGAGTTCGATGTTAGGTAGATTAAACCTTAGCCGAAGCTGGGGTTCAGACCAGCTGAGGCTCTACTTAAATATACGTAAGTATTCTAAAAATACTACTGCGCAGTCAGTCCGTGATGATCGCGCACCGCGTAATCTGGCTGACTAAAGAAAAGAAAAGAAAAGAAAAGAAAAGAAAAGAAAAGGAAGAAGAAAAGAATAATCGTAACATTACCCCCTCCTCAAGACTCATTTGTCCCGAATGAGAATGTATCTCCTTCCCTCCACACCAGCGAGTCGAGGGTCTCCCTTCTGCTTTAAAACAGGATCGATTGGGCCTCCGCTACACCGTAAAAAGTCACTTCGTGTGTTCGGCCTCCAACCCTCTCTCCCCCTGGACTCAGGTTCCTATAACTCCTGAGCCACTTTGTGCCGGTTAGGCCTCGACTGTCTGTCGGGATCCGCGATCCCTAAGGGTTCAGTGCTCGTGATTGAGCGGTGGAAATCCCCTTCTACACCATAAGAAGGCCGTATCTAGGCCGTGCTCGTCTGCCATGAGTTGTTGGAATCGGACCCACCGCTTGAGTTAGAGTGCCGTGATTCTGAATAGAAAGACCAGGTATCATCATCTGTGTCTTCATCGTTCCCGGTATCCATATCCCAATTTTCCCTGTATGCGTTCGAGGCTTTGGAGGTTTACTTCCTCTTCTTCGTCCGGGCAGTCATCGAAAAGGTTAATAACATCGATGACTTCGGAAGAGGCAAAGGAGTCTTGTTGGGTGTCGGAGTGTTTCGGGTTTGTACACTCAGATGAGTATACAGTTTCAATGTCGGTGACGCACGGGGTGTCGGGATCATGATATTCGACCGGGAGGTTACGAGGTATTTTGTCGTCGACTCCGATTGCCTTCCCCTTCTTGTTTACCGTCCACACGACTTTTTGAATTCGGGTTTCATAGTCATTGACAAGCTCTTCGGCATTGGCCATGTCGGAACGCTTAACCCATGAGTTTTCCTCTATTGGATAGCCCTTCCATTTGACCAAGTATTCGGTGATGGTGCGACGAGTCCGTCCTCGACCGATGACTCGGTCGCGCTCTCCTATGATTTCTTCTATCTCATACTCTTCTTCGTCATCAATGAGTTCCGGCGGTGGTCGTTCGGGATGTGGTTGGTTCAGGAATTCAGGGACATGGTACGGACTGAGTAGCGATTCATTGAATCGATTATGAATTCGCCATCTGGCTGGGAGTTTCAGTTCGTAGGCCGATGCTCCTTTCTTGGCTACAATGGAGAACGGTCCTACTCGTCTGTCTCCCAGCTTCTTCGTGGGGCGAGGGAGGTTTAGGTGGGTTGAATCCAGCCACACCTTGTCGCCAACTTGGTATTCCCGTGCCTTTCCCTTATGCTTGTCATAGGCCTTTTTCATGGATTCGGCCGCGCATTCCAGCGACTCTCTTGCTTTTTCTTGTACCTCCTGGATCCCTTGGACCAGTTTAGATGCAGCTGGTACTGAGTCTTGGCGTTGTGTTGTTTTGATGACTTGGCCATCACGGCCGAAGACCACTTTGTACGGGGAGAAACCCGTAGCGGAGTGCTCGCGATTATTGTGAGTGAACGCGGCGAGCGGTAACCACTCGCTCCAATCGTCTTGTCGGTAATTGACAAACATCTTGAGATACTTCTCGATCTCCTGGTTGACTCTTTCCGTCTGCCCGTCTGTCTGAGGATGATAGGCTGTTGAGGGAT